TTAGCTTTCCCCAAGAGGTTCAGGACAGCCTCAGGAAGTGCTACTGTCTCTGAGCATGGTGGAAAGGTCACCATGAAGTTACCTCAAGATCAGAGTGCCATAGGGCATCTGACACTTCATGATGTGGTCCTCATGGAGGATGCACCAGCCAACCTGCTTAGCCAAGGGACACTACTGGCTAAGGGATGGGATGTAGATATCACTCAACATGGTGGTATGATCAGCAAACATGGGATCAACATTCCAGTCTACAAGACAGGTCCAGGAGGAACCTTGAGGGCATTCAGGTTGCGACTCAAGAAGGATTTCTACATTGAATCTGAACAACAACAAGCTGTTGTGTCAGTAGATGAGAAGATCAAGAGGAAAGAGCAAGAGCAACTCTACCTTACTGTCCAGGACAAGGACACCATACAAGGATGGCACAACAGACTAGGACACATGGGTGTCAGTACCATCAAGAAGCTTGCAGCATCAGGACAGCTGCACATCACAGACAAGGACACCTCTACCTTCAAGATGGAAGAGTGTGAGGTCTGTGCTATAGCCAAGACAACAAGGCTCACCTTTGGTGACATCTCAGTGGCAGCTCAAGAACCACTGGAGATAGTGCACTCAGACATAGCAGGACCTCTCAAGTCAGACATCAATGGGAACATCTACTATGTTACCTTCATTGATGACTTGACAGGCTTGACCTGCATAGGGGGTCTAAGGAACAAGACAGCAATGGATGTCCTTGAATGCTTCAAGAAATTCAAGAAGATCACAGAACTGGCTTTCAACAGGAAAGTACAGTGTCTGAGGACAGATGGTGGTGGAGAGTATCTGGGAGGCATGAAGCCATACTTGCAACTACATGGGATAGTTCACCAGGTCACCACACCATACACACCTCAACTGAATGGCACAGCAGAAAGAGCAAACAGGACACTCAAGGAGATGTGCTCTTCCATGCTCATTGCTGCCAAGATGGATCACAAGTGGTGGTTCCATGCCATGCAATATGCTTGCACCCTCATCAACATGGGCAAGCAATATCAAGGGAGATCTCTGGAGGAGATCATGTGGAAGCACAAGCCAGGATATGGCCAACTTCACCCCTTTGGAACAGAGTGCTGGATCAGAGTACCCAAGGAGGGCAGACTCAAGAATGATCTCACCACCAGGAAAGCAATCAAGGGCAAGCTGCTGCACCCAAACATCACTGGAGCAGGCTACCTTGTTGTCATACAAGAAGAAGGAAGAGATGTCATCCTTACAAGCAGGGATGTTGTGTTCAGGAGGCCAGAGGGAGCTAGTGAAGGGAACACTACTCCACTGGGAACACCACAAGAACATCAAGGACATCTTCCTGATCAACAATATAGAGGCACAAAGTCATCTATTACTGAGGATGCCTCTGAGGACAAGGAAAATCAAGAAGAAGAAGGACCTCAGAAAGAAGCATCACCACCAGTAGTCAATGGCCCACAAGATCAGCCATTGGACTACAGGGATCCTTCACCTCGAATGGAAGAAACAGAGGATGAAGAAGACTCTGACGATGAGGATCCCATGTTACTCAGGCCAAGGGCACCTGTCAGGAGAAGGTCACCCAGGCTGAACATCATGCAAGAGATGGCCCTGGCTAGTGTCCACACTGCAGAGACACAGGAAGACCCTCAGTCATACAGGGCAGCCATGCAAGATTCAAGGTCTGACTTGTGGCAAGAAGCCATCAACAAGGAACTCAAGTCAGTCAGGGATACTGGAACTTGGCAAGAGGTCAAGGTACCTGAGGGAGCTAGCTTGGTAGACTCAAAATGGGTCTTCAAGACAAAGCTCAATGAGAGAGGAGAAGTCATCAAGTACAAGGCCAGGATAGTGGCCAGAGGTTTCACTCAGGAGTATGGTGTCAATTACTTTGACACATACAGTCCTGTGGCCAGACTCACCTCACTCAGGATACTGCTCACCATTGTGGCAGCTCAAGACTTGGAGCTCTACCAGATGGATGCAGACACTGCTTTCCTCAATGGCACATTGGAGGAAGACATCTACATGGACTTTCCAGATGGATACCAGAGGCAGGACAAGAAGTCAACAGGACTCAAGCTTGTCAGATCACTCTATGGTCTCAAGCAATCACCCAGGGTATGGTGGCAGCTCATCAGCACATACCTGGAAGAGTTGGGTTTCACCAGACTATCAGCAGACTGGGGACTCTACTATCACAAGAAGAAACAGGCATATCTACTGCTCTATGTGGATGATGTCCTGATTGCTGCTCAAGAGATGAGCACCATCAATGGCATCAGGGATGCATTGAAGGACAGGTGGAAATGGTCAGATATAGGAACAGCTACCTATATCCTTGGACTCAAGCTGGAGAGACACAGACCCAGCAGGACCATCTCACTCAGCCAGGAAGGCTATATACAGAGGGTGCTGGACAGATTTGGAATACAGGATGCCAAGACAGTCACCACACCACTCTATGATGCCATGATGAAGAGGCAAGAAGATACTATCAAGGAGGACAAGCAGAGGAAGACACTCTACCAACAGATAGTTGGATCCTTGATGTGGAGTGCCATGTCAGCAAGACCAGACATTGTCTTTGCTGTTGGCTATCTCAGCAGGTTCAGCAGCAACCCATCTGAACAGCATCTCAAGGCAGCCAAGAGGACATTGGCATACTTGAAAGGCACCATTGACAAGGTTCTTACCCTTGGTCAACTGGACAACAACACAGGAGGCAGTCAACACAGCCTCATTGGATACTGTGATGCAGACTATGCAGGAGACATGGAGACAAGGAGAAGCACTACAGGATACTGCTTCAAGCTACTGGGATCAGCAGTCTCATGGACCTCTATCAGGCAAAGCACAGTGGCAACATCTACCTGTGAAGCAGAGTATATGGCTTTGGCAGAGGCTGCCAAGGAAGCCATCTGGCTCAACAGGATGTTGCAGGAGTTGGGCTTCATCAACAAGGACAAGCCAACTCAGCTCTACTGTGACAATCAAGGAGCTCTGGCATTGGCAGGCAATCCAGCTCATCACAAGAGGTCAAAGCATATTGACATCAGGTATCACTACATCAGAGAGATGGTGGACAATGGACACATCACCATTCACCATGTTGGAACCCAGGATCAGGCAGCAGACATGCTTACCAAACCACTGAAAGATATCAAACACAAGCACAACTGCCAGCTCATTCATCTAGAGTGATGGAATGAGAGGATCCACCATCAGCACACAATTTTAGGAGGCAAAGGATCACCCTCAGCAAGGATTGGTGCAAACCATCTTGGAAGTCGAAAAGTTACTCCATCCTTTTCAGGATGCGGCTCACTCCAGGATGAGGACTTGGTCTCGAGGACTTGGAATCGGTTTCAACAAGAAAATGAAGTTACACAAAAACAGCCAAGTCAGAGTGCCTTTACACTAGGAGGACTTTGAGCTTGAGCTTGAGAGGGAGTGTTGGAAATAGGCATGTGATGATTAGTCATCAGCACATGAAAGCAATCTCAACCACAAAGTAAACAACAGGAAGCAGGAAGCAAACAGGAAGCAAAGTGGATCCAAACAGGATGCAAAGTGGATGCAAAAAGGATGCAAAGTGGAAGCAAAGTGGAAGCAAAGCATGGAACATGCTAGAAGGAATGGTTTTGCCACTGAGGCATTAATGCCATTGGGTGGCAAACCTGAGGGACTTTTGCCATTGGGTGGCAAATCTGAGAGATTATTGCCACCAATAGCAAATCAGCCTCAAGACGTGATCGGAGACGTAATCACGGTCGACTGGTGAACAGTTCACAATTGGTCATTGAAAAAGTTATGACTCAACCCATTTGCCACCACTTTTGCCACCATTTGCCCCTTCCCAGAAAAGTATATATAGCAGGCCATTTGGGTCTGATTTCTCTTTCCCCTCTCATGTACTACTTTACTTTTATGCAAGCAACATTGATTCATCTTCACAACAAGACAAGATCAGCACTAGTAACACACCATTACTATTGCCTAGGTACATCAAGTAACCAACCTTGGTGGATCTAGTTGTTACTTCACAACATTGCAGCCTACAGCTGCAATCCCCATCTAGTCACAAGTTAGTATCAAGATGGCCAAGTGTTACTCCAGCCTTGAAGACAAACCCCCCTTGCCGGTCCCTGACTGGGCTGTACCCGCAAGCCCAATGCAACCAGCTCCTTATAGCTTGGAGAACCAGGATAGAATTCCAGTCGCCCCATCTGCCTGTCCTTTCAATCTACCAACCTCCACACCAGATCCTACAGCGTTGCAAGCTCCAACTGGCCGGTATGTTTGCTTCACCTGTGCGCTCTCAATCCCCTCTGCCTGCCCATCAAGCACTTCGCCTCCCAGCCGATTCAAGTCACACCTTTGAGGGCGATCTGCTCTGAGTCGAAAAAGTGCCATCTTCAAGTACTAATACATCATCCTATGCTGAGACATATGGCAACTTTATTGGGCTGCCGTTATGACTGATCATCACATGCAGAGAATGCATATGCTGGATTTGGAGTAATTGGCGCCAAGCTTAGGGGACAATGACCTTCAAGACATTTGCCAGGTATCTTGCGCATCATCTATCTGGCTTCACTATGATAGCAAACCATCAGCAGAGATTATGCCAGCTAGATTCCTTGCTTGACTGATCCCGGTGTTTAACCATGGAGTGTCTCACATAACCATTGTGACAAGGAGTGGTTGGTGAAGTAGTGTAGCTGTTACACTTGACGACTGTTGGACGGAGGATCACTATGCATTACCCGCTGTCAAGTCGCTGGCTCTTCCCTGTCAAGGATTGAAGAGGTCATCCTCCTACACTGCAACAACATGCACCAGCAAATCCCGGAAAACACAATGGCTCTGCAGCTAGTGCAGTTGGCTGGCTGGTATTCTCACTCGCTACCTATATCCTTGGACCTACAGGTATGTTGAGTTGATTGCGACCAGTCACACCCCAAACCTTGAGTTGTTTACAACTAGTGGAACCCCAAACCCCTAATCCGATCTGCAGCCGCAGCGTCTGTGGTAAGAATCTTTGGGAGAGGAATCTCATCAGCTGCTATCATGACAAGATGCAATCAATTATCATTGTCAGGACAAGTCTGTGCTTTGAAACGGAGTCGCCAAAACAAGGAGGACTATGTTGACGTCCATTGAATTGTCAAACAATAGACATCACCAACAATGATCTTGCTTGGGTACAAAGCGCACCACATTCATCAGTGATGATCAAACTGACTCTAATACAATGAAGGAATGGATTTACCTGATCTTCATAAGCAGTGGATCAGTAAGAAACAGGGTATTTGACGACAAGGTGAGACACTGTCGTCCAATCCAGCTACACAAAATTAAGCAAGTTTTGGCAATAACAAACGGCAAAGACGCTGATCACCATTGTCTCAGATCCACCTCGTGCCAAGCACTAACTGAGCCGTACCACAATTGGCTACTAAGTGGGAAGCTATGACGGCACTATCCCTCAAGCCTAGTTCCCTCAAGGATTGGATTGTAATATTGTAAGTTATATGGTGTTCTTCAACAATTTTTGACTTTCCAAGCTCAATGCTTGGATGATCTTGCAATATGATGTTGAAAGGAGTTGCCATTGTCATACATCTGTATGTCATGTATCAACAGCTTACAGGATAATGAACGACAAAATCAACTTATCAACACCGCATCAACATGTCTCCTCATCATACAATCATCATTGAAGGTTGTCCCACCGTCTTTGAAGAGGTCTTGACCAATGGAGCAAACAACAACTGCCTGTTCAACGCTGCAAACCAGAGACTCTCCAACTACCCCAAATCCCCTGGGCTGTGGCAACAACCAGCGTTGTCATGGATACAGGAGGTGCTTACAAACCTTGAACTGGATGAGGCCTTTGTTTTTGCAAATGCCAATGCGCAAGTGGAAATGGTCGAGATGTTTCATGTGTTTCCAGCCTGGATAGATGGTGTTGGTAGAAGATAGCAGGTTGCTAGCGGGGCCATTGGGTGTAAGTCATGTTATCAAGCTCTTTACCTTCGCCACTACCTCTGCCTTAGCCTGGATCTGTCAGAATGCATTCAGCGAATCTAAGATATTCATATCTGTATGTTATAGATCCATCTACACTTGCCTCTACTGGATTCTAACATGTGCCATATGAATCCCTTGACATCCCTGTTTGGAAAGGATAGACTGGATCTCATGGTATACATGAGCCTAAATCTAATCACTATGTGACCCTGCGACATTTGGTACTACCACCACCTGTTGCTGCAGTCGAGAATATCATTGCAGTGGACGTGTGCCAGGGGAATCCAGAGCTCCACTCTTGTTTGGAATAATGTCAACATCCAACAACAAATGCCTCTATAATTTTCCCTGTACAGAAACAGGGGCGCCAACTCAGCAAACGGCAAGCAAGCCATCAGTCTTATGTCGTTTATGATGCACAGGTGAAGAGGGTAACCTTCAAGGTACCTGTAATTGTACCCGTAGGAGTCTCATCATCTCTGCTCGGTTGATAAGTCCCAGTCATACTCACGTGCTGCAGCTGCACTAGTGCTTGCAGTAAATCTGACGATTGGGTCAGCGCTGAGGAGGAGACACCTTCTAGACGCATGTTGGCAGACTTGATCTCCAGTCACCAACTGTGTCGGCTAATAGTGTCTGACCAGGATACCACATTCTTGGTAACTTCTCCAAAGTTGAAAGCGCAAAAGTTTGAAGGCCACAATATCACCGGTTTAGCCACCTGTTCAGATACAAAATTCAAGAGGCATTTCAACAGATTCAAAGGGATAGGTCCAGATCCAGTCAAGCCATGATCTGTCGATCAAAACCGCCCTCAATGCCACATGGGGTCATCATATGGTGATTCTATTTATGGCATGGCAGGGGCAGACAGGCACATCGATCAAAGATTGCTGTAAAGAAACGGGAATTTACCTCACCCAACCTAGGCCAATTACACAACATCATGCAGCTTCATGCAGGCCTATGCAGGCCTATGCAGCAACATACGGCTCAATCCGGCAATGTGCGGACCTTTGCGAGCTAATACGGCTTGATGCAAGATAATGCGGGCAATGCAAGATGATGCGAGACAACACAAGATGATACGAGATAGTGCACAATAGCGTAAGATACAGCTTGCGACTACACATACAGCGTTTACCACCATTTGCCACTATTTGCCACCTCCCAGATGGTGTATATAGCAGACCAGTTGTAGAGGTCAGGGCCAAATCCCCCTCAGATATTCTACTCTTCACGCTAGGACAAGCAACAATATTCTACTCTATACTAGACTACCTTCAACACTCCCACTAGATCGTCACCACCTCATCAGATCAACTAGTTGTTATCATCACCAACCAGAACAACTACTACCAACAATCAGCTGAAGATAGTACAAGTTGAAATAGAATCAACATAGGGACTAGCTACCCCTTGAGATCTTCTAAGATTGATAGAGAGGGGGAACACTGAACTGACAAAACTGCAAATGGACCTGGACTTGGGTGACTACTGGTGACTCTGTTTCCCGCACAGACCCAGAATTTTTACACTTGCCTGGATCTTAAGACTTCCTTGAACCGGGCAATGAATCAGATTCAGATCAAGTTCAACTTGGTGAAGCAATCCCCAAATCCTGAAGGGTTGCTAATGCTTGATGGGATGAGGATGTACAGGCAAAAGATCATTGAAGCGGAGGATGAAGAGGATGCCAAATACCAGCCATCTGGAAATGGTGAGATTGAAGGAGCCAGAAACAATGGAAGTGAAGGCGACAAGGACGTTGGTATGGACGCAACTGGTCTACGTCCAGACTCAAACCCGTCAGCCTCCTTTGGGATAGGCTCATAGGCAAGATCTAGACACTGACACAGCAATTACCTACTTCAAAACTGTGTGGACGGAGGACTTTGCAGCTCTGGATCTCAAAGAGGTCCAATACACAGTGTCCAAACCTCAGACCTTTGTGGATGAAGCGATGGATGGAATAGGAGAAGACCCCAGGAAGGCACACAAATGGAATTCTTTGGGGTGGGCATGCCTCTCAATCGTCTGAAAGCTTTGGGTCAAGTGTCTAGACTTGACCCAGTTGCTGCAAGGACCATCTCTTTTATGCTATTGCTATTAGCATGCAAGATTTGGTTGTCCAAGTACCCTGTTTACACCCTTTTGATCCAATTTGTGATCCACATGGCCATCACAGAAGCTTTGGATCTAATGTTGGAGGAACCATGCACTTTGTAAAGGCAATAGGCTATGGATACTTGACTTGTGCCGGCTTGGCGTCACAAACTGTCAAGGAGAAGGGAGATCATAAAGACGCAAGTGAACAAGCGCCGCTTTCACAACAGATCAGAATCATTGACGTATGGTTCTAACCCTCTGCCACCTCTTGTAGATAGCTCGTCAATGAATCAAGGGCGTGATGGATTTCAGTCTGCAATCATGTCCAATAGCAGACTTCAGAACACCTCTCTGGTTACAGCTCTCCAACTTGGACCTAGACCCGACTGCTACTGAATCACAATCCGTGCACTTATCAGTCCGCCTCAATCTTGTTGCTTGGGAATTACATAGCACAAAGGTGGGGAAGAATGTTTCCCACAAAGGTGTTTGCCATCTTCTAATCCTGAGCACTGGACTTGCAATTTTAGATAGGTATCACCAGGATTGGCTGCAACATTGTCTGAGTGAGAGGTGCTCTTGATGAGGTTTATTACGGCCGAACCTTGTCCGGCGAGCATTATTCTGCCCTATGAATGCTGTCTGACCACTCGCATGGTCGAGCTTACTCATGATCTCAAATATGCATGTTCCAGACCTTGAAGGTTGATTGGTTTACAAAAGAATTCCACCCATCCTTTCTATGTGAGTGGGTTACTTTTGGGTTCCTGACGCATCAAATCTGCAAGGCCAACAGGGGCAAGACCCAAAGTCATGTTGCCCAAATTGTCACAGAACTGTATCTTGTCAAAAGTGACCCTTTGGCTTGGAACTCGGTGATAGACAGACTTGCCAATGACCTGGAGGTCCAGCTGAGCTTGATATGTGAGCTCTTCAAGGGCAAAACCCATAAATGATGTGGGCAAGAAAGATTGTGAAATGCTTCTATGTGTGATTTATCATACAACGTTCTGGGTCAAAGGATATCACATGAATCAAGACAGAAATATATGTCTTTGGGGAGTTTTTTTGTTAGTCTACAGAGAGAACATGAGGAAGCAAAAGCAGGATAGAAGGCCGCGAATGAGTAACGGGAATGGATGCACAACAAAGGCTGGCGTGTAATGTCAAGAAGGTCGTCCAGGGTGTAGGTATGCAGAGGCACGTACCTTTCCAACCTTCCCCCTCTGTGTATCCGTCCATTTCTTAGCCTTCTCGACCTCCTTGGCTAGGTGCGACGTCATGCATGTATCGATCGCCGCGCGCTACGTAACGCCAAAGCGCCAAGCGCACGTATTATCAAGCACCCGGATCAACAGTTGACGCGGTCCGACAGAAATCTTGAACGATGCGTTCCCTATTAGATGCAATGTATAAAGGCAAGGACCGCATAGCTGTCCCTGTCTTCCCAAGCACGAAATGGTTGTCTACACCGCCATCACATCCCTTGAGCTCGCTCGAATTCGTACAACATGTCCCCTACCTTCCTGATCGTTGGAGCTACCGGCAACACCGGTGCTGGAGTCACCAAGACGCTCGCCAAAGAACTCTCTTCTTCCCCTCGATTCGCACAACACCGAGTCATTGCCCTCACTCGCCACGCCGAAAGCTCCACCGCCAAGGAGTTGGCCAGTAAACAACACGTCGAGGTCGTCGAACAAGACTGGACCGAGATAACAACCAAGTGGTTGCAAGATCACGAGGTCGAGAGGATCTTTATCGCCTCTCACAATGGTCCCACCCAGTTCTCGGACGAGTCCCTCTTCCTGACTCATGCTCTCGAGTCGGGATGCGTCGAGTACGTCGTACGAATTTCAACGACCGCGGGGAACATCGGTCCTGCTACCAAGGTCGCTTACGCTCGTACCCATTGGGCCATCGAGACGATGCTCGAATCGCCCGAATTCGGTTCGCTCGGATGGACTTCTCTCCGACCCAACGTCTTTCCCAACTCCTCGGCTTGGGTTGGAGACTGGTACCGGGATTACAAGAAGACCGGAAAACAAGGAACACTCAAGATGGGCATCGACAAGGATGCTCCGCTTGCTCCGATCGATCCCGTCGAGGTCGGTATCATCGCTGCCAAATTGCTTGCGCAGGAAGATATTTCTCGCTACAACAGGCAGAAATACGTCCTCGTTGGCCCTGAAAACGTAACGGGTAAAGGTGTCGTCGAGCTGGTTGAAAAGTTCGTCGGAGAAAAGGTGGAAAATGTGTCTTATCGGGACACGTCGTTTGCGGATTCTCTCAAGGCAAAGGGCGGGAATCGCAACTTGATTGACAACACTGTCACCGCTTTTATCTCGGCGTTCGATGGAAGTCAATCGGTTGAGGGCTCGCCCACCAGTCCGGAACTCCTCGAGTTGTATCAGCTGCAACACGGAGCATACGCTGCGTGGCAAAAGGAGTTGGAAGACATCCAGGGGTGATGGTGAGGAGACGGGATCTCGATCGTCCTAGATAGCTAGTCAGTTGCACACATTCGAGGCTCATCACGACCATGTTGTAAGCGAGTGGACATCGAGAATCATGCGATGACTATACATTGTTCGACCGATGGCACTGTGCCACGGGATGTCGATCACGAGGTGAATACCACCGTATCAGCGTGTGTTAATGCGAAACAACGGAGAGAGCCGAATAATGGTCGATAACATCGAGGATGCTGCATCTGCGACGAGATGTTTGCACCTCGCTCTAGATCTGATACCTCTGTTCGAGCTGTTCAATTCGTCTCGTGCGGAGGCAACTTTGGATCCGCGAAGTGGAGGTCCTGGGCGACGCGTTTGGACGCAAGTTATGATTTTGGCTGCGCGCTGATTGAGCTTGAGATCGTCAAGATGGCATCAGTCCATCACTCTTCCGTCAGTGGACAGCTGTGTCGATCTTTTTACAAACCCATCATCTACCTACAGACGGACTTTAGCCATGGACGACGTACAATCAATGCAGACCGAGAGCGCGACGAATGTCCGGACCGTAGCCCAATCTGCCAACGGCAGGACCGGAGGCAAGGGATGGAAATTGCAAAAAACGGCCACCAAGTCAGTTGCTAGTCTTCGCCATCGTTCTCTCCTGCTTCGTGCTAATGTATTGCTACTACAGACGATCACATCTGATGCCTGGAGTCAAAGCCAAATCTTGGGACGAACGCATGCTCAAGCGTACCAAACTCGAGGCGTTGAAAAAAGTCGAGCGGGACATGAGGGACGAGACGAAGCGGGAGGAAGAGGCGACTCGACAACGGCTCAAAGAGCGAAGAGAGAGGCACGCAGAACGAAAGAGGGAGGAGGAAATGCGAGCTCGTATGAGCGCCAAGAAGCTGCAGAGGATGAAGAAGAGGTTGGGAAGGACCAAGAAGGTCAACGGTTGACGAAAGGCGTTTCGATGTCGACTGTAGTTTGGTGAGTTGATCGACCTGCCCTTCCGTTGGCCATGGCTCTAGTGTGAAACCTACTCACCTTTGCACCTCCTGCTCATCGCTGTATCGCACAGGTATTGGTATCTCGCATGTACCAGTGGTGTACATTTACGGTTTTGCTTGTTGTAATAGGTGCTCTGCAAGATGGGTATCAACTGGTTCCTACATCTCTCTATAAAAGTGGTTACAGCCTGCGCCAATTGCCTTTTCATAATCTTCGTCTTGATGCTGAGCTGCATTAAATATCCCATGAGCCGTCATCATCGGTCTCGGTCACGAATGGTCGATCCAGCGTCGTAATGGAACTCTGCAAGGGCACAGCAGGACGTCAGCACTCGCCGCAACGCAAATACCGACAACGAACGACTCGCCTCGCAGAGAACGCATGTCATCGCTAGAACCTGATCGATTTCCGCTCTGAGCTTGTCGATCTTGTCCTGATCCCGAGCGTCGTTTGCGACCATTCCCCTCTCTCCTTTGCTTCCCTTGCCGCTGACAACGCTGACAGCGGAAGCCAGAACATCGGGAATGATGAGTTCCCGTAATTTATCTCCGGCGGCTAGGAGTTTCCTGCTACCTCCGAATAGGAGGTTGCTAGGGTCGAGGGCCGAGGCTATGCCCTCCATCACAGGCACCGGCGCTGTACCTGCCGACAAGAGGGTTCTTGTTTTCGTCTCTTGCTCGGCTGTCGCGTATTTGATCGGTTTCGCCAGGCGGACCAATTCGTCCTGAAGATGCAGTATTCGGCGCAATGAGCTCGCAGGCAATGTCTCCTTGGCCTGCAGTTGATGAATGATACATTTGAGCAAAGTGTGCCTTTTCCAGGGTTCACTGATGTTTGCCCCACTCACCATCGCAATCAAACAATCTGTGTGGAACGTGTGCTGGCACGGGAACGCATAGAACTGCCTTGTCAAAAGAGCGGCTCGGCACTTTGAGCACCTTTCATTGGCATCGATCGTAATGAAGCGATTGCGCAAGTTTTCAATGTCCGACTTGATATTTTCCGCCGACTGAGTTGCATCGTCCATTTCTCCCCGTAAGCGTTCGATGTGGACGCTATAGTCCTCGAGAGCATTACAGATCTCGTCCTTGAATTCATTGATGACGGTAAAGTCGGGAAAGTACGGCAGGATGTCTTCAATCTTGAGGAGGTCCGTTTGCTCCAGAAATTGTATGGCACTCTTGATATCCTTGCGATCTTGAATGACGTGTTTGGCGATCTTCAGCCATAAACGCCTGCGTAGATCGTCGTTATCCTCCGGCTTGTTGGCATTCAGCCTTGCCAAGTCCAGATTGTCCTTTGCCAGAGCTAGATCCACACTGTTCTCATAGAGACCCATCTTGGAGTAGATCAAGATGCAGGACAGCAGTCGGTCGTTGTATTTGCATGTACGTAGAGCGTAATCCAGATCGTAATATGGCTTTCCAGTTAGAGGATTGTCTGCGACGTTGTTGAGAAAGTCCAACAGCATAACTTCGTCCGCTTGGTCTTCTTGTGCCAACATTGTCAACAGCAGGTTATGTACCGTCCGTTCCCGGTCTCCACGATCGATGACGGTACGGAGATACCTCATGACATGAGCACGAGAAGAGGAATTCCGTGTGCGATGCAGCGATAACAGGGCCGGTACGAGGCGCTTCGGCTCCAGCATCGGTCGTTTCAGCCAGCATTCTATCGTCTCCTTGGTCGCATGGGCTATCAATGTCGATGCATGACGATAATACAGGTCCAGGGATGACTATTGGGACTTTCGTATGAGTTTCGCCGCTCCACACAACTCGATCGCGGCGCTACGTACCTGTCTGTTAAGGACATCGATAGAAGCCAACCACGTTTCGTTATCGATGTAATGCTGAATGACAATGTCGTGATCGTCGAGAAGGCCAGCGTAGAACAGGTAGATGTCGGTTCGACCATGACTCTGTATTAATTCATAGACAACTGTAGCATCCAGGTTGGCCTATGTATTGCATGCAAACATCAGCCAAGAGGACGGCGACCATAGTATGAAGCACCGCACAACACGACAGACCTTGTAAGTCGTCAAAAAGTTTCGCAGATCCTCTTCCATCAGCAAGAGCTCTGTTCGGAGGCTATCAACATCGGATGTGGCAGCCTCCGCTGCAATGATATCCTCGAGCGTATTGCATTTGCTCAAATAGATCTCAACCAGCCAAGTAGCCAACATCATGCGTTGCGTTGCGTCCTGTAGGGCTAGCGGAATTAGCGATATCACGTTGGCGATCGCCTTGGCTACGGATCTTACCGTTTTCGGCAATGCATCCAGCCGCTCAGAAAGGTATATCCGCAACGCATCCTTCTCGTCCGCATCTACGAACCGCAAGGTCACGAACTCGAAGCTCCGGGAGCACTTGGAGTAAGTCTGAGCCGCTTGGAGGTAACGTTTCTGATCGAAGAAACTGTCGGCCTGTCGGGACCGCACGATATCCAATTGCTTCGGATTCTAAGGTATGCCCGGCCAGTCAGCATGTATTCGTTAAACAGTGCGGTGACAGGGGCACCACACACCTTTGCGTATCTCAGGGCTTCCTCGAAATCCTCCTGCTCAAGCTTGGCCTTCCAGACATCGCGATCCTCGTCTTTGACCACTATCTCATACAACGCCTGATTCGTATAGATCCAGAACGTAGCGTTTTGATCATCTGCGACAAGACCCTTTGGGTTTTCGCCTTGCCGCTGTGCCGGAATGCGTCACCATTTCTTAACGCCTCGTCTCGACAGGAGGCGAATCGGAGTGCTCACCAGATTCAAATTCTCTTCCCAGACTATCCGCTGAGTCAATCTCGACAGTGCGACGAGATGCGAACGAAATAGGAGGATCAAGTGGAATTCTGTGGCCAGTATCGATAATGGCATGACGGTCGCCTCCAGGTTAGTATCACCTTGGCCACTGGTGGCATATGGACACGTCTGGAAGCGTTCGAGCATATTCGACGATCGTTCAGATGGAATTTCCGTATGGTAGATGCCCGGATCTGGAATCAGTTGCAGACGGTGAACATCAGGGACGACGCGCAGGAGACACAGTAGCATCTTACTTGTAAGTCGTGCGAGAATCTTGGGTTGGCGCACGGTCTTCAAACTGTTCTTGCGACTGTTGGGTGAAGCTGTTTGCCAGAACGAGCTGAGCATCGTAGACGCCGAAGAGTCGGCGAACTCCAGCGACTCTACCAACGGTATTTAGCTACCAAATTCCAGAAAGCCCTGAACTACGTTGCTTACTTGGGATTGTCTTCTGATCCCGTAAAGTCTTGAACATCTCTTCAGCCCATCCGTACTTTCCAACCATGTGCCATCCAGGATTGCCGCTCGGTACATTGACTTGCGACTCATAAAGCCGTGTCGCGGTCGACGTGAGAAGCCATACCTTCTTTTCACCGGGAATTTTGGCGTTGCCTTGCTTCGTCGAGGGATCTTTCCAAAAGCCAAAAGACAAGCCTCCTACGCTCTCCCTTCCCGGAAAGGTGAAGATATCCACGTGATCTCGCTCGAACGTCTTGGCGAGTGAAACCGATTTGAGGTTGAAGATATCGTCGCTAGGAGGTAGCGTCAGGGTTGAGATCGATCCGTCCGTAGAGCCGAGAAGACACTCCGCCACATCAGTCCGAGTCGCTCCCGCTGACTCCGGAACGGCCGGTGCCCACGCGACGCATGCAATCGCATGTCTCAAACGGAGCGGTCGAGCCTTTCGAGCTGTGTTGGCAGCCGCTCCAGCCTGTCCGGTAGCGATAACGGCGGTGGAGAGGTAAAATACATCTCCTGTCGTCACCGTGATCAAGAGATGTCGTCCTGTAGGGTCTCCGAAGAGAGCCTTGATGGCTGGGTTGCTACCCCTCCCGTCCGGTGCAGGGCGCGGCAGATCCACATTCACCAACTCGGCCGGCCGGTTCAAGTCGATGAGGATCAAGGACAAGGGTTCGATGGCCATTGCCAGGGTATTGTTGTTGACTTGCAAAGATAGCAGATCACCCGGCAAGGAAAACTGGACCGATGAAAGCGAGAAGATGGGTGCGGATCCATCTGCCAGAAGCTTAGGCATATAGAGAGGCTCCAACTACACACGTCATTGCATCGATATCAGATCTTGGAAACAATTATCTAGCCACGCCCATCCACCCAGGGAACTCACCGCTTCCAACTCGTCCCCGCCTGCTACATCGAACTCGTGCTCGCCGTCCACCAGAGTGTCCTGCTCGAATCCGTCGACCGGCACATAAGCGTGTTGCTGACGCCGACCGTAGGCATCGATCCTGTTGACAGCGCTAATCTGTTTACCGCCACTTGAGGAGTGCTCTACGACTGTGATCGTTCGGTGAGGTGATTACAAGGAGCAGATGAGTATAGCGATGCGATCTCTCGTGTTCAGAAGCGTTGCTTACAATCGTCAAACATCGTGCTCAATCGCGAATCTCCACACCAAAGCACAGGCCGGACACCCTAGTTGACCGAGAGGATATCGAAGATTGAATGTTCCTGCTAACAGAGGAGAATGGAATGTTGATGTGACTTGGATGTGCATCTACCTCAACTTGGTGTCAACAACACTTTCAATGTGCCGCAGCTTCGTCATAGTAGGCGGCTAGGCGAGGACTGTAATCCTGACCAGAGACTCGACGTCGAACGGCATCGCCGAGGTCGTCACCCGATCACCCGTCAAACAGGTCGTGAGGAAGGACAATGATAGATATTATTGATATACAACTAGAGGACCCACGGTCGCCACCTAACGGCCGCCGATAGGTGTACAAACGAGCTACCTCATGTATACTCGTCTCGTAACAGACCATGACCTGAACCGCTCGTGCCTCTCCGTCGATTCCTCCCCACCGAGTTCTCGCGCTTGAGGGTACTCCCGAAGCCTACCGGAGTGAGAGAAGCAGTATCGTTGCCCGGTCGGTCGAGAGCAAGTCGATCTGCCATCCGGTCGATAAGGATACCAGCAGAAGACTCGGGTGCTTTGTGGCTAACGCTGACCGGGACCGTCCGTTTGACCGTCGGCGTTCGGTTGATGATCCTACTGAAGACCAGGTATATCAGGCCTAGCAGGACTTCGATCCCGATGAGTACGATGGCTACGTCTTGCGTGCCGCTAGCGTCGCTGCTCGGTTCGAGAGGCAATGGGGCACCCTCGTGCGAAGTGGCATTCGTGCCTGTGCTACCGAGCATAGCGGATTGTGCAACCGCAGAGACCGCTTTTGCATTCACCAAGACTTCGTCGAGCAGACTACCCTGATCAGTCTAAATGCCCAGGACGAAATTTGTAAGCCAAGCGATGATGAATAGAGCGCGCATATCGGCTCTCACCTTCCATGCCCACAGCTTGCTATTATGAAAAGAGAGCTCGCTTTGCATGGTTTCGAACATGCTTCGGAGCTGCTTTCTTTCAACTTCTAGGTTGGCCAGCCGTGTGCTAAGATCTGCAAGAGCGGCGCTACAGATCGCCGAAGCGTTTAGTCAGCTCACATCCAGCCTGCAGAATGGAGGTGCTTACCTAAAAGGTGACTGGCCAACGATAGGACCGCTATTTCTGGCTTCGCGACCACGTCGCAGGCCTTTTCGTCCCGAATTCGTCTTCTCTACCGAGGATTTCGGCGAGTCTCCTATCTTCGAGCTGAGCGCGTGCATCGCGGTCATGAGTTCCAGCTGATACGACACAATGTGATCTGCGACGTCCGGATCCTGCCATGCGGGTCGGAGTTCAGGGACCCTTCAATGACGACGAGTCTCTCGAGACATTCTCCCTGCGACTTACGACTTGACCGCCTATGTTCGCAATATCAGCTGTAGTCCTTCGGGAGGCCAAGAGCTTTGTCGCTTCCGGAGCGTCTCTCATCCGCCAAGGGCGATAAGGATGACCCGTCAGCGGTTTCGGATCGATGCAGATGGCTGGTCAAGAAGGCGGAACCACCGGTGAGTCGATGATCAGGAGCAATAGAGTGTTCTGATCGCTCTCGGCTTACCGTGCTGAACTTCTCCGTTTACAAAGTCGGTTTGAAAGGTACCCTCCGAACTGCCTCGATTGAATATGAACGGTCCAGGATCGGCATTCTCCGGTGCGTGTGGGCAGGTTCGTCCCTTGAATCCGGAATATTTGGCCGTACTCTTGTTCCTCAACACCTTGAACGCCTTTGCGCTCGCGACCGTTATGCCGTATCCGATCTGGTCGCCCTCAATGATGTTGTCGCTCACTGTTCCTCCGTGGACGATGGATTCGGTATCGTCGGTCCAGCAAGCCATTCCGACGTTGATCCCTCCCTTGATATACGATCCAAATGCAGAGATGGTGTTGTGATGCACACGCGTACGGGAATAATCACCATCCCATGGATCGATGTCGACCAAGTTGATACCTACATCGACGTTTCAGAGTCAGTCCTGTTTTTTTACTATACCAAAGCAGAGCAATATAGCAACGAACCTCCCATGATCATTCGGGTCTTTGAAATCACCCTGTTGTTCTTGATCTCGCTACCGGGACTACCAAAGATGACGATCGCCCCATCGGTAGCATCATACACGATCTGTTTGTATTTGCGTAGCATGGTCACAACCTTGAGCTCTAGGGCGGGTTTAACACATCGGAAGGGAGGTGAGCATACTTACATTGCTGTCGACCAGACTTTCCATGCAAGCCAGACTTATTCCGTCCGCTCTTGGGTTACCCCAACGCGCCCCTTCTTTCTCCGGACCGTCATAGTCGTCGTCCCATTCCTCGCCGGCAGGCCCCTAAATATTTGTTATAGAAGTTTAGCTTTCTCTTTTCGGGGTAGGCTGTCGTACGTCCGGTCATGGGCCTGCTTACAATTTCGTTGTTCCGAATGATGCCGCCCCTACATTGCTTCTCGTCACCCTCACGGTAATGAAGCGCGCTCCACCCTCTGTTCGAAAGTAAAGTTCATGGTCAGCTAGTTGTCAACCAACGGATTCTAGCCATCTGACTTTTCAGTCCATGTTGTAAGAGCTTGCCTCGCCAACCGATCCAAGCTCAGGGCTCTGCCAAGTTCGAGAAGCCTGACGCGGGATAGCTGTACTGACCTTGGTTCAAGTATACGACAATCCTTGATAGTCTGTGAATGCGCATTGCCTAATTCCACCAAGGCGTCCCCCTGCTTGATGCGCAAAAGTTCTGGTCGGTTTCCGTCGATGATGAGGGATTTGATGTTGACCTTGTTGCAATGCCGGCAGTCGGCTCTGCAGACGATAAACCCCAATAGGTTCAGCATCGGCTCATCTCTTCTGTTTCCTAGCGAACTCTACTGACTTGATAGCGGTTGACTGGTCCGGCCCCTTAACAAGCAGCGTTGCCCGCGTCCAATCTTTTGGATCGCCAAGCGTTGTGAGGGTCTGTTCATGGCTGGTGAAAACGATGGGCGAATCGAGATGATGCACCGACAAGGGACAGAGATATACGGTAGTCTTGGAACCACCTAGAGGAGCGAAGCAACACGATATGACGTGAATAACCGATACGCAGACTTAGTCCGCAGCGAAGTTACTCACCGTTACGGAACAAGTCATTTATGACGTCCTGGCTACCCACAGCCGAGGGTAGACAGGCAGGCTGAGCCGCTATGCAGGGCTGGATGGCACCCAACAGGAGCAACGCCCAGACCGCGCTATAAGCTGTTGGTCGGACGGTCATTGCGCAAGCTGTCAATCTATCGTCCGTGTATGGCATGCATGGTCGTATTGACTAGTTTGAACGCTGACTGATAATTACTGAGCTGCTGAATCCAGTACTCGCACTTGTAATTGTAACGTTGTAAGTAGCCAAGTACTGTAGTATGCTCAACTTTGAGGTCGATCGGCGAACGGGGACGACGGGACTTTTCCTGCGGCAGCAGAGACAAACGGGCAAGGCCGGATCTAGCGATGAATCGATGGCGATGGTATCTGCAGACTAGACCGAGGCTAGGGTTTTCACACGGCACAAAGCCATTGCCTATTCACAACATCGATACGCAGGTCAAGATCCATGTGTATACCGAATTACAGAGAGAGTCTTTCAAGGTGGCCGTCGGTGCTCGTCATTGTCGATCACTTAGCGGTAAAGATCGACAAGGCGTTATTGGCAAAGACGGCATCCATGGAAGCCGTCGCAGCTTGGACTCCCTCGCCTGCGACTAATTCTGCAATGACCTGTCGCGCGATCGAGGTGTACCACTCTCCGGGCGCAACGATCTCGAACGGCCGGTTGGACTCGATGAGCGTGGCAGGGTTGGTAGACCCAAAGACCAGCCGGTGCGTCCCAAAGCATTCGAGGGCGGTCGAGACTGACAGAAAGTTGTCGTATCAGTTTCGCCGTGGTATCGCATCTGGTACAACACGTCTGACTCACCATACATTCGGACAACCCGGTCAAGCTCTCCAACATCGGTCCACCAGGTTCCTGCGGGTTTCGCATTCTCTGGTTGTACATTGGAGAGTACGGGTGGGGTCAACAAGAGATGAACGTTCTCGTGCAGACTGAGCGACGAGACGTGGTTGACGTAGGATTGGTAGGGTTGAGACGATTGTAGTTGTTGAGAGGGGAGGTGGGCTACCAGAGCGGGAGGCAGAAGACCGGCTGTGAGAGGTAATGTAGAAACAGATCAGCTGTCTGATGAATAGCGGCATGTCAAAGAGAACGAAGCCGTGTTGCAACAAGACGTCCGGGCGATACTTGCCGATAAGTATGATACGCTTCTGTTCGACGGCTTCAGGGTTCATGCCCAAGGTGGCCACTTGCTCGCCAATCTTGTTCATGAGCGATTCGAGACCCGTCTCTCCCGAAGCCTTGCCAGACGATCCGCCCACTTGACTCAGTCGGGACACCAGGTCTTCCAGTGCGTCCCAGTCCGATTCGCTCACGAGAGGAGCGAGCTGATCAATATTGATCTGCACAGGACCGTTGTGTCCTGTATCTAGAGTGTTCGACTTGTCCTCACCGGACGCCTTGACATCGAATGAGATGATAGGTACGCCGGCCAGCACTCGAGGCTGATCCTGGCCGTCTTGAGAGCTTTGCTGGTCTTCGGCGTGAACAACATCGGTAACCTTGGTGTTTCCGTAGGACGTTTGGGAGCGACCAGGAGCGTAGGAGGCATCGACGATCTTGCCAGGGTGCAGGCTTGACGGCGCGGGGGTGATGGGAGCAGTCCCTATGTGTGAGTCGAATTCAAGTGCCGGATGAGCAGGTTGTTTGAAACAAAGGGTTGAATCAAGGAATTGGATACGGTGCTCACCAGGTGCTAAGGGTCCATCATTAGTGAAGAGGGATTTCGGGAGGGGAGGAGGTCGTCGAGGTGGCATGATGTGATGGTGATGGTCGTCGGTTCGAGTGATAGTGATCGAGGCTGGAATGTAGGTGACGAGCTTTCATCGTGGAAGAGGAAGGAACCGAGGTGTTATATAGGTTCGATGTTGGTGATGTCGGATCAGAATCAGAGGCCAGAGGAGAGAAGCAAGCAAGCAAGGTCGATGAAACAACAAAGGGCAAGAGGGGAAACGAGCGAAACGTCACGCGGCAGCAACACCGCCGACGTCCATGCATGTCAAAGGGCCGATCGAGGGTTTCATGAGCGATCCCGTTCAAAGGGGGTCAAAGGGCATGACATCACTACATACCAAAGTCCTGCATTTGTATCATCTAATCAGACGCTCGAGCTCTGAAACAAAATACCAAAATATCTGATGATATATACAGTAGCCACTCTCACAACTCCTTATCCGTTCAAGACATCTACGCGCCACCTCTTCTCCATGCCGCTTGATAGATTACAAAATTACAGATTCCTTGAGCTCACACACAAATACACGAATCGCTTTCAGACGTCCACACGTCAAGTCGGAGTCCGACCAGACTAAAGTCGAGAACAGCATGAGGAGTCGGAAACACCCTTCTCAAGAAAACGTCCTTCCATTCCATCCTTCCTCGATCACCCCACCCTCTGAGTCAAGCCGTCGACTAGGACGCCAGGTTCAGCATGAACGACCTGCTTGAGGTGCCCGTCATGTACGTCCGGGTCGTTCAAGCCGTGCGAATCGTGCAGAGTCGCGCCGTCGGACGAAGCGGCGCTCGAGACGCTCGTCCCGATCCTGGCGTGCGTCTGCGTCGGCAACTGCGTTTGGATATGCAATTGTGGCTGTTGCTGTCCTTGTGCAGGTGCGGACGAGGATGATGACCCAGAAGGCGCTCCCGTCGATGTCGCTCCGATAGTCTTGTAATCGTACTCCGAGATGCCCACTGTCCCGCCCAGAGCCTTCCAGGTAGCCTTCTGCCTCGTGCGTTTATCCATGGCAACTTGCAAGAGGGTCGGCCAGTACTCGTCGTGGTTGTAGACAAACTGTCGGGCGTACGGTAACGAGGTGCGCAGTCAGTTCCGTCCTAATTCAGGGCGTCATCATCCGAATCACTGCCACCGACTACTCACGGGCACATCTCCACCGTGATCCTTCAACGCGGTCGACTTGGGCACCAAACCGTCCTTGACGAATGAGCTCTCCCACGAGACCTATAAAAACCACGACATGACCGGCAGCCACAATCAGCCTTCTACCCCTCGGTCATCTCGTCATCCTTCGATCCACTACAGTATCCCGCAAGCTCACCTTGGCTTTCGTCACGGGATCCACAAATTTGAAGATCAGGTCCAAGAACTTCTTCACCATCCATGGGAGGTTCAGTATCACCGCCTGTCATGTCGCGCGAGGGTCATTCAACGGGGAGAACACGACAAAGCCCAGTTCAACCGGACGGAAAGGAGAAACCAAAGCCGGAAGAAGAACGAGATCGTAGCAGATCAGCCATCTATTCGCCCGACTTATTTCAAGCTAGTCTCCGTGAACATGAACAAGCAACCTTCGACTCACCGAACCCAACCTCTCGGGATAATGGTTCCCCAAGATCTCGACAAACAATTTCGCCTGCGCCACGCTCGTCGGCGCTCGACTCTTTCCAGCCAGGTCGATGATCAAGCATAAATTGCTGCAGGGGCGCGGAACGTGATTGCGTTTTAGGTCGAGTGGTGGCAGGCGAGTCGAGAGTTCAGAGTTGTGGCAGGAAGCAGTAGTAATAGGCCGAGGTGGCGGTAGGTGTGGAGACGTCCGGATATTTGTTCCCATCGACGCGTTTCGACAGCAGGTCGAGCCAAACAGGTATGGACGATCCATAACGACCCATCCAAGCAGCGCAACGTTCCAGCGTTTCACCGTTTCAATATCGTTCCAGTTTAAGTCATGTTCGATTGATGACGCCCCGCCGAAGTATAGTCCGACGTATATTCCGGCCAGATAAGGTCATGATCGAGGTGGATCGGGTCGTGACCGGCAGCACGGGACGGGCAAGATGATTTCGATTAACGATGTTGGCAATTCACGATATAGATTCAAGAGGTCGAGAGCGATGGGAAAGCAGAAGAGGGGGGAAATGAAGATGACGGCATGAGCATCCACTCTCAGCCCTTCAAGCGCAAGATCCTTCTCGACTCACCTGATTCCCGGTGGCATCAAATCGATCGTCCTCTCCAGCATGTACACCGTATGTCTCATCTGCCTCTCCCCAACCTCGGTATCGCTTCTGTTCGGGTAAAAATAAAGCACCGGCTGTCCTTTACTGGAATACCCGTAGAGGAACTCTTTACCGCAAGGGGATTCTGGGGCGACATCGACGGCGTTGGCAGGGGGGTTGTACAGGTTCCAGGAGCGGCGGAAGAAGAGGCAGTTTTTCAGACGGGTGCGAGTTTCGGGCAGGTTGCCTTTTGTCGCTTGGAGGAAGCTGTATGTGATACAATAGACGAGGTGGATGGGATGTAAGGAGAAAGGAGATGGTAGTCAGTCTTCGGAAGTTTAGTTGCCGGGCATGGTATACGAGATGAGACTAGGTCTTAGTCCTAATCCGGCAAGTTCTCGAAGATCGGTCTTGCGTAGCGATCGACGGGTACGGTCGTCTGTCAACTGGAGCTATCGCTTTCGATGACTCGACCGCCCAGACCTCGAACCTCCTGCCATTCCGCATCCTTTCTATACCCCCTATCACCCCATACCATCCCCGCGAAAGCACCCACACAACACTCACCGAGCGATACACTCCCTGCTCAGCCACATCTTTTCATCTTCATCCAGATCATCTCGTTGTCCGTATTCGTCTACGAGCGTCCTGATCTTGTCCTCGGTCGCAAATGACGAAGAGGAGGAGGAGGACTGACCCGGTCGCTGTAGGGCTGGGTTGGGGGCTTGGAGAGGGAAAGCGATTCGGTCGTAAAGAGACATGGTGATGGGGTCGTTGCTGATCGCTGATATTTGTTGTTTGAATGAATGGAGGGAGATGTCGAAGAGGATGGTGGGTGTAATGTGGTGTGTTTCCTCTTTATCAGCTCCAACCTCGCTCGCTCGCAACACTTTTGCTCTCGGCGCGCGAGAACTCTCCGCTAGGCCACTCTCGCTCTCGGCACTCACTCGCCTGTCCGCCGCAGCCGCCGCTCGTAGCAACGCCTTACGTCATCACCACACGCTCGCCCGTCGCTTATCAATCCATGATTCCCAAGCCCGTTCCCTCCTCTCGCCCGTCGGAGCAACCCGTTTCCCCTCTTCGGTTCCGGCGATCAACCGGCCCGGAGAAGCGCGCCCCTTGCCTTTCCTTTCACGCGTTTCACCTCGTCCACGGGTCAGGGATCGTGTTTCAGAACCGAGTGCCAGATCTTAAAGAAAGCCCCAATCAGCCACGAACACTAACCGTCGTTCATCACCGTATTCTATACCATGACTTGCGCGTTGTCAAGTGCGATTTCAGCTTCGAAAGCTCGGCTCCTGCCCGTTTCAGCAAGACACCACACTCAACACTTTTCACAATCTTCGCGTCCGCGACACGATGTACCAATATGCGATCCCCTTGGCTGCCATCACCTTCTCTTATCTCTTCGGCGGAGGAACCAAGACCCAACAACACTCGGGTCGAGGTCAACAGAACCAGGGCATTCTTGAGAATCTGACGAGCAATTGGAGGTCTGGTGGATGGGGGGAGATGAGAAGGATGATGGGATTAGAGACTACGGCCGAGGAAGAAGAGCAGAGGAGGAGGCGGAAGGACGATGAGGAGCGAAACAAGATGGACAAAAAAAGGGAGAAGGATGAGGACGAAGATTATGAGCGGAAGAGGGAAGAGGATAAGAAGCGAGCGGATCGAAGGAGAGTGAACATGGAGAGAGACGAAGAGCATATGCGAAGAGAACACAACGAAGATGAATACTCAAGACGAATCCTGGCCCGACCTGAACCGCATCGATCTCATGGCGACGAATCGAGTGCTGCCTCCGTCGTCTCAGCAGCAACCTTAATCGCTCAGGCCATCGATCGACCACCTCACCCACAACAAATCCGATACGCCGATTTATGGCAAGAAATCCTCATGAAAAGTGGTCCCTATCTTCAAGCATCCGGCCAGTGGTTTGATACTCCTAATCCGGCCATAGCCCCGAGCGTATACCCAGACTCTGGTTACCGCTCTATGGTGAACGACTCGCAACCCATTGTATCCGGTAGAGACAACGGGGTGAACTATGATCGAGCGGCTCAGAGAGCTCTGGAACCCGAAAACGGTTCTGTTGATCGATCTCGATCTGGAGGTCCAGGATCAGGACCCGATGTTTTCGGGAAGGATAATATAGGGTCCAGAGGAATACCTGTGGATTCTAGCCGCGGTTCTGACCTTCGCAACGGACAAGGATCGGGCGAGAATGCAGATTACTATAGTAGTGAGTACCAGGAGCGGACACGAGCAAATGAAGCTCCTGATATGATGGGGGCGATGGGGAGTCGTCTAAACGATGATGCGAAGCGAAGGGGGAGAGGTCAAGATACAAGATCGCAGGACGAGGAATACGGGAGAAGATCTAGGTCCGGAGGCGGACCGGATTTCGATGACGCTTACGTCAGAACCGTTGACAGCAGAAGGAATGGCGATGGGAATTATTATAGGGAGCGTTCTCGAGGAGATTACCAGGATGGAGGTCGTCGGAACCTGAGGAGGAGTCCTAGCCGTCGTCGTGCAGGACAAGACTACGAAGAAGACTACGATCGGAGGAACCACGCAGACGATTATGACGAGGAGAGGCGGCGTGGACGGAGCCGGGCAGGAGGCAGTCGATACGACGACGATGAGTATGGCGTAGACGGCCGTTATGGAAGTACGAGCAGGCATCGCACGAAAAGGGAAGAACGGGACGCTTACAATCAACGGAGGCGCTTGGACCCCCATGCGAGGGGTCATGAGGATCATCTTTCGCATCTAGATGATGACCGTAACGGTCGACATGGAGCAGATGGCCAACTCACAGGGGCTGCCGTCGGAGCAGGAGCAGCAGGTGGAACAACCATCATCAACAACGTCCTCGGCGGCTTTCCGATGACTGCCGGTGTAGTATCATCTTCTGACCCTGCTCCAGCGGCTCACACATCTATTCCAGAACCGGCTTCAGAGCCTATCCAGCCGGAGACTGTCATTGAAGAGAAACCGACAGAGAAACTGGGACCTATGCGGACCGAGAGGCAAATACAGAAAGAGCAGGAAAAAAGTAGGGCAGAGCTCTGGGCTCGAGCGAACGAACAAAGGGACCTCACAGGCGGAAAAAAAGGCAATGCAGACGCAGGTTCAGCTAGTCAGAAGGCAGAGGTATCAAATGGGTCCACTCAGCCGGAAGAGCTACCTACGGAGCCAGTTACTGAAGACCCCAAGCCCAGAGAGGATGCGATGAACGATAGCGGTTCAAGAGGTCCTGAGAACTCGTCTCCCAAGCCTACCAACCCGTCACATGACCGAAATGTATCGCGCGAGGGCGGAGACCAATCTCCTGACAGGCAAGGTGCCGCCACGCCGACAGACGGCAGTGGTACAGGTACTCGGCAGGGATCTTCTCCAGCCGAAAGCCAGCGTGGCCATAGCTCGGTCGTGGATCCCGCAGTAGACATCTCGCCTACCCCGATCAAGCCAAGTGGAGACCGCCAAAAAGACATCCCGCCAGTCGAATCTGGAATGGACAGCTCGAGTATCCCACCGAAAGATTTTGACCCCGAAATGAAAAATGCTGGGTATCAGGACGACAAAGCGAACGGCGAACGATCGTCTTCTGTCAGCCCCAAGACCAGTCCTACAAACCAGCCAGACAGCATCCCTTCGCCCGCTAGCTCAAAAGACTCGGCTATTTCTCTCGGATACGATGACCGCAACAGACAAATTCAAAGGCCAGAGTCAGCATCACCGGACAAAGAATCCCCCATCGCGACTCAAGCAGTAAATGTTCAAGATGGCGCGAAACGGGAGCATGGTCTCGTGAAAACGGGAAAACAAAGGTATTCATCAAAGGCAGAACTTGTTGCACCCGACGCCGCAATCTCACCTGTAAGAATGGCCGAAAAGGAACAATCTGACCACGGAGTTTCGACCGGCGCCAGCTTGCTCAAAGAACCTGAAGATCATGTGGGAATGGATCACACCATGACGACTTCGACATCAACTACCTACCCACGGGGGCAAAAGCGGCGCTGGGCCGAAAAGCGCATGCGAGAAACCACCAAGCATGCCATGCAAGCGCAGAGTTCCGTGCTCAAGCGCCACAATGTCACTGGTCCCAAAACGTTTGGCAGGCTGATCAAACTCGCCTTGAAGAGTTCGCCCAAGATGGCGTTCTTGTCCTCGGTCGTGATGGTCATCTACCTGATCGGCGCCGTCTACCTAGGGAACCAGGTCGCAAATATATTGCAAGTGACAGCGCCGTCCTCTCAACTCTCCCGCCGTCAATCGCCAAGACCGTCATCTAGCGCGACCTCGGCCGCTGCCGACCCCGAAACCTCGACCTTTTCCTCTTCCACTTTCGAGAGCTTCGACGAGGACACTCAGATGTTGATTCTCATCAACGTGTGGCACGCCATTAGCTGGTTGGTTCTCGTGTCATTGGCACATTATATCTGGGAAACTATTCCCGACCCCGACGGGCCCCGTACTCGCAAAAACTGGCTCGACAAGTTCGGTTTGTGGTCCATGCTGAGGGTACTGGTAACGGTAGCACCGATGAGCGTGTATCTGCTCCTGGGCGCGAGACAACTCACCTCGTGCGCCTATCTGCTCAACGACCCGGACGCCATCGCCTGGAGTATGGGGCCAGACGTCGGACTGACGTGGAATTATCTCTCCGAGAACAACAGCAGGAGCGGATCGACGCCTGCGACCGTGAACGCGCCAGTTCAGGATATGGGCGATTGGCAGCTATTGCTGATTTCCGTCTTTTTCTGGCTGACGGGGATCCCGGTCTTGCTGTACAGCATCAAGCGCGTTCAATACCCTGGATCTCTCAGTCGAGGCAAGATCATCAGAAAGGTAGAGAATCGTTATAAACCATACGTATAAACCCTGGCCTGTGTGCCTGGTTTACGTCTTGTCGCTCGGTCTATGTCATGTCGCAAGCGATTTCGAAACTATTTTACAAAAGAATGTCATGTCGGTTTCGTTGTCAGACCCAATATAGCCACGCATGCCGTCCACAGCACGTCGAGAATCTCCCTGCCCGTCCTACTGAGTCCACTACCTCTCCACTCTTCGTAGCCGGTCGGTCCCCATGCCGAGCGTCCTTCGCATAAACCCAGACGATCCAGTCCTTCCAAGACGAATTCGACACCTTGGCCGCGCGAATGACAGACGGCAATGACCGTAGGAAATCGAGTCCCAGACGAATCGGCTGCAATAGCTTCGTCCTCTAGAAGCGCCGACTCGGAAGCGTTGCCTGCCTCGCCAGTCGGCCATTCCGCCAGCATGGGTTCGGATCGCAAATCGTCCGGGCCCACAACCCGCGCCACAATACGGAACGAGCGGAATGGCAGCGGGACGAGCTGGACGGGGGTCACCTCGGTAGCAAAGTCTGTTGCACCGGGACGTCCACCGTTCATCTGTTCTCTCGAACGAGCCCGTCGAAGCCGCTGACCCATGGAGGCCCTCCGTGCAGCTTCCGACGGTCGGTCTCCTCCGCCTTGGCTCGACGTGAATGGCACGAAATATATCAGCAAGGACTCAGGAGGAGCGTTGTCGAAGAACGAGTTGGTACGCAATGCGCTGGCACAAGGGTGCGTCTCGACTCCGGCTGCATCAGTGGTGGGTTTGCACAAGGGGATGACCATGGCCATGGCGTCTTCCGGTACCGCTTCCCAAGCTTTACCCTCTTTGAAAGACATGGCTGCCGGGGCGTCTTCCTGGGAAGTGACCGGGGGAGTTGCCGAACCTTCGGCCCTTAACTCGCTTGACCGAATGCCACGGTCGGCAGGACCTCTGCCACCGCTTGTCATCCAAGGCGGCTGATATCTCGGTTCGGTACTGACCCCAACCGCATGATCGCGTGAGTGCGATGATATCTGTCCCGAAGAGCCGCTACTCTGGCCAACTGAAGTCCAGGCGCTGCTTTGGCTAGACGATCCGCTCCAGGAATGACTCTGCTGTTTTTCCCGCTGGCGCTGTTTCTTTTCCTCTTTGCGCTCCCTCAGATCGTCCATGAACGACGGGGAGCCTACACTGAAGCCGGACTTCCACGTTCTCTTGATCTTGTCTCCAATCGACACCTTGTCCTTCTTCTCCCGCTTCGAACTATCGCCGTGGTTGCCGGACAGCATGTTGTGTGTCATCTGGCTCAACGCGGAGGCCGGAGTCGGTTCCTGACTCTTGGAACTTCTCCGTGATGATAGGAACGCCGGTGCTCGTTCATTGCGTCCGCGGTTGGGCATCGGTGACGATCGAGCGCTCTCGTCCGATCCGTAGCGATCGCTCAGAGCCGCTAGGGTAGCCTGCTGCTTTGGAACGGTAGGACCATGAGCGTCTTCAGAACCCGAGCTCATGGTTTGTATTGTGGGCGCGTTCGGTCGCTTCCGAGCCATCTTGACCCCTCCGAGCTCGTTATGAATCGTCTTCGGAGCGAGAACAAAGACGATGGGACTTCCCGGTAGATGTCCAAAAGCGGGCGCAGGACCTTCCTCGGGCACGATCGGCAGGTTTTCAATTTCGAATTCTCGTCCCACACCACGAACCACTCGCCAAGTTCGTCCTGTATGTTTCGAGGTGACATCGCCACCCGCCGAAATGACGTACCGCCCAGCTCGCTGAGCTTCCCACTCGACACTGCCGTCGGCGGCAGGAGCAGGATCGGTCGACGGTTTGGTGGCTCGCGAGGCCGGAGAACAGACCTTGAACGTCCACTCATCTCGCCTATCATCATACTCCTCGTCGAAGGCCCCGACAAACTTGGCAAATGTGTCCTCATCATCACCTCCAGGCCCCAGTTTCAGTGTTGATTTGGCTTGAAGATTCTGCGAGTCCGCTGCTTCGGCGCCGTGAAGTGGAATCGCTGGTGTTGTCGGTGCAGCTGCGCCAGCGAGGATAAAGTCGATATCAAAGTCCGAGACGTCGACCGGTGGAGGTGGATGCAGAGAAGCAGGTAACGGATGTGGCATCGGCTCGCTAGCCAAGTTCTTCGATTGCAGCAGATGGTTCGCTCGATGGAGAGCAAGAGTCGATGGTAGCAGTCTAGGTCCAGGATCCGAGAGTGGCAGTAATGGTGGCAGAGGTCGAGCCAAGGGGGACGTTTTGCGAGGCTGCGCATTCCCCACCACCCCAGACGTATTTGGGGGAGTTTGTGCGAGCTGCAAACATGACAACGACATAAGCTCTCTTCTGCGAGAAGGGACGATATGGAAGCTTCCTCACCTCTGTCGATTTGGATAGCTCGCCCAAACTGTCATTCCGATCATCTTCGTCCTCTACGTCCCGGTCCGTCTTTTTCTTCTTCGGTATATCGATCGGATTACTACCTCGACGACCGTCCGGATACATGTTCGCCACCTTGCTCATATAGAGTCTCGGTGATTTCGATGGACTCGATTGTGAAGGATTTGGCGGCGACATATCTTCATACCCGGGCAATCCGAGGCTTCCCCGCCTGAACCCCTCGTTCCCCATCAAGACGGTAGCGGATTCAGCCGATGTCTTCATGGCCGACGCTCTTCTAATGCCAACGGGTGACCGGCCTAGTGTCGGCCCCTGTTGGCTATTGCCGATCGAGACCCCACTTCCCCGCGGATCTCGCGCAAAGTTCGAATTGAGAAACGCAATCCTTTGTCGCTCGGCCTCGATCGAATCGCCATCGCTGAACCTAGTACTACCAGTGGTCCTGTTCGACGGACTAGATTTGGATTCGTTTGAGCTAGATCGACTGCGGGACCTCGGTCGGCTCCCGCTGGCGATAGGAGAAGAGCTGGGAGCGCCGAACTTGAAGTCTTGTCGGATCCCTGCACCAAGTCCTCCGGGCACCAGTGCTTGCCCGGTCGTATATGTCAGAGGATAATCATCGGCGTGGAGTGGCACGACCAGACCCGCTCCCATGGTACTAATCTCGGTCGAGTTGTACTGCGCCAGCTCGTTCGTCGTCGGTTGACTGGCTCTCCTGGCGCCCAGCCCGGAAGCCGGCGGCTTGAAGGTTCGGACGCTCCCGTCTCCTGCTGTCAACGGTCTCAGACTACCTCGACGTCGTTCAGGTGAGACTAGCCGTCCTCCAGGTCCTGAAGACGCCGTCGACCAGGTGGCCGTCTTCCTCCCGCTCCCGCTTAGCGAACCGCTCGCTGCGATCTTGCTCGGGCTCACGGTCGCCAACGTGGGCATCGTCGGAGACAAGCTCTTTCTCCTGACACCCAAGCCTCCCGGCAAGGTCCAACCATCAGCACTGGCCGCATGAGACGCCCTCCTGACGGAAGCCTGCACCGTTGGTGGAGGAGGTACGGGCGAGATGGTGTTCAGGTTCAGCGGGGTCAAGCTGCCTCTTCTAGGGTGATGGGTATGTATATAAGCAGAGGGGTGGAGTACCGTGCTGGCAGCCGGAGAAGGAGGCGCCGAGTTGACCTGAGGTCGATTATTATAGAGGTGTGAATGGTCCGAATCGTCCACGATAGGTGGGGTCACCATGGCCGGATCGCATGGATCGTAATGTCCGTTTGCTCTTAGCGAGTCTGGGAAAGGCGGTACGGGAAGAGAATGTAGACGAAGTGATTGGGCGAGGGAAGACCTTCTCGGTAATTGTCTAGGGCTCGGTAATATGTCCCGATCGTCGCTATTTGTGAGGGAAAAGATGCAAAGTAATGGCAAGGTGATCAGCGACCCGGCCAGCCTCGCTTCGTACCCCCAGCCCAAACTCACAGATCGGTCATCTGTCGAGGACTGAACCCAGAAATCACTACCGGTTGTGTAGGCAACCTCATCCTATCACTCGTAGATGGTCTAGTAGGAGTCTCGGCCCGCATCGAATATCGAGGGTCGATGTCGAAAGATGGCTGAGCAGGTGGTGGGGTGTCCGCCAGGTCGATAGGAGGCGCCAGAGGATCGTCAGAGCTAGAGTGACGCAGACGTGGTTGGTGATTCGTTTAATCCGCACGTCAGCACTGTATGTAACTTGATGATGCTAGATCCAGGCGAGTGAAGAGACATCAGATCTCGACTTACTGCATTCCACCCGCGTTCACCCTTCTTGAGCTCGGTGAAACTTGAGCTACACTGGTCGATGACCCGAGGCTTTCAAGTATATCTATTTCCTGATCTAACCCACGACTGGCCAGATTTGATAGATCTCTCTTGCCCATTATTGTGTCGTTTGCTGAACTTGACACGTTGGGTCCTAGCTGGTCACTACCCGTCCTGGTTGAATTCTCCGTAACAGAGCGTATCGCCGAGACCCCGTTTGTGCGATCCATGTCCAGCTCGACAGGCTCAGATAAAGCTCCTCTAACCTCTGCTATTACTGAATCCTCGTTCATATCAGAGGACTCGAGGTCGACGCCACGTTGTCGAACGGTCTTGTGATCCGGATTGTTGTTGTGGTCGACGGTGTTCGAGGTCGAACCGATCCGATCCGGGACCATGGCACGATACCCCAAGACGCGGAAAGGTTGGCACCTTGACAGACACTATGACGGATTGTCAGAACGAGCAGGTATGGTTGAGATGGTTGGTATTGATGTTGATGTCCATTGATAGAGAGCAAGTGAAGGGATCGAGGTGAAAAGAGGTTTGGACGGAGGCACTCTCCTGTACTCTCTCTCTCTCTTCCTCCCTGGCTGCTGCTGCTATTGAGCTCCCGGAAGCGAGAGCCGACCTTTCGCTCGTTTAGCGTGTAGAGGGGGGGAGGGGGAGGACTTGACCCTCGACTATCCTTGTGTACGGCTCGACGGTAACAAGAACGCAGTGTACATTCAGATACACCTGGTTAGGATAGAAAGTCCATGTACATTCATCACATATGCCATCCAGCCCGACCGACCCAGTTCTAATCGTGGAAACGAATCGTAACCCGCGGGACCATGTATCTCTCTCCCTCTCGTCTTGCTCCCTTGTACCCCGCAACGCAACCGACTCCAGAACGATAAAAAAACATGGATCGAAGAGCACACGATGACCACGAGGGCGAGAATCCAGCTCCCGACCGCAGAGTTTCGAACCTCGTACGCCCTCGGGTCTTCTCGTTCGCGATGGTGAACGAACGGAACGGATGTGGCTGACAGCGCCTTTTTGGATATCCTTCCGTAGCTTGTCCAAAAAGCACCTCGTTCCACTGCCAGTGCAACAACATGCGCACACGCAAGTACGACTACAGTACCACAGAGTCCGTAGCTTTCACACCTCTGAAAAAGCCAGATGGCCAGAGGCCCAGATGGGATCAAACTGAACCAGGAATGTTCAGCTGCGCAGGCGCTTCAGCGAGGTATCCTATCCAAGTTTGATCCCCTTCGCGTTCCTGCAAGTTGATCGGAACGCGGATGTGTTTGCGATCACTTTTTGCGCGCTGCTCGCTCGACGTTCAAGGATCCTCTTGCAGCTTGCAGCTTGTACCAGCCTCAGCTGTCATCTCCGAGAGTCTCAGAGCTCGGGCAGAAGCAACAAAGTCGCAGGCCGATGCTGCTCAAGACGAAATACGCTCGCACACCTCGCCCCTTGCTGATTCACGCGCTCAGCCTCGTCGTCGTCGGCGGTGACGGTCTCTCGCCAGAAGGTTCGCGGGAGCAAGTGGCGAGAGAGGCAAAAGAGGCACCCTGCCTTGAGCGGGAGAGAAGTGGGAGGAATGACTGTATCCTTGTTGTGGTACGTTCTCGGGTTCTCGGGATGAAACTCGACCTGCCTTGGCCGACCATGTCTTGCATGTCTCGAGAGGATAGTTGCTGCGTACAAGTATGCGCGGAGGTGGATCGACGAGATTAAGATTCACCTCCGCTACACGCGTTCTCCTGGCCTTTCTTCCTTGGCGCATTTCACCCGCACCCGACCTTGTCCATCCCCAAAGCAGGCATCGGCAGCGTCGACACTTCGGTCCCGACGACCAGACGGGATCGCGAACCTTGTTTTGTCCTCGCAGCACGAAACTACCCGGGGTTGCATCGAAACATCCCACGTTGCCACGTTGTCCGCCTTCCCGGGATGTCCGAGATCTGTCGACGAGATAGATGGCGTGGGAACAGGAACGAGGGAAGGGAATCCGAAGGATCTTGGAGTTTCTTCTTTGGTTCCGGATGCCACGCTATGTCCACGATGTTGACACGTTTCAACAATCTGGGTTTGGCGAGTCGGAATCTGCCATGTGGATGTGAAACAGCGCCGTCCGGAACGGACCGCATCTCGAGATGACCGGATCGGTTGCGCTGTAGTCTAGTAGTCTGAAGCAAGAGCTGGTGAGATTGGTTACCGACCTACGTACCTCTACTCGAAGCGCCAACGCGACAGTCAAATCTGGCTAGACCTCACCAACAGCCATTTACACTGTCGAAGTTTCGAGTCCTATGACTTACTGCATACTGAGACCGGTTCACTTGTGAATCATCCCGAATCTGGCAAGCCACCTTCGGCAGGTCTCACCAAACAGGACTCAACAGCATCCAATCACCAAGACCGAGACTCTGTCGTACGTCCACATATTTCAAAAGGTCCGAACAGACTTACAGCGCGTACTTGTTCGAGCAGCGATGGAACTCTCTGGATTCAATCTAGTAAGCCTCAGATACGAACCAAGGGACCACATACAGCTGGAGGAGAGTTCTCAAACCCCTCATCCGATGGTTCACCAGCACTGCATCGATCGATCGTTGAGATCTTCACAGTCCGCTCTTTGAATGCTACCAAGCCATCTCGCGTGACCGGTTCCGAAATTGGTCCCGGCGACGTCCACTTGCCACTTGAGCGTGTTCGCCTTCTCGGACGTTGTCAATCGTCACTTTCTGGCTGGTTTGTCGACTTTGTCGAGGATTGAGCTTACTTGTAGCTGTAATAATCAGCAGTTTCTCTGAATATCATTAGTAGACAAATTGATCGACTTCGATCTTGAAGGTCAGCGACCAGTCCTCAATTCTCGCCAAGAATATTCACCCGCGACGGCGGATATGACCTTTGCTTGACGATCCCACAGCATTGGGAGGTTAAGAATTAAGTGCGCTTGTCCTTTCTACCCACACCCTACACGTCACATACCTTATATGCCATAAAAATCATATCGCAAACTGCAAGACATCGAAATGGAACAGCACCTGCGGTTCATTTGCTTCCGGATTTAGCCCCGCGTGCGGTTCTCTGGAAGTCTCCGCTCGACAATATGGATTCAGATCCCTTGACGATATCACGATCATGTTCAGGATATAGCAGCCCTGCCTTTGAACTCAACGATAAACCCTTGTGACCTTTCAATGATACCCCGGTTCAATCACTTCTTAGCATCATAGATTCTAGACCTTCCGCTTGCACACAATTTCCGAGGATTCGCACGTACACTGTCGTCCATCCTGAACATTTGCATCGCGGCAACAGGATTCCCAAAACGTCCTAAAGAATAATTTGGGACGCTTTCCATCTATTATATCTTCATCAGCGTGCACTTCCCTCTCGAATCTGGTCTTGGACATACAATACACTCTACTAAGGCCGGCTATAGCTCGGCACTCCGGTTGTCTTGCTTTTCAACAAGGGAAAAGATAATGACGGAAGGAGTTGGCCGCAACCCCCCGCCAGATGAGCAGCAAGTCTTAGACTTCGAGCAGTTGACGAAGAGCATCTTCCCGGAAGAACTCGACGATGCCAACGTCAGGCTCGGGTCCATTCAAGAGGATCCAGAATCAGCTATCAAAACATCGTCTCCGAAAAGGGATTATGAACGGGATGGAGCTAGTGAACCGGACTTTGAGCACGAAATCATCGCTCTGGCACACCAGATCATCCGTCAAGACAAGCTGGTCTTACCCTCCGGGCAGACTACTTGTCAAAGCGCATCCCCGTCTGACATGCCAGCGAGGTACCCACCCATCCCTCTTGACAAAAGGACAGAGCACGCTATGATCTGGCGAACAACAGAGTCATCAGCCGAGACCTCCAATCCGCTCGATCGAAAGGCCAGGAAAGCCGCGATCCATACACCTACGACATACGACAACGACCTCGAACCGGTATTACCACCCAATCTGACAAGAGACGTTGTCGAATGGACGAATCGCCTGCTATTCAACATGTTGGCTACTCGGCCGGATCTCGTCAAAGACTCGACTCCTAATGCACCAAGCTCGGAAGCTCAGAAGGCAGGAACAACTGAACAAGCTGCATTAACGGAAACATGGGAGTGGACAGACGTGCTAGCGGCCTTGATGGTGGACGAGGAGACATCGGCAGAACGAGAGCAAGTCTTGACTGATGTTGACCGATCGTCGCGAAGCGAATGCTGACTGGCTGTCCGTTATCATATCAGACTCAATAGCAGGATTGCCGCCCGCTTGAGAGCTACTTTCGACAGCAATGATGGTGGTACTCATAGTAGAACCGGCTCGGCGCCTCCAGGTCAACAGCATAACGAGCGTACCGGTGAGTGCATCCGACTCGCTCCTGCAGCCATGACCGTCATGAGGTCTCGATACTGACTATCTCTGAATATTCTGCACACCAGCTATCTTGCAATCCCGCCAGAATGTCCTGGAGGATTCTCTGAAGCGAAGACAGATCTTGGAAGCAGCGTTCGAAGAGGAGGAGGCACGATATTCAATGTCTTCCAAGGGAAATAAGAAGCGACAACGAACTTCCGGACTCTAGCAGCTACCACCGAAGAGCTAGTCGGATGACCCGGCTGGGAGAGGAACCGGCAAAAGCAGACTCGATCGGAAACTTCCAGCGAAGTCCTGAGAGTATTCCGCCAATTTTGCTGTCACGACGAGAAGATGGCCTCGGTCAGCCAGAGCGGAGTCACTAAAGCTTCAGTCCACTCGAAAGTACGGCGATGCTACCGAAACAGGTGGAAGGCCTACTTTCTGCGGTCTGAGTCGATTTACGCTCGTCCAGCTCGATCCGCGGATAGCAACTTCGCCGGATGCAAGAAACGTGCCAAAAAAGAACGAGAAAGTCGTTCTTTTTTTTGCTTCCGAAGCGTTGCCGTCCGCGGCGGATCGAGCGGAGTTCGGCGTTCGCGTCAGGGTTGCATCACGAAGACCTACCATATCATCACCAGATCACCAGATCAGCTATCCGAACTCGCAGGATCAGACTCGCCTTGGATGGTCGGCGATCATCAAAACTCACACCCGGTGATACGCAACGCCGAGATTCGAGTCGTGCTCAACCGTAAACGTATAAGAGCTGTCGATGGGATGGATCACCGCAACAGCTAGCTGTTCTGGCCGAGGCATCTCTGCTGGTTCAGTATCAACTCGCAATCGTCATCATGGTTTACACTATCGACAATTTCGCACAAGCCGACCTGAAGGCAGTGCTCGAGCAGCTGAACCTCGACGAAAAAGTTTCGCTTCTGGCTGTAAGAGTCGAGTTCTTTTTCGGCTGCCGCGATCACTAGCTCATATCGTTCTTCCCTGACTTCTTGTTGTAGGGAGCCGATTGGTGGAATACTGTACCGATTGCTCGCATCGGCGTGCCGTCAATCAGATGTTCCGATGGCCCTGTGAGTCAATGAAATGACCTGGCAGTCGATACCGTCTTGCTGATCTTGATGTGATTCAGAATGGAGTTCGTGGCTCGAGCCACTTTATGCCAACTCCTGCGAATTGCATTCCTTGCGCTACTGCTCTCGGATCGACGTTCGACACTGATCTGATACATCAAGTCGGAGGTCTGCTCGCACGGGACACGAAAGCAAAGTGCAGTAGTATGCTCTTGGCTCCTACCTGCAACATACAGAGAAACCCTCTCAACGGTCGGGTGAGTCCCCAGTCAGATCGAAGGTTGAAGCCGGCACGAAGTCTCTGAAGTACGTTCTTTACAAAGGCTTTCGAGAGCTTTTCTGAGGACCCCTTCCTCAGCGGATTGCTCGCCGCAGCGTACATCAACGGCCTACAAGAGTCTGGCGTCGGTGCTGTCATCAAGCATTTCGGTGAGTGTTTCTTCTTCCGTAGAATGTCATTTCGCGACATAACCAAGCTGATATCACATCTCTCGGGATTTATAGTATGCAATGACATGGAACACGAGCGGTTCAGCGTTTCGATCGAGGTAGCGGAGAGAGGTCAGTCCACATCGGCTTTTTGGCGATGCTACTCGGTCAGGTGAAATTGAAACCTCTCGCTATGAATCTCAGTCAAACGAGAGATCTACCTCACACCCTTTATGATCGCTCAGAAGCTGGCCAAACCATGGAGCTACATGACATCGTACTCCCGCACTGCGGGTCTGCATTGTGAGTTTGAAAGATCCCGCGCTGGACTATCGCAAACTGAACTCAGTCCGAATTATCATGAAACAGGCTCAGAAGATCCCAAACTGCTACAAACCCTCTTGAGAGAAGAATGGGGATTCGATGGGCTGATCATGTCGGACTGGTCAGTAAACACAACTTGCCGTTCGAACCGCTTGCGTTCTTTGCCTGAAGCCTTTACGCTCGCAGGTTCGGTTGCTACTCCAGCGAGGAAGCGCTTAAAGCAGGTCTGGACCTAGAGATGTAAGCTTGCTCTTCGGTATCATCCGTTTGTAAGGAACGCTGAAGACGACCCCTCAATCAGGCCTGGCCCAACTCGCTTCCGAAAGGAGCTCGTCAAGGTCTTGATAGGTTCCGGAAAGCTTTCGGAGGATGTCATCGACGCTAGAGCGCATGCAGTATTACAGGTGTGTAGCTGCGCTTCGGCAAGCGGTCGCGAACGATGTTTGGCTGAAATAAGGATCAAAGGCCATACAAAGAAGTATCGTTGCCGACAAGCAGACTGTGAAAAACGCCAACGCCAAGGTCGCGGAAGCCGGCCGCGATACTTCAGAGGATAGGGCCTTGAACCGCAAAGTCGCTGCCGATGCGATCGTGCTCTTGAAGAATTCCGCTGGTATCCTGCCTCTCGATCCCCGCAATATCAAGACCATCGCAGTCGTTGGACCTAACGCTAAAACGCGTACGGTCAGCGGAGGAGGTGAATATCAAATTTGGGAATTCGATAGCGTACTCGAGTTGACAATGTCCGATTCTGTGTCCATAGGCTCGGCCTATTTAACCGCTTCATATATCGTTCCGCCGTTGAAGGGCATCCAGGATGCTCTGAAGGGTACCGGTGTCCAGGTGAAATACGCTGCTGGTTGTTATGGTACGTCACTTCGAACTGACTCGAAACACTGGAGAAAAGCATGGCTGACCTTTGCTCTGTTCGATTAGCTCACCGTGAATTACCCATGCTGGACGGCTGGATGACGGCAGAAAACGACGCGCCCGGCTGGACGGCGAGGTTTTCAAACACCGAGTTTGAGAAGGATGACCAGGACCTGCTCGCCACGCTGGTCCTTCCCTCATCCCGGGTCAGAATCAACGATACCAGGCCTACAGGTGTGTTAGCAATCTGGGATTCACTTCCAGTGGTACGAACTGATCGTCCTCCCTTTCTATACTCAGGCTTGAACGACCTGTTCTATATGCGACTCTCCGGGTACATCGTCGCTGAAGAGACCGGTGTTTTCGAGTTCGGAATGTCTCTCGTGGGTCGTGCGAGGTGAGCTGGCCTCTGTACTGATTGCTGCTGGGAAACGGGATGAAATCACTGACTCACTTCTGTCTCGTCATTGAACGATTCTGACCACGACATGCGTTCATCTAGACTCTTTGTCGATGGTCAATTGGTCATCGACAACGGATATGAAAAGCAGCAGACGTACGGTGGCACCTTTTACGGCGCGGGCACGATCGAGGAAAAGGGCGTCTGCAACGTCACGGCGGGCGAAAAGTACCACATCGAGATCGAGTTTACCAACTTCAAGAATCCTGGCAAGACGGCCGAGGTGGCTATCAAGCGGGGACAACCCAGTCTCATGACAGCTGCGCTTCGTCTCGGCGGTACCATGAAGATCCAAGACGAGGAACGTGCACTTCAAGACGCCGTCGACCTGGTCAGATCGTGTGATGCCGCGATCTGCTTTACTGGGTCCGATCTCGGATGGGAGGGAGAAGGAGCAGACAGAACGCAATTCTTGTTGCCGGGAAGAACCAACGAACTCGTCGAGCGTTTGTTGGCTGTCAAGCCAGAGACGATTATATGTAACCAGACCGTGCGTATTCGATTCGCTCGTTTCATCATAAACACTCGCGCTGAATTTCTCGGGTTTTTTTTTGCCGCTGCACCCTGCCGTGTCAACAGGGTTCAGCCTTTGCCATGCCTTGGATCAGCGAGGCGACGACTCTGCTGCAATCCTGGTTCGGGGGCAACGAGACGGGAAATGCCATCGCCGACGTCGTCTTCGGCAAGGTCAACCCGAGCGGCCGTATGCCGTTGTCTTTCCCCTATCAGATCGAGGACTGTACGGGATTCTTGAATTGGCAGGCCGAGAATGGCAAGGTCTACTATGGCGAAGGTGGGTCAGCGGCATGCAGACGAAAGTGACAAGATAGCAAGCTGACGCAGGAACATCTCGCCAGGGCTGTTCGTCGGATACCGAGGATACGAGGCTACGAAACGGGACACCATGTTCGCATTTGGAGAAGGGCAATCTTACACGTCGTTTGGTGAGTCTGCGAGAATCGCTTCAGAAAAGATGCGTTGCTTACCTAGACGTCTCGCGCTCGCGTTCTGTTCAGAATGGTCCAACGCTAAGGCCAACATCAACGCCGCTGATCGCGCCGAAGACGTTGCCGCCTCCGTCAGACTGACGGTGAAGAATACGGGTCAAGTAGCGGGAGCCGATGTCGTCCAGCTCTACGTGCACGACCGAGAGAGCTTGCTCAGGCGCCCCTACAAGGCACTCAAGGGGTTCAGAAAGGTCTATCTCGAGCCAGGAGAATCACGAGAGGTGGAGATCAAGATGGATAAACTCGCGTTCTCGTACTACGATGATGGGCAGAATTGCTGGGTCGCCGAGGCGGGCGCGTTTGATCGTGAGTCGGGACGCGCGCGACTAGCGAACCTCGTCTCAGGCTTACGTGGTGGCGTTCCGCAGTCATACTCGCACGGTCTTGTCGCAAGCGGGATGTCGTGGATACACTCGACGTCGAGCTCGGCACCACGATCCGATGGACGGGTGTGTGAGCAAGTTGACTCCGGTGTGTAGCAAGCGCATTACAGAGCAGCTTCGTAGTCATACGAGTATTGTACGGAGATCTTAAAATACGGACTGCGGAATGTACCGATAAGGCCACCAAACGCCCAAAATATCTTGCAGATAATCTGCCTTGTTGTCCTTCCGGTTGCCAGTTGTCGCCTCTCAGTGCGGAAGGTTGTTTCTCTGATCCTTTGGCGTCTTGTTCGAGAACCGATCCACCCACCGCTGATCGCTGATCGCTGATCATTCCAAGTAGTGACGAGCCGTTTGATATCACTTTCTCGTTGACGCGTCGCCCTTCGAAGAAGCAGAATCGAGATCCAAGATCAATCGGTATATCGGTATCGAAAGTGTTCGTCGTTCTGTTCTTGCACTTAGTACTGGTCATTAAGCGACTCGATCAAACCTCATAGTCCACAGCTCGTAGCTCAATCTATCAACATGGACAAGATTCTCTGGGACGCCGTAAAACAGCCTATGTTCCCACCTGGGACGATATTTCACTTCAGAGACATCGGTTTGTTGCACGATGTCGATTCGACCATTATGGCATCTGAGGAATCAGGAAGATACTGGAAGGTACAGAGCGAACTCGGCAGTGGACAGGTCCGTGTCTACAAGGTGGTTCGCTACCACGATCCTACGGTTTGCTATGATCCTCCGGTCGATGTCAGCCGGATATCAGGGGAAGGGCTCGATACGAAGGAAGTGGGGAATGTCGTCGGAGGGAATACAGAAAGCGGTGAGTGTCAGCGTCGTCCGGGAATGGTCAGAAGTTGAATCGATCCTGTTTGAGTTCAAAGGTACGGTCGAAGCTGCCGTCGAAGCTACCGTCGAAGCTACCGTCGAATCTACCGTCGAATCTACCGTCGAGTCTACCATCGAAGCTACCGTCGAAAAGAGGAAGAGGACTACTACGACAGAGAGCGAGGTAGCACTCAAACCAGAGACCAAACGTGTCCATCGTCCCCATACATTGCAAGACCTTCTCAATCCCTGCGATGATACCTCAGTCGACGTCGAGCCGCTAGAGTCGAACGACATCAGAGCTCTGAAGGTGCAATACAGGACACCTAAAGAATATTCACAGCAGCATGATCTGGGATCACTAGCTTCTGAATGGAACCATGCTCAATCACTGGGAGACACAGTGGTCAAGTATGAAGCATGTGGATGGCTTGAGGTGCTTCTGCCAGGAAGAACTTCCTGGCTTATAGCAATCCTGACTGGGTTATTGATGCCTGTCTATGAAGAGTTCAGTTCGCTGGCTGTAAGTTCACAGATTCGATCGTACGACGGATACCCCTCAGCTCAACTCGCCGCCAATGGCTCTTCATCTATCAGACCGAACCCCGTCACTATGTTCAAGCCTTCGAAACGTTATATCGATTTCATCAAGCTGGCGGACGCGCTCATGGCGACGTCAAGCCGGGAAACTTTCTGGTAGCTCGACGCCAAACGGATTCGATCGATCTCACTCGACGCCATATGGATTCGATCGATATCGTCCTGAGTGACCTGGAAGGAGCCCAGCCATTCGGCTCACCGGTGAAAGAGGTCATGTCTACCCCCCAATATATGCCCCTGAGTGTCGTCAGTCTTTACATCCAGGGCCATGTAAATGGAGGCAAGCAAGCGAATTCCTTGCTCAAATCTGTGACTCCTGTTGTATGGGATGCGGCAGTGGACTATTGGTCGTTTGGGGTGATGGTTCTGCAGAGGTACTGTCCAGAGTTTTTTAAGAGGTTTCAAGTCAGGGAGGAGATCAGAAAAGCGGACAGAGCGTTCTTACAGGTACGTCGACGCTCAGACCGATCGGCGAGCCTGGTAGTCGCATATCGCTGACAGGCGTCTCGTTCTCCCGCCGTTCCAACCGTACAGACACCTGAAGCTGCGCTCGAAGCACTAAAGAGCCTCCGCGTCCTCTTCGAGGATGTCTACGACCATCCTGAACGGTCTTATGTACCGGAACTTGAGCGCCTTGGCGACGAATCCAAGCGTATGCGGGACCTATTGAAGTTCTGTCTACAAAGGCCGACAAACTGCAGCCTGATTGACCGGTAAGCCTGTCATCTCTCAGCGCAAACATCCAGTGGGAGGCTGAAGTATCGTGTTCTGCAACGACAACAGCACGGAGGAACCATCTGCCATTGAAGAACTCCTTGAAAGTCTCAAGATCGAAGCTTTACCAGTCGCCCCCGCTAGTTCCGCCACGGCTGCTACCTCCGCAACGTCCAGCTCAGCCGAGCCCAAGGCAAGCAAGAAGAAAAAGAAACGGCTGGTCGGAATTGCGGCGAAGTCTGCAGCATCAAAGGCCAAGGCCTCCGAATCGAAGAATGAACTGCGCCGGTCAGCTCTTCTGCCGTGGGGTGGCTGCGAGATTGTTGAAGTCAACAACGACGGAACACTTGGTGAGTTTCCGATCTTTCGCCCCGTCCAACGTCTTTGAGCTTCTCCTCTCGTTGTCAAGCATGTACTGATTCGAATCCTCCAAAGTCATGAGAGTTCCAGGCGGGATTATCGGACCGACCATAGAGGGTTCAGGTTATCTCGTTGAACAGATATTTGAGCCCTGCTCTTCAAGCCATGCAATCGGCTATCCTTACCTCGAGCCATCATATCAATGTGAAGAGTGTTCTTATGCTTCATTCGGTTGGGACTGTATGGTAAAACACACCGAACGATGTCTAGCTAGGGAAAACACTGCTGTGGTTTGTACGAAGGTCAATAATACCGACTGATTTGTAGAATGTCTCATCAACCGGAATGTTTTTTCGACGTCATCATCGTCTCGGCACCGCATCACTATGAGCTGTATGACTCGGTCGAGATGACAATTGCTACGCACGTGGACACACGTATTCAGCTTGATTAGTCAATAGATAGCGAATCACCTACTCGTGTAGCCGGAGTCTTCAATTCACCGCTCGCCGCCGGCTTGATCCTCCTGGACTGGCGTGGTCCCACTTCTCGTTGAGTATTTCGAAGTCTGTCTGGGAAATGGAAAATCTCGACCCAGATTCTGCATCACAGGCATCGGATAGCAATGGACGCGGTAGCAACACATACTCCATCTGACGACGACTCGTCACATCTTACAAACCTGCATCAAATCGTCTTCTGCCGCGCTAATACCTTGAGCTCATTCCCTGATTGCTCTTCGTCGTTCACCCATGCCGTTCGGTTCATTCTCGACATTTGTGCTGTATCGACGAGAACAGTAGTCAAGCCATGAGAAGGCCATATAGATTAAGACAGTTCCGGACTGAAAGCTCGATCAAGCGCTCAAAGCTGTCACGCCTAGGCATCGGGTATATCGAGAAGAACATTTCGAAGAGGGGTTTGCTGAAACTACCTGTCGGGAGCCATCGCGTCTCGGCTGGCCTATGAGCCCGTAAGCGCAGCGGAAGCAAGTTCCAACCGGGAGTTACGTAACAACCATCGAATGCACCTCTGAAACGTTTTGCTCGGTCCACCATCGCCGTCCTGAGTATCAGAGCTGGTCCAGTGCCTATTAGAGAAGAATTTAAACGATCTGAGGGAAACAGAACTTGGCTGCGACAAACAGGTCAAAAGATAGGAAATCCAGCCGGAGAACTAGACCAATTTTTTTGGTTCTTTTTCCCTAGATATTCCATGATTATGATATCAGCGCGATTTTTCGACTGTATGAAGCATAAAGCTGCGTTGTTGGTCGGGAAAAACGAAATCGTGGTATTGGAGTGAAATCATAGGGGCGCGACGGGAAGCAAGGCGGGCTGGAGCGTGAGACGAAGCGAGGCGATCGATGTCACGAACGCGGCCCCATAGAATAAATTTGGCAAGCCGACAGTATTATATATACATCTACAATTATTCTCCCATCTCTTGGAGCAAATCAGATCGATCCTGTTCATGCTATTGTTCATTTCGTCCACGTCCAGAGTGGACATCCAGTTCACAAGTTTCGAGGTCGCGCACGGAACTTTTTTCGGAGGTAAATATGATCGAGGCGCCTGTACAGTGACGAAGAGCATGACGATGATATTTGACCAAAGTACTTGCGTACTGGGCGATAGTTGAACATGACGATACAGATGGTGCTAATGAGTACATTCATCGTCTCTCGAATGCATGGTGATATCCAGTCGATTGTGATGACGGACCCGAGGACCGGTCCACGATGTACGGACTCTGGAGCTTTGCGCGCGTCGGCGCTCGGTTCATTGCGTGAGCGTAGCACTGAAACTTGAAAGTCATGCTTCGGAAATGTCATTGGCCATATAGATATAGCGTCCTTGCGTCTTATGATTGACCAATAACGATATTGTCTTGCTCTTGCGTAGCTTAGCCCGTGCGCCGAATAGTCGTCCAAGCTCCGCCAGTCGCTTCTCGCCAACCCGACGCGTCCCACGACAAAGTGATATCAAACGGCTCGTCACGACTCGGAATGATCGGCGATCAGCGAGAGTAGATCGACTACAGCGAAGAACAAGAAACTTACAACCTACTTGATCGTCCTTACCTTCCTTTGGCCATCGAGTTTATTTGCAATTCGAGTGGATCACGTAACTCACGTAATTCAGCAAAACCTATATCGAGAAGGCTCGAGAAGCATCGACATCTCGCATCTCGCATCTCGATTCATCGACATATCGACAGAGAATCTTGCATTTCCAACACTCCAACGATACTAGCCGATATACTACCAGCTACCAGGCATACGACACTACTACTACTACTACTCCCCGTCCGTATCCGTCACTCGTCTCAGGACGACACGCTCTACTTCATCAGGGACACTACCCTGTCGACATACTCACCCTCATCGCGCTCGACACCTCAATCGATACTAGTCATCGCACTTGATACTATCTCGTTATAAGCCTCTCCTCATCATGATGAAGCTATCGAATGGAACAATCGTGCACTTCCGTCAACCGGGGTTGAAGGAGGGAAGAACGAAGGACATCATTCGTTATTACAAGATCGTTGGAGAGCTCGGGCAAGGAAGGCGCACGGTCTACAAGTAAGCACAGTACTTCTCGAATCGGCTACCCGTTCTAGAGTTCTCGCGGCTCATACCGCTCTACTGTGTACCTCTAATTAGAGCGACACCGGTTCGGAAAGCGGTCCCGTCAGCGGAGAAGGCAGAGAAGCGGAAGAGGACAACCACGGACAACTCTGTGGTGGCTGTTGAGGCGGGACCATCTGGATCGGCGGCGAAGGCGGGCGATGATGAACATCCTATCGAACTCGGATCGAGTGTCGTCCAGGTGGAACCGAGTGTCGTCCCGGTCAATTCCACGGCCAAACTCCCAATCAGTATCGTCGAAGTCGCATCTAGCAACATCGTGCTACCCGCTCCGGCTCCGGTTATCGAGGTCGGGACTAGTAGAGGAGCCAAAGGTCGTTTCGTCAGCAAGAAGAAGAAGAGGAAGACGGCAAATGCTGGCGTCTTCGGAGCTCCCGCCGATTCGGCTACGATCTCATCATCCACTATCACCGCAACCACCTCCATCCAACCTCCCCACCCTACCGTCGTCGTACCCCATCCGATTCCCGAGAAGTTTGAGAATGTACCCGATGAGCCGGACGTCGCGATCAAGTTCGACTACATGACGGCTCGAGAACACAGGTCAGTCCCGAATTCCCAGACGTTCATCCAGGCGGTCTTCCCCTGAGCCTTCTCAAACCTCCACACCACACCCATCGAGCAGCGATTGACTGACGACGGTCGCTTCTCGGTCACACAGGAAGTTCGTAGGGGTGCCGGCAGTGGACAGGTTGGGAAAGTTAGGGGAAGAGTTTTATTCGGGAATACAGGTACGTCCGCGCCCGGACGGAACGCTCGCCTAGCAAATCGCTAACAAAGTGTTTCGTATACGCGCGAACCTCACTGTACAGTTATCGGTCACCGGGGCTGTAGTGGAACCGATGATGTGTGGCTGGCTGGAGATCTTACAGGTACGTCCGCCGCCGAACGGATCCCGCTCTTAGCGGATCGCTAATGAACTACGCACGGACCTCACTGTACAGCCAGCAGAATCAATCTGGATGGTCGGTCTCTTTCTGGGTCTGATGATGGTGAGTATCGTTCCAATTTTAATCGCTTGGATGACAAGAACAGAGCTCATTCGCCGTCGCCCTCTCATCCATCGCCGCCCTCTCATCCGCCGTCACCCTCCAATCCATTGTCGATCTGTCATCCATCGTCGTCCTCAGCCAATCTACGAAGATGGACAACCATCCTTGCAACAAGATCCCATCATGAGCCTCGAAGCGGCAGCGGGTTCAAGAACTGTAAGGCCCATCGGCGACGACAGCAAAGGCCGGTGCCCGATCGACGACAGCGAACTCCGGTGCCCGGTACATCTCCCTTGGGGCGACTGCATGATCATCAAGGACAATATTGGCCGTATGGTTATCAAAGTACCCGGAAAATATGACGGCATCAAGCACACTTTCCATATCGTTCCCGGTAATCACGCGATCGGCTATCCTAGAATGAAACACGTGTTCTACTGTGCGGGCTGTCCGGAAGAGATGTCGAGTTGGGGTGCCATTTGGAACCACTCGAACCACTGTGAGGGTCTGCCTACTGGCACGAGTTGTGAGAAATTGGAAGGCGAAGACCTGGAAGACGAAGACCGTTAGCTGTTTGAAATGCACTTGTAGACGGAAGTATATGGTACTGCTATGGATCAATATCACGGCTATGTCACCTGCTTGATGGAGAATTTTGTGTTGGACAAGTGAGAGCCTTCCATCGTCCGAAACTGCTGGGAAGCCATGTCTCGATAGGCAGAAGAGATCAGATACCACGTATATACGTATACGATTCTTCATGTCACAGCGCTCCATCACGACACGTTGAATTGACTTTGAAACACCGGTATCATTACGTCGAGATCGAGAACGTTTCCTCGCGGCACACACCTGTTCTCGCCTGATTTCTCGTTCAGCAATCGGTACGAAACACCGTCCCATCAGGGAAGAAGCGGAAAAGGACAACCCGGACGACGTGGTTGTTGTGAATCCAGGAATGGGTGGAGCTGGACATCATCTTATCGGGATCGAGTTGCATCGAGCTAGAACCTAAGACCTTCGTCGAGGTCATTGAGGTCAAACTATGGCCAAGAACATACTATATCAATATCGTAAAAGATTACAAATCCGAGGAGTCTTGCTTGATACATTCGATTTCAACACCAAGACAAGTCTTGGAATGTTTGCAGATGGTGGTCCATCTAGAGGTGTGATAATCACAGCCACCACATTTGAAGTGGCGAGTTTGAATACGATAGCCAAGTGCATGTTTACCTGAACAGACTTCAAAAACGTGACTAGTTCCTTTGAGCTGACCAGGTATGTACATGGCTGTTAGATCGGTAAAGAAAGGATGAGCAACTCTAAGCTATCGAGCGTGCAGCAACCGCGGGAGTTTGGGGGAAGAGTGGAAGAAGGGGAAGAAATGGGAACAGCCGCCTTGGGGTCTCGATTCCCGGGTCATCAAGTCGTGGGGTCTCAAGGTATCGATCTATGGACTTACTACCCTTCCGCACAATCACGCATCCGCCCCATGGCAGTAGACAAGGATATCGCAGTTCATCCTCGCTTTCCGGTTCGGTTCCGCTTACGGGTTCGGCTACCGAGCTCGCCAGCTCGTCTACTTCATCGTCGGCCGACCCGCCGATCTTGAAGCTGGACGCGGGGAGTGAGTCGGCGTCTACATCGATATCGAGATCACGAAATATCTCTAAGAGTCCGGTCGCGACATCGGCCAACGACCGTGGGTCTGTAAGGACGTGCTTTCAGTACAGATCAAAGACGAAGCGCGTATCTCGTATGAAAGCGTACCGGTAGAGAGCATGCCTGCGTTTGGAGGCCGACGAAGGCAGAAACGTAGCAGGGACTTGATCTCCTCGTTCTTAACTGTGTCAGACTTGACTTCGTCGTCGTCAGCGATGTCGTTTTCGTATGACCTGTTATCGTAGATATCCGTGAAGGCCCGGCGTAGATCGTCCACAGCATGGAGGATGTCCTTTTCCTACAATCGCAAAACGTAAGCGGTGATCGCTCTCGTGAGCACGCTGGACAGGGGAAAGAGACGTTTCCGGTACTCCTCACCTTCGTCTGCTTGTAAACAACATTCATCAGTCGCTCAACATCGAAGTTGGCAAGAACATATCCCTGGCAATAATGCTCCAGTACCATCACCCCATATGCCCAATAATCGATGTCAGTATCATAGACCCTTGGAATTGCAGTCTTTAACAAGTTTGCAGTGACTTCAGTGTGATCTAGATCTGTTTCGAATATCCTTGTACGTCAGATATCACACCCCAGGCTTGATCTCGATCATGACTCACCTTCATCAACCATCGCTTTCAGCAGGAATGAGGTGACGACGCTGATTGGCATATACTGATATGTCGCGTGCATCCCTTGAAAATCCCCAACCTTCTTGACCCCCTCGACATCGCTCAGGACGACTTCGACGTCTTTGCTCGAGATAGCCGCTTCGCTTGAGGCAGATGCCATGATGTTTCCCCACTTCAAATCACAGTGGACATAGCCTGTTTGATGGAACCTGTACAAGGACTCTAGTCCTTTCTTGAAGATATGAAGGGCATCCTTGTTGTCATCTTCAAGAAAGGTATCCAGGCAGGTATAGATCGGCATGACCAGGACTGTGAATAGCCCAACCATCCATTCATGACCTGGGAGGAGTATCTCAACCCATCCACACATATAGGGCTGAAGGTTCGCGTGCAGACTCATGTCAGCGATCTATCTGCTAAGCGCGCGTTTCGTACGGGTGCAGTACGTACCTGTAGAACGCTGTGCCCAATTTCGATAGCAAGGTCAAACTCCTTGCCCAATTGTCCCAGGCGCTCGGTTGAATCGACCGCCGGCGTGTACTTGAATTTGATCGCTACCTTTTCTCCATCAATAGGTACGAAGAGAGCGGGGGGCAGCGATGATACGGTATGGGAACTCGTACTCGATGCGGTGTGCGGCCTCGAGGTCGAGGCGGTGTGTGGGCTTGGGGTCGATGGGGTGTGTGGACCTGAGATTGATGTGGTCGAGGTAGAGGTCGTATGTCTGACAATTTCCTTGCCCTTCCCCTTCGTCTTCTTGCTGAAGCGGCCTTTGGAGTTGCGAACCGTGCCTGAAGGAGATACATCGACAGGGGCCACGCTGGCGGATACTTCTTCCACTGATCAATTGGCGAGAGGAGTGGGTTTCGAGGAAGACGAAGACGACGGAAGACGGTGAGAGTCGAGACGATCTTCAGCTTCGACGGCGTAATCAAACGGAAATGTCAAGCTAAGACAGACGCACCTTTTTCGCTCTCCGTAGTCGTCGTGCGTTTCCGCTTCTCCTTCCCTCCTGCTTCGACCTCTTCCGCGACAATCCCTTCTCCATCGTCCCCCTTTGAGACTTCTTCCAGTCGGACCGGCGTTGCCTCGTACACGATCAAATTGCCCTCTCCTAGTGGTTCTCCTAGCCTCCAATAGGTGCTACAGTATCCTTTGGCTGAAGCGATCTTGAGACCAGCTTGTCGGATGTGGAGTATGGTGCCGCTTGGCAGTCTTTCGCCTTCGTCGTTCCACTTTATGTTCATCGTATATAGCGGAACAACGCCGACGTTCTTGATGTTTCTGTGGGTTTATCGGTACTCGACGCCAAAGGAGGTTCGTGATCGTCCGGGAGTTTCGTTCGATCACCTCAGTAACTAGTAGGGTGCTGCGTGTGCTACGTTGTGGGTAGATCAAGTAGCGATCGCCTGAATGACTGATGGCAAGTGATCGAAGAGCTAGAACCGGTTGTCAACGGCGACAGATTGCAAGCCGTAGGATTCAAATTGTAGGTTATGAGTTGTAGAGTTATAGAGTTACGAATTACGCGTTACGATATGCAAGCTAACTTCCGTACTTCCGTAAACATCGAGAAGATGACAAGATCAATCAGAATCTTCTAGCTTCTTGTCAACAACGTGGGAACGGTATCGGTTTGATCGGAGCGGAAACAATCGACCCATCACGCACATCGGTCGTCTGTCGTACACTTCGCGACCGGCGCGACCGGAGAACAACGGAACGATGATCGATGAGCCGATTGCCATCAAATAAGTGGATCATTCGCGGCTCCGACCTTCTGAAACGAGGGGCGGTGGCTTTTGATCCGCGCGCTATGGTCAGGCGCGACGTAGCGACCGGCGATCCGGCGACAAGGGTGGATCAGTCGCCTTCGCTTATGTGAATAGAACAATCGTGAGCGATCAGCGATCAGCGATCAGCAAGTAACGACCATCAACGGTAAATCTCGGCCACCGCGTCGTCATTCTAACGGTTGATCTCGCGGGTTCACTCCTTTCTCGAGGTTGTCCTCCCTTCGCTTCACGCGATCTTGCTCATGGAGCGTGACTCGCACGTCAGTGTATTCGAACCCTCGAAAGACCAGAAGCTTCTTGCTCCCATGATGTGATCTGCAATCTGCCGAAAAGCCTCGAGCTCCAATCCTCCGGCATGTGAAACTTCCACCGATTATAGGTAGAAGCGGCCTCTGAAACCGATGGACGAACGGGACCCACGGAAGCAACCGGAAGAAACGGTTTTTGACCTGTCGGATCGGCTCGCTCAGGAATGGCGACACCATCTTTCGATCGGGTGTCAGGTTCGAAACATGGCTTGACCGTACAACGTCGCATCTCGACTCGGTTCGTGACATTCATTGCCCCGATAGACAACCATTGATACAAGAATCAATGCACGACTTCGCTTGAACTTTTGGTCGCGCCTGGCCGAGCGGACGACTCAGTGGTGCTTTGAGGGCCAGATTGACGGCGCGAAGCGATCAGCCGCTAAAGCCATGATGCAGTATTGGATATCGTCCTCGAGGTCGGATTTCGCGCTCCACAGGGAGCGAAGCGAGCTGAACAGGCCAGGCTACCCGCACAAGCCAGATGGAATGTCTGCACCGACGAGTGATATCATGAGTCAAGCGACTCATTCCGGCAAAGTTACTCTGCCGGTCGAGGTTAGAGCACGGAAAGTAGTCGGGAAAAATGAAGCTTTGTACCCGGGAGAACGACGAGTCTTGCTCAACAATTTGGTCCCCTATTCTAAACGGCAACACGCTGAAGCTTAGGCAGCGAAAGTTACTCTGTGCATGGTCTCGCTCCAACCTCATCCATCAAGATTGCAATCGAGTGCAACAGAACGGCGATGTCGACGACCTGTGTCGGTTTCGCCCGTTTTTACCCGAGCAATGTTCGACAAAAGTAGGCTGACCGTTAGCCTGTTTTACAAGTCTCATCACATCATCACTGATCATCCGAGAGAGTCTCCTAGTGGTCAAGAGCTACGGCTCACACGTGCAGTCAGTCGTTGATTACCCTACGCGTCTGGTGGACTTAGCCAAAAAAGAACGACACAAGGGCAAGGTCAGAAAAAGGGCAAAAAGACAGACCTCACCCAGGGGGCGAACCGACGCGTCATTATCGATCCCAAGCATGGAGCCCAGAACGTAAATCCTAAGTAATCCGGATAAACCCAATTAAACATAACAGCTCTCAAATCATTGCTAATGTCCCCTATAGCTAAAATGCGCCGCGGTTCATATCTCCCGAACCGTTACCTCAAGCATGCTGAAACTTGGTAAAGACGAAGATCGGACCTTCATAAACCGATCCCTGATCCTGCGGACAATAGTCTGCTGCTAGTCGATCTTTAGGGGCCTCGGGGATAAGGGCTTGATCTGTTCAATCGCTCAATTTCCCTCGAGTTGGGCACGGCGTGCGCGCAGACACTACTTTCCTCCTGAATTGTGCTCTGCAAAATTCGAGTACGAACGAGGGGGGGTCGACCCGGAGTCGAATGCGAGTTGTCATCGCGTCTTGAAGTGGTCGAGACGCATAGGGCCGGACCCTATTTTGGCGGAATGTCCATAAGGTCGAGGTAAAAATGGAATTTCCGAGAGAACGCGATCCTTTAGCGAAATTCCGCCACGGCTGAAGTGCTGCAATCAATGCACGCAGACTATACAGATGGTGCAGTCCCCTATGGTGTATCTACAAACCTCAGACAAAGCAAGAAGATAGTCTGCAAAGACATCTTGCACAATCGCGAAGCTGCGCGCGCGAACGGCGAGGACTAGCGCCTCACGGTCGTCTGGCTCAAGCCGGTATCTTCATGTGATCCTCCTCGTCGTCTTTATCCATAGTCTCTCATCGATTTCCTCTACTTACCTCCCGGCATCCGCGATGATCGAGTCATGCGATGGTCCGCGTTGGAGAGATAACGCTTTCATCCTGCACCTGGGGCCACAACATCCCGAGCATAGCTTCATGCCCCCTCTTCCAGTCTCATCCCATCCGTCTTGTACCATATGAACTCGCGTTGATCGCGTAGACCATCTTTAGCAATTCGTTGATGATATTGTATATCTTATCATGGCCAACTTGGCGTTACAACGACTCCCAACGGTGGTAATAACCGCGAATCGTTATGGTCATCTTCTCTCTTCCACTACTTTTGAACCCAAAGCCCTAAGTCCGACCGTGACCCTAACCGCGAGCCCGTGCTCATTTACATCACCATCCCCGCCTGCAACCCCAACCCGACCCAGCGTCAACCTTCTACTTCCTCTTCATCTGACTCCTCCTGCCCTCTCCCTTCTTGGGCGGCCCTCTCCCTTCGATCCTCTTCACCCGAACCTCTTCCTTGCGCGTCCTCTCATGCGCATCAGCTAACCAAGCAAACGTGCCATAAGAGGCCGGTCCCTCCCCCTTGTTACTGGAAACCTGACCCAAACTCGCTCCGGCCGGTCCGAAACCGACAGGCTGGAAGCCTTCGGGTACGTCCCCACGAGCCTCGGAGGAAGCTCGGTAGTCCTTGATCGAGTTGTAAAGGTCGTCAGGGTTGATCTTCGAGTCGGCAGAGGCACCGGGGACGGTGGAAGGGTGGTAAGGAGAAGGGCGACCTGCAGGATGAAAGTCGGGATTCCGGAGGAGGTTGGACATTTGGCCAAAGACGGGTTCGGGTCGACCGGCGTTCCGTGCGGCAACAGCTGCGGGCAACAGACTACTACTCTGAATGCCACCTTCGGGGAGGACGACTTTACCACCCTTCTCCTTGCCCTTCCCAGTGAGCAAGGGGGTCCCAGCGCTGGCAGCTACGATCCGTTCTCGTTCCCGTTCGGCCCAATACGATGGCATAACGTAGTCCACCATCGATGGTCCTCGGAGCCGTTTCTTCAGGTACTTGGCACCCGTCCTCAGGTTTTGCGGGTTGTGAGAGGTTTGGAAGATTTGAGAGCGGACGAGTTGGATGGCCGCGATGGCCGAAGCCGGCGTTTTCGAGGACGAGGCGATGGAGGATGCCATGGTGTAGCTTGTCTATGTCGAAACGCTGTACGAAGTCGATCTTGCGATGTTTGATAGGCGTATAGGTGGTTGGATGGATACCTTTCCCAGGTCGAATCATCATCATCATGTGCAAGTGATTTCGAGCGCTTGACACGATTTCAGTAGTTTGTAGTTTGCGCGCTTCTGATTCGATCGTTCAGTTTCAGCGATCGATCCGCCGGATTGGGCGATACCCGCGCGAAGTCTGGCGATACCGTGCCCGATTGAGCCTTTGATGCGTATGATCGACCGTGTCTGATACTTCTGTGAGGGCTCAGACTCGAAATTACTGCATGGGCTTCCTTGCAACCGGTTTATATAGATACAAAGCTTGTACGGCAAGACGTGCGACATGCGAGACGTGAATCCGATTCTGATACGTAAAAGAGAAGGCTCGAACGGCATGCAGCTTTACTTCTCCGGCTTCGATTTCCTTTGGCCGTCCCACAGCTGGTACAGGTCGATCGTGGCCTGAGCGATCTTGTGATTCGGGGTATCTTCCGTTAAGGTCCCTTCCGGTAACAGACTCTCGATGTCATTCATGTATGTTTCCGTAGCTTCCGAACCTCCAATCGCCATGAGGCAGACGTAAACGGTCAGAAGAGAACCGATGTCCGTGAGGGTGGGCAGAGGAAAGTGTTGAGGCGAGAATAACGCCCTTTCGACGGAGAGGCTGTGATCGATGGTGTAGACGGCGAATGGCGTGTCTGGGCGGATAATAAGACGATCTCCGGCGTTCATCAGGATGACGCGTTCTTGTGCGATGAAATAGATCTGGGTCCCGCTGAGAAGAAAGATGTCGAGTGCGAATTCCGAGGAAGATCTGTACAAGTGCCCCGCGGTGCTCAGGGTAGTCGATCCTTCGCATTGATCAATCTCCTTCTGGATGCCTCGAAGACAACTGCGCGTCTCGGGCGTCTGGATGATCGCCTTGACGCGAATGTCTTCCGCCAAGGCCGGGTCGTCGAACGGGTAAGGGAAGATGCGGTTGGGGATCCCGGCAAAAGTCTCAGACATGCAGGCTGTTTGCTCCGTACGAAATTGTTCGACGAGGCTGGGGTCCGGTTGGAGATCCACCAGCTTGTCCAGATAATCCTCGATCGGGCGGGCTCGGGAAGGCAGGGTCTGATGAATTGCGGCGCTTTCGGAAAAAGAGGATAACATGCTTGCGAGGTTCCTGATGGAGAGTGCATTATATCACAGAGATCGTGATTCTAATCAGCGATCGCAGAAGCGAGGCCTATCTCATTCGTCCTTGGCCGAAACTCACAGTCCCGAATTGCAGAACTTGACCCTATTCCCCGTGGCATTCTCGACGAGCTCCTCGATCTCGTTCCTCCGCTCGGCCATTCCCGCGACCTTGAGGTGATCCGGTAAGATCAAGTTCATCTGAACCAGTCCAGCCTGGAAATGGACCGTCTTGCCGAAGACGTCGGCAGGACGACCCGTGATGTAGAGACGAGAATTTCGAACCTGCCAACAGTGCTAGTGAGCGACTCACAGGTGACACGATAACGATGTTGATGAGTTTGTGTTACATACCTGACGCCCGAGCGGTCCTTCGGGGAGGGTAGCAAGCGAGACTTGCAGTTGTGACGATGACGCGGACGCATCTGCTGCGAGGACATCCGACATCTTCTTCATATCCTTGCATATCTTTTTCCGTCTATTCTCATCCTCGTGCTGTTGAATATGAGTCATACAGAGTGCAGATAGATCCTTTCTCGTTCGCTTTTTCCTGTAAGATATTCTCAATCAGCTTCGGCCGTGACATTATCGGATGTCCTTCATCTCGATAACTCACCTGTTGAACGATTCGATCACCACATCGTCACATTTCGAACACTTGTGGTCGACACAGAGTCGATACTGGGGAAATTCACTGAGACGAGGATCGGCCGAATCGAAGGTGATGAGCTTTGGAGCATCTTTTGAGCAGAAATGACAGGTCGTATCGGTCATGGTCATGATGAATAGGTCGTTCTGTTTCAAATGTAGATTTTGGTACGGCTGTCAGCGAAGATGACGCAATGCCTCTGCTAGATTTCCGAATCGGAGAACTCACATCATAGCATGTCAGGATTCTATAGGATCCCTTGGGTCCGAGTCGTTCACCGATTCCTCGAATACTCTAACAGCCATCGGCGAGAGATCGATCAGTTCGAAACCATGAAAGGAGCAAGTCGAATCAAACAGTTGTACACTTTTGCACTTGCGCACTTGCACACTTGTGCTGATCCTGCTGAGCTGCTGATTACGGAGATATATGCGCGTCGCCCCCGTTTCGACGGCCATCTCCGACCGGATCAGGGGCCAAGGGCACGGATCTTCCTTGCTTCCTGCTTCTTGATCTGTTCGAGATGGATGACCACCGAGGATCGACTTGCAACTTGCACCCTGCCCGATCGCCAGAGTCAACGGAAATGGCATCCGAACAAAAGGACAAATGGATCGCCAGATCCACCGTGTCAGATTCTGACAGTTGGAACGACTGGGAAGTATGAATACCATATATAGAGGACAAGCTAGTTTTGAGAAGCAAGGTGATCTACTGAATCTACATCGACGCACAATTTCCTTTCAATCCTTCAACTACTATATTGCGGTTAGAGTATCAAGTGGGTATCCGCTCAGGTCTTTTGACATGGGACATATCCTTCTGACCGCGTGTTTCAGTATCGGCTTCGCTCAAGCACAGCAATGCCCCGATCCCCTAAGAAGAAAGCCGAATCAGACGGCGACACCAAGCCTGATGTCAAACCCTACGCCAAGTCTACCTCTGCCTCCGGCTCCAGTCCTAAGAAGGCTTCTCGAGGATGGACGAAAGAGGAAAAGGAAGTCATCCTGCTCTCCGTGATCGAATCGGCTCAAGTGGACTGGAACGTCATCGCAAGTCGATTGGAAGGGAGGACCGCCATGCAGGTGAGCATCGCTTCAGTTGAAATGCTCCGACTTAGGGCTAGCTCTCGTATACTGATCGCGTTGTCTGATGCATCCGGCTTCTATCAGGCAAAGGATCAGTGGCGACAGGTGCTCTTACCCGCAATCAAGAAGAACGACGCCATCTTCGGAGTCAGGGGAGGGTAAAGCGGATCGAGCGTTGCCTTTCGCGGAACACGGCAGGCGATAGAGACCGACGCTAGTCGCTAGTGGAACCGGATGGATATGTACCGACATGCCGTGGATACTCGCAATCCGTATAAGAGATATGAGAGACTGGTGATACACGAATACTGCTACTACTGCTCGTCACAATCTCATATTTCGATTCCCTTTTGGTATGCTTGAAGCCTACTGAGTCGCATCTCGACCCTCCGCGAGGGTTCATCGCCTTCGATATCCGTCCCCACCCCGTCTATCATCCTCATCTTCCCGCTTGACCCTGACATCCCTCGAAGGAGACCTTCTCCTCGGAGGAGGCGAATCGTCATACCTCCGTCTAGGAGGAGGCGATCGGCTGTCGTATCGTCGTCTTCCATCCCCATTATCTCTGGGTCGTCCGTTCCGATCCTCGCCGTCGTATCGCCTTCGAGGTGGAGGGCTCCTGCTATCCTCATACCGTCTACGGGGAGGAGGAGGCGGGGAACGTCCATCCCGATCAGACCGCTTGGGAGGAGGAGACCTGGAATCCGAGTACCGTCTTCGACGAGGAGGCGAGCGGGACAGGCTGCGGTCCCTACCTCCTCGTCGGGGAGAAGGCGAACGACGTCGGCGGGGTGGAGATCGGGATCGGGAAGAGGCAGAAGAAGAATCGGAGTCCGAATCTGAATCGCTCGAAGAGTCGGAAGACGAGTCGCTGCTGTCGCTCGAACTGTCGCTGTCGGACGATTCGGCTTCGAGAGCAGCTTGTCGCTGGGCCATAATGATTTTCGGAGCGTTCTGTCAGAGGGATCACAAGTCAGCTTCTAAAAGCTAGATTTGCCCTGCGCGTCGGATCGACTTACTTGTAACCAGGTTCGCATGTCTTCGGTGATGAGACCGAGTCCGATCGAGGTGAAGTAGTTGATAGCGAACCTCGTGTTTTTCGGGTTGTCCGTGGGGAAGATTCCCGTCAAGGCTTGTTGCAACTCGGGCTCCTTGAGCCTGGCGGCCATCTTTTTCAGCCCGACCTCCTCCATGACCTCTTGCATCAAGATTTTCACGAAGATACGGCTCGACGAGGTCGTCTCCTCTTCGTTCATGTGCACAACATGCAAAACGGCCCACGAGATGGCATCAGACGCGACGAGGTGACCGAAAAGACGGGCAATGTTTCGCAGCTTGTTGGTCTCGTATCGATGGATCGTCTCGTAATAGGTCCCGAAGGCCTCCTGGAACGACTCCGTCCAGATCCGGTTGAGCTTGCAGAATCGTTCGGCAATCAGACCGTAAAACTGGGTGTAGGATCGTTCTTGCGAACAACACTCGATGATCATGTTGCACATCTCGATCTGTCACAAGCGGTATCATGTAGCGATCAGAATCGATACTTTCGTTTTAGATGATTTGAGCTCACCTCTTTGCCCTCGGGTACCGAAATGTTCATCAGCTTGTGAACCGCTTCCTCGAATCCAAGCGAGTTCATCAAGGTCAAGTAGATAGTCCTCCTCAAGTTGATCAGGTCCGTTTCAGTCATATCTTGGATACCCTCCAACTCGGGAGCCACTGTTAAAGCATTTCCCGAAGATGAGTGAATTATCCCAACAAACGAGCGGGCTAGACAAGGTACTTGCCGTCCTCATCCTCTTCATCGTCAGATCCTTCCTCGCTACCACTCTCATCATCGGAATCGCCTCCCAAGATCTCCTCCTTGATCTCGGCGTACTTTTCCTCGTTGTCGAGGAACTTCGGATCAGCCTTGAACACGTCTGCATAAACAATCCAAAAAGTCAATCCAGGTTGTCAAGCCACAATGAATCCGTGCGACACGTACTCAACGTCTCTTCTACCTTCAACTCGTCGTCTAGAGCGATCCTATGCGTGATCTGCTCGTCCTCCTCAACCAAATCCAGCCCTTCAGGGATGATCGGGTTGTCCTTGAACTTGTCCCTCCTGACCTGGAACAAGACCTCGATCATATATTGGACCCTCTTGTCGATCGCCCCCTCGTGAAGTACGGCTCGGAATCGCTCAAAGACTCCGTTGTTGGCCTTGGGAGAATTCTCAGCGAGGAAAGCTCCCACCTCTCGCATGAAGCCGACGGCGATCTCGACGCTATCGTCGGTAGGCTGCTCGAGCATCAGAACGAGCATTTGAAGGGCGACGATCTCGTGGGCGACGGATTGGTTGACGAGGTGAGCGATGAACGAGGCGGTGGCCTGGCATACGATCTGTCCGGGAATAGGGCGAGATTACAGATCAGCACGCTGCCTGAAATCATATGACCATATCTGGACTGACCTTGTCGTCACGTTTAAAAGCCCTCCTGAACTGACTAATCAGTCTGACGAGGACCAGCTCTCCGACCATGGGCAGCTTGGTGTTGATGATAGCGATGAGAGCGGAAAAGACCGGAGTGAACGGCAAGGAAGACGCTTGAGCTTTCATGATCGCACGAGCGAAAAGGCCTCGTCCGCGGATGAGGTTCTCGTTGAACATTTCGGGAACGACGTATTTGATGTTGGCGACGTTGACCTGACATGGGATTTCGGACACGGACCAGAAAGCAGTCAACCATCTGACGGAAAGACTAGGACTCTTCTTCGGCCAGATACTGCTCACCTTGTTGATCAGACCGTTAATACTCTTCCTCAGCGCGTCCCAAGTCATCCTCTGCCACTCGACACTGCTCTTGTCCTTTTCCGCATCCTTCTGCATCGCCCTCAACCTGCTCGGCGGGATATAGGCTCCCCCACTCCTGGTACTGACGAGCTTGGCAAACTCGGCAGCCGGATCAAACTCCGACTTTTTGGCCACAGCATTGTTTGCAGACCCATCTGCTCCAGCCGCGGTTTGTTCTTCCAACAACCTTTCGGCGAGCTGTCGTTCTCGTTCTCTTCGTCGGAAAGGATCGATATCGACCACTCGAGGGAGGTTGATTCCAGGTGCAGCGGGGGTCTGAGCGGTAGATGGAACGGGACTACGTGCTCCAGCCGGTGCATCCCGATCGTGGTACTCTTCAGGGGACCTGGATCGTCTCCTTCGAGTGGGAGGAGAGACGGATCGATCTCGCGGCAAGGGGGAAATCGACCTGTCAAGTTGCAAACCAAATTAGCCTTTCTTCTTCCCTCTGAATTGTGATCTGAGGCAGAGATACAACAACATACCTCTTTCTTTTCTTTTGATCAAAGTCATCCACGTCGGTCCGCCTGGAAACAGGTGAGGGTGATCTCGACATCCTGGCCAGTATCGTACTCGTTCGATTTGACTTCCGATGACCGAAGATGTAACAGCAGCCTGCAAATCTTGACTATCGTGGACTCTGACGGAGCTTGTGGGTAGAACAATGGGCAGCAAGACTATGCAGGCTCAGCTATGGTCAGTTGTTCAAGGACGATGTCGAACCTGAAGCTGAGAGCAGGCAGAGAGAGGAGCGAGACGCGTGCGGATCCGAAAAACACCATGGCACACGTGATTACATAATCAAGAAAGTCTACGTTTCAGGACCAGATCGAAGATACAACCCCTGAGTGCTTTGCATACGGAAATGGAACAAATGAACATATGATATAAGTGAACAGCATACAAATAAGTGAATCGAACAAGTCCCGTCGCCCCTCGACTGCCGTGGCCTTGTCCCGCTCTAATAAGGCTTGAACCGTCTCTGCGCCTTGAGGTCCGCCACCTTGGCTTGATCGTCGGCGAACGCCTTTCGGAGGTCCGCCAGGTCTGTAAGAGTGAAATAACGATCACGCAAAGTGAGAGAGAGAGCGAGAAGTGCAAATCGAAGGAAATAGGAGAAGGTGGAAGTATGTTAGGGTTAGCCAACCCGCACTGGTCCCCGCTCGAGACAAGCAAAGCCGAAAACGCACCCTGTCTCTTCTTCTCATTCCTCTGAAACCGGTAGAACCCATCCAACTCCACCCCTCCCTTTCTCTTCTTGCCTCTCTGTAACCCTTCCCTTGCATCCACCGTAGCCTCCCCACCGGCTTGTACCTTTTTGCTATCCAGGACGAACCTCCTCGAAGCCACCCCGACCCCGCTCGCTCCCTTTCCTGCGGTCCTCCCGAACTTGCCTCCACGGACGACGAGGGTGAATCCGTCCTCGTCGACGATGGCACCCTGGGTCGTCTTGCGGCGTTGAACTTCGAGGTGGTGATCATACAACGCCAAAGCCGAATCCGCATGACTCTTCACGGCCGAAATGTCTGGCCGGGTAGCCTTGTGCAACTGAGTGTAGTACGCCAACCCGGTCTCCTTGGCGGAGTGTACGAGCGTAATGGCTGGGCGGGTAGGAGCGTGCTCTAATGCTCGTTGGAGGGAGAGGGGGGAGAGGTAGGTGACATAAGCGGAAGAGGAGCAGGGCAGGAAAGGTTGAGAACGGGGGAAGAGGGAGGGGAGAGGAATGATGGACGGAGCGGAGGGGCCGGATTTGTGTTTACGTCGGCGTTTCTTGTTCGACTCGGTTCCGGCTGTGGTCGCAGGTCGAGCGGGCCGAGAAGTGTTTGCTGATGTCTCGACGTCGATTCCACCTTCGGCATGCATAGGTCCGTCTTCAGCCTGAGTCTCCAATTCCTCGTCGTCTTCGTCCTCAACCTCGTCTTCATCGTCGCTATCCATCCAAGCCTCCACCCCCTCATTCCCAACCCTAGAGACCTTGATCGAGATGTTCTCCACAGGTCCGTACTCCTTGAACACGGACCTGATATCCTCGGCATCCATATCTACAGCCAAATTCGCTACGAACAGCGTCCTCCCCGGTGCAGAGCTTGGTTCTCCACGACCTTGGTCTGCAGCGTTCGTTTGCAAGGTAGGTTTGACGAGGACCGGGTCAACTTTGCCCGTAGAAGGTCCAGCAGAGACCTGGCTGGCTCGAGTCTTATGTTCTCGGATCCATAGGTAATGGGCAGCAGGTGCTTTACCCTTCGCGGCTTTTGTAGTGGGATCGGTAGATAGGGTGATATGAACGGGGACAGGGCGGAACCCCGAGTATTGGGTGGATAACACAGCTCCTGCTGGCCCTTGGGTGGCACTGGCTTTGGCTTGGACGTTGGATTTGACTTTGGGCATTCTAAACCGATGTAAGCAGAGTAGTTCAAGTCTGATGCTGAACGTCAGGGATCATGCAACGACTTGAAGAGGATAGCCACAAGGAGATGTAACTTAGCGATCAGCGAGAAGTTGTCGCAAGGTTGCCCAAGTTTGTGAAACAAGATGTCAGTCTCTGACAATCACGTGACCTCGTGCTTCTCAAAGTTGTCAGGGTGTTAGCCTTTGGATTCGTCATCCCCCTTGCACCTCTTTGACCTTTGCAGGTGAGATCGAATTCAAGTTATACGGTGCAAGGGAGTCTGACCGTTAAGCACGTTAGCACGAACAAGCCACCCGAGTTCAAAGCTACTACGTTACTATTCAGCTCACACTCGCCATGCGCCAATATCAACTCTCCCATCGCAAGGACTTTTCCGGCCTGACGCTGCACGATGACATTCCCAAACCGCAACTCTCCACCGCGACCGAGGTCATGGTCAAGATCCGTGCTATCAGCTTGAATGCCCGTGACTTGCAGATCGCGACAGATCAATATCCTGCTCCTCATGCTATCAAAGACAACCTGGTTCCTGTTTCGGATGCTGCCGGGGAGATTGCCGAGGTGGGCGAGGAGGTGGAGGGGTGGAAAGTTGGGGATAGGGTTTGCACGGTCTGTTTCTTGGGGCACGACCAGGTGAGCATAGACAGCGGCGAGAGATGGAAGAGCAATGCTTACGACTGTGATCATCTTTCCAGGATGAGGATGTGCAGATGCACTCTATGGTTCGAGGTCTAGGAGGCGCCATCGACGGTGTCGCAACGGGTAAGCCGGACATCAATCCCACTTACCCATTCGCCTTCGTTCAAACTCTAAACGATATCCTCCACGCCTTGAAATCCTTCTCAGAATACTTCACCGTCGATCACACCCAGCTGGTCCGAATGCCCAGCCATATGACTTTCGAACAGGCTAGCACCCTTCCTATCGCAGCGGCTACCGCTCAGAATTCGTTGTATGGACATCATCCGGTCTTGCAAGCTGGGGATACGGTCTTGTGCATGGGGACTGGAGGTGTCTCTTTGTTTGCCGCGCAAGTGAGTCGGAGTTCTGGCTTCATCGCAATGCAAACCCCCCCCCCCCCCCCCCCCCCCCCCCCCCCCGACGAAGGGTGCGTCTCGCTCGCTCCCATTTGGCTGATCCCGTCGTTTTGCTTTCTTTCGACGCAGATCGCTTTGAACGCCGGCGCAAAGGTCATCATAACTTCATCCTCTTCGGCCAAACTCACCCGTGTCACCTCTCTGCTCCAACCTCTTCTCCGCTCTACCAGCTCGCCAGATACGATCCAGACCATCAACTACAATGAACACCCCGATTGGGACGTCAAGGTCGCAGAGCTGACGGGTGGCAAAAAGGTGGATTTCGTCATCGAGATAGGAGGCCGGGCGACTTTAGGGAAATCGATCAGGAGCACCCGGGCTGGTGGGTTGGTTGCGATTTCGGGATATATGAGCGATTATGGGAAACCCGACGAGAAGGCTAACCAAGAGGGTAGGTTCGACATGGCCGGATTGGCATTGCGGCTCAGCTGACCTGACTGATGAGGTGTTGACGTAGATCTGGCCAAGATGCTCCTCTACGGCGCTGTCAACGCTCGAGGTAACTTTGTCGGTACGTCACTTTTCCGACTCTTTTCCAAAGCTCTCTAGTCCGAACTGAATTCGAATCGTTTTCTTCTGGTTCTTGCAGGCAACAAGGTTCAGTTCGAAAAGATGAACCGGGCGCTGGAAACCGGAGGTGTCATTCCTTTGGTAGACAAGGTCTTTGAGTTTGAACAACTCAAGGAGGCTTACGAGTATTTGCAGTCGGGCAAACAGATCGGGAAGGTTGTCGTCAAGGTGTCGAGCGATTAAGAGCAGGATATAGTTGGATTTTGCTCGACTGCAAAGGGTAGATAAGTGCACATGAAGGATCTGATAACACTACATCGCATAGCATTGACATAATACACTGCCTAATGTCCACATCGATCTCAATCTTTCCGAAAGGCATCCTTTGCTATGACGTCGTGGCTCTGGTAACTCCCGGCCGGTCCGCGCTAGATTCCGATCAGATCCCTTTGATCTCCCTTGCGTTTCAGGTTGAGATAACCGTCTGACCCGAATCGAAGTCCCCTTTCTCTCTGAATCTGCTACTTGCAACCTGATGAAAGCGAACAAGGCCGCTCCACACAACAGGTTGCTCTAATCAACGTTCTCTGTTAACAACGTCGTATTGGCTCGCCAGGCACACCAATGTCTTCACTATCTGCTCAACCGACAGGAACAGCAGTCAGCCTGGAAGAATCATACAAGGACGTTACCGAATGGTATGCCTCGAGGACCACAGTCAATGATGCGTCGAGTTTTCGGGTGCTGGCTGTATCATTACTGATCCTGGTAAGTTTGTCAAATATGGTTTTTCCCGCGGAGATGAGATACGACCGAGGCTTACCACGGTTTACAGCCTTGGATCGTCTTGGGATTCTTTGCTTTCATCAAGTTCAACCCGAATGTGAGTGATTGAATTCTCAAATCAACTAAAGATCAAGGCAAGTCGCTGACTTTCTACAACGCCCTAAGACATTTCTGACTCCGAGAATCCGCAAGCCTAAGGGTGGAGTTGTGGACGCGGACTTCGACCCCAACGGATGGCTGAGGAATTACTTCCTCAAGTCGGAGATTGATTGGCTGAAGTATGGTATCCCATACAAAAAGAAGCCTTGGAGTGAGTTTCACCCTGACTAGGAGCACGAGAACAGGAGACAACTGAACACGAATCGATGCAGGTTTCGACAATATCGTCGTACTCCGCTTCACGCGCGTCCTGTTTCACCTCATGTGTGTCATCGCGGTGCTTGCCGGAACGACTTTGATACCTACATATAATACCAACACCGCCTCGATGAACACATCATTCTTCAACGAGACGTATGCCAATGCCACCGGTACCAACGCGGCGACCTCGGCCGCAGACAAAGCTCAGTCTTTTCTGTATTTCGATCAATTGAACGCCAAGATCACCAACATAGACGAAGAGCTGCTGTGGTACCCGGTGGGCGTTTGCGCTGCCATCACTTTGATCGTGCAGCTCACATTGATATACCATACTAGAAGTGTACGCTCCATGAAACTCAGAAGCCCCCATGTATGCTGATGCGTAGGCCTCTCTTCTCATAGCTCACGAGACTAAAGTGTCAATGGCTAGCCTCGCGCGGAGATGTCTATCTAAGGACTCTGATTGTGGGTGCTATACCTGGTCTCGGTCCATACGGTCGCTTATCGCAAAATTTCGATCTGCCAGTTTAGGAATTTGCATGGTTACGGCAAGAAACTATCGGATCAGTCGTTCCAAGAGCGCTTGCAGTCTTCCTTTCAAGCCATGGGTTTGCCAGCTCCCGACGTTGCCCAGTCGTTTAAATTGAAGGACTCTTTTGCTGAAGGAATCGTCAGGACCGCCTTCAGGAGGATCTGCTGTTGCGGGGACAGCAAGTCAGACGAGACATCTGGCTTCCTGACAGGCGGCGGGAAAAGGAAGGCCCTGTACCACTTAACTGTGCGTATCAACAAGATGGTCACAAGGTTGGAAAAAACTGTCGCAGGCTACCACATGAGACGGGAAGAACTGGCCCCGATTGATGGCAGAATGCTTGTAAGATCCAGTCTATCAGCGATGTGTCGCTGATAAGCTGAAAGGGTCTATTTCAATCTTCAGTCGACTACTAGAGCATATCCTGATGGCCCAGTCATTCGTACGATCGTCAAATCGCTCATGTCAGTAGTGACACACTACTCACTTGTGACTATAGGCTGAGTGAATTCAGTCGTGTTACAGGTCCGAGAAGAAAGGGAAGACGAGTATTCTACACGTACTAGCGAAATCGGTCAGAACATCACAAACTTACCGAGCAATAAAGGCGCGCTGCACATCGTTGCGGAGTAATTGGTCAGTGAATCCATTCACGGTAGAGAGAGGAAGTACTGTCACTAATATATGATGTTACACAGCCATAAACTACGCGTTAATCAGTTACACGCAGCAATTGGGGCTCTCTATAGGTACGACTATGCCCACGAATCTGCAACTTCGACCGCTATTGACGATCTACTGTAGCTTGGTAGATAAGAGCGGCAATAATAACGAGAAGGCTGTGACCAAATGCAACCTGGAATGGATATCGTGAGTTGCCTATAGTAATGAATACTGTCAAGGCTTATTCACGGTGCAAAATAGGACACTCGTGGCCAAGCAAGAGCATCCGGAGGCTCGATCCGCCTTTCCCAAATTTTGTGAACAGCTGTGAGCGAAGACCACGTTGTCACGAGACGAAATGACACGGTGCTGAACTTATCTACACGGTATTGTCAGTCTCAAGCATCGAGCATTAAGACGACAATATGCTATGCGACGCAAGCTCAAGTCGGCCGTCAAAGAGGAACCAGATGGTTATAGTCGGTAGACAAAGCCATCAATATCGAAAAGTCGTCGACGCTGAGCAAAGTCTCTTCGTAGTCTCTTGCATCCTGCCCACAATTCCTGTCGCTTATGGAGCTCTCAGAGCCATCAAGCGGCTGGGTCATTTCCGGCTCTTGAAAAGAAAAGATCCAGATGGCGGTTACACCAAAATAGCTGTGAAAGACCATATCATCTGCGCTGGACCCGTCAGGGTACGTTGGGGACTTTTTTCATGCGCTATCCACCTGCTGCGAATGCTGACATTGGACTTGTACGTCAAGCAGGACATGGTAAGTCCGGCCTATGCTCATTCGAGATTTTCCCAAACATGGCTCTGACGCACTTCGATCAGCAATGGGATAGCCTCGGAGATACGAAACTTCAAGCCCTCAAGCGCCAGATCATGTTTTTTGTGACTTTCTGCTCGACTGTTCTGATCGTGACCGGTCCGGTCACCCTTCTGGTAAATCGCCATGTCCTCTTCCGAGATAAGCATGATTGATGATCGTCCGCTTTAGGCCGCTGGCACAGCCAAATTTGCATATGTAAGCGTAACAGTACCTTGAATTCACCTTTCTTCGACAGGCTGACAGGCTATTCGCTTCAGATTGGTAGGATCTTTCCATTCATGGAGGGATGGGTGGACAGGCACCCTCAAGTCGTGGCTACCATATCGCGTAAGGCAAGTATGTCTGAATGAAATGTTCGCCAACGCTAAAACAATTTGTACAGTGGTTTTGCCCATTGTAATCATGGCTTTGGTCAATGGTGTTCTGGTGCCGTTTCTGGTGGAAGAGTCGGCAATTTTCAAGGGCGAGGTGAGCGAGAACACAACTTCGCGTCATTGTTGGAAACCCTGCTAATTTCGTTTGCAAAAGATAAGCCACTCTGTGATGAATCGGTCGGTTATGAAGTACCTGTACTTCTTCCAGGTCTGCCAAACTTTCGTGCTTTTCATCCTATTCGGATCTGTCGTCGGTACGTACACGGGTCTATGTGGTCTGCTGCGCTCCATGCTGAAATCAGACAAGCGAACAACAGCATTCCTCACCAATTTTTTGCAACTCCTGCGGAGTCGCCAGTACGATCAAATTCTTCCGAGTCTCCTTGGTAGGGAGATTATATATGTAGCGTTGCTGGCATAGCTTCACTGAACACACCCTTTCTTTGTCTCAGAAACGATGAAACACTCACCTCGCGAAATCACGAATTCTTCCACCTACTGGTTGGCATGGCTTGCAATGCAAAGCGACTTCGCTTTCTTCGGATTCCTGTTTGGTAGGCAGCGCCACATCACCGATTTCAAGTCGTTCGACCTGCTAATTCTGTACGCCAGGCTGGAAAGAGCGATTCTTTCGGTGGTGGAACGATTATTGCACGAAAGTGCCAGTCCCGCGAGACGAGTTTAATCTTCAATTGGCTGAGCCTTTTGATTTAGGCTATCGAATGTCAAACGTGGTAAGTGTCATCTCAGCATGGGAATTGTTCAAGATCCTTACGCAACATCTTGCCCGATGCAGATATTTCAAATGACAGTAGCGTTGATCATGGTGCCGATCGCTCCACTGTGCGCCATCATAGCCATCATCATGCTTTTCTGGACATACAGCTCGTACAAATTCCAAATGTGAGTGCGGAACGGACTTCGACGAGGCACCATCCAGGATGTTGCTGACTCTTTGCTCTTGTCGAAAGACTGATCATCTGTCAGGACGACTGGGAAGGTCGCGGTGGCGTGTGGGAGACATTATGTTCGCTATTGCAAGCCGGCCTGGGCATCATGCATGTCATATTGGCAGGTGGTAAGTTGAGCTAGAATGCATCTCTGCTTGCGATCCGTAATGTTCACTCCTTTTGATTACGTCTCGCAGTGTTAGCATACCATGGTCAATCATGGATCCTTCCGATCGGGGCTCTTGCTCCACTCGCGCTCCTTTTGCTGGCGAACCCGACTATCTTCAAAAGAGAACACGAAAGGATGGAAATGTGCGAAGTCGTCGCATTGATGAGCCTGAAGTTTGGGTCAAAAGCGGATACCGAATATGACGAGAAGCAACCCATCAGTGAGAAGGGAGAATACAGCGAAAAGAAAGGAGCCGGCTCGTTCAGCCTGAGCAGCATACAAACTGCATGCCAGACTTTGCTACATGTTCAGCAAGATCAGAGCAAAAGACAAGGCGAGATCAAGGACCTCCTGGATAAAACCAGCAGCAAAGAATCAATCAAACATCGCTTTAAGAAACTCAAACAACTCGGTCGCGGTGACCTCGAAAAGGCCCGCAAGGTACTAGTGAACAAGAAGACTGACTATTTTGGCCATCCGGCATTAAACCCGTCAATGAGTCATCCTTTCTACAACCTTCTCCTGGAAGTGAAACACGGTAAAAGTTTCATCATGCAATTCACGTTTGAGATCAGGTGGAAAGCCGCATGTGGGGACAGAAAGGCGACTGTGGCGGGACACTGGTTGCTAACGGGTATCCTGCGGGTGACGGAGAAGGGTCTGGTACCGAAGCCCACGGGCAAAATTACCATGAGATCTTGGGTCGTACAGGTATCGGACAGCTTGCTAGAGGTGACTATCCGCCCTTCTGCACAGCTTTTGATACTACTTGGCTGAAACGGAGTTTATGTGACAGCTCTGGGCGAAAAAGCCGAAGCACGTCGAGAATTTCTTCAAGGACGCATTCAGACCCGGTGAGGCTGACAGATACACTGTCAGCGGCACATAATATATGCCATTGGACACCCTCTCACTGGTAACTATACTATATGCTGCGAGCTACATATAAATACCTCGAAATGGCGCGGAATTGCAGCGACAGATATAATGAGCCCGAGCGTGAAGCCTAGCAGTCAAAGCCTTCTTATATAAGTGAAGATTTCGTCACGGGTTTCCTTCATCCTCCACCATCCACTCCTCCGCTAACCCCTCCTCTCCGAAAGCGGGATGTCGCTTGATGATTACTACTGTGACGATTGAGCTTCACGAAACCCACGGCAATCATTGGCGTGACAAAAGAAAAGCCTCATTGGCATTGGTTCGCAACAACAGTACGCTCCCCTCGCATTGTACTCGCTGATACGCCACTAGCTTTTGCAAATACGAGTTGTAATGCAATCATCTCATCAAAGAACCCGATCTCTCATTCCATCTCATCGCGTGCGTTTTGAGGTAACCGGTTGGAACGGAATCTTCCAGCAGCAGGGTTCCGACTGCAGCACGTAAGCATCTTTCACTAGAGAGCGACCCGATCGCTCGATGTAGCGAGATCTGCATGCGTTTTCTCAAAGACGATGGTAGAAACTCTCTTCCTAGAGCCGATAAATGAACACATTATAGCAGCGAGATTCGCTCTGTTTGTCGATAAGCGCGTAACTCAACGGGTGGCAAAGGTTTCTGAACCCAGATCGAGATGCAACGGCATTACATGACGATCGGCTGGATTTGTGTGACGATTGGTCGCTGCTTGGATGATTATTACATCATAAAGGATTCGACCGATCCAAGCCTCATCCATGAGAAACTACGTCACCGGCCAGTATCCAAATTTACCCGAGCTGATTGGACTCGCGCGAGTCTTGTCAGATCGTCAGACCTATAAAAGCAATTCGAATTAGACCTTGCTTCGTTTGCTTCATCCAGGTCTTGGCCTATCTTGTCTTCTCGATTGTCGCGCAGTCAAATCTCCAAGGCCAAGATCATCACCCACTTGACACTCAACATCGCAACGGATCGCAAGAATGACCTCGACCGGTGCCATTCTTCTGGTTATTTCCTTCTTGTGTGGGCAAGCTCTAGCAGCTACCACTAGCGAGGTCACTCCCACCACACTTATCGGCGCGGCCACAGCTACCGTGACTAGATACGTCAAGGAGCAGGAGGACGAAAACGACAGGGACGACGAGGAGATCTTAGCATACTGTTTATTTGGTGTAATGGGCGTCGGAGGCACGATTCTGCTCTTGGGCTCGCTGTACACCTGTTGCAAGTCAGTGCGACATTGGGACATATTCACTGATCGAAACCGAATGCTGATCTTCATCGGTTCCCAAACCAGTCGGTTCAGAGGGCGTAGGAACACACCAACACCTGGTTGCGTCGAAGCGCAATCTCACGCTACTCCCAACACGAGCGAAGACGTCCCGCCCTATGAGAAGGCGCAGAACGAAGCGGCCAGCTCGGCCTCAAAACTAGGAGAGGCGCCTCCTTACTCGCTCCCGGACGACCAATCGGTTTCGGTACCAACTGCTCAACTCTCCTCGCCCGATGTGGAGAAGCATGATTGCCAGGAATCGACCGAAAGCTCTCTGGAAGCTACCAATGTGCAATCGATCTCGTATTCTGTATCTGCTAGTGATGCAGCTTCAATCCATGGGGAGAAGCAGGAACAGAACGAAAACATGCAGGTTCGCTGATCGACGATTGGAAGCCGAAGTTGAATGGTTCAGTACGTATCTCAGACTCTGTGGATCAGCGGGGACGCCAGGAAATTGATGTACATCGCGACCGTTTAGCTAGCGGAAGCTACCAAGGGCCACCAAATTATCTTCGGCTCATCCAGACTGAATGCCGCTTCCAAGTCATTGGATTATACACGATTACTACATACACGAAAAGTACACAGTCGGTATTGGGCAGGGTCTTTCAAATCGATCGTTGGCACTTTCTATTTCAAAAATCTACTGGCGGATGTGACGCTCCGCTGTTTTATGTTTCAGATGTACATCAGGTATCTGATATAATCAATCTTTAATGTCATTCCTTCTGCACATGTCGTCGCTCTGGCTTTCCTGCTGAATCGACATCAACACGAGTCCGGTCCCGATCACGATTGGCGGTTTCGAAAATCAGCGACGATCTTCCGTGCCTGCTGCCGTTACGACGACGGTAGATCCCAGGCGCACAGGTGAGTTGCTCGTTGATCGCTCTGAATGACTGGGTTACCTACCCTTGTTCAGAGGGTCACAAGCTCATTCACCATCTGAACCCACTAAAGAAAACGCCCTGTTTGGTTTAGACCTACTACAAGAAAGCCCCACTTGGTCGCTGCAACTGTTCGGAGCTTGTGAAGTCACTCCGAGATCACATATGCACGCCATCCGGTGAGGAGGACATCCGGCTTTGTCAAGTCATCAATGACATCACGGCAGAGCCCGCTGGCCATGTCGACCCTGATTTTTTCCATCTCGCCAGGACATGGAAGCACGACGTTGCAAATCGGATCCAGGCAGCCAACAGTTGGTCTCTTGGATCGAGTCGAGCTGTACAGATCCACGTATGATGCATCAAGTATTGTGCAAGGTCTGGTTCCATAGCGCGGATGCGCAAGTGCTCGCTCTTGACAGGATGAAACACCAATCATTCGGGCCTACCTCGGTTTTGCCAATATGATGCCCGCGTCCTCTTTCCTGGCTCTGGGACTCAATGGTATCGTGCGATGTCCACGATGATATCATCTCCCTGAATCATGGCTGGGCAGAATTACCCACCCGCGCGAGACATCGATGAAACATGAAAGTCGTCAAGAACTGGGAAACGACGTGGAACGCAACGGCACAGTATCAGATGACCATTTCATGCGATGCCCACCATGTTCCATGTATAAATGGCTCCTGCTATCTTTCAACAAGTTTATTTCGACCGAATGCAGATCTGCCGGCCCTGGAGGAACCGAGTCGGCCGACTACAAGCTCTCCCACCGTTGATGACCCATACTGATCAGCCGGGCAAACAACTGGTCTCTCCTCCCGACCGCCAAAAACTCGTACGAATCGCCCTCGTTCGAATTCATTCCCTTGACTTCCTTAGCGTGGTTGATATCGTCCTGAGCCCGCTCGCCGGACGTCTTCATCCGGATGAGCAGAGTCTGTGATTCAATATCCGCCCCGCTCGCCCAACCGAGTACAGCACGCGGAACCGAGACGCCAACCTTTTTGATCTCGACAATGTCATTGATGTCGCGCGTGAATTCGTGCTTGTCGCCGATGGTAGCCGAGTTGAAGGTGATGGTCGGAACGCCCCATTCGGACCTCGGGTCGAGGACGAGGTGTCCGTTCTTTCCGTCAAGTCTGCACGGGTAGGCTGTGAGGCGTTAGGGAAAACAAATAACGGATGTTAGCCTTCTGACGCTGACTTTACATCAGAAAACCGAGGATGCTCGTAGGCTGGACTTACACTCTGGGTCGCCGTCATCCTTGAGCATAGCGCCCCAAATCAGCCGATCGACCTTGCCCCCGACCTGCTTCTTGACACCATCCACGGTGACATCCGCTCCGATCCCCGCGACCCGCTTGCTCATCTTCTTTAGACCTCCGATGATCCTGCTCTTGGACTTGTGTATCGCCTTGTCCTTGGCACCGAGATCGTCAACGTCCATGGGGTTGCCCTCGTCGTCGACGAGCTCGGCATCTGGATCGGGAGCATTGTCTGCCATGTGTTCCTTGGGAGTCCCCTCGAGAGGAGGTGGAGGCGGACGAGGCAAGGGATGGCCTTCGTGCTCTCCGACCCGCAAGAGGTGGAGCACGAGTTGATCGTTAGTAGGTACACCGAAGAGCAATGAAGCGCGGAGATCGAGCAGTTCCATCCAGTTTGGGACCTTTTCCTTCAACAAGACGAACCCGCGATCCATGAGGGGTTGACCGAAAAAGAGGAAACCGAGTAGGAACGACGCTCCACGTGCCCAGATCCATGATGGGACAAAGGCGGTAGCGAGCAGGATGGGCAGGAAGATGGCCCCGGCAATTTTGTAACGGGCCATGTTGATCGAAGGGGGGTAAGGAGGAGGGGGCTTGAGAGCACTACGCAGGCAATGTTGTATAGGGGCAAGCTCAGCTTGTCACACGTCCCCTAAACGTAAACATCAGCCCGAACACTGCACTCACTTGACCATGATCTCGGTCAAATCCGCCGCATCCCCCAATCCATCCTGCACCAACTTCAAATACCTCCCAACCATCTGATCCCTCTTCGCCTTGACCTCTTTCGCCTCGAACTTTTTCCTCTGCTTTTCGCTCATGGGCTTTTCAACCTTTTTGCCGGTTCGTTTATCCTTGACCATCTTGGTCTTGCCCGTCAGACCCGCGTCGGTGGTATCGTCATTATCATAGATCCCCCTGGAGGCCTTGTTCTGCCTGATCAACTCGGTAGGATGTTCACCGGGAGCGTACATGTCCGAAGTGATCGCCGGAGCATCCTGGTTGTCTGCCTGGGCGTCAGCACGAGCGTCGAGGAAATCGTCGTCCGAGTCGATCGAAGTGACCGACGTGGCGTCCGAATCCGTTTCGACTTCCTTGTGGCCGACCTTGGAATTGCCCGCGTTGGGGGTCTTGCCGGTGGACACGGCGACCTTGACCATGAACGTCTCGACCCTGTAAAAGTCGGAACACGTGATAAGATCAGCACTCTGTGGTACTACAGCGAATACGAAACTGAAAGACTCACAGGCTTCTAAACTCCCAAGCGGCCTCTTCCTTCTGCTCCGCCACGCTCTTGTGCGTCACCGCGCTATCCGTCCCTCCCAAAAAGGTCTCATCCCCCTTGGAGTTGGTCGGATCAAACGCACTCGGCGGCATCCCCTTTTTGGGTGCGACAGGTGGGAAGAAGATCAACCTGCTCTCCGGCGAGACGATCAACAACATGATGAACCCCACGACCGTAGGGATCGCCAACCCTAGGACCCATCCGAGGAAATAAGTCGCGCAAAAGTACGTCGTCCTCCGTCTCTCTGAAGGGCTCCACGAGCGCAGTCGGTTGATCTCCCCCAGACCGCGGTATATGCCAGTCCCACCGGAGGCGTACAAGCGTTCGAGGTTGGATTTGAAGACGTCGGTGCTGTACGGGACGTCGGGGAGGACGGAACGACGGAGATCCGGTTGAGCCAAAGGAAGCGGGGTGACCGAGGTGAGGATCAGGGTGTGGGTGACATCCTCGTCGAATCGGCGCATATACGTGAAGAGTTGGTCTAGCGAGAAACAGGGAGCAGGATCGTTCTGGAATTTAGCCTTCTTGTTGATTGCGATCCGAAAACGTGCATGCGAGTCTCTTTCCTTGGTACTCACCATCCTCTATCCCCTCGACGATCGTCCCACCCGGCTCATCCCCCCTGACTCCCCTCCGTTCCGCTTCAGCCTTCTCCACCTCCCTGCCCAACATCTCCCTATCCTCCCTACTCCCATCCTGCTTGATCTTATTCATAGTATCCGCCTGAACATCCGGATGCGTGGAACGGGAAGTAGGAAGAGTGTTGGACACTTCGTTGGTAGACGGGCGGTCGGAAGGGTGGTTCGAAGTAGCGTTGGCGGGCTGAGCGCGGTCGGCGGCTTGTTCTCGCGACCCATCTAGGCCTTGACCGGCTTGCGTGTGTCGTCCGAGAGGTTCATCCTTTTCCGTCTCGTACTCGGGCTGGATGGCCGTCCCCGACCTGATCACCCCGGCATTCCTATCCCTACCCTCGTTCTCCTTTCCAGGTAAAGGACGTCTGTCTTTAGGCGGCGGGCTTGGGGGGTTATCGACCATGGAAGACTCCGTCCGACGGATAAGAGGTTTAGGGGTCTGACGTCGGACCGCTTGGGGTCGAACGGCAGTCAAACCGGCGGGAGGTTGAGATGCCGCGATGGGTTGTGTATAGACGACATCGCTGTGAGGTTGGATGACTTGGTTTTGAGGCGCGGTGAGATGGGCTTCCGAGTGCGTTGTAGTTGCTGCGGTCGACGGGGTCGCGTTCGAGGTCTGACCCCCTGTCAATGGTGCACCGAGGTCGAGACCTGCTGGTAGAGACATGGCTCGTCGTGTGTCGTTAAGGTCTTCTTTCCGATTGTTAGACGAAGAGCTATGGTCAGGTTGATGGTTGATAGGTTGATAGGTTGATTGATGTTTGATGATGATGTTGTTGTCTAAAAGGAATGGATATGCTGTTGGCTTCTGCTGCCTCAACTGCGGCTCAGTGACGTCACCAACACGTGGCGGCGGGCCCCTTGGCTGGTTGCGCTTCGTCAGTACGAGCACCTCGCTGTGGCGTAAACCATATAACAGAACAGGACTAACCAGTATCACCCCAAAATCTCAACAACGAGCATGGTGAGATCATTTCTTGACATGCTGGATGTGTTTAGGGGGTTATAACAATGACTTCGTCAAGTTTGCAACTTTTGGCAGTATTGTAGGTGAAGAGATATGGCAGGGTGAAACTCTCATAGCGCTTTGGGCAGAGCGTGAATAAGATTCAAGATGATGCTGACATGACAGGATGAGCACATTGCGTCTATCATCAACCTCATAAGAACAGATATGGGGTTTACCAGGCTCGATGTCGAGATATCGAGCGTCCACTGTCACTTCGCAGGCAGAAGCGGATATCATGCCACGATTTGCGATGTCCGCGCATTGCCAGCCATAGCAGACCATGGGTAATTATGCATCCGCGGGACATCCCCCTTTCCCTTCTTTCCCTTGCTCTGTCGTGTCATCCTACCACTCCCTTTCGACCTCTCTCCAACTTTTGAATTTGCACACCGCGGGCACGAGATCGTCAACTCAATTGAAACCTCATCCTGGGGAGAGCGTTTCATCTCGTCAAACGTAAAACATCACCCCGGGCACCCGGCAGACGAGTTGACAGGGCACATCATGTCGTCATCGACGTCGTTACCGCTACTGACACCGCCATCACATCATCATCAACATCAACATCATCAACATCAGGATGCGTTGTCGCTCGACCAACACCATGATCAGACTCCGGAAGACGACGATATGGACCCGGTCGGGGTTGAGGATCATGACGTCTTGTTACAGGTTCGTCTGGATAGTTACCTCTTGCTTATTCAATCAGGCTCTTGATTTTTGGGTCTGGTACTGACTTAAATTGATGGCGGTATCGGTGTGATGGTATAGACACTGCAACATTTCGACAAACCTTCGTATGACCATCACAACCACGTCCACGCCCACGTACACGAGCACGAACACGAAGAAGATGCACCTATGCACGCCCACCCCGATCACACCGCACAGGACGATGACGACCACCCGGAGGAGATCTATACGTACGAGACGTTGACGGACGCGGTGGATGCGTTGAGGAAACAGGGCGTCTCTGTCGATGTCGAGGCGGATGGGAATGAGGAGGAGACTCGGGTGGATGGGTATCAGCAAGACCATGACCACGACCAGGATCAGGATCATCGTCAACACGATGTAGACCCGGATCTGGAGCGAGATCTCCAAAGCGGCAACGATATTGGTGTCAATGAGCAACACGATGGAGACGATCGTGATGACGGAGAGGAAAACGGTGATATCGACATCAACATCGACGCTCAATTCGGCCGCGAAGAGACCTCCTCGGAACTGTCTCCCACTCCCGGTTCACACGTTGACATGGACGACGATCACGCCCAGACCTCTGGCTCGAACGCGAATCCCGCGACGAACAAACGGAATTCGAGATCGAACGCCAACTCTAAATCCAACTCCAAGTCCGCCTCCACCTCCGTATCTGCCTCTGGCTCATCGAAAAGCAAATCCAAGGATTTCGACCCAGACGACAAACCCGTCAAGAAGAAGCACCCCCGTCCTGGCCGTCCGCGCAACCCGAACCCGCCTCTTGGGGCACACCAAGTCCCCTCGAACTTGACCCCTGTGAGCTTGTTGAACAACCAGGGAATGAGGGCAAAGGAGGCTTTGGGGGATCATTCGGGGAGTGCCGGGAGGGAGGTCTTGAATCTGGCTTTTGGCTCGAGTGGAGGGTTCGGAGTGGGGGATGGTGCTGGGAGGTCATCGAATACCGCCTTGGGCACCAACAATAATGGCAATGACGACAACGACAACGATGACGTCGAAGGTGTCAGGTCTGGTGAGGAGGCCGTGTCAGGCTCGAGCTTGCAAGAATCGTTAGGCTTGAGGGAGACGTGTTGGGAGGAAGACAAGGATGGGAAGGTGTTGAGCGATGAGGGGAAGAAGAGGGTCGAAGAGATCGTTAGGGGGATCGCTGGGCAGGTCAGTTCACGTACGGTCAGATGGGTATCGTTATATTCGGCTGACGTTACGATTCTCATCTTTTGGCCTCGCCCCAGCTCGCCCGTCTTCACGCGGCTACGAATCTCAATTACCTCCTCCTCACTTCGCCTCCCTTCCCACCGCCACCGACATTCCCCACGCTCTCCTTCTCTCCGCCTTCAGAAAACTTTTGGACCTCACTCCGAGGAACCCCAGCTCACAATCTCTCAAAGTTCCTCTCCCTCTCTCACCCCTCGCTGACGACACGCCGGATGGCAATCCCTACGGGAGCCAGGTCGTTGGATATCAAATCCAGGCTCAACGGCCGGATGAGAGAGATGGTCAGGACCGTCAGTGGGTTGGGGGAGGCGGAGATGAAGTGGACGAGGCCGGAAAGCATGGTACAGGCTTATGGTGTCAAGGTGGTCGGTTGGCCATTGGAAGAGACGGGGGAAGAAGGTAAAGGGGCTGTACCTTTAAGGAATCCGAGTAACAACTCCGCACAGTGAGTCCCGTTGAAATCTGGTTCAGGCGAAACCCAAGTGCTGATAGACTCGGTACAGACAAAATCGGTACCTCCTCGAACTGGTTGAGGACGGAACGCTCCGGATCGAGAAGGCTACGAGGGAGGACAAGGAGGCGTTTGCCGAATCGTTTGCGGCGACTGCAGCTGGTGGTACGAGTCAGGCGGGCGAAGGGTCCGCTCAAGGTCAAGGTCCCGAAGATGGCGAGTCGGCTGTGGCAGACGGTGAGGAAGGGGCTGCAGTGCAGGTCAAGAAGAAAAGAGGCGGAGGCAAGAAGCCTGCAGGACAAGCCGCCAAAAAGGGCAAGGGGAAACGAAGCTCGAAAGCGCAGCGAGAAGAGCAGACGCCTATAGTCGAGTTTGATCCGACTGCAGGAGGATATCCTCAAGTCGAGCAACTAGGTTCGGGCGAGATCGGGACACCTCTGGGTGCAGAAGGTCCCGGAGGTGAAATGCAGGTAGATGTAGAGACGACGTTACAGGACGGACTGGATCGAGAGCTCGAAGTGGCGCGCCAGGCGGCGAGCGGGTTGGGAGCGACTGGGTACGAGTTGGTCTTGCCACAGGAGACGACCTTGATGGCAGCAGCAGCAGCGGCAGCCGAGGCGGAAGCTGCAAACGCGTCGTCGTCATCGTCCACCCAGAACCCAGTCACCTCGAAGCGCCTTCGACCGTTGGCTCTCAACCCGGACAAGGACGGCTTGCCTCGCCCCCGACCGAAGTCTTTCTTGGTGCTGGGTCCTGACGGATCGATCGTGCCGACCAGTCAGAGACAGCTCAGGGCCGAGGCGAAGCGAAAGGGCGAGCTGATCGACGGTGGATCGAGTGGCAGGAAACGACGCAAAATACAGCCCGTCGAGCAAGAGGACGCGGTTGGAGTGGCGAACGACAACGAGGACGAGGTGATTCTACAACTAGCGGATGCGAGTACCGATGCCGCTGCTGTCGATGTACAACAAAACGGAGAATCGGCGGCCAACATGTTCCTACAGGATACCGAGGACGCTAGCGAGTCGATCGAGGTCGGTGATCAGGATTCCGCCATGGTGCTCGCTATGATGGGCGATTCGGCGCAGATGATGCGGCTGATGCAGCAACAGGCCGCCGTCGCCTCTTCTTCGACTTCGTCACCTCGACAGCTACAGCAGCAGCAGCAATCGGGCGGGATGGGTACGTACGGCCCGCCCCCCGGGACTACACACGGTCAACATGCGCAAATGTTGCTGCAGCAACAGCTCCGTCATCAGCGAGGAGAAGACACGCCAAACAGGACGGCCGATGAGCAGATCATGGAACTCTATCAGGTCACGGGTCCCGACTTTAGTCAAGCGATCTCGAGGGCAGGGTCGGTCTCGACGGGCGGGTTGCGAACCGGTTCCGCATCGGGCGGTAGTCCATATGACCTCGAGCGAGGGGTGGGAACGGACGCGCGAAGACAACTCGTCGCAGCGCTGGGTCGAAATGGTGACCCCACCAGTTCAGGTCGGGAGGAGCAGGATCCTCAGCACTTGTTCAATAATTTCCAGATGCTTAACCCTTACATCTCGGCTGCACAAGACTTGGCGTACAGGCCAAACTCTGGGGATGGGCAACATAGCGATGGGAACCACTTTGATACTACGGACGACATGGTCGTGACTGGTGGACGCGAGCACGAGGGTGACGACGCCGAGATTGATGTCGAGGGCGAAATGGACGCGATCGGCCAGTTTGCGCAGCACGTCGGAGGTAACGAGCGGGACGACGGTACCACCGGCATTTAATTAGGGGCAGGGTATGCGAATTAGTGCCTTGACCCTCTATACCACGACCCGTAACGAAAGGTCTATTCTGTGAATTATAATATCTGGAGATGCAAAGTTACACAAACGAACGCGATCTGGCCTTGTGATACGCTGATACAGTATTCCTTCCTCTCTCTTCCTCGCCACGCGGATCTTACTGCCTCTCACCCTCTTCGCCTCGATCCTGTTCGCCCTTCTTCTCATTCTCCTCTCGCTTCTTCTCCTCTTCCTTCCTCGCGCTCCTCTCGTCCCTCCACCGTTCAAACCATACAGCCGTCGGCAGACAGATCAGATGCACCCCGATGACACCGAACAGGGCTCCAAAGTGGAGACCGAGTTTATGAGCTGGAGCCGTGTTGAAAAAGAGGATCTTGCTGGCCATGACGTGGTGGTAGAACGGGAAGATGACGAACCACTTGTAGAATGGGTCGAGGACGACCAAGGGCTGGAAAGAGGAGGCTACAGGATGATGATCGCACTATAGTCAGCCGATGCAAAGGTTGCCCCTGTCAAATCGATAGGTGTGCTTACTGATATTGAGGATGATCCAGACGATCAAGAACAATGGCAAGAACTTTGCAGTGAGGATGGAAATCATCGTCTCGAACGCCAATCCGAGCGCCAAGAGGGTCACATAGTTCAAAGCCCAGTCGACGACGAAGCCGCTATTCGTCCATAACGGAGATTGGATAAGACGAGAGTTTGAGTCAACCCGGACATGATTGCAAACTACGACCGGGGACTTACGCTCTTCCGACGGTGTTATCGAACGGGACCCTGAAAGCGGCAATGATGCAGGTATACCAGAGAGCCTGCGTTCGCCATAAGCAACCGTTGATCAGCGTCATTCCCCTCCCTGATTCGGCCGCGTACTGATGAACGGAGACTTACCATCCAAAAGTAGAAGAACCCGGGTACCAACAACCTCAACCCTATCAAGCTCTTCAATTTCAACTTGTTTTGCAATCCCGAGCCGGATCTTCCGAGGAAATGCCACAGGGCCAGGTGGAAGGCGAAGATCAGGTAGCTACGATGCGCACAGTCGAATTCAGATTGGTTATTGTAAGCGCCCATAATCTAGGTCCGCGATATGATATCTAGCAGGCAAGCGCGACATTCGTATGCTGGACTCACTAAATATCCCCAGCTTCAAAGACCGCCGCTGCGCCCCAAGCGGTCTGCGGCCTGAGATCGTCAATGTAATACCCAAACATCCCGCTCATCGCCTGCGGGACCGTTCTCAGGTTTCCCAACAAGGTCCCCGTCGTCGCCGTCAAGGCTCCAGTGGCGGGGTACTGAGAAGGTGGGGAGTAGGTGGGGGAGAGGGAGGTGAGGATGGTAGAAAGGGCGGTTTGGGAGGCGGTGGAGAGGACGGTGGAGGTGTCTTTGATCAACTGCGGGTCGATTCGGATAGTCACGATCGTAATCGAGTTTGAGATCACGGTTCGGTGATCAGCGATACTTCGATCAGAAGAGTGGGCGAGTCGACTCACGAACGGTCTCAAGTAGAGAAGCACGATCTGGTAATACCTAGCCCCCTCGTAATAAATCCCCACGCTGCCCTGCGGGTCATACGCCGCATCGCCAGTCTGTACAGCGTCTCTCCAACTACTCGTCGCGTTCCCGTGAATGACGATCGCCGCCCAACACTTCTTCTTCAACACGTCGTCCCTGGCGTCCCACACCCCGTTAGGATACCCTTGGGAGACGTCGATAATGTTGTACCCGACGTGCGGCGTAGAAAGCGGGAGAGAGTTGGATTGACGGGCGTAGGAAGTGTATGCGGGGCCGAGGATGGGGGTTATACCCAAGGAACTTGCGTTGAGGGAGTCAAAGTCGTAGACGTTGACGGTCAGGCGGGAAAAGTATTTGAGGAGTTGGTACGTCGAGCCCCTACGATGGTATCGAGGTCGATGTTCACAGTACTATCAGCCAACAGCTCCTTCATAGGAACAATATGGCTACGTGCGAACTCACCAAAAGATACTCAGACAAGCCCATAACAAGATCGTCAACATGCCCAACGTCTTGACATAATGCATCCCCAGCGTCTTCCTATCCTTCTTTCCGGGCTTCCCCTTGCTCAAGATCCCATGCCTCTCCGTATGCCCTCCGATGGCATAAGGGTAGACCCGCCCGTTGAGGTGTTTGGTCAGGAAGGCTCGTTTCTCTTCTTCCTCTGGGTGCATGTCCTTGGGGGTGTCGTTACGGGTCGCCGTCGAGGATGAACGGGGAGAGTTTGACATGGTGCGGAGAGGTGCGAGACGATCCGCGGTAACGAGACTAATTGTGCCTAACGTCCCAATGATGCCTGATGCATGCTGATGCCTGAGTGTTCAAGTTATCTCGTCGATATCTCCAAGAGCAAGAGATATGGTCCGATTCTCTGCGATCAAGTTTTCGTCGACAAATGACATCCGATGCATCCGATGACATCGACGGTCATCGCTCATCGCCCAACTTTGCAGAATTCCAAGACCTTCCCCCCCCCCTCTTCGGCTTCTGCTCGATCGGCAGATATCTCGATCGGAATCAGATTGTTAACATCCGGTGGATAGCATCATCATCGTCATCGGGAAACCCACAGGCGGGAAACACAGGGAACGATGACCCGATGACGACGATGGCTTGCATCCCGTGCCTCGTGAACTAGCTATAATTACATCAGCTGCAGGCCGGAATCATATTCTACTTCCGTATCTTCCGATCGCCGACTTCCCTCGATGAACGGATGGACGTCGTCAGCCCTTTTTTGCGATATTCTTCTTGCTCTGTTCAACGATCAGATCATCAGCATTCAGCAAATAGAGTATTCTTCACAACCACGTCGTTGTCGTCGTCGATAGTAGATCCTTTGACGTACAGTGTACAACAGACACCACAACGGACCCTCGCCATGCCGCTCGTAGACAAGCTCCGGACAAACTCGCAAGACCCCTCGGGCGACGATAGGTTGGGGTTATGGGACCCGTCCTTGAAACAGCAACGAAAGGGGACCCTGAAAAAGGTCTTGATCGTGAGTTCGCGAAGAGGTTACTTGCCATGGTTTGACATACGATAAGAGGTGGATGGGCTGACAATGTACTTTGTTGCGGTGGGATCGATGCGTAGGCCTTTTTGTTGATCACAATCTCGATGTGGTTGTTCCTCCCCGTCTACTTTGGGTCTTATTACCGGTGAGTCTTCTTATCTTCTCATTTGACTTTTTTTCCCACCGAATTCCTTGTACTTACCGACCTCTTGACAATCCTTCCCGGGATCCCTCCCCCTTACCCTCCGCAGACAAACGGAAAACACCTACCGCCTCACAACCCTCATCCTCGACCTAGACTCTGCCGCCTCGACCCTCTCTTCCACCCTCTCCTCTTCCCTCCCCAACGCGCAAACACAACCATACACCGCCATCCTCGGACCCGCCATCACCCAATCCGCTCGGACCTACTTGACAGAGGTGGCACCTCTTACCAACTCTACCACCTGGGCTCTGGGGTATACGTTCCCCACGGACGAACAGTTGAGCGAGTTTTCCCTGCCGTACAGGAACAATCAGGGGGAGATCGGGTATACACCCGGGGTGGACCCGGAGGAATGGGCCAAGGAGAAGGTGCATGGGCAGACTTATTGGGCGGTGGTGCTTGTCAGAGGGAATGCGACGTTGCTCGCGTTGGAGGCGCTCGCGGGGAGGGTGGATAGTTATGATCGTGAGTCTTTTTCAGCCGTTTTGAGAGGATTCGGGTGCGAAAGTCAAGCTTTAGGAATTGATTGATGTCGGTTCTGATGTTCTGGATGTTTATACCGTCTCGATCTTGATCACGCGTTCGTAGCCATGGGCAGCGTAGCCATCATCTACACCGAATCCCGAAACTTTTTCACCTCGAACCAATACGTCTCCACCCAGACCGTCGAACTCGTCACCGCCGCGTCCAATCAAGCCGGATCCACCCTGATCGACAACTATCTGGAATCTACCAACGACGCTGCCGCGGTTGCGGATACGGCCAGCGCAGGGGGTGGGGCGGGGAGGATGGTCTTGACCAGGCCGTTTGGGTATAGCGAGTATAATCTCGCACCGTTTGACCAGTTGGCCGGGGAGGCGGCGACGACGGCGGGTGCGATCTACCTTATTGTGAGTCCTCACATCATCACGCCCTGCCGCTGTTTCGTCTTCACCTTCCTCCGAAGTTCGAAAACTGACGCAAGAGCTCAATTACCTAGATCTTCGTCTTCTTTTTCACCCCCATCTGGACCGGCGTCTACTCGACCGTCCGCAGTGGGTTGACGTTGGGCTCGGACCTCGTCCTGACGATTCTAGCCAACTTGGGGTGGTACTTCTGGATCTCTTTGCATTACTCGTCAGTCCCCAGCGTTTCTACGCCTTGCGAGATTTTTTCTTGAGAGTGTGCTGAATCATGTTGTTTTCTTCGTGGAATAGGTTGTTATCCCTCGCTTTCGGGGTCACCTTTACCCGAGCTAGGGGGTATGGAGGGTTCCCTCTATACTGGCTGTGAGTCCCTGCACGATGGTATTGCTCGAAGCAGGCACTGAGTCTCTCAAGACTGATCCCGATCTCCGTTCGACCGTGCGTGCAGGATGAACTTTGTCACGATGATGGCCCTCGGGTTCCCTATGCAGTTCTTCTTCGAGATCCTTGGACAACCCTATTTCCCCTTCTTCTTGGTCTTTTGTAAGTTGTCTCTGTCCTTATCACGCCTTTGCCTACCCGCGCGGCTCGGAAACAGCCTTCCATGTCGATTCTCATGACTGACCTTCTTGTGAACGTTTACAATTGTAGGGGTCATCATCAACGTCTCGGTGGCTTTCCTAGATATCGCGGATATGGATCCGTTTTATAGCTACGGTGAGCTTTACATACCATTCTGGTAAAAAAGACCCCTTGAAAGCTGAATTGCTTTTGCAACTGCGAACAGGCTTTGCGTTCCCCGTATGGAACAACGTGGATGCGGCGAAACACCTGTTCTTTGCCACGAAGTCGCACCTGGTTCAAAACTTTGCTGTCAACCTTGCGTGAGTCGCTCGACATGCCGTCCATGTGTAACTGACAAGTTGCCCTTAACTGACGAGTCTTTGGCTGTCTTCTTTTGAAAATGATTTACATAACAGTTGGGCGCTCATAAGCGCTTTCCTCCTGGCTTGCCTTGTCTTCCACCGTCGAAGCAAGGAGACCAGGTCCGCTTGGGAAGCGCACCGAAAAGAACTCCACCCTCCCAAGCGCCAGATGCGACTGGTATTGTAATCCCCCGGTGGCTTGCTTAAATGGGGCGGAAATGATCTTCCAGGTTAGGGACGCAGGGGCGGAAAGGAGAACTGTATCGATTTAGATCTGGCATTGGCCTTGTAGCTGTAGTGAAAATGTTCCATTTATAATTCATAAGTTCGGGCAGGACCAACGCTGTCAATCGACCTGCGATTCGCGGTTAAGCATACTAGCAAAATCGACTAGTTTCTGTACGCTACGTTGAGGTCAAGATAGGCGAATGCATTTCAATAGGCTGAGATTCTGATCTGGGCCAGTCGGTGAAGAAAGGCAGAGCGAGATGATCGTGGTCTTCATGAGCATACTCTACATCGCAAGCCACGACAAGGACCCAGATGACCAGTACCGAACGACCGAAAACAGTTTATGCCCGTAATGGACGTTTAATATCGCATTGACCCCGGAAGCGTAAAACTATACATGGGCCCAAAAGGCTGTCTCTCATCCATTATTATGGTAGTGTGTCACCCGTGTATGCGTGTGTGATAATCGGAATGCAAAGTTCGAGCCGGAAAGAAAGTTGTGCCGAAGGTTGATTTGACAGGTCGAGATTGGATCGATGCGCGTGTATCCACGGGACCTGCTGCTGATGAACGGATTCCTGATCAGCTGCGAATCGGGAAGACCTGACGTTGCATGCTTACCATTGAATCTCGGACATGCATCCCCCACCACTCAACGAGCTTGGACACCTTCGTTGTGTTGAGGAGGTTGACCGATAGGAGCAGAGTATGAGGTCGGTTGATCCATCGGAGCGAAGTAAGAAGGGCTTCCTTCTTGTCCGGGAGGAGGGATAGCCCAGCTGTTTTGTTCAGCTTGAGTCTTTTCGTAGGGCGTGACATCCTCGCTCGTAGCTTCGGGTTCTTCTACCTTGCTCTCGAAGGTGTTCCTGGACCTCCTATCGTGGAAGAATGTCGCGTATCATTCGCCGCCTGTCAGCCTTCTTCGACTCTGATTGGGCAGGGACAAAAGCACGTATATCTCGTCGCACTCACCTGCGCAGGAACAGGGCCAAGATGACGAGCAGGATCAACCCGGCAAACCCACAGGCGACATAGACGGCGATCTTAGCGCCCTTGCTCAATTCGCTCCAGGGGACAGGCTTGCCCTTTTTCCTGTACTTGGTGACGGTGGTCCTGGAGACGCCGGTCTTGGTACTGGATCGGGAGTTGGTCTTCGTAGCCGCCAGAGCTAGGTCGAACAGGCAGGAAGTGGCCAAGAGGAGCATGATGGTGAAAGACATGCTTGCGAGTGTTTGAGCTGCGGATCTCGAAGTGTGGAGACGTTTGAGCTGCGGATTTCGATGCAAGGGGAAATCAGATGATTCACGATTCGTGTAGACACTTAGGGACCTACTTCAAGCACTTTCTCGGGGAATGTAGTTATATAGTAGTAGTAATAACGATTCTGAACGGTCGATGGTGTTTGTGCTAGTACAATCAGCTTTTGTGTTTTGGCAATTATGCAGCTAGCAGGTGATCAAGTGAGCGAGGATGTACTTTTTGACATGCGGTTTTGTACTCGTACAGTCATTCAGCATGGAAGCAATACGAGAGTCAGTAGTGGTGCCATCAACACTTGTCCCAATCAGCTGGCAGCTGGTGACTTGCAACCGTACACAAACTGTTCGGCTGGTAGATCCATGAGATCCCGCGTCGCTGTGCCATCGAAACTTGTTCTTTCTGTGAAACTGCTCGAAGATCTTTCCATCCGTCTAAGATCTGACATGCTCCCGTCTGATCTTCCTTCACATCTCGATAACAGTGTCATCTCGCATCTCGCTGCTTCCTTTGCTCACGAGACTCGTGGGTGGATCTTCGAAAGCTTGTCCTCCATCATGAGACATCCTTCGGTACCGACAGCCAAAACCTTGATAAACGAAGCGAGTCGATCGAACCATGGGTCACGCGCGCGACGCAGTCGAAACCTTGTTTGCTGGAAGATTCCGTTGTAAGTTACCAGTACCCGTCGACCACTCCCATGTCCCATCTCCAGGGATGAGAAGTTGCGCCCGTCACCTGACTAGTAGCTAGTCGCGCCACTACATCCTCACCTGATTGAACTGGATACGAACTCGCAGGGCCTGTACCGTATTCTTGGGCTCTCCGAGACAAGCAGATTCGAGAAGAGATGAACATCTTCGAGACCTCTTACTGTACATGTCGACGATGGCGCTCGTACCCAGGCTCAAGTGAAACGATGAGACCGTCGGAAGACTTTGTTGCCTCAGCAGGCTTTGCATCCACTTCAAACGTGGGATCTCCATTCTCCGATGGTGCAACGTGGAGCTTTGGGAGGTGAAATTGACTTAGCTGCCACCGCCGCGCCAAGAGACGTTTCAAGCTTGCGGGCGCGCCGGGACAAGGATGATGGGAATAGCCGCTGCCCCATTTTCCCACCATTCTCGGTTTGATGGAAACGGTAATCCTGACAACAAGCACGATTGCGAGGTTGAAGAGGACGGTAAGAAAATCCCCTGATCACCCACGTTGCAACAATAAGGTTGCCCTCACCCCCCTCCGTGTTATCGGTGAGGCCGTGAAAAATCAGTGTAGCGGCTATGCCACCGGGCGTTTGGCTCCTTCGAGGTGCTGCAACGCGATGCCCTTGTAAAAGTCGTCTGGTCGGGGTCAGCTAGCTGCCCAGATGAAGGCCGCCCGTACGCCTTGGTCGACCTCATGTATTGGTCGTATTAGTACATCGATCGATTGACCGACAAGCGCATGGGCGTGAATTCCAATGCCGAGGCCAGCTTTGACCCATTCTAGCTTGCTTACAAGAAACTGCAACTCTTCTCATTGTTCCTATTGCCCCATAGATGAGTTCTGCGTAATGAAACGGAACAGACAGCGATCTATAACAAAGGACGAAGAGCACACTCACGGATGTACCACTGGCCGTGCGGAATGACGTCCCTATAGATAGACTGTAAAAGGCCAGTCCAACCATTTATATATCTCGTTTCAGCAAAAAAAAAACAGAAGCGCTTGTCGACCGATATTCATGCTTGAGAATCCAGACTTCTGTCATCGCTTTTCAGTCATACACCTTCTAGCCACGGTATGAGACCGGACTGCATGCAAATTCCGGCTCCGCATCGGCAAGAAAGACGCGTAAAAACAGATTTATGCTCTTAGCCCGAGCGATTCAGGCACATGAGATCAAGCTAAGGGGAACCCTGTTTTGGTTCTCGTTTACTAATGGTGAGTGCGCATGAGTGCACAGATAAATTAAGCCAAGATACGGGAATCATACCTGGGCAATCACCCTGCGCTTGTCAGGGAGACTCGCCTCTAGTCTGTTCTCTTGGGTTTTGTTATAAGCTTTCACAGAGTTGACGGTGGAAGCGAAATGGATGTGTGACGGAGATTTGGGTTCTGGCTCCAAAAGCTGGGTGACCACGATGTATCTAGCCCTGTGCGCCTGTGCATCGTCGAAACTGCTTACGCCTTCACGGCCCGGAGTGTCTAAGCTCCAGGAGTCTGGCGCGTCACTCTGAGCGCAATACAGATACGGGTATTTCTCAGGGTAATACAGAGCTAGACAAGATTGGATCCGGAAAAATCATCCTGGTACATAGAACTGCTTATTTGGCTTTCGAAATGTGTAGTAGATCGGTCGAAGGTGTCGATCGTTATTTGACACCCACAGTAGAGTGGAAAGCGTTACCACTTGGGCAACAGTCGGAACCGCACCGGATGCAAATGACGATCACTAACGATCGAACGACCTAGCCTTGAACTCGACCATAGACTATGTCGGTAGCACGTAAGACACATCATCTGGATTATACGGAGAACTCTGTGACCTGTTACCTCAGCTATGGAAGAACCAGAACTCACGTCACGAAAGAGGAAAGACCCAGAAAGCTCACAAGCCTCGCCCAATAAACGGGCTCGAACGGACGATCCAACACCACCACAATCACAACCTCAATCTCTGACCACCTGGCTCAAGGTTCCTCCTCCTCCTCCACTCTCGAGCTCGTTGACGACCTCGAACCCGATATTCGACAAAGACTCGATCTTCATTGCCTATGTGTTGCCGATTACGGAAAAGGAAGCCACGTTCAAACACATCGCGGGGTTGATCGACAGGCTCGAACATGGGCATCCGAAGTTGCCGGATGTGATTGCTGGAAGGTCGAAACGAGATGTCCCAGGCGGATCGACGGGTAAGAAGAAGGGGATCAAGCCTAGTCATAACATGTGGGCGGCCAGGGTGAGCCGCTTTGATGAAATCGGATTGACGGCTACAAATCTAACGCTGTAGGAAGTGCATCCACAGCACCTCGCACTGAAGAAAGGCGCCAAAGGTACCCGACCGGATGACTACGAACCCCGAGAACTCGCCAACGACGACGGCGAAGCCCACGGATCTGAACACTTGCTCAAGGTCCTTCGTGACGAAGGCTCTTCCGACGTCCTCGTCGTCTGTTCGAGATGGTTCGGAGGGACGTTGATTGGGCCGATACGGTTCAACCATATAGAGACTTGTGCCAGGGAGGCGGTCGTGGAGTATACAAAGATGGAGCAGGTGTTCACGTTGAGACAAGAGCTGGAGGAATTAGATGATCTGGTGGACGAGCTCCGGGCAGAGGTGAACCAGGCGGAGCAACCTAAACCTGCCCAAGGCTCAGAAGCCGATGCAGAGATTCCGGTCGTAAAAAGCGGAGGCAGCCGGACGTATAGGTTGATGACGGACGTGGTCAAGCTCGAACGCCTGATCAAAGCCAAGAGCATGACGATCAAGGTGCTCATAGAAAAGGTGGCCACGCAAAAGATCGAACCGGAGGAAGAAGATGGACAAGAAAGAGGTGTCGAGCAAGATACGAATACATCATCATGACGGTTTCAACCAAGCGATATGGAATACAGATTTTTACGATTCTAAAGGAAACATTTCTTGGGTATGCGGCCCATCTGGCTCGACGGAAAGATGAGGGCGAGCAGGATTAAGCAACAATAGCGTCCTTCTTGATCAACTCGGTCTTCTCATCGTCCTCCTCTCCCTCACTGGCAGATCCGAGCAGACGCTCGACAGCCTCTTCTCCTTCTCCCTGGCTGGTAGAGTGAGCTCCCCAGTCGGCTCGGTGGTTGAAGAGGAGGTTGAAGTCGCCTCTGATACCAGAGACGATGGCGAGGACCGGGGTGACGATGAAAGGGGTGAGAGCGAGGGCGGCAAAGTTGGACATGATGGCGGTTCCCGCGTTGTCGGACTGCTCAATCGATCAATTAATCGGATCACAATCAAGAACGTAAAGGATGTTTCAGTTCAGCCTCGACCTACGGTCGCGGGATTGGTTGAAGTTGGAGGAGGCAAATTGACTTACGAAACCGGATGGCTTCACGATCTCGACGATCCTCTTGCCCATCCAAGTACAACCGAACAGGGTCATGATGATGGTGACCAGAGCCGTGGTAGTGTAAACGGGTTTGGCGAGGAAGTGCCCGATCTGGCTTCGTCGGATCAACCGAGCAAAGGAAGGGACGAGGACGAGCTGGCCGAGGTCCTTCTTGTCGAGCTCGTCAAACTCGGCAGAGATTGCACGGGTCTCGGAGAAGATCTCCTTTTCCCTCTCGATGCTCGAATCGTCTTCGAGTTCCACCGGCCCGGCGTTCCTCTTGTTGGACAAGACCCAATCGACTCGGTAGACGGGTAGGAGCATTCCACCGATGGATCCGAAAAGGGTGCAGCACTGGAAACTCATGAATGCGTGGATCATGATCGTCATGAACGCCTTGAGGAAAGCCGGATCCTCCTCCTTCTTGGGCTTGGGATTGGACTCGGAGTCGTTGCCGGGGAAGACGATGGCGAAAGCGGAGACGATCGCAAAGAAGAGGGTCGCCAACCCGAGCACACCGACGACCATGGCGCTCATCCCGAATAACCTCCATTTGAGGGGGGCACTCTGGTTGGTGATACGACCCCCGGCTATCTGGGTCATAGTCCTATAAGGAACTGTGGCGGCGATGAAGGTAAAGGCGGCCATAGATGCCATGTTGTTACCCGGAGCGATGAAGGGGATGAAAGCAGCCAGGGAAGCCAAGGCGAGCGCGAGAACCGTGGTCATGAGAACCTTTGGCAAAGAAGGGATAATCTCCTTGTATCGAGTCTCTGAAAATCGGGCGTGACTCGTCAACGAGGTTTTTGTGCGTCGCGATTATAACCCCGAGCCTACCTTTGTTCGAATGCCTCGCTAGAGCGCTCTCGGTGACACCAGCGATCTGTGTGAATTGACCGGCGACGTGAAGGGTCTGTGTACACAGGTTCAGGTCATGTTCGGTTCGCAAACGGCCCAACTTCGATCAATCGCTATCGCTACTCACGATTAACAAGCAGGCCATGGTTCCCCAAACACCCAGCTTGACCGAGCTTGTACATAGGCGATCCATGTTGCAGACGATGCCCATGTACAAGGCAAAGCAAACAGCCATGACAGCAAGCTTGGTCTTGGGGCTCTTGACCTCGTCTCGAGCCAATCTCTCCTTCTTGAGAGCGTCTTGGTCGACATCAGCAGCGTTGTCGATAGGCTGTGCCAGTTTGGCTGCGCGCCACCTGGTCAATTGAACGATCGCTCCCAGCCCGAACGAGATGGGGATCCCGAGGGCGAGACCACCGGTGGTAGTCCAGTAATCCATGTGGATGAGGGTAGATTGAGATTGGTTGTATTCAAGCAGGTGAGAAGATGTCCTCACTTGCGATTTCTGTGGAGCGATATCGACGACAATAACGAAGTCGATCCCATGACCATCCCCTCCTCTGCCCTATATATACTCCGCCTGCAGAGCTCGGCGACCCGTGCGCTGCCGAGAGAAGGAACGTGGCGTTCCGCGCTAGAAATCTCGCTGATGTTGTGCCGTGGCCGAGGTCGAGTGAAAATTCCCCGACTCGTCCACTTGGCGGCGACCTTGCCTTGCCGAAAAGGTTTCGAGAGCACGGACGTCGCAACGACAGTAGATCGCGTAGGAGAACAATAGGCATTAGGATATGATATGTGAGACACATCACCGCTATGCAAACTACCGGCTTCACTTCGACGTATGTCCTGGCGATGTCTATTTTGGGCTTGCAAGTCATTGCGAGCCACGCGCGTAATGCGATGTGTTTCATCGCTGTTACTGATAACTCGCAGTCTCGACATCAAGCCTTTCGCATACATCTTGCCACAACGTCACAACATACACATCTCGCATCTCGATTGATATTATCATCACACAGACACCTGGATCTTTAGTGTACTGGTAGTCAGCAATTGCATTGCATCTTCCGCCAGAGACTGGCGCGATCCTAGGCAAGAATCGAATCGTCCAGAATACGTATATCAATTTTCCGGTTATCTATTGTTGTCATCCAGTGGCTGTCTGTCACACCTCGACGTAGGTAGAATGAAGTTAGCAGTAAGCTATGAGAACTACCAACCAGTTGCCTCACTTGTCGTCGGTGAAGTTTTTGATTGAAGGCTGCTGAGAGCCATAGCAGTTATAAAACCAGCTCGTCACGTTACACGGGAATCTGTATACAAAGGTGAACAGTAGCGTGAGTGTCAGTCCTTGAGATAGAGTCTTTGCCTGCGCAATCGCCTGTTCACTCCGTGCTCTGTGGTATCGTACAGGAAAACAGTGAAACATATGTACAACAGATCTGATAGTCGTTCCGAGCGAGACGCAATGTCCGCCATTGATTTCAAGCTGAGGGTTCTTGACCGGACTGGCTGGATTGGCCTTAGCCAGTCGGCGCGGGATTGGTACTGCCGTATACAAATCCGTCCATATGTACATGAAAGAGGGTGCCGTTCTCGTCTCTCAATTTACTCAAGTACGTGTGGGATGTAGCTCCGGTAAGCGAGTGGAAAGTGGGATTCAGAGACAGGTCCGGAATCGAGGAGCGCTCTAATGATACGTCGCCGTCCTCCATGTAGACCATGTATGTAGCCGTAGCTATGACCTTCATGGCTAATACCTGATCGTACTGATGATAACGTAGCTCTCGTTTCAGAAGTACGCATCGCGGTCCAACAGTTGCGACTGTGCCGCAACAGGCGCTCTCTCTCCAGCTGTATCCCTCCGCTGAAAATTTTGGAGGTAGATTCTCTGGCGTGGCGACTTCCTTCTCAGTCTTCCACTGGGCCATATGCCTGTGGAAGGCTTCGAGTTTTTCGCGCGTAAGAGGATTGAAGACGTCATTCAACGTTGGAGTTAAATCATGTGCCAATCCCGGAGGAACTCTTCCGGATTCCAGTCTGCCACCACCGCCATCACTTCGCCTGCGCCCATACAGCCTGGACCCTCGACGTATGTCTTACGTACGATTCCTTGCGCATCGGTGTTTTCATCCAGTGGTATTATGATTTGTTTGTCCATCCTGCTGTGTCCGAATCTGGTTGATAAGGGTACCGCTGAATATATAATTGCACGCAAGAAGTCGCGGTAGGAGGGGATTGCCTGGCTTAGGTATATATACTCGTCAGCTTCTTACTCGCACGAAATCAGCATACAACCGATCGCGAAATTTGGGACAAAGGAACTGATTTATTGATCACGAGACGAAAGTCCACCGTCAAAGCCGACAAATCGTCAATCACGCTGAGAATCTCGCAGTTGCCACAGGACGAATACGCCATCAGTCAAGAACCCCATAAAGGAGAGCATGCTTATCAGATTGAGTCAGCCTGTCGGCAGCGCCGACAAAGTATCGGCCTGGCTGCGTATGTACAGCTACAGTGGATAGCCTGCAGGCATGGAGTGGGGGGCCGGTTTCTGGCGAGATTGGCCCTGGCAAGATTGTGTGAGGGGCAAGAACGATCGCGAAATCCTCTTCACAAGCCTAGTCCATACCACTGTCTGACATTGCGTCATATGGCGGACCTTCTCTTGCCTTGTCGATTGCGCCATTCTGTCGTAAACGTCGACATCAATGGCTGTCGAGAGCTCTTCCTATGTGCATGCGGGTTGATGTGTTATAGAGGTTGGTTGTGATGAGATACAATGAAAAGCTTGTTATGGGCAGAAACTAAAGCTTGTGGGAACCTAGGCGTCTCCCAGCAGCTCTCGTATACCTAAAAAACGCGCAACCGACCCGAGGTTATTTTAGCTGAACTCCTCGGATTATAGATATGTCCCGATCGACTCACGTTGTACGATATCTAGATAAGCCCCCGTAGCCGGACTATCCGGGTACTCGTCCAAGAAGCTCTTTCCCTCGTCACAACTCGCTCCGATCCTCGGGTCCAACGGCACTTTTCCCAACAACTCCAACCCGAGCTCTTCTACCATCTTGGTCGCTCCCCCCGTGGTAGGTTTGAAGATCTGTGATTCGTTCTTACACGAAGGACAGACGAACCCGGACATGTTCTCCACGACCCCCAAGATGGGTATCCCGACTTTACGGCAAAAGTCGATCTCCTTCCTCACGTCCTGCAGAGCGACCTCTTGTGGTGTGGTGACAATCACAGCTCCATCGATCCCGGTCTCTTTCATGTACTGGACGATGCTCAGATGCTCGTCCGACGTCCCCGGAGGCGTATCCACGACCAGGTAGTCCAGTTCGCCCCAGTCGACGTCTTTGAGAAACTGTTTGATCAGACCGTTCTTCTTCGGGCCACGCCAGATGACGGCGTCGGATTTGGAGGGGAGGAGGAAACCGATGGACATGACGGACAGGTTGGGGAGCGCGTAGACGGGGGACCAACCTTGAGCGGAGGTGTGAATGGTGGAATTTTCGAGACCGGTCAGGAGAGGGATGGAGGGGCCGCAGATATCGATATCCATGATTCCGGTCTGCGAGCAATAACCATCCCGATTATTAGCAAGTCGCCACCAACACCGATTGACCCAACCTGGATGGTCCCGACGTCAACCCCGAACTCACGTGCAGATCCTCATCGGCCGCCAAAGCCCAACTCAAGCCCGCTGTAAACGTACTCTTCCCCACACCTCCCTTCCCACTGAGCACCAAGATCTTCCTCTGTACGCCCGACAGTCTCTCTCTGATCAGGGGGAGATCGGGGTCAGGTCCTTTAGGTCCTTCGGCACAGACCGATTGGTTAGGACATCCTTCACATGCGTCTGTCTTGCCCGCCAGCGTGGACTCGGTGCCCTGTAGTAGAAGAACAGATACAGGGGACCAGATTCACATCCGAGGATAAGATTGATGGCAGAAAGGCGAGCGATATTGGCTTACCGGACAGTGATCGTTGGCATCCACGGGAACGTCCGTAGGCAAGATCTCGCTCGTCTCCGGGAATGGGACCGGTGATGGCAGCGGTATAGGTATTGATGGGGCTTGGACTGCTAGCATTTCGAGACTATGACTGGGACGATGAGAGCAGAAGAGGCTACAGATCTTGGCAAGTCAGAACGATTCGAGGGGGGATGATTGAACATGAGAATAGTTGAATCGAGGCGTCAGAGCCTGCTGCTAGGATTCTTATCAATCCTCCTCTCGATGATCGGAAGCAGATTATACATCCGATGGAAGTATATTTGCATCCGAGGGACTCTTGATCCGATTGATGATCTCTCGTACACGACCTCGAACACGAAACAGGTCGGTAATCGATGTGTGCCTCCTGCGGCGATGTCGACAGATTGTAACTGTAATCTATCCCAGCTAGATGGAAGCAGGGAGCCCAGATGTTCACTCCCCTGAGTAAAGGTAGCGAGAGGCGACAATACAGAGAATGGGATGGTGAGCAGACTACTCGCACGACTTTCATAACAACCCCCGGTCACGCTGAACTGATCACACGACATGCTCGCAGAGAACCCCACTACGCCGGATAGGAACCGTTCGACGAGGTCCAGATCTAGCTGGAAATCTTCAAGACAACCTATATCGCCCTTCCGAACTCCTAATCCCCGGAACGTCACACCTTCCCGGCGAGGTCACGAAGCGAATAGATATTCACATCAGCATCAAGGACATCAGCGTTATGACAGTACCACCCACCTTCTCGCCAAACCACAACCACGGCCATATCACCTCGAAACACTAGAAGATCTTCCTCGAACTAAACGTTCTTTCCGATCCCGCTGGTCGTCAACTTTCCTCCAGCCGTCCAAACAGACGGTCAATACCTGGTTGGACAGTTGGTGGAAACGACACTTTGTGCTCGTAGTCGCCCCTTGTCTGTTCGTCTGGGTCTGGGTAGCGGTCCCTTTTCCGGCGCACGATGCTACACCGAATGGTGATGGGGCAGGAAGTTTTGGCAATGTCCGTGGAGATGGTGATGGCGGCAAGGTGGATAAAGGTGGAAGTCAGGAAGATGGTGGAGGTTATGGAAGGAAGATCATCGAGCCGAACTTCGCATTCTTCCTCTTCTACTATTACGGTCAGTCATTCTCATTCATCCTCCTCTGAATCTAAACGATCCATTCTCACTGAAACCTACATATCTCTGACGACCATCACGCCCAACCAGGAATCTACCTAGCAACAGCCCTCCTGTTCATAACAAAGCTCTTCGACCTGTACCGACTCAACTGGTGGCCCCGCTCCCTTGGGGGTTTGAAGAGCTATACATTCTTCTGGGCGACGAGCTTGGCTGTGGGGTTCGGATGTCATTGGGGGGACGTCTTTGGAATCGGAAGGAGGAGAAGTGTGGGCGGCGGTCAGGATGGACAGGGGGACGAGGTCGATTGGGAGCGGAAGAGTAAGTCTACATTTCGAAATCGAATGCAGCCCTCATTTCCGAGGTATAATCGCACTAGCTGACCTCGATCGGCTTCCTTTTGTTCTTGACCCGGGGTATTGATCAGCCTTCTGGATAGCTCTAGCATTTCTGACGATGCTCATGCCAGCGTTCGTCTGCTTTTCCAAGCTCAAGCGGGATCGACGTCATACGTTCCGGCACAGCTTGACAGAGTTGCAGAAAGCGTGAGTTCGCACCCGGATTCGCTGTCGTATAGTCTGGTTTGGGCCAAAAGTAACCTGAGATGGATTTGATGATGCTAATCTCGATTCTGCTCGGCTTCCTTGTGCGGCACGCTGAATAGGTTCTTGGAGAGGGAAGCAGCGAGGAGGATCCCAGCGTCTTGGGAGAGGTTCCTGTGGTTTATGACCGTACTCGGGATAGCTTCGTTCTCGCTCGTCGTCGGACAAGGTACGTTGCATTCTCGAACCATAGCATAAATCAGATTAACTAAAGGATGAGCAAGTTTTGCTTCGATATCGTAGCGTTTGCGAGTCTGTACCTGAAGACACTACCGCATACCTCTATCGACGCTACTGTTTGGGTCTGGAGCTGGATAGCTAGTGAGTGACAGATGAACCGGAATGATGCGGATCGCACCTAAAGTTCACCGTTCCTGCATTGTTTAGCTGTGAATCTGTTGAATGGGTTGTCGGTGTGGATCATCTCGACGCATATTCGATCAAGAGCGTTGCTGTTCCTATACAAGGTGAGTCCGTAGAGTAGATCTGCTTGAAATAGCTCGAGACCCTGATGTGTTTCTCTTGCTATAGTATTTCTTCCAAGTCGTCCTGTTCACCTTCTACCGAAACCTAGTGAGTATTCGACCTGCACGTAGGTGAAATACGGCTTGGTTCTACAACGATTTCCGGATCCGCAGTTTGCCCGACTTCGATCGCCTCAACAATTCGCTCTCATCCAGCTTGTCTCTTCGTTATCAGTGATCACCCTACAACCGATCCAGGTGACTAGGATCTGGTACAAGATTCTGCAGATTGTGATTGGCTACGGGAAATCGTATGAGGAACACCTGGATGCGCAAGCGATCACTTTTTACGTACGGGGAGTCGCACAAAATGTGACCATCCTGGGGTTTCTCGGTGGGTTCCCGATGGCGAGGGCAGCGATTATCGTCCATCAGCTAATTTAAGGCGGAGGCGCTGAATTGCACAGGCTGGCTATCCATTCTGCATTTCGGCACAAATTCTCGTAGGTCCTTTCCTAGACGTCCTGCACGTCCATCCACCGATATTCACGAATCTTACATTACAGGAATCTACCCATTCTTCGCGTTCAACTACTCCAAGGATCCGTATACTTTCCAATTGACGTTCTTGGCCACGGTCGCAATCTGGGTGAGCTCCCTCACGCCCGTGTTGATCAGCTTTTATCGTTACTGACTGCCATGTCATTTATGGCCCCGGACAGGCCATTGAGCTGTTGACATCTTGGGTAACGAGAAGGCTAATGAAGCTCATATCTAAAGTCGATGTGGTGAGCCCGGTCCAATAGTGACTCGCTTCGCGTTGGTAGCTCATGCCGTCCAACTACCCAGACCGAAGCAGGATTACACGAATTACGAGAATTTCCCGAACTCAGTAAGTTCCTGATGTTTCATAACTCTCGCAAAACAACGTATCTGATGCTGTCTCTCGATTCTTCGTAGCTGTTGCCTGTGGTAAGAACAAGCGTGTGCTTGGAAGCTAAGAATTCCGCTGACCAGGAGTTCTGCAATCTATTCAGGCTGGACATCGGTACACATTTTGAGCAATATACTGCTTTTCCTCATCCGAGTAAGCGCATCTCAGTGCCCTTCCGGAACGTCTTCTTCGCTGACGCCCCGTTGACATTTTTCAGCTGGACTTCAAGTAGTGACGTATATGCATGGTATATAGAGCATCTGATAGATACGTTGTATGACGGACATCCCCATTGTATCTCACTAAACTGTGGACGACGATTCTTGCACATCGTCTCGTCCACTAACCCTCGGCCGGCGGAAGCACCTTTTTATAGGCGGATGGAAGAATGCGATTAGCCTTTACACTAGAGAGCATTTACTCTTCTGATCCCGAGACTTACCTCGCTCATGGCAAACCAATATCCGGCCCACCATTGCGCATTGACCGCACGCGAGACCGCCACTTCCCTGTTCATTTCAACCCCACTGGTAAATCCGGACATGCCCATGGACGGGTACACCCCAGAGCCTGTCGGGTCGTATGTCGGATCCTGGCGCGAAGCTTGTGGCGGACCCGATCGAGCTGGAGGTGCGGGCATAGGTTGTTGAGGCTGATACTGCTGTGGTCGCTGCTGTTGTTGCTGTTGTTGTTGTTGATACAACGGGTTGAATTGCGATTGAGGTAATCTTCGTCCAGTCGGCGGGGAAGGAGAAGGACTGGCCAGTCCTGCATAATTGGGCAGTCTTTTTCCACCTCCCATTCCGGCTCCTCCGTTTCGACCTCCCGCCATCGCTGATGTCGTCGCTGCAGAACGACTCCGAGCGTCTTCAGGGATGATAGGTCCCAGCATCCCATTCGTTCCTCCTGTTCCTGCGCCTGATCGTCCTGCTCCAGCTATCATCGCGGACGATCGGATCGTCCTGCCAAACGGATCCGTCGTCGGCATCATCCCCGTATCCATTCCCATGCCCCCTCCTTGTCCCGCCCCGAGACCGGTCCCCGACCCCGACCCCACGGTCGTACTCATTATCACATCGGATCCCGTCCCCTCATCCAAAGCATCCGGCTGGTATGTCGGTGATAACGGAGTATACACCGGAGAAGTAGGTTGATACTCCGGCAGAACCGGTCTGTATCCGTCTTCCCCGTCCTGACCTTGATTGCGGTTTTGATTCTGTGTGAAGGGGGTATTTGTCGGACCGGGAAGGTATGGGTTGGGTTGCGTGTTGTGAGCAGGGGCATGGGGAAGGTAAGGGTTGAAAACGGGGGTTGGGGCGATTCGGACTCGTTTGCCCTGACCGCCGTTCTGGTTTTGGTTCTGGTTTTGATAGTTGTTCTGTCGCCCGTTCTGGTTTGTCACTGGATTACCGAGATGACATGAAGGCTATCGTCAGACTGCCAAACTAGACTGCGTTCAACGGATACAGCATGGCAAACTCACCTTCCCCGTTAGCGTTCCCTCCACCCTCATTCGCCCTTTTCCTCTTCTTCCCCTTCCCCCCTTTACCTCCCTGTCCATTCCCAGCCCCATTGGCGTTCCCCCCAGCATTCGCCTCATTGTGATTGGAGGAAGAAGCAGTTGCCGTGCGGGGTACGATGGGATCTTCAGCGGGGTCGTAAGAGGTGTACCACCTAGTTTTGATCAGACTTGGGATCGTCAACGTCGGTCTACAGATCAACAAACAGGCTCGAGTAGAAAAAAGCTCGGGAGGCGCTGTGTACTCACTTGGTTTCCCCGTACGTAGCCCCGGCGAGAGGTTTCCCCTTGGCCAGCCCGGCCATGGTCTTGTCCAACCAGCTCCCCGGTCCGGGATTGTGCAGGTGAAACTCTTCTTTGGCCGCATCGAACGCTGTGACGAGGTCCCGGTCGTCCCACGCTCCGCCGTTTTTGGACGAGGAGAACGTCAGGGGGATAGAGATCGGTTCGAGTTCGGGCTCGACGTTCGTATTCGGGTCGAATTCGATCTCGTTCTCCGCATCTTCGTAGGCTTCCTCTTCTTCCTCGTTATTATCGTTGTCCATGGTATAATCGTAATCATTATCAAGGTCATCCTCCTCAGCTTCCTCCCCAAGATCCAGAGCCGGAACGTCGGAGACGCCCAGGTTCAGCTCGTCCGCTTCGTCCCCCTGCATGAGAGATTCGAGATGAGCCGCCATAGCTTTACTGATAGGCGACTCCGAGGTACCCGTTGTTGTTGTTGTTTTCGTTGTTGTCGTGGTCGCATTTGCCTTGCCATCAGGGGTAGTCTTGGTGGACTTGGTCTGCTTTGCCGGAGTCGACTTTTTGGATGGTTTCGATGCTTTCTTGGCTGTCGCGAGTATCGGAGCGGGTTGTCCGCTGTTCATCATTTCTTCCTCGTCCGACATGGTGAATGGTGGATGTATCTAGAAGCTCTGCAGCTGCAGATGTATGGTGTAGACTTGGGAAGAAGCGTCAGATGAGATATCGATCAAGCTGTAGCCTGAAGCAAGGCAAGGTACGAGGTGAGTAACGAGGGTTACCATAATTCGATTGACACGTCACTGAATGCTATTATGTAATACTCTTGACTTTCTTATCAAACACACCCAATCTTGACTTTCGGAAGTAACCCTCACCTCGATCAATTATTATTTCGGCGACGAGCAGCCAGCAGGCAGCAGGAGTGTTCAACATTCCATAGATACCACTTGATAAACTCCTGCATTGATACGACCCACCATACCTCATACACAGCATCACTCAATGGCCCACATGCAAGTAGACGCCCCCGCAACCTCGTCCACCGCTTCCACCATGCCTCCTCCTACTCAGGGAACCGACGGCGTCGAGGTCGCTGCCATGACCAGCAAGGACTAGTGAGTCTGGCTCCAGACTCAAGTTGAGGGCATTCAGCGAAGTTACTGCTGCACAATACTAGTATCATTGATGCTGACTGTTCGTGCTATGCGTCTGTTGTGAAACTCGTTTCCAGCTACGCCGACTCGTACGCTCATTTCGGTAAGCTTCAACTCGCCATGACAGACCTGCTGCATACCGCTCACCTCACCAAAACCTCATCTCACATCACATCATATCACAGGTATCCACGAAGAGATGCTCAAAGACACCGTCCGAACCCTCTCTTACCGAAACGCCATCCTCCAAAACCCTCACCTGTTCAAGGACAAGGTCGTCCTCGACGTAGGATGCGGGACGGGAATCCTGTCCATGTTCTGTGCAAAGGCTGGGGCCAAGATGGTCATCGGGGTGGATATGAGTAATATCCTGGATCAGGCTCAGAAGATTGTGGAGAAGAACGGGTTTGCCGATAGTGAGTTTCGGGGGGGTCGTCCTATATGGGGAGGGGTTTCCCTCGAAATTGTGCTCTTGCGATAATGCTAACCTTTCTTTATCATCACTCTTCTTTCTTCCTCGCCTTTGTTTCCGCCTTGCGCAGAAATCACCCTGATCAAGGGAAAGATCGAGGAGATCGAGCTCCCCGTCAAGGAGGTCGACATCATTGTATCAGAAGTAAGCCTCAATTACACCTGCCACCCTTAACTCCACCAACATCTTGAGACTGACTCGGCTTTGATGTTCTTCTTTTGCTGGGGGGAACTCGTAGTTCATGGGATACTTGCTCATCTTCGAGTCGATGACCAACTCGGTGCTTTACGCTCGTGATCGATACCTCGTAAGCCTATCGTTCTCCATATATCTGCTGCGCAATGTCTGACACGCATGTGGTACAATACGATACGACCCCGTAGAAAAAGGACGGCCTGTTGTTCCCGGATCAGTGTACCATGTACTTGGCCGCTATCGAGGATGCTGATTACAAGGAGGAGAAGATCGGATGTGAGTCTGCCCATCCCCTATTCTCTTGCAATCGCGCTGTTTTTCTGATCAAGCTCGCTTGGCTCGCTCGACAAATAATAGTCTGGAACGACGTCTACGGGTTCGACTACTCCCCGATGCTCCCGATCGTATTGAAGGAACCTCTGGTGGATTGCGTCGAGCTGAAGAGCGTCGTCACCAAGCCTTGTCTCATCAAGGTCAGTGCGGTGTCAGAGCAGAATCACTGTGCCGTTATGGTCAAGTCCGTGAAAAGGCAAAAGAAGCTGATTTTAAGCGATCTGTCTCTTCTCGGCTTTATAGGACATCGACCTGAAGACGGTCAAGATCGAGGATCTCGACTTTACCGCTCCGTTCGAGCTGGAGGCTACTCGACAGGACTGTAAGTCGTCCCTTCCCTGTGTGAGTCAAAGTTATTGAAGGCTAACAGAGAGACTGGTAACCCTTCACAGACGTCCACGCTTTCTTGGGTTGGTTCGACACCCACTTCAACGCTTGTCACAAGCGAATCTCGTTCAGCACTGGACCCCACGCCAAGGTGAGTCGCGCGACTTTCGGCGCGAGGGGCGATAAAGGTCAAGGTAGCTGATTTGAAGCTGTCGACCGTGAAACTATAGTACACACATTGGAAGCAGACCGTCATGTACACCCAGGACACCATCGCCGTCAACGTGAGTTCTACACACTGCGTCTGGAACGGAATCTGCCCCTTCAGCCCGTGCTGATATCCCCTGACATTGGACCGTGCTTCTGTAGGAGGGCGACAAGATCACTGGTGTCTTTTCGTGCAAGGCAAACGCGAGGAACCCGCGAGATCTCGACCTCGGCATCGAGTACGAGGTCAAGGGACAGCACCCGTCCAAGGACAGCTTGCAGTACAAGATGTGAGTCGTTCAGCGTTGTTTCATGCTTTATTCTTCGTTGTGTGGAGGCTGATACGGTGTCATTGTCGGCATGCAGGTCGTAAACCCCAAAAATCCCCATCGCGACCTTTTCTCCCTCACACCCCTCCTCCCTCCAACAAACACCCTTGGTCATCTTTTCGCTCCCGCCCCTCTTCTTTCTGCGATCTCTGGCATTCATGTGCGCTGTTACGAAATGTTGTTTGGGTAGCATGCATAGGCTCAAGCTTCCGTTCGATATGAGATGATGACACCATGCGATTTCGTGAGGACCCCCAGTGTGACTGCGGACCCGACATTTGCCTAGACCAGGTTCATCCCCGCCTCATCGGATTTCCGTGAGACGAGCAGGCTTTTCCTGCATTACAAGTAATCGAAGATAGCCTGGAGGACTGGCTCACGTGATTCTCTCACCTGTGTCTTGTCCTTTCCCTAGCCCTACTCACGTGTTTCGATCTCCCGCTGCTTAGGTCTCAGCTAGAGTAGACTATCGACCGGGGCGACGCGTACAGTACGAGAGTTGTACGCTCCAAGCTGCATCACCCAAGTCGCCTTGTACAGTATATTCCTACGTCGGCCCTTCTGTGAGTGGGATCTGACACCGATAGACGCGGATCTAATGGGGAATGCAGCGATGTACAGCATGGACAAACGGATGTAATCGATAGATCGATATTACCCTGACCTACTGATTCTATTTCGAGCCTCCTCCCATCTGTTCTAGCGCGCCGAGAGTAGAACCGACAACTGAAACCGATCGCGCTAACGACTTGTTCGTTCGCTGTCGACCTTGGTCTACGAAACGTCTCCGACAAGAATAAATGGTCCTTCTAGCTTCTGGGGATATGAGGTTCATCAATCGTCTTGTGGTGGGGCTCCGAGAACACCCCGCAGCAGGCTTCGGGGGTCCGGCAATACCCCGACCGACATGACTTCGATCAGCTTTGCGTCGGGGTGTTTGGCTCGTCTCGCAGGAAGTACTTCGATCTGTCCCGAAGGATCTCGGCGAGACCTGTCTACTGTCCGCTCAGGATCTGCATATATAAGACAGGAATCGCCAAGGTCATCGAACATTCGAGTTGTCTATTCACCATTCTACCCTCAAGCAACATCTCACCGCACCAACCATCCAACTCTTCAACATGCAACTTCAGGCAACTTTCTGGGCCGCAGTCTTGGCGGCGCTGGCGACTACCCCTCTCGCCTTCGGAGCTCCCACCGACTCTGCCGAGCTCGCCAAGCGTGCGGGTGACACGACGACCATCTCGCTCGACCAGTGTTCCGGTACCCCTCAACTCTACGCTCAGGGTATCCTTTACGGACTTGGAGTCGACCCCAACACGCCTCCTCAGTCGTACCTCGACGACCTCAAGATCAACTACGAGGCGGCTGGAGGCGCTCAGGTCAGCCCGTCCCCGGGTGGATATGCCGTCAACATGAACGACTACAACTACCGTTTCAGTACCGCGGTGACCGCATTCAAGCGTATCAGGTGAGAGAAGCGGAACTTCACCCCGTCGATATCCAATGCGTTGCTGACATCTTACCGCTTCTCGCGATATAAGGGCTCGTAACGGTGTCTTCGCTCTCAAGATGGCTGATCTTTGGGGTGCAGACGAGACGACGGGGAACAACTTCCCCTTCCCTGGAGATAACGGCGATTGGACCAAATGGAGCGCCTTCCTTCAGCAGGTCATTAACGATGTCAAGAGCAACGGGATGGCCAACTCGTACACCACCCAGCTCGAATGCTGGAACGAGCCCGACATCAACTTTGGCGGTCGACCGCAAGCGCAGTTCAACGAGGCCTTCGTTCGATGTGCCAAGGCCTTGCGAGCGGCCTTCCCTCAGGGAGGTACTTTCCTCCCCGTCAACGGTCCCGCTACGGCCAGTAGACCCGACCCTTCGAACGGTTGGTGGCAAAGCTTTGCCTCGTACCTCCAAAACAACGGAGGTACCGCCGTCCAGCCCGATGTCTGGACCTGGCACCTCGAGGAGAACAACAACAACGATCCCGTCTACTCATCTCAGTACCTGAAGTCATGGTTGCCTGGCTACGGGCTCAACAACGGGATCGGCTACCAGATCTCCGAGTACTCGATTCGATCTCAACAAGTCCCCTCGTGGCAGGCTTGGTTCAAGGCTCGATTCCAGAGGGTCGGATTCAATGGGTGAGTGTTCCACGGGGGCGTTTGAATCACCCCTTGATATTACCATGACTGACTTTTTCTTCGCTCTGCAGTCTTCGAGGGAACTGGGCCTCTGGCTCCCAGCTCAACGACTTGATGGCTCAGCTCTTGATCAAGAACTCGGACGGCTCGTACTCCACCACTGGTGACTACCAGGTCTGGAAGTACTATGCCAACATGAACAACTCTCCCTGCGGAACGACGGCCGGTAACTCGGTCGATGCCTACGCCACTGCTGGCAACGGCAACGCCACCGCGCTCATCGGAAGTCAAGGGTACACCGGGACCGTCAACGTCGTCTTCAACGCCATCAGCTCGAAATTCGGAACGGCCAAGTCGCTCAAGGGGACGATCATCCGATTCCCTTACAACAACGGCGGAGCGGTCACCGGGTGGCAGACCGCGCAGACCCTTACTGTTCCTGTCAACAGCAACTCTGCGACCGTTACCTTCAACGCGGACAACCAGTACGATGGATGGGCTGTCAGGCTCACCCAGTAAGCGGTCTGCTCGCAGACCGACGCTCGATACATCTCCATCCCATTTGCGATGATATCCGAACTCCATCTATCAACAAGAGCCTCAGCTTATGGTAAACACTTCGAGTCGAAAATTCCTCGGCGCCATCCTCTGAAGCTTGTTCCTGAGAATGTAAAAAAAAGGCAGAATACTGAACAAATGAATCTATGCATGTGTCGCTATCTCTTTGGCCCTGAACTCGCCTTCGCCCTATCCATAGGGTTATTGGATCGGTTACAGGCATTCTTCGGTCCGGCCATAATCTTAGGAAGTAGCAACCGATGAGTACATCTATCACTCAGTATCTACCGCTTGTGGCCGGTATGTCTACAGTGCCTCAAACTGGGACGGGTCACGAACATCAGAGGAATGTTCATTCTGCTTGTAATCGGTCGGAATATGTCTCAACGTTGGTAATAGGGTCGTCAGCGGATCGGGGCTAGATTTGGTACAATGGGATACAGAACGATCGGACAAACGAAGTTGGGAAAAAGGAAGAGGGAATCTACCGGCTAGCGGGGTTGTCGTCTCTGGTTATTCCGTGTTGCTATCATCTTCAGCAGGTTTGGTCTCGAAATGAGTAATGTAAGCGACATGCTTGGCGATGTCCTCAATGGTGACCTTGAGCGGGTCGTCGCTGGACGGTGCTTGAACGTCTCGCGCGAGTATAGAGCCGTCTTGTCCGAATCCGATGGTATAGACCGTCTCTCCCTTAAACTTCCCTTGGGTATCGGCGTTGGTAGCGAGCATACAGGGAGTCTTATTGTCCTTGGTAAATTCAATGATCTCTTTGACCCATGCATCGCGGCCGTTCTGTTTGGCGGCAACTTCGTCGGTGTACGCCTGAAAATCTCCTCCTTGATTAGTGAGCGCCCACAGGTAATTGGTCATATCACACTGGTTCGGATTAGGTTTGGTGTCGTGGTTATAGATGCCAATATCACCTCCGGCTTCTTTACCAGGTTCAAGATTGGGATGGAGTGGGATCTTATCCGCCCCCATAAAGTCAGGGCTACGGCGGATTCGATCCTGGATGATCATAGGCCATATACTACCCTCGGCGTTATCGCTCGGGCCATAGAGTTGGCTGGGAGCAAAAGCATATCCTGCAGTATAGTCGAACGCGAATTTAGAGGAACGCCAGACCTCTTGCCCGTCAGAGGCTGAGCTGGGCGTCGAGCAGTCTTGGTCGTCCCCAACCCAATGTTCCTGGTCGGCGCCTTCTTCGAAGTCGAACATGTCCTTAATGAAGTCCGGGTTCAGCTCCACAAAGCTGTAGATTCAGTAATTCAGACAGGCTGTCAGATAGGGTTGATTTTGAAGATGGGACCAGACTGACGATCGCATGATAGCCAAAGTGGTAAGGTCGTTAGGCTTTCCTTCATCTTTTTGATAAGGTCACAGATCCATTAGATGATGATGAGGCGCTATCAGCTTGTCTGTATTATAGCTCGACATACATTGGGTGGACTTGACGAGATCGTCAGGACTGGGCTCTCCTTTCCTGTTGAATACGTAGAAGCTTTTGCCTCCTGCCATTTTGCAAGTCTGAGCATCACCTCGTCTCTGAGGCTGGAAGGGTGATGCGGTAACGACTACAATCGAGAGATAAGTCAGGGTCCAACAACGATAGAGGGGAAAGCCCGATACTCACGCATGGGCAGTAAAGCTGTCAAGCCGATGGCCGTCTGCCAGATCCTGTTTTGTGAAAACTTCATCGCAGCAGATCGAAACTTGTTGGTGTGTTATACAATGTTCGTAGAGTCAGATCGATCAACGATAGAGTGGAGGATGCTGCGAGATTGTATGATCAACGTCGTCAAGAGCGGCAAATAGCGTTCACGCGCTTGGTTCATTTAAGTACGTGCTCAGAGAACACATTTGAAACAGCCAAAGGTATGAAACACCCCTGACGAAAACTCCCCTCCGTAAAACATCAAACCTAGATGCAAAGGAAGACCAACAGGGATGAGTTTGACCTACAATACAAGGTAGGAAGCTATGAGACGCGCATATGCTGAGGTTAGAGGATACCGAGTGGTTTCAGTCAATCCCCCACCGTTCTCCACCAGTAATATTTCGCGCCACATGGCAGACTAGAGTACCCCTACAATTTGTAGCACATTGTGATACGCGCCCACAGAGTATCATCATATCGATCATATCATCATGGCGTGCAACGTACTTTCCAATATCACGGAAATCATTGACCCACACAGAAAGTGGGCGAAAGACTCGGCGTTTTGCCTAAATTTCTCTTGGTTGCATAGAAGGCGCTACCTAGCGATACTGTATGTAGCTATGAACAGGTGGTGTCAGAGCGCAAACTGGACTTTTTTTTTACTTCGATCACACGAGTCACACAACGAGAGGGAAGGCTACTCTCATGAAGATGTGAATTACTATGATGGGGTAGGTACAAAGCCAAACCGGGTCCGGAGGCGACGTCAGCATCCGGTCACTGACCAAAGTAGGTCAAGAACTTGGCATTGTTGATAATCTCCGAAGAATGAATTTCCCGCTCATAGAGAGGATCTCCCGGTTGAACACGAGCGTTTCGACCTATGAGGCCTCCCGATTCGCGCTTGGCCAGAGTATAGATGGTTTCCGGTTCGAGTGATCCGACGAGGTTGTTCTTGGTAGCCATCAAGGCAGGTGCTGCAGCGTTCCTGATGATGCTAATGATATCATCGACCTTTGCGAAATCCGGGCCACCTTGAGCATCAAGAGGGACAGTAGTCGTCACGGCTTTCCCAGTCTTGTTCAGTCCTTCGTTCCAAAGCATCTCTGCAATTCTCCTAGTAGAGTTTCCGACAAGGGCGTCAATATCGTGAGTGGTCCGAATTATAGGCTCCCCGTCATCGTCCAATCCAGGCCCGGAAGCCATATTATCCCAATCCTGATAGTCCGCGATGAGGCGTTTAAATACCTCGCTTTGTATAATGGCGGGCCATAGAGCTTCTCATTTAAATCGGTCGTAGTTAGTGACCGCGAACGTCCCGATCTCTTCGACTTTGTAGCCGAGGATATGCACAAAACAGTCTTTGTTGCCTTTACTGTCATCGTAGGGCAAGAGTTTCTCGATGTTCTGAATATCCAATTCGACCAGGCTGCGAATATGTGTGCCATTTTAGCTTCAATATGGAATGGACAAAATTAAAGTACCGGAAGGTTCTCTCACGATCGCATGACTGCAAAAGAGCTCAAGTCCGCGGGGACACCCGTTTTATTTTCGGCAAATTCAGGGTTGACCTCCACGCCACGAGGCCAGGGTAGCCAGAGATTCGATACCTTGAGATCACTGGGGCTAGGTCTTCCCTTACCAGTGTACAGGTAGCGATCTGGATTATTCGGTCTTGGTGAAATGTTACACTTCGGTCCTTGACTCTGATCATCGGTACCGGCATCGCCAGGTACTGGACTACCGGAAATGTCTAATGCAGAATGTAAATGTCAAATATGCTCCCATTTCAGCGAAGACCATAATCACGATTTCACTTACAGGTCATACAATGGCTCAAGGCCACCACTGCGACGATGAACGATGATGGGAAAGGGTACTTCGTTCTGCTGGCGTGTGAGCGAGTCGATATTGTGAGATAAAGGAGTGTGGTATGAAAGTTGGCAGGTAGGAGAAGGACTGTCGTAATATGCTAGGTTAGGTATTATTCATAGGTTTGCGGTTCGCCTGCTTATGATCAGCTCCATATATATAAGCCGGAACCCCTAACTCTTGAAACCATGAAACTCACGTAAAACGCGGCGCGCTTACTCGAAACCAGGATCTTCTCCGAGACTCTTGGCGTGATTCCTGAATTGCCAAAGGAGGCCGATAACATCCTTTTTGATCGAAGTCAGCACAGTTGTAGCAGCATGCGGTCACTCGTTTCGATATCTCTTGGGTTTCGGCCCCCTTTACCCGACCTGGTTTGAGATATTCCTTAAGTTTATGGACGTGGTCGGTCTGGCTGTTGTCTACCAAGGATGCTGCTCATGGCATTCCCTTGCGTCGTGAATACCTTCCATACCGGCGTCTTTCGACAAGGCCTCGTCTTGCTCTTGCCCATCTTGAGCATCCGAAGGCCTAAGACAGCGAACAGCGGAAGATCCGCGCACACGACGAACGAAAAGCTCGAGACCAGGCATCTTTTGCTGGTGAAGAGAATCGTATAGCGAGACGGACTCACCTGGGCGGGAGTCGTTTTACATGATCGCGTCCAGCTGGAGGAGTGTTCGTGCCCACATCGCAATCTCTTCCATCGTTTCATGTCCAGAGTATTGTACAACACCACCATCATCTGGTTTCCCGTTCTGTGGTAGCAGAGCGTCTTCCACAGATAGTCCCACGTTCGAGCTCAAACTCCAACGCTTCCCTCGCTCCCGCTAGGCTTGTACTTGATCTTCTCCCACTCTCCGGACTCTTCTAGACGTCGTTGAGCTTCGGTGGTAGCCCATGCTTGGATGCTATGAGTCGATTTGGTTCGAGTAGCATAGCGTGAAGTGGTGGTGACGTGAAGTCGGACAAGGTGAGGTGGTAGAGGTTCGAGATGAGAGGGAATGGTGCGAGACGGGCCGAGATATGGTCATCGTGGCGGGTGATGTTCATACGAGTGGCGTGTTGGTTTTGCAGGCGAACGAAAAGCGACGGTTTGGAGAGGAAAGTACGGCGAGTTCACGAGGACGTAGCCGGCAACGAGGCAGTATAACCAGGGTAAGAGGAGCACAATTCGAGCGATCAGCCTCACAATCTCTCGGAGATGGTAGCTCTACCACAGCCGATTTGAATGTACTTACGACGTATCCGGCTTGTAGACGAGCACGAAACCGGCGAGGACCATTCCCCCAAAGAACCCGTAGTAGTAGAGGTTCTCCCAATCCTCCTTGACTCGCTTTTGGCCTGCTGGTGGGGGCTATGAGACGAGATCAATCACGGTGAAACATGCAAAGTAATGGCATATCAGCCAACGGCCACTGCGGAGTGAAACAGGCTATGCTTGCCCGACCGACCTTTTCGCCAAAGATGTATCCGCTGGGCTGATGGTAACTCGGTTGACTGGCGTAGGTTCGACGAGCGAGTTGTTGCCTGACGGGCTGACGGAGGGTGGGCAGGATCGATCGGAGCATCGTGGAATATCGTGGGTAGGTATATACGGAACCAGGCTCTATAAGATCGATGCTGGATACAAGGTCGAGTTGAGCTGATATCGATGATGTCTAGAGAGGTTGCACCTTGGCTCGAAGTCGTCGTCCTTAAGTCACGATCCTACGTTTCTCACGCGTTCCATCCCATCTACATCGAGCCTCGGCCCAGTACCATCGCTAGTAATTCAAGGGCGGTGAGGTAGACATCGTCGATATCGTTGTCGAGACTTAGCTAGATCTATCCAAGACACATCAACTACGCAAGGGGCTAGCTCTACCAAATTGGCCTGATCCTCCCTATCACTATCCCCATTCAAACCGAACGAAAAGAGGAGTAACGCAAATATGGCTGGAGGTGGACACGGTGGTTTCGGTGAGCTCTACCAGGGCTCCCTTGCATAAGTAACGACGGTATTAATGACGGTTGCCCTATTTGTTGATGTAGAGCCCGTCAAGGTATCTATCGATCGAAGAATCGCGACATAGGACGAGGTTGGCTGACAGGATCCCGGGTTGGCTACTCTGAACCTCTAGATCGACCCGGCTATCGAGCGATGGAACCACATGGTATGCCCTCTGACTCTTGCTTTCTCGCTGGTCTTGACGTTCACCGGGTATTGGAATAATCGAGATTCTCGGCTAACTTATTGATCCGACTTTTGCTGGAACTCTCAGCGAGAAAACGTATACAGGACCTTCAAGTTCACCCCGAAGACGGCTCGTCAGGTTACGCTCTGGGGAGCCTTGGTCCCCGCGTTGGTCGGTTTGGGAGCTTGGGCTGCGAATGTGAGTGGTGTGACCTTGCTGTTCGAGCGGAGGTCGTGTTTTGGGCGGAGCACGGAGTGGTATTCGGTTTGGGTCGTATCGGGTGATATGGACCAGAGAGGATGGTATTACCAAGGATGAGATCCTGGAGATGGCTCTCGAGCGGTGATCGCGAGGCGGATTGAAAGGACAGGAGCACGAGGTGGATGAGACGAAACGATACCAAGCTCGTGAGAGCTAGGATGTAGGAGAACGGCCGACTATCGAAAACTAGACCTCCTTTCACCCATCTTTGAACCGAATTTCGACAAACAGCTTTCCGACCGGTTGTGCTGACATCATTCGACTGCGATTCGTGTAAATAGGGTCAGTTGGACTGGGCGGGTAAGCAGAGGGGACAGAGTTTGTACGCCTCGGCACCCGGACCTCAGCAGAAGGAAGTACAAGAAGAGTGAAAGTTGACGGGAACGGATACGGGAAGGGATATGGGTTGTTTTGTGGTGCGGGTTCGAATCCCGCCCACGATGTAACGATAATTACATGACATGGACCGAAAAGAAGGCTTGGAGGAAAGCGAACTAGCAAGGCACTCGAGGCGGACATGAGGTCATGTGATCACGGGAGATGGAGACGACGCGCGAATGGATATGCTCGAGAAAACTCGAAGAGGACGCGGGCAAAAAGGTCAAAAAAATAGTTACCTACACGAAGTATAGTCACCTGGCCAAGATGACTACCCCCGCAACCTGGCCAGTACCGTCTTCAAGCGTACTGGCTAAACCCTCTTGTGGGCAGACCCCTCCTCTGGGACTCAGGTTGATGTCAATTAGGACAAGGCAGAACACCCATGCCTGGATGCTGCATCCTATGAGCGGCTGGCTAGACCCCTCACTTGACTACTTCTGTTCGATTGAAACATACAGACTATAGCTGCATACCAAATTAACAAGCAGTGTAGCCACCATTTTTAGTCGAGCGCTGGATACGCTATTCGAGTCACGTGACAAGTGGGTGTTGTCGTGTGTCTAAGGGGGGGGGGGGGGGGGGGGGGGGGGGGACTTTGACCTTGAGCTACGTGCTATCGAGATAGCTAGTGTTCTGTATTGCGAAGCTCGCTGCTCTTCTCAAAACAGTTCCCAATCTTCGAAGATGGCCCCCATCGAACTGGACGATTACGGTCCCAGCTCGGCAGTCGCGGCGTCGTCCACGTCGGGTACGGGCGAGGTCGATCCTACGTCAGATCCTCTCCTGAGACATGCCAGGTTTGCCTCGGATATTGACGAGGACATGGACGTAGATGGAGGAAATCAAACCTCAAATAACAGCGGATACTCGTCCTGGAGAAGAAGCGCTGGGCGTCGCCGAAGCGGATCGACCAACTCGGGTACGTTCAGAGGGAACTCTAGACGATTCCCCTTGATGCTCGTAGGGATCATCGGGATCCCCGTCCTCCTCCTCAGCTTGATCTACGGGATCATTCGTGGGAACGCTCCAGATCTTCTCCCGGACTTGCACCTCACCGACATCCTGGCACCTATCAAGCTGACGGAATCTCTCTCCCGGCGATGCGTCTGTGGGACGGACGAAGGCAAGCGGGATACGGAGGGCAAGAGGGTGTGTGAGGTCTATGGAAAGGATGGACTGTTGAGGAGTCGGTTGCATGAAGGGACGGGCAATCGGATCAAGGATTTCGTCAGGTTTGCGAGGACGGGCAAGAGGTTGAAGGTGGGGATCATGGGAGGAAGCGGTGAGTTCCGAGCGCTCCTCCGCTCAGGCAATCGTTAGACTCTCGTCTCATGAGCGTCGACCCGCTTTGTCACTTCCATTCGATAGTGTCGGCCTGTCACGGTTTACATCTCAAACCAGGCTTCCCAGGCGGTGATCCGGCTGGGCCGGGGTGTTACCCCACCTTGTTCGTAGATTGGCTGCACAAGGCGTTCCCGATGGTTAGTCCGGTTCTGCCACGTCATCTCTCCATCGACACATCAATCTCAGACAGGTCTCTTATACTCTGTCGTGATCATTGTAGCCTGATGGACAGGAACACGAAATCTTCAACGGTGCTATCGGAGCCATGGATAGCTCGTATTACGCTTTCTGCGGAGTGGGTTCCTGATCGCCTACTTGTCCTGCTCGTTGCGACCGCTAGCTAAGCTCTGTCGGTTCTCATAGACGCACCACATCCCTACCGACGTCAACCTCATCATCCTAGAATTCGACGTCAACGACCAAGCCAACCTAGCCTACCAAGCCTACTTCGACCAACTCCTCCGAGTCCTCCTCGAACTACCCTCCAAACCCGCAGTGATGATCCTCGGGGCGTGGTCGCCTCTCATAGCCCAGAACCAAGGGTACGGGGACCCGCAGGTCGCGCATCTGCCGGTAGCGCATTATTACGATGTGCCGTATCTGAGCTTGAAGAGGGTGATTTGGAACCATTATCTGAGATGGCCCAAGGAGGTCGCGGAGACGTTTTATCAGAAGGATATGGTCCATCCGAAAGCAAGAGGCCATGTGAGTCACCCGTCAGCTGATCTCATTCACTGAAGAGCGCTTGCTAAAGACCGTGTTCGTGTCCACCTCGACCTTGTAGCGAGTCATGGCCGACCTGCTCATTGCCTACTTTGAGGGCCAGATGTGCGAGTACGACCTTAACGGCGTACCCTCCAATCCTCCTCTTGACGTGACTGCGGGCACGACGCTTCCGTTCGGCGAGTTCGTCGATGCGGACTTTGCCTTTGAGAGCATCAAAGCTGGGGAAGAAGCCGAAGGAGACGCCTGGAAGTCGACTTATGACACCGAAGCGTTGGGCAAGATGGCGTTCGAGAAGAAACTCTTCGTCGAGCCTATCGACGTCTTAGGAATTCCTTTCACTCCGATCGAACAACCCTTGAGGGAAGTGGTCGACCCAGAATCGAACTCGACCGACGCCAAGCACCTGCTCGAGCTGGTCCAGCCGAAACCTTTTTGCGCGGACGCGAACGACCCGGTGAACCCGATGAAGCCGACAGTATCAATCGGGTGGGAACGCTTTGTATGGATGGAAGAGAAGCATTTCTGGAAGAGCAAGAAACCGGGTTCGAAGATCTCAGTCGACATCGAGGTCTCGCAGGGAAGGTGAGCGCCGCCCCCCTGTATCCTGAGGTTCGCTAGTGCGAGGAACGGAAAGCTGATCTCTATCGACGCGCAGGGTGGCTATATATTACTGGAGGAGTTCCACCTTGGCGGGAGGGACGGTAAACTGTTGGGTGGACGACAACGAACGAGGTTCGGTACAGGTGGGCTCGTGGTGGGATCGTCCTTATAATATGGCTAGGTGAGTGTCGTCCTGTTAGGCACATCACGAACTTGGCCTGTCGGAATCTGATATTCGTCTATGAACAGTGTCTGGTTCATTGATGAAAAGGTCACGCCCGGAAAGCACTAGTGAGTCATATCATCGAAAGGATACCGTGTATGCGGAATACTGGAGCTGAATCTCGATCTTGTTTCATAGTGTCACTTGCAAGTTGCTCGACCAGTCTTCGAACCCTAACGATGATACGCAACGGGAGTTCAGGCTGGTCGCAGTCATGGCGACATGAAAACAGTAAGGGTGCATATGGATGATTGACTGCTTTACGGTTGTATGATATTGGATACAGGTTATAATTCGTCGATACCCAAACACACGAGCGGTCGGCTTGGGGTCTTAGAGAGTGCCGTTCTTTTCGAGGTTCTTCAAGATTCCTTGCTTAGAATCGAAAGAACGTTAGTGTTACCCATCGTCACGCCATGTTGTAGGACCAACCTCCACTGGCAGTTGACCTGCAAAGCGGCGAACTAGCTGTCAACGATCATTTCGCGATCGCCGGTCACGAATCACACCCAGCTCACCTGATTAGCGTTCCTAGTAGGAAACTTTTCCCTGGCGATAGACGCAAAGTCCGGTTTGGCCGTAGCCAAGACGGCGAGCAAGAGGGTTTGCTTGTCTTCCAAAGACCATCCTTGTGCCTTTGAGGGCGAGCCCGGTCCTTTCTTGGTCGGGGAACCAGAAGGCTTCTTTTGTTTAGGAGGAGGAGGCGTGGTCTCGCCTTCCGGTCGGATGTAGGGTTTAGTGTCGACGTCGGACTGGATGAAGGAAGGAGCTTTAGGCATGGTTATGGTTGGGTAGGCGGTTTGGTGATGTACGAGTGGAGTGTGTGTGAGGTGTTGGTGAGTTGATGGCAAGGTCTGAATGAGAAGGTACTGTAGAAGAAGCCCGGGCATGGACGGGAAAGCCTATATATCCCTCCCTGTTGTCAACCAGCTCATCACGTCGCTTCGACCCGGACCAAACGGCAGAGACTCTTCTTTTGTTGCGTTGTCCCACCCGAGAACCATTCGCAATTCGTAATTCATGACCCTCGATACCCTCGAGATTAAGACCTGTTGTCTGTTGTCTTGACGAGCCGTTTGCCATTTCCATAACGATCGACGGTTTGCGGAGGAAGATCGTTTCAAAGGTGGTTGCCAAGTCTCACAATTTAGCGCGCGAGAAGCCACGTCCTTTTGTTCGGGTCGCCTGACGATCCGAGATGTTTCGAGAAGCTCGAAGAGTATTGTGGGAGTACAATAGATAAGCTCTCCAGCGAGACCTTTCCTCTCTTCTTCCCGACTTCTTCCAAGCCCTCCTCACCCACTTCCACACCTCTTCATCCACCCCTACACGCACACCTCTCATCAGCCCGCCAGCTCATCCTCAACCATGCCTCGATCTCCCAAGAAGCCCACCGCCGGTGAAGAGATCGATACCAAACCTTACGCCTCTGGCTCCGTTAAGAACCTTCCGACTAGTCCCAAGAAGACGTTGGTGACCAAGAAATGGAGCCGCGATGACAAACTCAATATCCTCATGGACGTGATCGCGACAGCGAACCCGGATTGGGAGGCGATCTCAAAGAAGCACGAGGGGAGGACGGCGAATATGGTCAAAGATCAGTGGAGGTGAGTTACTCGGCGTTCGGATAGCCGGAAGAATGTTAGTACTGAAGTCACAACGTGTCTTTTTGATCGATACAGGAAGACGCTCTTCCCGGCTCTGCAGGTTCGTGCACGGTCAGACGGCAAGCACGCTCTCGCAGTCCGTTTACGATATGTCTTGATCTGTCTACGCCTGAAACCACAGAAGACTGGAAGTATCGATAGTTCGGCGGGTGGAAAGGCAGCGGAATAGGACGGGAAGGCGATCTCCCGGGGATGCTTCCTTGTAGAATAACATAGAACACGATAGAGTGTAAAAGCAAGATCCAGGGACGTAAGAGCGGAGGGCGATCGTTTCTGTTAAACAACATGTATATATTACGGACGACATTCGTACTTTACGAGCCGACAATCGCTTCGGAAGCCTCTACAGCCTTAATAATACTGCGTCGCCCTCTCACTCCGACTTCATCACCCTTCCTTCCGATTTCAGCGACGGGAGGATGTGTTGCCTTTAAAAACCAAACGAATGACATGAGCACAAGAATAAAGGGGAGAACGATACCGAGTCAGGCTTACCTCCATTGATCGTGCACCTGGCTCTTGGTTCTACCCTCACCGAATTCTTCGGCCATAGCCTGTAGCGCATTCGTGTGCCTTCCCGTCAGACTGAGCACCGGCGTGAACGGAGGCTTACGACTGACCTGCCAATCGGGACTCGCGGTCTGCACGACTTTTAACAAGATGTCGATCTTATCCTCCTTGGACCACTTCTTCGCGGTCTGTTTCCCTGCAGCTTTCTTAGGAGAGGCGAGGCCCGATGGCTTGACATCGTTGACAACATCTTCGGAAGGCGAAGCTTGTTTCTTGGGTTGCTTCGCTCCCGATTTTTTAGGGGAGGTGGGCGGGTAGGGCTTGACATCGATAGTATCGCCGTCGGCAGAGCGTGCGGTAGGTAGTTTGGGCATCGCGGTTCGTGATGGCTTCTTTGCGGTTTTGAGATTTGAACGAAGGGGTGTCGGAACCAACAACAAACCAATCGATACCTGGTATTAACCACATAACTATTATGTATGCTTCTCGGTGCGCAGGCCGGAACAATCGGACAAATCAAGGTCATTTCAAATCGAAACGACAAGGAGATATCACTTCGATGCTCCGACCGACCCGCAGATCTTCCTTTGTTCTGTTGTCGATAGCTCCATTTGGCGACGATCTACATCGCTTTGTATCCATCGTCCATTGTCAGTTTCTAGAGCGACGATCTGCTTAAGGAAGCTGCCGTGGGGTATATGGGTATATATCCGGGAAGATAAAGGGTTCTCAGCCGCTGGTTTTCTCTCGGTTTCATCCTGGGCAGCCAAACCACCTTTCAACCAGACCAGACCCAATCCATTCACGACTCGAATATGCCTCGCGCTCCGAAAGCCAAAGCCACCGCCACCTCCAGCGCCGAAGAAGACACCAAACCATACAATCGTACCCCTTCTGCCCCTCCCGCATCTCCAGGAAAGAAAGGCAAGACTTGGACAAAGGCCGACAAGATCAAGCTGCTTCTCGAAGTCATCGGGTGGCAAAAGCCGGATTTCGATATGATCAGCACCAAGTTTGAGGGTCGAACGAGAAGCCAGGTTAGTTACAGCCATTGAATGGCGAATGGAACTGTTGAGAAGGCTCACAAGTTCAACCATACAACATAGGTCTACGACCAATGGCGGTAGATATCGGTCGCAAGTCGCTCTTACAATCAACATCGGCTGACCCGTTTCTTTTCTGCTGCGTCTAGACAACAGGTCCTTCCCGGAATCAAAGCCACAGGTTCGGTCGAGGGACGGAAAGCGTCAGAGTAAAGGAAATGCGGTCGGGTTGGCATGAATGAGGTGTTACGTGTAAAAAGAGAGATAACAACCTGCAATTTGATGATACCACAAATACACAATTCTCTCTTGCCGAATGTCTCTTACAATCAAGGGTCTGCTTGTACGGTACTATCTTCGCAATCAATACACGAATTTCAAAACAAGTTCAACAGCCGAGCACGCGTCAATGACACAGAAGGATGTCGAAGGGATTTGGGCGCTTGTGTTCCTAGACCTTATTGGTCAACATCGACGGAGGGATGAGCCTCGTCGGTTGTCGTACCTTGCGCTCTGGTGATAGTCTTGGAAAATCTCCAGACTGGGCTGCCGGATTCGTATAATTCGTCCAGTTCTGCTGGCGAAAGGCGGGCGGTTTCAGGGATGATGAACCACCCGCCAATAACCTGTATAAGTTGAAGACGGGTTGAGTATATGCTCCTATCTCGGCTAATAGAGTTGACCGACCATAGGAGCCGAGAGACCGACTGCAACCGTAACCCAAGAGAGATCAGTCTCAGGGCCTGATAGACCGACGAGAACAGTCGGCTCACAAAAGAAATAGCAGGTTTTTAGACCCCAATTGGCTTGGTTCGGGTTGATCTATAAGAGAAGCGGAGTGTCATTAGAATAGTTCGTGTTCGTGCTGTCTGGGATCCGCTACATGCCATGTATGGCTACATCGGGTGAGACGTTTCAGTCAGTGCGAGAACTTGGACAGTCTGTCTAGACGACCACATGAAACTCACGGTCACGACGGTGAAAACCAGCCCGATGAGCGATCTGAGATGAATTTAGGCTGAGCTGAGGGCACAACCAACATCGACGATCAGAGGTTTCTCACGCCGTCATCGAACCAAATGCCGCTGTTCTGCTTCTCAATTCGGCGGACGGCCTGTTTCCAGGCCAAAGTCAGCGACAGGCGCTATGAGAATCCAGGCATAAAGAGTACTCACACTTCCGCCAACATCGTATAGGCGGCAGCGGAATTGAAGGACATCGCGAAGACTTGGTGCCACAAAATAAGAACGATCAGGCGTCCGGACCTGGTGACAGAACGTCGAGACAACTCACACCACATGCAAGCAAGAAAAATCAAGCCATTGGCGCGAGCAGTATCGATCTCGCCTATGGTTCCGACCAGACCGATAATCAATAGCACGATTGCAGCAAAGCTTAGCATCCCGTTGATCAACCAATATCGTCCAAGTTTATCAAGTGCAAGGATGGCCACCAAGGCTCCAGCGATCGAAACGCAGCTGGTGATGATGGTAGTTCGAAAGACGTCGGTTTGGCCGGCAAGTTGGAAGAACAACACGACATCTGGCAAAGAGGATCAGTTTTCGGAAAGGGGTAGTATCATTGCATTAGAAGCGCAAGTTGAAACGCTCAAACGTGAAACTTACATGTGTAAAGGAATGCTAGGCCTAAGAGTTGGGTAGTAAAGAGCGCCCACCCTGCTGCTAGAGTTCGTCTCTGCAAGAAAGCATAAATCAATGTCAGTTTGCACGGCGTTAATGAGCATGACATTGAGAAATATATGACGCTCTGACTTACCAAGTTGGAACCTCTAAAGATGGCGGTAGCGCCCAGAGCCTTGGCCTGGCGGCTATGTTCAGCCTCGAGCTGAACCGTCCGGATCAAAATGTCATACTCGACATCGATGACATAGTTTTTCACGTCGCCATTTATTCTAAGGAGTAGTTTGCGCCCCAATTCATGCTTGCCCTGCGTCGCGGCCCACCATGGACTTTCTGGCACGAAGAAGAGGATGAGTAGTATCATCAGGCCGAGCGTTCCCCACTGAGTGTATACGGGAATCTTCCACTCGTATGGATCTTGTTTTCCCAGCTGGTTCAAAGCGACTGGAGCAAACAGCTGACCGATCGCGAACCTGTATTCGTGGGGAAATTTCAACAAGGGATAACAGGATCAGTCGACTCGACCGAGACCGAAGATGCTAGTGCATATCCTTTAAAGGTGAGATATAACCAACCAGATGCTATACGAGGCTATGAGAGCGCCTCGGAGCCGGATGGGTGCGATCTCCGCGATGTAAGTTGGCGCAACGAGCTGAAGGCATCCGACGCCAATACCTCCGAACAGTTTTCCGACGAGCTGGTTTGTGACACAGATGGAATAAAGCCATTCCCACGAATCAAATATCGTGCTCATCTATGAATGAGCCTAACATTAAAATGAGCTACGACTATCTGGACTTACCCATAGTTTCCAGTCACTCGCGAATGATTGACAGAACAAACTAATGGCGAGGTAGAGGAGCATCAGGTACATCGCCCATTTTCGCCCGAACCTATCCGACACCTATAGAGATATCGTCGTTAGTGATACGAGCAGCGAAATGGATGGGAGAAGATAACTTTACGAATGGGATTTGCAGAAAACCGAGGATCTGACCCGCTGAAATGACGGATGTAATGGCTGCCAACACAGGTGCGGAGATGATGGGCGCTCCAGCTGCGTCGGTCTCAGTCGACATCGTTTGGATGAAGCCTTCATAGATATTTGCTATCAGCCAATGTCGCTATCGCCTTCCCTCTCAACTTTTCGTTCGTTTGAGAACTAACCGGGATTACCAATGATGTTCCCGGTGATCCCGATCTGATTAACGTGTCACATAAATAGGGTGGAACAGGGGCAAAAAAACTTTCAGACCCACCTGGTACCCATCGGCGGCGGCGGCGAATGCAAGAGCCAGGGCTATCAAACTGGGCTTCCAGAAACTTCGCAATGCCTGCAGAGTGTTAAGATCCTGGGATGCAGAGTGCAACGTCATTTGAACCGGCGCATCCTTCCCAGTCGTAGGCTTGAGTGTTTCGACATGGTCGAATTCTGGTTTCTCGTTCACGTAAGGCTGCTTAATTTCCTCGTCCAGAGCCTGCATACTGATAGTCGTAGGGTTATCGAGACTGTCTGTTCGGGAGACTTGCGACCACTATTCGGATGAGCAGAAAAAGACTAAACATACGAACCCCTTCGACGCTCTCGTGCTAATTATGCGTAATCCTTCAGGTGATTTCGCATGGGGTAAAGCTCGCAAGCCTTGAGCGTGCGAGATCATCATCCCGCGGCCCCACAGACATGGCTCGAGATCATTATACCGGCCCTTACAGACCTGGGTCGATATCGCACCGATTACCTGACCATATTGTGCCGGATTGCCGATCTCTGAGACGCTCGTCCTGTAACTCCCGCCGAATTTCCGAATTCCCGGCATCTTATGCATGTCAGCAGATCAGCAGCACGCTCCATCGCGGCAAAATCATCCCGGGGTACCGCCCTGTCTGTCTAGTAGCTAGTAGCTACATGCTAACGAGCATAGAGTTCTGGGATCCCCGCGTAAACGATTTCTGCCGCCATAGTTGAAAAGGCTCGATGCTATCCCGAGAAACACCGTTAGTTTCCCGCGAGCAATACTAGCAATACCACACACTCATACTACTTCATAACCATATCAGAACAGACCAGATGATAGCAACGTAGCGCCATTGACATTGTTGCCTCGTCTTCAGCGCATCAGACCCCATCTTTCCCCTCAAACAGACACCGCAAGCTACCGCTGCCGACATGTCGAAGCTTGATAACCTCGCCGATGCTTTAGCCAAGCCGGACATCGAGTACAGGCCGGAGCAGCGATGGTGGCTCGCATCGGGCCATCATACTATGCAGACGTTGAAACACGAGGTGAAACTGGCCTACGAGATGGGTTTCGGTGGAATGGAGTTTCTAGCCATGGATGAGGCCGGAATCGACAATGAACGATACGCCTGGGGCTCTGAACAGTGGACTCATAGCTCCAATATAGTCGTAGAGGAGACCACGGCGCGGGGCATGTCGATCAGTTTCACTTCGGGTACCAATTGGGCAAATGCGAACCTCCCTACAATCGACCCAGAACATCCCGCCGCAGCAAAAGAGTTGAATTTTGTCATCGAAGATGTCATCGGCGGGCAGTCCCGACTGGGGATTGTCCCTTCTATCGATCTGGAAGCTTATAATTCCAGCCAACACATCATGGGTCACAAAAAGCCGGTCGCCAAGCAAAATCTTGTGGCGGTCGTCGCTGCCAAATTGATCGAATCGGATGAGACTGGGGGTATTCTGGATGTCGCGACGATCGACTTGACACGCCATGTCCACGGTGACAACCTGGAATGGACTGCGCCTCAGGGCGACCACAAGTGGCGCTTGTTTTACTTTTACCAGCATGGTACCGGTCAACACGCCACTCCGTCGGCGTCGGTCAACTATACCATAAACTATCTCGATCCCGAAGGTATACAGGAGGTCATCAAGTACTGGGATACTACAGTCCTGACGCCCAAGTTGCGTTCGATCATAGCCTCAAATAAACGTGCGCAGATGTATATGGACTCGCTCGAGCTCCTCGCGTTCGGGTCTGGAGGATTGCTGTGGGGACATTCCGTTGCTAGCGAGTTCGAAAACCGTCACGGCTACTCGATCGTCCCTTATCTACCCTTCATGGTATGTGCAGCCCCCATGATGGCTTCCAGTACCAAGTGGAAGTACGACCCGGTCGTAGCGGTAGATATCACTACTGTGCGCAAGGTCCGGTTCGACCTGCTGCATACGTTCACCGATCTGTACATCGAGCATACTTTAAGGCCTTTCCGAACTTATCTCAACTCCGTAGGGATTCAGTTGAGAGCGGAGATCAGCTACGGTTTGCCGTTCGAGCTTAGCCGTCCGGGGACAGAGGTGGACGGGATAGAGACAGAGTCGCTCGAATTTGGCTCGCAGATCGATGGTTACCGACTGCTCGCCGGAGTGGCCCATACGTTCGGAAAGCAGTTCTCTTCAGAGACCGGGGCGGTCGCCCGCAATCACATCAACTCCCATCAATTCTATGACCAGATCATGGCGACGCAATTTGCAGCAGGAATCAGCAAGACCGTCCTACACGGGTGGGCCAGCGTAGCCGGGGCACCCGGTACCGAGTGGCCTGGACACGAGGGCATGTGGGCAATCTTCGGTGAACGGTTCGATGCGAGGCAGCCCGGGTCCGACTTCTACTCCTTGTGGTGCCAAGCGATGGGTCGTATCCAGTATCTGCTGCGCCAAGGGAAACCAAGGATCGATGTGGCGATCTTGCGCACCGATCATCTGGTCGACAACACCTGTGGAATAGCCACCAAGGGCGACGATGGCTTCGTCCACGTCGACGAAGAAGTGTACGAGAATTGGTGGATGCGCAACCGTCAGAATTTCTGGTGGCAGGATCTGGGTATGCAGGACGCAGGCTGGTCTTACGAGTTCCTGGATGGTGAACTTTTGCTTCGGCCTGAAATAAGCTTTGCTGAAGGTCTCCTTCAACCCGGAGGGCCGGGCTACCAAGCGGTCATCATTTATCAGGATTCCCTGGTAAGTACTTCAGTCGCAGTCTAAAGGCATTCGCCTGGCATACTGATTGGAAACCCGTCGCAGAATCCGGACGTCGCCAAACAGCTGGTGAGATGGGCCCGAGGAGGTCTTCGGATTCTGCTAGTCGACAACGTTGCCGAGCTTGTCCTCCTACGGGAGCGACGTTATCACAAGAATGCGGCAGCGGCGTCCTCCACGCAGGGCCTTGATGGGAGAGACGAGGAATTGGCAGAAACCATCGAAACCCTCCTTTCCCTTCCCAACGCTCGCCGCATTACCGATCCTAGGGACACAATGTCTACGTTGGTAGAGCTCGGAGTTCGTGGTCGAGCCGAATTTGTCGAGCCCGACATCAACATCTTGACACATCTCAGGGACGACGGGGATGTTCAGCATCTCTACCTTTATCACTTCCTATACAAGAACGGATCCGCTACCGATGTCACTGTATCACTGGACGGCGCCTGGGAGGTTCAACGTGTAGATCATTGGAGTGGAAGGATCCTGGATGACGTCGAGAGCAATCACGCTGACGGTCGGACCACAGCTACTCTTCGCATGCACCCAGGTCAAGTCACGGTCTTGACCACAAGGCGGGTGGCCGGAACATCCGTCTCTTCTAAGAACAGCGCGAATCAGAGAACAATGGCAGTGACAGGCGATTGGGACTTGACCGTCGAAGATTGGGATGCTGGCGAGTCGGAGGTGATCACCGAAGATCGCGGTCTCGGGTACGTCACCAAGGAAGAGAGGCCCGTGACGAAGAAAACCATGATCCACGTTGGCGAGACGGCGCTCTTGCCTTGGCTACAGTTGGAGGCCGTGGGACCTCAGGTCTCCGGAATCGGAACCTACAAAACCCAGATCCACCTTCCCTCCGATTTCAACACCTCCAAGCCTTCTCAACTCTGCTTAGGATCTACCTGCGGCGGCTTAGGTTCGGTGGCGATTAACGATACCACTGCTCAAGGTTTCGATACCTCAGTACCTATAATCGATACCACGGATCTGTTCCGCCCTGGAGCCAATGAAGTGACAGTGAAGGTGTCGACTTCTCTGAATAATCGTCTCCTGAGTCGAGGATACTACGACAGCGGGCATGGCCCCTTCCTCGGGGGGGACTTCGACCCCAAGTATCCTGCTCATGCGCCTCGTGACTACGGCCTTCTTGGACCCGTCGAAGTGAAGTACACAACGTAGAATTTTCGAGTGGTTAGAGATTTTAGCGAGTTCTGCCAAACGGATTAAGCAGAGTGTCAGCTGGGGGACAAGTCCATCGCCCCTAGATCTGTACCAATCCCGCAGACAACCCGTCGGTCTAAAGTGGCTGCGGACGTGATGTCATAAATGAAACATTGCTTGTGTGCGGGAAGGTTACAAATTGAATGTCGACTACCTGCGAATGCAAAACCCCTTCTGCAGGCTTTGTCCACATCGTACGAAGATATCGACCAAGGGCTGGGAAAGACAGCCTGCGAATAGGGGGATTCCGATGACCGGATGAAAGTCCACCAAATTGCCGCATAGGGAGCGAAACAGGTCACCCCACGTGAGGCGTACCTTCAAGGTTGTACGCATCCGCTTAGTTCCCTTGAGCGTCCCGCTGACCTTGCAGCTATATCAGGGTGCAAAGCTGTAAATTAGTATCTCCGGAACGTCCAATCCAAACCTGTCTTGGTTGCCGGTTCCCTGTCCGGAGAGCTCATCCATAGCACCCTACTTCTGCCCCTTGATATCGACGACCTTGTACTTGGCCACGGCCGCTTCACAAGCCGCTGCGTTCGCTTTACAATTCCAGACCAATGCGTCGAGTGATTCACGGTCCATCTCGCTCAGCCGTCGGTTCTCGTTAGCGTGGTTGGCCTGAGCGATGGTATGCTTAGCGGTCGGGGTTGAAAAGACGGTCGCGTGGTGTTTGTCCAGAAGTGCGCATAGGTCCACTTGAGTTTCAGGGTCGGCGAATCCAAGTTCTCGAGCGAGGAATCCGAGTGGTATTGTCATGTACCTGCGGGTCGATCATCAGCTTGGTTGCAAAAGATGCGCTCAAGCTAGACTCGGTGCTTACGATTTGGAGATCTTGGCCAGTGCCGCCACTCTCTCCCGCTCGACAAAGTGGACCATCAACTTGGCGTTATAGAACACGGGATCGACAAACAGTCTGAAGAGCCGATGATAATTCCCCGTCGTGATGGCCGCATGTACAGCGAGAGCGTGGGCGATTCCTTTTTCTCGTTTCTGCGTTGGGGAAAGTCTGGCAATGGCACGTCCGAGCTCTGCGATTCGAAAATGATATTTCTGTCAGCGACTGGCTAGCCAAGGTGAGCCCAAGAGGTTTAGTGAAAGACTTACCGCTCATGTTCTTGGTGTGGATCATGTATAAAATCCTGTATCCCAAAAATTCTGCCGCACATCCGGGCAAACCGTGTTCATAAAGCTGTTTCAAGACCGACTGACACTGGTTGTACTCGCCCAGGTCGGCCTGCCATTGATGAGCGGAGCCAGGTCAGGTTAGCCAGATCAGTCTCGAAGGGTTGATAGGTGTGAGGAACAGGATCGGAGGGCGACACTTACGGATTGCAAAGCCACCCGAGCATGGAATTCGTATACCTTGACCGTAAACTCGTTCTTGATCCTTTGCACCTGTTCGTCCTTCTTTATTCAGCCAGCGATTCGTCAGAGTCGGCTAGGGCGATATGCAACTCACCGTCAGATCCTGTCGCATACTCTTCAACTGATCGCAGATCCACGGATAGGGCTTCTCCTCCATTTTCCACTTGTTCTTGATATGTACCAGTGTCTTTTCTAATATATGTAATGGTCGGATGTTGGCGGGGTTCGGAGCCTGAGTCATGGAAAGACGCAGCAAAATTGATGGCATTTAAGTACGTATCGAAGCGGCATGAGATGCGAGACAGGGATAGACCCACGCTCGTCAGCCGGAGATAGCTCTTTTCGATCGTCGTGCTCGTCCCCTTGATGGTATGTCGATCCCAGTTGATCACGTTCTACCAACCCACCACAGATGATCCAATTAGCAATCGTATTTCACAGCGATCCCCAAAGGGGTTCTTTTTCGACTCACGGGATCCGCCTCTGGTTCCTCTTGATTCCACGAAACCCAGCCTATCCGACCGGACCCTTCCTCAGGCTCATCATCTCCCCATCCCCCGTTCATCTCTCTCTGCTTATCAAGCTCGATCTCCCTCTCGAACCTCCTCGCTCGTTTCGCCTTGGCTTGGTCTTCTTCGTAGGTCTGCAACGATGAGGCGGCAGAGGGGAAAAGAGAGGCGGATTTACGTTTCTTGGATTTGGTAGCTGGGGATTGTTGTTGTTTCTGCTGAGCGGTGTTAGTGATCGAAGAGGTTGAAGCCGAGGCGTAGGTCTGGGTTGGGGGTGGGGGTGGGGCGCCAAGAGGAGGGAATTGAGAATTCGAAAATACGTTCGGAGGTTGTAACCCCTGTCCTGGTGGTTGAGCTTGTCCCTTCGTCAGCTTGTCCCCTCCCTTCCCTGCTATGCTGATCGGAGCGAATCCATTCCCATTCGTATTCGCAGTAGGCCGGTTTTGTCCAGGGTTGACGGTCATCACCCGAGCTAGTTGTGCTAGGCTGGGACACCAAACCAGCGGGTCCGCCTGGCTCCAATCTTGGCTGACGAGGGTGGGGTCCTTGTTGAACATGCGTTTGGCGATCTACGAATAGCAACCAGGGGCAACGAGTCAGCTCGACGATAGGTGATCAGGTGGAAATGACGTCAATCGGTGAACGGATACTGACGACTTTGATGTCTTCCGCGACGGCAGACTTGTACTGCGAAGTCGCCATCTTCAACGCTTTTGCCACGAACGCCCTGTCATACGGGGTTTCCAATTTGCCGGGATGACCAGAATCGATGCAACGGCGATGATCGAGTCGAAAACGTTTTCGTTGCACCAGATCATCGAGTGAAGCGCGAATATGTCGTTGTATAGCGGTCGAAGCGAAGCAGAATGAAGGCAATATCGAGACCAGCAATACTGTCAGCCTTCACATATCAATCTTCGATCTCGAAAGGCGGGACGGGTGCTTAGAGCATAGCGATCACGCCAAAGGGGGAGAGAAACTTGGGGCGGTACTCACTTGAAGTCGTCCCTCGCCATAGCTGACATCCTGGCTTGATTTCTTCGGGGGTTCTTTGATTATGTAGGGGACCTGAACAGAGGGTGTCTTGTAGTGTTGTTAGTTGGTATATATGGTTCGAAACGGGTCGTATCGTTGAGGTAAGAGTGTACTATGTGGTGAACAAAAGTAGCTGTCAAGAGTGGAATATGGACACGAGACCCGCAACCTGCTGCCCTCTCCTCCCATCTTGTATACGCGTCGCCCCCGGTCTCCTTATCTCCTTACAACAGGTCCAAGTGAAACTCGACGATTCCGGTCTGGTACTCGAGTACTGTGTCTACATTCGTATTGGCGCATACAGGTGGATTGACCGCCATTATCTACAATAGTTTGAACCCTAATGCTACGAGAAGTAGACCATGCTCATCGTCGCTTAGCTTCAGTCTCCTCTCGTGATCGTGTGCTCGAACCAGCCACTCTCAAGCCGAGATGACCTGCATCCACCGCTTCCTCTCCTCCCTATCCCGATTCGCCTCCCTCTTAGCACGTCCTCGACGGCGCTTTTCCAGATCCTCCTCGCTCAACCCGGGTACGACTTTACCCCTCTGCATAGCCCGAATGTCGGCTAGAGTGTGGGTGACCTTCTTCCTCCTCGTCTCCGATTTCGCCCCAGCTTGACCTGATGTCTGCGTATGGGGCTTGAGCATCGTCCGACGATGTTGCGGAACATGCCCGATTCCAGCGAGATCGTTCTTCAGGTACGTCGCCACTGGGGCGACTCGACCGGGTCCGACCAGGTTGTCGAGAGAGGAGGCTGAGCGTTCGGCCAGGTCGGCGAGGACGAGTTCTTGTTCTCCAAACCTGGTCGGTCCCGCGTCATCTGCATCTACGTCGATGGGCCGGACTTCGTGATCGTCGTCGTCCTCGTCCAGCTCGGTCAGGTCGATGATCTCGTCGACATCAATCACCTTCACCTCCGCCTTCTTCCCAGCTTGCGCATCTCCCTCGCTATTTTCCTCGTGATTCAGCTCCCTCTTCACCCGCAACCTTTCCCCTTCCTCAACCTTGACTCTATCCCTCGCCTCTTCCCACCCGTCGGGCCTGCCCAACCCGCCCGTCCCGCTCCAGCCTCCCTTTTGTAACAGCCTCCATCCAACATTATCTGGACGTATATGAAAGTGCGTCGGGGGTGCGGGCGGGGCTGTACCAGGGGGTGGAAGGTTGAGGAGTGATGCTAGCGATGAGGAGTTTGGCCGTGGGTTTGAGGTCGATGCTGATGCTGATGCTAATGCTGATTTCGATGTGGACGAACGGGGTACAGAGCTGGAGGGAACTCCAATACGACCCCGATCCTCGTCTTCTCGTTTGACTTCCTCCTCGCCTCCGACCTCTCGTTCTTGTTCTGCTTCGAAGCCACCCTCAGCCTTGACCCGGGCTTCAGCCTCGTCCAGAGCCTTAGCTTCGGCTTCCTTCCGAGCTTTCGCAAGCAGGGCTTTCCGGATAAACCACTCCGATCGAGGTACCACCAAATTTTTGGGTTCCGATGTTGGTCCGAGCTTCTTTGATGATATAGGTGGTCTGGAGGAAGAGCGATTCTGGGAAGGTGAAGAGACTGTGGCGGATTTCGTCGTCGAAGGTGACCCTGACAATGAACCCGACCCCGAGCCTGAAGCGACAGGCCCCACCCCGAAATCCAATCCCTTCCAGAAATCCATCACTCCCTCCCTCCCTGTCTTGCCCTTCTTCTCCCCCTCTTTGCGTACCCCATCCGTATCCGTAAAGGTATCCTCGATGAGCCTTCCTTGGCTATCGTATCGCCCCTGAGCAGGTACAAATGTCGGTGCCGCCGTAAACCTGAGATGAAGGGTGGGTCCGTGACCTTGAGGCGGTACGTGTAAGTGCATCGGGGGTTGTGGGTATTCGTAATCATGTTCGTTCGCCTCGTCGTTATTGTCGTGGGTCTGCATGTTGGTCTTGCGGGGATAGCCGGGTTGTTGATACTGGTGGCGAGGTGCACCAAGGCCTGGGCGGCAGGACGACTGCATGGCGTAGAGGTGGACTGCCCGAAGAGGATCTAAAAACCCGCTCAAAGGATCTATGTGTATGGATACAAATCGATTACAATATCACGAGCTGTTCAAGATCGAGACTTTTGGACATCGATCGTTCGAATATGGTCCAAGCCCCGGTGGGTCGGAGCCGAAGCGAGACGTTCCTTACGTCAGCGCATGCCGGCATCGCTTTGCGCTTTCCTTTTCCCCATCGTAGCAGGTTTACAACCGGGCTTTAGACTTGTAAAGCCCCAGCCCACCATCATGAGCTATCAACCGTAAATATCAGAGATCCCTGCGGTTACGGGGGATCCAAATCGTTTTATGACCCTCGTCTGTGTGACACCGGGTTCATCCCACATCGTCGCGTCCGGAAGTTCCGTTCGATTCCGCAAAAATCGGGATGGTACGGCTTCATTTCTTTCCACACAATCGTGTTCCGGATGGGATCGCGGATAGGCAATGAACCGGTGTTGATAGTTCAAAAGTTCAAGCACAGATGAGAGTCAGAGAGTGCAAGATACGATAGAATAGCTGAATTTTACGATAGGCTTCGAGATTATCGTTTGTATGCGAATTTGAGATGACGCGATCGACATGCTAGCGCTCGAACCACTTTGATCCCAGCGACCTTGTTTGGGGGAACCTTACTAAAGATACTAGGTCTCGACATCCAGACACTTACTGGCAAGCCGCTTCCTCCAACCTCTGATTAAGCACCATTCTCAAGCCGAGCCGAATCATGCTCATCTTACTTCGACGTCGACTACGATCAGGTCGCTGTTGGTCGGGTCCCGCAGTCGGCGCGCACGACCGGACGCGCGGATTCACCAGGTCGAGGTCGAAAGAAGAGGTGACCCGAACATCATCATCGTCGCTTTCACCACTCCTCTTCCCAACACCGATATCAACCTCGACACCGATCTCACACTCGAATCTTCATACAAGGGCGTACAGGAAGACTAGAAGCTCAATCCCCTTCCGTATATCATCGTCAAGTTGCGCACCTGAACCCAACGCCTTCAAATCGACACCACTATCACCCGGTCGGCGTTCCAGCTATCTGACAACCCAGTCCTCTTCCCGTCACCGATTCATATACAACCAACACCCACATCGACAGTCGTCTTCACCAATTAGCTCTATCAATTCAACCAAGCACTCTCTTCTTGCTTCTTTCTTGCCTGCATCAGCCTCCATCCGGTACGGCGTCAATCAGCCTCCCGGACACTCGACAGCTTCCACGACGTCCTTCTCAACTCCCATCCCCACCATCTCCAATATTACCTTTGCGTTGATCTCTCCTCGCCAAAAGTCGAGAACAATATCGAGAATCCCAGTTCAGCTCTTCTCCTCGTCCAGCTCGACCTGCTTACGGGTACGAGCAAGAGGAGCCGGTACCTCGGTCCACGGACAAAGGGTCAGGTCGAGGTCGGGAGTGTTATTCGGATACGGAGGTGGAATCGGAACTAGGTTTGGGATGGCTTCTATAGCAGAGAGCGTGTCTGGAGCAGGAAGAACTAGGGGATACGCTTCGGGTGTGAAGGACGACTCGAAAACGGAGGGAGTCAGGAATCGAGCTGGGCTAGCTTCTACCCAGGTCGAGTCCCACTCAAACTCCCACTCTCATTCGCATTCTCACTCCCATTCCCATTCACATTCACATGGAATCTTTTCCGGAGGTCATCATCACCACGACCATTCGGAAGGAGCTGGGGAGATCATCGCGGCGTTGACGGGAGAGAAGAAGGATAAGGGGAGTCGGATTACCTTGTTGGGTGCGTACCGCCTCTGATCTCGCGGGAGGTCGAGCTCGGACTGAGATGTATGACATTGACAACGTCTTGAATTCTTCCTTCATACCGGCTCTGTGGTGGACGATAACGCTACTTTGCAGGTCTGGCAAGTAACGTCGGGTTGACGGTGACCAAGGGGGTCGCGGGGATATACATGAATTCGGCTTCCTTGCTGGCCGAGGCTGGTCATAGTCTTTCCGATTTGCTAGGCGTGAGTCCGCATGGCCACTTAATCATTCCAGTCGATTATCGGATACCAACGAGGGGCCGAGCTGACGAGCTGAACTTGTTTTTCGGCGCCGCAGGATTTTGTCACCCTGGCTACGTGGAAGATTTCCAGGAGACCGCCTTCCGCCGAGTATCCCTGGGGTTATGGGAAATTTGAGACGGTCGGTACATTGGGCGTCAGTCTGATCCTCGTCGGAGGCGCGATCGGGATCGGGTTGCATTCATATCACGTGAGTTCTTGACCGAGACAGGCAGTAGCAGCGCGGGACATGCGTTGAAACGATGTTGTTTTCTGCGTGATAGCTACTCTTGCAAGTCATGCTCCCTTACCTCGACTCGCTAGATCCGTCCAGCCCGTTGGCACAGATCGTCCCCTTCCTGCCCAAATCGATCCCCTCACCCCTGCTTGAGCTGTTCCACGATCACTCGACGCATGCTGGTGCATCCCATTCCCACGCTCACGAAGCCATCTCAGCGGTCGCGCCTGGTGGAGCCGGTTTGGAAGGCGCCTTGACGCACGAGCACGAACATGGGAGCGTGTTGAACCCGCATGCGGCGTGGTTCGCTTTGATGAGCGTTATCGTCAAGGAGTGGTTGTACAGGGCGACCAAGCGGGTGGCGGATGAGGAACACAGTCCGGTCTTGACAGCCAACGCCTTACAGTAAGTCACCTGCACTATTTTTCCTACAGCTAGGGCGATGTGGAGGATAAGAAAGCTAATCCACTCCACAACAAATCGTGGTTGCTCCTTGACAGCCACCGATCAGACGCCCTTACTTCCGGTGTAGCCCTTTGTTCAATCCTCGGTTCCGCAGCGGGTGCGCCCGTACTCGACCCGCTCGGCGGACTGGCCGTGTCGTTCTTCATCCTTCAACAAGGTCTGTCGCTCTCCCGGGTGGCTGCGTTGGAGATGCTTGACAAGGGTGTAGATGCTGCGACGCGAGACGAGATTGTTAGCGTGGTGAAACCGCTCGTCAACCAGGACATTACCCAGGGCGGGTTGATCGGGGTCAGGAACGTCCGGGCCGTCAAGAGTGGGGGTGAGTTATAAGGCTTCGAACACTTGGAGTAGTGACCACAAGCTGATTTAGGATACTCCTGTCATGCCAGGCCTGTCATCGATCGACCTGACCATCCTCGTCTCCCCCGACATCTCGGTCCGAGAGTCACACGATATCGAATCCCGAGTCCGAGAACGGATCATGAGCGAACGTAAAGACGCGAGGGAGGTCAAGATCCACATACACGGTGTCGAGCCCGGCGAGATGGAAGTGCTGAAAGAGGAGAAACGCCAGGGAGGGAGCGATTTCGGGAGGGACGGGTGTTAGGTTCGTGATGCCCTTTAATATTAGACTACGAAGGAGGCGGACGAGGCTCTAGGTGCAGCGATGATAGAGTCATGATTAGGTTCAAGTGGTGGGAAGGTCCGAACTGTATTCTCAAGATTGTATCGTATCGCATATGAACGAAACAACCAATTCAAACTAGGTCTCGACGTGTGTATAGGTTCATAACAATGGTGGCTACGACATGGATCCAGCAAGCAACTATGTATGATGCAAGGTGCAGGGCTGAATTCCGATGACATTGTATTGTGCGTAAGAGCTACACTTTTGTTTTTCTGCGTAAGATGATACTAGATACATAGACCGACCGACCGATCCCGGCTCGATCCTCGAATCCCCGCGAAAGACCGATCACTCCTTCTTCTGCTTCTTCGAGCTGTCGTCTCCACCCTCCTTGTCGCTCTCCTCCTTTTCCCTCTTCTTCTTCTCCTCCTTTTCGGCCTGCTTCTTCTTGATCTCGGGCATCATCTTGTGAGCGGCTTCGTTCATGGGTCCTTCACCCTTCTTGCCGGAGAACTTGGCGATGCTGTCGTTGGCAATGTCTTCGACGCAGGATTCGTAGAACTGCAAAGTTGATGGTGGAGAGGATGAGGTTGAAAATGAGTTTGGGATCGCAGCAAAGGCAGGCCAGGGGAAGCAGGAAGCAAGAGGGGAGACAAACGTACCATGTGATGGCTAGCCTTGAAAGGTCCGTTGTGCTTCAACTCTCCCTCGTGCATCCCGTGAATCAACCCGGGGAAGATCAGACACATGTTTCGTCCTTCGTCCATGATCGGCGACTACACCCAAAAACAACCTCGGTGTCAGCTTTCACGCATGCCTAAAGACTGTACATATCACGACTTCTAGACCCACCTGACACATCCCGCAGGATACCTTGCAGGGAAGCACGTACTCCATCTTCTTGTGGTTGGTCGAGTAAAAGTGCAGGTTGCCCTCACCCGATTTGAAGTGCATGGCGTCTTTGGGGACGATGGCGGCCCATTGATAGGTAGCTCCATGGGTCCTCTGGCAAGTTCGGCAATGACAGTAACAAGCGTCTACCGGGTCTTGGTCGATCTCGTACTATCAGTCGCAGAAACGGTGCGAGCGTCAGCATTTACCAATGTTGCGAGTCGCTTTCTGCCTTTGCGGCTAGGTCGCTGGTGAAGACGACGACCGCTCACCTGTACGTTCCCGCAGTAACACTGTCCGGTCCACTTGGCCTTGAATCCGTCCTTCTTCTTGTCCTCGGACAGACAGTAAGGAGGACGACCCAACCTCTCCTTGTGTTCGTCGTGCTGATCGGGCTTGATGTCGCTCATCGTGAAGTGGTCGTGTGATGCGTTAAAAGTTTGCAGATGGGTCGTGAAAGATTCGTGCGGCTAGCTGATGTTTCGATGTGGACGTGAAAAGGAAACTGCACAAGGTTGGAGGAAGAAGTGCTGAGAGAGCAGAGGTTCTCGCTGCTCGTCGTGTGATTCTACGAGATCAGATCGAGAGGGGAGGATCGCGCTAAAAGCGTTCAAACCGAATATAATTCTGAGATCGAGGATTCCCGTCGGTGACGCGCTGCTCGCGTGGGGGGGTGGATGACGTCAGCTCGCTATTCTCGAGGTAGTAACCGCTCGAGCTCTCGTCGGCGTTTCAGCTTCAGCTTGCAGCTTGCGTATGGTGATATGATCTACGGTCCACAGCGAGCTCGGACTAGCAGGGTGTCCCTGGCATCTTCTAAGTACGGTACTACGGTGAATATATCGCCTTGATCATCACCTCCCGTGCCGTTTGCGTTTCATTGTTCAAAATGATGTGAGAGGCAAACCCAGCGTGCAGGGCTTGAGAAGCTAGAAACCGCCTGTCAATCTTCTTGCGCTGGACCCTAAGCAGATCGACGGAATGACCTGATCTGAGCGCATCAGATCGCTTGGCGGTCAGCCTCAAGTCGTCTGACTGATTTGTAATTACAACGGTCGGCTGATAATGCTGAGTGGGACTCGATATGATATTCGCAACGATCAAAGTTTTGAGGCTAGGCGAACAACGGTTTGACCGCTATGGGACATGGGTTCCAGCGGTCAAAGGAGAGGGTCCAGCGGCAATCAGGGACGGTATGCTGTATGAAGGAACAAACCTGTGATTTCACGAATGAAATGAGACATTGTTATGGTTGTCACGCCAAATCTAGCCGGAGAAGACTTATGGCTTGGTCAGCAACTGGAAAACAAAATTAGGACGGAAAGACATCCTCTTTGAGGGCGTGAAGATCTCGGCGCTTTGCTCCTGCTTGTGAATCACGGGCTCGATCGAAGATTTCGAGCTGGAATTAGGTCTGTCTATATGCAATGCGAGGTGTGTTGCATTTGCATTGTACGCGACCTCGATGAACATGCAGATCTGATCCCAAATATGTCGGTATCGTCAGCGTGGGATAGCCTGCATTCGCCGTTCGCCGTTAGCCTTACGTGCGGCTTAGTGTGCCCAAGTCTTACCTTTACAGATAACAGCAACTGGAAGAGATTAGCGATCCGACTACTCCCCTCCCCGTGTCTGCAAAGACATATACCGCTACATCCTCATGATCTCGCCGTCAATGGCAGAATGGTAGACGATGACTCAATCCCAAAGTCAGCCTTTCTCAATGTAGCTCGATTCGCAAAACCGTCGCCACAGATGATGTCGTCACTACCCGTCGCCGCCATCCAAGACCTTAATTCGACGGAAGTGTGGCTATTACATCCGGAAGATATAACAGTAGCCCTCGTGAGCTTAATCTGGATGCACTGACTTTACTTCTTTGCATGTAGTCCTCAAACAACTGGATGTCGCCAACTGAATGGTATGTATCATAGAACGCTGGCGCGTTCACGCGCAGCGGCAAGTAGCCGGTGCAATAATGTTCAACTCATCATGAGAGTGATCGGCCGAGATTCACAACCGAAGTCGCTACCTTATACGAGCCATGAGTACTATCTTTCTTCACTATCGGCAAACCAGGATCGTGAAACTAATCAGTCAATGACGAGATCGAGGCTTTGCGCGACGGGAGAAACTTCGGCTTTCGGTCTTGTCCGAACCTAACAAAGTGGAGGTCGACCTTGGGGACCCATGAGGTCGGCGGCTGACATATTACTATACCGGCTCGTTAGAAGGCCAGGAGGCCATATATACATCGCCCGCATTGTCAAATCACATCCTGCTTCGAAGGCCTGTTATCCTGTACATCGCAGTTCGATCATCGCTTCTCCCATCCTCCAACCGCTATCCTATTCTATCGAGATGCCCTTCGGAACCAGGACTTTGAACGACGGCAGGAAGATCCCCGAGGTGAGCTCCCCTCCGTCGCAGCTAGATCCACCGATCGGCGATCCCCTAGCCATCCGCCTCCTCAACGAGACATGGACTGACAACAAGCGTGTATTCGATACTACTGTAGATCGGGTTTGGGACCTGGAAGATCCCCCAAGATGCTTGTAACGGCCAGGTCACCCAGGGTATCGAGGTCGGGTTCGACCACATTGACACTGCTCAAGCGTGAGTCGCACGTGCACCAGGCTCAAAGTAGTATTGCCGTCCAGGTGAACTGATCTGGGAATCGCTTCTGGGTTTGGGCGTACATAGATACCAGAACGAAGAGCAGACTGGGCAGGCTATCGCTGCGGCCGGTTTGAAGAGAGAGGAACTTTGGGTCACTACCAAGTTCAGCGGAAGGCTCGGGTGAGTCTGGTATCCAGTCTTCGGGGAGAGGGTGGATTGGGAAGTCGACTGACGTCTTGTGCGGTACATTGACATTCTGTAGTACCGGTGCGTCTGCCGTCCGCAAGTCGTGCCTCGAGTCGCTCCAGAAGGTAAGATTACATTATCTGGGCGTAAGTCATTATCCAGAGCTGATTACGATCCATTCTCTCGACAGCTCGGACTCGACTACATCGACCTCTACCTGATTCATTCACCTCGGCTCTGCGACGGTGATATTCGAGGGACCTGGAAGGAGATGGAGAAGCTCAAGAAGGAGGGTCTGGTCAAGTCGATCGGGGTTTCCAAGTGAGTATGGTCTGACGAGCGACCGGCAATGTGCAGAAGAGGAGGCTGACCGGTATATTCGTTACGATGGTACAGCTTTGAGATCAAGGACCTCAAGGTCTTGCTCAAGCACGCCGACATCAAGCCTGTGGTAAACCAGAGTGAGTCCTGTCCAGACCCTATCCTTCGATTTATAGCTTATCCACTTGCTCCGCTACCGATCAGTCTTGTACCACCCCTACGTCTCGGCCTCGACCCAACCCCTGATCGATTTCCAGGACGACCATGACATTGCCTTCGAGGGCTATTCAGGTCTGATCCCGCTCACCGGACGTCAGGGCGGACCGGTCGACAAGCCTGTCGATGAGATCGCCAAGCGATTAGGTTTGCAGCCCGAGCAAGTCTTGCTGGCTTGGAGCAGGGCCAAGGGGTAGGTCTTTGGGTCATGCGCTCGACCAAGGCGAATTCGAGGCGGAGTCGCTGAAATTTTGACATTTGACATCCACATTCAGCGCGATCATCGTGACCACCTCTTCGCGATCCGAACGATTGACCCGTTACCTCGGCGTCGGCGACGTCAAGCTCACGGACGAGGACATTCACTCGATCGACAAGGCCGGGAGGAAGGGCGAGGAGAAGGAAAAGGTCTGGCAGATGTGCAAGACCGCCGGCAAGGTCGTCCTGCTCGGTGGATTGGGTGTCTATGGGTTGGCCAAGTACGTCTTGTAATGGGCGACTTGACTGGCTCTTAGCTTGAAGTCTCGTATGTTTGTATGCGATTGCGAAACAAGATTGTATGGAAGACAAGTGGCTGTATTCTGAAACGTTGAAATGTCGATCGAACCGATCGTGATTGAGTTTCCCGATCCGGTAACCGAAAAGAAGGTGGTCGATACGAAACCGAAATGAAAGAAGGTAAGTCTATGATTTGGGGGTTCGTGACCCCAGAATTTTCACTCCCTACGCGTCCGCAATCGGTCTCTTTGACGCGCGCGCGCGTTCTGATCGCGTTTCGAGGGTGATCAACCTCGAAATCCTTTCTTCCTAGAGCAGCAATTGTCGACCTCTTTGCGTCGCCTCACTCGCTCGATGAGGATATAGTCTGGTCAAGCTGGTCGGACCTCTTTTCGATCCGAAACCAAGCCCGAGTCGCGCAAGTCGAGGGTTGTCGAGGGGAGGAAGAGAGGTGCATGGGCTTCATTTCGGGGCGGATGTGACCGAGGGCTTGTCCCCGCACGATCAGGTTTTTCGACCATCCGATATTGGCTTTTTACCCCGGCTCTTGTTCGAAGGGAGATGATATAGCCATGACCTGGTTGTACTCTAGAATATGCTTCTCAAGTCCGGAGCTCGAACTGTCCTCTTGCTTCACAAATTTACCAAAAAACGACTGTCTTTTCTCTCAAAAGTGCTCGTGACAACAAAAGGAAAGGCACGTGACTCGACCTAGAACGTCGATCAACCACCTTCCCACAAAGAAAACAACCCCACGCTTGCCCCCGGGGTACCAGCCACTTTCCCTTGTCCTTCGACGTCATTCGAGTTCCGGACCATCCATATCTACCTCGACCAGCGATCAAGGGGTCGAAACGTTTCAAGTTCATCAATCGATCAATCGATATCGTCATCAATCACGCTCCCTTTGTCTCGACCTTCCTTTCCCACGCAAGCGATCAAAGTCTGCTCCTTTTTGTGAGCTCGAACCGTAAGTCATCGAACCAGAGGAAAAGATCGTGAGTACTATCTTCTCCATATCGACGACTTCTGAGCTTCTGACCTCAACTGACAATCAAACCGTTCTGTTCAATCTCGTCCTGCTCGTCCCCATATTCCTGTTTCCTACTACCTCGACATTGCAACCGTGCTAGACGCACAACAAGCAACATTCGCTGACTCCAACAAACTACCACCTCGATCACTTCCATAACCTGGACCGGCTTTCCCTTTGATCCGTTCTCAATCTGCTCCGACTCACACTCGCTATTACACAATCACCGTCATTTACAACCGACTCGTCAACATTCGACAACCCCCACACACAACATGATGTCATTCGCTACCACCTTCATCACCCTCCTCTCCCTCGCCTCCACCGCCTTGGCGCTCCCCGTCCCCGTAGCTCACCAGAATGAGAAACGTTACTCTGGGGTCCGTATGACCTACTACGATACCTCGGTCGGACTCGGAGCCTGTGGGAACCTGAATCAGAACAGCGCTTGGACCGTCGCGCTCAATAGCGCTCAGTTTGGAGGAGGTTACCCTTCGCCGGAATGTGGAAAGACGATTACCATTTCGTACGGAGGCAAAACGGCCCAGGCGGTCATCCAGGATGCTTGTCCGAGCTGCCCTTATGGAGGGCTCGATTTGAGTCCTAGTCTGTTTCAGCACTTTGCTGTGAGTCGTCAAGACTTCAATAGTTTCTGCTCCAATCGCTGACGACCCCGCTATTGCTTGCGCTTGGTAGGACCTCGGCACCGGTGTCATTTCCGGCGATTGGGACTACGGTAGTGGTGCTCCTGCACCTCCTCCTCCCCCTCCTCCTGCGCCTACGACCACTTGGGTAAGCGCGACATTCCTTCGTTGTTGAGTATATATGAATGCCGGAACTGATTCAACAGTTTTTTTCTGTCTCACAGCAAGCGCCTACTTCCACTTGGGTCGCTCCTACTACCTCGTGGACCCCTGAGCCTTCAACCAGCAGCACGCCTCCTCCCCCTCCTCCCCCTACAACGACCTGGACTGTAAGTCTTTTTCTTGAATCGTCAATCCCGTTGCATCGATGCTGACTCGCTTGTCCACGCAGCCTCCTACCACTTCAGCGGCTCCCCCGACTACTTCCTCGACCCCGGCCCCTAGCTCGTCGGTTGCCCCTAGCAGCTCTTCAGTGGTCCCGTCTTCGAGCTCGAGCTCGTCTTCCTCGTCCGTCGCCTCGAGCTCCAGCTCGGCTTCGTCGTCTGCAAGCACCGGCGCCACCAGCGTCGCCGCTACCAACAGCCAGTCTCTTCTCGCCGCTCTCATGTCTACCCAGACTGGAACCGCTACTGCTTCGGCTGATGCGGCGTCATCTACCGGTACTGGGTCTGGCTCGGAGCAGGATGCCGGGTCGGATGGAAACTTGGAGATGCTCAGCAACGTCATTGTCAACCTCGGCAGGCTGGTCGTGATGGCCGCTTAGACCCTGAGATTTTGATCACCCTGAGACTCTCGACAAGTCAATCTTTCTCGCCTTCTTTCATTCGGATCACAGCGGACGACCCGGACTTCGTCACCTATACCTCATAACTTTCCACCACCACTACAACTGGACGTCATAATCTGTATCGACCACTTCTTCTCTTCTTCTTACCGGGACTCGTGACGAAACGTCCGGATTCACCTCGACAACCGATTCTGGCAGGCTCGCCAAGATCGGTTACAAGTTTGGATCTCGGCCGTTCTCCACGTTTCACCCATCACTGTCTTTTCACACCGGGTCTTTTGTCAATCCACTTTTACATCTGTTTTGGGCTTTAGTTTAGTTTTGGTTCTCCTTCCAGCGAGACCTGGTTGTCGTATATGTCTTTCAAGCAGTCTATACCGTGTATAGATACTGTAAATCGAAATCGATCATCTTTTCGCCTACGAGTCACCTTGAAGCGACGCGCTTTCTAAGGTGTTGTTTACTTTTTGGGCTCGATCGAAGAAGGAGGTTTCGTCATACAGTACTCACCTCATCGTGCAATGTCAATCGTCATCGAGCATCATCGATTTCTGTCTAAGCATCTACTACGATCACTTTCGGCTTCCAAATAGCAAGACCACGTTTCGGAGAAGTTCAGCTTACAAGATGCCAAATCTGGGGGCGATCGGACGAAAGATCAACGCTCGGGAGGTCGACCCTAACCCGTGAGGGCCGTCTCGATCAACTTGCCTTTCCGCTAGGACTGGTTAACATCCACTCAAATTCCTTGACAGACATATCCTTTTCACGAGCGTGTTAGAGAGAAAGCCGAATGCGGAGGTATGACTCGGGAGTATCTCGGTTCCGTATAGCGGACTTGGGTTGATCAAGGAAGGCCGCTGTTCGCCGTCTATAGCAAGCTTTACGCATGATGAAAGCCCTGGCTGCTCAAGTCAGGCCTTTGATGCAACGTCATGGAATCAAGGTCAATTCGTTTGAAGAGGTGAGTTCGCTCAAGTTGGTTGTAACGAGATCCTCTGAGCTTATTCAAGATCTTGCGATAGTACCCCTTCAACAAAGTGTTTGCGGGCAGGAATTGGAATGCCGGAGAAGTCGTTGAGATCGTTCTTCGAAGGCCGGACAACTCGTTCTTACCGATGTCATACCTGGAGCGCACCATGACGCATGAGCTGGCCCACTGCCATCAGGTGAGTACACAGCCTTCTTCGTCCTCCAGACAACTCGCCACTTATCTAACTCCTGCATCGTAAAGATGAATCACGGACCGGATTTTCAAGTAAGCTACATGCAGATAGCCGCGTGACTTGTCAATCCGCTCGCTGACAAGTTGGTCTCGATGTGTAGGCCCTCTGGAGTCGACTTCAGGGAGAAGTTTACCACTTGCAACGGGATGGATACTTCGGAGACGGTTAGTATCGAGATAGCCACAGGCTGCGGTTCTTGATCGCTCATTCCGAGTATCCTACAGGATTCTACAGCGAAGGTCGTCGTTTGGGGGACTCTGTTCCCATCTCCTCAGCCGAGCGTGCGGATGGCCAAGTTCCAGAGCTAGTATGCGGAGGGGCGAACAAACGTTCGGCGCCGAGCAAGGCTTCTAGAGGGTACGGCGGTGGAAAGAGACGTCGTGGACAAGCTCTGATCAATGGAGTGGCATCTACGAGCTCCGGTGCCCAGACGGCCAAGAAAAGGAAATCATCCAGGTAAGAATCACATCCAGTATTACGAAAAGCTCAAGATCGTTACTGACGTTATGTTGATTGCTTTTTAGGCCGAACAAGAAAGCTTTCGAAGACAAGGCGGGCGGAAACAGGCTTGATGGGCTGGACGGCGAGGATCTTCCCGACATCAAAACGATACGAGCGAAGGTGGCATCGTCAGCAAGGCAAATCCAATTGATGGACGGGGGCAGCTTGGCGGCAGCCAAACGTGCAGCTGTGGCTAACTTGGAAGACGTAGAAAGAGAGATTCTGGAAGGCACGTCTGTCGGCAAACGGTATGTGATATCTTCCATTTGAGGCGAAAGTACGCATATTGATTGTGTTGTTCGTCTTTTGCAGCGCCAGGACGAAAAGGTGAGAGTCTGCGTTATTCCGCCTGGACATATTGCGAGGCTAAGATTGGGCAAACCGCATGCAGTGCTGCTGAGATGCGTGCCGAAGCGGCGGAAAGGAGGATCAAAGCGTTGAATCAACCACAGCCGTCGCCTCAAGCACAAGGGGTTCAAGCAGGGCCCAGTAAGATCGAGGACGACGCTTCGGAAGACGTTGACGAGCTGGAGGACTCGGACGAACTGGACGAACTCGATGATACGGAGGAAGCAGAATTCGGACCCGACGCTGTGCTGACCATGTTTGGCAATATGAGCGTCGAGGAACGTGAAGCGATGAAGGGCGATGTCAAAGATGAGCCTGTCGAAACTGGTTTTGAGGATCCAGGGCCTTGTGGTTTGATAGCGGTAAGCACATATATCAGTCTCCGGTAAACCTAGGGATGCTGGCGTTGATATGACACCTGTCGAGTATCGTAGGCGAGAGAAGTCGATCATCCGGAGCGTTCGCCTGATCCGGAGTTCAAGACCGAATCTTCAGCTGCTACGACCAGTAAGAGGACGATCGCTCCTATCCCTAGCTCATCGCCCGGTACCTTTGCTACCTTGGCAAAACCCCCTCCCAAAAACGCGGCCGGTCCAACTCCGACGTTCTCCGCCAAGAGTCTCGTCGAAGGAGAAAAAGCCAGACTACGGCTTCATCAAATCGGCCAAACCCTTGGCAGTCAACCTCAAGACATTCGATTTTGGCAGTGCGACCACTGTGGACAGAATTGGCATCGAGACTACGGACGATGCGGATCAAACGGCTGCACAGGTGTCAACCCCGGCCGAAACGGACCCACGAAGCTGAACGCCAGGCCACCCTCCCCGATTATCATCTCGGACGACGACGAGTGGTGATATCGCCTTCAAAAACGAACTCTCTCGTACTTGCATTTTCCACATTACGAACCCTTTACGAGATTGTGAGACCAAATCGCTATATACGATCAGAACCAAATCATACACTCTTCGGTCATTATGCATGTCATTTACGCGAACCGTCATCTTTGGCGTAGTACTATAGTACAACGAGTGACCTCAACGATATCACACAATGCTTTGTCTAGCTTCGGACTGCAGTAGCGATCCCATCTACATGATAACACAATCCTTCTTGTCCTTCTTTTCCTTCTTCTTCCCTTCGTCCGGTCTGGCTCGACGCTCTGCAGCGGGATTCATCCTGACCTGCCGCCTGCGTTCGTCTTGGTCATGTTGTCTGGCCGCGTTGCCATCTTCCTCGTCCTGAAGCGCCGCCGCCAACTGTCTGTCCGCACTGTCATCTACTATCCGATCTTGCCCTCTAGCGTTGATCAAAGCGTGCTCCGCGTCCAGCCCGGCGAAATCTCCCCCGGCCGCACCGGCGGGTCGGAATTCGCTGCTGTAAAAGCCTGAACCGCTGTTATCGACGTCGACGATGCTTTCCCAGGTGATCTCGGGCTCTTTGCGGAAGGCCGAATCGGTGACGAGTTGAAAGAGGACGGGTGCGTCTGCCGGTTCGCCCGAATCAGGCTGAGGGTCGTATCGCCGGTACAAGACTGAGAGGTGGGAATTGCGGAAGAACTATAGCGAAGGTCAAGATCTGTCAGAAGATGAACACTGTTGTCGATTAGGCAGGTGACTCACGGCGACGACAGATCCTGGTTCCAAAGCAGATAGCGCGAACAGCCCCGGATAAGTTAGCTGTGACGAGCTGTTCTGCAAGAAAGCCTGCAAATGTTGCGCTACCATGAGTGGCGACATAGAGACTCATGAGCATATGAAACCCAAACGGTATTGGACAGTACTCACAATCGCTAATCGCCTGCTGATCCTCTTCCGAGACGTTCGGTTCATTTCCTTCACTGATCCCCACAGCTCTCGTCTCGGCCTCCAAGCCAGCCACGATCCTCTCCTGAGCGCCTTCGTACGACCCCGCTCGTTGTAACGCCTCGTATTCCTCCTTCATGCCCTGATCGGCTAACCAGCCGTGTACGAGATCGACCCCAGCAAAGTTGAAGACCGATAGTTCCCCGCTATCCCGGGCGGAGATGCCTTTAAAGTTGTTGATCCCGTCAAAGGCGACGTCGACATCGAGCCCCTGGGTCATGGTAGGTAAGATGGACAAGGCGGATTCGAGGGTGAGAACCGAGTTGTCGTTGGGCCGTGTGACGAGGAAATCGGCGATGAGGAGCGATAGTTGATCGTAGGTGATCGAGGTGTTTTTGGTAGGGATATGTATTGAGCCTCGGAGTAGGAGACAGTTTGCTAGGGCAAGCAAGCTGCAAGGTCCGTTTGCGTTCTATGATGAAATAGATTTCACCATCAAGTGAGCTGGTGAATCGTATATTTCAGATCTGATCATTGATTGCTGCGCAGGTCTCACCTGAATCAACACGCGAACATTACGCCTGAACATCCCCCCCGCTCGAACGTCCGGCCATAATCCGATGTCCTTCAACTTCCAGACACCTGCCCCCATCTCCGGTATGGGAGATGGAGCCTTGGTCTGTTCCACGGGTGTAGGGATGAGTGGCTCGATATGCTGCTTGGTCTCGATGGGTTGATCGGCCTTGTCCGAAGTCGGTGCAGATAGGTCGATGAGCTGCGGTGGTGTTCCGGACGAAGGACCTGGATCCTGGACCGGTTGCGTTGCTCTTCTCGGTTGAAGGAAAGCTGATTCTGACATGATGATGGCGTACAGTCGATGCTACTTGTACCTCGAGCCACCGGTGTCGTATAGAGGATGTCAAAGAGATCGATCATGATACTCATCAACAAGGTGTTGAAGCTGCTGCTGCTCGGCGTCATCGGCCGCCGGAATCGAAATTGCTTCCGACCACCAGCACAGCCAGAATGGAGTGGCCACTTCTTGAAACGTGACTCACGGGCAGTCATTCTCATCGATAGGTCTCGTACGCCGACATACAGGTGCAATATTTCAGCTGTTTGAGGCTGTATCAGGGTTGGGAATCTCATCAGCCTCCCGGTCCGACGCAGACCCGCAAACATGTAAGACATCGATAAAGTATGGAGCCACGCCGTCCTGACGACATTCAGACCTCTTGCGATATGATACGTTCGCGAGTGTGACCGCAGAGTCTTGTGTAATAAAGGGCTACCACGATATAAACTGAGAATCTACAAGGATTTAAGCGTTGTAAAACGGGCTCTATGTACCCAGCTATCCGAGCAAAGCGTTAGGAAAGTTGGAAGGCTTCTAGCGTCGATTCCCAAGCTGTCATATACTGAGTCGTCATTCAAGCCTCGTTTCAAGCGGATCGATAGGACGGCAGGCGACGATGCGTACGATGTCCATATCAACCATGCAGACGACATCTCAGCACAATTTCCAAGTATGATTGCCACCTTTCCTCGCATTCATCCGTGGCCCGTCTGTTCAGGAAGGAGGCAGCCCGACTTCCGCCGGTTATCGATTAACAATGACAGGTAAGGCATTATTTTGAGAAGCACATCGCGCCACATACCGGAGAAGTCCTCCGACTGTTCAGACAAGCCCCCGAGTTATGGTCTCTGCTCTTTAACTACGATTCTACACTTGATCAACGATGAATACGAGGTCTCGACCTGTATGACTGCGCGGACATGCCTACCGCAAGGCTCTCCGCTGACCGACCTACTGCTACTGCGATGGTCCACACATACTATACATTTCCTAGCTCGACCAGACCTATCTCGGCATCGATTGCGCTGTCGCTGGGCGACTACGTCGATTGAAGTCTGCCAAGGCAACAACAGAATCGATACGCCACTGACATGCTGGTCCCTTGTCATACCGACGGCGATAGGAAGAGAAGTGTCGATACGGAACATCGTCGACCGAGCGGTAACAGCAGGCTAATTGAACACGTATTCCCTGTTCGATGGCATTCTGTCGCTACGTAGCTATATGGAGGCCTAACGAATAAAATATAGAAATCTATGCAGCGAGCTCATGCACAGGATACGACATGACAGCGAGGAACCGTGGCTTGGATTCGGATCGGACGATCGCTCTACTACGAACGCCACGCTCGGCGGAACTGAAACATCTTTCCAGGTCCGAATTTCCTCGGGAGCCGAAACGCAGCGGACTTCGGAGTTGGGGTTTGTCCGTGAGCCGGGAATTACGCCATAGACCACGTATCTACCTAGGTTACGTTGGCGCTTTGCTTTGTGATGTACTTGTCGACAAAGTCTTAGGGTAGGTATGCGAGGATACTCCAGCAAGAATATGGCTAAAGAGTTGACGTTTGGCGGACGCTTGATCTCGTTGGTCGGGAGTACCGAACTGGCAGTCCCGAACGGATGTCCTGTTCGCTCCGACCGCACATTTCACAATGTCCCGCAGCGTGGGTGGGCATCAGGGGATCCTTCTCTCACCCGCCGGCTGGGTGATAGGTCTTGGCTAGTGAGAAGGCACCCGCTGCAGAAGGTCGAAGGAGTCACCAAATTATTCAATTGATCAAGGTTTGTCTCGGCTCGCTCACTCACGGGGTGGGTGACTCACTGACTACGGTACGACGGTGCCTACTGTCTGCTGGAGGGGGAAGGGGAGACTGGAGGTGCAACCACGTGAGTGTGTGCCGGAATGTCCATCGCGCGTTAGGTGAGTCACGCGTTTGAAGCCTCTTTCGCGTGATCCGAATTCCGAAACCCCCTCACTCGAGATGGGAACCGAGGGACGCCACATTCCCACTCATCGCTCGGGTCGACGAGCTGTCCAGAAGGCGAAGAGTCATCTTGAATCTCGGCCCTGGAATATCGCATCTCTTCGACTCATCACGGCACAGGGAAATCCGACCGTATCCACCCGATGACACTCACTGGGCCTGGCCGGCGGCGAGAGCAGGCGGCACTCAATCGTCGATCATCATCATCGCTCGTCAACCCCCTGACTCGCCCAAAGCCTCGGGTTTCATGTTGAAGAAGCCCTCAGGACCAAGGGTCGCCATGGAAGCCAATGAGAGGACCATCACCCTCGATTTTGATGAGGCAGATTGTACAGAGACGAACATCTACTCGTCAGACTACGTCCGTCACTGACTGTCCGATCGCGACCAAAGGGGAAGGTGGATATGAAGGGATCTCGCTTTCCCCTGACCACGTCGAATGAATTATTGCTTGGTGCGCCTTCGTGCTGTCCACCAATTTCCCGCCATCCCGATCCGTCCGATGAATGTGCTGGTCCGGACAGTATATAGGAGAGGAAAGGCCAAGGGAATCTCTTCTCGATTCATTCATGCCACTTGTCTATCCCCAGAAAAGCAAACCTCCTCTAAATCGACGTTCGTTTCATACGCTCAGTATACACCTAGTCCTCTTTCAATTCGACCATAATACTTTGGACACTCCACCCCTCGGTCTCTCAATCTCGCGCCAGACACTCCAGCTCAGATCATTCCACAATATGCGCTTCACCACCCTTTTTACTAGCGTTCTCGCTGCTGTCTCTTCGGTCGCCGCCCTCTCGGTTCAACCTCGATCAGCTCCCAGCGTAGAGATGAGCCCGCGAAACCTGCACGAATTCGCCTCTCGTCAAGTCGTAGCCGGTACGGTCTGCGCCACCGTCGGACCCGTTGTAACACTAGGAATCACCGTGGTTCCCGTGAGTACCGACTTGAGACCGCTCGATCTGTCAACGCTCCGACTGACCCATCACCCCGTGATTCGAATAGAATATCTGCCTCTGTACCGAAGCTGGTGTTCTGACTCCCGAGTCGCTAGCACGACTGCAGGCCCAGATCCGTCTCTCCCAAACCAACAACCCCATTCTCAACACCGTCACTGGCCTTCTTCAAAACACCGTCGCCACCTTGACCGGTCAGGTATGTTTGAAAACGATAAACGAGTCTGTTTCACGAGACTCAGAGTTTCACTTGCATACGTCTAGGTCGCCGCCACTCCCGCTACCTGCAGCTACCCTGCCAACTCTTTCCCCTTGTGCACGGGTACCAGCCCCGCCGGATGCAACTTTGGATGTGACAGTGGCTTCACCCGATGCAACGGTGCATGTATCCCCAGTACCCAGGTCTGCCCTACCAACCAGGCCAGGAAGCGAGACCAGACTTCCGCCAGGATTTGCCCTCAGGACTGGTTGGCCTGCCCCGTCAACAGCGGTAGGAAGACCGCTTGGGAATGTGTGCAGGTACAGACCGACCTTGAATCATGTGGTGGATGCGCCGCTCTCGGTCAGGGTACCGATTGCACCGCTCTTCAGGGAGTCGACGATGTTTCGGTAAATCCTGATCCTCGACACCCATCGACAAGCAAAGCTGATTGCCCTTCTCTCCCGTCTCAGTGCATTGCTGGTAAATGCCAAGCCAACTCGTGTCTCCGGGGCTTCGCCATCAACGGTAGCGAATGCTCGCCCGTCGACACCCTCAAGCCCCGACGAATCGCCTTGCTCCAGTGATCTGATCCCTCCCTCATCTGGATCTGAGATCCGGTATCTCCATGAACATTTTCGTATGATCCGTATCTCTATACGCTCGCTTTCCGGTAGCATCGATATTTCTTCGTTCGTTTTGCTCGGTCTCATAATAGAAACGCCTCGTAAAGAGCGATGGCTAAAAGCTGTACTTCTAGTGTATTATCGCTTGATTCCATCTGCATTTCCATGGCCGTTCAATTGAAATGATTCATATAGGTAAATAGATCCAGACCCGAGGACAAGCGTAGAGAGCAACATGCTAAATTATATAATACAATGGACATAGCCAATCATCATATTTGTGCACGAGATGATACCGACGATACCGATAATATTGAGGTGATGAGAAGAGCGTGTGTATACGAGATGCAGAGAGGCGACTAGAGTCATGTTGGAGATCATGCGGATCTACGACCATCGAACATAAAACCCGGTCAGCCAGTCTCCTCTGGGATAGCTGAGCGAACGGTTTGAGAGAGGAGCAGTTTCGGACTCACGACGATTTTAAGCAAAACAGGCTCGGCTCGTCACCGAATCCGGGTCCTCTTGACCCTAGGTCGCTCGGTCGATAGCAGCTCGTGACTAGATCGCTGATGACTCCATCGACCCAATAATTGCGACTCCTTGTTCTCCTTGCCCCCATCGTCCATCAAGTCTTTCCCCGCCTTTGCATGCCTGACTTTACTCTTCAACGACTTCATGTCCATCTTGACCTTCTCCATCTCCTCTTCGACCTCTTTCAATCGCTTATCCTGCATCTCCACCTTGTCCATCAACTCCCGACAAGCTCGCCCTTGGTCGTCGTTGACTTTCTCCAACCGATCAATCTCTTTCGACCCGCGCTCCCATTCCATCCTCGCGGTGTCTTGCCAGACCCTGGGAACGCGCGTCAAAAGCGCCTCCCTGTGACTCTTCTTCAACGACTCCCAAGCGAAATAGTAGACCGTCTGCTCGAACGGCAAGGTATGCTCGCACTCGGCCCCGTGAGTGACCATGTGACCGTGTTTCAGCTGTCCGCACCGGAAACAGACGAAGTCCCGGTTCATCGCCAGCCCGTTGGAGATGGCCATCGAGAACGGCTCAGAATCCGGGTGAAGCGGGAACGCATCGACCTCGAGCATATACCTCTCGAGAGCCCCCCTCTGGTTGAAAGCGAAAGCTCGATGGGCCGGCAAGGTGATCCCGACCCTCGGGTGGTTGATGTCAAAGTATCGTTGAGCTTTGATACACCAGTTGGTATAGTCCTCCTGCCAGAGATGACGGTCTCGATCGGTATAACAGTGTTTCAAAGGAACGTAGCGTTGGACGACCTCCGGGTCGATCGGGTGTGCAGGGAAGAGGATCGAAGAGACGGCTTGTTCTTCCTCGTTGGCAGTCTCCTTGTTGAGCCAGTGAGCGAATCGATTGCTCTCCGGGGAGAAGAGGGAGGCGTATGGGTCGAACGAGGTATGAGGGGTAGGAGGGACGACGTTGATAGTAGGAGGAATGAAGGTCACCGCAGGGAGTTGCAGCGAGTTGGGCCCGGTAAGCCTTGGGCGATCTAACTTGGACGCCTCCGAGCTAGATCGAGCGCGGGCGGGAGGAGAGCCCTCTCTCCTAGTAGATCGTCGCCGCGGAATGAAAGACAGTGTCAGACTCGATCTACACGCAGACAAAGGATTGTGTGCTTCTCTCACTTGATCAGCGGGTATCGATCGGCATGTGGTCGGGGAGGAGACGATTGGCTAGCCATTGTTGTGAAATAAATGCGATGATCGGCTGGCCGAACGAGCGTAGAGTCTTCTCGATAGGGGATTTCTAGGTTAAGGCATCTGTTGCTTTACTGACTAGTCGAACAGGCTGAGGAAGAGGTGATCTCTGTCGATGTGGCGAGGTATATATATGCAAAGCAAAGGTGAAGATGATGCAAAGTGCAATGAGGTGGCTGAGGGAAAAAAAAGGCTGATTGGTGAGATTGAGAGATCGACTTGAACCCATTCGATGCATCAAAGGTATCTCCCTTAGAGCTGTGCTAAGAGATTGCAGCCCCCGCCTCGCCTCGCCTCGCCCGCCTCGCCCGAAACGCAGCAACCGGCGATCTCGGGTCCTTTCCTCTTTTAATCACGCTCGGACCTCTGCTATTCCATCAAACTTCCTTCACACAAAGATTACCGAAACAGACGCTGGATCCACCCGGAGTGTGATCCGATCAAATATCATCAACAACGCCATGACGCAACCGAGCTTCGGACATGCCTTTCGCCCGAAAAGATCCACCCATTACTCGCGTTTCAGGCCCTGTCGCCCTGCGGTTCGGGAATGGCGCGCAAAAAGCCACCGCGTATCGACTCGTCTCACAGGAAAAAGAAGGTCGCCCTTTTTCGTAGTCGGCATTATTGTCGAAGAGTAGAAGACCCTTCTGAAGCACAGCCCACGAGCGATAATCTCGGACATTACACGAGAATCTACCCGATGTTTCAGCTTGCCTTTGCTCTTCACGATGCGTCTGGCAACACGTGCTGAACTCCGCGCTTTGGCGATCTGATGAGCCGATTGCCATGATCTTCATCGCGATCGGTGCAGCGACAAGGCGCGAGACGGCTAGCGTCGTAATATATTCCATATTCACGCATTCACCGTCATATCTTCAAGGCTCCTGTAGTGACGAAGTCTTTGGTGGCGCATTGCGAGCGATTCTGGTAACAATGTACCTTGTGAGGGATCATGCCGTTGAGGACACAATCGAGACCTCACAGCTTGTGGATTTGTGACCAGCTTTGCAGAATCAGATGGCGTTTGTCGGCAGATGTCGGGAAACGTTGGTCATTAATGGCGATTGAACGATCGGTTTTTCGATCTGTCTGTGACGGACTCTTTTAGATATCCTTTGGAAAGCAGCATAGTGAGCAGGTTGAAGGCGTAATATCCAATGATCGGATCTTCTAGTTTTGCGGGTGTACATTTTGCAATCACTTTTGCTCTGCTAGCAACTTTCTTCCGGATGCTCAAGGTTGGTGATTCAAATTACGATCATCATGATAGCGAACGATTGTACTGATAGAGTCTTTCCTGTCAAAGTACCCAAGATCGATTGTCTTGTCCCGGGATGAATGGCATCAAAACACGACGATATCCGTCACATCAGATTGTTCGATGGAAATGCAAGAACCCTTTTCGGATCTCAACGAGATAATCGAATGCTCACGGAATCGAAGGTCCGTGAAAAGGGGGACTTAAAAACGAAGGTGCAGGCCGTGCCAGGTACATCCACGGTCAGACGGAACGGCAAGCCGAGTAATTGGCTAACAACCTGTTCCGGCTTCACGCGGACCTCGCTGTACAGTGTCGGTCGACATGACCGGCGTCTTCTCTGCGGCCGCGATCAAAGTATACGATGACTTAGAAAAGACGCCTAGTCAGTTCGACCCGTCCTTATCGGAGATCCCGGTGGTCGACCAAGATATCGCCTTACCTATTCCAGATAGCATAAAGAGACTGGCGTGTGCGGCTCAGCGATGGATGTTTGAGTCAGCATATCTGGCTCGCAAACCCCTATACGCTGAGCGATTTGTGGTCCCTAAGCTCGTTCCGTGGCATTGTATATGAAGGTCAATCAAGCCGGAGCCGAAGCGACAAGTTCATAAAAGCACTCTTGTACATAGGGAGTGAAACCGTGTGTCGATGCAATGGTGACGACCTCTTTGTTCCAAACTTTGTCCTCCAGATGGGGATCACCCCCTTCAGGGATGTAGGGGATGTAGGTGAATTTGTCTCAAATGACTTGACAGGTGCAGGACATACCCAGGGCTTCCTAGGTTGAGGGCCAGGACGGCAATCGAATGAGCTCGGAAATGCAGATCAATGTCCTCAAACCCTGGCTTTTGGTTATCGTAGTCTATTAAGATCAATCTTCGTAGCGCCATATTGGCAGTCTGGGCCAGTCAAGCCGCACAATACTCGCCATCAAATCGATGCTGTATGCGCCCGTACCTACAATACCCGCTTCAGAACGCTAACGATTTTCTCGACCTCTTCTACCGTATTGTAATGCACGAGCGAGATCCTGACAACCCCATCCCCTTCGGGTTCGGGCAACCAAGGATCCCCTTTCTCCGCTGCGTATCCTTGTTCAGGAGCTGTCGATTCTTGCTCGAGCGGGAGGCAAGGCAAGATCCGGGGAGCATAGAAATGACCGTACTTGACTCCGATCTAGGTGCAACGGTGGGCACCTTATGTCAGTACAACTCGCACCTGTTCGATCACTGACTAAACTGACCCTTTGCTCATCATCAAACACCTTGACGATATCCGCGCTCTTCATTCTCTTCCTATACCGCCCCTTCCCAACCTCTTCGACGACCACGAAAGAAATCGTCGGCGATCTCCCTTCCTTGGTCTCCGGTCCGACGACCTTGACCCCCTTAGCTTTCCCTTCCTCCCCGGTCAACCAGCTCAACAACACCTCGGATAATTTCTCTTCGTACGTCCCTATCCTCAGATAAGCCCTCGCGACTAGCTTCCTGTCCCCCAGAGCCTTTGCTCCCGACTCGGACACCCCAGCGGAGCCCAGCGTGGTCAAGTAGGGGAGAATGGCAGAACATCCGACTTGTAGCTCGTAAGGTGCGCCTCCGGGAGCGAGCTTGTAACTAGGGTCCGTAGGGTGAAAGTAATGCCCGAGGGTACCTAGGCGGAAGGATGACATCGGGGAAGAAGGCGAGATGACCAAAGCTGACAAGTGGGGACCAAAGAGCTGCAATGCAAGGTAATTCAGGTTGAATCAGCACTAGAACAGAACGAATCGCTCAATCTCCAGTTCAAACCTGACTCACCTTATAATGACTGAACATAACGGCATCGCATTCCCACGCCTTCATGTCCATCGTCTGATGCGGACAATCCGCCACGCAATCGACGACCGTCATCCCCCTCCCGCCCGTGCTTTCTTTGACGATCCGTACAGCCTCCTCGACATCGGTAGCATGACCGAGGAGGTTGCTCTTGGCTGTAAAGGCGACAAGGCGGGTCCGCCCGTTGACGATTGAGGGCAGCTGCGCGGGGTCGAGGTGTAAGCTGAAAGGATTGTTCGGATCGATCGGGGTAGGCAGCCAGTACCGGATGGTCAGGTTGAGTTGTTTTGCCAGGCGGACCCAGGGACCGACGTTGGCTGCGGGCGAGACGGAGTATTCAGCTTGATTCTCATTCCGTTCAGAGACACATCGACTGACCTTCATGATCAGCAGCAGTGACTACGATCTCGTCTCCCAGCTCGAACAATCCTTCCATCTTTCCCTTGAGCCCGCAAGCCTGAGCCAAATTCGTGGCCAACTGCGTCGTCGAGCTCCCCAGCACTACCTGTCCATCCCCACCCTCGACGTTGGTCAAGATCGCCGTCGCCCGCTTGGCATCAGCTACCCTTTTCCCCGCATCAGCTGAATGCGGATATCCACCACCGAGTTGAACGTTCGAGCTGACGAGATAGTCTGAGATGAGGTCCAACGAGGATTGCAGAATCTGAGAGCCACCGGCATTGTCCGCGAACACAAAGTCGGGGTATTTGGCCAAGGCCGGAAAGTGAGGTCGGACTTCGGTCTCCGGGTCGAGGGGTGGCAGGGAAAACATGATGGGCCGCTAGTGATCGATGTTATCGGCCTGAGGATTAGCGGGATGTAAGATTGTACAAGCGATCAATCGAAGGTTAATAAGTATACTACTCTGTCATGCCCCTCCTGTTCTTGGAATGTGACCTCGTGTGGCACGTCGTCGGATTTGGCCGAAGAAGAACGTCATCAAACAAACAACGACAACATCCTGTCCAAATTCAGATACGGTCACGCTCAGACGGATGGGCAAGCTTAGAACAGGACGGCGTCGAATCGGGGCTGCTGTACCGACAGATCGGGAACGCTCCAGCGTTAACGGGCTAGAGCATAAAATCGCAAGTCCGCCTTTGCACGCTGTCACACTCTTTCTTCTTCATTACGGGTTGCCCAATTGCAAAGGTCCACCCTTGCTTTGACTGCATGAGGTATATGAATATGGGACGAGCCGTAGATGCCATACAACTCCGTTCTTCTCACCCTTCGCTTCCCGCCTTCAATCGCCCCGCGGCTACTCGAACGGGTTCGTCCTCCCTCCCTGCCCATCCTCTCCATCGTCCAACTCGCTGCCCCAAGAACACAGAGCGTACCACCACTTGTCCCGCCTGACGTCCCTCGCCGCGCCACCTTGCATCGGCATCCTCGACCTAGGCTGAGGGACGGGCCCGATACGGGAAAAGACCGGGGACGATTCTTGCATCCTCGATGGGTATCCGTACCGCGCCTGATCGAGCTCGAGCGTGGTAGGTGTGGTAGGACTGTCGGCTCCAGCTCCTCCACGCCATGTGGGTCCTTTCCAACCGGGTTCTTCCATCCGTACGTACCCGTCGTTCGTCAAAGTCGAAGCGGACGATACGATGCGTTCCAGCTGGGCGTCCGGTCGAGGCTTTTGTACGATGTTCGAGCGGGATGACGACGATGTAGTGATATTTGAGCGTGACGGTCCAGCCTCTGCGTTCCCCCTGGCTCGTGGTTCGAGGTCAATTCCCGGTTGTTGCGACCGAGTCGGACTGGCACGCGCCGAGTTTGTCTCCAGCACCGAGTCGAGGTCGGATTCGAAGGGATTTGTCGACGGTGGACGTGGGATCGGGGAAGGACCCCGGCTGATGGAGGATGGACCCGGGATCGGGGAAGGTATGGGTGATTGAGGGATCGGTTCGCCGTATGCGGAGGTCGAGTGGGACTGTGGAAGGGAAAACAGCAAGGCGGGAAGAATTCGTCAGCTATCGAGATTTTCACGTTTTGCTTGTTCAGATGACGAGCAGACTCACATCCGAATGAGGCAGCCTGGTTCCCCTCCTCACACCATCCTGCTCCTCCTGAACACCTCCCAACCTGCCAAACCCAGGCACGCTGGCTCCCAACCCGCCAAACCACCCCGAAGCTCGTCTCGCAAACCCGGACGAGGTGGACGTGGAGACGCCCATACCTGGGGGATCCGCTTCGTATGGAGTATAGGCGAACCCACCGGTTGGGCGGGTGACGAACGCTTTGGATGATCGGGCGGCTCGGCGACGGGCGGCTTCCTTGGCCGCGAGCGAGGCTAGATTCTGAGGTGGGACGAGGTGAATAGAGATCGTAAGGTCGATGGTGAGATTGAAGAGGACAAGGAACAGCGGTAGAAGAAAGACAAAATTGAATTAGCTCTCCCGATACTGCCGACGAAGCAGACGACGACCCTTGACTCACATCCTGGATCCTCCTCTCCTCCTCTACCTCTTCACTCTGGGACGGATAATCTCCCGATCCGATCCCGGCAAAACTACCCGCACTCTCCGAAACCTCCATTCCCCTCTGTCCACGTGCATCCCTATCGTTGTTATAACCTTGCCCTGACGAGCTATGAGCCCCGGTTCGAGAGTTCCAGTGGGGTTCGGTGTACTCGTCCGCTAACGGGGAACGGGATCGACCCGGGTTGGGAGTCTCCATCGTATCGAGGTCCCAACGAGGATCCTTTTCGCGACCATTCTTGCTCTTATGTCGAGAGTGGGCTTGGCCGTGAGGATGTGCGTGGTTCGAGGTAGAGGTAGAGGTGTTGTTCGTAGGTGTCGAAGAGGAAGAAGTCGAAGGAGGAGATACGCCCCGGTTCATCTCGGCCGTATGAGGACTGAGGTACATGTCCCTCGGACCTGTATTGACAGAGATGTCCCCATCTACGCTCGAATTGTTCGCATTCGCACGTGATCCGGGTAGACGAGCAGGTTGTTGTTGTAGGTTTGCAAGCTCGTGTTGTGATGATGCATCGAAAGTATCGAGATCGTCATCCTCCCTAGCTCGTCCTTTTCCCTTGTTTACACCCACTCGAACAACACCATGGCCTTCATCCTCTTCTTCATCCACACTTTCACCTTGGTCGTGAGATCTTGCTGTCGAGATGGAGCTGGCGAGGTCGAGCGTGTGCTGATGATCCGTAGGTGTGCGTTCGTCTGGCAAGGTGTGGTAATCGGCGTTTTTACTCTTGGGTAGCGGGATGGCTCCCTTGAGCGTGGCCATCGAGGGACAAGGTCGATGGAGAGATGAATAGATGAGAGCTGGGTGAGTGATAACAACGTTGATGACCACGACGACGGCGGTTTGAAGAGGATCGTTTGATGAAATCACGCATCCTCAAAGTGATCGACCTCTGTTCCAAGGGTAGCGAGGGGGGCGCGGAAGCAAATATCACCACCCACGCGCCCATAGCAAGAGAGAGAGGGAGGTGTGAGGGTGCGTCATTTCACGCTTCCCGCATACAAAACACACACACACAGGATGCCGTCACTACGCGTTTCGTGGTCTGTTTGTTTGGTCGTTGTCAAGATATATACATCGCAACAGATCACAGAGACAGACAGAAATCACGGCTCTGCCAGTGAAATATGATGAGAAACGAGAGTATGTACGAAAGAGGGGGCCTATTTGTTGCATATACGGGACAGTGGGGAAAAAGGAAAGGAGCCTGGGTGCGAGGAGAAAGTGTCCGTTTTGTCCGCTCTCTGTTCACTCTACAACATCAAGCTCAACCCGACGACGACCCCGCCGACCAAGACGCTCGCGGCAGAGACGGCTCCTACTCGTCCGGCAGAGTTGCTGGGCGTCTGAGTCTGGACGCTGCCACCCACGACCGAGGTCGAGGTCGAGGTACCGGCAGAGCTAGCTTGAGCTTGAGCGGCTCGGTTGGTCGAAGAGGCGGAAGAGGAAGCAGCACCGGCGGTCAAGGTCGTCACGGCGACGCCAGAAGCCGAGGCGGAACTAGCAGCCGGGTTCGATGCCATGGCGGCCTGAGCGCTCGATTGAGCGGGAGTACCGGCAGAGACGGTCTGGGTGACGACCCCGCCATCGTTGGCATCGGCAGCAGAGGCGGTGTTTCCGACGGCGGCAGTGGCAGCGCTGGAAGTCAAGGGAGCTGCAGCAGCCCTCGAGGTCGAGGTGACCGTCACGACGTTGCCATCACCCCCAACAGCAGCGGCCGTGGTGGAAGCGGCGGGAGCAGCAGCCTGGGACGAAGAGGCCGGGGCACTGCTCGATTCCTCGACCGGAGCGGCGGCGACAGAGGATGAGGTCGTGGGTTCGGCGTCCGAAGTAGACGAGGATGAAGGGGCCGGTGCAGGGGTGGACGAGGTGGTGGTGGGTTCAGCGGCGGCAGCGACCGAGGTGGACGATGGAGCAAGAGTGGATTCGCTAAAAAGGATAGGGAACGAGGAGGTAGGGCAGTGTGAAAGGCGAAGGGAGGCGTTTCGAGTGATAGTTCACGTTGATGTCGTTGTCGAGGCCGATGAAGATGGCAGAGCCAGATATCCAGAGTGAGAGCAATGCGAGGAAGGAGAAAACCAGATCGCATCAGAAAACTTGCTCCACCGGTGATCGCGAAAAAGCTCGAGCGTGCACAAACCTCTCGGCCGACGAAGAACTAGCTGGCTGAGCGGAAGAGCTCGAGCTGGACGATCTGTATACGATCATCAAAGGTATGGAGAATCATAAAGTGGCCATCAGCTTGTCTGACTTGATCACGCTGTTCGCAAGAATCGCCCATGACTCACCCTCCAGAGAGACAGCTCGAGTCGCTCGAAGCGCCGACAAAGATGTTCTGGACGTATCCGACCGCACCGTTGCCGTCGGTGACCTGTCAAGCGAGATTGGAGAGCACCAGAAACCGTGGATGTCAATCCGAGATGCGAACGAGACACAAGACGAAAGCAGTGCAGAAACCAGCTATTAGCCCAAAACGTCCTTGTTCCCACGTCATCCGAATGCATATGTAGGCTTACCTGGAAGTACATTCCGGTACCTTCGGGCTGGGTGACAGTCCATTGGTAGCTAGCATCGTTCAACCCGCCATGGGTCTCGAGTTGCTTGGAAGGGAGGTACAATCCACCGGTCGAGATGGCCAGCGAGTAAGGGGCCTGTCAAGGTGGACCATCGGTAAAGGTCAGTATGAGAACATGGAATATCATAGATGGTAGCCAGCGGTGACACTTACGACGGCACCGGTCCACGAGATGGTACTCTGAGCACACTGAACGAGGTTGTCGGCCTTGACGCTGATGTCGCTGATGGGAGCTCCGGCGAGGACATGGACCTGACGTTTGGCCAGTTCGTGACCCTCGTTGACCGGAACTGCCTGAGCGGTGGAGAGCAAGAGGGCGGTGGTGAAGATGAGCGAGTACATGGTGATGCCTCTGTGGTCCTTGTTGGTCTTTTTGCGAATTGGCCTGAGTATGGGTTCGGTTCCTTTGGTTACGCGTTGTCGAAACGGGCTCGTTTGTTGTGTTTCTGTGTGAGAGTTGATCGATTGACTGTGTATGCTATCGGCTATCGGTCTGTCCCTTCGAGGTAAAAGACAATATGCCGAGAGAAGCTAGAGAAGTTGAGTAAAGCTAGAGGTTTGCAAAGAGGTTGGTGCAGGTGGCAGGTGGTGTCCGGACGATCTCTTTCGACGTCTTTGAACCCCATTTTCCGAGAATAGCGAGTAGCAGGGGTAGCAGACAAACAGGTCGTTGCATCGCCTCCTCTCTCCTCTCGCCCCCCGCCTTCCTCCTTCTGCTCTTCCCGCCTTGCCCTCCCTTTCTTTTAGCGCTGTCTCACACGTTGTACTAGCGTCATTCTTCCCTCCTCTTTCCACCCTGCCCATCTGCCTCCGCAGCCACCCCCATCCCTTCCGGATCGACGCGCCCCCTTTGCGCCTTTTGTCTCGCCACGTTTTCCATAGTCGGTGGTTTCAAGATCCATCTCGATCAAAATGAGCTGATCGATCCATAATTCGAACAAGGAATATCATGTATCGTGGCTATCAAGACGTATGGGCAGGTTTTCAGCACTTCCCCCTCTCCGTTGCGAATGGTGGATAAAGGAGCAGTCAAATGACGTTCTTACCCCTGGAGTCAGCTCCAGTACGACATCAAGGGAGGAGAATGAACGAGAACAGAAAACAGGCCATAGGGATATCTCATTCAACATGTCTGCATACGACAATACGTAGCTGGAACGAGCTGTAACTCGACAAAGATCAGACACAACTACCTCTAAACCGACCCGGAGCGTTCCTTGCGCAAACTAGGAGTCTCCGTAAACGCTATTGTAGCCGCTTGCAGCCTGAGTCGGGCAGAGAATGGCAGTAACGTCGTAGCTTGCACTCATTCCTGAAAAGGACTGAACGGTAGTAGCGACAGTCCAAATGAAGCTCTTGTGTATGTGGAAGAGGTCTCATAGACACCGTCTCAATCGTAGCGTTGCTGGCGGGCTTTTGGGGCTGGGAAACATGGCTTTCGGCGTTCGAGAGCGCTGGGTCGAGTAATGGCCGGGTTTCCTGATGGCATTCTATGTACACGTAGTGACCATCTCTGGACCTGGAGATCCAGGGACTTTGTACACCAGCGCAATTGTTCCAGTTGCACTCCACAGCCTCTTCAGTAGAGAGATGTCTGGTATGGTCGGCCACTATGAGGCGAAGGAAGTTGAGTAGCCATCGGTGAGTGTCCTGATTTTTCAGGTTCAACCATTCAACCTTGCCGTCCGCGCAGCGAAAGCTCACTGCGCTCGAACGTAGGTGGATGGGGCATCGAATTACTGTCCATGTGTGGTCTTTGCAGTCTTTATGTCCCAATCGAGTGCTGACGACAGAACTCTCAAGAGGACTGTACGTTTAGAGTCGATGGTTGTTCCAGTTCCAACCGATGAAACTTGCCAGGGTTGTGTTAACTGGAGGAGATGATGGGTATAATGTGAGGCGAAACTTCACCAGCCAGAACAATCTGACTGTTGGCGAGCTGTCTAACAAATTGTGAGCAATGTCTCGCGCCGGTATCAGCAACTCCCTGTCACCTGTCGGATCGTCGGGTCTATCTTTCTGACTGACGCGTAGCTTGCGCAAAAGCTATTGAAAGGGCTTGCGTTATCATCCTATAATTTGACTTGTACACAATCATCGAATAACTCACTAGGATCACAGAGAAAGGGTTTGCGACTTCCTCGCCTTGCGGAATCAGATCCATCTTGGGGTCTGATTTGACGTTTGGCGGATCAAGTATGAGTGTGGTGAAGGGGGATTATCCAGGTTGGAAGACCACTTCAACAGCTACGTTTCTATTCACGTCAGACTGGGTCTCATGGGCTGATCTTCGAGATGTTTGTCTCACCGGGCGGGTGCACTTTCCTCTGTCAAGCTAGACCACTGCCTTCGGATCGAGTTTCACCTCGCGCGAGTTACAACTCCCTCCATTAGGTGATACTGTATGGCGTCAAGCGCGGTCGCAACGAGCCGCCCAGTCGCGCTCTCAGGGATTTCAATGAAAGGAAAACAGACGCGCCATGGTTCTGGCTTAGCAGTCAGCATAAGCAGCCGCACAATCGGACTAGTCACGATAACGTAGCGCCTCCATTGCCACCCCAACCGACTTCCAGCTTGACTCGCCCCACTTCCAGTCAAACCCTTAGGGTGTCAGTAATACCGGACATAGTCGCAATGTGAACGCGTGACAGGGTACCATACGGATACAAAGGTACCATAATTTCAGCAGGGATTGAGGTGTAAGGGTTAAGCCAGGCTATCTCATGCCTTTTTCTTGGCAGGAAACCAAATATCGCAGCAACCAGCCTTGCTATATGCGGCCTTCGTTGCCGGATCATCCAAATGCAGAGCCGCTTCTGTGGACGGATCGAACTTGGAGTCGGTTCCGTTCAGCAATTTCTGCACCTCCGCAATAGAAGCGAAGTTGTCGTTGTCATCGCAAAGGTGGTTGATACCTATAAAGACGGAAGCTTTGGCAGTTCCCGGGTAGTCCAGGCCCAATAGTGGTGATCCTCGGTAGATTGAGCAGATCTGCGTTTCCTGATCGTATTCAACCGAGGTCTTCCATGGCAAAGAGGCATTGTCTGTAAGAGAGAATCATCAGATCTTGTTGGTGAACAAGACTTAAGATACCAGACCTCACAATAAGCCAGATCGAAGCAAGCAGCCGGCGTTTCAACGTCGTGCACTACACCTTCCTGTGGTGCGGTTGGGTCATATTGGTCATGTAATCCATGGCTCTCCTAAACTCACAGCAGTGCGCATCTGCCACGAGACGGCGAGACCGTTCACCATGGATCCGTAATCGCTGAGCTTCATGTCTTCCTTAACATCAGTCTTTGCGCCTTTGCAAAGTCCATAGCTGGCGGCTGCGGTATAGGGTACAAGCAGCAAACAAGCTAGCATTGTATTGGAGTAGGGCGACATGGTGTCAGAGGTGTGAGAGTAGGTTGATGGGTTGTAGGAAGCTTGTAGATGTGGACCCTTCAGATCTTTCCGGTGTGTATTAACTCTTGTACCGTGATCACTTAAGTAGGTGAGTGATGTTATCGGTGCAAAATGCCTCCTTTGATCGCCCCCCTGGCTACCTGTTAGACCCTTGATTTCCCCATGTATGAACTTCTTCACCCCGGACCGATTCGTCCAAGCTCAAACAGGGGGAGTACAGTACAGATAGTCTCGATCATGTCACAGCTCATAGGGAGGGACTCGCAACGGAAACAGAGTCCACGCATCCTTGATGTTTGGAGAAAAGCGGGTCATGGGGGAAGTATCATCTCGCTCATATCTTGCGCCAAGTCTCTTTGAGGGCAATGTCGGTCGGAGAAAACTACGTGCAGAAGTGAAGTACGCGAATGGCCACGATCGAATCGAGCAAGTCGTCCCTCGCGCTCATTGCGTCAAAGCAACATCGATCAGCCGAATCCAGTGAAGTCAATTTTTGTGTTCTGGAACAGTTTTCGATGCCCATCCTATGCGCTGTGCCTCTCAACAGATTGTGTTCGGTATCCGGTATATCGGTGTCCATTCCTAACAGTTTCACGCTCCAACAGCGCCACTAATCAAACCTTGTTGGGGGGACCTCTCAGAGAAGTCTCTTTCTGTGCGCGTCGCCCGTCTTCTTCAGTCGTCATCCTGGCATGAATATGACTGAGCTCGATCCAACCTCTTGGTCTATCGTTCGACAAATGACAACGCCTTACCTTTTAAACCTCTGTGACCTTCATACCCATACCTACTCGACACCATCTATTTGAGGATCCGTACGAAACTCCTCGAAAACATGTCTTTCTGGAACCCATTTCGACGCAGCGACCATCACAAAGAGGCAGAACAGGCGGATGAGATCAAGGTCGTCGTCAAGTGGAACAAGGATCGGTAAGTTAATAAGTAGACGCATGCGTCTGAGCGATCATCACTTACACAGCCTGAATCTGTATCTCTCAGCTTCAACATTCCCGTACCAAAGCCTTCCGAAACCCCCCTATCTACTTTGGTAACACTTGGGTTTCCCCCTTTCACAACCCGACTATCGAGCTGATCGAGGCTGTTCGTACAGGTCGCTACCCTTTCCGCTCAGACCGGCCTCTCTGCAGACAAGATCAAGTTGATCTACAATGGCGGAGTGATGAAGAACATGTCGTTGCCTCTGGCCGGCTACGGGTTGAAGGACGGGTCCATGATCGTGCTCGTCGGTTCGAACGATCCCCCCGCTTCGGGAGTGATGGGTGCCGTCAGGGAGCAACAGGTCAAGAAGAAGAAAGAGGAGATCCCGACGACGGAAGACGGGCTCGTAGAGTTCCTGGCCGGAAAGAGAAAGTTCGTCGAGGAGATGAAGCCGGAGCTGGATACGTTCGAGAAGGATTGTCAGACCTACCTGTCGGCATCGCAAGTGGGAGCGGAGGAACAGTCATCAGCGTCGGTGCCGACATGGCAAAAGCTGCAACAGGCTCACGCTAGGATTACGGAGATCTTGCTCCAGCATCTTCTCAAGCTGGACGGCATCGAGATCCAGTCCAGCATGAGCAGGGCCAGGGCCGAGAGGAAGGAGGCCGTCAGGGTCGTGCAGCGGGAGATGGACTCGGCGGACGCAGTGTGGGCAAAGGTCCGAGATCAAAAATCGTAAAGCCGCTTAAATAAAGATGGCGGTACGGAGCGGATGGGAGAGCGGGCATGACGAACGAGCATGTTGTATCGATAGCGCAATAGACGAGCCACATGTGTCCCTAATACAACGGTTTCTGATCTCGGAGCGATAAGAGCCCCGTTCCCTTTCATCGTACAGGGTCGAGCCGGAAATGACTCGTCATTAGATTCGTTTCGGTTTCGTTAAGTTGAAGGATCGGTGTGTTCAGTCCCCAAACATCCGCTTGGAGGCGGGGATGACTTGGACGAATTGCATGTGAGCATACTACGAACAAGGCGGGTCAATATCTGTTCCCCTACAGATTACCGACGATCGGGACTCACGACGTCCCACCACCTCTTGACTTGGTCATTGAAGAATTCCTTGTCGTGAGCGACGGCTGACATTATCCGAACAAGCTTGGTCCGCTGCACATTGGAAGAATCCAAATATCAGTATCCGATGTTTCGTAGCCGCTGATCATTGGTGGTACTGACCATAGCTTCTCCGTTCATAGCACAATGATCAATCGGTGTGCTAGAGGAGCTCGATTGTCGGTCAACGAGGGTCGTCTCAGGCAGAATGATACCCGCTCACCGATGGAGTAGATCACATATCTTGCGACTTTCTGCTTCGCGCTCCGCCGTGACCTGTTCGATGGGAGTGCCCAGCTCCAGCTTGAAGTCGAACTTCAGGGCGCAGCATCGTCAGATCGATTGATCGCAGTTACCAAGCCAACGTCGATACTTACGATCTCGAATTTCGCGAGAACAGCAGTAATCATCAGGTTGACTCGTTGGACAGCAAAGACTTCGTTCGAGTCCACGTTAGGGTCGTGTAGAGTGGTTGGGCGCAATACCTCGGGCAGGCTGTCGAGATCCTCGTCGATCCGCTTGCAAGCGTTTTCAACCCACTCCTCGAGTCCTGGTCTATCCCTCTCTTTGGGGGAGGCTTTATACTGTCGAAACAGTTTCAGGCACTCTCCGAGTGTTTGGAAAAGCCCCGACAAGGACACGAATCCTGTGATGTAGGATGTTTGATTCGCGGGCTGCGGTATCATACCGTGCTTATTGATGAGATCGTCGTCGATGCACTCGGGGAATGGTGGCAATCCTTCGAAATCGTGAAGCCTGTCGATGAACTCCTGCATCAGTACAGGCTACAGCGATGTTTGCAAGAGATCTGCGCTCACATGACAGGCATACCACAACATGCATCGGTTCTGCGCGGACGAAGAGGTTAGCCCCGATGCGACAACCTTGCTACTCGAACTGCTCACTTGTCCGTGTTGTATAACTGCCAGAAGATTCTCTTTCGCAACTCATCTTCGACTCGGTCGTAAGAATCGCCCTCTTTGTGTTGCTCGGTGCGATGCAGCTTCTTGACATAAGCTAGGCGGGCGGCTTCACCTAATGTTGTTGCAGCACCTGCGATGTCATTACAATTCTGACTGTAAAAGTAGTCTCTGTAGCAAGACAGGTGTGAGCGAATAGTGAGGCATAAGAGGTTGTTTCGCCGGTACATACATGATCAAGACCGCCAAGCTCGTCAGGTTTGGTTCTTCGCCTGTCTCCCATCTCGCCTTGCGCACTTGTGATTGAATGACTTTGGACGCATAATGGCATTGCGCTTGCAGAGTCTCTAAGTTCTCCTTGGTATAGCCTATCGAGGTCATCATATGTACCGGAACCTGGCAGATCACGTAGACGACTGCAAACGTGCAAACAGTGTCAATGCATCAGCGTCGCCTCAATCACAAACGTGTCCCGATAGAAGAAGGTCGCTCTCACCAAGACTCAAAAGCAGCGCCCTGAATTCCGGATCCGTCCTGTCTCGTCTATCCAGGAGGTCCGACCTGAAAGTGGGTTTGTGCACGATGGGGACGAGGGCATGCTGATGCTTGAGATAGAGCTGGATGAAGAATTCGACGTTGGTCCAGCTCGTTACAGTCTCGATCTGATGGAACGGCGAATCGCTCCGAGGTGCCTGCGTGAATTGCAATTGCGGCACGCTGCTGCTCAACAGAGTGGGGTCGAGACTCGGATCGAGCAGGGCGTCGAATTGGTACGAAGCGAACGAGTCCCTGTGGGTCGAGCGACCGTTCTGTCCTTGAACCGGAATGCCGCCCGAGCCGTGTCGCTGCAGGTGATTGCCGTTGGAGGAGGTAGCGAAATCTCTCTCCGACTGTCCCTCTCCCATGTTGCCTTTCAGGACAGGCTGATGATCCGATTGTATGAGACGAGTGATGGACATGCTGCTTCGCCTCGAAAAGCTCCGACGGCGATCATCCGAGGGGTAATGACCTGCATCCACACTTTGCCCACCCGCGTAGCTCGAGACCGATCTCCCGGGGCTCAAAAGATCATCGCCTGGACCATACGAAGCTTTTCGTTTGGTCCCTCTAGCCGATTCATGGGCTTGAGAGCGCTGGAAGGGATACTGTGGAGGCGGCCTGGGATACGGATTTCCATAGGCTTGATATGTGTCATACGAGTCTTCGCCTTGCCTGACGGTAAGAAGGCTCTGAAAAGGACTCTGAGCGTCGACAACGCTGCTCGTAGCGCTCTTGTCCATCGCAGCGGGCCAGAGCCCTATCTCGCTTTGACCTCTCGAACCTCGATCATCGTCTCGCGATGTGTTTGGGGAAATCTTGTGAATGTGGGATGCCGGCGTGGGATGTCCATCAGAGTAGGACGGACGAATGTCGATGTTTCGAGTAAAGGGAGAGTTCATAAAGGTCTCTCGGCCGACATCTGGTGTGAGAGCCGTAGGGTCCGGTTCTTCGGCCGAGACGAGCAACTCTTGAGCAGGCAACTTCCAGACGGGCAGGGACAAGTTTGGTTCGCTCGTTATTGCGCTCGTCAGGACCTCCGAGGTGCCCTCTTCAGTCTCGAGCGAACCATCCTTGTTGCCACGGTCGTTCGACGTGCTCGCCTTGGCCGATCCTCGGGCCTTCTCCTCCTTCAACTTTTTCGTGCTGCCCAACGGACGCCCCGGTTTCTTGTTGACATAGTCGTGACTACATTTCACATCGAGGTTCTCACACCCTCGACATCGTTCGCCTGGCTTGGGCGAGGCATCCGACTCGAGGTTGAAGGGTATGCATTTTATCTGCGTTCGGCAGGTTTCCGTCGATCAGTCTGATATGAAACTTGCCGAGTCGGAGTCTATCTACCCCACACATCTCCCCGCGAGTGCTCACCTTTCGCTTCCTGCAGACATCACAAGGTCGTTTGGAGGCCACGAGATTGTTCCGGGGGACGCTGGATTCCCAAAGGGCACCTGTCACCTGTTCCTGCGAACCTGAAGCGGGTCCGCCTGGAGCCTGAAACTCTTGAGTTGTCGAGGACGCCATCGAGAGAGGCAGAGCCGCTGCGCCCGGGATCTTTCGCTATTTTGTCGTCTACGAAACTTGTCGTCAAGATGGAGAAGTGGATGGATCAAGTTGGTATGAGATCCATGACCAGTCACAAGTGAGGAATGTCAAGAAGAGATATTGCTCGTTCGCTTTGAGCCGATCGATCGAGTGCGCCTCGAGTGACCCGGATACGTGTATGCGTGATTGTTCCTTTGAGTATACGAAGACCCTCAGAGTCGAGCTATGGAGCCAATTTGTGGGACCTCGCTCAGCCTGTTGGAAAAGATCTGAACGTCGAGGAGGAGGGTATGATCCCAAAGGAGGGGGATGAATGCGGGTGGGGCACCGAGTGAGGTTAGCAATCAACCTCCCCTCCTGCGTACATCACGTGACTAGTAGACGGCGTACAGGCGGGTCACTCGGGGATCATCCTTACTCCTGCACACTTGTAACCACAGAGACTTTCACCTACTCAGCTCCTCCAGCCCTCAATCACCACACACATCGGCATTCTGTTGCAGAATCCAAGATTCGTACTCATGGCATCCGCGTTCTTCTCCCCGGATCCAGCTTCGAGCTCGAATCTCACCCACAAGTAGGTCAGACTCGCTCGCCAAAAAAGTTTGGTAGCAGCCAGTCTCATCACCCCTTACATCCCCACTACAGCTGGTCAGAAAAGGACGTCGAGGTCGCTTCCATCGCTGCCATCAACTTTTCGAGAGCTTTCTACGAGAGCTATGATAAGCCTGCGGATCGATTACCGGTGCGTTGTCAACTTCGAAACGTATGGATGATCTTTGGCTGATTCTCACTTGTTACTCCTGTAGCTTCTGGCACCCTTTTACCGGGAGAGGTCGAGCTTGGTGTGGAACGGCAACCGAGCACAAGGAATAGTCGAGATCGGAGAAGCGCTGGCGAGGGTACCGCCGAGCAAGCACGAGATCGTAGCGGTGGATAGCACACCGATCGCAGGCAAGTCCCGTTTCCCCCTTTGAGTGCTACCGCTTTAGATTGATACTCACAGCTGTATTCTGATGTGTCTTGTCTCTATAATACATAGGAACGTCACCACCAAGACTCCTTGTGACCGTGACCGGCATCGTACGACACGTGGACCCCTCGAAATTGACCTCGCAAACCATCTCCGCTCGATCACTACCACAACATACCACCGAAACTCTGCCTACCACTTCCCCCGCTGGTACCGAGATCGAGTACGTCATCCCGCACTCGGTGATCTCGCCTATGGTTACAGATGCGGGAGGATCGGGCAAGAACAGGGGCAAGGAGATGATGGACGAGGCGACTATCAAGGGGTTGCCGAGGACGTTTGTCGAAGTGTTCGAATTGGTAGCAAACGAGGAAGGGACGGGAAATGAGAACCCGCAGCCAGGCGTGAGTCTGATATCGTGTGATATCTATGTTTGTGTGTCGAAGGATCGTTCTGATGAGCTTCTCCCCATGTTGCAGTACCACATCCTGAGGGATACTTTCCGTTTCGTAGGCTGAGGGCAAGGAAAGAGGAGAAGGACACGAAGCGCAGATGAGGACTGTCTCAATACGACAACACACTGTATACAACACGATAGATGCGACTGTGCGAATGCCATGCATTTGGGCCAACAGTGAATCACTTCAAGTGCGCACATGAATGCATATTATGATGGTCGAGGTAGAATACAGTAGGGTTAAGGACGAATCTAAAGTTGTGTAAGGACTTCTTGCCTAGTCCGTCCGTGCCCTCTTGCTGTCCGGCTGGTCTCCCTCCCCCTGTGGCGTCATCTCGACCTCTTCTTCCTGCTCCTGAGCTCGTCCGTTCAGGGCTCCCTGCCACCCTTGCAGTACGGCTCGACTGACAATCTCCCTCAGTTCGGCTTCCGGATCGGTCCCGTTCCTCTCGTGGCGCTCCATGATCTCGTTGGTCTGTGCCATCAGGTCGTCGGATATCTGCGAAGACAGTTGCTCGGTCTGGTATTCGGACGGTCGACCCGAAGCGTCTGCGTTGTCGACGAGGCGGATGTTGGGCTGTTCGGCTGTGCCTTCGGTACCGAGTAGCAGAGACTGGAGGTACACGGCTGTCTCGGGGTGTTCTTCAAAGAGGTATTCAGCGGGCTGTGCGGAAGTAGACGGTTGATAAGCTCGAGTTGCTTGCTATGATTTGACTGTGTGACTTGGAGAGTCGAGCTTACCGACTGTCCCTCATTATTTTGTACATCCGCATTCGCTCCGTGCTCTACCAGCCAACGCGCTACTTCGACGCTCTCGACGGTGAAGATAGGTGTCTCACCATCTTCGTCGGCAATGTTGATATCTCCGCCTTTACTGATAAGGTACTCCAGCAGCTCAAGATGTCCGTAAGAGGCTGCTGCATGCCTATGATTGGAGTATTGTGTCAGCTACGCAAACCTGCTTGTGATCGAGGCGTGGCTGACATCGGGGTGTATGTATTCTCATCCTTATCGTTGGGCGTCAATCCTGTTCAAATACAGGAGTGAGCGCTTGTTAGCCAGCTCATCTGAAACTATCGACCGTGCTGTGCTAGTCACCAACCTTGAACCTCGATCAGCTCCTAAGGAACGACAACGCCAATTCAGGACAAGCGGGTTTGACCGTCAGCCATCTCCAAGATGTCTGTGTCGAATGCGTTACCGACCTTGACCCTGTCCAAATCGCCATCGCTCGACGCTATCCAGATGTTTTTTCCGGTGAAGGCTACGCTAGGCATGACGAGTGTATGTGCGAGAGAAGCGATTTGCAAGTGCAGGAATACAGGTTTGATGGCTGGCCGACAGAGACGGTTTGATTCTCGAAAACAGTCGTAGCTGACTACCGTTATATTGGAAAGGCAGAGGGTGCGTATAGAAGATCAACCCTACAGAGTCGGATCGAGGAGGAGGTTTCGGTCAACTGCGAGTCACGTGATCCAGCTGATCTTATTGACGTAAGACTGACGTAACTTCCCGGATGGTTCCCCTCGAGTCTCATCTCCGATCCCGTCCTCTGACGTTTCGCTGACGCCAGCGTCTTTAGCAATGATGAACGCAATGAACATGCTATCGGGACAAGGTAGAAGGCAACATAGACATAGACCGCTATAAGCACCTTTCAACCCGTATTACATTAGATACAGAATAGCAAGATGGCCGAAAAAGCAGCACGAAAGCAGGAAAAGGACTATACCGCCGAGGTGGATACGCTCATCCCCGAGCTGGAAGGATTGGTCAAGGTATGACGAAAGATCTCGTTCGTGATCTACTACTTAGATTCCTGACGATTGCTTCATTACCACTTGTTCTGGAATGGGTTCTGATCGTCGTTAGCAGGATGGCAAGGTGCAAGATACACTGGATAAGCTCCAGGCGATGGAGAAACAGACTCGAAATGTAGGTCGAGCAAGAACCGAAACAGCTAGCCACTGGTTCGCTAATCTGCCATACTTGGCTATCTCTAGGCTGCCGATCTGAGCTCGACCTCTCGACTGTTAGCTCATCTCCCTAAGCTCCTGTACAACCTCCCACCAGCCACCTCCCTGCCCCAACATTTCCCTACGCTGATCACTTCCCTGACAACCTACTCGAGAAAGCACGGTCAGCTGAAAGAAGCCGTCGTCAGGATGGTCGATTCGGCAATGTCGATTTTGGAGGAGATTCAAGGAGGCAAGGGGCGTATTGAGAGGAAGTACGTGGACGCGGATAGTGAGGGAGACCGGTGGTTGGATTTGGTAGACTGCCTGCGAGATATCACCGAGGGCAAGGTAAGCTAGAAATACAGAGATCGATCGAAGATTAACAATCCGTACTGATGACGACTCATTCAGATCTACCTCGAGCTGCAACGTGCGAGATTGACGAAAATGTTGGCCTCTTGGTACGAAGAGCTAGCCGCAAGCGCGCCGGAGACGAATAATCAGCCTGGTTAGTCAGAGTTCGTCCGCCTGCACTACTGGGACTCGACTCATTCTGTGCAATGTGACCTTGCTTGTAGCCAAACCCACGGCTATCCCTTCGCTTCGACCATCAGACGACGAGGAGAGCAAAGCAGGATCGACTGAATCTTCGAAAGAGAAGGAGAAGAGGAAGAATGCCGTGACAAAGAGGGATTACCTGGAGGCGGCCGCGGACTTGATGACCGACGTTCAGGTAAGTTGGGAAAGGTGTGCGTGCACTTTGAGGTAGTTCCTAACCAGAAGTTTGGCTTCGATCCATTAGGTCGAAACCTACAGTAGCATGGACAAGCGAGAAAAGACGGAATTGTAAGCCCACCAGTTTCGCCACGATGTCCGAGTATCATGCTGACCTGCCTTTACATACAGCATTCTCGATCAGATGAGGCTGGAGAGCACACGTGACCAGTGGCCGAGGGTCAGGGTCGGAGGACGTAAAATCCACCGTGGTTTCTTGAAGGAGAAGGAGAATGCGGTAAGTCGTCATGTTCACAACCAATCATGTCTTCCATAATTTTACTTTAACTGACTCTTCCATTCGGTCATCTTCTCCAGGACTTGAAACTGCGCTACTACGACCTGATCATCCAGCTGGCGCTGCATGAGGACAAATACCTGGATGCTTGCAAAGCTTATCAGGAGGTCTGGGACACCGAAGAGGTCAAGGCGGATCCCGAGAAGGAGAAGGAGGTCCGTCGCAGCTTGCGACATGTCGTCACAATCAGTGCTGATCATGTGTGTGATTTGCAGGCCATCGAAAACATTATCGTCTTTATCGTTCTGGCACCCTACGATAATGAACAACACGACATGCTGAACAAGCTATACGCCAACACTAAGTTACAGAAATGCGTGCTTCACTAGTCAGTCATCTCACTAAAACATCAGGTACAACCTTTTCACTGATGCACGCATACACTTGATTGTTCCGGTCTACAGCGAGCTCCTGAAATGCTTCATCACGAAGGAGCTGATGCGATGGCCTGGTATCGAGGCAATCTATGGACCCACCCTGAGGGAGAGCTCTGTGTTTAGCCAGTCAATTGCCGAAGGCGAGGCGGACGATGGTACTAAAAGGTGGAACGCCTTGCACCAACGGGTCATTGAACACGTAAGTTCCAGGCGTCGCGACCATTAAATGGTCTGTATCTCAATGTTTGACTTGTTACATATGCAGAACATCCGTGTCGTCGCTTCCTACTACACCCAAATTACGTTGCCTCGCTTGACGGAACTTCTGGACCTGAGTGCGGCTGAAGCTGAGCGAACACTATGCCGATTGGTGACCGACAAGGTCGTACGGGCAAAGATCGACCGACCGGCTGGTATCGTCGGCTTTTCGCCGAGAAGCAACCCGGATGAGATTCTGAACGCGTGGAGTGGAGACTTGGGCAAAATGTTGGGACTGATCGAAAAGACCAGTCACCTGATCAACAAGGCAAGTCCATTTCATTCGTTCTTGCGAACGGCATACGCTGACCAGACATGCTCCGACAGGAGTATGCGATTCATGCGGCACGAGCTGCGATGGCGAACCGATAAAGCAAGCCGATTGTATCCCTTAGGCCCCTTGACGACATTGCGATGAACATGCTATGCGATTGACCTTTCGCGGCGACTCGTGACCGAAAACATAACGTGCGATGACACTGGCTGCAGGTGGCATCGCGCTAATGACGAGTAATCAAAGGATCGCTCTATTGTCACCGATGCTTCTTGGTCACAGGTATCTGCTAAGATTCGTGTCTATAAATGAGGCTGATCCATACATGCGCTTTGAGATACCGGAGGGGGTTTCAGAAACCGGAATCGCTCTTCTCATCGAACCGCAAGATGACGAAGAAACTCGATGACCAGGACAAGCAAGATGCCATCAAGATCATCTTGACTGGGTTCAACGTAAGCACATTGACATGGCGCAAGGCAGGACACACACACATGACGGTCATTGTGGCTTCTTATAGACCACCGGCAACTGGGCCGCCTACGATGTTGCGAGCACGTTGCAAGGACTAGTCTCTGCCGATGTCAAAGGTTCGTCCAGCAATGGCGGGAGAGACCTCCACATCGAAACGGTCATCTTGCCGCCTACCTATGAAGGCATCTCCACAAAGGTTGCGGAGCTTCACGCGGACCACAGTTGGGACTTCTTGATTCACGTCGGTCCCGGACATGGTTCGAGCAACGAATCTCGAATCCCGAAAGGAGCGGGTAGGTCATAATTCGACAACATTTGATCCGGCAAGCTGACCTCTTTCACTTCGCGCTTCGATAACAAGAACGAATGGGTTACGATGAACTCGACGCGGAAGGACAGTTTGCGCCCATGATCAACCCGCTTCGAGGGACTCGCGGCCTGGAAGGCAAAGGTCGCAAGTGGCACACAACGGTCGATGTGGACGGACTCGTTCGACATCTCACTCAGACCAGAGGTCATCAGGTATGGTACATGGCGGGCGTCCCAAGAACTTTTTATCTGACAGGACTTTCTCCGCAACTAGGCGATTAGCTCGTGCGACAACCCCGGCCTTGGTGGAACTGGCTTTGCGTACGCCAGTAGTCTCAAGGCTGCTAGCAAGAACGGCGACGGGGTCAGGCCGGTACTTTGCTTCCTGGTACGGACCCGACTCTGGACTTCGTTGTCACCACAGACAGGCTAACCATCGCTGTGAATCAGCGTCCCGGAACCGACAACGTCGAACCGTCTGGTTCTGCATCGCAAACGAAAGAGATCCTCCTGGACATCTGCGATTGGCTTGCATCGAACACTTCGAAAGGAAAGTCTCAGTGAAGACGTCGACGCTAGGGGTTTTAGGTAGAGTGTCAATCGATTGGGACGCATGTGTATTGTATTGTTCATGTGTTCTGAAGCGATGAAACAGTAGTGGCTTGTTTTGTCATCCTACATTTTCACGGAACGGTATAGTTTGGTTTGCATTCTCAACATATATACAAAAGGGCACACAAGGACTGAAACAAACAGACATTTACAAGGAACAGAGCCTTTCAAGCCGTATCGTGTGTACAAGAACATAGAAAAGAACGACCGGGGCAAGTCCGATCTGATCGTCATCATCGGGCGTCTCCCCAAGCTCAGGCAGCCCATACCCGCTCTTCTACCCAATCCAACTCACTCTCGCCCGCGATCGAACCAGCATCGCTGGTGGAGGTAAAGACCGATCCCGTTTCGCTCAACACCGGCATCTGCATCCTCCAAGCGTCTTCCTCTTCAGTGAGGAGAGGCGTGGGGATATCGTCCGTGTGCGAATAGACGGACGAAGCGTAGGAAGAGGAGGATAGAGGGGTGAGGGTCCCCGATGTAGGAAGGCTAGAGAGGTCCATAGACGACGCTGATGCGGACGAGGACGAGGCGTATCCAGATCGGGCGAAATCGGTCATCTCGTCTGCTTCTCCGAACGAAGCCGAAGCCGAAGTCGACATCGAGTCCCGGTGAGGGGAATGGGGTACCGAGTAGATGTACCACCATCCTCGACTTTCAGGCTCGGCCTTGCCTTGACAGTGGTTGACGAGCCTCTCCACGCCCTCCTCGCTCCATCCGCGGAAGACCAGCCTCAACGCTTCTGCCTCTTGTTGACCTTGACCTCCTGCGGCGTATACGACCTCGACGTCCACATCCACCCCATCCCTATCCGTTCTCAGCCAGCCGCCCTCTTCCGAGCTCAACCAGACCCGTCCTCCGATCTCCTCGAGAAGGGGGAAGAGTCTTGTCCGGGCGTGGTGGTCGTATGCCTGTTGAGTGGGGAGGAGGGAGAGGAGGAGGTCCGGGGTCGGATGGGCTGTGTAGGGGTCTTGGTCCTTCTTGATGGTTGAAGAGGGAAGGACGGGGAGGGAGAGCAGGTGAGATAAAGACGGGGCCAGGGGGAGTAAGAGATAAGTCGTCCGATTGTGATCCGCCCTTGCAACGTCTTTGTCTGTATCCTGTACTGCATGCTCGATCTCCGTTACGGTAGGCTGGACGGCGAGCTCAAAGTACCTCTTGAACTCTTCCGCCGCGGCCTGTCTCTTCTTCTCTTGTTCATCGGCTTGAGTAGAAGCGGCAACCTGGCCATACCCGGCGAGGAGGGCGAACCGGTTTCCTCCATGCAACCTCTCGTACTTCTTCAAGCTGGCCTGGATTTGAGATTTTCCAGCTTTAACGTTGACGATCCTTTTCCTACGACGATCCTTGCCGCCGTCTTGCCTCTTGATCCGATCGGCCAAAGCTCTCATCCCAAGAGGGACGTTGTTGTAAAATTCGTGCGCCATCTTTCCACCTCCGTATGTCGCAAACGTTCTCGCGGGAGAGGGATGGAGGCCGGTATGGCTCACCATACCCGGTCCTCTCAACTGAGCCGTGGGCCTGATTCGACCGGCTAACAATCGGCTGGATTGAGTCAGCGGGGCCGATCTGATAGAGGACGAAGGGCTCTGATGGTATTCCCTGTACTGTCCTGGCCACCTCCTGCCTCCGATCTCCCTCCCTCCTCGTCGAAGCGGGATGGTCTCGTAGACCGGCTCCCGCTCCAGTTGCCCAAACGTGCTCCTCCATACCTCCCTGGCGTATTGTTTGGCCTCTTCATAAGTCTTGGAAGAAGAAGACGATGTAGGTCGGGCGGATGAAGGGGGCGATCGACGGGCTTGTCGAGAGAGTTGTTTGAGGAACGGCTTGAGGATACGAGAGGCCAGGCCTCCCGGTGGTGCACTCATGGTTTCGAATAGGTGAGTGCGTGCAGTCTGACTAGACGGTGGTGCATGAGTATCTGACAGAGATCAAAGGGGTCAAGTCGATGTCGATGTCGATGAGTATATACGAGTGGCGATTGTCCTCCTCGGCTCCACTCCACTCTCGTTCGCTCGCTCGCGTCGTCACTTGTCGGCATCTCGGCATCATCATCTCGGCATCTACATCGATATCATGAGACGGATCAACTCGATGCACGCAACACTTGCAACACATCATGGCGCCTTGCTCGTCAAAACCAAGATACTGCGCCACAAATGCTCGACGTCATGGACAATATAGTCGGATGCCCATCTACCTGCATCATCGCATACCTCCAATCGCAATCACGTGATCTGCAGAACTGCGGCAATGCTGGCGCAAGGTCTCCCTGAATTACACTACCCAACCCGTCCCAAGATCATGCCAGTGAATTAAAAATGTATAGCTTGGTCTATGGCATGCTATCGTAAGACTGTCGATTCAGGGCTTATCTATTTGATGTACAAAATGTCTGATACATGTACAAATGCAACCGCGTAATTTCCGTCGGGGTTTTGATATGTGATGGATGTGGTAGGCGTATTCGACCGGGAGGGAGTGAGGTCCCGGGAAGGTGTATGTGTATGTGCGTGTTGTACAACAAGAGGCAGGCGGTGAAGGATCAAAGTATGCTTCAAGGAGCGTCCGTTTCCAAAACTTCGCTCTCTTTTTCATCAAGCTTGAACCTGAGGCTCATCCGCCATGATGGGTTTCGGCCCCAAGATCCTCTCCTTTTCCCTCCTCTCGGCGTCCTTGATGTACTTGGGCTTCTTCTTCATCTTCTTGTCCTTCATCTCGACACCCAACCCGGCAAAGTACTCCTTGACCCCGCCCGATTCTTGCAGCTGACCGAGCTGCTTGTGTCCACCCGCAGCTTCGCCCATGACGATCACCTGCGGCATCTCGTCAGTGTCCAAAAGACGTGCGAGGAGGGGGACGAGCGTCTCGGCATCTCGACGCTGGTCGACCTCGATGACGAGAGGAGGCGGGTTCGAAGTGTATTGAGACATGATCCTGAGCATCTCTCGGTGATGAGGGTCTCGCATGCGTCCGACCATGATGACGGGGAACAGGCTAAAGACGTCCTCGGTGAGTTGGGCCATGTCCTCACGGGCGGTCTCGACCTTGGTGTAGTCGAACTCAAGGACGAGTTCTATAACGTAGCAGTGACAATTGGTAAGCGTGCTATATCGCGGCGCAGTAGGTGGAAACGAAGAACAGACTACTCACGAGGATCGAGGGGCATAGAAGGATCGACAGGAGGAAGCGCGTTGGAGCTGGTCGACGTCAGGAACGAGACCAAAGCCGCCATCTCTTCCTTCTTGTTGGCAAACGTAAACTCGTATTCCGACGATTCGGAGTGAGCGGTCGAGGGCTCGAATTGCGTGTCCTGAGCGGCATCAGCGATATCTTCAGCCTGCATGGCATCGAGGAGCTGAGCGTCCTTGGCCTGGTCCAGCTCGTTGGGCGCGAGGTGGAAATCAGGGTGTCGTGCGACCTGCAATACAGGCAAGCAGATCGAGTTTCTAACAGTCAGCTCTCCGCATCACTGGCATATCGTTCAACACAACTCGACTCACATCGTCCAGTTCACCCTGTCCGATGACGAACGCCTTTTGTAATCCGCTCGCATACCGCTTCGAAGCCATCTGTCTCTCCTCCTCTGCCTTGCCCGTCGACCTCGAGAGCACGGTCACGAACAAGACAAAGAGGACGACCCCGGCGAGGATGGATCGGAACTTCCTAGGGATACGAGAGAGGTAGGAGATGGTAGTACGGAACTTGTGGGTGGTAGCTGCCGATGGACCGAGCGCAGAAGTGTGCGAGTGTTGTGTCGGTCGGTAGATCTAGGAAGCGATTCAAGATGTCTTTGATCAGCTCGAGGCTCATGTAGTGATGGAAGAAAACTAGGACCGTCGACTCACCTTGCCCCGCTTGATCTCGCTCCCACTCCCCTTGATCCCCGCAGCCAGCCCGCTCCCACCACCTCCGAGATACCCCATCAATTTGGCCCTGCCCAACTCCACCTGCTGCATATGCCTCTCCAGATCGACATAACCCCCAAACCTGCTACCGTTACCGTAGCCGGTGGAAGGGTGTCCCTTGGGGGTTGAGGGCACGGATTCAGGGTGCTCGACGTCGTCGGCGAAGCTGACGGTATGACTGGCTTGTCGGACGAGGGGTTGACGAGCGAACCCCGGGCGGGGAGTGGTGCGTTGCATGTGGGAAGGTAGGAGTAGCGTGGGAGAAGAGGTGGTTGCGATGTTCTCGCCAGACGCCGAAGAAGAAGAAGCAGCGACGGTCTCGTTGTTGTCGGTAGAGCTCTGACCGGACAAGATCCTCTCCCTCTGCAGCTCTACTTCCCGAGCCGACCCTTCTTGTATGCTACTGCCAGCATTGGCTCCCAGATACTGTCCCTGCTGTTGAGTAGCCAACCCTTTGCTGTATACAAAGGACTGATACTCTTTGCTGAACTGCGGCAAAGGCGGGGTGGAAGGAGGGGAAGCCGGGTAACGTCCTGGCGAAAGGGGCGGGAGGGGCAAGGCGATCGACATTCGCGACTCTTGCATGCTGATCTCGTTGGCGAGTTCAGTGCCGGTCATGATGGATGGCATGGCTGGGCTTTCGGGGGACGAGTCCATCGAGATGAAGGGCGGTTGTGAGGATGAAGGGGTTGAAGATGATGTGGTGGTGGTGTCGTTGGTGGATTGGGACTGAAATGAAAGCGGGGGGTCGAAAGGAGTCGAGTCAGTATTGACGTGCAAGGAAGGCCGAGGGAGCGTCCCGTCTTTAAATACTCACCATGACCTTGGATGAGATGTTTCTTTTATTCCAAAGGATGTCGGATGATGTGATCGAATAAAATATGTATCGAAAGTATGAAACCCGATGACGATCGGCCTCAAAAGTTTGACGTTTCGAGGGTGATCGCTTTGTTGCTTGCGGCGTGGAGTGCCCGGATGCGTGGATGATGCGTGATAGATTGAACCGCCGATCAAAGGAAAGGAGGGAGAAACGTGTCTTCAAGATAGGGGTCTATCTATATTCGGATCGACGAGTGGAGCTGTAGTGGTGGTGTCGTGTACGCCGTGTTTGGTATTATTGGTGTTGTGATGTTTTGAGAGAGGAGAACAGAATAGAAACCGAGAGTCGATCCGGAAAGGCGTTCGTAAAGTGAAGCGAGATGGAGGAGGTTTTTATAAGAAGAAGGGATGCTGTCAGGAACCTGTCGTCGAATATGGTCTTTTGCACCGGACCCAACTCTAGAACTGATGTCGATGGGCCCGACGAGCGAGGAGCGACGAGAGGGAGGGATCCGAGATAGTATGGATGGATGGGCAGGGTGATATGTCTTTTGCCAACGACCTGGCTTTTTTGGGGCGTCGAGACCAAAGTCGGTACGAGTAGGAATAAGATTGATCCGGACGCTTTTTTTCACGTCGACCTCCTCTCGTCAAGAGTTGGAGTTGGGAGGGGGTCGAGGATTGATTCGAAGGGGTAGCTGTAGCTGGAGCTGAAGCTGGAACTGGGGCTTACCTCGTGACGTGAAGAGCGTAGAGATCTACCGGATGGCGGTTGGGCGTTCCAGGTGGCAGTCGAGGAACGAACAAAAAGGTTCGAGGCTGTCAAGGTTGTCCGGAGGCACAAAAGAGAGTTTCTGTTCGGTTTCGTATCCGATTGAAACGGACAGGGGCGTTCGTATGGCGAGATCCGTGAATTCGTTGGAGTGATCGTCGCAAGTTTGTCGTTCAGAGATCCAGAGAGTTATGAAGGAAAGCGTCGAGGTGGTCCGGACGAGTCGGTCGGCGAAGGCATTCGATGGGACCCGACGACCATTTTATAGAGGGCCGCCGTGCGGAGATTGGAGCAATGATGATGATGTCGTAGTCCAAGATTTTCCGATTACCGGTACATTCGGTGCAAACGATCAAGGGAGACGAAGCGCGAGCCAAGAAGGTGGATGATGGGTGATGTGATGTGATGTGCGAGGTTCCAGAGATCAGAGACACGCGAAAGTGCCCGAGCGAGGTCAGGGGGTGGAGCAGGACGAAGGATTCGGTTCGGTAAGAACGAGGATGCCGGCATCGAGAGAGACAAAACGAGAGGGTGAGACAGGGATAGAATCCGGCGGATAGAGGCCGGAAAGCGTAGAAAGCACGCGAGATCCCATTTTCCGGTCCGGGCGCGTGGTGCAAAAGAGAGTTCCGGATGCAACGCGTTGATGAAATAGGGGCCGCGCGAGTTAGGAAGAAGGCGGGGGAGAGCAAGGAGGTGGTCAGCTTTCTCGTGCCAGTCTCGTAACGTAAAGGGTTCCCGCAAGACAGATCTCTAGGGATCTCCCAACTTTCGAGCCGTAGAATTCCATTTGCTCGAAGACTCACACTGGTTGCAATCGATAGGGAGCGGGCGGACGAGTCGGCGTCCAGCGATTGAAGTGCGTATAGGACGGTTCGGCGGAGTGGTATCGAGCGTCGATAGAAAGAGTGTGTATAGTGTGTTATTTCAGGTTCGGAAGGGCTCGGTTGGATTCAAACGTTGTTCAGCTTCTAGCTTCTAGCTTCTGGTGATATTCGGGGGAAACAGTGGCAGTGCAGGATGAAACGACCTCCCTTCCATTTCCATCACGAGACTCGACCGACGCGCAACCCGTCTGACTATATACCATTCTCAACGCAGCTCGTGTAAAAGGTGTACACGCAGCTCATCATCCTGCCATCCGCATTCATGTTCAAAATTGTCCGACCTTCAACTTGAACTCGACCTCAAGCCATCGCCTCGGGCTTCAGTGACCGCGAAACCACATTCCGAGCCAGCATTCGTTACCGCCGTAGCCGCAATCAGAACCATCAAACCAGTTCCATCCACCGAGGTAGAACTTCCTTCAGCCTACGAAAAGCCTCTGCCTTCCGGCCGCACGGTTTGATGCCACCTCGCCCGGTCGTGAGCGACGCACGCTGTAACATTCCGTACGAAACGGTTGTAACCTCGAGACGGCGGAGGCAGGAAGCGTACTCGAGCTCAGCAAGGAGCACCGATGCGAAACACCAAAGGCGTCCGCCAGGACCTCGCCTGACTCGTACGACCGGATACGCAACCAAGATTGCCGTTGGATGGTTACGGTTTCGTCCTGATCGTCGGGTCCTCTCCGACATCGAGACAAAAAGGAACCGACTCAAGGCGCAAGCCACTGATCACGAGCACGAGGTTCACTGGAACACCAGGACCCATCGACCGGAATAGAGTTTTAGCCCTACGTTCGCCCCTGTTCTGGGGCGGTACCTGTACGAGCAGGAAGCCAAAGAAGCTCGAAATGCCCCGAGGACTAGCCAGGCCATGTGGAATGACGTCAAAGTCGTTCCTGCCTCGACTTCTTTTACATCCGCCGCGTTCTGCTTGCTTCCGAAAAAGCCACAGCCACCAACAAGAAGCCGTCAAGCCACTTCTGAGCTTGATCTGCTCGAGATCTGGCGTTGCGAGACATGGAGATCGCGAGAGAGACACGATGCGACACTTCATGATGCATGCGGGCGTGGTTGATGCGAGCGAGAGATGGGGGTATATGTTCTACGGATACATCAGAGGACGGCGACAGGCCGAGAATGAAAGAGGAGACCCAGTTCCGAATGTAGCTGCGTTGCGACCCGGCTACTTTGCGTCTACCCGAAAAAGGGTTCGTGCGCAAAGCCTTGAGCAGGTACGCTAGGCGTTCCCTCGGTCGGATGCGGTTGCGACAAGTAGAGAGACCATTGATCCATCCTAAAAGGCAAGGGAGATAGAGACGGCACTGGTTAGCGAGTCTGCACGCACGTGTGGCCGCTACTCGGACTCAGTGCACTCACTCGAACGTCGACGGAGCCATACTCCAGATATCGGCGAGAACACCGCTCATCTCCAGAGCGTTTGGATCCTGCATGGACCAAAACTCGTTCGAGACATTCGGCACAGAGGTTGTGCCTGTCACAGGAGGAGGCATATTGGTGTTGCCATTGCTACTGTTCCCGAAACCATGTCCATAACCAAGGTTACCCGACCCGCCTGCAGGCGAACCAAAGTTCATCGGCTGGAAACGGTTGTTCTGCATGCTTTGGTTCATGTTCGGGCCGAGGGGAACACGACCAAGATTGTTCTGAGGCGGAGGCATGAAGCCGAACGTATCTGGCAGGTAATCGACCCCGTTGATGTTCTGATTCACCGCCGTCGCTCCGGACGCCATCATAGGATGGCTCACGGCCCCTTCCAAACCCTGAATTCCGTTCTCACGTGAGACGAACCACCACGGGAGACTGACATCTTCCGGGACAAAGGTTGTCTCGCCTGTGAACCCGGCGCTCGAAGGAGGAGGCTGAGACATGGGCCGTGTAGCCACCACCGCGGGGTCTCTGGCACCGGACATCAGATCGAGCCCGATATCAGACCGGGGACGCGCGGCGTTCTGGCCGGGACCTAGGGGAGATGAAGTCTCTGAAGATGGCTCGGTCCGGTATCCCATGGCTGTCCTGCCTCGTTGTGGGTCGTGGAATGGACCCGGGGTAGGGGTATCGATCGACGTGTCTGACCAGTTTGCGAGTTCCATCAGGATGTCTCGCATCCGCCCAGCACCCCGCCACCTAAGGACATCGCCGGCCCGGGGTCAGCTTCAGTGAGGGTGAGACAATCACCCGCTACTCACCAGGATTCGCTCATCTTGAGGCACCTAAGACAACTTCTCACGTCCTCTAATGTCGATGTCTTGTCTCCTCCCGCGGACCCCAACTTGTTCCCTCCCCAGACCCCGATCAGCAGAACAATCGCCGCCGTGAATGCGGGCATGCACAACTGATGTTGAATGAGATTCCTTTGACAGGACGCGTTGACAATCCGAGCACACGCGCGAGCGGCGTTGGTGCAGATGGCCAGGGACGGGAGAGCCAAAGCTGCCACGCTGGGAGCTGTACGACCGGTCGGAATATACGGTCGGTGGATCAAAATCTGTACAGAGATGGCGAATCATTTCGGTCAGTATCATGTCCTCAGGTCTTCGCTTCTCAACAACGAAGTCGGCACGAACCTGGACGAAGTAGTAATTGGCGTACAGCACAGCGCTCTGCTGGAAAAAGATCGGATCGGTGCGCTCCGGGTCCCATTTGAGATGCAAGGGGACAGAATCCAGCCACGCGTACAGATCGCTGTCGAGATCTGCGACAAGTTTCTTCTGGTATTCCGGGTTTTCGGCTTCTTTTCCACGCACAGATTTGTTGACAGTATACTACAGGAATATGAACAGACAGTTAGTTGACGTGATCTCGCCGCCGCGATTGCGCATTCGAGAGTTTACCCACCACATTCATGATTGCAAAGGCCGTAATGCGTCCTAGCTTCAAAGACGAGATGAACATGGCTATTTTGCTGGTCTTTCCGGCAGGCTGAATAAAATCGGTCTTCGGGTTGCCCGTGTCCCAATATTCATCGTCGACATCAAGTGGGTAATCGACGTCGAAACTGTCCAAGGTAGATCATTCTGTAAGTGAACACGCTGTCCGACCACAACGGTCTCCGATGGCACTCACTCTTCATCTCGTAGCGACAGCGTCCTCCCCATGGCAGCACAACTCATTCTATCGAGTGTAATCAGCGTCCAGAACGTCCTCTTGTATAGCTCTGCTTCGGCAACGGATGAACACCGCTGCAGACCGACGCGAGTGTGCATCCCGATATCCTACAGTGCGGATGAGTTCTCATCAACGAGGAGGCTTTTGTGTAAGATGACAGAAGAGAAACTGTCTACTAACTATCGCGCTTTTCAATCCCATTCCGACTACTGCCCATACCGTGGAGAAGACTGCGCTTCGCAAAGTGAAGACGGCGCATAGCTATAGCTTGGAATGGGCATCAGCATAAGACTGGCATGCCAACTTATCCTGCTGATTATGCTCACAGTCACGATCTGCAAATCCTCCAAAGTGGCCGGCTTCAAGAATGACTTTCCGGTCTTGACCACGGCTTCCATCCAGCGCCAACCGGCTGAATGTCGGTACATCTCCATGTCGGCCATAGCAGCACGTCCGGCCGCTTCGTCGCCTGCATGCCAATACACGTCGGGATGCTCGATATGCCTCGAACCGACGGCGAACAGCAGCAAGCAGACTTGGGCGAACGAGATGTCCTTTTTCCAACGACCTTTGTCGAAGTCTTTCTGGAATATGATCCTGTTCAAGAGCGGCAAGGTGATATTGTCGTGCTGAAAGTAGGCATCGATTAACGCTTGTGCCAGCTCGGGCTTCGGCCAGCGAGAGAGATCGATGCTTGTCCCATTGTGTTCAGCAGTGCTGGCTTCCCAAATGGGCAGGGCCCAGTACCGAAGTCGCCTCGAGTCGGCACCTCCCGCATTCTCTCCTGCCATAGCGGCTTTGTAATCCATAGCCGACCTGAGAAATTGCACACCCGCTACCAGATGCATCCAGATCAGGCTTGTGGGAACGGCTTCATAACTGTTTTTCACATCCAACTCACAGCTCTTTCCTAAATACCTGTATCCCTCTGAAGGATTCTGACATGCTAGCTGATCAACGAACTTCTGCGTCTCTGCTTCTTCTTTCTCTTCATGCTCTTGTTCTTCCTCCTTGGTAGGCGTTGGCGCTGTGTTATTCTTCGGCACTTCGGGTGTGGACCAACCGATCATGTCCGTGCTTTTTGAAGATGGATGTTGGAGGTCGCTCCCCATGACTGAGATCTGCATGTTCTGATGACAAGCCGCCTTGACGTCTTCCCAGGTTTCGCCCTTAGGTATTCCGCTTCCAGCAGTCTGTGCAGCTGCGGTGCCGACCTCTGCCGTCTCCTGGACGTCCTTGCCGCTCTTGCGACTTCGTTGCGAGTTGGCGTCTTTCGAAGCTGCAGCTCGAGAACCTTTCGACCGGCTGGACGGTGGGTTGTACGGGATGTCGAGAGACAACAAGGCCATCTTGAACAGGTCGAGGTCAAAGGTATCGCGGGAGATCGAGGGTCCTACTTCGCTCGTCATATCGATCGATGGTTTGAGCTGATATAGCAAGACACCGCGGCAATGGATCAGCCTCGCTCGCCGACTACCTCGACTTTCTCCTTGACAATCACTTACCTTTTGAGCCAGAGCTTCGAGCTTGGAGACCTTCCATTCGAGCGTCTCGATGTACCCCAGAGGCGGACCTCGTCTCTTGGCCGCCTCCACGTAAGTGCAATCGGTCTTGCTTTCGACGCAATTGCTGCACTTTTTATTCCTCCTCGACGAGTGCGCTCCGTCACACCGTATCTTTTTCCTTCGACACAAGTCGCAAGCTCGCTGGACTTTGCGACGTTTAGGGTCGTTCGGATCGGACGGATCAGAGTCTTCGGCGTCGTAAGAGTTGTGTGCACCGTTATTGACGTCGACGCTGGCGTTGCTACTGCTTTGCCCAGGCTCGGTGAATGTGGGTAAACGTCCTAGATGATGGGATGAAGAGTTGCTGCTGGACTGGTATTGACCATATTGTGGTGTATAGGATTGTAGATGGTCCTGTGGGTCGATCCTACGTTTCTTGTTCTGGCCGTGCTCTCCCATGGACGAACCGCTGACCTGCCCTGATATGTTCATGTGGTTCTGTTCCGACATCGCATGGTACGTCTTGGTAAAGTTGGGGATATCTTCGAGAGAGTTTAAAGGCGAGCCGTATTGAAATGGCGGCGCTTTACCCCAGGGATCCACATCTCCTATGACGTTGCCGGACGAGTCCACGGCAGGTTTAGACTGCTCCATGTACTGATAAGGATTGTGTTGGCCCTCCATGTTGGACGATCTGCCCCGACTCGATTCTCTCGATCGATCCTCTGTAGGCGAGTTGTCTCTGTTCTCAGAGCGCAAGAATCGTTGGGTTTGTACCGAAGTCAGAGCCGCAACTGCCGCGGCCGTTTCCTTGTCGGCGAGGGCTTGCTCGATGGTGAGATCGCTCGACCTTATAGGACGTTGTTGCTGGTCAAGATCGTCTCGGTTGATAGGTGAAGATCGTCTATACGGCCGAGACGGTAGATGAGGTGACGTCGTACGAGCGAGATGAGGAGGCATTGTACGACGATCGGGAATACGAGCGATCCGCCTTCTCTTTCTACCAACACTGAAGAAAAGTGGGTCTCACTCTTTCGGAGCCGTGTATGCCGTGTCTAGTGCGTATGTGTGTGTTTGGGGGGATGTCATTGTGCATTGCTAAGCCCGTGAACAGCTTGCTCATCACAAACCAGGATCTGCTGCTACAATCTCGACGCGCACAAAGCGGGCCAAGCGGAGGCCTAACTAGCTAGACGACCAAAATCTCCTCCGCGGTGGCCGCCGGAGAAACCGTTATCCGTCGCTCGTAGCGCTCCAGTTGCAGTAGCGTGAGCACATGTCTCGAAATTGGCAGGGCGAAGCACGGTAGTCCCGCACCTCCACATCGCCTCCGACGGCAGGGGACTGATCCCATCCTCTTCGTGCAATCCAACATGCTCGACGCTATCGAATTGCTTGCAATCAACAAGGACTTGCAATCAAATCGCGCAATGCTATACGTATGTCGAAAAGGCGAGGTCGGGGGCCGTCGATCAGCGCCTGCAGGTACAGTAGCGGGAAACCGAAAAAAGCACCCGGAGCAGAGCGAGGACTCACCGCCAGATCAGCAGGCAGTGGCTTAGATGCGGCAACGGCTCTCCAATCGATATCCGACAGTGTACGGTGTCTGGCATCGTTGGCTCGGGTCGTCATTGTCGAAGCTGCGTACGGCGGTTCCGGGTGAGCAAACGTCCTCGACATTACCCGGTTGCGTAGACGGCAGATCGACTCACGGATGAAGCGATCGATGGGGGTATTCACGGCTTGCAGAACAGCTCGCTCCAAAGCGGGCTCGTCTCCGTGTTTCTGAATGGCAAGAAAAAAAATCCCGTCGCCGTCAGTATCGCGGTCTCGGGTTTGTAACGGGTTTGTCAGCTAACAACGTTTAGCAAACTCACTACAGTGTAGACGTAAGGGGCCTCGACATTCGCCAGACCCTCGTGTTGCCCTAGAAACCGTCGTGTCAGAACACGCTCCTTTTCGACTGTTAAAGCGGGCGGCAAGACTCACAAGTCCACAAAGAACGGTCTTCAGGATTTTCAGTCGACCATTGCATGACCGGGTTGATGAAAGGCACTCCCATGCATAGCGCGTCGTAAGGTGTGGGGCTAATGATAGGCTTGCCGATACCGCTACACCAAAGAAGACGGCAAGTCAGGTCGTCGTAACGATGCGCCAGCAAACACCCGTTTGTACTCACATCAATGCCTGGCTCCTGCCCAACTCCTGGACGAACCGTTCGCTCGGCATCATCCCCATGTTCTCGATCCCCTCGTCCGGCAATTGATCCCCCTGCTTTCCACTTCCTGCGATGAAGTCGATCCCCGAAGACCCCTTGATCCGCTCAAAGACGTCGGTCGAGTACTTGTAAGCGGGAGGCTCAAAGTAGGAAGCGTGTTTGGCGAGAATGTACGCTCGACGTTCTCTGTCCGCCTCCGGTTGGACATTGGCGCAATAGGACTCGATGGAATAGCCTGCAGGGAAGCGCTCTCTAGTTCAGCCTCCGGTTCTCCAGTCCCTCATGATGTTCGGTATGCTTACCGATATAAAGGTTGTTCTCCTTTCCTTGTCGGCTAGGATATCGCGCATAATCTTCCGGGGCAAGCGTGAATTGATGTCCAAGCTGGAAAGATTGACTAAGACGTCAGCGCACATGTCGCAAACGCCAGCCAACCGTTTCCTACCTACAGGATGCGCGGGAGATTCCCAAAAGTGCCAGGAAAACATCTTCCAGATCGGCAATCCCTCTTCAAATCCTTCGCTCTTGACGCACCGCCAATTCTCGTGCGGTTCGTAATCAGGCGAGCTCTTGTCCAACTTTCCAGGCTTATCGCTGAATACCTGTCCGTACATCCTGGTGAAGCCAAAGGGTACCGTCTCGTACGTCTCTTGTACCTCGGGATCGTCGATGCTCCAGCCTTGTTCTTCCCATTCAGAGTTGCTTAGAACCATGACCTCGCCAGTCTTCCTATTCTCGACTTCCCACCGTACGGCCTTTCCCCCTTGTTGAATGTCCGCCAGAGAGAGCTTCTTTTCCTTGCCCGGGATACCCCAGTTGACGCAATCCTTGATGTGACCCGCTTCGGCCATGACCATGTGGACGAGAGAAGGGATCTCGAGGTTGATCTCCATGGATTCGATGATTTCGAAGGCGTAGAGGAACGTGTACCCCAATGACTGGTACGAATCGATTGTCGACCTGGCCCTATTCATCGGCTCTTCTGTTAGCCTCTATTGTTTCTGCATACTCCACAACCGGTATGACGTACCAGATATCCTCTCCGCTTACTCGGCCAAAGTGTCGGGCACCGAAGTGAAACGTCCCACCGATAACCACATTCAGCTCCTCCTTCTCACAAACCGCCAAACTCCTGAGCTTTTCATCCTTGACGACTTCATCCGCCGCGTCGAACTCGAGGTAAGATGTCTGTGCCAAGTATTCCTCGCCGAGAGAGGTCAGGAGACAGTTGTGCAGGCGCTTGTAATGGGGAACGTTCCATGCTCGGGTCTCTTTCATCCCTTTGCTATAGATGGTCCATATTTACGTAGTAACAGATCATTAGAATCAGACAAGCTCGAAAGGTAACCGTTCCGAACTCACTCGGCCGGGTATCGTCTAGGCATCCTCTCTGCCAACCTCCGAAGCCCCTTGACCAGGCTCCATCGTTCTTCCTGGGGGATCTCGGAGACTTCCCGGTTCGCGTTCGCCCTTCTCGGCAGATCGGCCTGTTCAGGTACTTCATCCTCGTCCATTTTGGTAGCTAGCTCGATAACCGCCGGTTCTATTTGTTCAGCCTCGATGATGAGTGGCGAACCTGAGTCGTCCTCGATGTCCTCGCCGAAGTCCTCTTCCTGCCCAACATCCTGACCCTCGCTCCGCATCATATCTTCTGCGGCCTTGCCCTTGAGCCCAAACCTCCCTCTTGCCTGAGGTCCTAGCCATGCTTGCGGGTCGAGGTCGTTGGACTGAGCGACGAGGTCGAGACCCCATCGAAGGGATTGTCGCGTGGAGACACGGTCGTAGAGCGCAGCTCCTGTTAACAAGGCGATGGTGACCGTGATGAGCAGGAGAATGTTTCGTCTGTTGACAATCACGCCAAACAGCAGGTGCCGTGAGTAACAGTCTCGGGTTATGAGTTCAAGATTCATGCTCACAGTCGACGAGATCGTCTTCTCGGCAAAGTTGATCGTCCGAATCCCATCTCTAGCTTGACGTGTCCGGCGTCGATGTTTGTATAAGTCCGGTAAGGCGTAGGGATCGTGCTGAAATCCCAAGGACTCTTCAACGGGGAGTTTTCCCTGTCTGCAGGAAAGTACTTGATGATGTTTATACGTCGAGGTGGTGGTCGACATTTTGAGGACCGTGAAGAGGATTGATGCTGATGGTACATCGAAGTCGAGGAGGACGAACATCCAAAGGAGGTCGTCCTCGGTGAAAGGGGGAGCACGTCGTTCATCATTTTTGGGCGTTTTGATGATGGAAATATGCAGCTGATGCCGATAGAAAGTTCGAAGAAGGATGTGTATCGCGATCAAAGGATGCCAAAGGATGATGTTCGTTTTTGAGGATGCGGGAACTGTCGATTGATTGATGGGATCACCATCGACGACGATCAAACAACTCGCCTCTCTTATATTTGTCTGCGGGAATGCTGCTCCACAATACGGGTAAATTATTTTGCGTTTCATCTCTCGGGCCGTCCCATCAACAAAGCATAATCACCCGTGATCGGTGAGAGCCACGCCTCTACCCGTCCTCCCGCGTTTCAAACTGAACAATAATAATGATCAGAACGCCCCCCTCAGCCTCTGCCTGGTCCGAAGGAACCCCAGAACCCTATTGCTCCCGCCTGGTATTACCCGATCGTCTGGTTAACATGTCACCCGTACGTCATCAATTCTCGATCGCTCAACCCACCATACAACTCCTGCGATCCTGTGAGGCAGATTGACCGCCGAATCGATCGTGAACGAGAGAACAAAAGGGCAATTCAAACCTAATCACGCTCCACATCGCGACAATTCGCGCGACAAACTGCATCCGCGCGACTTTGGCTTTTTGTTCCCTCGGGCGTTTCATTTCGATATTCAGCTGAAGCTTGTTGTTGTTCGCTTCCCGCCATCGATCGGCAGCGTTCGTCGGCGACAGAGTCAATGAGAGAAGAGAAACGTCATCGGGATCTCACCTGTGGCACAGCCTCGAAAGCTGGGCAACCGGTGATTGAGCGATTGCCCGATTCCCGGCGGAAATATTCCCCACAAGATGGTACGGCAGCTGGCGGCATGCGAAGAGATAGGGAAGGCACTAACTCAAGCCTTCTTCCTTTGTCCGAGACATGTACCCGGATGAGCCGAGTTGCACATCGAGCTACAGTCAGTTTGGCATCGAAACGAAGCCATGACATGAGAGATAACGTGTCAATGACCATGCACTTCAGCATGTGAAACGAGAAGGATGACAGGATGAAGCGCCTGCAGTCTATCAGTCGTGGAGACACGTGAAAACTCTAGGCACTTGTTGGTGATCTCTTTCAAGTGGATCGAACTGATAGTCCTATTAGTCTGGATGCTCATATCTTCTTTCCCAAAGTATACACCGGTAGCTGCACTGTAGAGGCGGAACGGAGCCAACCTCCCAATTTCTATGCTTATTCTAATCATTTCAGCATGAAGCATTCTTTCATGTTCGCATCAGACAACATATCCCGCCTCCTAATTGTGCACGGCCTCATTGTAATTACATCTGTGACTCGCTCCAACTGGAACAGCAGCTGCAGCTTTCTTTTCCGGCAATAGTAGCAAGTGCCATTGTTATTCATCGCACAGGGCTAGCATTTGGATGTAATCCAGGGTCCCCATTTCACGTTGACTAAGCAGCCAACAAGACTTATCAATCCCTTGATCTCTTTGTGACCTTCGACGAGAAGCGGCGCGCTGCGTAGAAACCGTTCGAGTCTGTCAATGACTTTGATCGAGAAGATGGAACTTGGTGGATATCTCACTTCCACCTGCCTGCTCTATCTCCAAAAGACATGCAGGGTGACAATGATGATGAAGCACCGAATATAATCGAACCTGTATTGTCGGTTTGATGTTTTAGGTTGCATGTTCATCCCAATCCTCAGCTTGCAGCTTGACTAGAACTAACCATTTGAACCATGCAGCATCCCCTTCAAGCAGTGTTGCTAACCAGGCATCAGTGGCCTCCCAGATGGCCTTGATGTCCTGGCTACCGCTTTCGGCGAGTCGGGTGACACGGAGTTGAGCCGTCTCCCTAGCTTCTTCAGATGACATGATGTATTGGAGGGATGTCGAAGAACTGTGCTGTGACGATCTAGAGACTAAGAAGATATTTATAAGGTTTGCCAGCAAACCTGAATAGTAACACACGGGACTAGAAGGTACGGGTAGGGTAATGAATGTAATAACGGATGTCTAACTACTACAAGGTGCTAGTTAGACATCTTCGAACACATCTCCTAATAGGTCTCCGAGAGAGTCTCCGAGAGAGTCTCCGAACGGACCTCCGTACGAGGTGAAAACCTACATCCCGCGTGTGTACGACATGCGTACCGCGGATGCCTATAATAGGATCCCCCCCTTAGGGCGAGATTCCAGATTGCCCAAAGTAGTCGAGTAGTCCGAGGCGAGAGTAAACGTTTCATCTTGAAGTTCTTTGTTCCCTCGAAACGTCCAGTGTCTGTGCCCCCGCGACTCTCCTCGTGCCTCCGCTCTATTGTCTCCGAAGAGATCGTCTAGAACCTTCGATTTGTACGCTCAGGTACACTGGTTCTTTCCGAAACACTGCTCGGCGCCCGTGGGTGCTGCAATGAAGAACCTATTGTCTATCGGTGTCGTCGACCCGTCTGAAACGCCTAGCCGACGACGATGACGCGTCGCGCGTCTATCTTCTATTGTCTTCCCCGCGGACATTGCAACATGGTACTGTCCGCGGTATTGTTCGTTGATGTAAACAAAGGTGATGTCGTATGTATCGACGTCCTTTCTAACCGATATCGCTGTATTCTCTTTGTCGTGTTCGAAGTAACGACTTCTTGCTTTGTCCTAGTAGCTGCTACCTAGGTCTCTTTTGTCTTGTTCTCGAAATGTGAAAGGTATAAGACCCCCGAGGGGGTTTGTCGACTTGATGTTTTTCGACGTACGTATCCTCTCTCCTTTAGCAAACCTATAGCTTACTATTCCCGTATCTTTTCCTTCCCTCCTTTCGTACGATGCCTCCCTCTGCTCCCCCTACTCCCTCGAAAGCTCGCAAGCGCAAGGCCGCCACGGACTGGGTCAACGACGCCGTGTATGGCTACATACGCGGTAACAACTGGGAGGGCTTCGAGGTCAACGAAGTCAACGCCTTACAGAAGGCGAAAGAACGATTCCGAGGAACCGTCCCGCCGGAGGTAATCTCCGCTTGGATGAGAGGGGATGTGGATGGCGTGAATGGGTTGCTGGTAAGCCTTTGATATTCTTTTGTTTTCGTGTCTCCGATAGGGTCTCCGAGAGGGTCTCCGACTGACCCTCCTTTGATATCTGATTTTTGATCTTCAGGCCCAGTTCTCCGGTGGTTGGCAATGGTGTTGCCAACGTTGCTTCGACGGTGGCAAGTTCAAGAGCGTCACTCCCGCCGACTTTGTGACGTACAACCCGGAAGACGGCACGTGGTGGGACGTGATCAGCGTCGAGGGTCTCTTTTTCTGCCGCCATCTCATCCACCCGCCGCACACCGCCGGCAACGTCACCAGGTCCTGCGGTCGGTGCGCCCCGAAGAAGCTCGGGTGTGCCCCCGTTCCCCGAGAGATGGTTGTCGTCTTCGACGACGATGAGGATACCGAGACCCGAGTTCGAGCGGGGTTGGTCTTGTTGCGCGCCGACAAGATGGCCTTGGGGACTCGGGATGAGGTCGCGACCGAGATCGAGAGGCTCCTCGATACGGTTGTGAGTTTGTTTTCTTCTATTCTTTTTCTTCCACTGACTCCTCTTGCATGCTATCCGACATCCAGATTGTACCTCAACTCAACCGTCGGTCCGGGGTCTCCGTCATGAGCGAACGCGGGGCTCTCTACAAGGCCATCGCCGACAACAAGGAGGAGTGGGACCACCTGGACCCCAACACCCGTCGCGGTTGGGAAGGGTTCGAAGAGGCCCGCAAGATCACCTTCGATTTCGCCGAGGGTCAGTACAAGCCTCTCCCCGTGTGGCCCGGCGAGGAGGACGCCATGGATGTGGACGAGGAGGAGACCGAGGTCCAGATCGTTAGTACTCTCTTTCTACGTTTGCGTTTTGAGCTAACCCAAGTTCTCCTAGGCTGCGCGGGAACGAGACGCTCGCCTCGCGGCCGAGAAGGCCGACGAAGAGGCCCGCCAGAAGCGGCTTGACGCCGAGGCCGCCAGCAAGGTCGCTGAGGACGCTCGTTTGGAGTACGAACGGGCCCGGGACCGCCTCGCCGCCGTCAACCCCCTTCGGTTCCGTACTCCCCCCGCCGACCCGCCCCCCGCCAAGGATGCCGCTCCCCCTCCCGCCCAGGACAAGCAGCCCTCGCAACGAGGTAGCAGGGCCAGGTCCCAGCGCGAGGGGACCGCGACCGAGCACACCGCGGACCGCAACGAGGGTGATGGTGGCGATGGGGGCGGCGATGGCGGTGGCGATGGCGGTGGTGACGGTGGTGGCGACGGTGGTGGAGCGTGATTTTGTTTGTGTTTGTAACGTCTCGTTTGGTCGCCGTTCGGGGGTCGGCTCCCTTTTTATTTTTATGCTATTTTCTTGTTGCGATTCATTTCTCCAGCAAAGTCTCCGAACGTGTCTCCGAACGAGTCTCCGATTGAGCCTCCAAGCGAGTCGTGGTACTTCATTGTTTTCGTAAGACAAACTTGATTGTCGTTGGCTCGTTAAGTTCGTAAAAAAAAGGAATGGTGATAAACATCTTCGTTGGTCCTGCCGACGAAGGTACAACAATGAGTAATGACAAACACGAAAACCCTAAGCACCCGGAGTCCACAGCAACGGCTCGTCCCCGTTCTGCTTGGCGAACTCCTCATCCCAATACGCCTGGTGGTTCTGGGCGGGAGGTTGCATGTACGTCGCAGCCACCTGCATTCGACCAGCCTGTTGCCGAGCCTGCCACCAAGCAGGTGGAGACCTCTTGGCGTTGCTGCACTGGGCACTCCTGTGGCCGGGCTGCCAGCAGTTGTAGCAGGGTTTCCCGCCGGGCATCCTCGCAGCGTCCACCTCCATGGGCGTAGCACCCGACGTGGCGGCCACCGCAGGAGGGGCAACAGTGGTGTTAACCACAACAGGGTTTCGGGGAGCGACGTGGTTACCTGCGTAACGATTCCCGCTCGTGTGGGCACGGTTACCCGAAGACGTGTGCCTACGGGCTTCCGCTTGGACTTCGTACCGACGACATTCCATCTGGAACTCCGCCAGCGTCATATGCTCCTGGTTGGGCATAGGGATAATAGCGTCCTGAAAGGCCTGGTTCAGGTTGGCGCGGAAGAACGACCGTTTGCCGTACTCGTTGAGGTTTGGGAGGAGGGCGGCGAGGTCGTTGAACTCGGTGATGTACGTACTCAAGCTCTTGTTGCCCTGCTTCAGAGAGTAGTACTCCTTCTCCGTAGCAAGGATGTTCCTTCCCCCTCCGTACATCTCCACGAGCAACGCCTCGAACTCCCGCCAGGAGACCTGAGTTCGCCCCGACGAGTACTCCCTTGCCCATGCCTGGGCCTGCCCATCCATGTACGACTCCGCGTACATAATCTTGTAAAGGTCGGTGTACAACCCCGGCTTGACTTGGAACTCCCGGTTGCATTGGTCCAGGAATCCCCTAACCTTCTCTTTCTTGCTGCCATCGAACCTGTCCGGCGTACCGAACTTGAACAGCTTCGCTCTCGCTTCCTCCGTGGCCGTCGCCGATCGAGTGTCCCTCGACATCGCCAACTCCATCATCTGGCTATGCATGTTCGCCATCATGGAGAGCAGGGCGGAAACGTCCGGACTGGTAGGAGGCGCAGCGGCCGGAGCAGGGTTAGCTGCTGGGGGTGTTGACTGCACTTGTGGGGGAGTCTGCCCCATGTTGTTGGCCGGTGCGGCCTGCGTGGAAGCGGTAGGTACCCCCGTGGCACCTACCTCCGGTTGCTGGTGGGCAAAGACGCACTGGTCGTTTACCAGCGTCTCCCCAGTTGGGTTCCTCCACATGAACCTTCCTTGTCCATCCATCATCTGCATGCTCCCGTCTTCGCTCAAGACCGGGATCGCATCCGCAGGGATGGGGTGGACAGCCCTATCCGGTCCGTAACACTGCGTGAACGTATTCATCGTATACGGGGTCTCCTAGTCGGGGTGTTTGGGTGATCCGTTATTCTATAAGGTTTGCCAGCAAACCTGAATAGTAACACACGGGACTAGAAGGTACGGGTAGGGTAATGAATGTAATAACGGATGTCTAACTACTACAAGGTGCTAGTTAGACATCTTCGAACACATCTCCTAATAGGTCTCCGAGAGAGTCTCCGAGAGAGTCTCCGAACGGACCTCCGTACGAGGTGAAAACCTACATCCCGCGTGTGTACGACATGCGTACCGCGGATGCCTATAATAATATTGCGATAGGTCAAGATGGAGTATGACAGAGTTATGATTGTTATGATTGATAGAATTGATAGATTGACGTTATGTTTCCCGAGCTTTTGCGAGGACTCGAACGTTGACCTGGTGCTTGGAGGTCGCCCGATCAGAATGTGAGGAGATGACCAGTACGTCAAGTGGTTCTCGACCCAATGTGAATTTCGCGCCGATCGCTGTTTCGACATCATCCTGGAGGTGATGGGCAACTGAGCGGGTTACATGCCTGCAAGCTCGCAGGAGGTCAGCGAGCGGCTTAAGATAGCTTCGGGACAGGCTGAACAACTTTTCACTCAACCATGGGTGTACCCCCGTTCCAGCTCAGGCGAAAGATCGACCGAGCGCGAGCCGAGTGTGGCGGAAGGCACCGGTGAAAGAAGTATGAATGTGACGAAGAGGATACGAAGACCCACAGAAGCCAGTCGAGGTAAGCGATGCGATACTGGTATGAGCCAAGAAGGCATGCGCTGCTTGTACCCTGACAGTAGGGCTGCTCCCGGCCGGACGATCTGGGAGTGGGACGCTTTGCGGACCCCCTCGTCCTCGACAGCTGTCACGAGGCCACAAGGCGCGAGAATACAGCTGATTGGAATTTGGATGATGGGGAGATTTGTGCTGCAGCTCCCTTGCGTCTCTCAATGACTTCGGACAACCGCAAGGTCCTTGTCGACCATGTCGATGACCATTTGCCTGTCAATGGTTGGCTTCGAGAAACCGGTCTTGAGCAATCTCTTGATGATAGGGAGTACTGGGGCAAGCTTCCTCGACGTCCTCGCCAGTCCAGTGGATGGTCCAGCGGTCGCGGCTGACGACAGTCCAGCGGTCGCGGCTGACGACAGTCCAGCGGTCAACGACGACGGTACATGCTTGGCCGGGGGGAGGTCGGCTACATGGCTGTTCTCGCTGTCTCTCAAATAAGCCTGCAGACAGCTTCAGTCAGCACGCACCTGCTTGACGACCATGTCCTCTTCGATAGGCACCCGTTACATTTTGTGGGAGGGGTAAGGAATCATGGGCTTCTCGTGATCGTATATTGTCTCCCTACCAAGACTAGCCATATCGGAGGAGATGTTGCAAGCCACATGATGCTGACAGTTGTAACAGTGCTGCAAGCTGTTTTGCAACACGGCGCTTGTTGTCTTGACCTTGTGCTCCATCGAGCTTTGTAGGATTTTTCCCTGATCACGAACGACGGGCTGAGCTGAAATGGCAACAAATCTCTCGTCTCTGACGTCCAGCTTTGCGCCTACGGCTTCGCGATCCTCATCGGCGTATCGCCTTTGGTCTTGTCTTTTGGTCGTGTCTTCTTAACAGATCGTAACCCGATCACGCCTTGTTTGAGGTTTCGTATCTATATGTATATCGAACACTCTCGCCCTACCCCCCGTATGCATCCAAGAACAACACATGTAACGACATACAATCTCCCTAAACCCCCCAAACCCGAATCACCCATCTAAAATAACCCCTCCCACTCGTCCTTCTTTCCCGCGGCCGCGCTCGACCCTCCCTGTTGAACATCGAGTCCGATGTCCAGTGGGATCGAAACGCCCGAAGGTTTACGTTCGGTGCTGAACAGCGATCCGTAAGACTCCAAGAGCTGATCAAAGTCGTGTTCCAGCGTGGACGAGGCGGATAACGGCGAAGTAGCTGGTGGAGCAATACCAAGAAAAAGCAATCGGCGGAATTAGCTTTTGGGACATCTTGCGGGAAAAAGAAGGCGGGACTCACCGGCCGACAAAGGTCTGGCGGGCAGGGATGCCTTTTCCAACCCGTTCAAGATGGCCTGACGCAATTGAAGCGGCGTCATCGGTTTCGTAGGTTTCTGTGCCGTAGCTCCTGGTCCAGCGCCTGCTCCTGTGCTCGTGCCGTTCTATATTCGATTCGTACGAGTTAGCTATCCTATCCTACTGACACGACCGCTGGGCGATATCGAAATCGAAATCGACCAGTCCCGAGTAAGGAGGAAAAGAAAGGCTCGACGACTCACATCCCCATACCCAGCGCTGGTGGCATAAGCCGTCTTCGGGATCCCCTTCATGCTCCCCTTGGCGTCCGAAATCTTGCCCAGAGCGGCGAGTACGTCCCCCTTGGTGAGCATCCTGTTCCTTCCGGTCCCCTTGATCGCCGAGATCTGGTCTGCGGTGAGATCGGCTTCGGCCAGTCTGTCGAGCGGGAGCGAAGGGTTGAGCACGCAGAGGTTAGATCAGGGTAGGCTTTCGGTCCGTACGAGGACGGGAGCGGCACTCACAGTCGCATCACACTGGGGAACAGCGGCCTCCCGCTAGCACCCCCATGCACATTCCCCTTGTGCCCTCCTACATCCACCGGTACCCCACCCTTTTGGATCTTTTCCGCCTTGGTCTCCGTCTCCCTGCCGGCTTGCGGAGCATTCTGTCGTTGACCCGCCGGGGTCGGGGTCCCAGATTTAGGGGAAGCCGAGGAATCTTGCGTGGATGGTGGGGTTGAAGAGGAAGATGAAGAGGCAGAAGGGGTCGAGGCTAGTTCTTTCTTTTCCGTCGTGCTCTGGTCCTTCTTTTCCGGTTCCGGTTGTCCCGAAGTCGAAGCGCTGCTAGGCGGAGAGAGATCTCCCGGGACTTCCAAGGTGGAAAGGTCGTCCCCTTCTTCAGCTAGGACGGCGATGATCTGCCCCACAGGGATCTTTTGCGATCCCGCTTGGGAGAGGATCTTGCCCATGATCCCGTCGTCCTGAGCTTCGACGTCGATGGTGGCCTTGTCCGTTTCCTACGAACGTAGCACGAGATATCGTCGATGATCCAGGTAGGAGTTTTTATATGGGATGATCAGCAAAGCCGGCAAGGCAAAGGTTGGGGGGAAAAGTCTAGAGAGACTCACGATTTCCAACAAGATGTCACCCGCTGCGAACGCTTCCCCCTCTGCCAGCTTCCAGCCTGCGATCCCACCCTCGGTCATGGTCGGTGACATAGCCGGCATCCTCAACGACGAGGACGCGAACCGGACCACTGTTGGGTTCATGCAAGGAAAGAGGTGATATGTTAGGAGTTGTGAGATTGGGTTGCGGAAGTGGCTCGTGCAAGAAAGGTAGTACGATGACTCACAGCTCCGACGGCTGGCAGATACGACGGCTGGACGGCAGATTGACCACATGTTGCGTGAGATTTGTACGGGTTTTACGACGTGGCTAGAAGCTAGAAGCGATCGATCAAGTGTTCATCATCATCTAGATCATCTAGCATTTCAGCTTGCAGGGTTGATCCGTCGGTGCGGCTCTCGGCACACAAACACAACTTCAGCACTGAAGTGCCGCTCGCCCGCGCGAGATGATAAATAGAATGACGTGTCAATTAACAACGATCAGGAAATGCCAACAAACAATAATTCATCGAACCTCGGCCCCTGTCTCTTGCGCGTGGGAAAGCGTTTTCACTCTTCCGCGCTGGATGGACATGCAAGCAATCGACCTACATCGACACCCGAGCATCACAATTACAACCCGTTACCCCGGATTACAACACCTCATCCACCTCTCCTCTCGGACACCCTCTTAATACATAACATCTCTTCTCATACACACACAAAATGTTGGCTCGATCCGCCGTCCGTCCGGTCCTCATGGCCGCCAGGCCCGTCGTGGGCGTTCAACAGAAGAACGGGATGGCTACCTTGAAGGAGATTGAGCAGAGGTGAGTTGTGGGAAACATCCAGAGAGGATCAGACGGTTCGAGGGATGGCTCGGACTGTACGAGACGGCCGAGTCTGGGCTATTCCGGACCAGGAAGGCGACGAACGGAAGGGGATAGGCGAGGCGAGATGACGAATTGCAGCATCACCTTTCGGTCGGGGGAATGTGCAACGCAATGTTGCCTATCGCAAACGCACGTCCTCTAACAATGCGGCCTGCCGAACTTCCTGCTGCGGTGGTAGTAGTTGGCACGGGAATCGATCGTAACCTGGATGACGAGGGGCGTCAAAGCGATCAGATCTCGGAACACAAGGCGGTTAGGACCGCAAGCAACCTCTCTTGGACCTCGAACCTTTCGCCCCGGCTGAGCCATCCCACTCTCCCGCCTCCTTCTCCCGTTCTTCAATTCTCATCGGCGAGCGCAAACGATCGCTCCACAATGTCGATTGCGGTGTACTGACACCCCCTTCCATCCCCCCGAACCCTGTATCTCGTCCCACCTCGTCGCAGGTTGAAGTCGGTCAAGAACATTGAAAAGATTACCAAATCCATGAAGGTCGTTGCTTCTACCAAGTTGACCCGAGCTGAGAGGGCTATGAAGCAGGCCAAGAAGTACGGCGCTGCCAACGAGGGTGAGTCGAGGGTGTCGTGTCCGGGAATTGGTTGCAGGAACCTGAAAGGAAAGCTAATGCGGATGGCTACGCTCGCGGATAGAGCTCTTCAAGAACTCGGAGATCGGTTCTGACAACGGTGATGCCAAGGTCCTCTACGTCGCTATTTCCTCCGACCGAGGCTTGTGTGGTGGTATCCACTCGTCCGTGACCAAGGCCACCCTCAAGGCCTTGAACGCCAACCCGGAAGCCCGTGTCGCCGTCCTCGGAGACAAGCCCAAGGCCCAGTTGGCCAGGTCCCGAACCGATGATTTCGTCATCACCTTCAACCAGATCGGAAGGGACATTCCGACTTTTGCCGAGGCCGCTGCGATCGCCGATGAGATCAAGACGAAGGGTGGGGAGTGGGACGTCGTCAAGATCATCTACAACAAGTACATCTCGGCCATCTCTTACGAGCCGACCGAGTTGGTCGTTACCAACGCCAAGTCGTTGAACGAGGCCGGTACGTCACGCTTCGCCTTTACCTTTTCTGCATACAGTTAGCTTTCTCACCAGGATCTCGCGCTGATCTTTGAATGTCATGATGTTCTCGTCTTCGCAGCCGGTTTCAAGGCTTACGAGCAGGAGGAAGACTCGACTGGCGATATCGCCGAGTTCTCTCTGGCCAACGCTCTCTACCTCGCCCTCGTCGAGGGTCACGCCGCCGAGCAGAGCGCGAGGAGGACTGCCATGGACAACGGTCAGTCTGGATCTTTCGGTCGGGAGGTGGATGGAGAGTGTGGATGGGAAGCTGATTGATCTTCATTGAAACGTTCTTTTCTGGTTGACCGCAACGTGAAACAGCGTCCGGAAGTGAGTCTACATTTGCGATACTCACTTGCCGTCCATCACGCACTAGTCGCTGATCCTTGCCCCACTCACTACCTCGTTGTAGACGCCGCCGACATGATCGGGAAGCTGAACTTGCAGTTCAACCGAGCCCGTCAAGGAAAGATTACCGGAGAGTTGATCGAGATCATCACCGTGAGTAGCCGCCCCGCTTCTCATGGATATTCTGTGTTGGTGGACAAAGTCGAGGCTGGTCGAGACTGATGTGATGTGTCGTGTTGTGACGTGTACAGGGTGCTTCTGCTTTGTAAACGGAGTGAAAACGAAAAGAAAGCGGGGTCAGGAAGGGTCAAGAGCCGATTTACATGACCAAGACGTTTGTAGATAGAGATGTCGAGTGCAAAAGGGGGATGAGCATGGAATAGAAACCTATCGAGTGGGCAAGTGATTCAGCGATGATGTCGAGGTGGTCGACACACCGTACCGTCGCTTGTCGCTTGTCGACCGTCGGTTCGGCACTTCGGCGGTGGCTTGAATTTGAATATGAGCCCTCGTGCGCGCGCATTCGCTCGTTGTCGCTCTCGCTCTGCCTCCTGCCCCTTGCTCCTGCCGCTGCTCCTTCTGCTGCCTGGCCTGCCTCTCTCTCTGCTCTCTCCTCCCTTTGTGATCAATCAACCACAGGCCTCGGACAAGAGACACCTCTCATCACACATCACACACCCCTCCAACACCACCACCTCATCTTTCATTGTGATCTCGCCCTCCGTTCTCTCTTGCGTTCACGGGTCGATCGATTCTGACAGCTCAGCTCCGCCGTTCCTCGTTCACCCTCGAGCTCAAGCCAACTCCGCCGTACCCCCTCGCTCGTACCTCCTCCTTCGAACCACCTTCAATACGAGCTCGACCTCGACGCATAAACTACTTAGATACACTTGATCAGTGATAGCCTACAACGCTTTGGGAAAGACCTTCTCTTCATCTGTTTCTGGACGTATTCAACAACCAGAGTACACTCAGGTCGGATTCGAATTCGAACAGCTTGGACTTGGAGGAAACACTCTATTGAGCTACTTTAACGGTACTCGGAACCCCCGCATACACGAACGTCGAGCACAAGCTACAGATCAAAGTACGAACAACGAACACACGAAGAATAGTCACGAATCAAGGGAGAACAGTCGAACGGTCCATTATACTGTACCGAAAGACCACGGAATCGAAATCGACTCGAAATTCGAATCCCATCAATCAGCCAGAACTTGCGGTATTGGTTCTTAAGGGAAAGTCATTTGTGATCTAGAGGTCTACTGCTATCATCATGTCCAAGGTGAGCATCTTTTCGACTTTCAGACCTCTTGGGTGTTGTAGCCGGCCGGCCTGTCGACGGTGGACAAAGAAAGGGCAAGAATGGAGCTGATCAGAAATCGATTCTTCCCCCACTCCTCTTCGTCTCCACTGGATTCCGCTGGCTGGTGTCGTTTGGACGCTCTTTACCCCTTGGTCGTCAATCGTCAACCATCCTGGCTTATTCATGGTCTATGTCCAACCGCCATCGCACGGAAACGGATCCACTCCTTCAACGACATCCCCTCCCTTCCGATCACATCTCGGCTCCGACTCCGGCCTACCTTTACCCTGGATCCGTATACATTTGAAACGACAATCTCACATTCTATCTCGGGCTGGAAACCTCTCCGCGGATACTTCCACTCATACCGGTCTGATCTGATCTGATCTGATCTGATCTGATCGTGGACCTGATCCGCTGGCATGAATCGGATCCGTTACATATGCGACGGGGATGCTCGGTTTGGATGGTTGGACCTTTGTGTGCTGGATCAACTTGCCCATGAATCGGATCACGCAATCTTCGGATCCTGCAATGCAAATACTGCTATCCCGCTATTTTACCTTCGAAATCAAACCTTATCAACAATCACCCGTAATCAAAACAACCTGCACACTCAACCCCGACCCGAACCCGCCCGACATCACAGGCTCAATTCCTTCGAGAATACAAGCTCGTCGTAGTAGGCGGTGGAGGTGTAGGAAAGTCTGCGTTGACGATCCAGTTTATCCAGGGACATGTGAGTCTCGGTTAATGATCGGTTTCGCTCTCGGTTGTGGTCGTGACTAGGGTCTTGAGGAGGAGGTCAAGGGGAGGATGGGTGGTAGGATAGGGAACAGGTTACATCTCCGAGCTTGGGACAGAATGGGATGGGTCGGGCGGCGTGTATTGCGAAGCTGAGGGGAGGATGGTCTTCCGAAGCGAGACGATAGCGAACAGGCAGGCGGAAAGGATCCAAGAGTCTTGGAATGGAGCTCTGGATGAACATGAAGAACGCTATCGAGACGTTCCGAACAGCATACATCACTCGCAATCTTGCTCGCACCGATGGGTGTAAGATGAATCAGGTCGATGACGGGGAGATGGGAAGGTGGCATGACCGTTGACATCCGAGTCACCGAGCGAGGAGCGGATCGAGCTGTTTCGTCACGAGTCGCACAGTATTGCGAATCACCAAGCTGATCATCAAATAATTCCGTGTGGTCTTCCCTCTAGTTCGTGGATGAGTAAGCCGTCTACATTACTGGGATCATTATACTCGCCTGTTCACACTGGCTAATCAAACCGGAAATTTCCGTCTCACCCTATAGGTACGACCCAACTATCGAGGATTCTTACCGTAAACAGTGTTTCATCGATGACGAGGTCGCACTGCTCGACGTCCTGGATACGGCCGGTCAGGAAGAATACGGCGCGATGAGGGAACAATATAGTCAGTGATCGGGACCATTGATTTCTTGCTTTCTCGACATACTTGGTCTGATCCATTGAACGATTTGGCCCCGAAACTAGTGAGGACCGGGGAAGGGTTCTTGCTCGTCTATAGTATCACGTCGAGACCGTCGTTTGACGAGATTAGCGTTTTCCACCAACAGATCTTGCGGGTGAGTGCAATGAAGAGCTAGAGGTCAGGGCTGAACGCTGGTGTTGACGAAATTGACTCCCGGCAGGTCAAGGACAAGGATTATTTCCCGGTCGTCGTGATCGCCAACAAGATCGATTTGGATAATGAACGACAGGTACACCGGGAAGGTCAGCCATTTCCGTTTTCGTCCCGGGCAACTGAGCGTGTGCTAATCTCGTTTACGGGCGCTCATAGAGGGCCAACAACTCGCACGATCATTTGGGTCGACGCAGATGGAAACGTCTGCCAAGGCAAGGATCAACGTGGATGAGAGTTTCCATGAGCTCGTTCGAGCGATCCGAAAGTTTAACAAGGTGCGCCATGGTCTGCCTCTGTCCGCTACATTTCTCTTGTATTGACCCGGTCTCGCTCATGCAGGAGTCCTACCCGACTCAAGCTGCCGCTGCAGGTGGCGCAACCGGACCGATTGGCAACGGCATCGGAAACACCCCAGCCCGAAACAAGCGAGGCGGAACGGACGACACGCATTCGGACGGGTGCAAATGCGTGATCGTCTAGCGAGGTCACTACAGCCAGGCTACATTTCCCTCCCTTCTTTTCTTCCTTTTTGGGTGCCCACTTGGTGTCACAATGCGGCAGACTTTTCTCGGTTGTTTCTTCTCTTACACCGTCCGTCGATCAATACCCCTCTTTTCTTCCCAGCCGCATTCCCACTCCTGCCGCGGCCCAAAGCCAGCCAGTTTCAGTTGTCTTTGTCGAACCATTGCCGCTTTGTCACATATATCTCTGATCGAGTGTTATAGTATTTTAATCCCATGTCTTGCGCTTCGATCGCGACTTGTTCCGCGTTGCCGAATCTGCATCGACTCGCATAACCCGATATGCGCCAGGAAGCTGAAGACGAGCCGAATCATTATTGTATCAGTAGACATTACCGATCTTGTGCTTCGCCGACTCGCTCTTGGGTTCTGCCTGGATTCTCTCTTTTTCATAGTGGAAGTGAGTGATTGGCTTTTGCCTTTTCTTAAATGGTTTGGTTTCACATCTAGGACACCGGATGCCTCCTGAGTTGGGATCATTTTCAGCCTTTTACCTAAACACTCCTCCTCTAAAAGAAAACAGAAGCGCTACTCTTGCTGGGGTAGGGGTTGTAACAAGCAAGCTGGGATCCAACGTACTTGTAGATTCCTTGATGTCCCATAGCGGTTATGTTTCACATGTATACAGATACTTCTGTGGTGTGACACCCCAACGTTCACGCTTGTGACTCCAGACGCCTTGGAACGATGGGCAACCTGTATCGCAATACCTTCCGCCTAGGTATTTTTCTGCCTGGTGACTCGAAAACATTAGCGATTACAAACTATGTACAAAGAAGATACGAAATCGCGCGGTGGTTGAAATTGCCGCGCCAAAGCGATGCGACGGCACAGGGGATACTGGTACAGAAGTCCAGAGCAAGATCCACCTCTTTCGACGAGGTTGATGGGCTCACGAAACATATGCGAGCGTGTGGGAGACTGGTGAAACGATCGGGTCGCGCGTCGAATTGTTCGAGAAGGGCGACGAAACGGAAAGATCCCCGCGCCTCCACCTCGTCGTGACCTCCACTTGCTGTCGATCGCCGGTGGCTATTGTGACGTCGATTTAGCCAACCACCATTGCCGCAATCTCGTCTGCCGTATCAATGACAAACCAACGTGCAACGTCGGTCGATTCGGTCGAGGGGGATGCGGCGCTTTGGGTCGATGATCGATGACGATGGTGCGGTGGACATGTATATATATGGATAGGGGTTGCACCTCAATCTGAACGATTCAACCGGTTCAGGTTCTCATCGTCAACACATCAATCTTGACAAGCTCAACCCTATACCCTACACAAAAATAAATCAAAACCAAGCTACCGATATAATGTCTGCTACCGACTACAAGTTCGAAGGTAGGTCTCGCTTGCAAGATTCTTTCTGACGAGCTGTACTGACGGGTCCCAAACCCCTAATCGTCTTTCAGGTTGGGGTGCTTTCGGTCCCGACTCGGTTGAGGGAAACTTCAAGAAGTTCGAGTACGAGCCCAAGCCATGGGAGGAGACTGATGTCGACAGTACGTTGATGCCTTTGATCGCTTGCGTTGATAACCTTGGAGTTACTGACCTCGTCTTCTTTGTTACATCCACTTTCAGTCAAGATCATGTACTGCGGTGTCGTGAGTGGTCCAAGTTCAATCGCTCGCTCCGATCGACCCTCAATCTAACTCTCGTGCGATTCAACCTTATCAGTGCGGATCCGACTTGCACACCGCTTCATCCGGATGGGGAGCTGCCGACTACCCTCAAGTCGTCGGGCACGAGATCTGTGGTGTCGCCGTCCGAGTCGGCTCCAAGGTCACCCACATCAAGGAGGGAGACATCGTCGGTGTCGGTGCCCAGTGTGACAGCTGCAACGATTGCCGCGAATGTAACAAGCAGAAGGAGAACCGATGCACTGGTATGGTCGTAAGTTTGAGGATCTAGAATAACCAGAACTGGATGCACCGAAATCTAATTTCTCTCTTCATATCACATAGGGAACCTACGGTGGCAAGTTCAAGAAGGAGGGCCCTGCTAAGGACGCCAAGAGTTACGGAGGCTACGCTTCCTACAACCGATCTCCCGGTCACTTTGTCGTCAAGATCCCTGACGGCCTCGACCCCGCCTTTGCCGCGCCTATGCTCTGTGGAGGTGTGACCGTTTACAACCCGCTCGTCTCCAACGGCGCCGGTCCCGGTGTCGACGTCGGTGTCATCGGAATCGGAGGTCTCGGACACTTTGCTCTATTGTTCGCCAAGGCCTTGGGTGCCAACGTCACTGCCATCTCGCACTCGGAGAGGAAGAAGGAGGATGCCATGAAGCTCGGCGCTTCCAAGTTTATCGCCACTCACTCGGGTGGGGAGCAGGATTTCGCCCCGCACGCCAGGTCGTTGGACCTGATCATCGCGACCACCAATGATCCCGAGGTGCGTTTCAGGTCTGACCAAACGGAAGCCTAGCAAAAGCACTCATTCAGCACCATTCCTGCGCACAGATGCCCTTGGGCGGATACTTGTCCTTGCTACGACCCGACGGCAAGTTGATCCTCGTCGGTGCTCCCGAAAAGCCCCTCCCTGCGCTCTCGCCGTTCCAACTTATTCCCGGGTCGATCTCGATCGGGGGCAGCATCATTGTGAGCACCTGTCCTGCCGCGACTCCACATAGTAGTGATCATCGTTCTGACGCCTTGTATACTTCTCCGCTTGTCACTAGGGCTCCCCTTCATTGATCTCCGAGATGCTCGACCTCGCCGTCAAGCACAAGGTCGAGCCTTGGGTTCAGAAGCGATCGATGGACAAGGTCAACGAGGTCATCCCACTCATGAACAAGGGTGACGTCAAGTACCGATACGTCCTTGTCAACGAGGAGAACGGTGGGAAGCTATAATCGTTGGACAATAGGAGCATCTGTAGGAGGAACACAAATACGTACACGCAGAGGTGTCTTGTAACCGGTGACAATAGACGAAAATGAAGTACAAATTGTGCCGCGTCGATTGTGAGATTGCGAAATTGACGACCACGAGGACGACCAGGCTCTGACTGGATGTCGAAAACCGGTACAATTCGTTGCACGAGGCTCTGTTACAACCTGCGTCTTGTTCTTTGCATAGCAAGAGGTGCTCAGTAGTAATCGCTCCGGGATTCCATCAGACCGAACTTGATGGGTGATCTGATGCGCCCGGCAGAGACGTGAAGGCGATCGAGAAACTCCACCTCGGGTCATGCAGGCGCAATGACGTGTGGACCGTTCCCTGACCAATTCAAGGGACGTGGCAAGCGGGACGGTCGGACTGGAGGAAGGAGACGATGTTGCAGGGGCGAGTGGTAGGCGGCAGGCCGCAGGCCGATAAGCAAGGCAAGAGGGCATCAGTTGCACAGTTGCCAGACCGGACCAGACAGCGCCCCAGCCACATATCAGGCCTAAGGGGCTGGACCGGCCGATATTGATGTGACAAGGGCAGGGCAGGCGAGAGGGCGATGGCATGGCCATGTGACGGCCAGATGTCCAGCCCATCTGCAACACCAGTCAGACAACTCTGACGCTGCCCAAGAAGTGCCGTGCCCAAGGTGTGTCTCTGGACAAGTCTCCCCGGGTGAGCTGTGCCAGGGAGCTCTGAGGTCAGGGAAGCAGGAGACATTGTGTGCCTTGTGTGACTCCATCACCTATCGCTCCCATCGAAGGAGGCGGTAGCTCAGTGGTAAGCGGCAGGCCGCAGGCCGATAAGCAAGGCAAGAGGGCATCAGTTGCGCAGTTGTCGACTTGGACAGCTCCCAGCGACACATCATGTTACGGCTGGGTAGAACCTCGGTGTTAGGTCTGCTCGATCGGATGTACCTTCTTGTCAGAGCTCTCAGGACGAGAATCGTGTCTCGTCTGAAGCTTGTCTATCCCAGCCCATCTGCAACACCAGTCAGACAACTCTGACGCTGCCCAAGAAGTGCCGTGCCCAAGGTGTGTCTCTGGACAAGTCTCCCCGGGTGAGCTGTGCCAGGGAGCTCTGAGGTCAGGGAAGCAGGAGACATTGTGTGCCTTGTGTGACTCCATCACCTATCGCTCCCATCGAAGGAGGCGGTAGCTCAGTGGTAAGCGGCAGGCCGCAGGCCGATAAGCAAGGCAAGAGGGCATCAGTTGCGCAGTTGTCGACTTGGACAGCTCCCAGCGACACATCATGTTACGGCTGGGTAGAACCTCGGTGTTAGGTCTGCTCGATCGGATGTACCTTCTTGTCAGAGCTCTCAGGACGAGAATCGTGTCTCGTCTGAAGCTTGTCTATCCCAGCCCATCTGCAACACCAGTCAGACAACTCTGACGCTGCCCAAGAAGTGCCGTGCCCAAGGTGTGTCTCTGGACAAGTCTCCCCGGGTGAGCTGTGCCAGGGAGCTCTGAGGTCAGGGAAGCAGGAGACATTGTGTGCCTTGTGTGACTCCATCACCTATCGCTCCCATCGAAGGAGGCGGTAGCTCAGTGGTAAGCGGCAGGCCGCAGGCCGATAAGCAAGGCAAGAGGGCATCAGTTGCGCAGTTGTCGACTTGGACAGCTCCCAGCGACACATCATGTTACGGCTGGGTAGAACCTCGGTGTTAGGTCTGCTCGATCGGATGTACCTTCTTGTCAGAGCTCTCAGGACGAGAATCGTGTCTCGTCTGAAGCTTGTCTATCCCAGCCCATCTGCAACACCAGTCAGACAACTCTGACGCTGCCCAAGAAGTGCCGTGCCCAAGGTGTGTCTCTGGACAAGTCTCCCCGGGTGAGCTGTGCCAGGGAGCTCTGAGGTCAGGGAAGCAGGAGACATTGTGTGCCTTGTGTGACTCCATCACCTATCGCTCCCATCGAAGGAGGCGGTAGCTCAGTGGTAAGCGGCAGGCCGCAGGCCGATAAGCAAGGCAAGAGGGCATCAGTTGCGCAGTTGTCGACTTGGACAGCTCCCAGCGACACATCATGTTACGGCTGGGTAGAACCTCGGTGTTAGGTCTGCTCGATCGGATGTACCTTCTTGTCAGAGCTCTCAGGACGAGAATCGTGTCTCGTCTGAAGCTTGTCTATCCCAGCCCATCTGCAACACCAGTCAGACAACTCTGACGCTGCCCAAGAAGTGCCGTGCCCAAGGTGTGTCTCTGGACAAGTCTCCCCGGGTGAGCTGTGCCAGGGAGCTCTGAGGTCAGGGAAGCAGGAGACATTGTGTGCCTTGTGTGACTCCATCACCTATCGCTCCCATCGAAGGAGGCGGTAGCTCAGTGGTAAGCGGCAGGCCGCAGGCCGATAAGCAAGGCAAGAGGGCATCAGTTGCGCAGTTGTCGACTTGGACAGCTCCCAGCGACACATCATGTTACGGCTGGGTAGAACCTCGGTGTTAGGTCTGCTCGATCGGATGTACCTTCTTGTCAGAGCTCTCAGGACGAGAATCGTGTCTCGTCTGAAGCTTGTCTATCCCAGCCCATCTGCAACACCAGTCAGACAACTCTGACGCTGCCCAAGAAGTGCCGTGCCCAAGGTGTGTCTCTGGACAAGTCTCCCCGGGTGAGCTGTGCCAGGGAGCTCTGAGGTCAGGGAAGCAGGAGACATTGTGTGCCTTGTGTGACTCCATCACCTATCGCTCCCATCGAAGGAGGCGGTAGCTCAGTGGTAAGCGGCAGGCCGCAGGCCGATAAGCAAGGCAAGAGGGCATCAGTTGCGCAGTTGTCGACTTGGACAGCTCCCAGCGACACATCATGTTACGGCTGGGTAGAACCTCGGTGTTAGGTCTGCTCGATCGGATGTACCTTCTTGTCAGAGCTCTCAGGACGAGAATCGTGTCTCGTCTGAAGCTTGTCTATCCCAGCCCATCTGCAACACCAGTCAGACAACTCTGACGCTGCCCAAGAAGTGCCGTGCCCAAGGTGTGTCTCTGGACAAGTCTCCCCGGGTGAGCTGTGCCAGGGAGCTCTGAGGTCAGGGAAGCAGGAGACATTGTGTGCCTTGTGTGACTCCATCACCTATCGCTCCCATCGAAGGAGGCGGTAGCTCAGTGGTAAGCGGCAGGCCGCAGGCCGATAAGCAAGGCAAGAGGGCATCAGTTGCGCAGTTGTCGACTTGGACAGCTCCCAGCGACACATCATGTTACGGCTGGGTAGAACCTCGGTGTTAGGTCTGCTCGATCGGATGTACCTTCTTGTCAGAGCTCTCAGGACGAGAATCGTGTCTCGTCTGAAGCTTGTCTATCCCAGCCCATCTGCAACACCAGTCAGACAACTCTGACGCTGCCCAAGAAGTGCCGTGCCCAAGGTGTGTCTCTGGACAAGTCTCCCCGGGTGAGCTGTGCCAGGGAGCTCTGAGGTCAGGGAAGCAGGAGACATTGTGTGCCTTGTGTGACTCCATCACCTATCGCTCCCATCGAAGGAGGCGGTAGCTCAGTGGTAAGCGGCAGGCCGCAGGCCGATAAGCAAGGCAAGAGGGCATCAGTTGCGCAGTTGTCGACTTGGACAGCTCCCAGCGACACATCATGTTACGGCTGGGTAGAACCTCGGTGTTAGGTCTGCTCGATCGGATGTACCTTCTTGTCAGAGCTCTCAGGACGAGAATCGTGTCTCGTCTGAAGCTTGTCTATCCCAGCCCATCTGCAACACCAGTCAGACAACTCTGACGCTGCCCAAGAAGTGCCGTGCCCAAGGTGTGTCTCTGGACAAGTCTCCCCGGGTGAGCTGTGCCAGGGAGCTCTGAGGTCAGGGAAGCAGGAGACATTGTGTGCCTTGTGTGACTCCATCACCTATCGCTCCCATCGAAGGAGGCGGTAGCTCAGTGGTAAGCGGCAGGCCGCAGGCCGATAAGCAAGGCAAGAGGGCATCAGTTGCGCAGTTGTCGACTTGGACAGCTCCCAGCGACACATCATGTTACGGCTGGGTAGAACCTCGGTGTTAGGTCTGCTCGATCGGATGTACCTTCTTGTCAGAGCTCTCAGGACGAGAATCGTGTCTCGTCTGAAGCTTGTCTATCCCAGCCCATCTGCAACACCAGTCAGACAACTCTGACGCTGCCCAAGAAGTGCCGTGCCCAAGGTGTGTCTCTGGACAAGTCTCCCCGGGTGAGCTGTGCCAGGGAGCTCTGAGGTCAGGGAAGCAGGAGACATTGTGTGCCTTGTGTGACTCCATCACCTATCGCTCCCATCGAAGGAGGCGGTAGCTCAGTGGTAAGCGGCAGGCCGCAGGCCGATAAGCAAGGCAAGAGGGCATCAGTTGCGCAGTTGTCGACTTGGACAGCTCCCAGCGACACATCATGTTACGGCTGGGTAGAACCTCGGTGTTAGGTCTGCTCGATCGGATGTACCTTCTTGTCAGAGCTCTCAGGACGAGAATCGTGTCTCGTCTGAAGCTTGTCTATCCCAGCCCATCTGCAACACCAGTCAGACAACTCTGACGCTGCCCAAGAAGTGCCGTGCCCAAGGTGTGTCTCTGGACAAGTCTCCCCGGGTGAGCTGTGCCAGGGAGCTCTGAGGTCAGGGAAGCAGGAGACATTGTGTGCCTTGTGTGACTCCATCACCTATCGCTCCCATCGAAGGAGGCGGTAGCTCAGTGGTAGAGCGGCAGATTGCAATGGTGCCTGTTGCAAGGTATCTGTAGGTCCCCAGTTCGATCCTGGGTCATCTCTCTTTTTTGTCCGTTCTCATCTGCAGCTCCTTTACAACGAAATTTCGGCGCGTAGAGCCGCCGCTCTAGGCAGGCTTGACCTCACCTACTCCCGACTGAACCCGCCTTGCCGCATTCTCGTCCAAATCTGGACGTCTGGCAGCGTACGTGATACAATGTAGAGAGATCTCGGGTTGTCTCTCAAGGCTCACAGCGTCGCAGGACGGCTCAGCGGTTCTGCACGCGGGCGACGCGCAACTCGAAACTCGTATCACTTCGTCAACACCTTCATTCTTCGCCCCGCCCCCTGCTCTGCTAGCTGCTAGCGCTATGCTGATATCGCTGACGTCACACACCTTTCATCTAATCTGCGCAGCGGGTTACCGCGAGGATTACCCCGATCCATGCGATCCTTTCTGCCAAGTCGGGGAGGATCGAGGGGGCGGAAGGGGCCAAGAGATCCGGCAATCTCGTGCAGCCAGCGAGCAGCGAGCAGATTGTTTGGAGCATCGGTCGTGGTCGAGCGAGATCGGTGTAACTTTGCGCTGTGTCCAAAACACGATATAGCTTCACGAGATTTTCGCCTCTTCGGTCTCGCGCGCAATTGCTTCTCGCTTCTCGATTCAAGTCATCCACAGCTATACGCTATCAGCTATAAGCTATACGACGTACAATCAACCTCGACCAACTCTTTCAACCAGTTAGACCTGAACGATACTACAGGTCTAACCCTACAAGCCAGCAAAGCAATACACACTTCATAACCTCATAAGTAAGGCACCTTGTCATGGTAGAGTAAACCCATACTAACAAACGATCGAACCAGACCATGTCCACGAGACTCGCCCTCGCATCCCTCTCTCTGCTCGTCATCTCCCTACCTTCCGTCCGAGCGGATACCTGCTACTACTTTGGACGCCCGTATGAGTGCGATCGGGGTGGCCTGTCTACGGGTGCTCGATGGGGTATCGGAGCGGGAATCGCAGTGGGAGTGATCGTGCTGGTAATGTTCTTCAGTTGGTGGAGGCGAAAGTGAGTCCAGCCTAGTCTGTTCATGAGGATTTTGTCGCCTCAAGACCAGATCAGATGTTGACGAAAAGCTGTTTTCCATCGCCGTCCCCAGGCGAATCATGTCGGCCTGGAAGAAGCACACCCAGAACAACAACCAAGAAGGACTCCCTTACCACAACAACGACACCAATACGGGGTACTACAACAACACCCAATACCCGAGCTCGTATGGCAACAACGAACAGTACGCTGCGCCTCCCGGTGCTCCTCCTATCAAACAACCCCAGACCGCCTATACCCCGAGCATGGCCGGTGCATACGGCTCGAACGGTGGCACCTATTCGTACGGTCAAAATCAAGCCCAGAACAACGATGCGGGTCCAGACTACGAGTACAGGCAGGCCGAAGAGAACAGGTTGGCCGAGGAGGCCGAGGCTAGGCGGGCTGCTGGGAATGTGAGCGGAGAGCCTGCCCCGCCAGGTTATGACATGGCCGTTCAACCCACTGGAAACGGGGTTCAAGGAGGTGAGTCTGGTTTCTTCGACATCAAGGACGGCTTTCTTTTCCATCCAGAGAATGTAGTCAAGCAGTCGCTGAGCTGACCTGGATTTTGATCGTTATTTTCCTCTTTAGCCGGGTCGTACCAACCTCCTACTGGACCTCCCCCTGGTAAAGGTCAACGACAAGCCAGCGGCGGGGTCGTCTAGATCCAACTTGCTTGATCGATCCATGCCGGACCGTTGCACGTCCCACTATGCTATACCCTCGACGATCGGAAATGTGAGACAGTTTCACCTGTCGGCAAGTTTCAGTACTGTACAAGGTCAGACAAGAGGCAAGAAGACGGAAGAAAGATAGTAAATTCCATTGTAATACATCATCGCAGTAGGCGATATGACGACTATAATAACACATGTACATCGCCGGGTCGATCGAGGTGTGAGTGTGGCCGTCATCGTGACAAGGAAGGTAGGTGGAACAAGCACGCGCTCAAGACCGCCTTTGGACGGCCATCTTGGCCTCGGAGTTGTTTGGCAAGAGGTCCGGAATGGACGTTTCTTTGTGTTCTGTGAGTCTCGTGGCATGTCCCGCCACTTTCTCTCCCTTGCATCTATCCGCAATCTCGCCGTCATCCGTGTTGTCGCACGCCACAAGAGGCACGAGCGGTGTAGGAGGATGAATACGATACTGGTCCATGTCTCCACGACATTCAATTCTAATTATACATTGTTCACACCAAGGTAACACTGAGCGAAAAGACACAGAGACGGGACAGAGCCGAGAAAAAGAATCGACGCATGGCCGACGGTTTCGTCTAGTCTAGTCGACCTAGTCCCGGCGAGAAAGAAGTCCATGGTATGGTTTGCCGACGTCATAAGAAGGGGAAAATATGTCTAGACCATTGTTGCTCGGCTGTTGCCACCCATATGCGCCTGCATGGCCCGATATCGAGTCGAAGAAGAAAGTGTTTGCCGTCCTCGTCAAAGTCGTTATTTTAAGAGGGTGGTGTGTAAAGGGAGAGGTTGACGATGTAAAGATTCGAAAGGGGTTCTCAGGTAGTCCTTCTCTGCCTCTAGTTCGTATCCGTGAGATTCATCTTTTTGAGCGTCGTATACAACCGTCATGAACGGGGGTGGGGATATGAGATGGCGAAAGACAGAACAGGACCAGCGATCGAGACGACGTCTATAGGAACTGTTCGGTGCCAGAAATGATTCGAGTTCAGCCTTGGAACCTCGAGGGGCTCAGAATGGCTGTGACGACGAAACTCACGTAATCAGGGGGTCGTCGGGAAACGAGCGGCTCTCCGGCCCTGGGAGCGGGGTCGAATTGCAAGCTAGGACAAGATCGCGTTTGTTAGCACTTTAGCGTCGAGAACAGGATCGCACATTCTGAGTGGCGAAGAACAACAACTCACAAGGTGTACTTCAGGTTATCGTCCACCTCGAGGATAGCAGCCTGATTACCACATCGGTAACAATAGTTTGGAGCAGAAAAGATGGTAACGACGTTCTTGTCTTGCGACCAGCTGTGGCGGGACAAAGCCGAGCGGATTCGGTCAGCTATGTCTGGCAGAACGATGACCACTAGTAGCTGAAAAGATAGACGTACGAGTAACCTTCCATGACAAGTTGGTGCGCACGAGCGACCAGGGTGAGCCCGTTGTTGTGGTCTATCACGCAGAGATTCACGTCAACACAAGGTATCCCCACGAATCCACAAACTCGCCATCAAGTGGACTCACTGAACGCCTCGCTGATATCCTGTCCAAACGTGTACCCGGCACCTCTCGGGCTGATTCCCCATCCACACCTGTCATCCGGGTCAGACCACAAGAGGTCACACATGGGTCCTTCATGAGGAACTTCTTGGATCCTGTCGATAGCTCGGATATGGTCGAGCGTGTCGATCGAGGGGGAGAGACCTCCGTGCAAACAGAAGATCTGCGAATGTCGTTTGAAAAAGGGGGATATTCGAGCAAAATCAGTTTCGCTCTTCCCGGTCGGTTTCCCCACTTAAGGAGCCGTCGCCCATGACTGACCTGGTTGTCGATCAACGCCGTCAAGGGCAGATAATCGAACAGGTCCGTGAAAAACTTCCAAACGTTTGCATTCCCATACTTTCGCAAACACTCGTCGTAGAACCCATAAACCTGGGTGATCTGCCTAGACTCGTGGTTACCCCGGAGGATGGTCACTCGATCTCGGTAACGGAGTTTCAGGGCGACGAGCAGGGTGACGGTCTCGACCGAGTAGTAGCCTCGGTCGACGTAGTCGCCCATGAAGAGGTAGTTGGTGTCGGGGGAGTTGCCTCCGATGCGGAAGAGCTCGGAGAGGTCGTGCTGAGCGAGCGCAGAGTGCGAGGCGAGCATATAGTCAGCCGTAGCTCTTTTTGGAAGGCACTTTCTACCGATCAACCACGATCCGTCATTGACGACTCACGAACTGTCCATGAATATCACCACAGACGGTAACAGGGCACTTGACGGGCTGGACATTGGACTCCTCCATGAGGACTTCCCGGGCCTGTCGTTTCAGTCATTGATAAACGAGAACCAAGGAGGAGAGGGTGTTTGTGGTGATCCCAGCCGTGTTGTTCATTACGGTTTGTCCAGCGAAGAGGGAGGATGGCAGTGCGGGATTTGGGGCGGAAGAAGAAAAGACACGAAGGGAGAGCAAGAGTTGATAATCAGCACCCGGCTGCAGCAAAGTTCGACTGAATTTCAATACCAGTCAAAAGGAAACCCGAAAGGACAAGAGGAAAAGAGGAGAAAGGCGATCTGATTTCCAGCTTTGACAGCCTGGACGACAGCGACTAGCCGCCCAGTCTGGTCTCAGGATCCCGTAACAAGGACGAGTATCGGGATATGTGAGAAGCTTCGGAGATATTGCCTCTCAAGCTTGAAGATTCGAATCGGCGGTCGGTGGATATCGATGAGGTATGGTACGGGGGTGCATCGAAAAAGGTCGGGGTTGTTTGCACACGCGGTTTCGCACGCTCTTGATGTCGGTCGCAGTGTGTACCCAAAGCAGCTCGAAATGCGATGTAGACATTTGAGAGCAGGTGTATCTCGACAGGCCAGTTGTGATGCCGTATTGGAGCGTTCGTCCTGCATACCGGTCTCTCCCTTTTGACCCGACCCCCGTCCTTTCCGTTGTATGTTCGGGTCATCACAGCGACCATCCCCTTTCTGGGGTTCCCTCTTGTATCTGTCCTTCTTCTTGCAAGTCGCCTGGCACTAAACAACAGGAACATCTCCCCGACTAACCTTGTCGCACAACTTTTTCACTTCACCCTCACTCAGGGGTTTACAGTTCATCAACTGGGCGATCCAGACGTCTGGGTCTTCCGACGAGTTGGACATGGCGGGCAGGGCGAGGGAAGGGGTCCTTTTCCTTCTTGATGGGAGTGTTTTGAGAGGTCGTGTGTCCTGTGGCGACTACTAGGGTAGGTGGGCTAGGTTGATGACGGTATGTGACGTTGAAGGATGATGACGACGATATGGTCGAGTTGCAAGTTGAAGTGACCTTTGTGTGTGTGCAGCGTATGACTGCTGTGATGATGATGATGGAAGACGAGCGCGTCTCCTCCCACTCTCTCTGGGCTTTCTCACGCGTCATCACCTAGTCGTGTCGAGTTTTAAGGCAGCCCAGAGGTCTGATTACGCAATATATTTCTCTAGAGGGGCGACCGACCATCTCGATAATTTCGAGAGGTTCATCCATCAACTCAACCATTACTAGACCAAAAGACATTTGGGATCATAACCACATCTCATCATCACTACCAAAAACATAGAACCTACTTACAACATGTCCGACTCGCACATGTTCACATGCATCTCATGCGCCGTCGCCTTTAATGACCCGGCCATGCAGAGGTCTCATTTCGCCAGCGATTGGCACCGATACAACATGAAGGTGAGCTGCAGTCGTTTGCCTCTCTACTGTCCCCGGTGTTCTGGGAAGCTGAATTGAGTGAACGTCTGTTTTTGATGTATCATGGGCGATGGTAGAGGCGAGTCGCCTCGTTGCCTCCAGTCTCGGCCAACATGTTCAACGAAAAGGTGCTCGAAAAGAGGGAACAGAACGCTATCAGGTTGGATCCCCGTGGGATGCACTGTGATTGTTGCCGGTAAGCAAAGTTTCAAATCAATGTGCAGGCGTAGGTGCTGTTGGCTGACAAGCTCGACCTTTCTTGCATTTCTACGATTTTATTGCCTGTTGCCACGAAATGCTCAAAAATCCAATCACCCGACCTCTTTCGCCACTTTGTTACTTCCCCCTTTGAACGTCCTTTTTCAACCTTACTCTCGACAGCAAACAATTCTCGACGGAGAACGCTTTCCGAACCCACGTAGCGAGCAAGAAACACCGTCTGGTGGAAGCCAAGTGGAGAGCAGACCAGGCTCGCAACCCCGGTCAAGTCCCCTCTGCGCCCGTTGGTGACGAGGATGAGGACTCGGAGGAAGAGAGTGAGAGTGACGAACAGGTCGAGAGGGTCATCTTGGAGACGACGAGAAAGCCTGAAGAGGAAGAAGAGGTCAAGATGCCCGAGACTGTCGCTCCCGCTCAACCCGCGTCGTCCTCGACTTCCACTGCGGGCCAACAACAGCCCGTAGCGAACAAGAAGCTGTCCCACTTGATCGCCGAGCACGACGAGGGCAAGGCCGATGAGGCCATGGATGAAGACAACGACGACGAACTCGCCTTGACGCTCGAACAAAAGCTCCTCGCCTCCCGTTCGCTCCACCCTACCCACTGTCTCTTCTGTTCAGCCAAATCCACCTCGATCGACAAGAACCTCGACCACATGTTTTCCAAACACAGCTTTTACGTCCCCGAACGACAGTTCCTGGCAGACCCAGCCGGGTTCATGCTCTACCTAGCTGAAAAATTGGCCATCGGCAACGTCTGCTTGTTCTGTGAAGCCGAGTTTGGGACCCTCGAAGCTGTGCGGGGCCACATGAAGGACAAGAGACACCAGAAGATTCGGTACGAGGATGACAACTCCCGGGCAGAATATGCCGAGTGGTATGACTTCTCGAGCTCGTACCCGGATGCCGAGGAGAGGCGATTGAAGGATGTCGCTAGGACCGAGAGGAGAGAGGAGAGGAGGCTGAGACGGGAGGCCAAGGAGGAGAAGAGGAGGAAGCGGGAGGAAGAGTTGGAGGGTGATGGTGGGTGGGAAGAGGACGAGGGTGAAGGCGATGAAGACGGGGAGATGGAGGTGGACGAGGTTGTCGTCGTTGACGAAGCCGCGGACGATTCGAGCGAGGTGTCGGACGATACCGACGAGTCCGATTTCGAGGAAGACGACCACGGCATCTCCCTCGCCCCCGACGGTCTTTCCCTCCGACTCCCCTCGGGTCGAACGCTCGGTCACCGATCCCTCAAGGTCTACTACCAACAGAACCTCCGACCCGAATCCGAGGAAGCGCGGGATTCGACCTCGACGGCATTGACGACCAAGCTCCGTTCGGTCCGTGCAAAGTTGGCGGACCCTTCGTTGAGCTTGGTACCCGTCGGCGGAGGATCCGGAGCGTTCGGAAAGGGTCAGATGGTCATGAAGGCGAGGAACGCGGGCGAGGCCAAGTGGGCGAAGAAGTTGGGTAGCAGTCATCTGGACCAGAGGAAAAAGGAGGCGCCGAGGCAGTTGGTCAGTATGCGTGGGGGGAACAATCAGAAACATTACAGGGACATGTTGCGTGAGTACTACGGTCATCGTGTTGGGCCGAAAACAAAGGCGGTCGGGAATATGTCGGCTTATACGACGTCTTTGCTTTGTTCATCTTTACAGTGCAATGATCGATCGAATCTCGATCGTTTTGGCCTTGTATCTCCCCTCGACTCCCTTCTTCCTTCTACAATTTGCTTGTGTTGTCTAGTCACCATACTGCGGTGGATTCGTGTATAATCGATGTATAGACGGACGGCTATCTGTTATATCCTTTTTTTTCTTTGCGCTGTCAGAATTTAGACCTTGCGGCATGGCGCGGTCGCGGGGGTTTTGGAGTGCTGTGACAATCGACCCCGCGACGGGACGATGCCTGTGGGATTATAGAGTCGCCTGATCCACAGTCCGATTGGACGGAGGGTGGAAAGATTATCACCTTGCACCTTGCTCCCTTGTAGTCCATACTTGCATACTTGCATCCTTGCATCGGGTGGCTGTGTGTGTGTGTTTCACTGTGTTTTCATACGCGTCGCCCCTTTGATCGCACGTTTCTGTCGACTCGGAGTCCAGAAATAATTCGATCAAAGTCCCGCAAGTCCCCCCAGAGTAGCCAGTAGTAGCTACCAGCCCGAATCATATTCCATTTTACACAGACAGGCTTCCACATTCAGATTCTCGACACCGGGACACCACTCTGGAGATCAAGAGCTCAGCATACATCATGTCCAGACATTGAATCCCAAAGGATACCCATCGTCGTTGTTGGATGCAGAACGACCGGCATCAAGGTCCTCTGACGCAAGTTCAAGGCGATAAACAAGGGGTCGGATAACGACCTCGAGCCACAGCGAAAGAAGACACAACACGGCCGAAGAATTCGAACACCATCGCCCTCGTCCAAAGAGAGGCCACAAGGAGCCGGGACGTTGGATCTATGCAGGAACATCGAGCTGGGTGGTCCGTTTCGAGGAGACCACACGCGGTCGCAGTCAAATCCGCCTGAGCGTCGAGTGGTAAAGTCGACCCGTTCGATTCAGCGACAGCTCCAGCTAGAAACGACTGACTGGTCATACGCTGGATGAAGCCAGTATATAATTGGGCCCAAGATGACCCCGCCTGCTAAGCTCAAGGTCAAGGATTTTCAGGAGGAGGATGGGCCTCCTACCTCGTCGGCTGTGGCACCGGTGTCCCCTGCTACTGCAGGACAGGTGGTTTCGTTAGGTACGACGTCTGAATGGGCAGCAGAGGAGGCGCTGGGACAGACGCCCACGTCGGCTGGGTCAGGGAAAGGTGAAAAGACGGGCGAAAAGAGGAAAAAGAGGTCGGGACCGGGAAATAGCGGTGATCATCATCACAGGCGTGGCCATCGCGCACAAGATTCTCCCAGATCAAGGGAACCGAGCGGACCGCCGATGTTCGCCGAACAATTATTCCATTCCCCCTCGCTTCGGCCCGGATTGCCTAGCAACGCTACGTCGAGCACAATACACCCGCTCGTGCTTCCCAATGAAGCTTTACCCGCTACAAACCCTTTGATCAGGAATGACATCCACCCGACATTGATGCCCGGTCGAAATAGAATGGGATGGTACGACGTCGAGAACTCGGAAGTCTTTCGCGGCGCAACCGAAAGGCCGCAGAATCGGGATGGGTTTCCATTACCTCCCGCGGAAGCGGAAGATATAAAGGGAGAAAGCGCTTTGGATTCCGATTCTTCCTCGTCGTCCTCTTCCTCTGGCTCGTCCAGGTCGGGAGGGAAGAGGAAGAGAAGACGGAGGAGGAGGAGGTATTTCCGCAGAGGGTCTACTTCGTCATCCTCGTCTTCATCCTCGTCATCGTCCTCATCCTCGCGGTCGGATAGGTCTTCTAGATCTTCGAGATCGTCCTCATCAGCCTCCGGGATGGAGATCGGCAGACGAGTCACCCGGGCGGTGGATTTTGCACTGGGCAGGAGGAGGAACTCGTCATCCTTTTCCTCTTCTTCGTCCTCCTCGTCGAGTTCTTCCGGTGAAGAAGACGGGACGGCGAGTGAGGCGGACACGGTATCTTGCGGGACTGGCTGTCCCGGTTCCACGGTAGACGGGCATCATCATCACCACTCCAAGAAAACTCGACCGAGACGCCGCTCACGATCTCAGTCGAACAAGAAAAAACGATCGTCTTCCAAGACGGGCAATCATCGACAGCGCCATCGGACTCCGTCGAAAACCCGGGGCGGAGGTCGAAGAGCGAGGAGCAGGACATTTTCATTCGCCACCCGGAGCTCTTCTCCGGACCGTAGCGTCACGGTAGGCGGAACGAGGAGAAAGATCGTTCCAACTAGACGAGAGTTTAGTCTGTTGCTCCCCGGACCTATTGGAGAGGAAGAGGATCTGGGAACGGGCTTGATGGGCAAGAGCGTAGCGTTTGCTGCTTTGCCCCATTCGAGATTGGGAGGGAAGAAGAATGCGATCATGTCGACGTCGGCCCTTGGGGGTGTAGGGTCGCCCGTACTGGATCCAAACGAACCTGCACCGCCGCCCCCACTCGAAGGGGACGTTTTGCAACCGGATTGGAGGTCGAGGCTGATGACGACGCCTTCGCTGCCGCAAGTCTTGGAAAGGATCAAGCGGGAGAGGGAAAAGTCGGGATACGAGGAGGCGTTCCTGAGAGAGAGGGAGGTCAAGGAAAAAGAAAAGGCTAGGAAGCGGGAACGTGAAAGGAGAAGACGGCGTGGTGGTCATCATCGACATCGAGAGCAGGAGGACGATAGGGGTCGACACCTAAGGCGATCACTTCGCGCTTCTGGGCCCGAAACTACGAGCGAGAAGGATGAGCCGAGTATATCACGACCGCCGTCCCAGTCGGCATTGGATGAGATGGTACCTCGGCTAGAGGACAAATCGGTAGCAGGGCCGTCATTGAGCAAGAATCCTATTTCCCGAGCCAGCTCGTGGACACATAGTCTGCTCGGACACGCAACAGAGCGGCGGTCTGCGGGAGGTAGGAAACGTCGAGCGATCATTGACCTCTCGACGGAACAAGACACGCCAACTGTGACTCCGCAGCCGTCTCCACCTGCGACTGGCGTTCCGCCTGCCATGCAACAGGGTACAACGGAACAACGGCGAAGTAGGCCGGGTAGATCTAGGTCGAGATTGTTGCAAATCAAGTCGGATTTCGGTCTTGAAGGCGGCGACGCCGCTGCGGATTCGACTTCCGCCAGGCGGACCAGTAGCTTGACGGATGTCGTCGGCCTTGGAAAGACTGGCGCTGTCAACGCCGAAGAGGCGAGCAACACGTCGTCCACATCGTCTGATGCAACCAAGACCGATATCGTGAGACCGAAATCAGCCTCGGATTTGCTAGGCATGAATCGCGATCCGGTATCGCGATCCCACAGCTCGACCCAATTGCATACGCATCCGCATCGCAACAAACCTCCGCTCTTTGTCTTGCCCCCAGTACCTCGCCCCGCGTTACTCCGGGGCCAGACAGGGGCCGCAATCGGTCATCGCCCACCCACACTCTTGAGAACCATCGAAACGGCTGAAGCCGACGTCGAGATTGAGAGGAAGCTTGGGAAAGATGGGTGCTGGTGGCTTGACGTGAGCTGCCCTAGCTGGGAGGACCTACGGGATCTAGGAGAGGTATGTCGGGCAGTTGACCGGGTCCATTTTTACCTCGCTCTAGCTAACCTTGCGATTGACAGCTGCTTCACCTGCATCCGCTAACACTTGAAGACGTCTTGCAGCAAGATCCTCGAGAAAAGCTGGACGTTTTTGAAAACCTTGGTTATTACCTCATCGTCTTCCGAGCTATCGACGAGACGTACTTCAAGTACACTGCTCCCGATACAGGATCAGCACTGATGAAGCCTGGCGGCTTTCTGCCCACCTCCAAACGTAACGGCAAGTCCTCGACATCACACAAGTCTGGCAGAAAAAAGGGAAAGCTGGAAATTGTCGAGGACAACCCGGGAAAGGAAGGTTTGGAAGGGGTGGGTGTTGGTGGTATCAACATCTACCTTGTCGTCTTCGCGGATGGCATCGTCAGCGTGAGTCAGGATTGTCACATACCGGAGAATGCCACGACTCACATATATACGATGCACGTCAGTTCCACTTTGGAGACATTTCCAAACATATCGATCGAGTGAGGGAAAAGATTTCCACCTTGGATAAGGAATCTACCAACGCTGGTACGTACATCATTCAGAGGGTGCAAGAGGCCGCGCTTATTGGGACTCCATCTTCAGAATGGATTGCACACGGTCTGATGGACTCGATTGTCGATACCTTTTTTCCTCTGATCGGCCACATCGACGATGAGGTGGACGAAATTGATTCGCTTGTCATCGACCCCTCGACCAAACCGCGCAAGCCCGAGAGAGCCCGACCTGGTCTGGTCGAAGCCGATCTCAAGGCTACGCTAGCGCAGAACAATGGAATCGAGCTTTCCGACCGGTCGTCACCACCAGCTTCTAACGAAAAGGCCTGGTACCAGAAAAAGAAGAAGACCAAAAGCTGGAAACCGCTCGCGCGGTTGACCCGCAAGCTCAAAACGTTTCCGGGTCAGCGCTTTGCAGCGTGGCGCATGCGGTATCGGCTCTGGCGAACGGAGAGCAAAGTGGGAGCCATGTTGGGCATGCCCGCTCGAGCGATGCACAAAGTGGTACTCTTTCTCGGCCTGAACCAGTTCCGACGGAAGAACCCAAATCGAGACGCTGCCTTCCGACCCGTCTTTGATCGGTCACTCATGTTGAGGCGCATTACGGAACTACGCAGATTGACTACGGGTCTGACTCGCTTGCTTGGTAGCAAGTATCAGGTCGTCACTCGGTTGAAGAAGCGGGCCGCTGAGGAGAACGGCGAGGTCGGAGCGTACATTGGTGATGTGCAAGGTGAGGATGGCGTTTTTTTCGGCAGTCGAGGTGTGTCGCTGAAATTACGGTTACTGCCTTAGATCACATCCTGATGCTTCAGACCTCGCTCAACCATTACGAGTATATTCTCTCCCATTGCCAACCTGCGTACATGTCGTATCTCGGCGTCACAAGCTCGATCGTGCGAGGTGACATCTCCAACATGATTCTCGCGCTCTCGTGTGTCACAGTTGGGTACCTTCCAATGCAATTTGTGACCTGTGAGCATCACGAGCTCCGAGCTATCGATTTGTAGTCACGCTGACAATTCTCTTCTTGACAGCCCTCTTCAGCGTAAATGTCCACATTCCAACCAACCTCGGACCCGAGTCTGGGCTCTATGGGGAAGCTCGTCGCAACGATGGATCGCGTCGACCTCTCAAATTATTCTTTGTGGTCATGGCCATCGTATGCGTTATCGCTGTGGCCATGATGCTGTTGATCCGCTACTGGCGATGGCAGGCAAAGCAAAAAAGTCGAAGCAGACGAACACCGCAGGTCGATACCCTGACCGTGACCGTGGACGGTTCTCATTGGTGGGCTACGAGGTGGCAGACCGTCAAGTTCAAGTGTCAGGGCTTGATCAAAAAGGAATAGGCGATGTGCGAGACTTGGAGTTCACATCGCGGTTGCCGCGCATGACATTGGGTACGTCACGACCCCGGGGCGTATGTGCCATCATAATATATTCATAATCACGACGATCCACGAATTTGGCACGAGATCTAAGGCATGCGGACAATGTGACACAAGCATCACAACTTTGCGATTGCAACCATCCTCGTAAGGATAGCCGTTTTGCCCATGTAGTCTGGAGCTTTGCAAGCAGATAAAGACCTATCAGTATAAAAACCAGACGGCTAGTCGCGCGTTTCACCGAACTTCTCTAGAAATCAGGGGGTGTTGAGCTTCGAAACAACTTGCTTCTGACGCCCGTGCACCTACACGTTGGTTCACTTCATATCGTGATGATCCATACACCTTACTGCCTCTATCAAGGTAGGAAAGCCGAAAGTGAATGAAAGGTGCTCTGGTAGCTCTGATCACTACTGTACTTTTACATTCGTCCTGTGTACTTTGGTATACCTCACAACACACACGTCATAGAAGCATAATGAATTGATATTGACGTAATTTCATTGGCATAACGATTGACAAAATCCCCCATTTCCGATCCATTCGAGGCGCTCAAGCCCCAACATTTTCCTACTCCCGTTCACTTTTGCGCGAATCGAGATGTTTCCCTCGGACCATCTTCGGTCTAGGCGAGCTGCTTGATGGCAAACTCGTATCCCTGGTTCTGGGTACCGGTGCTTCGAGGGTATGCGAGATGAGCGGCTGTTTTTCGAAGCATTCAGTTAGTCTCCTCGTGTGAAATTAGACTTCTACTGATTGGACCTACCATTGATTCCGTATCCGTGAGTGGTGTCGCAAACACCGTCACTGCAGGACCAAACATGGTTTGAGAAACGGTACATGGAGTAATTGACGTCGACACTGAACTCACCCGTAGTTGCAGACGTCCAAGGTCTTGCTGACATAGTTGGAAGGGATACCACCGCCAAAGGCCGAGAGACCGTTGACGAACTTGGTAGTGGTACCTCCATTGGTGTCGACGTTGCAAGCGAGACCCGACTTGTGTTCGGGGTTACCGATGAGGAAGACACCCTTGACGGCGTCAAAGGCGTTTCCAGTCAACCTTTCCAAGGCGTTGACGGTAGCGGCGGCTCCCTGAGAGTAACCCTCGAGGTAGAAACAGTGAGTGGGGTCCGAGGCGAGGGTCGAGGTGACCTTCCTGACGATGTCGGCGGTACCGGCGCTGGACTGTTGGCTAAAGTCGGCAGCGTAGACGGTGCTGTAGATCTGTCCTCCCTGGAGCTGGGCAGTGATCCTCGAGTTCATGGTAGTGAATCCGGTAGACGGGCCCTGCCTCTCACCGGTTCCACGGGTGTTGATGATGCTGGAAGAGGCGACAAGCGCGAGTCAGTACTGGATCGGGAGAGGGCAAGTCATGGAAAGGGGGACTGACGTGTATCGAGGGCATGTAGCAGAGACGGCTCGCTCAGTGACGACGGGGGAGGCCATGCAACTGGAGACAGCGCAGGCGAGGGCGATGAAGGCGGAGGTGAGCTTGACCATTTTGGAATGAGATTGGTAGATGTTGATGACGAGGGAGAGTTCGAGTAAGGTGAAGACTGATGAAGTGAGTGGAGAGATGAGGAGGAGGCGAGAAAAAAAAAGAAAAAGAGGCAAGGACCTCCTCCCCATCCGCCTTATATACCTTTTCCTGTCGTATGAAACGCCTACCCGTCGCTCGAGTGATTACCGGTAGACGACCTCGATCTCTCGACTTTTCGGTTAGCGCCTCGTGGAAGGATCAACCCATTTGTCGCCAAGTTTCGGAGGCAATCATCGATTTGTCGCAAGGTTTCCGTTGAAACCAGGGGCACGGGGGGAAGGGGCATATATGAATTAGCTCGCGCGCGTGCACGCGGGATACAGGCAGGCCCCTCGCTGTCGCAGTCGCGCGTCGCTTGTCGCCCCACTCCTCGATTCTTCCCGACAGATATTGCGTGTGGCGACGGAATGACTAGCCTAGCACCCGGCGTCTGCTTTCGCCAGGGTTCTTTTCCCGATGGAGTCCCGTGATCGAAAGGCAGGAGGACACCGGGATATCGCCATCCCTTCTTCTAGCGACGGGTATGAAGACTGACAAGCGACAAGCTCGACAAGGCGACATCGCGACATCGGTAAAACGATATTTCTTCTATGCCCGAAATATGCGCCAGACGCCTGCGCGTACCTGGACTCGATAAACGGTTGATCGTCTGGAATCGACGTCTCTTCCGCCTGGAGCGCGGGCGGGAGGTGCAACCGCCTGATAACCGAACCAAGATATTGTCGGTCAATTTGTACAGCGACTAGTGCTCGAAGGCTGAACTCGCCGATGATGGTTGTCGGCCGAAATTCAGACTCTACACGAGCCACACGTTCGTGACTGTAAGACTGTCGCAGAGGGAAGAATCGAACGGCCGACCGTGTCGTATTCAAACCAGAGGCACAAGCTGATCATCCGCGAGAATCGCCTTGAACGTCGTAAGGGGCCGTCCATCAGGACTGGTCGTTTCAGGCAGTGCGAGCGCTGTAGTCAGAGATAGTGAAAAGCGGAACGTTTCGGATGGCAATCTATTGTTCACGAATACAGGAGAGGATACTCTTGGCTTATATGTGTCGTTTCGCTAGGCAGAAATCAATCCGTGAGAGATAAGGTCTACGGTGGATGCCGCATTCGCATACCTGTTCTCTCGTATCATCGGGGTTTCATAGTTGTTCTTGAAATCAGCCTGGCGTGTTAATGTAATGAACATGCGGGCGCAAATGAGAAGCGCAAGCTGAGAGTGGTGAAGTCATCGGGACGCCGATCATATTGCCCTGGCCCTCTATGATTCCGGTCTCATAGCTTGAAGTCGTGTCCACTCGCGTACGCCTCGACCGTTGTGGCTCTCTATGGCCCCGCCTCTTTGTGATTCGAAGCAGGCATGTGCCCCTGGTATCGTCAAGATCGTTCGTGTCGGGCATAGAAGTGGAGCAATGCCAAGCGGGAAGTCAAACCAAAGCCTCGAGGATACCTCGATCGGTATCATTTAAGAGCGGATTTCAAGCTGTTTTGCTGTGATCTCCGCTTCTACGAGCATTTTGGCATGTGTTCCGTCGTACCAGATCCACTCGCAGAGAAACAGGCATCTCGCGAACGGTTGAAGAGAGCGCGCTTGTGCTCGCGCTTAGCCTCGAATGCTTTGATTCCAAGTTTGGAAAACCACCCGACGACAATGCTAAATGCTGTATTATATATATAGTATTACTGGTTACTGAGGGAAGCCTCGTGTATATGACTCCAAGAGAGGAATTAAGTACAAGCAATGAAATGTGAGGGCGGTCGACCCAACGGAGCGATCGTATGACGAAGCTTTGTTAAGCGAGGACGAATCGCGGAGTCGGGTCGTTGCTATCGAGAACATATTGACTATTACGATGCAAGGTGACTTGAGCGCTTATCTGCTCTGCAGGGTCGAAGAGGATATCGTTGATGTCGGTCGTCGGGTGTGCCACGGCAAATGAGTGATTGCCAGGAGCGATTGGACGCTCGAAATCCATCTATTTGTATGAAACGGATGTCAGCCAAGGTTCCTACAAATCGGAGGGGCGTCCTGGGCTGATTCACCTGCATCCTGACCGTATACCGCGACCAAAAGTGCCCTCGATGCAATCTTTTGAATTTACCTGTACAGTGAGATTCGCGCGCAGACGGAACACTCCATTAGCGAAATGCTAAGCCGCACGTTCCGTTCGAGCGCGGACGTACCAGTAGCATAGCTGTGGAACCGAAATTGTTGAACTGTATGTTCCAATGTATGCCGATGATGGACAGCGACCCCAGCAGGATTACGAGGGGGTTTGATGATGCCTCTCTTGAGATCCAGGCTGTCAATGCATGAAGTGAAACCAATGCCACTTGATGTCACTTCTTGCTGTCCACCCAGTCCCAAATCAACTGATGGATTTGCACCAAGATGAATATTGACTGTGTGACTGTGAGGATTGACACGCTCTCCATCTTGTTCGAGTCTGGGTAACATTTCTGCATGGTCGTTAATTAGAAACTTCAGCAAAACGACGATATCGGCACCTAAGAGTCGGGAACACTCACGCCAGCGCTGAATCGGAAACGTGACAGGTGCAACAATCTTATATCCAAATTCCACCTCCTCTACCTTGGTCCGTTCAGCTTCTCCAATATCGACTTCACAAATGGTAGTGAACCTGCTGGGCGGTGTGTCGACTTCCCATCGCACCATGATCCGCAGACGAGCTATATACTCAGCAGCTAGACTTTGGTAAGTGGCTGTATATGCTGCGAATTTCCCGGGCTCCTCCAAACTGTTATCACCCTCTTGAGCGACAGCCGCATCGGCAAGCGCTTCGGTACCACGCTCATGATAACTGAAACCGGTCTGGGAAGCCGGCTCGTTCGAGGCCGATGCAGTCTGGTCTACGGAAGTCGGGACTGATCCGAGGTTGTTCGCGATAGACGTATCCTGTACGTACAGGGTCGGTACGGGGGAGTCCTCGGCGATCTGCTGCAGGACACCCTGGATTTCCGGGGAGAATTTTGCATGCGGGTCGACGATACGGATGACTTCCGCAAATCTCGAAAAACGGATATCCTCAAACTCTACGTCGGTGGTAGCCATATCCTCTTCCAGCACCTCGCATATGCAGGAAAGACCAAGCTCCGCGAGATTTTTGACGAGGTGGATGTTAGAAGAGAGGAAATTGACGGCGTCTCTGGCCTCCGTGACGTCGACTTGCATGCTTCCATGTGAGGACGATATTGGCCGCGTCGTAGGCCTTTGTTCGCGATATAGTAGGGCCGTGATATAGCGTCTTCTAAACAGGTCGTCGATCCGCTTTTGCCTCTTGTGGGTGTCCATTGATTTGTATGACCTGACCGGTGTCACAAGAGCATGGATGGTTTCGCTCATCATTTCTACAATCGATTTACTGGGATCTCTTGATGCTACCAAAGCGATATAAATGAAGGCCAGGAAGATTGTGAAGCTGAAGTGTAGTGTCGCCATTCCTATCAAACAAACAGCCACAATCCAGGGCATCTGACCGTGACCGGGGGTATCAAGATGTGCCTGAATGAGGGCCAGAACCCAGAGCTTCTCTTTGATTGCCTGCATTTCGTGAGCCCGGTCCTTCTCGATGCGTTTCCGTAATGTAGACGATAGGTGCTGTAGAAGGACCGCCTCGTCGTCCCCGTCGAACTCGGGCAGGTCTAATTCGTGTTGCTGGTCAAGAGATTCCAGACGAGGCGGCCATTCTTTGTCGTAGGCGGGAGATTGCATGGCGACGATATACAGTCTGGTTTGAGTCTGGTTCTCGAGACCCGCCGTAGCGTTCGACGTTCAGCCATCTTTCCTGCCAGTCCAGATCGATATTTATGTCGGCGAGGTCGCGACTCAGCTCGAACGCGCCTGCACAAGGTCGATCTTGGATGATTGGACTGGGCAGGCGTTCGGCGATACGCCTCCACGTCATCGAAGTCATGAACACAACGGACTGCCGACTCGATCAAATGTTCGTGGCCAGTAGACCGACGCATTTTGGAGCATTGGTAGCCCATTTGTTGCCTTCTGTCCGTGCTGACAGAACGGCTCGTCGATTCAGGTGAAGCGCTAGAACGCAATAGTTTGCCCCTTGCAAGCACAGCGAACGGGTCTTCAGCTCGCGTCTGATTGCCGACCATTATCTTGTCATGGCTACCTTGTTACTGAGGGGTTCGAATTATTCAATTGAAGCCCAACTGCAAACCGGGGATCATTGAAACACCAAGACACATGATCGGCGGCGGGAGCAAGAGGTCGTTATCTGTTTGAGATACACCCGAGTGAAACGCCATAGAACGTCCTCACACGAGCTGACGGCACACGACTCCCAAACTCAATCACACGTAAGAGGCGCCACCATAGAAGACGGAAGAAAGGTCCTTTGACACGCGAAGGATGCCTTTGAGAGTTTGAAACAGATCAACGAAACGCGGGCCGTCTCATGAAACGAAGATCCTTTCGATCACGCGCGTAGCCGCGGCTTCCAAGCGGGCCAGGAGCAGAGCTGCGGATTCATGGAATGATTGGGTTTCGCCGGTCGTCGGTTAATCAGCGAATATGTCAAACTTGATCGGCTCGACGAGCTTCCCCTCCTCGTTCCCCTCTCCGCTTGGCGGGAGGACCCTGCGTCCTTTCCGTGGCGTGCGTGTTGTTGTTCTTTTGCACCGCGTGGATACCGGAGCAGGTCGCGATCACGAGTGGGATGTGGCACGACCGAACGATATATAAGCTCGACAACAACCTCGACCTCTTTGATCGACTCCCTTCCGCAGCGAAGTCCTTCACACCAATTTCTCGCCTTCATTCTCGACCTTGACACCGCATATTCCCAATCCATATTCAGACTATACATTTCATCAAGATGCGTTTCTCCATCACTACCCTCATTGCCATCCTTCCTTTGGCCTCGGTGAGTCTGATTGATCAAAATGGCCGTCTACGACGAACACGATCACCCACACCATGCACTGTCTTCTCTTGCACCCCTTCCAGGCCGCTCTCGTCTCCCGTCAAGCCGCTGGAGAGCCTCCCGTCTGTGCTGCCACCTGTTTGACCTCGAGCTTGACTGACACGTAAGTCTGCATTTGGTCACTCCGGTCACACAAAGGACCCCTTCCCGTCAAACATCGTGCTAATGATCTGGATCTTGATCTTTCATGCAATGATAGTGGCGGCTGTGACCTCAGCGACACCGCTTGTATCTGTCAGAACGAGGCGGTCATTGCAACCATCTTCGGTTGTATCGCTTCGAGCTGCCCCGTATGTTCCATTGTCTCGCTCACGGCAGGCGTATTGGTTTTCGAGGCTGACCTGCCTGTGCTGTTTCTTTTACAGGAGTCTGACCGTCAGGCCGCTGCCGACTTTGGCGCTCAATACGTGAGTCGTCTTCATTGGCCCTCGTCACAGCTTCGCTCATCTGTCGCTTTTGCCATACACGACTTAGTGTACCGCCGCTGGTGTCTCTGTCCAGCTCCCTGGTGCTACTTCCGTCGCCACCGAGACCGCTACGGCCACCGCCACCGAGACCTCGATCGCTACCGTTACTACTGACGGTGCCGCCGCTTCGAGCGCCAGTTCCAGCGCCGCGAGTGCCGCTGAGAGCGCCATGTAAGTCTGGGACTTCTATCGTTTGTGCCAAGCAGAAGACTTATATTCTGGAGATGATTGCCATGAAACAGGTCTTCCGCTTCGTCTGGAGCTGCGGGCGCTGCCGCGTCCGCCTCTTCAGTTGCTAGCTCCGCCGCTGCTGAAGCTTCGAGTGTCGCCTCCAGGTGGGTTCCCATTCCTCGATCCTTCTCGAGGTCTTCCCGCGTGCAATTCATCCTGATGAACGATCCTGTCGTTGCTTGCTTCAAACAGCATCAAGTCTGCTGCCACCTCGGTCGTCGCTTCGGCTACCAGCGCTGCCGCTGATGCCACCAACGCTGCCTCTGGCTTGAAGGTCCCCGCCGCTGGTCTCTTGGCTGGTGCTTTGGGCTTGATTGTTGCCCTGTAAACTTGGGCATCACACGTCAACCCTGTTTTCCCCTGGTCACGTCTCTCTCTCACTCTCTTTACCCTTGTCCTCGGTGACAAGGGCTTTTAATTCGATGATGTTTCCTTGTCTTTTGCCCTCCTTGTCAATCGTTCCAGGATGCTATTCCCTACACTCGTTCCACGTCCATGCAATCAAGTATCCTGGTCAGCGTTCAAAGGTCGGCATCTAGCCGTCGTCCGAGAGCCCTCGCTTGCTCGCTTCTGGCTGTGTGCGTTTCGTCATTTCCGTGCTATCTACCACGCGAGAATGAGGTAAGGGGAGGGGAATGGGCAGGCGCGGAGGGGCAAGAGGGCGGGGGAAGGAGGCCGAGCGAGCGAGTTCCTGCTCTCGAGATCTGGCAATTTGCTCCAAATCACAAGAGTCGAGGAATGTCAGATCTTCAGACAGATATCAGCTCTGGATTTTGCCCACCATCATCACGACTCGATCCGTATAGCTATTCGATTTGAGACCAATTAGACGAACCGACGAACAGAAAAATCTGCTTTGGAGACCCCTCGCCGAGACTCGACCGACTCGACCGAAGAGCAACAAAGGATCCGTTTCCCGACAGCGAAATACCCAAGCAGGTCGACCTACCCCCTCGATTGTCCGTGCGAGGAAGACATCAAACGAGCGCCTCGAATCGGATTATACAAACTCCACCTCTCCTGGACTTTCTCCCTAGAAGACTAGGCTAGGTGTCTGCCAGAGATCTCTTAGCTGGACGATAAATATCAAGTAAGTCTGCTCGTGCAGAAGACGGTCGGGAGCGTTATCTCATTTCTCTCCTCTGGAATGCCTTTGTCGAAATATCGTATTTGCTGCAACTTTAGCATCGTACATCATGTCGCAACCTCCTACTAGACCCAGGGTAAGTACAGCCTCAGCTTATGGTCATCTATTCCGTGAAAAGAGCTGACCGCTTTATCCACCTCCCTTTGACCTCTCTTGCCGGTATGGACCTCTTAACCTGTCGGTCTCAAAACCTACTCGGAACCGGTACATACAGCTGCCCCAATCGAAATCAGTGCTCTACATCGATCACCCCGTCGAGCACCCTACTCCCAGCGGATCTCGAGCTCCTTCTCCGAGCCGACCTACGGAACCCCTCCCCATCCCGTCCGCCGGTACCGAGACCGAGAAGAATGGAGCTATCGCTTCGACTTCGCCCGTCCGGGTTCCTACTCAAGCCGTCGCCGACTCTCCCGAAGATGAAAAGTTCATCGCTCAACGACCTGCCGAGGTCAATCCTGAGCTCGTTGAGGAGCGGAAGGAAGTCAAGAAGGAGCTCGATGTGCCTGATGAACAGGCTGGACGACCGGGGTTAAAGCAGACCGCTTCGACCACTGCGGTCATCAATGGCGATGACGGATGCATGGGGACTGAGAATGGACATGGGGTACCCAACGTACATGCCGAGGCGGAAGAGTATTATGGAGGAAAGGAAGTTGTGAACCGGAGCCGGACTTACTCCATCGTCAGTATCCCACATCGAGGGCGAATTGCGTGAGCTCGGCCGCCTTGATCTGACTATGTCCGTGTCGACTACAGGCCGGTGTCGAGGCTCACTCGAAACGACGACCATGGTTGACCGGAGACGATGCGCCGTCGAGGAACAGGCGTTTGTCGCACGACGAACAGTCTGCCCGAGCTCCTCGACGGTTCTTGATCGACGTCGAGGAGACTCTGAGATTGGTTTTGGAACAGGAAGATAGGGACAATGACTTCCAGGTGAGTCGGCCAGTGGCCATCTGAATGATCGAGGATGGATATTGATGATCTGGGCGCTTTTCTCCAGATCTCTATCTATGACGCTGGGCCCAAACTTGTCTCGCTCGGTACCGCCAGCTCGAACGCTTACAAGTCCTTTGACATCAGGGTATGTTGTCTGCCTTTGTCTAAAAGTCAACCTCTGCCATCGCCCAACATGCGTATCTCGTCGCTCTACAGGGTCATTACATGCTCTCCAACCTGCTACAAGAACTCGCTCACGCCCGGGACTATGGCCGAAAGCGGATCGTTTTGGATGAAGCCCGTCTGGTCGAGAACCCCGTGGACCGTCTGTCTAGGATGATCAAGAACTCGTTCTGGAACAGTCTTACTAGACGGATTGATGGAGATGGTCTGGAGCTCATCTGTGCAGACCCGAAGAACAGGAGCAGGAATGCCAACCCATTGATTTACGTACCTCATGGGGAACCCGAGATGGCCGAGTATTACCGCGAGGTGTAAGTAACTCTAGCCATGAAGGGACCTTGGTACGTAATGGCACGACTGAAGTCATGTCGTTCTACATTTCCAGTGCTCGTCAGAAGCCAGCTCTTGGTCTTCAGGTCGAGGTTCTGCCGCCTCGACCAGACGACCCAGAATTTGTCAAGTCGCTCAACGAAAAGCCCGGTATTCTCGCTTTGGCCATGAAGCGCAAGACGGGCAGGGATGGAAAGCTCACTTTCGAGGGTATTCCGTTTGTCGTTCCTGGTGCCCGATTCAACGAGGTGGGTCTAGCTTGGGATTTTCTCGTCACGGAGGACCGCTCCTGACCTGTGTTATGCATGCAGTTCTACTACTGGGATTCGTACTTCACTGGATTGGGACTGTTGGTTGACGGCAAGAGGGAAATGGCGATGAACCATGTTGAACACTTCATCTTCGAGATCAAGCACTACAACAAGGTTCTGAACGGAAACCGATCCTATGTAAGTCGCGACTGGTATTTATAGCTAGAGTAAGAAAGCTCATTTCGGTGTCTTGTCGCGCAGTACCTCGCCCGATCCCAGCCCCCCTTCGTCACCGATCTAGCCCTTCAGATCTACAACCAGATGCCTCGGGAAGAGCAGCCTGCACATGTCGAATGGCTCAAGCGGGCCATGCGAGCCGCCATCAAGGAGTACCATACTTACTGGATGGCCGAGCCTTCTCTCGACATTGAGACTGGTCTTTCCCGATACCGACCTGCCGGTCAAGGTATCCCGCCGGAGACGGAAGCGACCCATTTCACCCACATCTTGCAACCCTTTGCCGAGAAGCACGGGATCTCTGTACTCGAGTTTATCGATCAGTACAATGATCGCGAGATTTTGGAACCCGACCTTGACGAATACTTTATGCACGACCGAGGTGTCAGAGAGTCCGGTCACGACACGACCTATCGATTCGAGAAGCGATGCGCCAACTTGGCTACCATCGATCTGAACGCGTTGCTCTTCAAGGTTAGATGATCTGCTTCCGATACTCACAGACATCCATGCTGACTGACGTCCTCAATGCACTGTACAGTACGAACACGACATCGCTACCGCCATTCGTGACATCTTCGGCGACGAGTTGTACCTGGAGGACGAATTCGACATGTCGCCATTCCCCATCACCCGTGAGGCCTACGCTGGAAAGCGGGAACGATCCACTTCGAGGAAGCAGACGTCCGAGGAATGGTACCGACGAGCGGCTTTCAGAAAGCAACAGCTCGACAAGTACTGTTGGAATGAGGGGCAGGCGCTCTACTTTGATTACGACACCAAGAAGAAGAGGCAGAGTCGATACGAATCGGTTACTACTTTCTTTGCTCTGTGGGCCGGTTGTGCCAGCGAACATCAGGCTGAGCGTATGATGTGAGCATGATATTTAGCTCTGGCAAACCTATAGGAGAGCTAATCGAACGAATTCTTCTCAGGCAAGAATCTGTTCGCAAGTTCGAGACCGAGGGAGGTTTGGTTTCAGGTACCGAAGAGTCCCGAGGTAGAATTTCGATCGACAGGCCTAACCGACAATGGGGTGAGTCGTGGAAGACATGCTCATACATACCGCCTGTGCTTATCGAACTTTGCCTGTAGACTACCCTTACGGATGGGCACCTCACCAGATTATGACTTGGGTCGGAATGGAACGATACGGCTTCCAGGAAGACGCTCAAAGGCTAGCCTACCGTTGGATTTACATGTGCGTTGCTTTAGTGTCAATTCTAGGCGCCATATATCCTGACGAGTTTGCCCCCTCTTGCTTGATACCAGGATGACTACCGCCTTGTAAGTCTCGCATGATCTCAGGTATATCAAGACCCGAAGCTGACTGGGAATTTACTATGTATAGCGTTGATTACAACGGAGTGGTTCCCGAGAAGTTTGACGTCGTCAAGCTATCCCACTTGGTAGACGCCGAGTACGGTAACCAGGGTCTCGACTTCAAGTTGCTCAACAGGGAAGGCTTCGCTTGGACCAACTGTAAGTCCGGCGTCCAGGAGACAACATCGGATACGGCTGATAGAAGGCCTTTTTCCGCTTCGATAGCTTCCTTCCAGATCGGTTTGCACTTCTTGACTACCGGTATGAGGCGAGCTGTCGCTACGCTTACCTCGGTAAGCGGTCTCGGATCTCAGGCTGAACCATACTGAGCACTGACCCTGTTGTTACGAACATCACGCAGCCCGATGTCTACTTCCGACTTTCTGGTCGCAAGGATTCCAACATGGACTCGCTCGAGGCCGCCATGGGTCGAGCTAAGCTTGGCAGGAACAAGGACTGAGTCGGAATTTCCCCTTCAACTCACGGACCTTGAACATTTACGCATCGCATCTCTGTCAATTGACGAATATCATCAGTTTCCCTCTTCCTAACCTTGAATACCATACGACCTGTAGAGAATTAATGTGCGAAGAAGCCACTTGTCTATGATTGCATGTACCATTTAGATTCAGTGAATACGGCGCCTTTCTTTAGCCACAAGGTCTAGGACGAAATTCTGTCGGTAAAGGCCAGCAAGTACCGTCCTAGTATGGTAAATGCAGCTCGGACTAGTCTGTTGCTATGTGCTCTTCGCTTTTTGCCATGTGTCCGGTGCAAAAGAAACCATGAAGGACGAGAGCGATGAACAAACAAATGGCGTGGAGATTTCAAGATGCCAGGTGACAGCGGACGTAACGATGCCCGATGGATTTGACATGAGCGTCCTTGCTTCTTGTAAGATCACAACAACAGCGCAAAAATCTCAACCAGGACGTCTAATATCCTCAGCTGCAACGTAATCCATTCCCAGAATAACACCGCCTCCCTAGCAGCTCTTCGCCTAACGGAGATTCTGGCCTCTTCCCGGCTATTCGACATTCCCGGTCCTAAAGAAATTCGCATCACGTGAAGATGGAACCGCAGATATCCTTTCGCGTCGTGCGAGTACACTGCCATCGCCCCTTTCGCACTAGAGCCTAGCTCGAGGTACGGAAAGCCAGCATGAGCAACGGGCCTGATTACAATTCGGAGTAATGGTAGTGCGAAACCTTATCTCGAGCCAACCTGACCCGAAAATCCACCGTCCTCGATCATATCGGGCCGCCTTGCCATCGTCGTTGAGACTTCTATCATGGCGAATGAAGCCTGTTTCTGTGTGTCAAGCATTTGGACTAGTTTGATACTGGTTCGAACGTCGACAGTAGTCTTCGATCCCTTGTGACACATCATCTGAAACGCCTCGAGGTCGTCGTGCGACGGGTAGAAATTGCTGCCGATCATGTTTCACGCTACCGCGGGACGACCGGCCCGCGCTTAGTCCGCTAGTCCGTTCGTTCTAGACGATCAAAGGCTACACGCGACCTGCTTCCAGTCGCAATCAGGGGTTGTCAAACGGATTACGAGGCAGAACGGTCAGCATTCCCCCTCCCTGTCGTGTCCCACATGTCTCCATGCGGGTCGTGCTACAGGTTTCGTCGTCGTCGTCGCGGACATTCGCTTGGACGACGGGAGACCTGCGGACTTTCCCGCTCGATCGATGCTGATTTCCCGAAAAGTTGGCGATGATAGGGAGCGTCAAGGGTTCCGGGAAAGGTATATAAGACTGATCGATTTGGTCGCAGTACTCGATTTCCCCTTCATCGAGTCTTCATTTACACACAACAACTCACTTCATACCTACAACCTCTTTGACAGAGACAACCTTTTCCCAAAACCTCTTCCAACACAACCCTTAAACCCACGACGCAACAATGCAGCTCTCTCTCATCGCCATCGCCTCGGTCTTGATGACCATGGCCTCTGCCGCCTCTTCTCCCGATGCCGCCGCCAGCATCGCCAAGCGTGCCACTTTCCCCATCCCTGCTTCGAAGGGATCGGTCACATACAAGGAGCCGAAGGTTCGTCGATGTGGTCGTGTGTCTCTTCCCTCACATTATTTGGCTTAGCTTGCCTGTTGTATTCACGCCACAGATCATCAAGGCTGGTCAGCCTTTCGATGGACTCGGCAAGACTTACGGTCGAGGTGTCAAGTGCACCGGTCAAGACGAGGTGAGTCTAGCTACGTCGAGAAGACGGCGCTCTTGTTGTGCAAACCTGGCTGACAACGGGTCGGATCTTCGCGTACACAGGGCGGTGACGCCGATGCCGTCTTCATCCTCGAGAACGGCGCCGTTTTGAAGAACGCCATCATCGGAGCCGACCAGATCGAGGGTGTCCACTGCAAGGGAGGTGAGTCCAATCCGATACGTAAACCGCAAAGTCCGTTTCTTCTCACTAACAAAAAACCTTATCAGCCTGTACCATCCAGAACGTCTGGTGGTCCAACGTCTGCGAGGATGCCTTGAGCTTGAAGGGGAACGGTGATGCTACCATCATCGGAGGAGGTGCTCAAGGCGCCGATGACAAGGTCAGTCGCGATTCATTGATTCGGCATGGATAAACCGAGAGCTGATGAAAAGCGCATTGACCTATCTAGATCATCCAACACAACGGTGTTGGTACCGTCACCATCGACGGCTTCTACGCCAGCGTAAGTCCTGCATTTCCGGTTCCTCCAGCGCTTGAATTGACATCCCCAACTGGCGCGTTGCATAGGACTTTGGCAAGCTCTACAGGTCTTGCGGTAACTGCAAGGAGAAGAGTGTCGGCACGAAGACCCCCAAGAGGAACGTCATCGTGAAGAACGTCAAGGCTTTCAACGTGCGTATTGTGGGGTTTTGACTGTAGTTATTGGATTCGGAGCTGAAAGGGAGAGAGGCGAATCAATAGGGAAAAGTCTTGACCGGTATCAACTCGTAGGTCCTTCTCACGTGCCCGCATCACACTAATCCCGAAGCTCATTTCGTTTATCCGGTCCCTTAGCAACTTCGGTGACACCTCCACCATCACCAACACTTGCGCTACCAGCGTCAAGGAGATCTGTAACGAGTACCAGGGCAACACCAACGGTAAAGTGAGTGTTCTGTAGCGGGTTTCTCTCGGGGTCCCGGTAGTATTCTGACCACCTCGTTCCTTCTTGCCTCATCTCTGTAGGAGCCCCCCAAGATCAGCTCGGGTGTCAGCAAGGCTTGCAAGGTGAGTCGCCAGAGATCGAGGGACTTCGCCTCTTCGACTGAATACTAAAATGCTTCGAACCTTGCAGTACACCAACCCTTTGCCCAAGTGCTAAGAGCTGCCGGAAACCCGAGCAGATGATCGTCGAGAGTCTCAGTAAAAGTCTCGACCGATGCTCGGATCTTAGACTTGGCTTGTCGCCTTTGTCCTTCAGGGTATTTCTCTCGATTTATTGCGTTTGTGGTACCGATCTGTCACTTCATGTTTGAACCGTCTGTGACGACTCCCATGATGACAACTATCGATCGTTTCACCACTTCCTTACGGCTGACCAAAACTGCTGGCCGCTGGTTGTTAACCTCGTAATAAGTTTCAACTTTGCCAGAGCTGTTCCGAGATGACGCGGCAGGTCGAGGTCGGGGGCTGGTGAGACATGCCCTCGGCTTGGCAATCAAGGAAGTGACCTCCAGCAGTCGATAGACAGATATATATGCATACAACAGGTAGGATCGAGAATTAGATTACAACCCAAGGTACAAATTCAGCCGTGACTGAGCTGGCAGGTCGCATAGGCCGCACAGCATGAACTTTCTGCCTTATCATTCGGCCACGACCCCTTCCACGCCGACCTTGCAGCGTTCACGCACAACCACCGAGAATGGGACCACCAGACCGTCTTCGAACCCGTTCTTTTCCCCTTCGCACGTCGGTCCTAGTACGCCAAGTTCAGCAGCACGGAATCCTTACGACAACTCGTTCTCGCAATTCACACCACGAAGCGGCGCAGCGATAACGGCGTTGGCACCGAATGATTCCGGGCCATTAGTGACCAGGTCGAGGACGCTCTTTTACCTGTCCGTCCGGGACTCTACTGGATCTTCGAGCCGGTCACGGAAGTTCAAGAGACGACGGACTGGATATGGAGACGAACATGGAGCTAGCAATCTGCTGGGGGTCGAGGGAGAAGAGCGGGCCGGGCTTATGGGCAAGGAAGAAAGTGGGATAGGGATGGAAGCGTACAACGATAGCCCTGGTACAGGTCTACCACCGAAATGGTGAGTCGTACAGCCTATATTCGAGTTCTGCATGCATGATGTTCAAGCGGCTGACTCCTAATCCCGTACCTAGGGTTGACATCATGGACGACGTCGAAGAGATAATGACCCGGGTGAAACAAAAGAGTGCGTAATGAAGCCGAGATACACCAATTCCATTTCGAAGCTGACATTGTCGAGCTCTACTTGCAGTATCTGCACTGGAGAAACTGCATGCAAAGCACGTCCTACCTGGATTCACGGACCGTACAGCGGAAGAACGGGAGATCGAGAACAATACCGTCGATATTACCAGGGTCAGTCCCATTCCCATTCCCCTTCGAGTATGCTCAATCGCATTCATGCTGACAAGCCTTGTTCGCTTTCATCAGGACTTTCGAAAGATACATTCTCTCCTGACAAACATCCGGCCCAGCTCGAACGCTCCTGACGAGATGAAAGCCGCTCGGAACGTACAAAGAGGTCTAGCTGCAAAGGTGCAAGATCTAAGTAGCGTGTTTAGGCGTAAACAGCGGGTTTATATGGAGAGTGAGTTCGGGTTGCAAGGCCGCTGCATCACTCAGAGGTCTGGTCATTAAGCAGTCGGCTGGTCTTATCTGTATAGCGCTTCAAGGACACGCGAACAAGAACAAGGGTCTGATGACAGCAAGCGGGGCGATCACGCTCAAGGGACCCGAGATTTACGATGAACTACAGGCCGATATCGACGCTGTGAGTCGCGAAGCAAGTCCGAAAATCGTCAAGACCCATACTCATCCTGTACTGCTCTATAGTCCAACTCTCAGCTCACCCAGGCACAGACTCAAGTTCAACGAGCGGATATGAGCTCCCAGATCGCTAAACGGGACCGCGAACTCACCCAGATCGCGAAATCCATCTCGGAACTGGCCGACCTTTTCCAAGACCTTTCTAATATGGTCGTCGAACAAGGAACAGTGTTGGATTGCGTGGAATACAACGTGGAGCAGACGAACACGTATGTCCAGGAGGCGGGGCAGGAATTAAAGGTCGCCGAGAATTATCAGAGGCGGACGGGGAGGAGGAAATGCATCTGTTTCCTCATACTGGTGATCGTCGGTTTAGTGATCGTCTTGATCTACAAACCTCGAGGTCATGCCAGTAGAACGGTCGGCACCCCGGTATCCGCCGGAGGTCGACCACAGTTGGGAACAGGAGCGGTCGATGTCGATGCTGGCATGCGGGAACCGGAAGTGGACCCCATTCCGACTCCCACTCGTTACGATCGTCCTGTACGGCCATCGCGGATCACGACATTAGCATCGGCGCTACCCTCAATGGGAGGTATACCAGGACAGGGTCGACCGCCGCCCATCCGACCGCCATCAAGACCGGGTGTACCGGTCAGACCGCCTAGACCACGGCCGAAACCTCATCGACCCACGTCTAGTGTAGCATTAGACTAGTCGAAGGGATCGAGCTGTGTAGATGGGCATTATAATGGATACATCTGGAAACCGAGTGCTGGTCTCGAACGAGACTCCAGCTCCGTATGGTATTACGCTCGATCTCGAGGCGATTGCGCAGTTCGGTGAAAATCTTTGCTTGGAGCGGCCTCAAGGACGAGCCCTTGCACGTGGAAGCGCTTGATCGATACGTCGCAATTCGGACATCGAATGGTCCAGACAAGCCCCGGCTCTCGACTACTCCTTTCACCTGTGTTCACTCCGTTCATCGCTCAACCTTTCATTGTTCTTAACTGCTCCTTTCACTCTGTCCGCAGTACTCCTTTCAACCTCACTCAAAGCCATTTTGCGTTGCATTGATATAAAGTGCTAATGGGGCGCGTGGTCAGTGTTCAGGCCGATCGGCTTGCCTAGTCATAATTCCTTATCATCAGCCAGCCATCCCTCTCCTCTCCCCTTACCACGGTACACACCTCAGCCACAAACAATTTCAGACACAATGCTCAGAGAGACGAACCCAGGAGACGAGAAATGGTTACCTCCGCAGAAATACATCCGCACAGGCGACGGGGAGCAGACTTCCAGGCAGTACTTTGGCTACGGGTTATTTCCTTCGAAACAAGCCGCGGAAGACTACCTCGCGGACATAGACCAGGAATATCTGTGGCCGATTACGAAAGGCTACGTCGTGCTGTCGCTCGGGTATGAGCCGAACTACGGGAAGATACTCTGGTCGATCTATCCGCCTGGCACCACTGAACACCCCGAGGCTACCTCTGAGCGAGGCGAGGGTGATCCGTCAAGCCGGCCCGACTGTTCCTTTGCGTCGGGCATGCAGGACACAGAAGGCGTCAGCATGTCTGTCCGTACGAAAGATTCTGATCAGAGCCGGTGATTTCGCATGTACGTTGTAGCCGAATCATTGATATATAGCTAGCGACCCCGGATACAAGGAACAACAAGTAATAAGCCGAAACGAAAGAAAGATGCTAAACAGTGCACGCGACCCGGGGGCTCTAATTGCCGCCCACTCGAGGTCGTTTCCGGTTCTGATGTTGTGACCGGTAATAAGCCTTCTTCGGCTTACCCCCTTCCTCACCGCCCTCGTCCGAATCGTCACTATCCTCTCCTGCCTTTCTCGCCTTTTTCCCCGACTTTAACGATGTGCCGATGGAAATGTTGACCTTGGGCGGGATGGCGAACCCAAAGGACTTTCCGACCTTTGCGAGGTCGAGCTTGTTGATGTCAAAGATTGCCTTGAGCGAGTAGGAAGCGTAGGCTTGGAGGTAGGATCGGTAGCCATCCTTGGCAGATTGATGGAGGTAGTAGTTCTTCGAGATCAGTTTTTCGAGCTGCAGCAAAGCGTAGGCGAGGCGGAGGTTAGTAAAAGGTTTCTTCTTTCGATGTCACCCACAAGCGGCCACTCACCTGATCCTGAACGTTGGCGATCATCTCCGGCTTGATCTCAAACTTGTTCAGAGGCACCTTGGCAGCAGCCAAAAACTGCAAGAACCCCTGTTCGCTAGGCAAGAGGAACAACAAGCTCTTCCCACTCTTGCCCGCTCTGGCAGTTCGTCCGACTCGGTGAATGTAATCACGAGGATCATCGGGAGGGTCGAACTGTATGATCCAGTCGACCTTGGGGATATCGAGTCCACGGGCGGCGACATCGGTACAGAGGAGGTGGCCGGACGGAGCGTTACAGAACTCGAAGAAGGTGTTGGTTCGCTTTTGTTGCTTTTGCTTGCCCTGTTATGACGCCCGACGTACGTTGGATCGCTAGATCAGCAAATTGTCCCAGCATAACGATAAATAGCCTGGGTTGCGACTCACATGTAGGTCCAGGACCGGGATATCGATATAGTTCAACAACTCCGCATAATACTTGACCTCGTTACAACTCGCAAAGAACACGATGACCTTCTTCTTCAAGTTCCTCTTCAAAAAGGTGAACAGGAGGAGGAACCTCTTGTCCGACTCGGTGACAATGTAACCCTGCTCGAGCATCGCTGCGGTCGAGGTCGACTTGTCCGAGTCGACGTTGATGTAAAGAGGGCCGGGACGGAGAGAGATTCGAGCGAGGTCCTGCACTTTGGTCGTCTGGGTGGCTGAGAAGAGCATGGTCTGGCGGTTCTCTGAAGGGCGCTCGATAATAATTTCGTAGGATAAGTACGGTGTGTAGCATAAGCATATGCCCGCTTACGAAAAAGAAAAAGGGACTGGTACTGACCGTTAGGCAAGATCTTGATGATCTCCTTCATCTCCTCCTCGAACCCGACTTCCAAGATCCGGTCCGCCTCGTCGATGACGAGCGCTTTGAGATTCTTGAAAACGAAGGATTTGGTATTCTGCACAATAGGTAGGGAATCAACCACATCAGTCATCGCGTACGATTGCATTTCGGTTATAGGTCAGAGGAGAAGCAGCAGGGAAGAGAAACCCACCCTCAAGTGATCCAACAACCTCCCCGGAGTAGCCACGATCAGGTTGACCCCCTTGGCCAACCTATCCGCCTCGGATTTCCTATTCGCACCGCCCATGACCACTCCGAAAGTTTGACTGTGGAATCCACCCATCAGATCCCTCACGATGGAGAAGATCTGTAGGGCCAGTTCCCTGGTTGGCGTGAGGATGATGATACCCGTCCCGTTGGCCGGTTTGAACTTGAGAGTACTGAGGATTTCGATGGAAGGGATCAGGAAGGCCAGGGTCTTGCCGGATCCGGTTCGGGCTGCACCGAGGACGTCACGACCGGAGAGGAGAGGAGGGATGGTCCGGGCTTGTACTTCTGTCATCGAGGTGAATCCGAGGGCGTCGATAGCGGATTGAGTTTGGGAAGAGAGGTTGAGAGAGGTGAAAGTTTGGGAGGTGAGGGCCGTTCCGGCGGTGGTAGTAGGTGTGTCCGATGCGGCCGAGGTTGTCGAAGGACCAGCCTCGGCAGAGACAGGAGCAGAGGCTGGGGTCGTGTCCATAGCTTGTCCCCCAGACAGCCCGGCGGCCGACTCTTCCTGCTCCTCGACAGCATCCTCATCGTCATCCTCCTTCTCTACGGCAGCAACAGCTTGACGTTGCTTGCCCTCTCCCTTGGTCTTGACCTTTTTCACCGGACTCGCCTCTGTGGTCGATGTCGAAGTCGAGGCGACGGCAGTGCTCCCGCCGTGCTTTGACCTCTTGCGTTTCTTTTGCTGGACAGCCGATGTTGATGCTACGGGTGTCATCGTTAGGGACGTCAAGATAATCTATGTATCGAGCGAAACGATCGAGAGCCGAGAGCTGATGGTGGTTATGGTTACGTTTGTCAATGTCAGAGAAGGACTCCGAACGCTCTCGCTCCAGAAATTCCTGCGGACATCCCCGAGTTGCGAACGGATATCGATAACAAGAAAAAACAGATTGATGTCCGCGCTGTCCCTATCATTATTAGGTAATCTCAAGACACGGATCCGAGGGGAGATAGAGTTGATAATGGCTATTTCAAGCATGACGTGTCATAGCACACTAGTACCCCTCCTCGGCGTTCCCCCGTTTCCCAAAGAGGCAATGTCCCGTCGACCTGATTGGCTCGAACACGGTCTCACCGTCACCCCTAGTCGTCACACTCATCACCTCGAATCAACCGTCTCCTATCAGCTGAGATTCAATACTGCAGAGTACTACATTCTATCCCTCAGATCCCTGGCCGATAATCTTTCGGTTGAAGAACGATTGATACGGTACGTTGTACGCTGGTCGGTCTCCAGTTATGCCGGTTAGTGTGTGCGGATCCAAGATGCTGATCGACCTCGCTGCTCTCGTTTTGTATCCATCATCAGCGTCAGCCCCAGCCCAGGTCAACCTGGATCCGCATCCACCCGGTGACGACCGAAACACAACCACCCAACGCTCGACAGCATCGATCTCGTCATTATCATCATACCTATACAGCTTGGAAACATAGCATCCGGGGTGAGTCACCGTATTCAGGCTTGGATGAGGGTGGTAGGAAGAGCATGCGAAATATAGGCGAACAAACATCCATACATGCTATTCGATCTCGTCCCGTCTGGCGTCATGTCCATGTCAAACGTCGTCCAGACTAACACGACCGATCTTTCGTCGTCTTTCCAGGCTCTTTTCACACAGTTACGACAAGAACGAGCGTCAATCCGGTCAGGTCTGATCAATCTACACGGATATCCGTATCGCGTTTGCGAAAAGACGCTGGAACTGGTCGAAGCAACTTGAGCCTTCGAGGCTGAACGCGACGCGACCTCTACCTAGCTTGAACATATCTTGAATCTCGACTGTTTGTTGAGTAGACATATCCGCCCCCACGGTATACAAGGAGAAACACGAGTCAGGAAGCAGGCCTTCCGTGAAACATGTCGCAAGAACAATCCGGACCAGAGGTCGAGGTCGAAATCGGACAGGAATACGCGACCGATCCTGCGACCGCGATCATGGCTTCTGGCGAAGCTGCGCCTGCCCTTGAGGGACAGGTGAATGCGGATCATACGAACGACAAAAACAATGCCGCCATATTTGAACCGGACGGTCAACATCAAGGTCAAGATCCCGCTGAAGGACACGCTCAACAACACGAGCAAGAGCAAGAGCAAGAGCAAGAGCAAGACCCCGCGCTCTCGCACTCGCTCACCTACCCCGAACCTGAGCTTGAAGATCCCAACTCCACCCAAAGTTTGAACAATCCCAACTCGGAGCTCGACCCGAACTCGAACTCGAATCCAGATCCAACAACACACGGCCAAAGCCTGAACCCGCTTTATCCTTCCTACGATCACCTCTACGATCCTTACCCCCGGAGCTTGGATACGTTGGCGGAAGCTGCGGATGCCGAGGCTCTGACCGGTACTGGGGTTGGCGTCGGTACGGGTGGGTATGGGGCCGGTGGGAACGATGGCAGTGGTCCAAATAATGCCAGTGGTAATACTGGCTCAGGGGATTATGGGTATTCGGACCTGTTTGGGTTGGGTGGGATGCCGGGGATGGGGTTCGGGGGAATGGGGGTCGGAGCGGGTATCGCACAAGCATCAGGGATGGGTATGGGTGTTCAGGGAATGGGGCAAGCGATCGGCGTGGGCACGGCCGGAGGCATGAGTGCGGGCGGCGGTGTTGGATTAGGAGGCGGACAGGTTCAGGGAAAGAGGGCTGGACAGGGTTCGGTAGGAAGAGCGATGCCGTACCATTTCAACCATCCCGATCGATCCGTCTCTCAACCCAATCCCAATATCAACCTCAACAACCCTCCTGATCACTCTCAATCTCAATACCCGCATACCGATTACGCTGGGAGCGCGGCCTCGGGGGATGTCATGGACGCCAACAACAACAACAATCTCAATGTCTCTGGCCAGACCACCAATGCGGAGGGAGAGCTGCTGGATGAACACGGTGTGGTCATCCCCGGTGGAGCGAACGCGAGGATACAGGATGACAAACAGAGGAAGAGGATTATGCAGGCCTGCGAGCCTTGCCGGGTTCGGAAAGCTAGGGTGAGTCGAGTCGCGCGTCTAGAGCCCGTCGGTGCGAGAGCGCCCTGCCGTACTGAACGATACCGTTGCTGATATTCTCGTTTGACGATTTGACAATTCTCAGTGCAACGGCATGCAACCCTGTGGACGATGCACGACCCGCAACCTCGATTGCGTGTTCGCGCATGAACGCAAGATGAGGGGTCCGAACAAGGTCAAGAAGACGGCCGAGATGAAGGCGCAACAGCGACATGCCAGGCAGGCGGCCAAGCAGAGGGATGCGTCAGGACAGGCGCAGGGGTTGGGTCACGGTCAGGCACAGGACGGGGATAGTATGAGACCGAACCAGATGGGTGTCATCAGTGCAGGACCATCGGGGGAGATGGACCTGACGCTCGATACGGCGGCGAACCGGTATGATCATCTACACACTGCTGGCGACCCCGCAGGGAACAAGAACGGAGGGAGGATCAAGTCGCAGCAACAACAACAACTCGAGTACGATGCGAGGCGGCAAGAGTTGTTCAACTCGTACGGCACAGATGGGCTTGGAAGAGATTCTTACGACCGGACCGGGCAACAGCCTGGACAGTATTTCAGCTTGACGGCGGATCCTTCCGTCTCGAACGGGTTCGGGTACCCGTCGGGAGGTCCTGCTACCGCCCAATCCGTGGGAAGCGAATACTATTCGTCCTTCTCTCGGTCGAACGGCCAAGCAGATCCGTCGCGACAGGACGAACGGGATCGTCATAGCGGAGTAGGCGCGAGTCAACAGGAGAGGCCGCAACAGATGATCGATGATCGGTTGGAGGATCCGTCTGAAGAGGACCGAGCCAGATTGGTTGCCTTGATCGGAGCGGGGGCGAGGCTGGATCCAGCCGAGGGCAACGACAGTCCGGGAAGGAGAAACAATCAAGCGTTGGCTGCATATCTTTTGCCAGAAGGAGATCCTGAGAATGTAGGGGAATATAGTCCGGTTGGGACGGGAGTGGAAGATGCGGGTGCGCAACAGTGGTAGAGGGACAGCACCGCACGATTTCAAGGTACCTCTCCAGCCTGGTTGCTGGTCGCTCTACGGCAACACCCAGGTCTTGGTTCCTCTTGAATGATATCTTTCACCTCTACGTATATGACACCGTTTTCACTCTTCGCTCCTTCATTCCCCCGAATCAGGGCACTCATATGTTCTAAATAGATCTCAGGGTTTGCGACGTTGTACAAAGTAATGTGAAGAGAAATAACTGGTATCTATGGCGTCGAAAGCAGGACCTGACGCGGGCGGCAAACGATTCCCAAATGAAACGCTACATCAGCCTGGGTCATCGGTACATCGATACCGCAGAATTTACTGATGAGACCGGTGCTCAAACCGAGAAGTTACAATGTGACGCTCGACATACAATTCGGATATATACAAGAATCCTTCCGATGGTTCGGTACCTTCAGCGGAAAGAGCTCTACCAGTTGATGACTTTGCGATAATATCCCTGACCTCGACGTCGGAAACTTTTGCCCCACTTAATCATGATCAACACTGATAAGTTGAACCCTGTTGCGACGGCCGCGGCGGTAATACCGAAATCTCGGAAGCCAAGACCGGTGATCCAAGGTGTAACGCAGTAGCCCTGTATGATGGGAGGCGGTCAAAGTCTAGTATGACAGCTGTAAGCGCGCTCTGGGAGACTTACGTAGCCGAACGCCATAGACATGGCGATGATCATCATACTGATGATGTACGGTGCCGCCTTAGTGTTCAGGAAAGTGGTAAACATTTTTGATATGACGGATAAGCACGGCTTGAAAGACTTACTTGATGAGTGACCGCTTGAGGGCCATAATGGTTTTTCGGGACGATGGGATGATAAGCATCAAAAGCGTAGTTTAGGATCAAGACCGTAGCGAAAGGTCCTGCCATGTTCAGCACCCCCATGCCGAGGACAAAGACGATCCAATGTGCTTCGTAGTACGGACCAAGGCCCATCATCAAGAGACCGCCGACGATCAGGATGGAGGGGATCCAGAAGAGTTTGAGCCGCATTTCGGGCTCGAGCGTTCCTCCTGCCCTTTTGGCTTGGCGCATACAGTAAACGTCGCTGATATAGCCTCCAAATACCGCCCTACGATGAAGCAAAGTCTATTTATCATTTTTCGTTCGCTTGCCCATCGCTTTATATCAACTTACCCCGGGATGGAAGTAAGGGAGGGCGAAATGTAGGACAAGCTGACTCCCGAGACTCCAAACGCTGGAGATCAAACAAAATCTTTCAGGCTGGTGTCTCTCGCAACGAAAGTAAGGAGCACCCACAGTAAGGTGGCGCCGACAGTGTGAATGAGATGAGAGATCCAATCGCTGCGTTACATGCATTCAGCCTCTCGAAAGCAGTACACAACACGTCACCTCGTATCGCGCTCGACTTACTGTTGAACCAGATTTGATAGATCCCATACATAAGCCCGAGCCACCATACCATTGGTAACCCCAGCAAAGCTATCGGTTGAAAGACCCCTCGACTCATTATTCCAGCAGCATGTGGAGATAAGGTAACCGCTTCCATCCACGGCCGCCAAGGCCTTAGCGGGACCGTGCTGATAGGTATGTGAGGTTCGACGACCGCCTCTGACATTCGATGGGTGTGATCATGATCCTTCTTGTCGTCGGGATTTTCATCCTCGATACGAGCCTGCATCGGAATCTCGCTATGCTCGACGCTTCCGTTCTCGTCACCCTGATCCAGATGACGGTCGAAAGCCTTTTGACGATCAAAGTTGGTCTCTTGCATGCAGAAGAAACAGAAGATGGCGACGAGTCCGCTGAAACCCGCGTTGAGGAACTGCACCCATTTCTTTGGTCAGTACGTCCAGTCAGATGGGATAAGGAAACGGCGACTTACCAGTACGGCTTTCCATCCCATACCGTTGAAGATGAAGCCGCCCATAAGAGGCGCCAAGGTAGCGCCGAGATAAAGGAAGAACACATAGAGGCCCATGGGTAGACCTCGCTCGTGCGCAAAGAACTAGCGAGGCTAGTCAATACCGGTCGTAGGATACTGACATCAACGCCAACTGGCTTACCACATCGGAGATAGAGACTTCAGCCAGGGAAAACGAGGGCGAACCGAAGAATCCAAGGAGAAGTCGGTTGCTGACCCATTGCCCATAGGTCGCGGCGAAAGGGGTCCATATATTCAAGCCGCAACAGATCAACATGGAAAGGACGTAGACGGGTCGTTTTCCAAAGGCCAGAGAGGCCGGCTGGAGGATGAGCGGGCCGAAACCGATGGCAAAGTAAGAATAGCCGGTACCTTGGTTCAATTGGTCGATGGTCAATCCTGTCGCTTCGCTAAGGGGGGTGAAGATGGCGAACAAGGCCGAAGCAGACAAGGCGCTGGCAAGCGTATATCTGATAGTGTAAAATCGCAATTAGCTTTCACATGAAGCTTCCCGCTTGCGGCATATCCCGATTGACCTACAGAGTAACACATGCTAACAAAATCCATTTCCGACGCATACTCCAGTTGAGAGGGTCGTTCGGGTCAAGACTAGGCGTAGGTACGTAGACGATCTTGTCCCCCTCATGACCGAAATGTTCCCCAAGGATGCGCACCGTACCTGCGACATCATCAACATCGTGTGGCGGGTCATTCATAGCGCGTTGCTCTCAGTCAAGGTATTATGGATGTTTGGAAGGTTCGTATCCGTTCCGATAGGTGTCAATCGGGTTATTGTGTTTCGAAGTGAAACCTGGCTCTATATACCTGGATCGCGGGTGAGGGCAAATGATACTCCGACACTCTATCATACGATAGCCCGGGCCATAGCGAGTCTCTAAGGCATAGAGCCGAGCTAGATCGATGAGATCCTAGCAGGAATCCGGGATTAGATTAGAACAGAAAGATTGCAGCAGTTGATCACGCGCCCCCGCTGTACTCGCACAAGATAAAGCCACAATCGGATCATCCGTGGATCGATCGAGTTTACCCGGAAATCGATAGTAGCTAGCAGCTAGCAATAGTTATTCGAGCTTCCGAGGAATTCGTTTTGGTAACACCAATCGATCAACAGAGCGACAGAGCATCAAGAGTCGAAGTTCTGAATACGACATCAGGCTTCTTTCACATACGACGAACATAATATCGCTAGGAATCAGATACCTAGCTGGACATCGGCCTGACCTTGGGGACTATCATCTCCCTGATAAACCCGTCTCGAACGTTTAGGCTGATATGGCGATAGGAACGGATCATGTGCACCTCGCACCTCCAAGAGTCTAGGTCAGCAATCCATCGACATCACTGCCGAGCGTCTAGTCATGTCATACTCCGCTATCTCGATACTTAACGCTTTCAACATTCGAGCGAGAACGGTGGAATCGAGATAGCTGGCCCGACCTGGCGGCACAAACAAACTTCAACGCAAGTCTAAGCTATCTGGAAACATGTCTTCGACCAAGCTCTTTGTGAACGGCCGGATCTTTACCAGTCGACCAGGAGATGAAGCGTTGCATCAGGCTATGCTGGTGGAGGGCGACAAGGTGACGTGTGTAGGCACGAATGAGCATGTGATCCAGAAGGCCTCTCAGGTGAGTCGAGACACATACGTTCAGCGAATCCAATCCCAAGTCTGACACCCTCGATATGTGACCTTGAAAGGCAGGTTCATCAACCGAAAAGATTGACCTGAACGGTTCGGTCGTTCTACCCGGGATCGTGGACGGTCATACACACTTGGTCATGCTAGGAGCCGCTCTCAACCGGATCAATACCATCGGCCTGTCCATCGGACAGATCCAAACAGCGCTATCAGATGCTCGCAAAGCAGAACCCGACGTCAAGATGCTACTGGGTCGTAGCTTTCTATTTGATGCGTTAGGGAAACCGGCTCACCGTAAACACCTGGACGAGGTTGTCAGGGACATTCCTGTCTTTATCGATTCGGCGGATCTACATTCCTGCTGGCTGAATACAGCCGCACTGAACGTGCTCGGCATTACGAAAGATACGCCCGATCCGAAGGGAGGATCGTTCGAGAAGGATACCGATGGAGAGTTGACCGGTCTATTCCTGGAGACCGCTGTGGTGGACCACGTCTGGCCGTACCTCGCAGCCCAGTTGACGGCCGAGAAGCGTCTACAATACCTTGACGACGTCTTCAAGAGTTACCTGGCTACGGGAGTGACCGGTGCCACGGAGATGGCGCTTGAAGGGCTCGATCTGGCTGCTCTGGAGACGATCTACAACCGGAACGGTGGGAAATTGCCGATCCGGATATCGTGCCATTGGATAGTCAGCCCTAACGGAAGTGCGGAAGACCGAGCTGAAAGGGTCATGGAGGCCGTCAAGCACAAGGAGAGGCTGGCCTCGTATGCCCCCTGGCTTCGGATAGCGGGGATCAAGATCATCGCCGACGGGGTTGTGGATTCGTGCACCGCCTACTGCTCCAAGGCATACCACGATGGGACGTTTGCGAAACCCATCTGGCCTCGAGAAGAACTGCTCGAGACTGTCGCACTTGCCGACAAACATGGACTGCAGGTGGCCGTTCATGCCATTGGAGATGCTGCGATCGACATGGCGCTCGATGCGTTCGAAAATGCCATCAACATCAACGGGGAGAGGCCAAAGGGTGCGAGGCTGCATCGGATCGAACATCTCGAAGTCGTGACAAGGGAATCGATCATCAGGCTAGCAAAGCTGGGCGTGGTCGCGTCTCTACAACCGGTGCATGCAGATCCCATCTACGTGCCCAACTGGAGGAAAATGCTAAACGAGGACGAGCGCTGCGATCGCGCCTTCCCTTGGTCCGAGTATGTCGAGGCAGACGCTCTGATGGCTTTTGGCTCGGACGCACCGACAGCACCGCATCATTGTTTCCCCAACATCTACACTGCTACCACAAGACAATCCGGTCTCGACGCTTCTCACCCACCTTCAACGGACGAACGAATAAAGTCCCTCTCGCGGTTTTGCGTCGGGTTGGAAAAGGCGATCCAAAACTACACGCTCGGATCTGCATACAGCTGTCAATCCAGCGACTACTGTGGAAGTCTGGAGCCGGGCAAGTCGGCAGACTTTTGCATACTAGAGATCGATCCTTTCAAGAACGGATTGGAAACGCTGCGAGAAGCTCAGGAGGGGGTTCGGGAGACCTGGATTTGCGGAGAAAGGGTCTGGAGCAAGGTGTAACGGAATGATCTGAGTTGTAATAGCTCCTAGTTGAGCGAGCGTCTAAGTCTCGGACAAGCAGTCGGATGTCACGACTTGCGACTCGACAATCTATCCGGGGGTGGTCGAGGACATCATCAGGGACTCGCGGACATTGAATTTGATATCAGAATGTCCACTGACGTATGACTCATGATGCCCCTTTGGCCTTTGTCGAGCTCTATGTAAGGTAACCAGTCACTGCTAAGCTGTTACAAGTGTGTGTGCAGTCACTTCTAGCGAAGGGATCGCTTCGATCACTTCAGCTCTGATCTCGACGCTTGGTGGCAGTCAAGAAAGCTTTATGGTGTCTCGGGAAAAGCGAGGTAGATCCCTTTTGACGAGATGTAACCCCTGAGTTCGTTGACTGATTGACCTGTGTGCCTGGCCGTACAGTGCTGGTGACGGTCGGATCGACCCTGTTCCAGGATCTCACAGATGCCGTCCTGCAACCAGATTTTCTCCGTGCTCTCTCGTCCTCGGGATATACGTACATGATGGTTCAGTACGGATCAGCTCAGCTAACATGGGCCGGGCCAGATACCGTGTCGGGCATCTCGATCGAAACCAAACCGTACATCTCCAACATCGACAACGTGTTCGCTTCCAGCGACCTGATCATTAGCCACGCTGGTTCCGGATCGATATTGAGCGGATTAAGAATAGGAAAGGATATGATCGTTGTCCCGAATTCGAAGTTGATGGACAATCATCAAGTCGAGCTGGCCGAGGTGCTTCAGCGAGAAGGGTATCTTCTCAAGGCGACCGTCGGGTGAGCTAGAACTAGGAAGCCCCCCAAATATGCCGACTATGCTGCGTAACACTGTACTAACTATGAGCTGTCCGGGCTGTAGAAACCTCGTCGAGACCGTCTCGTTCGACCTACGCGGCAAATCTTTCGTACCCTTTCCCGCCTTTCAACCAGCTCGCTTCAAGCAACTGGTCGACAACCTTTTCTGAGGCTGCTCTTCCTGAAGAAGCGACGACTGCAAAAGAACCTCGCCGAACATTGCGTGGTTAGATTCGCAATATTATCAGCTAGTGACCAGTGAGTTGGATCGGGATAAATTCCGCTTATCCGGAACGTCATGATCGCCTTGCGTACTGATCCGTCCCTCTGTCTGAAGATAGATCGATCAAAGTCGCAGCAAGCAGCTGTCGCTTCTCCATCCCATGGCAAAGACCGGCGAATCAAGGACGGCAACCTGTCTGACATTTGACAGGGCTAGGAGCGTCGGAAGAGACTCTGTCTGTTTCCATGCAGATCAGCCAAAATACGACCCGTCAATTCCTCTATAAGCAAACTTCGGGATCCTACTTTACAAGCTGTTTCCTTATCCCTATTCACGATCTTAATGACCTTACGTGATGCAATCATGTGTATCTCATGTCCATCAACCATTATGAATATCTCCCGCCATACCAGCTTCGCTTGTTCCTCATCGCCGGGGGGACCATCCCGTATCCCGCCGCCCCGTTCAACGCAGCAGAGACGGCGTGCATCGCGAACGGATCGGCAGCCGAGTTGTACCCATTCGGGACATGCCCGGGACCATATGCCTGTAGGGGCTGGGCTGCCGGATTCGAGCCGCCTGAATAAGGGTCGTATGCAAAATCTGAGGGACAGGCGGAACGAATCGATCAACGCTGAGCTGATCCTGCACGTCCGGCTTGACTCACATCCTTCCGGATAGAGACCACCGTACTGAGGTGTCGGTAATACCGGATCAGCGGGTGAGACCATCCCGTTCAAGGCGAGTGCCGAGGAAGATTTCTCTGTTTTAACACGCACGATGCGGTTATCTCAGTGTCGTCTCGTGTGCCACAAACCCGGGTATCGTCTCACCTCGTCTCGCTTGTTTCGGAGGCGGCACCGGCACTTCCGATTTAGCCTCTCGTTCTCGCCGACGATGTTTACGTTCAGCTCGTCGAGCGCGAGCCGTTGCTTCTTCTTCAAGTTTCGCTTGGGAAGGGATACTTTCGGGGCGGATGCTGTCGTCGCGACGAGTGGATAAGCCTCGAACAGAAGAACATCTTCTACCTTAGCTCACCCATTCATCCCGGCCCCTTGATGCGCCATCGGATTCCCCATCATCCCGCCCACCATGGAGTACTCTTGTACACCACCTGGATAACCCATAGCAGCACCAGGCGAGACCATGGGCGACGTGGCGTACATCTGCATAGCAGCATAGTATTGCCTCCAAGCTTCTTGACGTTCCCTTTCGGTCTGCTCGTCGTACTCTTCACCATCGGGCATCGGAGGGACGGTAGGGTCGTCTAGGTCATGAGGTGTTACGGGACCGCTCGACCTTATGAAAGGGTCGTCACTGTAGTGTTCGTTTTTGAAGATCATCCCCGAGAACTATAAGATTTCAGGTGCCACCGAACTTACTGTGCGTACGAAGGCGTTTCATGTCGAACCCGAGATTCGGTTTCGCGATGAAACGCCGGCTCGCTCCTCAACTTTCGGACCTTTTGCCGGAACCGTGCTTCATCCTCCTCATACTCTTCCTCACTAGCCTGGTACTGCGGCTGTCTCTCCACCCGATCCTGTCGCATGTTCGGATTAGACCTCGCCGCGGCCGGTCCCGGTCGTTCAGCAGCCAGAGGCGCCTGAGAGGCTTTCGGGGTGACCGACTCTCTCTCCTCTAGAAGAGGTCGCCTACGTCTTTCTACCGGGAGCGCTTGGACGGCCTTTTCCTCGGAACTCGCGCTAAAAGCCGAATAGGTAGAAACCTCCTTACGTCTCGTCGCCGGGTTAGGGGTCTTCTCTTTCCCATTACCGATGGCATGACCATTCCCTTCGTGGTGGCCTCCTTCCATTCTCTCCCTTTCTCTAGCGAACGCCCTAACCCGCCTTCCAGCCGGTACCCCGTAGCTCCGCTCGTCCACGGGAGGTGGGAGATATTTCCTCGACTTCATCACGATCCCTGGTCGGCTCGGGTCCTCGTACTCGGTGATTCGGGACAACTCTTCTTCATGCGTCTTCGGGCGAGATTTCTTCTTCTGCCCGACCGGGTTGGGGGAATAGTCGAAGGTGTAGATTCCTTCGATGCGGGGATCGTCGTTCAGCATGGATTTTTGCCAATATGCTTCGTCGTCCGATGCAGTTGCTGCGCCTCGTTTGGCTCCTTCTCCCCCTTCATCACCTCTAGCCCGTCCCCGCTCGGTCCGTCGTAATCTCGCTCGATAGTCGGCATCGTACTTGGCCGCCTGTTCTTCCACCGAGATGGTCAGCACAGCGAATTTCGGCCTGTAATGTTGCTGGCCGTGTCCGTAATCCCGGCTCTCCCCCAAGTTGGAGTTGGCCGAAGAAGAAGTAAACTCCGTCTGCTTGTCTTCGTCATCGTAATCGGCATTACTGAGCATCTTCATCTTCCGTCCATATCCAACTCCTACGCCGGGTACGTCCTCGGCCTCGTGTACTTTCATCATCCCATAGCCTTTTCCTGGAATGGCCGGGATGCGTTCACCAAACCTGTTCATGTCTGTATCTGGGTCCGAACCGGACTTTTTCATGCGCACAGTGGTCTGTCCGATGGCGTCCTGTCCAGCGACCCTCGGCTTGGTACCGATATGTACGCTCGTCAGACCCGTGGTGGCGGAGTTTCTAATAGGAGCTCGAGGTCCTGAGACGGGAGGGCGGGCTACTTGTCGTTCCCCATCCGGTCGGGAGGAAATGACGGGGAGAGAAGTCGACGATGAAGGAAGGTCTCCACCATCCTTTCCGCCAGCGTCGTCCTTTAAAGGAGGTTGACTCTGTCTAGTTCGAGGACCGGATGGGCTTTGAGCTGCCTTTGAAGGCGAACCGGACATGACGTCCCCACGACGCATGATCGGAAAGGGTGGAGTGGTTTCGACATTGGTGACGTTCTCATTCCGACCCAAAGGACCTTTAGGTTGGGGAGTCCTTTGAGGAGAACGATAGGAGCCACTACCGGACTCTTGTGGTAGTTGCGACTGAGATGTTTGAGCGGTGACTGGTTTACGCTTGATCTTGTGCGGGTTCATGGTTGTCGCTGCGGATTATCAAACCGCTTGGCACCGAGGTCGCCAGCTGAAAATGGTAGTCAATAATGATCTAAAGTCGTTAGCATTCTGCGCAGTCGCGACGTTCCTTTCGGCTCACATAGAGTGGATATTGGTGGAGAATAGGTTCAAGACCAGTTGCCAGTTTGAGCGCATACAGGTCGATCCTGCTCAGAGAGTCGAAGTCGTCTTTCTTGAGCGAGTCGCCCAGAGGTTGATATGAGTGGGATCGAGCGAGTTTTGTAGCTGCCAGTAGCCAGTAGTAGCTAGTGAGCTGGTGTTGATTGATCTTCTCGCCCTTCGCGTGTGAATTTGTTTACGTTTCCCACGAGGGAGGGAGGATCCTTCTTGATGACAACGTGGGGAGAAAGGAAGGGTCCTTTGGGGGAGCGGGAAGGGGCATTATTCTATTCCCCTGTTCTAGAAACACGTCTCATCCTGAAACGCGCGGATCAAACCGGGCGCGCGGTCGAGGCGCGTGTCCGAGGCCGTGGGAATACATCGCTCTGAGTCGTGGCGCATGATTGACCATCTCGTTTCAGCTGATCAGCAGCGCAGCAGCTCGGCAGGCGTCTGGACATCTGATTACATTCCAAATCAAATGGCTGCAAGTGACGTCGCATACAACAACCGTAAACTTGCTACAAAACAATAGCAAAAGCCGATTTACTGACTCCTCTCGACCGTCCCGTACTTCAAGGCTCGCCCCTTGCTCCGCTTGGCCATTTCCACCCGCTCAGCCTCCTTCTGCCCGTCAACAACAGCGCCAGCGCGTTCGAGCATGTCGTACAAGGAGCCCTCTTTGTGATACCTAGCCAATTCCTCGTAGCCGTCGATAGGGATTCCGCCGATGGTGATGAGAGGGTGGGGGGAATCAGATTTGCGTTGAGAGACGATACGGGACAGGATGGAGTGGATGCTGGAAGCGTCTTCTCGGCCTTCAAGAAGCAAGACCCGAGGAGCAGGCAAGATGGAGTAGATGGCTAGCAAGTCGTAGACTGGGGCGGTCCAGCTGTGACACATTCGTTCTTGTCCGATCAGTCGGCCATTCGTGACTCCAGTCAAGCATTGTAACAGACAGGACTCACGCATGGCCGATATCCCACACTACCACCGGGTCCACATCCCTCCTCAACTCCCTCCACCCGTTCTCATCCTTGGCGTCAAACGAGAGCATGACCATCGGGTCCAAAGGTTTCGAGACATCCACAGAGGGGGAGATCGTATGCATGGTATCCTCCAACAAGAACGTCTGCAAGGCCAAAAGTTCTCGCTCGAGTGTCATGGCGACATTGTCCTTGACTGGTCGCGAGATCTTGGGAGGGGCTACAGTAGTGTACGATGTGTCCATATTTTCCGTATTCCTGTCAGCCTTGGCTCGCCGTGATTGGTCTCTGCATCTCCCTCGGACTTACCGGAAGCCACGCCAGGTCTAGATTCGGCATAGATCCTACTAGGAGCTCCACCGGGCCTGACAACCACCTTTTTCCCGCCGACAGCATACGAAGCCGACTTCGATTTGCTCCTGATACTAGCATTGTCCTGGCTGCTGGCACCGGACTGCATGGCAAGAAGATGTTCCCGCATTGCCGCAGGGGAGAGCGTCCCATCCTCGGCGATAGATGACGCAGGCTTGCTGAACGGTGAGACCGAGCTGTTGGTCAAGATATAGAGCCCGGCTAGGATGCTGACCAGCAGCAAGACCAGCCGGACGGTTCGTCGAGGTGCGTTGCCGACACCCCAGGACCCACCAGAGGTTTGCTGGGATGCGTAGTGGACGGGAAGAACTCCAGCGTTGGAGCTGCTCCTACGATGGAGCCCATCCCCACGATACTGTTCCTTGCTACTGGAGGAACCGCTGGTCTTCTCGTCGGAGATAATGATCATGTCGAACGGGTTCGGACTGGAGTAAGGAGACGCGCTTCCACGACGTTCAGGACCAGCCTGAGTGGAAGAGCGCCTCGACCCTACCGAGTAGGAATACCGGGAAGGATACCCGCTAGTAGAGTTGAACCCGCCGGGTCCTGGTCCGGCAGAGGTGACAGCGTGAGTGCTACTGGAAGCCAGTGGCGAAGAGATTTTGGGGCTGGTCGAACGGATGTTCGCGGGACTCCGAGCGATGGGGAGTAGAAGATCCCTCAACGTAGACAGAGGGTCGATTTCTTCGCTCGAACCTACCGCATACGAAGGCGGCGACGAGGGGGGAGAGAACAGGATTCGGTGGACCGGAGAAGACATCTTCGAGTGGCAAGAAGTGTGAGAGTAATCGAAAGTTGTAGTTTGCTGAAGAGCGTAGTAGAAGGGTATTTAATCGTTTTTTGACGTCCGGCGTCTCTTGGTCAATCTGGTTCGCTGCTGGGCGAGTAGGGATATAGTCAGAGGTTCTAGCTATCAAAGCTGTAAAAAAAACTAAGACGAAGAAAGCAAGGCGCAGCCTTTTACGAGGTCGAGTACGAATCCGATGTTTTGCCAGAAGTACAATCCCGACGATCGACAGGGCAGTGCGACACAATGGCTGACGTCTTGATATACCTTCCGCGATAGAATCCGATCTTCCTCTTGCAGATCGAGGTCAACGCGTCTGGACGCGCCGGGGGCGGTGATATGGCTTGTGCCTCGGGCCTAATCGTTCCTCGAAAACGTGTCAATGGCTTCTGAACAATGCCAAAAGATTCCGCTCCTGATTGCCTGAGACATCGAAGGCATACCGAGTCGTATTTCGAGCTGATCAACCTCGAGCTGCTCGTTCTACTGCCCATCTGACCGCTACTTCGACATCGTCCGCTATACTCGTCGGCTTATGACGCGGTTCTCCGGTACGATAGACACCAGTCTTCAGCAGGACGGAATTCCAGCCGTGTGCGTTTGCTCCTGCAAGGTGGACGGGTCAGCAAGCGGCATGGACTTGTTGTTCGGGTGGGAACCTACCAGCGATATCGGATTCGGGGTTATCTATAACAATCCAATCTGTCAACTTGCTTGCTGCGAAATTCTTTTCTGATTTGAGAGCTCACCTCCTATCATATAGCTGATAAGACAGACGAATACCTCAATCAACTTCTATCTATTCTCAGCAAACCGCGGCTTGTCGATCCACTTACACATCGAGCCGTTCATGCTCATTCGGCCGTCCGAGCGTCTTTAGATGCCGCCTCAACATAGACTCGGCAAAGTCGTAGGTTGCCTTGTGAGGCTTTCCGTATTGAACGAAAGGCAGATCCCGTCCGGTCGTAGCCTGTTTACTTTCCGTTCTAAATCAGTTTTTGGTTCCTACCTGGAATAGGGAAGCAGACGATTACTGACCTTGTAGATAGTCTCCACCGACATCCGGAAAGCTCCTTGTCCGAGCCTTGGAAGGGGATAGTCCCTTTATAACCCAATGCGGTGACGGTTTAGTTATTCAATGCCGGGCACCCAGAAAACTTCCTTCCATAAACAACTCACGACTGCCATTCCAAATCAGGGTTCGAAAACACAAGCGGCATATGCTCCTCCCCCTCAGATCCAACCGAACTGCGGTTCTTGTCATCACTATCCATCTCCTTCTTTTCCTGCCTTCGAGTTCCGAAAACGCCGTTTTCCGAGGATAACAGCTCGCAGATCAAGGTGACGTCCCTGCCCCAATCTCGGCTGTCGTGCATGACAAAGATAGCAGAAATCGGGGTCTGGGAAAAGTCGTTGGACTGTTCGCACGCAATTCAGAATGTGATGAGCGATCCGTCGTGTAGTTGTGGATTGTCAGCGGGAAAGACCGTACGACAACGATCTTCTTGTCTTCCGGGGTCAAGTCGGTCTTGGGCCAGACGGACTGCTTCCATGCGACGACATCCTGAGCGATCCAGACATTCTTCAGACCATATCTATGTAAGCGAAAACGAACCGTCAGGCCGTATATCCGACAAGGTATCACATGTACTGCTCACGACAGTGCAGTTCTGCGGATCGCGTCTCCCTTCCCTCCGAGACACAAGACGTGCTTGTCGGCATACGGTTTGACCAACAGCTTCAAGGGGGTGTGTGACTGTACGAGCTGATCTGCCGAGAGCTATGAAGCAGTGTACGTCGGTATGATCGAATGAGACTAGCATTCCTGTCATGCAAATTTGTGTTATAATGGTTCTGATGCTGACCTCGTGTCCCAATTCGCTGGAGAGAGCCTTGCGTCTATCTTCATCCGGAACTCCACCTCCGTTGGTGATGAGTACATATGGAATCGCTCTGCCAGCGAACGATCGCGTCAGCACCATACTTGCTACCATAAGACTTTTCCATAGACCGACCTATTCCAGGGGTTGTTTCCCGCGAGCATATCAAGAGCCCTTCTTGCTTGAGGCAGAACGTTCGGACCTTGCTTCAACACCCCATCCTATCAAGTCAAGACCCAGGTTGGCTTCATGGTTTCAGACGGGCGTACGAGCGGGATACCAACGATGTCGAATGCGAATGCTAGTTTCTCAGGGAAGCCGCCAGCAGTCGTTGAAGTGGCTGATAACGATACGAACGGGAAGTTTAGTGGTATGTAGCAGGTGATCAGCGGCACGTACTGACATTTGCAGCGAGCGTTACATCGCAGGAGCGGTGCCGCTCGGAAAGCGTTGAAGCGAAGCATCGTAGCAAGTTGTATGACCGTTTTCCGGGACGAGAGGTAAATCTATAGATCTATATTATATATCGGAGAATATGTGGAGCGCAATACTACGCTCGATGAATACGTCAAAGTCGAGTCAAGGGAGCGTTCTCGGAGATGCGATGATGACGAGCTGGAGAGGGCAAACGACTTTTGTTTACTTTGTGAGTTTCTTACGTTACGGTTACGGCAATCGACGTCGACACAGTCGGATCGATCCCATGCATGATTCCATGCATCTTGACATCCATGATAAAACGAGAATCAGCGGGTCAGTAGTGATCGTGCTATATATAGCAAGCAATTCTCGAGTCCAGACAGCATGTGAACAGGTGCATCCGCAACTATATATATGGTCATTAAATCATGCTTTCGTCAAATGCGACTGACTGATACTACTCTGTGTACAAAGCCAGTACGGTGCGTGTACTACACTATAAAGTCCGTCTTCCGCCTTTCGGGGGCGCTGCCCAAATACAGTAATATCCACATCGCTCAAGACCCTACCCCATGCTTCGAGGCAAGATCATTCATACTTCTTCGTCACGCGCAGGCCTTCTCGGGTAAAGATGCGGGCCATGCTTCCCTCGGCGGCGGCGAGTTGTAATTCGTCGGATCCTCCGATGGAATGCGAATTGAGGAGTACGGTAGGGATGGTAGAGCGGGATGTGAATTCTTGTAGCAAAGCTTGAATGATCGGACCGTCTTCTCGTCGGTCGACCTGGATATAGTAGGGCGAAGGGGTGATGTTGTAATCGTCCAGGATTCGTCTCAAGTGTCGCGAGTAAGGGCAGTATGACTGTGCAGAATGATACAGGTAAGTTCAAGAATCGAAGACGCTGCTGCGAGCGTCAAGCTTACCTTGGAAAAGACGACCAGTTTGGTATGATCATCCATATCCGCCTTCCAACCTCGAGGGAACACCTCGGAAGCCCCTCTCTTCCCCAAAAGCTTCTTCAAACCACGTTCGAGACCATTCCCATCCACATCCACCCATGCCTTCCCGATCATCGTGGTAAGCGTTTGGCCCTGTGCTCCCTCCTCAATCCAACTTTCGGGGAACTCGGCGCCACCTCCGATGAACGCTACCAACGCTCGGAGACTGGCGATCCGATTCCGCTCTTCGAGTTGCCTGAGCTTGAGAACTTCGCCGATCTTTAGCCCATCGAGTCGAGATTCCGGTCGACCTCGACTCGATCGCGCTTGAACCGAGGTCAACGAGGAAAAGACGTTGGATTTGCTGATCTGCCTCTCGATCTCTTCGTACTCTTCCTCGGTCCTGGATCGCTGGAAATGGGCGTCATTGTCGTCCTCTTCCAGCTCGTCGAGGAGATAAAGACCTTCTTGAGCCTTGACGGACGGTTTCCAGGCCCAGTCTGAACCTTTCCTCATCTCGGCCTCGAATTGCAGGAGCTCTTTCTCCGCATCGCTCTGGTAATCAGGAGCAAGATGCTGCTGACTCATACGAGTCGCTTTCACCTTGGTGGAGGCCAGATCGATTTGGCCCTGAGAAGACCCATCTTTATCTCGTCCGAGAGTATCGACGTATCGCACCTGATGGCGTCCCATGCTCTCTACGTTAAGAAGACCCGAGAAAAGTCGGGCGACGACGATGAACACCATACATCCAATCAAGACGAGAATGTACCTCCGAAGCGTCCTTCGAGCGGGAAGGTTCTCCGTCAATGATCGGGCTTTGATGCTGGTAGGAATAGCGAGATGGTCGTCGACCTTTTCCTGCTGAGCGACCGAGATATTACCCGAGTGCGGGTTGAACAATCGGGCATTCGAGGTGTATCCCAGTTCAACCTCGGAGGGCTGGGCATGAAAAGGATACTCTTGGAGATCCTGGGTAGAGCCGGTCGCTCCGGGTAGCCCGAATCGAAAGGCTTGAGGTGGTGAACCTCGTTTAGATTTGGTAGGACTCGTCTCTTCCATCGTCAGGCCCAAAGTGCTGGTGGACCATCGTTTGGTGGGAGAAGGGGTGATATCGGGCGATAAAGGAAGTTCGGTCCGGAGCGTAGAGGTCACGACGGGGGATAGTTCGCCGCGCTCGATATCCATGTCGGTGTCGTCTAGGCTCTGTTTAGCGAGATCGGGGTTGCTGATACGGAGTCTCGATGGTAATGAGGTGTTAATGCTATTGTTGTCGTTCCTGATTTCCGAGGAGATATACCGCGTTCGATTTGGGGTGTCGTACATGGTGGATTGCCAGTCGGGTGACATGGTGCGAGTAGAAGGTAGACTTCAATCTGAAACCATGAAAGTAGTCGGTCAGCCTAGCGAATCGATTGGAGCAAAGGATAGGTCGAGACTCACGTATAGATATGCGTAGGGTAACGAGAACAAAGAAAAAGTTGGGTCGTAACTTTAGATGCAGCGAGACTGTCGGGCGTCCTCTTCGATGGCAGGCCGGATTGAGACGCTGGATGAACGTGTAGATGGTTTGTATTGAAGAGAAGACTTTGTGCTATACGCCCGGGATGATAGGGCAGTGGTATAGTCGAGGATGACGAGGTAGAGAGCGAAAAGACCTTGTCTGGTCAAAGTGACGAATAGGTGGTTTGCGTGTGGGCAGTGGATTGCTAGTAGGCGGTAGCGTAGGTGTCGATCAAACGAGCGTGGATGTTTGAGAAATTAGAAGAGAGTAGGAGGATGGCAAGCTGGACCAGATGCGAGATGCATGAGATGCGAAACCAGACCGAATCGTATTTGTGTATTGTATGTTTGACCTCGTACCAAAGTGGTCGGATTGTCACTCTCGGCTCGGTTCCTCGTCACATCCATCACACACACAAAACAAAAGTCCAAGCGAGCGAGCGAGCGCAGGTGAGGCGCAAACCGGGCAGGGCCGACGGCAGCGGCGGAGTACGGGCCGATTCACGCGCTAAATTGTCATTTCGCTTACATCTTTGTTCCTGATGTTCCGGTCGCTCCTCTTCCCGCTGTTCCAGGGGTTTGTTTACATTTCAGAGATTCTACGCCAATATTCTTTGATCGCCAACTGATCCCGTATACATCAACAACAAACCTTGTGTCGATGGATCTCTGGCTATCGCCGGCTCACCTGTGGCCTGTTGAGATGTTGCATACCCCGCCTGGACCGATCGAAGATGCCCCGGTCAAGAACTCTGGAGGATAGATGAAATCAGCAAGTCAGCAGCTATCGGTTAGCTCCTCGAGGTAAAGGCTGGTACAAGACGCTCTGACTTTGTAGAGGTTCCTGATGGCGTAAGATATGAGGGCTTTTCTGACTGTACCACCCATAATCTTCCTGGCTGCGACATGCAATCTTGCCGGCTCGATCGAGCTCCGAATATTCATCGGTGCCGTTGTGTTGTTGCTCACTGTAGACATTCGCTTGGCACCGATTGAAATGAGCACGGGGCTTGTCGGCGATGTGGTCTCCTTCTTCAGATTACCTCCGTGTCCATCTGTATCATCACCGTGTCACATCATCAACGGTGTCTGTCACAATGATCGGAGATTATTCACCTCGGTCAATGTCGCAAACTGGTTCACGATTGGGGAATGTATGGACTACCTCTTGATCTCTCGATGGATGGGCCGTGACATTACTCTTACTACCGACGGCCAGCCTACCAGGATCTCCGCAAGAAGCCCACATGGTCTGACTGTCTCTGTCCTCATGAAAACACTGTGGATTCTGAAGACTGTCCCATACAGTACTGGGTTACTTGGGGCCATCATGGTCAGACAACAGCAAGGATTGCCCAGGTCAGTTGACGTCACCTGGTTTGGTCTTCAATGCTATTGAGCCCGTTCATGATATGAACAAGGCTTGGGTTGTAGCAGCAGTATTACAGATGAGAGTGAGGAAGGGAAAGATGAAAATTGGCATTATCACGACGGAAGGTCAAGCAGAAAGATATCCTGCAGCTAAGTTCGACGCCAAGATAATACTGTGGAATTGTGGGTCGCAAAAGAATGGCATCTTCTGATCATGCGGGAAACATGGGAGCAAGAGCACAAACAGAGTACGGTAAACGTCTTTGCGCAGAGCTAGAGGCCAAACGCCTGCCCGGAGCTTCCTCTACAAGAAGGACAGCCCAGCATACACCCCAGCGGCCATAAGACCGAACCCGATGACCTCCTTTCCGGAAGTGATGTGGGATCGAAGTCCGAGCGCTCCGCTGGTCCCGTTGGTACCATTGGTAGCGTTGGCGACACCCTTGGCGGTAGAGTTGGAATCGACGGTAGCGTTGTTACCGGTAACGGGGATACCTCCAGAGATCTTGGTCTCGGCGGCACCCGCAGCGGATGAGACGACGCTCGAAGCTGCACCGACGACCGAGTTGGCAGCCGAGCTGACGGCGGAAGAGGCGAAGCTCTCTACGGCACCGGCGATTCCACCGGAGCCCTATATGACATGATGTGTGAGGTTAATCGAGGGCTGTTTCAATGAGCCGGGTACATGATCCTCGACTCACGGAAGAAGCGGCCTCGGGAGCTGCACTGGAACTCTCGGCAGGGGCAGAGGCGGCCTGTAGGAAGAAATAACAATCATAAGTATCGAACGTCATATACGTCGATCTCATTTTTATCAGCCGACTCACCGAGCTGGAACTGGCCGGGGCGGATTCTTGAGCCAAAGCGGTACCGGCAAGGAGCACGGCGCAGGCGGAGATCATAAAGCTAGCACGCATCTTGGTGGAGTATGGATGGTTCGTTTTTGTAAGAGTTGTCGCGAGCAGAGGTTTTTTTTCCGGTGAAGAAAGGTATTACTTTGACGAGCGCGGCTGTCGTTGGTGGCTTGGCTGATGGTTGCTTTGAATAGTGGAATGATGGAGAGAAGAATAAATCAGATGAAAGGCGCTCGTTGAGATCCGTCTATATAGCATCTGCGAGTGCTGCGGAACGATTCGAAACAGGTGGTTCCATTCCCTTTGATCGAAAAGGCAACCCCTTTCACTGCAACTTCTGTAACACTTGCTCCATGGTAACCCCTATCTGACAAAGGAATGATGTGCAAAACTCAGGGGCCAGCAGGGAGATCACCCTTGCCGAAGCCTTTGTCATCCGGGTTGTAGCACAATGCGAGAGGTATGATCTATGGGCACACTAGCTGATACAAGCGAGGGGCCGGTCGTAACGGTCTTTCGTTTCGGATTCATGCGTTTCAGTCGATGACCATAGCGTCAGGATCGACGTCGGCGTCTTGGTCCGTATCATCCGGTTCACTGGTGACGGGCGACAAGTCGTTCGGCGGAGGAGATTGGGAAGGCGATCGCTGTGTCGAGACCGTCCCTGTACCCTGCCCATCGGATGGACCTGGTCCCCCGACGCTGGCGCTGAACGCCATGGTCGACCGATTGGCCACATTGCCGATCAATTCGTGAAGTCTGTAGAGTTCTTCCAAGCGCGCTGGTGTATTGTCTTCATTCCGTATCAAACTCTGCTGTAACTCGGTGATATGGTTCTTCAGATTGGCTATTTGTTCCTCCACAGACAAGGGGGCTGCTGGAGCCGTTGGGCCCGAAGCGGTGGCAGGGGCCGACGCTGAGGGGCCAGCCGCCGGAAATGCTGGCATGGGCACGCTGAAAGATATTCCAGGAGTCATCTTGGAGGTGAAAGCGGGTACCAATTGAGGCTTCTTCGACTTCGCTGGCACGTTGAAAAAGGACGGCTCCGAAGTGGTCGATTCCCTCGTCGTATTCGACACGGGTCGCTGATCTTTCGCCATCTTTGCCAGTCTCCGCATGGCAGCCGCCGCCGCTAGCTGAGCAGGGGTCTGGTTCTGCGTCGACAGGTCGTCCCGCGTTGTGCTGAACTGAGGGAGAAGCGGATTGGTCCGCGTTTCGGCGCTCGACCCGCTGGTACTGTTCGCTCGAGGTCCGCCCAGAGGTCTAAATACTTGTGGCGCTTGACTCGATAATGGAGTTACAGCAGGGACAGGCGTCCCCGGTACTGATGTCCCTGCACCCAAGCTTGGAAATTGAATAGTTTGGGTTCCTGGCCATCTCCTCTGAGGCGCGACTCCGAAAGAGGTCGGCCAGAGTCCAAGCGGGCCTTTGTGAGGACATTTGGCACCGGGAAGATCTGCCGCAGGTCGAGCAGTCCCGGTCGGCAGCTGAACTCCTGATACCGTGGCGGTAGGTCGAGCGGCAGCGGGAACTCCCGGTACAGCCCCAGGAGCAGGTGCTGGTGGCTGGCCTCCTGCGGCCGGCTGTGTCGGTCCGGAAGGTCGAGCAGGAGCGAGTACCGTACGACGACTGGCGAGGAAAGGGGCATGCGGGTGAGTTTATCGAATCGACAGAGACTCGTCTCGATCCTCAGCACATACCAGGTCGGACAACTCTGTTGCCTTTCTAACCAGCTGCGCAGACAATGAAAGTGAAAGACGTGCCCGCATCCCAACTTTTTCGGCGTATCGTTCGGTCCCTCTCTCCTGCCCGGTACCCTTCCGCTCCCAGGAACCATCTCTTCGCGACAGATGACGCAGCTTTCGCCTCCCATCCCACGAATGTCTTCCTCGGTAGCGTCGGGATATTTGGCATCCATGTTCTTCGTGGCCATACGGTACTTGAGCAGATCGCGGATCCGCGCAGAGAATGACCTGACAGCCGAGTAAAGCGAGTGGATGTGATTGAGAGGGATGGAGCCGTAGAGTGTAAAGATGGTGTAAAAAAAGATGGCGTAAATGACCAAACGCAGCGCATCTGGAATGTGAGATCGAGGCCACGTATGAGGTTGGCGATTTACCAGCAAGCAGTCTTCTGATTCATAGACTTACCATGTAATAGGTCGACGAACGAAACACACATGCTCTTGCCTTCCCAAGCGGGCGCATCTTCTTGCCCACGAGCTCTCCAGATGTCGATCACGTTGACGATATATTTCGCGGTGATATTGATACCCCTAGCCAGGGTGATAGCGAACTAATCATCCAAGAAGGTTGAACAACGATTCAGCCATTCTCGTTAGCATGTGACGGATATTTGCCAGTCAAGGGGAAAAAGCGGGACCCACCTCAGCAGCAAACAAGATCGAGCTTCCTCCCAATCCCCCTAATGCTGTCCCCCGCCTGATAGCATCCTTGTCCAAGATGAGGCTCGAGAGACAAACGTAGGTAGACAGGACATCCCAGAACAGGAAGAAAGCGAGCGAGGCGATCATGCGGAGGTGAAAGAGCTTCGACGGGCCTGGGGAGGGGATTTGTTCCATCTAGAAGGGGTTGTGACAAGAGAGATGGCGTATGATGAGCATCCACTAAGAGGCGGGAGGAGCATGTCCGAAGTGTCAGGAGAGATTCAATTGACTCACATAGTCGATCCGGTCCCCTGCTATCCAGTGGAAACTCCGGAGGAAGTAGAGTACAGCGAACAGGGCGATGAAAGGCGGGTTGAAGTCGTCCCTAAGGTATGAAGTCACGAGTCGGTGGTTCAGCGATCTTGTGAGGACTCTCCATTGCCATCTTTCCATAACCTTGTTACTTGCCGGAAAAAGGTCAATGCTAGCATAGATTCCGTCACAAAGAACCATGATTTGTCGTAAAAGTGCTGAATGGTCACCCGAGCCGGAAGTGGTCATCATCAGCCAAGTACCTTGCGTTGCATGAACTACCGAGGACCAACGGACCTCGACCTCGATAGTCCTCAAAGTTCCGAAGAAGATGGCCTTGAACAGATATCCGGCGAGTATGCACAGAAATGCCGCAAAATTTCCCAAGATCTACGACAACCAACCGGAAGTTCCACGTCATACCGCGATCAGCCAACATATCCCTTTGATCAGACCAGTCACAGGATGGCCACGATGGTTGTACTCACAATAGCACTCCCTGTAGACCTATGCATCTGAACAGCAGCCGAGTAGAAGTTCTGGCGTTGATTGTAGACATGCGAAACGAGGGCGGCGGCGACACCGGTCGATACGACGCCATAGGCGAACAGCTTGGACCGGAGGATGCTGGACATGGCGGCGACGGTCGTACTGATCACGGCAAGACGAGCGGTCTATTAGGTCTAGGAGGTATCTAGGACATCTGTCAGTGTTGTGTTCGCAGTTGAAACAATATGGTGAATACCTGCGAGGATCAGGTTGTGAGACGAGGAAGCATGATCAAGGCGAGTTCGGTCAGGCGGGGTCGCGCGCGCACAAGACCGATCCGATCGACCGGCGATACATGACCTTGTTGACCCGGGTCTCGAGATCTCCAGTTTACGAAAAACATGAACATCACTCTGAATGGAACACTCTCATTGCCTGAACGATCTATGCGAATGGTGTGCGTTTCTCATAATGACCAGCCGAACCGGCTCGTCCGGTTGTACCGTAAATGGGGAGGGGGATTTTGCGTTAAAAATACAAGTCTTTCGCCTTCTTTTATCTTTGTACGATTATCGACTCCTTTCTACCTTCGGCGTCTTACATCATTCCGCCCATACCGCCCATGCCTCCCATACCTCCCACTGAAAGACAGGAATCCATTCGTAAGCAAGGGGGAAACTTCCGGAACCGATTCGAATGATCACTCACTGCCTCCCATAGGGGGTGCGCTCTTGTCCTCGGCATCAACGACACAGCATTCACTCGTCGTCAACAAGCTTGCAACCCCGCTAGCATCCGTCAAGGCGGTCCTGACGACCTTGACAGGGTCCAAGATACCCTTCTCGATCATGTCACAGTATTCCCCTACGCTGGCATCGTATCCGTAGTTGAACTGCGAGGCGTACTTGTCCAGCAGGGTTCCGACGACGACGGAACCTTCCTCTCCGGCGTTCTCGACGATGGTCCTAGCGGGTCGGGTGATGGCGGATCGGATGATGGAAACGCCGAGTTGTTGGTCAAAGTTGGCCACCTTGATGTCGTTCAACTGGAGGGACGCCTTGAGCAGAGCGGTACCTCCACCGGGAACGATACCCTCCTCGACGGCGGCTCGGGTGGCGTTGAGCGCATCGTCGTACCTGTCCTTCTTCTCCCCGACCTCGACCTCGCTGGATCCACCGACCTTGATGACGGCGACTCCACCGGACAGCTTGGCCAATCGCTCCTGCAACTTGGTCCTGTCGTACTCGCTCGTGGTCACGTCGTTCATGACCCCTCGGATCTGTTCACATCGCCCGTTGATCATCTCCTTGGAACCCTCTCCGTTCAAAAAGATCGTGTCCTCCTTGGTGATGGTGACGCTGCCGGTCGAACCGAACAAGTCGGCGGTGGCGCGCTCGAGCTTGATGTCGAGCTCTTCGGTAAAGACCTGTCCACCGGTCAAGACGGCCAAGTCACCGAGGATGGACTTTCTGTTGTCTCCGAACCCGGGAGCCTTGACGGCACAGACCGAAAGCTGGCCACGGAGCTTGTTGAGGATACAGGCCGCGAGGGCCTCGCCGTCGATGTCCTCGGCGATGATCAAGAGGGGCCTCCTGCTCTGAGCGGCAATCTCGAGCGAGGGCAAGACGTCCTGCAAGGCCGAAATCTTGCCTTCGGACAGCAAGACCAGAGGTCGTTCCATCTCGACCTTTTGCGACTTGACGTCGGTGATAAAGTAGGGCGAGATGAACCCTCGGTCGAACCTCATCCCTTCGGTAATCTCGATCTCATCCTCGATCGTCCTTCCCTCCTTGACGGTGATGACACCCTCCTTGCCGACCTTCTCCATGGCCTGGGCGATGATGTTGCCGACGTGGACGTCACCGTTGGCAGAGATGGTAGCGACCTGGGCGATCTCCTCCGAGGTGGTGATGACCTTTTTGTTCTGCTCGAGGACCTCGAGGACCTTTTCTACGGCCCTCTGAGCACCGCGTCGGAGGTCCATGGGGTTGCATCCTGCGGTGCATAACGTGAACAAGATCAGAAAATCGATCTCCCTGGATGACCACTTTTGTTCCTCGACCAAAGAGACTTACCGGCAGCGACGTTCTTGACACCCTCGGCGTAGATAGCTCGAGTGAGGACGGTAGCAGTCGTGGTACCATCTCCAGCGACCTCGTTGGTCTTGTTGGCAACGTCTTGCACGAGACTATGATACCGGAAGAATCGAGTCGAGACGTGACTAGTCAGTGAAACTGCCCAACAAGTCGTCACAAGGAAAGAGAGCTCGAGACTCACCGAGCACCCAGGTTCTCAAACTTGTCCTTGAGGACGATCGACTTGGCGACGGTCACTCCGTCTGTGAAGTCAAGGTGGTACGGGTTTCGGGAATGGTTGCGCGTGGCGAGGACATTCGAACGATTGGCGGTCGATGGATTCGGTTTCCGTAGGAAGTAGCAGAACAGGTATCGGGGAGCGATGACGAGTAGTGAAGAGATCAAGCGGAGGGAGAAAAGGATAGCAGGCGAAGATGAGCGAAACTATTCCCTGACTCGGCCCCGCGCTCGCATTCCACGATCCGTCACTCACCCTTGGTGATCTTGGGACCTCCGAAACTCTGCTCGATGATGACGTTCCTTCCCTTGGGCCCGAGTGTTACGCTGACGGCCTTGGCGAGGATGTCGACACCCTTGAGCATGGCAGCTCGACCTTCGTTGCTAAACTTGACTTCCTTGTGAGCCGCATACCCACGGACGAGCGAGGCGGCTCGCGGGGTACGGAGGATGGGTCGGGAAGCTCGGAGCATGGAGGAGGACATGATGCGAGGTGTGGGTGTAGAAGATGTGTGTTGTGTAAGGGAGAGAGAGAGGAAAGATGTGGGGTGGCAATGAGTCGTTGTATCGTTGTACGTTGTATATCCTCTCTCGACGTGACCCTCTGGGGTGGAAATTTCCAGAAGGTCGAGGTTGGCGAACACCCGATTTCCGTCGATCGCCGTCGTCGTCGCCCGCTATGCTAGTGTCACGTGACATACACTCTCCCCCCATAACCACCTCCCTCCTCTTGATAATGTTGTATTCACCTCTTCGATTGATATCATGTACATCGCTATTGAAACCAGCAACGAACCTCTGCGCACTTACACATCTCACCTCTCGTTGAACTCCATCTTCGGTACCGTAATCTTCAACAATGGTGAGGAGCTGGGTAAAGACCCATGCAGACAACGAAAGCTCACAACACTTCCCCGTTTCACCAGGCCGCCACTTTCAAGTCGATCCGATCCGTCGTCCCCTTGCTCGACCGAGTCTTGGTTCAGCGATTCAAGCCCGAGACCGTGAGTTCCGGGTCTCACTTTCCCGATTCGTCGGGCTATAGCTTACGATGAGCCCTCTTCTGCCTTCACGTCCACTCGTTCGTAGAAAACCGCCTCGGGTCTCTTCATTCCCTCATCCTCCACGTCGTCCACCATGCCCGAAGCTACCGTCATCGCCGTCGGTCCCGGTGCTCCTTCACCCAAGACCGGCGAGGTCGTGCCCGTCAACGTGAAAGCTGGAGACAGGGTCTTGTTGCCCGGTTGGGGTGGGAGCAGCATCAAGGTCGGCGATGAGGTGAGTTTCAGTTCCACCAATTCGATTCGGGGCTTCCCTCGCTTCCTCCTTCTCATTACGAGGTGACAGGTTGACTTATACACTCGCTTGCTGTGCTGCCTCGCGATCGGTAGGAATACTACATGTTCAAGGACTCGGAGATCCTCGCAAAGATCGACGAACCTTCTTCCTAAACACCTTTCCTCCCCTCTCTTTCTCCCCTTAATCTCCTTCCATCAACCGAAACAAGACAGTATCACGCTATCAACTCATACCGCAAACACCACTCCTCACATGAATAAACAAAACTACAGTCGACCTTGTAATTCGTCGGGCATGGGGCTTGATGACCATACCAGATCGACGGTTCATGAGGAAATAAACATGAAATATCAATAAAAACAGAAAGCTCAATCGCGATTCCGACCCAGTCGCATTTACCCTTCCACAGGTCAGTACAGCCACTTCCCGAGGTCCATTGGGAGGATATGGTATGTGCCTGGGCACGATACCAGGGCCAGATGAGGTGTATAAAGCGAAAACATTGCGACCAGTATCGCCCTCCGGCTCAGTGATCTTGACGCACTGATTCATCGTGCCCTTCCCGGGAAATCGACGCGGTCGACAAGTTGGGGTCGGCAGTCTTAACAGTAAAAGACAGCCAACCCATTGAGTATTGCCTATTTGCGCCGTTCAGTCATGTGAGACGTGAAATTCTTCGTTCAGTCTGCTTAGATTTATCAATGCTTTTCTGAGAAACGCTGACCTCCCTGTACAAGCGTCCTCGCGCCCGACCACCGCGCCAGTACCGATCATGCTGAATTCTGCTTCGACAACCTTGAGCTAGACTGCAGCGGGGGCTGTCATTGTGATGTGAAAGGCACCCCTTGCAACCTATTAGGCCGGTTACAAAACTGGGCTAAAATCGACAATACAGGCTGCGATCAAGTGGATGACAGGGCCCAGACCAATCAATCCCAAAACGATAGTAGAAGTGACCTTTACTAAGCGGATTGAGAATGAAGCTTGACCAGCGCCTTTGAGATCTGAAGTCTTGGCAATTGAGCGAATGACTTGATGACAGAACTCGGAGAGTTCCGGGAGTATACAAATTCTGATAAGCCCTGGAGGGCTCTCCTTCGAGATACCTCTGCTCAGTGCTCGTTAGACTATTCTCACCACAACAAGGCCGCTCGTATCACGTAGTGGGCCAGAGGGCAGGAAAAAAAAGGTCCAGAGACTCGCATGCGCGACACCGAGTGAGAACTCGAAAGGACGCGCGCTTCTTACATAGCGTTTCATATAGTATGTGAACGATGCGAACGCGCTCAATCGGCTTGCGGCGGATCCTTTGTCCACAATCACACCATTTCGCTCCTGGGACTTGCATCAATCTAGTTGTCGCAACACAGTACCGGCAACGTATCAGACGGCTTGTTTCGTAGGATAACAAATTGCTCATTGCCTGGAAGCAAAGGATTCTGCTGTCATTCGCGGTTGTCTACTGCAATAGCAAACTTCTACTCGATTCCAGTGGTGTCCAGGTCAACTTGCACGATCGAATCACTCAAACCTCCCTGATGCGGCCAGCTGATATCATGACGGACATAAGGTGGATAGAGGTACCAAACCGGGGTGTTGCTCACGAACTTTTTGGTTCAGTATTTACGCTTTTCAATAGTCCAGCCACCGCGGTGCGAGCATCCAACAATGGTGAAGGATATGCATGTGTCAGCTTACAAAATTTCGCACCTCGTAAGCGAGCATTGTTCAGTCTATAACCGACCGGGACCCTATCACACGAGCCCCACTCACCCCGCGCTTGCCATCGTAAATTGACTGTAGCGTTTCAGTCGATGCGCTCACTATACAAACAGTCTATATGATAGCCCTTTTTATATTCTAGAATGGGTCGCTGACTCCGGCAACGTCTGCCCACTTATCATTCTCTTGGTTCGTTTCCCACCTCGACATGTAATGCAGATTAGGATGAGCGCAGGCGATAATCACGATTTCTGAGACTGATCGAGATGCCCATCATCGGCTACGACGCGACACAAAATCGGACAACCTCCCCTCAAGCAGCCGCAGCGGACCGAGCGCCCATGCGAGCCGTAAAAGTACGGCTCAGAGTATGAATTATGTTAAAATAATGACGGAAAATCAACGGCGCTTTGCCGTTGTCGAGGCTAACGTTGCCGGTGTCACCTGGACACTACTCGAGCAGGGTCAAGATCAAAGGAGCCTGTTCACAACCACTCCGCACCTGGACGACCTCGATCTCGCGTCCATTTCGTAAAATTGGTATTCTCATAAACACAAGCCTCGTATGCTATATCGATCTATCCATCTATCGTAGGGCTCTCCCTACCCTTAAAGCCAGCGTTATTGAACAGTTATCCGCAAGACAAGCCGAGTATCCCATCAGTCCGTACGCATGATTGCTTTGTTTTTTCGTTAAAAGACCTCCGCGCCTGACGTCCGCGTTCGAGGTCCACCTCGACTCTCCTCATCCCCGCACCTTCACCTCGAACAAGACGCCTTAGGCGAACATCTTTCCGAAAGCCTTCATCTGCTTCTCCTTGGTGACCTCTCGTCGCTTGACCAACTTTGCTAATTCCGTCTTGACCGCCGCATCCCCTCCATTCTTGAGGGCTTCCTTGTAATCCTTCTCTGCGGCGTCGTCGTCCTTCAAGAGGACGTGGGCCTGACCCCTTCGATAGAGGGCTTTGACCTTGTCAGCGGCCGAAAGAGGGTATTTGGACGGAGCGAGGGAGAGGATCCGGGTCGCGTGGGAGACAGTGAGTTTGGGTTGAGGTGGGCTGGTCTTGAGGGCCGCAAGGGAGATGTTGGCAAGCAGAGAGTATCGCCTAGATTTCCGCGATGAGGAATGGTGTGAGTGACAGCAATTGGTGCACAACAGATCCAACCCCAATCTCTTGACTCACATGGCTTCGTACTCCTTCATGAGCTCCTTCCCGGTCTCTTCCGGTAAGAACGGGTTGACATCCAGGTACCTGACCCCCTTCTCCCACAACCCCAGCGCGACATCCACCTTGCCCTCCTTGAACTCGGCCGCGCCCAAAGCCTTGAGATCGGTCGCAACATCCAAATGTCCCTTGACGTCCCCCTCATCGAGGTCTTCCTGGTCCGTCGGGTAATCTTCGTACTTGTCGCCCGGAGTCAAGGACGAAGAGGGGAGAGGGTCCGAGGGGGAGAGGACGCCGGAGGAAGCGATCTTGACGGGCGAGACGGGAGCGTCGGAGGACGAGGTGGGGAGGGATTCGATACGCCTCACGAGGGATTTACCGGCGATGACTTTACCGAAGACGACGTGTTTGCCTGTGCAGCGTTGCAGATTCAGATTCATCAGCCTCGTGCATGCAGACAACGCGACTGCGTTTAACTGAGAAAAGAGGAGAAGAGGGACTCACCGTCGAGATGAGGAGTCTTGACCGTAGTGATGAAGAACTGACTCCCGTTCGTTCCCGGACCAGCGTTGGCCATGGACAACAAGAACGGCTTGTCGTGCTTCAAGTCAAAGTTTTCGTCCTCGAACTTTTCGCCGTAGATGGAGACTCCGCCGGTCCCGTTGTGAGCTGTAAAGTCTCCTCCCTGTAGGTAGATCAAAGTGAAAGCAGAGAAAAGGAAAAGGAGAGGTGAGAAAGGGAGTTGAGAAGGTGGTCCGACATCAGCATCAATATTCCGCCCACCCGACCATCATCATCAATCGCTCGACTGACCTGCAACATGAACCCCTTGATAACCCTGTGGAATCCGCTTCCCTCATAGCTCAACTTGGCCCCACTCTCGTTCGTGCCCTTGTCGCCGAGACAGAGGTGCAAAAAGTTGTCGGTCGTCTTGGGTACGACGTCTTGAAAGAGTTCAAAGACGATCCGGCCAGCTGGGCGCGAGTCGATGGTGATGTCAAAGTATGGGCGAAGGGACGAGTCGGACATGGCTGGCTGATGCTGATATGGTGATCTGCCTGATTTAGACGATAGTATGTATGTGGGACGACGAGGTGAATGGCCTTTTGATATTGACATGGTCATACTGGTTTGTCGCTTCTCGACATTCTCGAACGTTCCCCGCTCTCCTTTGAATTAGCGGAGACCCCCTTTCGTCAGCAGCTGACGTAATCGATGACGGCAGGACAGAAATAGTTTGATAACAGATGATAGACGTGACGTGTCAGATGCAGAGGAAGGAATTGATGACGCGGATGGCTGTGCAGAGGTGGCGTTTCTCTTCATTACCGGAATCGGACGCGGATGCAATTGTCGAGAGAGAGATGCCGAGAAATGACCGATGGATGCCGATTTCTTCTGATCAGATCCATGGATCCATGGTGGATCTCATCTCATCTCATCGTTGACGACCTCCTCATACCTCGCGGTTCTCGACTTTCTCCATATCATCATAGAGATCATAGATCATAGCATACAAGAGCTCGACCTTGGAGCCTGAAGGTAGACGACATATACGACCATGCGGATCGCGCCACTCCCGATTGTCCTCCTCCCGCTCCTCACCCTATGTCCACCCATCCTCGCCTCACCTGCACCCACGCAGCTGGTAGCACATCAGGACGCTGCTTCTGCTACACCGATCGTCGTCGAGGGAACACCATCAACTGATCCGGCGGCGACCTTGAATACGCAAACGGGTACGGGAGTCACGCAGAATCCGGCCGAACAGACTTCTACGGTCGGAGGAACGGTGTCGGATGTGGAAACGCAGGTCAGTTTTTGATTCTCTTCATATCCAGTTTCTCGTGGGTCCTTTTAAAGCTCACGAATGTACAAAACATCTCTTAAATATTTGATAGACCTCGCCCGCAGCGGAAACTACAACTCCAGAGCCTACACCTGCACCTGAATCCACTTCCGCTGCAGTAACAGAGACCCCAACTACACCTTCCACGAGCGCACAGGCGGGATCGTCATCGGAATCCACACCCGAAGCATCGTCTTCCCCAGTCCCAGTAGAGAGTACCAGTCAGGAACCTACGCCTTCACAGTCTCCTGCCTCTTCTGTGGATCCGATTACCTCCTCTTCGGAAGCTGTAACTACGTCGACTGAAGCACAGCCTTCGGCAACGAGCACCGAGCAGAGCGCCGTCCCTTCCCAAACGCAGACAGAGGCACAGACGAGCCAGGCAGAACAGACGCCAAATGCAACCTCAGAGCCTAGCACTCCCGCTTCTACTTCATTCGCACAAGAGGCCTCGTCCACGGCGGTCGTGCCATCAACTAGCGCTGTAGCTAGTTCGGAGGGTAGTACTGCTGGGGAGACCTCTACCGGTATTGGGGGCGGAACCAGCGGGAATGCTGGTAGCCCAACGACCACGACAACGGCAGCGGGAGTGACGACGACTACGGATCAAGTGGGAGGAGTCGCGACCACAACGAACGGTCAGGTGACTACTTCATCCGGTCCGAGGACGACTACTCAGGCGGCTGTCACCACTACGACCACAGGCAATTCTGGATCAGGAAGCACCGTCGTCCAGAACCCCAACAACAACAGCCCTACCACGACAACCAACAACAATAACAACAACACCCCTGCACCGACTCAGGTTCCTTCGACGGTAACAGTCCCAGCACCTTCCCAAGACGCAGGCGGGACGAGGACGGTCACTTCTGCGCCTATTGTAGGTGTGGTCACTCAATACGTCACTGCACCCGTGACCGAAGTGGATTCGAGCGGACGGACCGTAGTCAGGCAGAGCGAGGGGGTCGATGTGGTGACCATCACGGTCGCCGCGGGCGGTAGTGGAGTTGGGGTTGCACGTGAGTACACTCGAACTCGGTCAAGTAGCTTGTAATGTCGTCCGAATGAAAGTTGACTGAAAGGCTGGGGTCATTTGGTTTTGTTTTCCTCTCTTCAACAGCCGAAGTAATCACCTTGACAGCGACTCAAGGTCAAACGCAAGATACGGGCGGCGTGGTTGTGGTCACCATGACCGAGGATACCACCTCGACGGACCCTGCAGGCGGACAGGTCGTCGTCGTCAAGGTCAGTTCTTTTTCGTCAATTCGATCGTTTGTGATGTCAGAACGAGCTGACCCGTATGATCCTTTTTCGATGTTATGTAGACGTTGACCTCCTCCATCCCCTTTACACGACCGGCTACCGCGACCGCCGATGGGGGTACATTACAGCAAATGCCGGATTCGTCGGCCCTCTCGTTGGCCGCTACGGGCAGGTGGAAATGGGCATTGACGGGGTTGGCAGTTGGGGTGGGAGCGGGAGTATTGGGGGTCGTCGGATAGGGAAAAATAATCCTATACACGACTCGGGTCGTATACGAGCAAGTACGAGCAGGCAGGAAAAGAGAGAGCAGGTCATAATAACACGGGAGACCATAACATAATAGATTGCGGTGAAGCTGTACGAGAAGAGAAAGAGGAGGAGAGCAGACGACAAAAAGGTCTGGGTCACACGACAAGGTCCGCACGGGCCGACTGTATCGATAATCTACATCATATCATATTATATTGAAAGGCCGGGTCGGTACGAGGTCCAGAAGCAGCCTGTCGAATGGAGTAGCACTTTGGAAGGTGAAACTGGTACAGCTGTGATCGCTGCGCAAAGAGACGGTTCTTGCTTGCCAGCGATCCGTCAAGGACGATGTAGGGGACTGCGGCCACCCCATCTTTGCTGTTGGGGAAACAGAAACCCTGATAAAAGCAGACGTAGCCAGAATGAGCCTGGAAGCGACAGTGGCCCAAATCGTCCCGCTGAGATCGTTGGACTTGAGCCTTTTAGTCAAGGCGTCGATCTGCTCTTCCCGACCGGCCGGAAGGTCAGCGTAATCCTCGATGAAGCCTGCCGCTGACAAGCCACGCCCAGGGCACAGCATAATCGCAAGTTCTTGCCATTCGGTAGGCGTCCGCATGCGCCGTGGTTGGAACGCGGTCGGCGAAGGACCTGGTGCTTCCTGTCGCTTTCCTCGATGAACCCCGAGTAGTAGGCGGTGACAGGTTGAGCCCAGGGCTCCAGTAAGTCCCACCATGAGAGGGCAAGGGATATCACAGCTTGTTCAGGGCATCAATTCCGCCAGGAAATCAGTCATTCTGTCGGTACACTCGCTCAGACCCTCTTCTCCATCTCGATACCATCTTACGGGATACTTCAGACACCATTTCTTTGCGTTGCTCCGTACATCTCTCTGAACGATGCACACCTCATTGGTCTTCTCGCATCTTTTCCAATGTTTTTGAACGGGATGCGTACAGGTTCTCTGGGCGCGGGGACATTGAACTCGGTGGCGCGGACCGAGAACAAAAGCAAGAACGTGGCGCGTTTCGTTGCTGCGCAAATGTTTGATACGCGTTTCAGGTTTCCGTCGCCCGTGGGAAGGGAGAACAAAAAGAAAACTCTACATCCTTTCGGGCGCAAGCGATCAATCCTCCACTTAGCACGAAGAAAATAAACAAACAAACCTTCATTCGGCCACTCGATCGATATCAGTTGGATACTCTCAGTCACTGGGATATCATCGACCTCGTCAGCTTGCAGCTTGACAGCCCTGACGATCTGTTCGAAGGATAGATGCCATTGACCTCGACCTAGAACACAACCGATCTAAACTCAGCTATAAGAATTGGCATGAGGCTGAGCCTCTTTCACCTCCTGGTCGTCTGCAATGTCGTCCTCACTGCAGCAATTCCCGTCAGAGACGGATCACCACCAGACCTTTACCGTTCAGACTCTCATCCTCACCGACCTCGTCATCTCTTCCCATACTTGGCCAACATGGTCTCACAGCTACTTGGCAAAGACGAGATTTACACCCCTCTAGGACCGATCCGGGGGACAAGCACTGAAGTCGAAGGGATCAAGCGATACGTCATCGAGTACGCACAAGCCGAGAGGTGGAAGCCGTCGTATCCCACACAAGGTCGAATTAAGGGTTTGAAGTGAGTTGCCGCGTGTTGTCACTCCGGAGCTGTTACTTTGCTGACTATGATGCCGATATCTTATTCAGTAAACTCCCCCCGGTTTGCCCGCAACAAGCCACAAACACCCTGCCGGACTGGACAGTCCAATCGGAAGACTGTCTGTACTTGACCATCTACGCACCTTCATCTCCTGCTTCAGGACCGCCGAAGAGAGACTTGCCTACACTGTTCTGGTGAGTTCGATCACTTTGAATACAGTCACTGACCTATCACTGATGCAGTCCTGATATCTACAGGATACACGGTGGATCTTTCGTCTCGGGGTCAAGCAGCCATCCAGGATTGGACGGTTCGATCCTAGCAGCTCATGGCGAGGGCACAATCGTGGTGATGATCCAGTACCGGTAAGCTACCGCGACTGTTTACGACCTTCGAATCTTTCGACTGATACTGGAACGCCTTGCTGTGGAAAAGCTTGGGCGTTCTAGGAATGCTCCCTCCCGACGATATCTCCTCGACCGACCCGAACCTGGGTTTGAATGACATCAAGACCGGCCTCAGATTCTTCAAGGGGTTGGCTAGTAGCTTTGGAGGTGATCCGGATAAGATCACTGTTGGAGGGCATAGTAGCGGCGGGCATATGATACGAGGTCAGTACGAGAAGACGACCAGATCTACCATTCTTCTGGTTGGCGCAATAGTTGACTCGGGGTTGATTGGGTCATCTCAGGCTTGTTGGCCAGCCCGGAAATGGAGGGGACGTTCCGGGCGGCTATCATCCAATCTGATCCTATGGTATGTATCGCTACCTTTCCTCAAGCCTAAGACAAGCGTTTCTGACATGCTCTGTCTATCTTCTTGCAGGCATTCGGTTTCGCAACCCCTGCCATAACTACAGAGATCCAACGACGGTTCTTTCGGCAGACCGACGGGTTCTCCCATGGTATTCCGAGTTGTACTGGGGACGACCTGGAGTGTTGGAAGAACGTCAGTGCGGACGAATTGGTTGCTGCGCAAGGACGCTTGATAGAGTATCTGAGTGGGGAGGGAGTTATTCCAGGTGTTCCGTCAGCGGAGGGTGAGTAGATATGACGGTCAGCGAGAATGGACTCCGCGCTGAATCCCTGCTCTACAGTCTTACGGCCAACTTCGTCGACTCCTTCATTGTCACGCGATATCGGAAAGGCGCTCCTAGACGGCCAGCCAATGATCAAGGTTCCCTTGCTCTTGACGACGGTCTCCGCCGAGTTCGGGTCTACCATCCAGGCCATCGCTCCTTCCGCGATTCCCGACCTCTCCACGTACAACATGACCGTTCAAGCGCTCTTTGGTGAACGGACCGCCGAGATCCTCCTGAACGATGTGCCGGAGTATGATATTAACAACCCCATCTCGCTGAACCAGGCGAGGTTGGCGGGGATCGACGATATGCGAGCTATGTTGATCAGGATGGGTACGGATGCTGTATGGAGGAGTCCGATAAGGGACTTCGCTCGGATGTGGACACAGCGAGGAGAGGGAGACGTTTGGATGGGGGAGTGGCAAAGGGGAGAGAGGTACCCGAGTAACGCCGGTGGCAATATCTGTCGTCAAGGGGTCGTATGCCACGAGGTAAGCGCGTGCTCGTAGTTCGTAGCTTGAGCTCGTATGGCGAATGCTGATCAAGTCGCCTTGACCGTAGGACGAACTTCTCCCTACTTTTGGTCAGGGTCCTACTGACCTAACATCGGAGACCATCGCTCGCTGGTCCGCCTTCGTGCACAGGCTCGACCCGAATCCTAAGACTTCCGTCACTTCCGATTCAAGATGGGAGAAATATGACGGATCGGCCAGGTTCATCTTCCCAATCGGCGGATCGATAGACGGACGAGAGATCCTCGAATGTCCTTCGGTATGGGGGACGACCATCCCGTATGACTGGCAGTTGTATGCATAGGTCGGAGCGCGATATAGCACAATGCATTGTATCCAAAGGGCGAACATCTAGGGTATTCAATACTGTATAACAACAAATGTATCCCAAATACAAGGAACCTGATCTTACAACGTCCGTGAAGTCCTGTCTCGAGCTAGTCTGAATGGGTTCCGGGAACGGTAGGTTCACATGGCAAAGCCAACGCTCTTCTTCTTGCCGTCCTTGGCGTCAGACGACGGTGATGGTTTACCTTCTCGCTGAGCCTTATTCTGCTTCTTTCGTTCTCGTTCTTTCTGAAGGATAAGAGCTTTTGCCGAGGCCTATCGTTGTGGGTAGCAAGTCAAGGAGCACAGCGAGATTGAGCATCTCAACACAAACGTATCGCGATGAAGGCTCGCTGAGAGGGTTGTGCGCTCACAAGTTCCCGATTCTTGTCTGATAATCGATCGACGACCTTTTTCTTTGGTGCTGACGATTCCTCCCCAGCTACTGTTGCCGACTGCGGTCCTTCCTGCTCGACGGCCTTCTCCTTGCCCTTTGCGCTAACGATCAACCTCCCCTCACTCCCATCCATATTTCCGCTAGCCCCGGGCCCGACCTTTCTTTTTCCACCCCCATTGGAATTCTTATTTCCCTTCTTGTTGTTCTTCTTCTTCTTGTCGACCGTCTCGAAACTGATCACGCCCCGACCATCGTCGTTCGTGCTCGCCATATGGTCGTCGGCGGCTAGATCCTCTTTATTGGCTTGTGGTCGGCCGGCCGTCCATTTGGGCATTCCATCGATCAGTGATAACAAGGCCGACTGAGATTTTACCGTATGATAAGCGAAACTGTGATCTAGCTAGCCAGAGACATTCAACGGCAAAAGCTCACCTTGTCCTCAACGAACTTTTTCCCCTTCTTTCCCGTCCCACCAGCCTTGCGCGGTACAGGTCTGCCTTCAGTTCGTGCCATGTCGATCTCTGAATTGACTCGTTGATATAGCCGAGGTGATCCGTGTGGTCTAGCAGCTGTCGAAAGTCTTCTTGTCAAACCCGTGGGAAGAGGAGAAAGTCGCCAAAAGTTGATGGGGTATCTCGATGAACAGATTAATAATATCGATCACGTGACTCGCTTGCGAATGATTTATATTATGATGAACGTGAAATCGAGCAATCGTCAATTTCGCTGGAATGGCAGTTCAGACAGTTCGAGATCATTCCTGTAGTACAGGGGAGGATCATCATATCAAACATCCTGCCTACTGTCTCGTGTGAGCCCAGAAAATCGATACGAAAGGTTTCGTCACGTGACCTCAAAATGTGGTAGGGCGTGACTTTCTTTTTGGCCCTCGGCAACCTCGATTTTACTAATTTCGATGCGATCACCCCGAGAAGCTTATAGTGCACTAGTATGGTACTCTAGTGCACATATATGGTGTTATCGCGACTGAAAACAGCTTAATGGCTATCAATCGAGAGATAGATCGATGCTTTCGCGCATGCGTTTCATCTGAAACGCGATGGGGCTGCTCTGTGTTACACTCGAGCCCACGCCACTTCAGCGTGTCCGCGGTGGGTTACGTGCCTAGAAATACCTTCTAATGCCAAATGTAGACGCTTGTGGTGTTGTTTTGTCCCCGATCGGTGGTGTTGACCGTATACAGTTTCACGAGCGAGCGTCCACGAAGCAACTTCCTCGGCAAGCGCCTGCCCGTCTATCCTCTCAAACGGACATGGGACGAATCAATCATGTCTATAGTTATAGTAATGAATTATATATGTCCGCCGCATTATAGATTGTTTTTTATGAACTTTTGATATATCCCGCCTCCTTTAAGGACCGATGACCGACATCAAGACCGGCTCTCCTCGCACGCACTCCGTCTCCTATCATGTCCACAGTTTGATCAACCTGTGTAGTTCCTTATCCTCCCATGACATCCAATCGGGATTGAGATATCTTTTATTATAGTGGGCCGCTTCGTACGCCTGATTCTGGGTAGGAGTGAGAGTGATGATCGGGACCTCTGGCATCGAGGGGAGGAAGAGCACTCTAGTTCCGAGCGACGGAAACTTTGATGTCCTATACTGGGCACCGCAAATACAGATTAGCGTTCAAGTACTGTAGAGTCCATCGCTAAGAATTTCCACTCACGAAAGCCTCCATCTCCTCATCCATCTCGGTGATCGTGTGCAACGTAGCTGAGCTGGTCCGTTGGCTGCACCGAGATCCAGGCCAGGTGTTGTAACAGCGACTCATCCTACTATCGTGTTGATCATACAAGTCCACCAATAGCGAACGCTCCGTGGGGCATCGTTGTCCTCGACGGTAGGCTCTGGGAAAGGTCGACGCGATCCGGTCTGCACGGACGATACGGGGATGGGTATCAGGGTGGAGGATGGCAACTTCCTTGAAGAATTCGCCACCAGTAATCTTGTCGATGATGAAGTAGAGGATGGTGCTGTTGTCAAAGCCGAATGGAAGGTGAGTTCACATCGTAGCCCGACGAAAGAAAAATCAAACTCACAGGACCAAGACTATCGAGACGCAAGCGAGGACGATCGCCTGAGCAAAGTCCTTGAAGAAGGCGATGATATTCGAAGCATCCCAAGGTCCCGCACTGAGGTAGATGACACAGAAGATCTGGCCGCTGCACAATTTGACGATATCAGGTTGATCGCCGGTCGGAGCGGAGATCGCGGTCGAAGTCGAGGTAGCAATGGTAGTGACGATCGATGTGGTCTGGCTGATGGTCGCAGTGGGTTCAACAGTAGGGATATACATTGCGAAGGGTTCGAGCACGACTTTGCTTAGTTCCGGGGTATAGAAAACGAAGAAATGTGGAGCCCTTGGAGAAGCCTGGAGAGGAAAGAGTTGACAAGAGGAACAGTACATCGAGATGGTAAGAGCACCGAAGTCTTCAAGACTGTTGTAGCTACACCCGTCGCCCAGACGAGGCGGGGACGCGCCAGCCCGGATCGTATCGCTGAAACGCTGCAGGCGCGTCGCGGGGTCGGATCACCTTTTTGGGTTAGCGTCGTCCTTATGAGTGTGGGAGGGGCAGACGTAATGTTCATATATGACGTCTTAGGCTTTATGTCAGTTTGTCAGCACAACGAGGCGGTACCGTAGCCAATTACGTGGATTGCTTTTTGATTCAACCCTATTACAACAAGAGTCAAGTTCCTTTTGCGATGATCTTTGTATGCGTCTACTCAATAATACCTAAGTCCTGACTTTCCGTATCGAAGAATACCTGGACAGCGTGCAGCGGGCGCTGCAGGAGGTGACAAGGTTGCGCTTGCGGTACAGGTTCGCCGGCTAAGCCGACGTCCGACATCCTCGGAGATGACCGGATGCTTATCCCCCGAGCCCTTCGGAAGCAATACGTCACCTCACCACGCTCTCTCTAGCACGCAAAATGTCAACTTTGACCTTGAACTTGGTCGATCCTTTGTCAAATCGTTAGTTGCGACTAGAGGTACTTGAACAATAGACACAGCGCCTACAGGAGACACTCTGCTGGTCTGACTTGCTGTACTCTCAAATCTGATCACGAAGCCTTTCCAAGCTTTTCTCAACGGCCACTACCAACTCTTATTACACCTTGCAAGAATGACCTCTTCTCGACCTTCCGTGCTCGTTCGTGGTTCGATCAGTGAGTATACACAGAGTCCCAAGCCATCAGTAAAGGTGCTGAAAGGAAGATCGGCTTCGTTTCGAATCAGACATCGACGAGTTCTACTCAGTGCAAAATATCGTACGGCCCGGTCAAACCATCGCCTCGCGCTCCCTCAAGAAGCTTCTAGGAGGAAAGGGAGCCAATCAAGCCAAGGCTGTTGCATGTGCTGGAGCGGATGTCTTGCTCGACGGTGCTGTCGGAGGAGACGACGAGGGAAGGTCTGTTAAGGGGAAGCTTTGTGATTATATTGAGGGATCAGAGGGCAAGATTATTGGAGACAGGATCGTCCTGGCCGAGGGAGTGTCGACCGGCAAGGCTGTCATCCAGCTTGCCGACGATGGCGAAAACTGCATTAGTGAGTAAAAAGAAACACTTGTAACATGGTTTTCAGCTGGCTGATCGCAATACCACTTCCTGCAGTCATTCTCGGAGGCGCCAACACGCATCCTCGACCAGACCCTACCCCGCTCATCCCAGACAACATCACACATCTCCTCCTCGCCAATGAAATCCCCCTCGACTCCACACTGTCTTACCTCAAGGCCGCCCACTCCCGATCCGCCACTACCATCTTCAACCCATCCCCGATGCTCTCTGCCGAAGCACTCCGGGCTTTCCCTTTTGATCAGCTCGAATGGCTTATTGTCAACCAGGGGGAGATGTCTACGATCTACGATTCGCTAGTGGGCAAGGCAGACTCGATTTCGGACTCTGAAGATTCGCCAGAAAAGGTCATTGAGAATGCTCTCGCACTCTACAAGAAGTTGGATTGCAAGACGAGCATCCTTTGTACGTTGGGCGGTCAGGGGGTCATCTACGTCCGGTCACTCTCGACGACGTCCAGCGGTACCGATACCGAGAACGTTGAATCCGGGCACCTCCCCGCTGCCAAGCTGCTCAATCCTATCAAGGACACTACTGGTGCAGGGGATTGTTTCATGGGGACTTTTGCGGCGGGGATGGCTCGTCTCGCCAAAAACAACTCTGAGCGCAAGGCTGAAGTTTCAAAGGAAGACTTTACGGACGTCCTGAAGACCTGTTTAGTCGTAAGTCTACCGATCTTCCTCTTGCCACGTCCTGCGCGATTATCGACTGAACATACTTGACCCTTACCTCATCATCAGGCTTGCTCGATGTGCGTCGAAAAGGAAGGCGCTCAGGATAGTTATCATCCAATCTCGGCCGTCGAGGAGCGCAAGAAACAGACATTTGCTTGAAGACCATGCAATCCAGACGTTGATGGTATTCTGACAAGGACGAAGGATTGTCGCGACGCAACAGGAACATGTCGAGACGAGCAGAAGAACATGAGACACCGGGATCGAGGAGACAGATGGGCATTTGGGTTGTAAGACATATGCATGAGATGAGGACGAAAAGAGTACAGACAGTCAATCTATCAGAACAGGGTCGCACTTGACGGCCCCCGTTGCACTGACTTCGATCGAGACTGCCGTTTTCCTAAACACACCCGGTTGCGATGGCAAATAACCCCATTGAAATGTGCCCCAATGGTGCGTGATAGATGGGATAGGTACAAGTCCCGTCTCTCTACAATCGGTGATCTGAACAGTCCGAATCTCAAACAGTAGGTGCTTCTTGACTACTATTTGTACCGCTTGCCTCTCGCTTCCGTTTGTGTTTTTCCCAAGGCATAGAAGTGAGCTTGATCCAATTGTAACGAGGAGTGCTTTCAGATTGATGCGGCATCACAGGTCCGTCACTATCGCTGGTATTGGGCTCGGATGGGTTCTCTTGATGAGCGCGAGAATTCTGAGTACACCACAATGCGCCCATCGATCTTTTCACGAAATCGCTGTGGTACGACTTCGAGATGTCAGCGCGATCAAAGGATAGCCACTACGGTGAAAATGGTCTCACCCATAAAAGACACGGATGGCCCAGGCGATACCACACACTAAGCAAAGTCCCAGGATACTGGAAGTCACATAGATGGCGACCTTTTCGCCTCCCGATAGGTCGCTCCATTTGTGCGTCGCTTGCGTTGTCCCGGCTCGAACACCGCGGAAAGGTTCTTCGGTTTTATTTGCTGACATGGCTGAAAGTGGTAGTTATCTTGGCATAAGATCAACAGGCAAATCGATCCAGAGGTCTGGGCTCCGACCTTTATTGCGGGGATGAGCAGTTCAGAAGGCTCGAGAGACAACGTCATCATTCGACGATTGAGAATGCTGGTGTTTCTCTTCCTTTGTTTGTCAGCACGACATATTACGCTTTCTGCTTCTTGATTGCGACAACCCATGAATCTACGGTTCTCAAAGGCTCCCATGGCCTTGTGATGTCATGGAGAAATCTATAGAACGTTGATAGGTTTCTGTAGCTGTGGGGAGACAAGACGAGTTGGATGGATCAGTTCCTATCGCCTGACGTGTCCCGGTGACCACTAACACGAAAGCGGTCAGCTACAGATGGGAAGGACCCTTTCATACACTATTGGTATCAGACAAGCTGCGCACCAAGGTCAAAGGCCCTTTGGCATAACCGTTTCCATCGGGTATTTGTCTTTGTCCGTAACGGCTTAGATCACACCCGGTAACGCCGAATCGCACTCGAACATGATTGATTAGGCTCGAATAGTTCTCGCCACGTATGACCTAGTGATCCAGGTATCACCTCCTGCGGGACCACTGATACGTTGTAAGTGTAGGCAGTGATGTGTCGTCTACACAAGAGTCTTCTGCGAGCCGTCAATGCGATCCCGGAAGGTTTGATGTTCTTAAGATCGGGCTGGATGCGCAAACGCGGAACATGTGCCTTTTGTACCTTAAGCGGTCGAATATTTGGCCCACCGGAATGATGGCAGAATTGGTTGGAAAGGACGATGCATTTCGAGTGATTCGAGCTTCGACTTGGAACCGGTTTACCATACCGATACGTAGCAGAAAACACATCCACAGCTTGCTAGTCATGTATCCTTGATCACGCTGCCACCGGACCTGTACGGAAGCCCGATCTGTATGATTTGTAATCACATACCGATTTCGTCAGGCCTTCGGTTGGCGAGATGGCTGCGTAAACAAACTGAAAGGCAGAAATGTAATGGCTATGAGTTCTTCCCTCAGAGCTAGCTATCACCTGTACTAGGACGGTATATCGTGTCTCCGGGTGCACTCGATAGCTGGGGATGACGCGGAACCCTACCTGTAGACTTCATTTTCCAAGCGATTTCGGCGTCCTTCGAGACGGAGAAGGGCTTGCCTACCTATACTCTGTGGTCTGGATCTGGTGGCAAGAGCATCTCAAGGAGTGTCTGAGCGTCAAAGTGGATGATTCACTTTTGTGTGGTTCAGCATGCGCACCCAACACGACATCGAAATCCCGAAACGCCGCGAACTGCGCGCGCGTCGTTTGAAACTTCAATCTGGACTGGATTTGTGCGCTTGACGACGCGTCGACGTGCAGGTCTGACATCCTGGATGATTAGATCATGGTTTAGCAAGACTGGTGGTACGATGGTCACCTGGTTGCGAGAGACGCGACGCGACGAGACGAGACGAGGCGAGGCGAGACGTGTCTGGTGCTGCATATAAGGCAGATCTTCTGGGTTAGACTGAACACCCTCTCGACTCTTTTCCCCCTCTACTCATCACCTTTGACAAAGATAACGTCCTAAGCCTTACTCATCTTCAACGCACTTTACAAAAAAACAACACCGCACGCATCCTTTGCAATGGCTCCCATTTCCAATCTTCCCGGCTCGGTCATCGTCGACCGTCAATACAGCTACCCCCCTTGTCCGCCCGATTCGCACATGACGGAGCGCGGATGTTCAGGGTTCGAAGAGAGCTGGCCTTGGACCTACGACCCTTCGACTACCCTCCAGCCCGAAACCGGGTTCCAGCCCGAAGGGACTGAAACCGAATGGCACGACCCATCCACCTCGACCCAGTCCGAACCGGAGCCCGTTTGGCACGACCCTTCCCAGGACGATGCCGGTGGGCCTTGGGTCGGTAGCACGCCTATCAAGGTCGAGTCGGACTACAAGCTCGCCGGTGTACCCGTCTTTGTGTGGGTCATGCTGTTCACCGCAATCGTCGCCGCAGCCTGTGTCGCCTTCTTCTTCTTTGCGTGAGTCAAGATCTGGGCCGAATCATATGCCAGCGCGCCAAAGCTAAACGGATCCGTATGCAACTGTGTAGGAGATACTTGTACCGTCAGGATCAAGCTATCAAGGCCGCAAAGGCAGAGGAAGCCGCCGCGGCCGGGGAGGCGCCTGCTGAGCCAGAAGAACCCAAAGCAGAAGAAGCCGCCGCCGAAGGGGAGCCTGCTCCAGAGGAACCCGCACCTGAAGAACCTGTTCCCGAAGCTCCTCCTGCACCTGAGCCTGAGCCCGAAAAGACTCCCTTGATGGCACAGGTCGAGGCGGACATCAAGGCGCTCCAGGAAACCCCTTCGCTGCCTGCGCTTTGGTACGCTTACGGAAACTTGACTGCGCGGATCGGTGAGTGATCTTCAGCCGTTCTGATAAAATATACCAGCTAACAATCCATATATATGTACCGTTCGTTGTTAATACAGACAACCACCCAAAGCCCATCACCTTCGACGACGTGGTTCGATCCATCCGACACCCATAAAATCCTCTATCGCGCCACCTCTCGCCGGCCTGCGGCCTTTCGACTAGCAACTCACGACACACATTCAGTGGATAGTCCGACTGTATTAATTTTCATATGCTTTACCGCTGTATTCCGTTTGGCCTGCCAATCCGTATCGTCATATTGTTGCATCCTCATGATCCAGACTGAATCGATATTCCACCCTTTTTGCCACGCGCCAGAGCGCTGCGCCACATGCCGGCATACTGTATGAGCGACGCGTATACAGATCGACACCTTACGCGATCGGGGTTGTCGGGCGAACGGTACATCATCGAACCGGTTCAGCCGACCGGGTTAAAGTCGAACCGAGCATTGGGCCAGGTTCTCGACAGTACCAGGACATTCTATCCTCCGATCACCCTGTCGCAATGACAGGGGCACCGAGACATGACTTCAACGACCTGACAGAGTCCTGACATTTCGGTCTCCCGGGACATTGTCAAGCCGTAAAACTTGAAACCAGTCGTGAGAAAGCGCCAAGTAGCCGGAGGACTCGGAAAGAGAGCCGTTTTGATTCCGCTCACCCCGCCCCGGCGATGGTCAGGTGTGGGGGCTGGCGGGGGTCGTTCGCTGGCCCGGGTCAGGTGCACTACGAGCTGCGGTATATATATACCGAGACAGATGATCAGGGTCGCCTCTGTCCTAGCTTCCCCTTCTTGACCGTCCCTGCACTAACCAGCGAAATAGTTCTTTGCTAAACAACAACTTTTAACGATCATGTCTTTCACTTACGACTTTGGGCAAAGCCACGCCAACGCCGCCTACAAAGGCAAGACCACCGTGAACACCAAGTTGTTCATCAACGGAGAATGGGTCGAGGGATCGGGTGAGCAGTGCCAGAACCAAGAGAGCAAGCAGATCCTCGACCACAGGCTAACTTGATCGTCTGCCCATTGACGTCTGCAGGCAAGACCATTGATGTTATCAACCCTACCAACGGCAAGAAGATCACCGAGATCCAGGAGGGTACCGCTGCCGGTAGGTTAAACCCTGTTCTGCATTGCATTTTGCGCTAACCGCTGACGCCCGCATCTCACACAGACGTCGACAAGGCCGTCGATGCCGCCGAGAAAGCTTACAAGACCTCTTGGGGCGGTAAGTTCCGCCCACATCAAGCTAGGCGTGCTTAGCGCATAGCTGACCAGTGTGCGTCCTGTTTGCAGAGCGAGTCTCTCCCGCTGAGCGAGGGAAGCTTTTGATCAAGCTTGCCGAGCTCATTGAGGCCAACGCCGACGAACTGTCCGCTCTCGAGACTCTTGACAACGGAAAGGCTTACTCTGTGAGTTGGTTACGCCCATCTTGCGCTTAGGGACAACAGTATTCACATTTGCAACGATCTATACTGCGTCTCAGATTGCGAGGGGTTTCGACATTATGGAAGCTGCTCACGTGTTGCGATACTACGGAGGCTGGGCCGACAAGGACCATGGCAAGAACATCAACATCGGACCCGGCAAGATGGCCTTTACCCGACATGAGCCCATCGGGGTGGTCGGTCAGATCATTCCCTGGAACGTGAGTTCACACGGTAAGATGGCAGGAATATATTAGGTGCTGATAGGTAAAACCTCTGGAATAACCTTTGCTACAGTTCCCCATGCTGATGTTCTCGTGGAAGATTGGTCCCGCTTTGGCCACCGGAAACGTCGTTGTCTTGAAGCCCAGTGAATTCACCCCCCTTACCGCCTTGAGGATGTGCGACTTGATTAAGGAGGCCGGCTTCCCCCCTGTAAGTGGCGAACCCCCGCACAAACACTCTCGATGACACCGCGCTGACCTTTTCAGCTCGTTGGGCTTGACCATAGGGTGTCGTTAACATCATCAACGGATACGGACCCACCGTCGGTGCCGCCATCTCTGAGCACCCTAGAATCCGTAAGGTCGCCTTTACCGGTTCCGGTGCCGTCGGTCGTCAAGTCATGAAGGCTGCCGCTTCTTCCAACTTGAAGGCCGTCACCCTCGAGCTCGGTGGCAAGTCGCCCAACATCATCTTTGACGACTGCGACCTCGACAACGCCGTCAAGTGGGCCGCCTTCGGTATCTTCTTGAACCACGGTCAGGCTTGTTGCGCCGGATCGAGGTGAGTTGGCGTCGGTATTGCGCAAAGGTCTAAAACGAGTCGGCAGGATCTAACCCGATTATATTCATCGCAGGGTATTTGTGCAGGAGGGCATCTACGACGAGTTCCAGAAGAAGTTCTTGGAGCACGTCAAGACCCTCAAGGTCGGCGACCCCTTCGAGGCCGACACTTTCCAGGGACCTCAGATCAGCCAGATTCAGTACGACAGGATCATGGGTCACATCCAGTCGGGCAAGGACGATGGTGCCGACTTGTTGTTGGGAGGAGAGAGGTTCGGACACGAGGGTTACTTCATCCAGCCCACCGTCTTCGGTAGCGTCAAGAAGGAGATGAAGATCGGTCACGAGGAGATCTTCGGTCCGGTCGTCGTGCTTCTTAAATTCAAGACGACGGAAGAGGCCATCGAGGCTGCCAACGATACCGAGTATGGTTTGGCCTCTGCAGTGTTCACCAAGGACATCTCGAAGGCGCTCAACGTAGCAAGCAGGATCGAGGCCGGTACGTGGATGTGGTCGTCTTCGTCTGTGGCCTCTGTCCTGAAAGTTCCGTTTTTTTTTCTGCTTCTACAGGCACGTGCTGTGAGTACTAGTCATCTACGCATTGTTATTAGTCCTACCTCGCTGCACTTCGGTTGACTGACTTTCGTATTGCCGGTTACTCGTCAAAAGGGATCAACCTGTGAGTATTCGTCGCTTAGACATCAGTGTGGAACGTCTTTCGTGGTGCTTCGATTGACTGATTTCCGTGTTGCCGGTCACATGTAAAAAGGTACAACTTCTTGACTGCAGAAGTCGCCTTTGGAGGTCACAAGCAGTCCGGTATCGGCCGAGAACTCGGAGAGGAAGCCCTCAGTGAGTTTGAAGTTGATACGACGCGCCGCGTTTCACGTCGGCGCATCAGGACGGCCGTTGAGCTGATCCTCCTATTTCTCCGAGTCTTCAGAGAACTACACGGAGTCGAAGTCTGTCATTATCAATCTGGATGGTTCTGCTCCTTGAGCGATTATTGCTACGTGTTCCACAAATGTCTTGAATTGATGACACAACTGGTTCTGTATATCGGATTTGATCCGCCGAGTAACATGAATATGAAGTACAAAAGGTGCATATCTGCCGTCGGATGTTGACTTGTGACCTGGGAGTGATAGGAGTATTCATCAAGCAAAAGATTGCTTGTATCCTCCAGAGGGTTTCGGGAGCCGGCTCAGGAGTGGCGCCACGTGCCGTAACGCTCGAGATTCCTGCCGATCAGCTTCCGGCGCGAAACGTCGTGCGTGCTCAGGTCCGAGCATGCAGCTTGGACTCGCTCTCGCTGATCGTTTGCGATGTGCTGATGGGATGGTTTGTTCGTGATCTTGACCTGCATTCCTCGCCACCTATCGAACATCGTCAAGCATTCTACATCTAGAATTAGACTGGTAGATACGGAGGATTGGACATACCTTTGCATTCGTCTGCCCGCCATGTCGAACGGGAAGAAACCCTCGCACATCGCGTTGCCGGCGAAACCATCACCGCAAGACGTGTTTTCCGCCTCTTCAGCTCTCGACTCTGCACCTACCCCATCATCCGCCAATGAATCGCCTTCTGGGACTCTTCACCGCAATGTCTTCGACTCTATCAACTCCCGCAAAAGCAACAATCGGAGCCACTTGAGCCCTTCTTTTGGAGGTGGTTCGAGGAAACCGACTTTCGTGGAGCAAGTCCATCCGAGATTGAGGGGTGCGAGCGGTACGCATGAACGGCCGGCCAGACAAAGCTTTTCCAGTCAGAATCGTAGGGCAAGCAGGATCACCAGCATGCATAGTACCAAGAGGAGAACGTTGATGAGCCCTGGAGCGGATGGAGATGAGGTTGGAAGTCAATTTGAAGCGGAAGGGAAGCCTGCTATCCCGGTTTTGGTACCGGGGATCAGGCCAGCATATTCGACGCCTTTACCGCTCTTGGCAATGATTGTCTTGTCCATCGTAAGCCTATACGGTCTCGATCTATATGAATATATGCTGTCAGACTGATGTAGCTTTGTGTTGACAGGCCATGATGTCCGAGTTTCTCTCTGCCAACGTTTCGACGCCATTCATCCTAAGGATGGTTCGAGGTAAGCATCAACATGCTAATGAGATCAAACCCAGCTGATAGAAATGCATCCTGAATTCTATCTTCCAGGCTTCTTTCTCTCCGGCGACAGGTCTCACGGAGCTCACCCTGACAACACCGAGACCGAAGCGCTCGTCGGATTCTGGACCGGCAACCTTGTCAGCGTGTTCTTCATCACCCAGTTCTTTACGAGCTTGCTGTGGAGTAGTATTGCCGATAAGTACGGGCGAAGGTTGGTACTGGTTGTCAGCTTGTTAGGCAGCGCTTTGTGTGAGTCTGAGAGCTGGATGCTAGTGGACGGCATTTGTTCGGGTTGCTGATCCAGAGATTCCGCGGTAGCCGTGATGACATTCGGAACTTCGCGCTCGGTCCGTCACTCTATTACTAGATACCTTTCAGGATATTTCACTGATGTATTTACCACTTTGCAGCTGCCCGAAGCGATCTGCGTCAGGCTGGCACAAGGAGTATTCGGTGAGTCGTCGCTCCTGCCTTCAAACGATCCCGCAGTCCACTAATCCTTCTTGTGGTGCATGTAGGCGGAAGCATCGGAGTCTTCCGAGGTTCAATTCGAGATATCACGGACCCTACCAATGAGGCAACGGCTTACGCTATTCTAGGTTTCGCGTGGGGTATGGGCGGAGGTGAGTCTTCAACCCGGATTCGGAAGTCATGACGCTTGACTGAACCTTGCTGTATTGGCTTGGCTCGATAGTCGTCGGTCCGGTATGTGTAGCTGTTCAGAGACGCGAGGCTTGCAGCTGAGAAAGTCTCGTGGTATTGGCAGATTATCGGTGGAGTCTTCGAGAGCCCGGCTGCGAATCATCCCACCTGGGCTTTAGGCAAGATCGGTGAGTAGTCTTGTGCGAACATTCTCTCAACTTTTGCAGCTGATACGAATGCCTTTACCAGAATTGTTCGCCACGTACCCTTACCTCTTGCCCACCTTGATCGCCGGAGCGATTCTGACTACTGGCGCTCTGTTGGCTACTCGTCTTTCTTGGGACGGTGGACCTCGTCGTCCCCGCATCGCCCTTCCGCTCGACAAGGAAGAAAATGACGCTGCACCCGCTGTTGAAGCCTCGCCCAGACCTGAATCAACAGTTGGAACTATCAGGAGAAAGGCATCCTCGGTGTTTGCCCCGCAAAGTGATACTTTGGACCTCACTCCTGCACAGATGAGGGTTGCAACGATCAAGGACGAGGAAGCTCAAGAGCGAAACAGGAGAGCTAGTCGTGCCAGCTTCGGTACTGCTTACGGGTGAGCCATGAGGGATCCGCTTGAGTATCAACGCTTGAACTTGGCTAACTTCATAAATGCTAGATACGGTGGGATCCGAGTCAAGCGAGAGGAAATGGCAGCTCGAGCTATGGCTGCCCAGGCCGGAACTTCTACTGACGATGCTGGTGCTGGTGAAGATCATGAGCATCTCGGCTTGGCGAGAAAGTTCTTGCTAGGTAAGCATGATGCTTGTCATCACGTCCGAGCCGTATACTGAGCCGAAAGTCATAATAGCCAACGAGGAGAATACTTTCAACTTGAACGAGCTCTGGGTCAGCGCTGCGACGGCTGCCGAGGATTCGGCTGTCTTTGAAGACGAGGACGACGAGGATGAGAACCAAAATGAAGACGATTCGCAAGCTGGATCTCGTCTCGCCACTCCCTCTCGCAGCAACTTTGCCGGCGCCTCGCCTTACCGCGACCGATCGCCTCTATTGGACATTCCCGAACCCGATCACACACCCAAGCCCCGTCTAGGTGGTCTTTCTGAAGCCGGATTGAACAACCGACTATCTTCCAACTTGCAACGCGTTTCCGTATCGAGCAGAAGGTTCTCCACCGTTTCCCGTCACTTGCCCGCCATTTACTCCAATACCGGACTGCAAACACCTCCTGCTATTGCCGCAGCGTACGAATCGGACTACCTAGACAGTCAAGGGGATGGGCCAAGTCACGCTGGCGGTATGAGCGCCATCCACGAAGGTCACACTGCCGAGCCATCTGCCGCGAGTGAGACCGGTACCATCAGGTTGAGGACGGAGACTGACGAACCGGAGATCACGCCGTCTGCTGGAGAGTCCAACTTCAGGGCCTTGCCGAAGTTGATTATTCTGCAGTATGGTCTATTGGCATTCCACGACACCGTACACGGCCAGGTCTTCATGACCTTCCTCGTTTCAGAGTACAGGGCCGGTGGGCTAGGTCTGTTCCCCTCGTCTTTCTCGCTCCTGATCGCCATCATGTGCCTGTGTCAACTCTACTACCAGGTAAGCGGACTTACTGCAGCTGAGCTCGGGCACAGATCGCTGAATGCCTGAATCGACAGTTCTACCTGTACCCCCATATCGGGTAAGTCTTTAATCAGAGATTTGGGAACGCTTATACTTGCATAATCGGCTGACCTGGATCGGTCATAATGTTTAGCCCGCCTCGGGGCAAGCTCAGTCACCTTCACATGTTCCGTCTCGGGAGCATGCTGTATATCCCGGCTTACTTGACTTTGCCGATGTTGAGGCGATTCGCCAATGAAGAGAGTCGAGGCAGTCCTATCGTCATGTCATGTGAGTGACGTCTACGCTTCCATCAGATCTGAAACTTACCATCTCTTGTAATTTCGCAATTCGCAGTGCTGATCGTCAATATGTATGTACATATGGCGTACATCCGCAGGTTGGCGTGCTGATATCCATTCTCGTTTCTATCAGGGCTTGTCGTTATGCTGGAGGAACTTTCAGCTACACCTCGATCATGGTCCTGGTTGTGAGCATCTCAAGCCCCTCTCAACTCGACACCTTGCTGATCTGCTCGTCCATTTCCCTCGCAGAACGCCATGTCGCCACCTCACGTAGTGGGATTGGCCAACGGGCTCGCTCAGTCTCTTGTCTCGTTTGGTCGATTTGTAGGACCGGTCATTGGTGGACTCGTGAGCAAACAAGATCGAGCTGCAAACCGCAAGCGGTCTCGCTGATCATCGATAATCGTATATCAGGTGTGGTCATCCGCTATGAAGGGTAGCCCAGACGGATACTATCAACCCTTCTGGGTGGTCGCCGCCGCATGCGCTATCCAGGTATCCCTGTCGTACCTCATCCGGTAGCCGATAGACGCAAAAGGTCGACATTCCGCTACACTTTGCCCGACAATCTCGTTTAATTATAGATAGTACAAACCAACCCCCACATCTTAATGTAGCCAATAATCGGCAGCTATGTAATCTGTTTTTATTACTCCAGTTTCCTCCGTTCCAGACTCTAGTCAAACCGTTGCGACCCCTGCAACCTTGTTCAGCTTCGCTTGTCCGTGCTGTTCGGTTCTTGCCGCGTCCAAGATCAAAGCGGCCCCTCAGCTGTGACAAGCACGCGGGATCGCGGGACTTTGTGTACGATTCATCTCGATAGGCATTTATATACCAAGTACCCTCCACTTCTGCCATCTGCAACTGTGCCGGCACACCCAGTCTTTCTCACCGAGGTTCCAACCGAGATCTGTAGGCTTGCATCAGTATCGTGAGACATAAGAATATACAGGATGGCCAGTGTCGGTGAGTCTGGCACGGAACTCGGGGGCTGCCAGAATTGAGCGTATCTAACGTCTTCATCTTCCTGTAGTTTGTATCTGTGATCTCAAGGGAAAGGTGAGCCTCGCAGCCCGTGAGAAAGGCACACATACATCGAGGACTAATCGTCACGTCTTATAGTCCCTGATTCAACGGTCATACCGGGATGACGTCTCACCAACATATATCGAGCGATTCATGCCTTTGGTCCTGGAGATGGAAGAAGAGAATATCCCAGTAACGCCATGCTTTTCTAGCGAAGGGATCAACTACATGCATATCCGTCATAACAACCTATATCGTGGGTGATGGTTTGCTTTAGTGCCTGGCCGATCTCAACCTCACTCCGTATGACCTTTGGCAGTACTTGCTCTTTCGAAACGGAATTCCAATGCTGTCGAGATCATCCTGTTCTTGCACAGGCTAGCTGGGGTGAGCCAACCCGAACGCCATTAGATCCGTTCCATGGTCTAACTTAGGTCGTATAGGTTCTCATTGAATACTTCAAAGAGCTCGAGGAGGAATCTATCCGGGATAACTTTGTCATTATCTACGAGCTTCTCGACGAGATGATGGACTTTGGTTACCCCCAGACGACTGAGAGCAAGATCTTGCAAGAATACATCACGCAAGAATCACACAAGCTGGAAGTAATCCGGCCTCCTGTCGCTGTGACGAACGCCGTATCTTGGAGAAGCGAGGGGATCAGGTACCGGAAGAACGAGGTGTTCTTGGATGTCGTTGAGAGCGTCAACCTTCTGGTAAGTCGGATGATCAGTGGGTGACAGCATCGAGGATCGCGAGCTTATTCCGTGAACAGGTCAACGCCAGTGGAACCGTGATCAGGAGCGAGATCTTGGGAGCCGTCAAGATGAAGTGCTACTTGTCAGGAATGCCCGAACTGCGATTGGGACTGAATGACAAGGTCATGTTTGAGAACACTGGCAGAGGTCAGTCGTTCAAGACCCTTGTGAATATGATCACACGTATTCATTGTTCTTCTTGCAGCCAACCGAGGAAAGTCGATCGAGATGGAAGATGTCAAGTTCCATCAATGTGTCCGTTTGGCTCGATTTGAGAACGATCGAACAATCTCGTTCATCCCCCCTGACGGCGAATTCGAGTTGATGTCATACCGGCTATCCACTCCCGTCAAACCGCTTATCTGGGTGGAAGCTAGTGTCGAGAACCACAAGGGCAGTCGAGTGGAATACGTCGTCAAGGTCAAGGGACAGTTCAAGAGGAGGAGCACGGCCAACAACGTCGAGATCTACGTTCACGTTCCGGATGATGCAGATAGTCCCAAGTTCAGGGTAAGTATCGTGCGCTCAAGCAATTCCCTTGACGGATACTGATTTGACCTGCTCGTATATCATAGGCATCGGTCGGTTCGGTTGTATATGCACCGGAAAAATCTGCCTTTGTCTGGAAGATTAAACAGCTTGGCGGTGCTAAAGAATACTTGATGCGAGCTCACTTCGGTCTGCCCAGTGTGCGAAATGGTAAGTTGAAGGATGTCCTAGTCTAAAGCGAATTCAGTACGCCAGACTAATTCTTAAACACTACATCTGCAGACGAGGTGGACAAGCGAGCTCCGATCTCGGTCAAGTTCGAGATTCCCTACTTTACGGTCTCAGGAATCCAGGTCCGATACCTCAAGGTTGTGGAGAAGGCTGGTTACTCTTCGCTGCCTTGGGTGCGATACATCACTCAGAATGGGGACGATTATACCCTTCGGACGGTGAGCATGTTCCACTGGTCACGTCCCGCGACACTTCTGACTAATGACCCTGGACCCTCGCAGATTGCCGATACCAAGCAGTCGTCGATTATTGCACCACTTTGATCGCGTGCAAGATCTCAACATGATGTACGATTCAGCTTTCTTGTATTTTCACGAGATATATGTGCAATTTTGTTTGTCTATACAGAGAAGGCTTCGGTTCGATCGGTTCATTGATCCTCTGCCTCATCGCTCAATTGCTCATCTTCGAGTCTCCTTTCATATCGCCGTCCACCGACGTCACGGCGTGGTACACGCAATTGCTTCCGCGGCGACCGCGTCGATGATGGGTAAGGCTCGCTGCTATATGGCTGTACCCTTGCGACGATATACAAAGCAACTCAAGTAGGCAATTCGATCCGCTAGATCATTTTCTGATAGCCTTACAGTTCTCCTTGCTAAATCTAGACCGTCGGCGGCAACATCGCAAGATCGAACTGGACGACTTGCGACTAGACGCAGGAGCACAGCTACAGCTTTCTTGCTGAAGTGACGATACCGATATACCGATCGTAGGGCTCGGCCGACAAGTAATTAGAACTACCTTAGCAGTAGATCTACAAGTGATAACATGGTAAGTTCGAAGGCTAGAGGAATCAGGGTTCAAGGTTTGATGTCCGATGCTCTGCTCGACATGTCAATCTGTTATCTATCATCTATCCTGCCAACACGGCTTACATGGCGACCCATAGGCTATCTCCAAGAGAGCCGGAAAGAAGACTGCCAAGTCTGGAGCTTCGGCCCAGCTTCCCACTGGAAATGGTGCCGGGGGGAAGGCCGTGGTCAAAGCCGACTGGAAGGAGTCCTTCAAGAAGAAGCAGGTCGGAGTCAGTGACATGACTTTGTTGTCCACAATCAGCAATGAGTCTATCAATGACAATCTGAAGAAGAGGTTCGAGTCTGCGGAGATCTACGTGAGCTTGTCTTTGGTAACTGGTATACACTCACAGCCTTACTTACTGACGAGGCTTTTAACAGACATATATCGCTCACGTATTGATCTCGGTCAACCCCTTTCGAGATCTGGGCATCTACACCCCTGCTATCCTATCCTCGTACGTGGGCAAGAACCGTCTCGAGGTACCACCTCATGTCTTCGCCATCGCCGAATCCTCATATTACAACATGAAGAGCCATAAGGAGAATCAATGTGTCATCATTTCTGGAGAAAGTGGTGCAGGCAAGACTGAGGCCGCTAAGCGAATCATGCAATACATTGCCGCAGTCTCGGCTGAAGCAGGAGGTGATGGTGGGATCGAGGGTATCAGGGAGATGGTTCTCGCGACCAACCCTCTTCTTGAGAGTTTCGGATGCGCCAAGACTCTGAGGAACGATAACAGTAGTCGTCATGTAAGCAGTACATTTCTGAAGTCGCCAAGGCGCCGATTGCTGAGATGCACCGAGTCCGATGACCCAGGGAAAATACCTCGAGATCATGTTCAATGCATACGGGCAGCCTGTAGGAGCGCAAATCACCAACTATCTGCTCGAGAAGGTAATCAGATGCGGTGGCTCGCAGATCGTGTGATATAGAGCTGACATCATATTGCCTCTTTCTCAGGGAAGAGTCGTTGGTCAGCTCAAGGGGGAACGAAATTTCCATATCTTCTACCAGTTCACAAAAGGAGCTAGTCAAGCTCAACGCGGTAAGCAGCAGATACCTTGTTTTCGGCCCAACCCAAATAGCTGAGCTGAGTCGTGCCATGCTTTCAGAGGCCTTTGGATTGCAAGGCCCGGAGGCGTACAGTTATACGAGCAAGAGCAATACGCTGAGCGTTTCGAGCATCGATGACGTGAAGGATTTTGCCGAGACTATTGTGAGTGGACTGAACCACGCCGGGTTCTTTTCAAGGTTCCCTAGTTTGACAATCACTCCATTGTACAGACGGCGATGAACGTCATCGGTCTCTCGGAAGCAGAGCAGACCTCGATCTTCCGAGTCATTGCTACCATCCTGTGGCTAGGAAACGTCACCTTCGTGGAAGGAGACGATGGGAATTCCAAAGTAGCGGATACCGATGTCACCGATTTCGTCGCATACCTCATGGAAAGCCGGCCCGAGCAAGTTGTCAAGGTCCTCACGACTAGGGTCATGGAAACGACGCGTGGTGGCAGGCGGGGCTCTATCTACGATGTCCCGCTCAACATCGTTCAGGCTATTGCTGGTCGTGATGCTTTGGCTAAAGCTCTATACAACAACCTGTTCGAGTGGATCGTCTCACGAGTGAATGTCTCGATGGCAGCCAAGGTGTCTCCAGACAATGTTATCGGAGTCCTGGATATCTAGTAGGTTGGCTTATCGAGATGGGCTACAGCTTTCACTGACATGAATTCCCGTTTGCAGTGGCTTCGAAATCTTCCAGGACAACAGCTTCGAACAGGTAAGTCACGGAGTCACAAAGAGATCTCGCTTCAGCTAGTATGACTAAATTCTTCTTTTTCGCGACCGCAGCTCTGCATCAACTATGTCAACGAGAAGCTCCAACAGATCTTCATTGAACTGACCCTGAAGACCGAGCAGGAAGAGTATGTTCGAGAGCAGATCAAGTGGACACCTATCAAATGTAAGCGTCACGCCTGTCGTTGCCACATCTCCGGTGCTGACATGCTTAAATCTGTGCAGATTTCGACAACGCGATCGTCTGTTCTTTAATCGAGGACAAACGACCGGCTGGAATCTTTGCCACATTGAACGATGCAACCGCTACGGCACATGCTGATCCGGGAGCTGCGGACAACTCCTTCATCCAACGTTCCTCGATGCTGTCATCGAACCCGAACTTTGAGCCGCGAGGAAACAAGTTCTTGATCCGACACTATGCCGGAGACGTGACTTACAACGTCGCTGGAATGACCGACAAGAATAAGGATGCTCTAATCAAGGACATCTTGGACCTTGTCGATGCAAGCAAAGACCAGTTCTTGCACACCTTGTTTCCCGACCGACCGGATCCCGACTCGAAGAAGAGACCCCCTACTGCCGGAGACAAGATCAAGGTAAGCCGCTGTCCTGTAGCTGCGATCCGCGTTGCGTTATTGACTCTGCTGCTGGGACCTTCCAGTCTTCTGCGAATGCGCTCGTCGAGAATCTCATGCGAGCAGAGCCATCATATATCCGTACCATCAAGCCTAACCAGAACCGATCGCCCAGCGAATACGATGACAAGGCGATCTTGCATCAAATCAAGTATCTCGGTCTGCAGGAGAACATTCGAGTCCGACGGGCTGGATTTGCTTATCGAGCAGAGTTCGCCAAGATGATCCAGAGGTTCTATTTGCTGTCGCCTGCTACATCGTATGCTGGAGATTACATCTGGCAAGGGGACGATCGGTCTGGGTGCGAGAGGATATTGAAAGACACCGGGATCGCCAAGGAAGAGTGGCAGATGGGAGTAACAAAGGCCTTCATCAAGAATCCCGAAACGGTATGTTTCAAGCTTTGACCGGAATCGACGAATCTTTAGCTAAAACTGCCGGATGTTCAGTTGTTTGCGTTGGAAACAATGCGTGACAGATACTGGCACAACATGGCAGGACGTATTCAGCGGGCATGGCGCGGCTACGTTCGTCATAGGAACGAAATGGCGACGAGGATTCAGCGATTTTGGAAGAATCAGAAAGAAGGCCTCGCTTACGCCAGAAAGCGCGACTACGGTCATCAGGTGCTTGGCGGCAGGAAGGAACGTCGTCGCTTCAGTCTGCTCGGGATGAGGAGGTTCATGGGCGACTACCTCGATGTGGGCGGCAGGAGCGCTCAAGGCGAGATGTTGAGGAATGCCGCCGGACTGGGACGTGAGTATTACCGACTTGTTGATACACCGCGTTTACACGCTGACGCTGCGACAATACAGCTTCGGAGCCCGTCTACTTTAGCTCTCGTATGGAAATCCTGGTCTCAAAATTCGGTCGAACCAGCAAATTGAGCCCTCGATTCCTGATCGTCGTAAGTGAGGACCGGCTGCTGTCGATCACCGATCGAATCTGACCTGCCATGATTTTTCAGACCGACAAGGGCATGCATATCGTCGTGTCAACTATGGCTGATGGACGCTTGAACACGTCTTTGGAACGAAAGATCCAGCTGGTGACGATCCGAGGCGTGTCGTTGTCAAATTACCGGGACGACTGGATGGTGCGTATGCTGTGTCCTTAAGACGTGACGATTTGGCTGAACCACTCCGGCCTGATAGGCCATCAATGTTACTGTCTGCGAGGAAGGTGATCCCATCATCGTGGTCCCGTTCAAGACCGAGTTGATCCAGGTCCTCATGTCTCTGACAAACGGGGCGGTGAGCGTCAACATTGGACCGACGTAAGATTGAGCGATCTGTGGCTCTGGAAGCAATGTATCGCGCTGACGACCGATCCTATCAGGATCGAGTACAACAAGAAGAAAGACAAGAAGGCAAGCATCAAGTTTGTCAAGGATCCGTCGGCTAGGACAGACGATGCGTACAAGTCTAGCACCGTAACGGTCGGTCAAGGCGAACCGCCAAATTCGGGTGCGTTGCTAGAGTTCCTATAGGAAGCCCGGGGAACGATTGCTGATCAGAGCGTTTCTCGGTAGTATCTCGACCTATGCCAAAGCGAAAGCCTCGACCAGCCAAGCAGGCCAAGACGAACGCTGCAACTGTAAGTGTCGTGGTCTCGGACAGAACATTGGTGACGCAACGCTAAATCCTATCGCTTATAGGCCCGCGCTGCCAAATCCCGACCTACAGCCAAAGCCTTGCCGGGCGCTTCTAAACCAGCGCCTCCCATGGGCATATCATCCGCACCCGTGGCCGCTGCGGCACCTGCACTTGCTCCTACCTTGAAAGCAACGCCTAAACCGACTGCTCCCATGCTCAACGGGGCGGCCAAAGCCACGCCTCGAGCGGCCCCGCCACCTCCTCCTGCACCTCCAGCTCGTGCAGCAGCATCGGATAAGGATATGTACAAAGCCTTGTACAATTTCCAGGGTCAGGAAGGCGAGATGAATCTCACAAAGGGCGAACTCGTCGAGGTGAAGACCAAGGACGATAATGGTGGGTCAATCGAAGCTTTGTGTTACATTAGTGCTGTTACTGATCGACCTCCTATAGGTTGGTGGCTTGTGGTCAAGAGCGGTCAAGAAGGTTGGGCTCCATCAAACTAGTAAGTGACGGGCGGCAGGGGAGATGTGCTGTTTCGATACTGATATAAATTGACCTGCAATGTTTCAGCCTCAAGATGGTCCCGAAGACTGCACCACGAGCTGCAGCCCCGCCTCCTCCTCCACCGCCCGCCCCGGCTGCTTCTGGGGGCGGATCTATGAATGCTGGTCTCGCACCTGCACTCGCGCAAGCCATTCACGCTCGCAGTGGCGGCTCAGGTGCTTCTACACCGAGCGGTTCCCGACCGTCCTCTGTGGTCGGTAAGCCCAAGCCTGTCATACCATCAAAGCCTGCCGCCCCGAAGATTCCCGCCAAGCCTAGTGCTGGAGGTGGTAATGCGGCCGCGGCTCCTGCAGCCGCTCCCGCTGCTAGAGGTATCGGTCAACTCGACTTGTCTGCAGCGTGAGTGTCAACGCTTTCCTCAAACTCCTATCATACAGATGCTGAATTCTCATCCTGTTCGTAGCCTTGCCAAGCGCATGCAGAGGCCTCCTGCCGACGATTAGACTATGTGCCACTTGGTACGAAGGGAAACAATGAGGGTTGTATACATGAATGCATATGCTGCCAAATTTCGATCTAGATTCCGATTGATTCTGATACAAGGTCATATATGGTCGTGATCCTGTTCGATCGGAAGTCCTCGAACTTCGATTTGTTCTTGTGCGATATAAACCTCGAAGCGTTGCATCTTAAGTCGTCGCCTCCGCACCCGGACTGCAGCATACCAATAATTGACTAAGAACTAAGTAGACTTGTTGATCGTTACGACTTACAGCTAAGCTAGTCCGCTTGTTTTGTTACCGAATACCACCATATAAGGTACGGACGCACGTCTCTTTCGCCACATCCACAATTCACTGCAAGGCGCAAGCAATACCAAAGGACGAGACCTTTGGCCGTGATACCGGAAGCCGAGATCCTGGTGCAGAGGGACTTCCAGTACCACTAGGACAGCTCTGTATCGATCAGTTCCGTGTCCTGTTCTTTTGCAGATCAAAGCTGGAGTTTAGACGGCATCTGGATACCCTCCATCACTTGCACTTCAAAGCAGCGACCGGAGCCGCCTTCCCGGCTGAGCTGATGGCGGTATCACCGTCGGGGCGAGACGCGCAGCGCACAGCAGATTTATACCCTGGCAGAAGCTCGTGCTCGGGCGATACAACCTGAAACATCGGGATCTTTGGATGCCGCGCAAACAGGTCAACGACCGTTCTCTAATCTAAGACCACACCATTTGTACCTTGTCGTCCATCACAGAAGACGAGCTTGCGTTTCACTCGATTACGCCATTTGGAATTGGCCCGTCTCGCTGCAACACGAGGGCCGGGAGGAGGCTTCGCTTCCCCGCGTTTCAGGGGGGAACAAAAGCGATTGGAACGCGTTTCGGCGATGGGGCGGGGGGAATTTGCATCCGAGACATTTCGAAAGGGATTGATGGATTGATGAGAATTGTTTGATGGGGATGGAGGAAAGGGGACGATCACTTTATCGTCCAGGACGACTTGCGAGACTGACCCTAGATAGCACTCCTAGCTCCTAGCATTTGCCGGGCTCAATCCTTCATCGAACTAGCAGGTCGAAGTCGTCAACGTCGATTTGTCCCTTTCCATTGACGCACGTTGCGGCCAGATCCGAAACCCTTCCCCCTTCATTGCTGTGCCGTTCCGGTTCAAAGGACTTTCGCAAACCTCGAGCCGATTCTTCAGACCTCGACGATTTCCATCAAGTTCTCAACATCCTTGACCACAATCACACCCGTACTATATCGTTATAGCGGGCATCAGTCCTGACGCAAGGACGAACCGGTTCTCAGTAAAAATGAGCCTGTTCCGCAGGTCAAAGTCGAAGAACTCTATCAAGCAAAAGGACAAGCCGCAGGATCATGCTCAAGAGCCGACGCCGGTCCCAGCGTTCCCTCACCATAATGGGTTCTTGACTGCAGGAGGACCCACGGTCGATGACATGGGAAGGAGGAGGGAGAGGGATAGTGCGATCAAGACGGCTCCAGTGGGAAGGAGGAAGGAGAAGCCGGAAAACTTGAGGGATCGGGTCATCAGTCAACCGTGAGATATTTCGGGCAAGAATTTCGGTACACAATCGTTCAGGGCTAATATCGACTCTGCTCTCTGCTCGTCTCAGCCGTATGATCCACTCGACCTATCCCGTCTCCTCTCCCTCGACATCAACATCGAACAACCCGACACCGGTTGCCGCCAACTTTCGTCAAACAGGACCTCCTTCGCCGATGACCCCGTGCTCGATCCCTCCGCCATCTCCCTACCTAGTACAACCTAACTCGACTTTCATGACGACCCGTTTCCCCCTCCTCTCACGCTCCGGCACTCTCAGCTCTCAAGCGAGCTCGATGACGCTTGCTTCAAGCTCGTCATTGACCAACTCTAGTTCTGGAGGGGCTTGGGTCGGAGTGACCGGAGCGAGGCAGACTTCGGCAGAGGGGGTCTTGGCGACGAGACGAGGTTTGGGGTATATGTGGCCCGAGGCTGGGTTGGTGCTAGGGTTGGAAGATCTAGTGGGGTTGGTCGAGGATTGTTGCCGAGAACTGATAGAAAGAGGTTAGCCAATCGGACATTCGTCCGTTTCAAAGTATTTCCTGCTAACATAAGCTGCATTGCCCGACGAGCAGGACTCAAGACCCCATTACTCTTCTCCTGCGAAGCTCTCCCATTCTCAGCTCACCGTTTGACGAACCTCCTCCAATCCTTTACTTCCACCCTCCGACCCTACCCGTCCCAAATGCCCGTCTCCCAGCAAGCCAAGAAGACGACGGAAAAGTACCGGACGTACGTCGAGGACATCAGGTTTTCCGGCGAATGTGAGATCGCTTGGTTGTTACGGTGGGGGTTGGCGCGGGTCGTGAGGATCGAGAGAGCTGGTGGGGTGGATGGGGAGAGGAGAGAGTCGAGAGGGTTATTAGAATGGGAACGGTATGAGGACTGGAGGGGGAGAGAACGAGGTAAGTGGGGATCCTGAATCCGGACAAAGCGAATTGACAGTTAGCTGATAACGTCCGGCAGCCTCGAATTACGATCCTATGATGTTCGATATGCTATATCGGGGAGTCTCTCCGAACCTGGCCACGATCCTGAAGGAACTCTTCACCCTCCTCATGCACCTCGCAGCCAACTCGACCGATTCGGGTCTCACTCCGAGCGTCCTCTCTGGTCTCTTTGGACCGCTCATCTTCGGCCTCGGTCCGCATTCCTGTCCGTTCGATACCGCCCACACCGCGTTCGTGCGATCATCCGGGGCGCTCGAACACCTCTTGCTCGCCTTCATCCGGTTTGAGGAGGCCAAGCACGAGCGATTGAAAGGGGGATTTCCTGGAAGGTTACGGGATTGGACTAAAGGATATCCGGGGATGATAATCTCTGACCGGGAACTGGACCAAGGACTTCCCCGGCGTGGCGTCAAGGTCAAACGTCTGGAAAAGGTCCGTCGGTACGTACGCGCGTATTCCAAGGACCTCTTGAGCAGCGGACAGGAGTGGGGACAGGAGATGAAGCAGTGCGGAGGCGTCCAATGGGAAGCCTGGGAGTCGGTCTTGCCACCCGTTGTGAAAACGAGGCGTTCTGGTCCCCGGGTATCGGAGCAGCCTAGGCAACCCTCGTTGACGGATCGGCAGAGAAAACGACTCTTTCTTGCCAGCGAAACGATCCCGTTGCCCATATCCTCCTCGCCTTCTATGGGTTTCGAAAAGGTCGACGTGCCAGGTAGCCAATCCAACGGGTCAGGTATCAATCAGTTGGCCAGCGCGACCTCGCGTGATTCGCTCGTCAACAGGCAGGAAAAGTATGGTAGTCTGGCCGATAAGAGTTGGAGCGAGTTTGAAGGCTTTGGCTTTGGGGAGGGGGTGAATAAGGATAGGCTCGAGTTCAACTTGAACGAGGGCGCCAAGAAGGTGAGCATAGATCGTTCTGCACCTTGTACCTACCGCCTGGCTGATCCCGGTCGTTCGGCTACTAGGAAATCATGCAAGCCAAGAGGCAGACGATATCCTGGCAAGATTTCGCGTCGCCGCAAGGCGGCTTTGATCGCAGCAACGAAGCGCTGTCGAAATCCCTCTTGTTCTCGCCGCCCGTGCAGGAGCAGATCCAGCACTGGCCGGAAGAACGGGAAGAGATACAGAAGAAACTGAAAAAGGCGTACAAGGAAGCCATCCCATTTACGTGGGATACGACCCCGGCGGTCGTCAATGCTCGAGGAGCGTTTGTAGAGGAGATGTTTCTGGACATCTGGGTAGAATTGCTGTATGGAGGAGGATGGACCGACACGGAAGAGTTGACGTTTCGGGAAGCGAACTGGGTGCTGGTGAGTAGCGAGTTCGCCTTCAACTTCTTGGCAGCCCAACTTAATCGGCATTCCGGTCGCAGGTGGAATATAAGCTACAAGGCGCTTCGTCGGCGCTCCCAGAATCAGAAGGCGGTCGAGTCTTTCTTTTCGAAGAGATTGTTCCACCCGCCTACCAAGACCAGCTTGCTAATCCCAAGCAGAAAAAAGCAGGCGGGTTGTTTTCACGCTCCAAGACCACCAAGAACGCCCCAGCCAAAAAGGAGGCGCCAATTCGGCCCACACGCGATGAAGCAGAGTTTGACGCCATTCTTCGTCGACATACCCCTACGAAACAGGTAACCCTCTCGAAACCGCTGAACGGAACGATAGCCCATGTCGGGAACGGGATGCTAGCTCCTGCGGCCGTATCGGGTGAAATCTCGCCGTCTCGAAGCAGGTTCCTCTCGAGACCAGCATCTAGCAGTTCTAAAACCGAAAAGAACGCTAACGGGGTAAGAGTGGAAAGTAACGGAGTCCACGCGATGAAAGGCTTGTTCAAGCGGAAAGAATCACAAGAAGATAGGGCAGGTCGACAGCCTGCTGCGTTCATATCAAGCGAGTACGACAATATCTCGACGAGGACAATGTCGGGACCGAGCAGCGGGGAAAGCATTGTAGGTAACGAAGACGGGCGATCGTATGCGCAGCCGAAACCGAGGCGACCAGAAGCTGAAAAGTGGATAGGTGAGATACAACGCTTGTTCTCGTGCCAACGGGTTGTGACTGACTTGTGATCCTTGCTCTAGATGTGCTGGTAGCTAATGAGACGACGACCGTACCGATGGGATACCCAGCGGAGCCACAACTCCAGTCTTCGACTTACCCACAACTCTTGGCGCCACCACTCGGCCGAAAGGCTCACGACGATCGCTTCTCGAAAGGTTCCAGTGAAGAGTCGTTCACCACCTCGACCCGTACAACCTTGCGTGTACCTCCGCGATCACCTCAGAGTGCGACTACCTCAGACCTTACGTCAACGCCTTCTCAAGCTTCCCTGATAAGCTCGACAAGCGACCAGGAAATCTATGCTGAGGGACCGCAAGAGATACTCTCAAAGACCCCGACCCGACCGGTGATCGCGACAGGCGATCTCAGACGAGACATTGAGCTCATGAAAGAGGAAGCGAATCGACATTCCCTGGACGACCCCGCTAGAGAAGCTCACTTGCTATCCACTCTGGGGCCTCCGCTACCGGTAAATCCCCGCGATACCGTTTTCAGCGTGATCAGCGGGTATGGACATCATCGGACGCATAGCGATGGAGTCTCGCCCATCGTACCGCCCTTGCCTCCTCGACCGTGGGTCAACCCGGAAACGAGCGAGAACGTCTCGGTTCCACTTCCGCAGAACGGCACGATAGCGACGACTGTTAGTCAAGTGGGAGCAGACCAAGTGGAACCTGTCGACCTGGTCCCATACCGACAGAGCTATGCGTCGGATTACAGCGAGTCGAGCGATTTCGTCGAGGATCCCGTTCGTGATAGCGACATTGATGATGACAGGAGCCATATTCGGGAATCGACCGTGTCGTCAGAGTACATCTTTCAACCACCTGCGCCGATCATCGATGCGGACGATATCGCAGCGATCGCCCGACAACCTAGTCCCGGTCGGGTAGAGCATGGAATTCCTCTGCAGTCCCGTGAGTCGTGCTCGTTTCAGCGCAGATGTCGATGTCCGATACGATGCGATGCTGATGTCTTCTATCGCTGCGGAACCCAGTGCAAGAAGAGGACGAGGATGATGATCCGCAATACGGCCCGCCGGTACCTAGTCGAACGTTACGACGTCGTTGAACCCCATCATTTCATATCGAGTTTCTTCCTGTTATACCCACAACGACCATTCCTATGAGATTTCGTTCGAGCCTGTTCCATTTCTGCCATGTGTTCCCCCGCTCAACGCCGGCGGCGCCCTTCTGCATCCGCGGAACCAGAGCGAGGTCGACAGAGACCCGGTTTCGGCGAAATACCGCGTCTTCATTTCATCGGCGTATTTCTCGGTCGGAGGGTTCTCGGAGGAAAAGCGTGGGGAGTGGGTACGCTGGAGAAGTCTGGTCGGTATATAAACCCCCAGCGAGGCATTCGACCTCTTGCTGTTCCCACCTCGCCTCTCACCCTCTCGCCTTTCAAGCAACTCTCTCTGCATTTACATTCTCACCCCCTTTGCCCTACCAACCAAAGAAAAAACAACAACTCTATCAAAATGTCTTCCCCCGCTTGGTCCAAGTGAGTTTCGAGTCGCACCAGGTGGTGGAGTCGTCGACCGCGGCAGCTCATCATACCGTCTTTCTTGCCTCCTCGCTCTGCTTCGCTGCTTTCTGCTATGCTCGCTTCTTACTGGCACGTCCCTTGATGTATCTAGGATCACCACCACCCTTAACACCGGAGCCAAGATGCCCATCTTCGGTTTGGGTACGTGGCAATCCGCTGTAGGTCTTCTCTCGACGAGCTCGCCGCTCTTTCGCTCTCAGCATTACAACGTCCTGACGAATCGCTCCATTCCTCGTTCTTCAGCCCAACGAGGTCAGGACCGCCGTCAAGGCTGCTCTCCAGGCCGGATACAGGCACATTGACACGTAAGTCGGCAGCCCCCGCTTCGACTCCAGGCCTCCCCCGCCTCACATTTCCCTCTATACACCGACGGGACGCTGACCTCCGTGCTATTCTGCTTCCCATTACATCATTTCTCTCGTGATTCCGTTTACGCCATCGCACGCGACGCTCATGCCGCTCCCTCTCTATCCTTCCTTCGACACGTTTTGCTTCCGACGTCTTCAGCGCCCAGGCTTACGGAAACGAGGCCGAGGTCGGTGACGGTATCATCGACTCGGGTGTTCCCCGAGAGGAGATCTTCTTGACCACCAAGATCGACAACATGGAGCACAAGGACGTCGCCAAGGTTGTCGACGAGTCGCTCAAGAAGCTCAAGACCGACTACGTCGACTTGATCTTGATGCACTGGCCCGTCTCGATCGGTGAGTCGCCCGTTTCCGGAGGCAGCGCATTGCGTTACAATGACTGACGTACTGTACGATTGACTACCCACTCCAGACCCCGTCGACCGTGAGAACCAGAAGGTCCTCTACAAGGACTGGAACTTTGTCGACACCTGGAGGGAGATGGAGAAGATCCCCTCGTCCAAGGTCAAGGCTATTGGTGTCTCCAACTTCGGTATCGAGAACTTGAAGACCCTTTTGGAGTCTGCCAAGACCGTCCCCGCCGTCAACCAGTGTGAGGCCCACATCAACTGTCCCTCGACCGCCCTCGTCGACTTCTGCAAGTCCAAGGGTATCCACTTCACCGCCTACTCTTGTCTCGGATCCACCGGTTCGCCTTTGGCCAACGACAAGACCTTGAAGGAGATTGCCGAGAAGCACAACACTTCGACCCAGAAGGTCTTGTTGGTCTGGAACATGCAGCGAGGAGAGGGCAAGCACATCTCGGTCATCCCCAAGGTGAGTCTCGCGTCGGCAACTGTTTTGCGTCCATCGGTTCGCATGCTGACTGAGCTCTCGTCTTTTCGCGTACTGTAGTCCGTCACTCCTTCCCGTATCGAGGACAACTTGAAGCTCGACGGACTCGAGTTGTCTCAGGAGGAGATGGACAAGTTGAACGCTTGTCAGGACAGGTTCAAGGTCTGCAACGAGTGGCTTCCCCAGCTCGTCTTCAGGGCACCCGGAACCAAGGCCTCGGACAAGGGAAGCCGAGACTTCTACGACAAGGACTCGCTCTTCGAGCGAGAGTGATTTCGGTCGTATCCCCTTGAGCGTTTCGTGATCATCAACCATGCAGGCAACCACTTTGTAACCAATAACGAATAGTCATCGCAACATTTACGTATGCATTCATGGATGTCGAATCTTCGCCGCACTGGTCGTCTTTCGACATGTAAATCGTGCCCATTGCCAAGAGCTCGGTGGGACTTGCTTTCGATATCGACCGACGTGAGGCGAGGTGGTCCGGACGATACTCGGGAGCGGCCTCATTCGTCTATGGAGCGATGATGGACCGGTCCAGGCAAGACTCGCAGATGTGGGCGCCGTGCTGAATCTAGAAATCCCGAGATCTAGCGGAAAGGTGGAATGTGCTCCAACCAGATCGAGATAACGTCATGACCCGGAAGCAAATTGTTCCCGAACTTCCCACTTTGGCGATTGATCTCGATCAGGAAGCTGCAATCATGTCGTTCAAGCCGAAGAATTAGCTAGTAGCCAGATTGTTCTATGCCTTCTCCCGAGTATTCGTAGAAGCTTGTTATCGATTTTTCCAAGTGCCACAGACCCCGCCCATATTTCCAACTATGCCACTCAAAGCCTCTTCAAGCAAGGCCTCGATGCCAAAGAAAGAAATGGACGCCGCTGTCAAGGAGGAGCTCGACGAGGACAAAAAAGAGATTCTTGCTACTGCTGCGAGCACGGAGAAGATGCCGCTGCAGAAATGGTTGGGCGAGTTTACCAGTCGAGGGGTGAATATGCGGGTCGCCATGGCATTAGCATCGAAGCTGTCAGTACGAAACCGCTGTTTGCTATGCTGCATATATTGCTGTATGGATGTCAGCTGAGGTGTATGCCAGGCTTTGATCATTCGTTCAGATACCCGACGAATCCTTCACAGGCAGATATCGTCAAGCTGACGGGACCCAAGCTGCAAGCCGCGGGTATAGTCGACAAGGAACACAAAAAGAGCGTGATGAGTGCCGTGCGAAGCATCAAAGTGGCCACCGGCTCGGTCCATGTGAGCACCTCATCTTGCATTGGCCTTGGATCGTTTTGCTACTTATACCAGCAGCTGATCCGATGTGACCACCCTTGGCCTTGCTGGCTGTAGGGGAAGATCCAGCAGGACGCAAAGGATTCGAAGAAGCGGAAACGAGCTCTGGACGGGGAGAATCCTCTTCTGCCGAACGACCCGTCTTCGAGTAAAGGGAAAGAACGAGCGTCGGATTATGACTTCAAGGAGAATCACGATATCGAGGTGAGATCTGAGGGAGAGCATGAGTCTCACTTCGCAAGACCGACGAATAATGCTGAAATCCGTTCCACCTTGTCCTGTCCGCAGCTCATCAGATCAAAGACGGTCAAGACGAATCGTGCCCCTTGCATGACGGCCTGGGCATACATCATTCTCGAAAAGATGGGTTTCGACCGGATAGAAGCCCTTTCGCTCGCCTCTGTCTTCACTTCGATCACCTCGACTCAACACGCCCTCAACCTCGGCAACGTCTACGACGAAGCGCAGACACGGGATGCCAAGCTCGAACTCGCCCAGCTGCCCGGTCAAGGTCGGGATGCAAAGCGTAGAAAAGTGAATGGGGAAGAGGAGGAAGAGGAGGCTGGTGGGAACGCTCAGCCCTGGGTAGGGGTTATGCGCAGGAGATTGCCGGTCATCCAATTGAATGATGGAACTTGGAGGGGGTTGACAAAAGGAATGGCAGTTGAGCCAAGCAAGGTAGGTGTCGTTGATATTTTCTCTCTGCGATCAGGTGAACGGTAGGCGGCTAAGATCGCATCTTATATCGACCAGGCATATTCATATATCACGCGGAACTTTGGCGAGACGACGCCCTATGTCATCGGCGCCCTGAGGATGCTGGCTCAGTGCTATACTTTGGAAGAGCTGCAAGTACGCGGGTACGGCATGTATGTGAGTAACGAGTCGTTAGCTTGTCTGCAACCTCGATCGAACCGAAGGCCGACGCGATTCCCATTGTAATTCTCAGGTCTCGTTTCGACCAGAAGTCCAAGGTTGGGGTGACAAGGCGATTCTATACTGCTCCAACATTATCGACATGATCCCACCGGAGAACGAAGTCGATTTGACCTTGCATGGCACCATCGTACCTCAACCTTCGGAGAGCAAAGACCAGCTGGTCCACGTGAAAGAGGAGGACGTCGACGAGGAAGCATTGGCGCAGGTCAAGAAGGAGGTGGAAAACGACGTTGTCGAGATGAAGGGCGAGGAAGGAGGGTTCGAAAAGTCCAGGGAGGATGTGTTCGAAGGGTTTTGGGAAGCAGAGTACGATGACGACTTTTGATGTAGACCTTGTCCTTCCTGACTGGAGAAGCAGCAACGCAACGGCAGGATCCAAGGATATAACATTGCGTGGAGGAACCCAACATATACTTGATTTACCAGCAATCAGATGAGCTGCCTGGCTGCGTCCGATTGACTACTGGTCGCTCCAGACACTGTCGTTCCTCGAAAATGGTACTCGATGCAGATGTAGAATGACGCGCAGTTACAGTATATATCGATTGAGATCCTTGTCTCACAGTATGATAGCGCATAATGAAACCACTGCTCTCAAAGTATGCTGTCCTTGTTGTAACTTGGCCACATAAATCCCCCAACCCTCAAGGTGTTGCTGGTATCGCTGACCTGCAGGTATTACAGTATCAAGTGGATATATGTCAATCCAGCAGACACAGGCACTTACCTCTACGATTCGCCCTGACCTGATTCTAACCAACACCCCAAAACGTCGGGCTCATCAAAGCTGGCGAGGTTCATCGCGAGCTTCAGCGTAAAACAGGCGGAGTCCTCTCCCACGAAACAATCTGCCCAGATAACTCTTGTTGCGTGCTGGAATTGGCGGAACAGGAAGCGGTCACCGTAGAGATGACATGACTCAAAGTAAGTTTATGACACACTTGCTCGAGCTGAAAGCTCTGATCGACAACCCACTACGGATTCGTTCACCTGCGTGCTTACCCTAAAGACTCTCGCCACAACTGTCAGCCTCACTTCACCTGCCCGTTTGATTGCTGTGGAAAGGTTTTCCTGAGACGTCGAAGTCTCTGTATCGTTGAACAGCGATACTTTGATGCTGGGTGCAACTTCACGCATCTGTAAATCGAACCTGATCATTGTTATCATGATTCTGTGATCGGTAGATGAGCAGCATGAGCACCCTCGCCATTCCCCACATTCTCTCTCTACCCCTTCCCTCCCTTCATCGGTACCACGCCCTCTCACGTTTGAAACCCACTTTGTCGGATCCGCCTCCAGGTTGAGATTGTTTGCTTACTTACCGTTGCCTTTGCCAATACGCCATGAAAGTTGGCGTCCACTCGATCTGAAACTCGAGCTAGACGGTATGGTCCCGCACGTGTGGGCCTCCACTTCTTGTGATGACGTGTCATCCTCCCGTAAATGAAAGGGGATCATGTCATCCCCCCCCGATCACCGAACCCCTGAGCCCTTGACGTGTCGACTGAACTTAGTGCAAGCTGCAAGTTGGGTCCATCTACGACATCGACCAAAACATACATTCGTAGAGACTCCTTTCGTTCGGACCAGCGACTCCTCATACTCAACATATTGAAACGTAATACGCACCATGTCACCATCCACCTCACTCTCGATCTCGGACCATCTCCGCCAAGAACTCACCGACAAGCTGGAAAAGTACCGTCATCTATCTGACGATACGCCCGATCAAGGCACAACGAACGGACACGACTCTACCGACTCGGAACAGGTCTTGAGTGCCATCTTGAAGTCGGACAAGATCGCGTCCGAAGAACAAGTTGGACAGGCGGTAGATGAATACATTGGAGGAAAACCGCTCGCCTATATCACGGGTGAGGACAGACCTTGCCATCCTTTTGATGGTTCACAGATCCCTTCTACACCTTGGGAACTGACGGCTGGTACCTCTCGTCCTCTACAGGTCAACACAGTTTTGGAGGCTTGGACCTTACTATCCGTCGACCCATCTACATCCCCCGAGTGGAGACCGAACAATGTAATGTTGGTCTAGTATAACTCTACCATCAGGAATGACTGCTTATCGATCCTCCTGGTCTCTCTACGACAGGGGTCCTACTACTCGCCAAACATATCCTCGACAACACTCCGCCGGATAAGACTATCCGGATCCTCGACATCTGTTCGGGAAGCGGATGTATCCCACTTCTCCTTGCATTAGAAGGAAAGGGCAGGATCCATACTATCGGTCTGGACGTGGATGATATCGCCCTCGAAGTAGCTAGGGAAAACGCCAAGAGGAACAAGATCGATCATCTGTCAACGTTCCAGAAGCTGGACTTGTTTAGCGAGCAGGACGTCGAGAGAGTCCGAGGGGAATTAGGAGGGTCCTTTGATCTGGTCGTTTCGAATCCGCCTTATGTCAGGTCAGTGGTGATGATCTTAGAACGGGTTTGAGCGCAGTGTCATCGTCCTGACTGATCCTCTTGATTCATATATCAGCTCAAAGGACATGAAGGAGGTAGAGACGAAATGGCACGAGGGGAAGTACGCCTTGCAGGGCAAACTGAAAGATCGACAGCGGAAGGAAAGCGAGACCGACAACGGCAACGACGATGATGAGGATGACGATGGTTATTCGTTCTACCGCCGGATCCTCGAAATATACACCCCCTTCCTCTCCTCAACCCGACCGAGCTCGATCCCGAAACTCGTCCTGGAGATCGGTTCGACCCAGTCTCGTCCGGTTCAGGAGATGTATCGAGATCAAGGCCGAATGGAAGTCTACAAGGAGACCGAGAGGAGGAAAGATTTGAGCGCGCCAAAGTTGGAACACGGGAATATGGTCGGGACGGAGAGGAGCTTGTGGATCTACGAAAAGGGCCAATGAACGGGATGGCGAGATATACGGTGAGCATTTCGCCCGGAACCCATAGGTGACAAGAGCATACCGGCTGATTCATCTCATGTGTCAGAGCGATGCATCTACATATAGTCTGGAAAAACGTGATAACATGTATAAACCCCTGGTCTCCTGGATTCAACCCTGTAAAGATGTGTAGACGACGTCGACTATAGACCCATTGCTGGTTTTGGATCGTACAGGCTGTTCCGCTCATTGGTCTTCCGTAAGGAATGAATGTGCAACAGACGCTCCAACAGTCCCCTCATTTCCGCAACAACCCTCTGTCGGTCCATTTACATATCCGTCATCTGACGGTATCGTTGATCGAGCAGGGTAGAACGTGGGCGGGTGTCCAGCTGACAAATGATTTCAGACGGGATAGGACGATGATGTGTGACAGTATGTCAGCCGAACAGGCCTGGATGATGTGATATCATCAGCTATGACGGCATTGTAACACATGGAGAGGATCACCCATATTCAACGATACGTCCGATGCGTCAATACAGCGACTTTGAGGGTGAAGATGGGGCTCGGAAGATTGAACAATGGCGTACTGATTGACGGTGATAGCCAATTGCAGGTCGGCGGTTGACAACATTTGTGTCCCCTGGATAGTAGGAACACCTTTTGTACCGTATGGCTAACATACCGTTACGCTATGCGCTTGGTTCAGGCGGAGACTCATGATGAGATGATTGTGGTATCCTGCACATGATGATGAGGGATTGCAGATACTCCTGCTAGATCAGAACAGGCGCTGACTGTTCGATCTGACTGTTCGAAGGTATCCTTGTTCCTTCACATCGGTAATCGGAGTTCTTTCAGGAAAAAGAAGACGTCAGAGGTCCCTTGTCTTGGACGATATTGCGATCGTAGTCAAGAGGTCGATAGTGGATCTTCTTGATGGTTGTGAGGGGGGCCTGCTAGGGCTTGCCGCGTGTCAAGTGCACCTCGGTCGAGGATGTCACAGGTCGGCTTTCGACGAAGATCGGGATGTCTCGAGAAGACAGCGGACGAGGCCACACGGTAGCGTCACGCTGGAGCCATAGAGGTGACAGTGAGCAAGTCTTACCCGCTGCCGATCACAGTGCTCTACGTGCTGTCTGACTAGCGTCAAGCTGCAACCTGAAACCCCTTCTGAAACTCGATAGCTTGCGGTTCGAGGGGTTACCGAAAATGGCGGGATCGATCTTCTAGCGCTAAGGAACGGTAACCGACCTTCCCCCCGATCGCCGCACCCGCGTTTATCTGAATCATTCGGTGACGTCATGGTGGTTGATGTCGCGTTTCCCAGAGTGGGCAAGCAGGCAGGACCGAGGTGCTCTCTCCCTGATCGAAACGCCAAAAGTGGCAGGTGGCAGGTGGCTGGAAACTCCCTCCCTCGGTCCCTCGCCTGCCCTTCGCCCATCACCCATCACATCATCATCATCATCGCCAAAAGAGGGAAATCCTTCCGACAGACGGACGATCCCTCCCTTCTGCGGGCCGGGACAGGTGGGTCGTGGGTGATTGAACCTATAAGATCCCCTCTCACCTCGTCGACGTCGTCGTCACTGACCCTGACATTCGTCATCTCTCTTCTTCTCAAAAGACAACTGCGGACGTAGACAGCCTCTCGCCGTATATCATCTGCACCCACCCTCAGCCAGCCTCCCGTAAGTGACCTCACCACCTCTCATCCGTAATCTCAACTAGCAACTCGTACAAATCGCACAAGTAATCTGACCTCTCTCGACGTCAACCTCGTACTCGCATCTCGATCTTCGACCTCAACTCTTACTCGCTCGACACTTGCTCTCTCCGTTACAGGACAGAGCTCAATAATCGGACCAAACTGTCTGCACTACAGAACGCAGTCGTAGAATTCGGAGCTCTCGCCGCCCTTTCAGCACCCGTCATACGAGCAGTCTTTGGCTCGGATACCACTGAACAGGTCGATAACATCACCGATACCCAGACCAAATCTCAAACCACCACCAACAGCACTCGACAAGTGACCACCGGAGTTCAATCAGGAACCCCGGCTTTGGAACAGAAAGACCCGCTTCGAGACCAGACCGATTCGTCGCGTCCGGACCAGATCGACGCTAGCAGCTCTCCCAAGCTCCTCCCCGCACCCAAACCCACGAGCGAAGACACCCCTAGTGTCTCGCCAGTAGACGAAGCAGTCGAAATTCAGTCTTCAGACCACTCTCCTCGATCCGACGAAGTCAAACTTCCTCCACCCATCTCCTTGGACTCGTTGCCAGGTTATAGGACCCTCGTCACCGCACCTGCCACTTTCGACTACGCTAGTGCCACATCTATCGGTTCTCCCGTTCAAGCTCACTCAGCCGAACGAGAACAAGACAGCGAGAACAAACCCGAATCGCTTCCCGCCGTCGTAGCCGCTTCCGCCGATACTTCTGAAGGCGTCATCCCCCAAGATCAAGAACACGAGAACAACACCAACATGGGTCTCTTTTCCGCCATCACCAACAATATCAACAAGCCTGATAACAGCAGGAGGACGAGCATGCACAGGAGCAACACGGCCAAGACGACCGGTACTACTGCGACCACTGCTACCAACGCTACTGGACGAACCGAGCAGCCCGCAGTCGTTCCTACGGGAACCGGTACTGGCATCATGACCGGGGATACCATCGTCCCCGCTGCGGCGAGGACCAACGAGTCGTCTGCTAGGTCCGTCAACGAGACCCCGGCCGTGGCACTTGTCGACCAGGACCGACCTGTCACCCCCGTCCCTGCCTCTGTGATCGACGCGCCTCCTGCTCAGACCACCGAGATTGGCGATCGAGCCGTTACTCCTGCTCCCCGTACCGACCGTACCGAGTCTGTCAACGGAGACAGGGAGTCGTATGCGGCTTCTCCCGTCGTTCCCGCCGCTGCTCTGGTCGCCGAGGGTAGGGATCCTGTCAATGCTCCTAACGGGATCGAACCCCCCGCTATCAACGTCCAGAGCTCTCGAGCTAGCGAGTACACGAACGATCAGGATTACCCGGAACGACCTGCCTTCCACGAACAGCCTTCGAGGTCTTACATCAAGGGCAGGGAGAACGGCACCGACGCCGGCTCGATCAGGAACTCGGTCAGGAACAGCGAGTTGCCCCCTACCGTTACCGAGAGCGTCATTGAACATGCTCCTGCCGTGCTCGAGCGCACCGATACTGGTGCTCCCAAGGTGATCGATTACAGTACCGCTTCGCCTGCCAACCTCGGGGACAGGGAACATGTTGGTGGAGTCGTCGTCCTCCCCGCTGGAGGTGCGCTTCAACACGGTCGTGATGAGAGCGTCTACCAGCCCAGGGAGGAACAACAAGAACGTCTCCCCGAGCAACAGTCCGAGTACACTGGAGGTGACCGTCAGACTGAACGGGCCGAGTCGCCTCGCAAGTCCGTCGAGACTGCGCACAAGTCGGTAGAGACCCAGCGTCAGCAGCCCAACGGGAACGGCGCCGCCGTTTACGAGAACCAGCAACAGCCGGCTGGAGAGATCAGGCAATTGATGCACGAGGGTCAGGCTTACCGAGAGGACGGTCTGGTTCACGGTCAGCCGGCTTACCAGCAACAGCCTCAAGTCGTTCCTCCTCACAGCTACGCGCCCATCGCCGGCGCGACCGCTGGTGGAATGATCAGCTCTGCCGTTGGACAAGGCTACCGACAGGAGCAACAGCAGCAATATCAGCCTCAGCAGCCTCAGCAGCAACCGCGTTACCCGGACCAGTCGTTTGCAAACGAACGAGCCATGTCGCCTGGTCCCGAATTGGGCATGCAGAGGTTGGCCATCGACCCCGCTCACCAGCAGCACCTGCAGCAGCAACCGATGGGTAATGGATCCAACGTCGGTCCTTCCCCGGGCCCGCCTGTCACTGCCTTTAAACCCACCGCGCCTAGCCCTAGCAGGACTTTGGGAGCCTCGGCCGCCGATGGCGGGTTGGATCGATCCAACACGTATCGAACCGGTGTCTCTCGAGGATCTACCATCCGACGAGGAGGCGCCTTCGCCAATGGTTCCGCCCTCTCCGGGGGTGGTGTCGCCGAGACTTATGGTCGTGAGGACATTCACAACCGAAACGATCTGGCTACGAGGAACTTGATCGCCGCCGGCAAGCCTGGTGAGGCCGTCTCGAGGAGGATCAGCACGGCTGAGAAGAAGGATGCCAAGAGGATGTCCAAGTTGATCGTCAAGGAGGGTCATATCGAGGCCGCCGCCGTCAAGGCTTCCATGAAGGAGTTGGAGTCGTTGCAAAAGATGCAAAAGGCTGCCGCACAGGTGAGTCGGGGTAGCGTGATTGATTGGCTTGATGACTGGCGCCATGCTGACAAGTTGCCCGACCGTTTCCTTGCCGATCATCTGTAGGAAGAGCTCAAGGCACAAAAGCTGCAGACCAAGGCGCTCCAGGTGCACGACAAGGCTTACAAAAAGTTCTTGAAGCAGAAGGAGGCTTATGACAGGATCGAGGCCGAATTGAGGAGCCGAGAGGAGCAGTACGAGGCTACGCGTCAACACGCCCAGGCTCAGACCGAGATCCTCGCTCAGAAGAGCGCCGAGTTGAACGACTTGCGAGCTCAGAAGGCCGCGGACGACGTGAGTTTTCGAGCGAGGTCGTCGCGGTGATGATATTCTGGATGGACATGCATGCTGATCTCGGTCGATATGCTACAGCGTGAGCGTGAGATGCGCCTTTTGGCCTTGAAGAACCCCGGTGCTGCATAGACCTAGGTCGTCCTCAAGCCTGACCTTGGCTCTTCTTTCTCATTCGCTGCCTTTCTTTACCGCGGCGCTCTTGATCTCTCGATCCGATCCACAACGTACACGTATCCCTCTTGTCGAAACTCGTCAAATCCGTCAATCCTGAACGGATCTTTCTGTCTTATAATCATGGTGTGCATAATGAACGACGATGTGATTGTGCGATCGAAAGGATGTCTCTCCGTCTCGTCTGTGATCGAGGTTGCGGAACCGGTCGGTTGGGTTGATGATGGTTGCAGATCACGCTTCGTTGCATCGTCCAACCGAGGTCTGGAAGCATTGTGGCAGATTCGCCTTGAGTACCTGGGAATCGCGAGCTGCATGCAGGAGAATCATTGTGGTTGAAGTCATGAGCCAAATAGTTACTTGCTCGGCCTACCTATGGGCTACATCGTTCGCGCGAGGACGACATCCACGACATCCCGACGTTGACCGATGATCCGATGATCTAGCCAGTCCCGCAGCCTGCTGGCCTTTCGCCTGACACCCGGTTTCGTTTCGGAACGATTCGCGTTTTCCTTGAACGTTCTTTTCTTTCCGAAACGAAGCTCCGGGTGTCAAAGGAAGGCCAGGATTGGTGCGCAGTGCAGACTAGGAGGGTTCGGACACGGAGGCAACCGCGGCTCCAGGGGCTAGCTCGACCGACCCTCCTTTGACGTTGTATGAAACGCACAAAACACGGGGTAAGAGGAGCCATCAGAGGTTAAAGGAGCGGGCTGGTCTGATGGACTTCGACAAGGTTCTGATCACGCCTACGCCGTGGGGTCTCGCGCCGTCACTGTCATGGCCCTGAGAGTGTGAAGATTGATCGATCCACTTAGAAACCGCTCATCAATCACTCTGTCGTCGGTGTCGTTATCTTCTTGTTGCATCTCGTCGTCGTGTCACGGTGGGCTCCATAGGCCATAGGGTATCATCTTTCAGGGCCAATGTCGTGATCGCAGATAGTCGATCGTACTCTCGCTTCGAGAGCAGCCCAACGGGTGGCTGTAAGCTAGCAAGTCAGAAAAAGATCGAGGATGCCATGTTTTGACGATAGAAATGAAAAAGTCCATCACCACTGCGGGGTCGTCGTCATAAGCAGGCCGACCCAAATCGACCTCATCGATCGACATATACGTGCTCGCTGCATTATCGTTCATCATCGTCACCTGCCCTGGATCGACATCGAAGCGGCCTCCCTTTCGATGAATCCAAGTTGAATTCAGGTACAGCTCTTGTTTGTCAACCGTTTGACGGACCACGCCGGTGCTGGCGTGCTGGTCGCCTAAAAAAAGGAATACGCAGGATATTTAAGATCTTGGATATTTTGCGAGACACGAAATAGTCTCACCGGCCACGAGGAATCAAGGGAAAGGTGCGTGCGTTGTCATCCTTCGATTTGGACCCTGGTTATGCCACTCGGTGTATTGTTCTTGTCGTTGTTGGATATAACGGAGGAAGGGCTCACACTCCCTCGCTCGTCATCGGCCGTCCTCTTCGACAGCCAGGTTCTACTCGCAGGTTCTGTAGGAAACGCTAAAAGGAGCACGGTACAGGACGACCCAGCATCGACTTTCATCTCGCTCGCACATTATCAACAACCGTACGAGCCACCGGCCACGAGACATCCCGTCGCTCACGATTCACAACAAGCTCCCTACTAGCAAGTGTCTCGGCAAATCCGGAACATACGCGAGACGTTTTGGTTCGGAGGCAGGTCAACCTTTATCAGATTAGAGGTAGCATTGCGACTTTAGCATTGTCGTCTACCTCGAGCTTTGTTGAAGGAGAAGGGCAGACGAGAGGTGGTGATATCAGATCGAATTGAGGGCGGTTCACAGACTGGTAAGTCCCAGTACATCCCATCCCATCCCATCCCATCTCCCCCTTCCGCATTCGGGCGTTGCGGCGGGCAAGGTTCGGCAAGCGAAAACAGAGGCACATGCTGTGCTACGGGCGAGGGTCACATCCAGGGGAGGACTTCTGCGATGCTATCACTGGACGAGCGAGCAGTCAACGCAACATGAGAACGTATGGGATCGTGTGGAATGTGGATTTGCGATTTCGAGGATCGAGGATCGCGCTATCAAGATCGGGCAGTACGGGGGAAAAGGTACGAAACTATCGGAGCGGCCAGGGGTAGTTTTGGTGGCTTGGGTGCTCGTTCAGGCCGGAAGAAGCAATCTCTGTCCCGAATCTCCGACGGACGATATAGCACCACACGACACCCGAGGCCTCTGCCAGGAGACTTGCCATAGCCCATCCGCGAGTAATACGACCAGACGATCCGGAGAGGCACGGCCGTTACGAAAATCCAGGGGGGAACGAGGTCGATGCAAAAGGGACGCGTCTGTCCAAACGAAACGTCGCTTCCCCCGGTCTGGCCCGCTAGCTTCGCTCGTATGACGTCCCCCACACACTCTTGGACGACCTTGCCTTGGTACCTCGGGGCGTTCTTTCACAGCCATCCCGACTTCCGTCGCACACTATCTATCGGGACCTGGCCAACGTCCACCTTGCCCTGCGAACCAAAAGACCGAACGTTCCATCGGGACCGCAATTGTGTGATCCCAGCAAATCCAAGCTATGCCTACGCGATACTCGACCATATGAGCACGACCGAAGGCGTCGTATTCCACCGCCACGGGGGTGCGAACATCACCATCGAATTCGACTCGCCATCCTCGCTCGACGACTGAAAAGCCTGACAAATCTTACGCACTCGAGCGGATTGAGATTCGCAAGCCACCTAGCCCGGGCAAAAAAACCTCCCCCTTGTCAACTGCCCAAACCGGGCTGGGAAGAGCGGCTGCAAATCCTGAAGTTAGCGATTTCAGCGCCGATCAGAGAACTACGTCGATTCACTCGAAATACACGATACAACCGATCAACCGACTTCATCCGCCTTCGCTCCTCGAGGACCGGGAGCCGAGCCAGGCTGCAAATCGACTTGTTCATACCCTTTCATCCTACACACTATCGATAGTCGAACTCGAACGATCTAGTGCTTGATGCCCTTAACGATCGCCCGTGCTACCTAGTCATTCCTTTGAACTTTCCAAGTGGACATCGTGGATCTCCTGTCTAGCCTCCACCCAGCAACCAGGATACGCCTTGGACTCGAACGGTTGATGTCTTACGGCCAATCACTTTGACTCGCCGCTGCCCCCCGCCCGCACCCTCCTCAACTTCGATTTCTGCCCCGACCGAACGACTCGATCAGCTGGACTGACCCTTTTTTAACCCACTACTTCTACCTACTTGGCGTTCCGTTCGACATCGTATCGACAACAATCCGACAGTAAGTAGAGACGCTACATGCCGTCTCGCTTCAATATGCCTTTCGGGACTGACTCAGTGTCTCGATTTGGTAGCAATGTATCAGGTCCCCTACCAAGCTCAGCAACCCGTTTACGGGACACATCCCAACGCTCCGGCATATTCTCCATTCCCTCTAGAGACACCGAGTTCGGCACCAAGCTCGACACCCTCGCTCTACCTCTCTTCTGGTTATTCCTCTACGTCTACAAACCCCCTCTCGGCTCCTGTCACGCCAAGCATCGCTCCGCATAATACGTGGAGTCTTGAGCAGCAACAACAAGCTCCACCGCTGGAATCACCATATCAGTCCTATCAACTTGGGAGCCCCGTACAGCCGGTCAAGACAAGTAGCATGCTACAGTTGATCTCATTTTCGCCCAAGGACGGGGAGGAAGGGACCCAGGTTGAGATCGTGGTCAACGCCATGTTTCCCTTCCAACCAGTCCCGAATCACCAGACGGGCCCACCGCCACCCAAGACCTTGCGTATCCTCTTTGCTCAAATGCCGGTACCGACCAAGGTCACAAATATCGTACCCGTCACCGACATGGAAGGAAACGAGACGTTCGACGGCTTGACGCTGTACGCGGACGCTCCTGACCCGATAACGACCGGATTGATGCCTCTCGGGGTGAATGGCCAGTTCGAGCCGTTCTCGGTGACAGTATGCGCACAGGTGTTAGGGTCAGATAACAGGATCTTAGAGACCAAGACTATGGGGCGGTTTACATATGTGCGCGGCGGTGGCGTGATACCGGATCAACAGTCGGCCGCTTTTGGTAAGTGGATGCGCGACTGGCTCGATCCTTTGGTCTTTTAGGAGTGCGCCAACGATTCTCTTGTGTTCCTACAGCCTCGCCGTACGGGCAGGCTTCGCGACTGCTTAGAACGCCAATCGACCATCTCACACCGAGTCGGATGTCACCCGGCCTTGGACCACCGAGCGCAACGCTCATGAGACGCGGACGCTCGGAAAATGGTCATCTTGCTGGACAGTCTCCAGATAACTTTGGGAATTCGTATCGACCCGATTACCCGACACGATATACCATGGCACCAGGACTCCCGCCTGGAGGTAGTCCTGCTTGTGAGTATGCCCCTGTTTTCGACCAGCCGAACACTGTGCTAACGAAGCTCGTCTTGTTAGACTCGACCGGTTTCGCAAGCCCAAGCACCCTTAATACCCCCCGCGATTGGCAGCCCCAGACGCCAAATGACCCTGGCCGAAACGCATATGGTGGACCGCCACCACCTCAGCCTTCTCCATTACAGCAATCGTCCTACGATACGCAAGCGTCCGCGTCGTCTTCGCCTGCGCCTGGAACTGTACCGGGTAGTTCGCAGCCGAGTCTGATGAGAACGAGTCAGCTAGCAGGAGGACAGGCAACAATGAATACCTACGTCATTTCCAATACCAAGGCGTCATTGCAATTACAACAGGACCTGAACCTGATGGCTGTCGGATGGTTAGTCGTTTTTTCCTGCTCGACTGGTCAGTGCGATTTTGATTGGGTTTCCACATCATGAAATACAGGAATCAAGAGGAATGGCATGCCAAGCGGAGGTTGGTACAATTCTGGCGTCGTCAGGAGGGATCCATCATCCATGCAGCTTTCCGCGCCATATCTCAGGCCGAGTACATACCCAACAGCATCGTCATCTCGTGCATATACCGGGAAGACAAGAACGAATGCTTCGTCACATCTGTAGACGGTATCTACCTGCTGGAAGCCTTGGTCGGCGTCCGTTTCTCGGTCGAGGAGAAGAACAGGATCCGTCGGAACCTTGAAGGTTTCCGACCGATCACGGTTTCGAAAAACAAGCAGGGTGCAGAAGACTTTTTCAAGCTAGTCATGAGCTTTCCAAACCCAAAACCTCGAAACATCGAGAAGGATGTAAAAGTTTTCCCTTGGAAGATATTCGGAACGGCTTTGAAGAAGATTATCGGCAAATACGTGAGTATTGCCTGGCAATTGGAAAACTGGTTAGCAAGGCAGGTTTGCTAAATACTCGCGTCTTCCTTTAGTCTGCCAACTATGCCTTGCCGCCCAATGGCAATATGGCGCCACCTCAACTTCCCGTCCTCACTCGACATCCGTCCCCTCCGGTCGAACCCTACACCATCCCCGCTCCCTTGATGCCGGCACCTGTGCAACATGACTCCTTGCCGGTACACTTCCCATCATACCCAATGAGCCGATCCGTTCCGCCTCCGGATAAGCCAATGTATCATGTCCAGGTGGGACCGGACGATACGTATTATGGATCAGGACACCATCCACCGCTCAACCAGGGTATGCCACCGACACCTGCATCATATCACGGCTTGTCGTCCAATTCGAGCGGTTCGCTACCCACACTTGCGAGCATGGGGAACCATCCCGTTGACATTCAGCCACCGGGCAACGATATACCCGGACTTCCTCGGTCTCACTCGGGGGCAATCGATCAGTCACAACTGACCTATCCCAGCAGTATTCCGCCATTTTCAAAGCAAGCGGATGGATTCCCGATGGCTCCTCCCGACTTACAACCCCCTCTACGCACCATTCCCGGCTCGATGCAACAGGACGCGTATCATTGATTGGTCGGCCAAGATAGGCAGTCAAACACTATCACCTGTACAATATCATCATAATACACTTACGACAGACTATAAAGCCAGCGACGAGGCTTGTATTAATCGAGCATGCACATATCCCATATCATCGTATATGTCACAAAGGTATTCAGGATACATGCGTCGCGTTTCTTTCAATTGCCGGCATAACAATATACAACGTTATTACAACTAATGTCCATGTTTGAGAGTCGACATGCGCCATCGTCACTGTCGGCGGCTTCTACCACCCGTGTGATCGGAATGACGAGCTGAGTTCACCTTCACGTTGGCGTAGATGGCGTGCTCGCACCCAGTCGTTGTGTATCTCTTGCTCTCCCTCAGTCATACCGTTGGAGTAGTCAGCAGAAGCGTGGCCAGTCATTCGGGATCGATGCCAGTGACTCATGTCGGCGGTCGATTTGCTTCGATTGTTGGCCAGGTTGGACGGTGGGTGAGTTGTGTTGGTCCCGCGATCGCCCGGCGGTCTGTCTCCTTGTGGTTGCTGAGCTCGGGTAGAGGTTCCCGAAGTGAGTGGGCGCAAGCCGCTACCTCCTCCCAGTAGATTGTGAGAAGTGCGACGTTTTGGAAGCGACGGGTCCGGGTGGCCATTGTCGACGACATGACCCGCTGGTTCGGTATGCTGGCGCGAAAGTGCAGGTGATTCATCGTGTTCGGCTTGGCGTGCGGCCTCTGGAAGATCTTGAGCAGATGCCGTCGGCCTAAGCCCCGAGCTCTTCCTCATCGGATACATGGGAGCTCTCGATTTTCGCTCCCAAATTAGATCTGTAAGCGAAAACGCAGTGAGCTCGAGTCTCCGGCTGCAACCAGGAAGACCAGACGTACTCAGTCGGAGGTCTTCAGGCAGCTCAGTGGCCAACATCTGACGACGTCTAGTTGTAGGTGTTTGTGGAAGCGCGAGGTCGAGCTGCGGAGTTTGGGTACTTGCTGCGGGCACGGGTTGGCTTTGGCCTGCGGTATCCGAAGAAACTGTAGGCGTGGCCAGCCCAGATGTGAGACGCTGCAGCGCAGGGTTGCCGTTGCCCTGTTGGCTTTCACTCCCGCTCTTGCTTCGTTCGGACTGTTGTCTGCGACCCGAGATCGCTTCGAGTCGTCGCAATGCAACTGAACTGGGTTGCAAGACATTCGAGTCTTCTTCGGGCGATGATGAGGGAGATAGATCGGCTGCATTCACTGGCTTGGGAGGAAGTCGGAACTGCAAGCGCGATGCTTTTGATCAGTAATCGGTCCTATCATCTCGCTAGCGGTTCTCAGACCCACCTTGCTTCTCCCCTGATCAGGTTGCTGTTTGGTAGCTTCGGCAGCCTCGATAACGGCCAGTTGATCCATCAATCCGCCGCGACCGATGCTGATCCCGGTCATGGCAGGGATTGCAGCGGCGCTCTTGCTCCGGTGTATTGCTCCAAGCCCAGGTGCAGCAGAAGTCACGGATGGCTGATGTCTCTGTGGCGCGGTCTGTAATCGGAGCCGGACGAGCAGTATTGTATCAGGAAGGGTCCAACTTGCCATCGACGCTATTGGCAACTTACCAGATCTGCCATGCTTTCCCCCCGCTGCAGGACGTCTCGTTGTGTCTCGAAAAGATTGCTTAACAAACCGGGTCGCGATGAAATCGTCTCCGATTTGGCAGGTTCTGGCCTGGACAAGGAAAGACTGCTCTGGCCGCTGTTGCCAAAGATTGCTCGCTTTGCGAAAAGTTCCCGCTTCCTTTGAGCCTCCTCTGCTGCCTTGACTTGCTGAGACAGCGCACCGGCAACGACCTTGTTCGCCACGGCCTTGCCCTTGACACCAGTCGCGAAGGTATCATTCGGACGCTTCTCCTTCTTGCCATCCTTTTGAGGACTGTCGCTTGCGCTACTCCATCCCGCATCATTGTCGTCGGAATCGTCATCGTCCTCTTCATCGTCGACGGTTTCGAAAGACTCGTCTTCCTCCTCGTTGTCCTGACTGAGCTGAGCAGCTCGCGCTTGCGCACCCAAGAAATCGGGCTCGCTCTTTTGCCGCTTCATGTCCAAGATCTTGCTTCGAGCCTCCTGTTGCCTCTCCTTTTCCTGCTGCTGCTGCGCTTCCAAGCGAGCGGCGATGGCGGCCGCAGCCTTGGCTTTCTCTCCAGCGAATTTACCCGCCATGTTCGAAGCCGACGCCACCCGCTTGGGAGCAAGAACTCGCTGCATCTGTGCCTGAGCAGGGTGCATCTTCGCCACCGCCGACTTGGCCTCAGTCGAGAGACGTCTGGGAGGAGCTTTAGAACCACCGCTCGACTTTCGCCTGACCAAACTTGTCGTGGCGACCTTGTTGTCTTTGGGCGTTTCGACCACACCGGCAAGCGGTTGAGGGCTCGACGTCATGACTTCGGCAGATGTGATGGGCAGCGTGTCCATCACCTGATCTGAAGTCGAGACATTACAAGCCAAGGGCGAGGTACCCGGCTTTCCGATAGATCTGGGTCGTCCAGGGGAAGCCGGGACCCGCGTAGTTCCAACGCTGCTTTCAGCAAGCGTACTCCCAGCATCGGTACTACCGCCATCACTAACGGCAGACACGCTACCATGTCGACGACGATCGCTGGGGCTGTGAATGAAGAACATTGACTTTTTGCCCTTCTTTCGAGCTGAAGAAGAGACTGCTTGACCAGAGCTGGTCTGTCCTACTTGTGATTCAGTCAAACGCCGTAGTGCCGAGCTCGACAGACGTTGCTCTCCCGATGTTCCTGAAGATTCTTTCGAAGATCGACGATCTCGACAGCCAGATCCGCTCGAAGTATTTCCAACCGAGTCAGTGACCATGGTCGCCATGGGATCTTCCTTTTCGATTTGTGGCGAGTAAACTGGGCTGCGACTGAGGTTACTCTTGTCGGATGAGGCCTGAGATTTCACCGAACGGTCAGAAACCGCTCGCGATCGGTTTGGTGGCGATGTGATGGTTGACATAGGTGCGAGACCAGCAGAGCGGGACGCCACAGCAGCAAGAGTCGATCCTGTAAGACTACCGGTAGTCTCGTAGATCCTGGGCAAGGCCAATGGCGGATGCATGATGGATCCGAGAGGCGTCTTCGGGGGCGTGGGAGCCGAGGTGTCGCCCAACGAACCGACCCGGCTGGGCACAGGGGTGGGTCCGACCACTCGAACCTCCGGACCACCGAGAGATGAAGAAGCTGTGGTGAGACTGGACGCCTTGCTTTCGTCGACGTGAGTTTGATGTGAATCCTGGATGCCTCCGATAGAGACCGTATTCGCATGCTGCCACTCAGATGCGCGAGTGCGAGGTGAAACGGAGCAATCCGCCAAAGTGACGGCTGGCAAGATCTGACCGGTCTCACCCTCTCGTACCTCTCCCGGCGGAGAACCTGAACCGCGACCGGTACTGCTCGATTCTCTCCTACCTGTCACCACATTTCTGCACATGGCCTGTACATCGACGCTCCCGTCAGTCTTGTTGAAGACGAGGTCTAGGACCTGACCGAAACTGCGCTCCCGTTCGGCTTTCATCTGAGGTGTCTCGCGGGACCAAGCTTTGCCGTCCCATCGAAGCTTCCTCGTACCCTTGGTCTCGGCTCGAGAATCTTCGATACCCTGTCTGGCTATCAAGTCTTCGAGATGGGACCGCGTACGAGTGACCTCTGCGACGTGTGGATGTTTGTCATCGACGAGACTTCCTAACGGGGTCGGGTAGGACGAGGCTTTCGGCGTAGAGCTGACGAGATTCGAGGCACCAACCTTGCCCTTGCCCGACCCGTCGAGCCCATCGCCAAGTCGAGCTGACCGTGGGACTTCCCGAATCGGTGTCATCTTGTTCTTGTCCTTTCCACTCGATCGACGTCTGGCCATGTCAGGCCGCATGGGCAGGTTGTTGGCAGCCACGGGCCCGACAGGTACCGGATCCCTCTGCTCTGTCTCTTCCTCCTCGTCCTCTCCATCGGTAGTTACGAACCCATCCTCATCATCTGTCGCCTCGGGTCCTTCATCCGACCCAGTCCGCGGTTCTTTCAACGTCGGACTAGCCCTATCTATCGAAGCTCGAATCAAATCTCCTGCCCCGCTTTGACCCGTGTCCTCTTCCTCGGTCCCAATCTCCGACTCCCAATCATCCTCCTGACCGCTATCATCGTCGTCATTGTCAACACCACTTCCGCCAACATCTTCCATCGTCGCCACCTCCACGCGATCATCGATCATAGCATCACTGCTCGCCGAAGACGATCCGGACGAGACGGTCGAATACCCATCCTCGCTATCGATTGCATAGTCGTGCCCGTGAACGAGCGGGGTAGGTGACCGGGAAGATCCTCCAGTCGATCCGCTCGCATGCGAGTTCATACAAGCCTGATGCCAGAGCCTGCACGCACCATCGTCCGGGTCATTATACGGATTGGACCTTTCATCAGCCTCCATCTCCATGTCAAACAAATCTCGCAAAGCAGATCTAGAAAACTCACCTCCAACAGACGTTCTCCAATCTCCTGCCGTCCTTGACGACGTCTTTGCATTTTGTCAACACCGTCCACATGTGACTGACGTTGTCCGTGCTATTGAGCTTCGAGTCCAAGGCGGGTGACGAGAACGTGCAAGAGAGGGAGAGGAGCGGTTGTGGGAAAGGGAGATCATACGTCGGCTGGTTGGGATCTGGGCTGTAGGTCTGAGGGAGGGAGGTCGGGGATGAAGACATGATGGCAGGCATGGTGAATGTGTGATGTTGTGGCGTTGCGTGGCGTGATGTAGTGGGAGGTCTGCGTAGGTCGGTTCTCGGCTATGCGAGATTTCCTCCCGCGTCTCCCGCTTTCAAAATCGAGCAAGGGGGAACTTGGTGATCCTGATCCTCAAGGCTCGAGCAAGATCAGATCGTCTGAAAGAGGCGATGCAATGTGACCCGCACGGTCTCGACTGGTTCAAAGGGACGTCGATAGGTCTTGTGGCGGCTGACCCGAGAAGCGGAGCCTCGGTACCACTTGATCGATGTTCTTTACGTCGGTTCTTGCCGTCGCAAATTCGAACGCTGCCGACGATAATATCTGAAGAACGTCGAGATTGACGCTTCCGGATTAGAGCTTGAGGAAATATTCCGAGGTGGACGATACTGATGTGTGATGGCGGCGGGGCCATACACCGGTCGTCTGAGCCTCGCAGACGCCGTGTCCGAGGTATCACGAGCGAGTAGATCCAAGATGAATGATCTTTCGTCGAGGTCGTTCGATGTAATGATACAGAGAGCACCCAGTGTCGGAGTTTCAACCGTACAGAGATGTAGTGTCTATGGCGAGATAGGGCACGGCAAGGACGTGACTGCGGTCCAAGATTGTATCCCGATCGAGACAAGGAGTTTCAAAGGTCGATGGTAGTGGACCCGGTCAAATGGTCCTTAAAAGATGCGCGTCGCGGCTTCGATAGGCGAGATGATGGTTGTACAGACGAGTGAGTACAGATTGCAGTACAAGCAATAGCGAGAAGTCAATAGCTAGTAGCTATGTGATGGTTGAAGAGATGATACGGTGAACGTCGAAATCCAGTTCGCCGTCTCTCCTCTCCTCTTGCTCGTGATCATGTGACTGACCCTTCTCTTCCCTTCGCTTACGGGGCAGGAGGGGGAGCAATGGCAAAACGCGGGGAACGGGGAAACGAAGGACCTCGGGTCGTTGACCATGGACTCGTCGTCGACCCCAAATTACGGTCGGCCTCTTTGGTGCAAGGAGCGGCGCCCATCTTGGGTCCCGCCCCCAGATTTCGGAGGTCTTTCTGACAGCGACACACCCTGTACCATTGCCAATCGGTAACGGTAGCACGGCAGTTCGATCGACGAATGATGTGACTACATCTCGTTTCATTTCGGTTTGAGGAGCTTCGGCCGAATCCCTTGCGCCCTTGCGAGGAAGATCTTCTCGTGATCTAGCAGGCGCTACCTATTGCCGAGGTCAGGCGATGCTTCACACGTGCGTAATGCGTGATGTCGCTCTAGTCTATTCTGTGTCTCGAATCGGTTGGTGGCCGGTGATCCATGCACCCTACATCCTTTCGCTGTATTGCCTCTGGACATCGAGCATGTGAGGTCGGAACATCACAGGCATGATGGATAGGTGGTGCGGTCCGCTGCCAACGGCAATCTCTAGGTGACGGGCTAGTGACCACTGACTCCATAGACCAAACTGCCCAACCTCTGAGACCCTGAGCCTTTCCCGGCGAGCCTGCACAGTTATAGCGCGCTCTCGGACATGGATCAGTTCTCCCCATCAACTCGACTTTGCTCCAGGAAGGCCTCGCATCTTTCCGGCGTACTTGCCAACCAAGTCGAGTCGTGATCTCGCGCGCCTCATGCCGTCTTGCCGTTGCCGTCCTATACCGTACTAGTATTCTAGAATCCGTCAGTGCGACTCCCGTGTGTTCCCTGGAAATAGTATTTGGTATATATCCAGGGATAAGCCCGGCAGGTCGGTAGCAGCTCGTCGACCGATCGAATACGTGCTTTGCACCGTCACAACATCGTTGCGCGCTATACCGCCGACAATCCGAGCAACTCGATGACTCGAGCTGGCCGGAATGACCTATCGGCTATCGGGCATCGCAGATCACGTACTGTCATACTTGACGTACCACAACCATGTACAACCCTTCTCAGGACGTCAGTCCGATCAGTCCATTGAATGTCTATCCCGTACCAAACTTCCTCGGTGGGCTGCGTCGCACCGCCACCTGATCTGCGCTAGCGGGATTTCACTTTCGCCGAGCGACTAGTCCGGAACGCTACTGTACCGGGACGCAGTAACCCATTAGGACCTTAATAAAACGTATGTGGGGGAGCCTTGACGGTCCGGTCCCCCGACGTCGGATGCGTGAAGAACGTCACATGAGGACTCCACAGTTACATCGTATATCGTGAAGGTAGAGATGGCAAAAAGCTCGCTTGTTTATTGCAACGGACAAAGGCGCTAGGCGCACGAATGAACTGCCAGTAACTCTTACTACGGTAAGCAGTTTCCTACGAATATTGAGACGAGTGTATTCGAAAGGGAACCATAAGTGTATTGGCGAACGGGTGATTGAGAGACGACTGCTATTCTTTGTGCTTGTGAATGACCCTGAAGAGGTCTGCGTCGCCGTCTTCCGATCACAGTGAAGGTCCAGCCAGACAAGCCGCCAGTTGGTTGTTTGTCCAGGCTGGGATTCGCTCGGAATCAGCTCGATGGGCGCCGTTCTTTGTCCCCAAACACCTGTTTGGACAAGAGTCGAGAATCAGAGAAGTTTAAAACCTGTCCGGATGACGGGAATAAGAGCCGGCCATTACCTCAGAGCCATCTCCATCTCCATGGATCTGTCGCCGTTGCTAAAGGCATCCATTGCGAGCGCAATCTCTCGAAGCTTAGGCTCTCGAATCTTTTCTTCTGGGACCCAGGTCTTTGCCGCAATTGCCATCAACTCCTCCCAAGATCTTTATGTCAAGAATCACAGACAGGTTAACATCAGCCAGGATTGTTGCTAGTATCTTGGTCTTTTCAGAAAATTTGCGTGTCTGGTGCTCTTGGAAGTAGGTGATGTATCAACTCCTAAGCCCCGTACATCGTAACAAGGTATTGCTTATCTGGGCGGATACAAGGAGGTCGGCCTTCGTGAAGACATAGATTGAGGATTCGTATACTTGAGTTGTTCAGGAACCATCAAGTTCATCAAAACAATTCGATCCCCATCAATCCAATCAACTCATCATCACACAAGATTGTGTAACGTAATTGATCCAGCCTGTCTTGCAACCTTGTCGGTCCAGATTGGAACGTGAGTCTTGCCTCGCCTTTTGACATCTTTTCGTTCAAAATCACCATCTGACAAGCTCTCGCCTTGTAGCTATCGTTCATCATACCCTACCATAAGTAACCATCAACAACGTCCGACTGCACCTTCCCGCCCTGGAGACGTCTCTGCGCCAGTTTCCATATGTGTGCTTGTGCGTTTCTACGGTATGGGATGACATCGTGCTCGACTCTTTGGATAAGACTGTAATCACTACAAATACAAGGATCGCTGAATTGGATATATGAGCATGAGACGAAGAGGAACACAAAAGCGGAATCGAGATAACAGACGGACAGCAGGAGCGAGCGTTTAGGATTTCCCGTAGGTCTCCTATTTGCGAGGTAAGGCAGAAGACAGATGAGAATTCGGCAACATAATAGCTGCGAGCAGACGAAGCCAGACGCTCACCTTGATCTCCTTCTCAAACTGCTTGACAATAACCTTGCGCTGGATCTTGTTGGCCGCAGTGAGCTGACCACCTTCAGGGGTCCAGAGCTCGCCGCTGACGATAATGTCCTGCAAGATCTCGGGACCCTTGAGACCCGCCTTCTGTCCGGTTGAGCGGAGCTCCTTCAGAAGGTACTCCTTGACTTGTTTGTTCTTGGCCAACTGCTCGAGGTCACCCTCGACGTTGATTCCTGCCGCCTTCAGATGGTTACGCAAGTTGCCCTCATGCTGTATGCCATATGGCCGTTGGATGTCAGTGGATAGTCACAATTGACTGGCGATGCGGTGAGCAAGACTCACAGGAACAACAATGGCGATAGGACGATCCGCATCCGAGTCGGCGTAGACCATCGTGTTCTGAGCGACGTCGCAACTGCCGTACGAGCTCTCGAGCTTTTCGAGCGCTAGGTATTCACCCGATCGCAGCTTGACAAGGTTCTTGATTCGGTCGACAATGGCGAGGGTACCGTTTGCTTCCCACTATGAAATCAACGGTCATCAGTGACCGATCCTGAAACCCTGCCTACGAAGACCTGGACTGACCTGTCCAATGTCACCGGTCCTGAACCACCCATCGTCGGTAAAGCTCTCCTTCGTGACATCAGGCCTTTTGTAGTAACCCCTGGTGACCGAGCCCCCTCGCAGCCAGATTTCTCCCTGAGGAGGGTTGTTGCTAGACAGGTAACCCGCCTCAGGGTAGTCGTGCAGCTTGACCTCGAGCGAGGGAACGATGCAGCCGACGGTAGAGTACTATTCGAACAAGCCTATTGATTTCAAGTGGTTCGTAAAACCATTATCAGATCGTGCTTACCTGGAAGAACCCAGGAGTCAAAACGCAACACATTCCACAAGTCTCGGTAGCACCTTTTAAGATGATCGAGCAGCACGTCATTGCCTGCTCCACTCTGTCGCAAACGCGAGGACTAACCGTATCCCTGCAAAGCCGTGGCCAACGTAGTGTTCAAGAACTCTTGGGTGGTCCTACTCAAAGCGGCTCCTCCGTTCATCATCAACCTAACCCTTCCACCAGTAGCGGCTTTCGCCTGTGAATTGTCAAAAAAAAAAATTAACATCAACAACCGCAACTCGATGACACAGACTCCAATGACTGCGACAAGATATTCACCTTGGCGAAAACGACCTTGTCCAGGACGGCACCGGTCATGGGCACCGTCTTCTTCAGATGGTAAGCCAAGTTGAAAACGCTTTGGACGACCGCCGGGCTCTCGTGGATCTTCTTGACAATCCCCTTTCTGATCAACTCGTAAACGGCAGGAACTCCGACGATGATAGAAGGCTTGTACGCGACCATGTCACCGTCACAATTCCTAACCGATTCTTGCGTGAGCGTCTTGACAGTTCCGTAAGCGACGGGGACTCCGGTAAAGTAGAAGGTCATCTCGACCAGGAGCTCGAGGATGTGGGCAAGGGGAAGAAAGGCGAGGAAGACGTCATCTGGCCTGAACTCGGGCTGCAAGAGCTTCTTGGTCCCGGCAACTAACGTTTCGAACATCTCCTCAGCGCAAGATCTCGTTGCCACTCGCGCAGGGCATAGACTCACGTGAACAGATGATGTTGTGATGGGTCAACAATACTCCCTTGGGTGCTCCAGTCGACCCCGATGTGTACTACCGGTAATATTTGTCGATCAGCCGGTAATGTGAGTCGATCAGCTCGCCCTTTCCGGCTCATCGTGCCAAGGTTTCCAAGGACTCACCATGATACAGAACAAGTCATCCCTCTTGGGTCTCTCTTGCTTCCAGATCGAATCTCCGACCATGTTCTCCTTGCCAAGGTCCTGCAATTCTTGCATACCCAGAATTCTTCCGGTAATAGCGTTCTCGCCTTCCCCAGCTCGTCGTTGAGAAAGCTTCTCCGAGATCTTGTCGACGATGCTCTGTTTGAACACGTACAAGGTGGTCAGCATCGCCCATCAGCATATCGTTGATCGCCGATATCATGAGCTTACCTGGTCGGCGTCTTCTTCCCGATCGTAGACCACCCAGATCAACGTAGGACACTCATCAATCACCTTCAAGAGGGTTCCCAACAGGCTAGCGTTGGTGAAAACGAGCCTGACCGATGGCTCGTGGAGCGAATGTTGCAGACCCTCCGGTCCGAGCGTCGTATACGCTGTGGTAAGAGGATGACCCATCCGAGCCAGACTGTGGCTCATGATCTGCCAGTTCATGCTCGTCTCCGCATACACTCCGACTCGTTCTTTCCCGTCTTCGTCCCTCCAGCCGTCCCGCCCGAGGCCTAGATGACGCATACCCGAGGCGGTTCGACGGACGCTCTCGTTCAGCTCGTTATAGGTGTGCGGTTGAGGTTCGGACATTGTGAAGCTAACGAACAGGCGAAAGGATTGATCGAGTAAGCTGAGACGGACACGATCGCGATGACTGGGTGGCGCAAAAACTCACAACTTCCATAGCTTCTCCTCGGTCTCGCCTTCAGCTCCTCCCTTCTTGGGAACAGTCTTCTTCTCCTCGACGATCTTGAGGATACGTCGGTTATAACAGGCGACCTTGTTGCCGTACTTCTTGACCTATGAGACAGCGTTATCACAGTTGCCTCCTATCAGCAAATGGGCAATTCACAACATCCCGACGACGTAGACTGACCATCCATGGCAAGACATCAGCGACGGTATCGACTCCATCAGCAGGACTGGTCACCAACTCCTTGGAGAGATAGGATCGCCTGATGTTGGAATCTTCTTTCTGGGGCACGGATGCCTTCTTGCCAAAGAGGTTCATGGCGAGATTGACTTGGTTGTATAGAGGGTTTTCAGGTGTGTGGAATGTGAGCAGGTGAGGGTGATGGTTCAGGTAAGGTGAAGATGTTTCCGTCGAATTCGAATGGTGGCCAAACGAAAAGGTATCAAGAATGGGATAAGGAAGTGCTCCTGAGCTCCTGATGAAGCGACGGTGACAGCTACAACAACTACCACTCTATCTGTGTTTCCCCGTGACCTCCGTCGTCGTCGTCGTCGTCGTCGCTTCCCTTTCGATCGCCCTCCCTCCCTCGCGAGCGATGATGCGTACCGGCCAGGGGCGAGCGATGGAGGGATGATGATGATGATTAATGGGGAAATCACGTAACGTAAACCTTAAATCACGGCATGGCTGATCTCCGCTTGTCCATCTTGGCGCAACGAAGACCGAGGGCGGTAGAGCAGAGCAGGGGACGGAAGGATACAGCAGCAAGGAAGCTCTTGGCATATGACATTCCACCCGGAGGTTGTCGAGAGATCACGGGACTCTCAGACGAAGCGGGGATACATTTTGTGTCCAATGATTGAACGAACAAGGGCCCTGCTCGGGCCTCAATGTTTCTTCAGTTTCTTTGCCATAATAGGCTGTTTCACGAAGCGATGATGAGGATCACCCAAATCAGCGAACCGCCCGACTTCAATTCATGCCGAGACTCGGGAGCCGACTCACCTGATCATCATCGTCGTCCGAAATCAACATCAACCGCTTCCTATTCGCACGCCCCGTCCCCGATGCTGCAACTGTGCCTGTACCGCTCGCCGCTCCCGTAGCCGGAGTGACCGTACTCGAACCTCGTTGAGGCAGATAATCCTCGGCTTGTGTCGATTCGCCCAATATCGATGCGGACCTCGACGTACCCGCCCGCGTTCCCCTCCGAGTACCGCCCGTCACCGTCGTCGTCTCGACCGGGGTGAAGGCCTGAACCTCGGGTTCTTCCTCGTCGTCTTCAAAGATCGAAGGAATCGCAGCTACCGCCTTTTTCCGACCTCTCGTCGGTTTGGGCGCCGGCGCGTCTTCGGCTTCGGAAGGCGTCGTCGTTCGACCTCTTCGCGTGCGAGTAGCAGTAGCAGCAGGAGTCGGTTCTGGAGTCGCCGACATCTGCGTCCTTCCCGTTCGTCGCACCGGTCTGACCGGGATGTCATCATCGTCCGAATCGGCAGCCAATAGCTTTCTCTTTCCCTTGGCCATGGGTTGAGTCGATTGAGAGGTAGATGCAGCTGTCCTCGCTTGAGATTGCGTTGCGGAAGGCATCTGGCTTTGTGTGGGTGGTTCGGCCGTTGGTGCTGCTACTCCTTCGTTCGCCCAGTATGCTGTGAAGGCTATCGTTTCAATACCGGCGTGAGATGTTCGGCCATCATGACCGGTACGTACCCTTGCCCAACCCATAATCAACGGTCGATTTTAGCGTCATCGGTATGGGATCCTTTTTGACGGCCAAGGGTTGCTATTGAGTAAGATGCCGATCAACTCTTCCCCTTGTTCTCGACAGGAATCGCCTGCCATCCTATGCATACCTTTCTGAACTTTTTGAAATTCTTCTTGCCTGCCCAAGCTGGATCTGCCGCCGCCGCCCTCTCCGCCGCTGCAGCCTCCTTGTCTTTGCGGTACAGATTGACCCGCTCGATGACAATGAAATTTCCCGTCGTCGATGTATCCATATCTTCTAGTAGCCTGTAAAGCTCCTCGTCCGTCTGCCTGACCTTGCTTGCGGTCGTCGGTTGTATGATGTTCGCCTTGGTCGGTTTCGAGATCTTGAGCGCGTTGAATTCCATATCAAACTCGTCGACCTTGTTGCTGCCTCGTTTGACCTTGTTGGCGGCTTTAAGAAAGTTCTCATCCTTGGAGACGTTTTCCGGCAAGGTCGGAAGAGTCTTTTGCGTCGGGCGGAACTCTTCTTGAGCGGGCGGCTGCGGTACCGTTCCGGTAGATCTCGATGGACCGCCTCTGAGATCGGGTTGTTCGGCTTCTTCCTCCTCGTCTTCCTCAGGAATATCCTCCACTACAGTCCTCGACTTTTTCTTCTTTTCCGCCAACGTCTTTCGTTTCAGATGTGCCAGGAAGCCGTCGTCATCATCTTCATTATTACTGCTATCGACCTCCATTTGCGAAGCGGCCGTCGCTCTAGCCTGACTTTTAGCCTGTGTGTACAGCTCTTCGTAATCCATCCCATCCGGCGGCATCGAATCCGGAACACCGCTTTTGTTCTTGTTGCTGTCATAGAGTTGACGGAATTTGGCGAGAGGGTCATTTGTGCTCGTTTCTGGTTCGTCATCCTCGTTACGAGAATCGTCAAAGTCGAAAAAGCTGTTCTTCGACAGAGTTCCCGCCCTCCTTTTCAAGCCGTTTCTTGATTGCAGCGAGCTTGTTGCCTAAAGTTATCAGCCATAAAAATTTGGTGAATTATCTGGTAATTTCGAGCCAATTCAAGAACACTCACGATTCCCCTATCAACCTCCATAGGTTCGCTAGTTGACGTGCCTGTATTCGGTACCTGACTAGGTAGAGCTGAAGCAGTTTGTGCTTGCGTCCTCGTTCTCTTCGCAGGTGGAGCTTCTTCATCACTGTCCGAATCGTCAAACATCGAAAACTTGTTCTTTCCTCCAGCACGACGTTTCAAAAGCTGCAATGGCAAACGCGATGATTAGCAACATCGCCTCTTGAAATGGCTCCCCGACGCACAACTCGACCGGCAGGAGGTGCAGGTTCTGTGCTCTCCTGCGAGACGTGGAGGCTGGCATCCTCATCCGGGTGAGTGGAAGGGATCTCGGTATCGGCCCTTTCTAGCATCCGTGAACGTGAAGCTGGTTGGGTAGACTTTTGTGTCGCCGGCAATCGGCTGGTCATCTGGCTAGAGACATCTGCCAGATTGATGGGCAGCCGGGCGGTCGGGCAATTAGGGCGTCAGGACTCTGTTAAGTCCGAAATCTGAGCTTGCGTACCTTCGGTCTCCTCAAATATCGTCATACAGTCGGGTTTCGTCAAGCCCATCCACCAATTCTGCGAAAACTCCACTGGAATTCCCATCCTATCTTGCCGCCAAGCCATCAGTTCCTCAATCAAAGGAAGCTCTCAGACTCGACTCACGATTTCGGCGCCTCGATAAAGACTTCCATCAACTCTTCGTCTCCTTCCCACTTGTCTTGAATCGCCTGCAGAACTCCATCTCTGTACAGCATGACCATGGGCGGACGTGGCCACTCCGAGCCGTCTTTCAACCCATCAGATCCAAGCAACGCCTGCTTGATCTCTTCATGCAGCGCGGTAGCTGCTGTCAATAACGGTTTGATCTTCTTTTTGAAATCCTCTGCATTCCGAGGCGGACGGGTCGTCACATCCAGAAATTGTACCGGAGCGCCTCCGTTCTTGAGAAACACGTCCTCTTGCGACTTTTTCGCTCCGCCTAGGACGAGCACGGTCGTCCCGTCCCATATCTTCCGTCTTTCTGGGTTTGGCTCCCACCAGCTAGGATCCGATCTGGCATCCGTGATCTTATTACCTTGCCCGTCTTTGATGGAGACTGCAGGCAAGCAAGCTGACTCCAAGGGTAGGAGCACACCGTCTTGAGGCGAGACGGACTCTAAAGCTGTGAGGAGCTGGTTCAGGAAGTCCGAACGGACAATGTAGATCGCGGAAGAGACCGCTTCGAGGCAGAGGTCGTTTGCTACGCTGATCTCTGGTACTGCCACATGGGTAGTCAAGCCTGGGATTATCTTTTTCTGGTGAGAGATACCTATCGTGGCGTTGGGAAATCAATACACATCGTTCAGTGAAGGAAAGGGAAGACACGATGCTCACCCCATCCTCGCAACCTTTGAGCTAGCTCGATCTTGGCAGCCGTCTGATCGGTATCCGCGAAAACGTATGATCGCCATGTAAACCTGTTTTCATCGGATGGGTTTTATTGATTAGGTGTCAGAAGCGCGAACAACGCTGCAAACAGACTGACACCATCTTTGCGCTCTTGGTAAGATGAACAACAGTCCCATCTTCGATCTCGATCTTCCCCCACTCGTTCAACTCCTGATAATCCGCATCTACGGCCTCGGTAGATATCCTTCCTTCGGCGCCTCTCGGGGTACCTTCGTGCGGATGGAGCACCGTCACGGGCTTTTGTTTCGATTCGTCTTTCTGGACTTGTTCCAAGGCCAACTTGGAACCGGCGATTTGGGTATCGTTCCAATATTCGATGGGTACTTCGGTCTGAGAATTGCATATGAGAGAGAAATGCACATCGTAAACAAACCGCATTTCCAGCTAGACAACTGGAACAACTCCGGTAGGCTCACCACTTTGCCCTGCTTGCTGATTTTGTCCTCCCAGCTACCTAATCTGATTCTCCCTGCTGTTTTGGATACGGATTGATGATCCACGACGACGTCATTTTCCACTCCCCTGCCGAGCTTGAGCGTTTTATTGACAGGTAGCGGGACGAACTTGGTCCTGGCAGGTTTCGCTGTATATAGCAAACAGAGCACTTTAAGAGAACATCAAGCCTTCCGACATCAAGACCACGAAACTGACCTTGAGACCCCTTCTTGGCAGCCTGAGCAGCTGTATCGACCCGGACGATCCACATGACGGAGATTCCCGAGGGTGATTCAGCGCGGGAATGATCTTACTCGCATTCGTTCGCCGGGGCGGTCGATCAACAGCTGATCGGTGCGAGGTTGGAAGTTATAACAGCAAAACTCCTCCAGTCTCCTTCGACATGCTTGTGTGGCGATGGTCGACAGGCAAGTGATATTACCGAGATGCTCGACCTCGGGTTGACCTCACAAACAAAACACCCAGATAGCTGAATACGCTGTTGACAGCCTCATCGTCGCGGACATACCTTGTCTACCTCGGATGTCCGTCCGTCTCGGGGGCTATGATCACGTCATCAATCAACTCGATCGAGATCAGGAATCGGGTACGAGTACGGTAGCTCGGATCTCGTATCTGTATATCTGTTGTATATCGTCGTACGTCGTTGACTTCAGCTCCGCTCCTTCAGACCACCAAAAGTCGGAGCCAGTATCCCGCTATCGCTCCCAGGAACCTTATGAAGATCCCTTCGTCCAAAGCTCTACTGCTCAGTCTAGCCAACCTCGCCCTTCTCCGACCCGCATCGGCATTCAATCTCACTCGACAAGCTCAGGTCGCCAGACAAGTCCAGGTCATTCAGGATCAGTTTAGGATGGCTTCCACCAGTGACATCGCTCAGGAAGATATGAATGGTGAGCAACAACTACCGATCGTGGTATGGAATCGCTGATCTCACAGAACATTACCTACGTCGCAGTTGAAGGAACCAAGTTGCAACAACACGGACGACCCGAGCTGGTCACCGGATGGTTCCGTGACAAGTGAGTTGGTGCCCAACCTGCTTATCCACCACCTTGAGGCGTGTATATAATCATTCGCTGACAAGACCTGGCCCATGAATCCGGTAGCTACTGCCGACCCGACGTCAACGACCCTGGTGATCACACGATCGCTGGAATCGTGACCAAAGAATTCCTCGAATTTTCTAAAGCTCGAGGTACGCTACGCCTTCTGCCTAACTTGTCTCCTTCTCTTTGCTTCAACTTGATTTGACGTGACTGACATACCGTCCCCTTTCCCCACCACCCTCTAATCTTCAGGCAACGACCTGATGACCCAGGGACCCAAACTGACTGAAGGCTGCCGCTGGTGCCTCTGTGTCGGTCGTTGGAAAGAAGCTTTCGACGCCTACAAGTCGGGCGACCAACCTAAGAGCATCGTACCCAAGATCAACCTTCAAGGGACCGCCTTTTCTGCTACAAAGAAGATCTCTCTTGAGGATTTGAGGGCGTTCTCGGAGAATAAGAAGGACTGAGATGTTGGCAGAAAGCACGTGTATGTAATTGCTCGACTGAGAAGCGAGCGTGTTGTGATATCAAGAGTATTATTGGAATTGCATAAATATGAATGACTCCTGCTGACCACTTTCGGGTACAAGGGTCACTAGCCTGACCGTCCTTTTGGTTCCTGTTCTACATGCGCCGGTAGTGGCTTACTGGATCTTACCCTCCGCTCTCAATCTCTCCAACCTCTGCCTAATCGCCTGGCTCAAGAGCTCGAAACCCAGCTCGGCCTTGTTGTCCATGTCGACAATGGAAAAGCTGACACGCAAGAACGAGCTCTTTCCGTGATTCGGCAGAAAGGCGAAACCGGGCACGGCGAGGACTCCGAGCTCGCGGGCTTCTTTTTGGACGAGGTCGGACGAGTCGTCGATGGGGGAGACGTCGATCCACAAGAACATTCTGTATGACAAGAGGTTTTCATCTGGTCAGCTCGAAGTTTCGCGCGTTCCGCGCCAATACCATCGACATCGAGACTTACCCGGCGACGGGCGAGACCCAGGTGGCGATCCCATCCAGGTGTTTCCTCGCAATCGCCTCGAACTTGTCCCTCCTCTTGGCATAGAAAGCTGCGACCCTCTCACAGTGATCGATGAAACCTTGAATACCCCCTAGGTTTGCGAATATCTGGGTTAGCCTCAGTCGATTCCTGGCCCGAGTTTGGCTGCTAGCGGACTCACAGTAACGCAAAAGACGAAGAGCGACGGCTTGGGCGACACCATTGGGCTGCAAGTTGGCCGTCGAGGAAGCCACATCCATGGCCTTCAAGATGGCTTCCGGTCCAGCTGCGAAGCCCTGCCCAAAGAAAACCAAACAATGGCAGAATATCAATCATCTGCCTACCGACTCTTAACAGCATAAATCCGGGACTCACCAGCCTCATCCCCGAACTCAACACCTTGGAGAAACTATCGAACCTGATCACATGCCCACCCTCAGGGACTACCTGCGTCTCCAACTGGAAATACGACGGACGTCTATCCGCCGCCAAAAAGTAGTAAGGGTCGTCCTCGATGATCATGATCCCGTTTTCCACGCAGATCTTCAAGACTTCCAATTTCCTCTCCGTCGTGGATGAACATCCCGTCGGGTTGGATCCGACGGGGACGAGGTAGATCGCCTTGGGTTTGGGCTTGTCGGCCGGCCAAGAGCCGAGGACTTGACGCAAGGAATCCGGAGAGACCCCCTGATCGTCCACCTGGACTTCGATCTGGTTGACATGGAGGGTCATGAACTGGGAGATGACACCCGCATACACGGGGGTTTCCACCAAGATCGAGTCCCCCGGGTTGAAGATGGCTCCGAAAGCTTTGAACAAGAGGTCCTGACACCCTCCTCCGACGGTCACTCGCCAGGGGACTTCCTGCACCCCCTGAGCGTTGACGTCCCCCCGAAGGGCGTTGACTTCCTCCCTAGTGACTTCGCCTGTGGCTTGGTTGTCCAGTTCTCGCTTCAGCTGAGCGGTCTGGCTAGGGGTCGGGTGGTGAGGAGAAGCAGGTCGGGAAGGGTCAGGAGTGGGATCGACAGAGTTGACGGGTTTGGATTTGGTCGACGATGTAGAAGGTTGGGGGATGGGTCGGTTGTGGACCTTGGAGGTGAATTCGGTCAAGAAGGCGTTCAGTCCGGGAAGACCGGCGGTAGCGGAGCTGTTATAGCGACATGAAGATCGTTCTGAGTTCGAGAAGCTCGATCATTTCCGCGTCCCGCCGGTTGGAGGACTCACTACTGCAGAGCCTCCTCCATATCCGCTCCTTCGATCTCCAAATCCACACCCCCATCCGCCCGCTTATCCCCGTTTACATCGACTTCCTGGCTCGAAGATCCGTTTTGAAGCGAGACGGGAGTCTCCAGAGGAGGTTTGAGGTGTAGGGTCATCGAGGAAAAGGGGAACGTCTCCGGGTTGGGCTTGCCTGCGAGCTATAGACGCGGTGTCGATGTCGAACGGCAATGAGCTTGCATGTATGATGATGGATGCAACACAACGAAGAGTCGATCTTGACTTACGAAAGAGACTTTACAGTGCTTCTCCAAGGGAAACAGTCCTCGAACTGCATGAAGCTCTACCATCAGCTCTCGTGAACAACCGAGACGCATCTACTCAGACTCACTCCCGTCGGGCAAGGCCATCTTGCCCTTGTCCGAGAGGTAGTTGCTGTAGTCGAGAGGAGCCATTAGATTGTCAGATTGATGGTCAAGATACAGTTTGTGAATTATGTCTTGGACAGGGGCGAATAATGGTCGAGTTGACGATGAATTGTCGACGTCGAGAAGCTTGGAAGGTGAGGTCGGATGATAAGTACTCGTTGCCCATCATTTCGGATTTCGGCCGATCGGGGTTCTCGGGCGCTTGATCGTCTGACTCGCACTCTCTAGGCGCTCGACCGTCAATTCAAGTCATACGGCGCTTTGAAACACAGTGAGACGCAGCGATCTCATCCAGCGTATGGACGTAATGGCCTCATCCCCCAGCACATTTGGTAACCGTTCTGTGAGATTATAGTCAAGGGAGGGGAAAGGAGCGCAGGTCGGACGGCTTTGACCATGTTCGGATCGTCCGAGACCCCCACCGCCGCGCGACGTCTCATTCCTAAAAAGGTGGCTACATGGCTCGTGTCCAAGGTACGTAGTCATGGGTAGCCCTGACAACGGCGACGATGGGACGAGTGGTTAAACAGCCTACCTTAAGGTACTAGGGGGTCCACGATTCAGCCATTAAGCAAGTCCTTGTTTGAATCCTCTCCAGGCTCGAGGTGACTCTGGGAGGCAGGGGCGAAAGGCAATGTAGTCATCTTCGGATGGTTACTTGTCTTTTTTGCGATGCCGACCTCGTCGCGACTTCGAGGATGACGTGTCACACTCTGTCGAAACGGAGTGCGTGCTATATCATCGCCAGCGACTCCAGGTTTCTCGATATCAGTGTTTTTTTATATTGTATTGCATGTAATTCATGTGACAGACCGGAATACCCATAGCTTGTAGAGAAGGTACGGACCGTTACACCCAGGAACCTCATAATCTGATCACCGGCATGTCTTTTTCACCAGTCATAATCGTAACAGGTGATTTGCCCGTACTGTGTGTTTCGCCGACATCTCCATTTGTACTGATCCATGGCCCACCTCCCGCATTCCTCCAGGTGCTTCTAAAGGACTCGGTTTAGCTATAACCCAGATTCTCCTGTCGACGTTCAACGCCAAAATCGTCGCCGTCTCCAGGTCCATACCACAAGAGCTGGAAACGCTCCGATCAAGCTCGGACCACAAAGAAAGGGTCGAGATCGTGCAAGGGGATGTGGTAAGTGATGAGACTTCGGCTCATGCCGTCAAAGTCGCCTTGGAGAGATTTGGGAGGATAGACGGGCTGGTTTTGAATGCTGGGACGATCGATCCGCTAGGTCAGTGCCTCGAAACCCTCCTCGAGCTTTTCATTTGCACTCCCTTGCCTCGGCTAATAAGGACGCCTTTTCCCCCGCCTGGCTTTACCGATTTTCCGTAGGCCCCATCGCCGACCCAGAAAACACCATCGCCCAATGGGCATCCACCTTCCAGATCAACCTCTTCTCCCTCGTCTCCATGCTACAACACGCTACCCCTCACCTCCGATCCTCCGAGAACGGGGGAAAGGTGGTCATGGTCTCCAGCGGGGCAGCCACGGGGAACACGTCAGGTTGGGGATGTTACAACAGTTCAAAAGTCAGCGAGATACTTTGGGGAGGCATCGCAAATCGTGTGAAAAGTCGCTGATAGTTACGTATTCATGTCCGCTTCCGAGCAGGCGGCGCTGAACTCTCTCTGTCGGACGTACGCCAATGAGGAGAAGTCCATCACCTCCTTTGCCGTCCGACCGGGTATGGTCAATGTACGTCATAGACCACTCTCCGCGTCTCCCCGTGCTTCCTAGCTTACCCTCATTGCTCATATTCTGGGACAGACCGAGATGCAAACGAAACTCCGTGCACTGGGCGAAAAGGGGATGAACCCGGAAGAGCTCGAGAGGTTCACCACGGCTCACAAGGAAGGCAAGCTTCTGAAGCCCGAAGAGTAGGTGCCGTCCGATTGCGTGTGACGCTACCGCCACCGCAGGTATATTGACCTTTCCGCATGTATGGTTGCAGTCCCGGTTTTGTGATCGCCGCGTTGGCTGTCAAGGGTCATGAAGTCAAGGAGCTCAGCGGTCAGTTCCTGTCCTGGAATGAAGCGTCGTTATCAGCATACCAGAGGCCGCAGTGAATCCGGAAATTGAGGGGCTTCAACTAGCTGGCTCTGTCGCCCCCCTGCATGCAGTTGGGAATTACATCCAGCAGAACTAGATGCAAGCTTCCAGATTCGAACTGAAATGATCCGGGAACGACCAGGAACAGCCGGTTACCACGGTTTCATCGTAGGATGAAAAAGGGAGCCTAGGACGTCTTCAGCATGTGGGTCGAGACTATCAAGGCATGTCATGTACACCTGATCTTGGGCCTGTAATTACCCTCAAATGGGGCAGTAAATACAATATAGAAAGCTCGCACATCTATCTATCTATTTCACGTCGATGATTCAGGTTGGTATCCGGTACTTGTCTCGTTTCCGCCAACCTCCGGCTCGACCTCCTTGTCTGAAAAAGGTGTCTTCGAAGCCCTCCAGCGGCTTGCCGTGCATCTCGTCGACGCGTCTTGAGAGTACAGTCTGAGTCTTCTTTTCAGCCTCGGTAAGGCCCGCACCCTCGTCTCGAAGTTCTAGGTCGGTACACATCCCGCGAGCATTGTCCTGAGTCGAACGGTCGCAATCTCGATCAGCCTCTTACAAGGAAGGGCTCGAGGCGAAAAGATGGACTCACCCAATAGACCCACATGTGAGCCTGATTTAGCGTCGGCTCAGAGTATTCGTCCATGTTCATACGTTTCTGCCGTTTCGCGAAGGGGTTAGGTTTTCTCGCTCTGACCATCCGGTCTGCTTCAATTGTTTCGTGCTCACGATATGGGTAAATGTGCTTCCCTGCCTGACTCCACTGATATGTTTGAGCAAGTTGGAGTGTACGAACAACGGACGTTGTCGGGTCTCTTCTGCAGGCGGATCGAGTTCGTATTGCAAGATCGAGCTATCGAGGACGAAGGCGGTCAGCGATCAAATCGAGTCGAGCGGGAAGATCAGAGACGGCCTGGACATACTGCCCGCAGAACCGATCGCCGTGCATCTGACCCAGACAAGTGGCCCATCGGGACGCCCTTGTGAACGGAAGACCTAACGCGACAAACGCCCATCGCTGATGATGTTACCGCTACATCAGCTTTGCGTTCGAGACCGGAACATCTCGACTTTAGCTCACGAAAGTGTCTTTGTCCCCCTGCATCGCGTCATTTCAAGACGCCATACGATGAAGTCGAATTAGCAACCTAACGCTCAGACTTTGGTCTGTTTGTCGTCCGACTTACCCCGCACAACCTGAACCAGAAATCCTTCTCGTGTTGCATATAAGCCGCCAGATGTAGCGCTGCCATGTTCAACCCGTTATTCCCGGCCTGCGTTTGCCGTGCTACTTAGCATGCCGGATCTCATGGTCTTATCCGAGCAAACTCGCTCAACCCCGGGCTCACCTTGTCGATGACGATCTGCCCGCTCTCAAAGGTGAAGTCGTCCAGATCACAAGGCACCCCCATGATCCTCCACACGGCGTTGTCTACGTGATCTTTACTCAGATCAGGCCAGAAGACGGCTTTCCCACTCCCTGTTGCCGTGTATGACGGCGTATCGAAGAGATAAGTCGGGTCCCGTAGAGGAATGTTGTCGCTGTCCAGGTAGATGAGCTCTTTAAAGTTGGACAGGGCGATGGCGAGCCCTTTGATTTGAAAGTTCTTCCAGGCGCCTTCGTCCTTGGTGAGTCCGTAACTCGGGGGGATCTCAAAGACTTGTCCTCCGAGTGCCTCAGAGGTGATCTCTTTGTACTGCGGGGACGAAGGGGGCAGTTCGCCGGGAAAGGTCCAGATCTCGATGGGAAGGTTGACGTTGTATTCGTGTCGTAGGAAACGGAGGAGGGTTATCAAACGCGCGGTGGTATCGGCATTTCCACCGGTAGTGACGATCCCTCTTCCTTGACGGTTCGCAGTCGGGATAGGACCACGTTTTGATCGTGATCCTGATCGTGATCGCTCGGGTCCGAGGTTTCGCTTGGCATCGTGGTCCTGATCGTCGATCTTTCCATCACTGACCGCTTCTTTCCGCTCGAAGTTGATGCCCAGGTCCTCGTTGACGGCATCCAACTCTTCCTGTTCCAACTTTTCGGTCTTCCAAACGACCGTCTCCCCCCTCGAGACCAGCCCGGCGAGATGATCGACGAGGTCCACCCGTTTCTGCCGGATCACCTCGGGGGTCACGTCGTTCCTCCAGAAATCCCCATCCCCGTTCAGTTGGTCGGGGTTGACCAACCTGTCGCTGAGATCCCTAGGGCACTTCGCCTCGTTGAGATCTTTCGCTGCGTACCAGTCGAGCGCGGGGCGGGAGAGGAAATCGTACAGCTTCGAGTAGAGTTCCGGGTGGACGAGCAATGCCGCGGGCAAGGTCAAGGTCGGGTAATAGCGTTTGTATTCGTCAGGTAATCTCGGTCCCTCGGCAACAAGGGCAGTGGTATCATGGTCGCTTGGTCGAGAGATGAAATCGGGGATATAGTCCGCATAGTGTGGTCGGGCGGTGAAATGCACGAGGAGGACGGTCGAGGTGAGGAGGATGATGCAGCAGAGGAGGAGATTTGTCGGTGACCGAAGTGGCGATTTCATCCTGTCCACCCTGCCTAGTACTCCCAAGAGGAGTGATAGTGGATATCTATCTCAACACTGATGATGTAGTATGCCAAGTTGCAAGTAGTAGTATGACTGCAGTGAGAAGTTGAGAAAATGAGAAAGGAGGTCCGACGTTGCCGTTGTCGATGCGCAGATGCGGAATCTTTACGCTCAGGTCCGGATTACGTGCTGCGGCATGTTTGTTTACGATCGGGTTTGGGTTATGGCCATGGTAGAACGCTGGAAGATGTCATGAGCATGAATACGGTACACAGCCAATATATGCAACGGGAGCGATGTATCGAATCAGGTGCAGATGCTCGAGAGCTGGGCTGTGTCACGGTTCACGGCTGTCGGTCGCAGCGATCGACGTCGGAGGACCTCATATGTCTTGTTTTAAGGTTGCCATTCGCCCCTGCGGGAGCATTTCCGAGACATGACATCGGTATTTGAACCTTCACGACAGTTAGCAGGAAACAGACGATATTCGACCTCGATGTGATTCCTCGCCGCAGCGCTGATACTGTACACCCAATCCACTCCCTGTCCCATTAGTCGAGCAGGTCGATCGACCGTACTACTAGTGATGCTCTCGATGAATTACACGTCATTCCTTGTCTGATTTAGCGATCGCTTATCAAACTAATGCGACGATGATGATGATGTTTGCATGCACCCGTCCTGGCTATATATAAGTCGCAATGCCATGCAGCTCTACCTTGCGAGACCGACATCTCGAAACGAATCAAATTTTGTGTTGACATCTACATGCTCCGTGCCATCCCACTAAGAACCGCCAGGAATCTATATAATTACAGTACCATGTCCCGAGTAGCCGGTACCGAATCTTTCATCCTGAGTGAGCCACTGTGACCTCAACCGCCTCTCTGCTCTTGCATGAGCTCATGACTGACCGATGCGTATGATGATTGACCCGCAGACCACACCATGTTCAGGATCAAGGACCCCAAGGCTTCCTTGAAGTTCTACACCGAGATCTTGGGTATGGAGTTGGTCAAAAAGGCCGATGGGGGTGATTTCGTCAGTACCAGTCTCTTGTACTGCGATGGCGTTACGTCTATTCGATCCAAGCTGAACTTATTTTGCGATCTTGTCACCTTGCTGCCCTGTTCTTCTGGGCGTCCGACTTCTACACTCTGTCCGCTCGACTCCGAAACAAACACGACGCAAAACGCACCCCGCAGACCAACTACTTCCTCGCCTTCCCCTCCCCCGAACTCGCCTCCCTCTCCGCCGAAGAGAAAGAAGCTCGAGCGACCTCCATCCCGGGCGTCCTCGAACTGTGCCACAACTGGGGTACCGAGGATCCTTCCCAAAACTTTGAAGGGTACACGAACGGGAACGAGGAGGGCAAGAAGGGGTTCGGACATATTGCCGTCTCGGTGGACGATGTGCAGAAGAGTTGTGATAGGTTTACCGAATTGGGGGTCGAGTTCAAGAAGAGGCCCGAGGAGGGCAAGATGAGGAACATTGCCTTGTGAGCTTTTCCCGCTTCCGGCATCATTGTTGGTTGATTGCTGGGAGGGCAGGATGTCTGATGATCTCTACCATTCTTTTTCCCCTTCGCCTCTCGTCTTGCCGACCAACGAGTAGCATCTACGACCCGGACCACTACTGGATCGAGATCGTCCCCAAGAGGCTCTGAACTGAGTCTAGCATCAGCGGGTCAAGGAAGGTTGCAAAGTTATAATGTGAATGGATGCAGAGCAATTTCCAAGTTATTGGAACATGGGTTGAGGTCGGAAGGGATTGAGCATGTGAAGGGCTGTAAGAAAAAGAAATAACGTGATGATTCATTGAGAAAAGAAGACATGAATACGCTCTTAACAATCTTACAAGGCGTTCCATTGATAGAGTGACCAATCCAAGCGAGGATCTGTCGGTGAGGTCCGGCTTATCGACCGTTCTCTAAAGCCGTACTTATTCCATTACGAAGACAACCTTCCTAAGACGGGATGACAATCAACTACCGACAACATCCGCAGCAGCACGTCTTGAAAGAGCTTGTAAGGGCGTTGGAGTCCAAGTCATTCCAGGTTCTGAATTGCATTCTCCGGCAAACTCCACTCCAAACCTAATCTTGTGTTCAATATACTCTGGCACGCAACGTTCAGGTTCTTATAGAGAATGGTGGAAGCTGTTCATGTAAAGGGAAAACATACAGGGAGCGACATGACATGGCAGGTATACAGTCTGGGACACAAAGTCTCTTTCATCTCAGGTGTAGCAAATATAGGCTAGAGATCATCTAATTGATCGTCTTGCTGTGCGCTTCTTGGAACACGCGCACCGCATCATCGCATCCCTTAGCCTTGTACTCCGGCACTTTGCTCTGTCCGAAATTGAAGGCCTTCTTCAGAGCTGCCCTGTATCCAGCCCACTCGAACTCTGGCCTGAGATCTTTGATCCAAATATCAAAGTATGAGAAGATGAGGTTTTCGAGCTTGTCGGCATCGTAATGACATTCCAGCCACTCGCGTCGAAATCCAGTCTCATCAAATGGCACAAGCCAAGGTGGTGGGTTCGAGCTGTTCATGCTGGATTTGGTGTCGTGTCCCTCTTGCTGAGGCGGTTGTATTTGCAAGCGCTGCTGAGTTCCGGTGCTCGAGGCGGGCATCGTCCCCGTATACACAGACGTATCGATGGCGGTAGCGCCTGCGGGGGGATTCCCAGTGTAGGTCGTAGACAAGGTTTCGACCGATTGTCGTGGATCCGCGCCAAAAGCAGACGAGCCGTTTCTCTGTTCGGCTGTACGCCTGCGACTCCTTCGGTCGGATGTCCTGTTGGAGAAATAACTTGACATGTCGTCGTATTGTCTTGAGGCGAATGATCTATGTTCTGTATCTCTGGGAAGCCAATGCCGCGAACAGAATTGCTTTATAGCTAAACGCTGGGTTTAAACCGATGAGATCGAGTCCGCTTTTGTTCGGCATTCGGCGCGGGACAATCGACACGAATCTCCTTGCGCCCTCCGTTGTGTGACTCGCTCTCCATTGTGTTCTGCGGGAGACAACTCAAAGGAAAGGTGATGCAGTGAAAGTCATACCGAGGTTAGCTTATCCGAAAGAGACACCTTGGAGTCCGGTTTCATTCTCCGCACGAGCTAACCAGCAAATCGCCGTCAGGCAAATCTCTGTCGACGCAATCCGGGCCTGCTGAAGCCTTATGGTCCGTTCATCCGCCTGTTCTTGTCGCATTCTGTAAAAATTGTATGAATACGTACTACGGAATGGCTATCTTGACCTGTTCGCAGTAGTTGGCGTTGCTCGTCGCAGTCATCCAGTCTGAGAAGAATGACATAAATGATGGCTTGTAAATGATGCACCCCTTTGCGTACTTTCGATCCTGCTTAGAACTTGAGATGTAGGCAAAGTGCCTCAAGCGCTCTGCCAGTCACGAGATACCATTTTTGAATCTTCTGGAAGCGGCCTCTTCTTGTCTCGGATCGTAAATAGAGATCTGATCGCTAACAAAGGGTTCCCTGTACGCGCGAATTTTACTGTAGCTTCGATAACACTCTGGCGTCAGAAGGCGCGGCTATAGATGCTAAGTTACAGTAGGGATGTCAAAGATCACTTGACTGCTGCTTCTTGTCCTGCTATTATCTCTTCGACATTTGCATCGCTATCACCTGAGAGAAGCCGGAAAAAGAGCATTGCGCGAAGCTTCTGGCATAAACAAAGAACGCTGTGCTGTGAGCCTATGACTCGAGTCGTGTCCACCAACTTTCTGATTCCTTACGCCCTGAGCAGATCAGGCCGTCTAACCATCCTCACATTATGATGCGGGTTGATATGGCGAGTACAAAGTCTACCATAGCCTATCTTGTTGGTGCTTTGACTGTGTGGTAGAGTGATCATTAGCGAATGCAAATGGCTGCACCATACGATAGAGTAGATGGATATCGATGACCAGGGATCTTAGTAATTGATAAGTTTGAGCTTGACTACGACGGGCTGGATTTCAACCCAACAATACCGACCATGAAATGGACTATTCATCCAGGTAGATAGCGACAGGCTCAGATGACGTCTCAAGATACAAGCCTCATTCTGCTCGGCGTTTCATGAAACTCCAAGCAGAGCCCTTCGACGGCAGTTTCTGGCGCCGAAGCCGTGTTCCCCCCCTCATTTCAACTTGTCCAGCAGGGGGCTCGATAGGTTTCATACCCTGTTTGACTACAGGTATCACCGATTTTGGACCTCTATTCTGTATTTGGGCTTCTTTCCTTAGATGTGCTATACGAGTACTTTGCATAGCTGGATCGTTGATGGAATACTGAAGTGCCTCAACAGTCCCTCTCTGCGAAATTTTGTCGTTTTCTACAAGGCGTCTGCTCTTCATACTGCTCGCTGCATGTGTCGTCTCCTGACTTTGACCGTCCGTAAGAGAACTTATATCAGTTGTTCCGCCGACAGATGAGGTAGATGGCCACCCCATATCCGAGATGAACGATCCTAGTTTGGTACCGAGATTGCTGAACATCCCCGTTACACCAGAATCAGATAGCGCCGGGGGAAAGCTCGTTGCTCGTGAGCTCAATGTATTTGAAGCACTCGAAAGAGAGCTTTTGGTATCCGACAACAAGCTAGTCATGTTGAGTTGATTGGACTGTGGATAGTAAATTGTACCAATTGCGATTTGGTGGTTATCACTCAGCTTCGCTCACAAGCAGAGTTATAACCTGTTCAGGTACCCCATATTGATACACTTGTCTCAGTCACAGACGATGTAGGTCGACATGATTCTTCCTTTCTGCAGTGAAACGTCAAGGGGTTCAGTGTTTCAAGTGAGAAAGCCTGTCCTTGGCACTCGCGTGAGCGGGAATAGCGGAAAGCAGGCATTGTAATCATATAGTTACTGATCTGCATTGCGCAATCGCTTCATGAAGAGTATGATTGTTCACCGAGACAAAATGGCTTTTCAAAACAATGTTACATGATCATGTCTTTTCCTGATTGTGTCCCGCCTCTTGTGCCGCCTCGATACTCTTTTGACTGCGGCGTCGATCGCTATTGCAGGGTTTACGGTTCCCACGGTTACGAGTCCTTCTGGTCGAGGTAGGCCCGGTCCTGACACGTCAGCGTCTCTCGTCTTCGCCTGCACAGCTCATTATCAGCTCGTCAGATCTCGAGGTACATGTAACTTATAGTAGAAGCGAAGCGGAACAAACCCTGCTCATCAGAATCTCCTGGACCTATCCTGCTGAAATTCTGATCGTAACCCGAGTCAACTGAAGGTTGCACATGGGCACTCCAAGTGATCGAATGCATGAGGATCCGGTTCAAATACGCGGTCTCCACAGAACCATGTTGTTGCACAAAACTTGGCGTCATGGGCCCGTAAGCGGGGATACTGCTATTCCCAAAGTCTTCCCACAGGGTAGAACCTCCACTTGCAGCTGGAGTGTTTGACATGACTTTAATCTCTTCCGGAGTGCTGAAGATCGTTCCTTTTTTTCGATACAAACTCTCAAGGATGTTCCGTACTGTGCCTCCTGCTTGTCAAGAGATTCATGATTATATACAAACTGCTGCCAATGATCGCGTTAGATGACGTACCACACACAACCTTTGTCGGTCGAGGTTACTCTTGGAGGGACCGCAGATGTCTCGCCTGGTGGGACAGCACCATAGGAGCCTCTCTCTATTCCGGATTCATCCACGGTCTCACTCGGTACCCTCAGCTTTATACGAGTCGATGGACATGGAATAATCTCGTATCCCTGCCACCTAGCCTCGTATACAACAAATCCTGACTCCAGGCTCTTCAGACCGTACTATAGTGTAGGGCAAGATACAATAACAAAGAAGCGTACGTGCTAATGTAGCGCCATGAGACCCGAGCTGTCGCTTGACTCAGTGGCAGATCTTATTATACTACAGATTACTGCCTTGGGGAAACATATCGTGATTCCTGATCGGTTTGGCGTGACCCCTGATCGAGGACATAGGCTAGGAGCAGGTCAATCAACGATACGATGACAGAGAACTCTTGAGGTCCGTGCAAATATATACAAATCGAATCTCGACGAGATGCGCCATAGTATGACTGCTCAAGGCTTCCATCTTGCCGACATTCACTTCTGTGAGTCATCCTTGAACGGGCGCAACAGACTGGCGCACACTTTGCGCATCCGCCCCTTCCTTTTGGGAGCGCGAGTAGCGATATCTTTCAGGAACGCCTCGTGCTCCAGGGTTTTCCTGGATCTGGTCTGATCATCCTCTTGCAATCTCTGTCCTCGATCCTCCGTACCGTGAGGCTCCTGAGAACCGAAAGTCCTCGTATCACTTCCAGACACTTCGTAGTCACTCCCACTTTTCATGATAGTAGCAGTACCCTCAGCAGGACGATTGAAGGAGTGGAGATCACTCGTAACACGTATTGGTTTGCCGACTGAATGGCTCGCTCATCAATGCACTATATTAGAACCCTCGAAAACGATAATCAGGATGGAAGACGGACGAAAGAGGACGCACCTGCTGCGTCGAGGGTGTCTTCTTCTTCTGGAATAGTATCTTCGAAAAAAGAGACGCTGTTCGTAGCGCCTCGACTATTGATGCTACTCTCACCGCCTGGTTTCTGAACGGTGGACATGATTAGATTGCTTCTCAGATGTTTTACTATTGATTGATTGGAAGGATAGAACGCAGTGCATATTTTCGATCCTTGAGATAACAGCCTTTTTATATACATTCTTCCTATGATAACTACGCCATATGATGCCACAGACGTATCCTTTGTTCCAATCAAATCTTGCCTTCGGGGGCTGCTATAGGTACTATATCGCTCGAAGCGGCAGCCTACAGCTCAGCATCGCGAGAACTCGACTCGCCCGTCTTTTCCGAATGTCGTAACTTGACTTCGGCTGTCCGAGATATATAATCGCACGCATATTCTCATGACCTCTTCACTGACTTCATGAACAGGCGTACCGGTATGAGTTTCGCCTTGCGATTGCCAAGGGGGATACTGAACCGGGTCTCGTGATCACGCGCATCCTTTCAGTTCGATATCAGACAATTTCGTGATTCGTCAGTCTAGGAGCTGATACCACCTGAATAGTTTGGAATCGTCTTTGACTTCGGTCGAGGTAATCATGACTAACCTAATTCCATCATCACCAAAACTACCTGATTGAGCAGACAATGCATGCAAATGTGGACAAAAAGAAAGTTTCGAGGAGACATGAAACGCGATCATTTGTTGCGCGAGAACCGATCACGTGACCCAAATTACATCAACCACCCCCTCTCGCGACGCGACCTCAGGTTCATCATCTCAATTCCATCAAGCAGCCATCATCTTCATCATCCTCGATCCTCATAGGAAATCAAAAGAAACTCGAGTAGTTCGAACAATTCGACATTCCTATCCTGGTTAGCTACAATCGATCTATTCATCCTAGTGAAGCCGGTCGAAAAGAGCCTCTCCATAGCTCCCCGTCAAACAGGGATTCAACATCGTCATCACCTCGACAACAAAACAAACAACAAACAATCAACAACGACCTTCTTCAAACGACATCAAACATCTACCTTTCGAACAAACCATCACCTGATAGACTTTACATGCCGATAGAGGCTAAGGATACTCCCTTCACAAGTAGTACTAGTACGAGTGTCAAGTGAGTACCCAAACGAGCTGGCAAACGAAACTACCTTGCAATCAGCGAGCTGATTCGCTCACTCGCATTCCACCTACTTCCTACTTCGCTTTTGCTTCACAGCGTCGCTCTGGCGATGTCTCAAGCTAGACAAACGAACAACATGCCTAGAATCAACGGTAACGCTAGCCAGATCCACGATTTCCCTCCTTACAACAAGTCCTCCCAAGCTAGCTCCAAAACCACATCCACTTCTACCGCCATCACCAAGACGGTTGCTCGGTCGAGAGTTCCTAAGACTCCTTCGGGGTCGAACAATATGGCTACTTCCTCTTCTACCTCTCAAAACAACAACAGCAATAATAACCTCAACGTCGATCTCCTAGAATCCCGTCGTTCAGACCGGGCCAAGACCCCGCTGGAAGAACTCCGGGATACGATCGTCCAGCCCCTGACCAAATTCTCCATGGTCGGCATCGGACGTCTTCGATCTACGTCGAAATCCAGCTTATCTCCTCCGCCTTCGTTGCATAACGAGAGCACCACGTTGGATTCGGTTGGAGAGGACACTACGCCGATGGATTATTCGAGGTTGGAAAGGGAGGTTCAGGCGGAGAAGCTCGGACATGGGTTTCAGTTTCAACAACCCCGTCAGATCAACCCTCAATTACAACCACAGCCTCAACAACAGAAGCAACACCTCCAGCCTTCCCGCCCCGCTCAATCTCAGTCCGGCCAATCCCGAATGTCTTACCAGCAGACCGTTACTCAGAACGGTACCGTCCGCCCTCGTAACCCTAAGAAAAACATCGATAAGAAGGCGTACGAGTACACCGAAGAAGGGATGAGCGAGGACGATCTGGACGTGCCTGCCGAGGTTGGGATTGCCACCCGTCTACCTGTCAGGTCGACGAGGTTGTCGAACTCTCAGAGTACGCATGCTAGGCCGAGGATGAACCTGAATGGGAGCAGGAACGGCAATGGGAATGGGAACGCGAGCGGACGAGGAGGTGTTCTTTCTCCGCCACCGGAATCCTTATCCGGGTCGAGCGAGCGGAACGATGGAAATGACGATGATGACGAAGAAGAGGACGAGGATGTCTTTGGGACCAAACGTCAGCCCGTCCGGGGGTACCAGTACAATAAACGAGCCCAGATGCAGCACCAACGTGAAAGGCGTGGGACGACACCTCGTCGCCAATTCCTTGACGACGAAGAAGAAGGGACTACCGCTGTGGAGGACAACAAGCAGAGCGTTATGGGTACGGATCTTCGGGCACAAGAGGATGACGAGGCGTATGCCAAAGAGAAGGCGCCGTTTAACCGGGCTGGATCGAGGTTTAGCTCGAAAGCTAGGGCGTCGCCGGGAGTCGTGTATACGGGGACGAAGAGGAAGCGGGTGGTCCTGCCTGAAAAGAGAAATGTGAGTAGCCCATGCAACGGAGCGTCACTGTGTGGTAACATCGGCTTATAAGGTATGTTACCGTTCGTTGTACAGGCTGTTCGAAGGTTCTTCTCGACGTTCGGAATTGAAGGCATGGACGGACCATCGCTAGCCAAGCTGCTCGGGCTCATCCTGCTCGTCTTCTGGGCCGGACTCGCAGTCAGACATACATGGCGTGAGATCCAGGAGACGATCAACTCGATCAGAGGGGTCGGGAGGAGTTCGGTCGGGCTGCCCCCCGCGCAAGACTTAACTGGGGATTCGACTTGGAAGTATTACCATGACGAGACCGTTCAGCGATTGGACGGTCAGGCGGGGGAGATCAAGGAGATCGAGGGAAGGTTGCGGTCGTTGACGACGCAGGTACAGAGCGCTGCGACGGGGCTCACGCGGAGCGACTTGGACCGATCTCAGAGGGACGTAAGGACAGAGTTCCAGAAGCTTCGAGCCGAGGATCAGGTGAAGATCGGCAAGGAGATGGAGGGCGTCAACGGTGCGGTGATGCGGCTGAAGGAGGAGATGAACCGGTTGAAGAGCGAGACAGGCAAGGGGAATACCGAGGTCATGAAGGAGCTTCGACGCATCGAGACGCTCATGAAGGATCATAAACGAAGCACTAGCAACGACATGTCCGAAGTCAAGGCGAGGCTGTCAAAGGTCGAGACCGAGATGCTTAAAATGTTCGACGAGAAGTTATGGAAACAGACCTTGGAGAGGATCCTGCCGACTTTTGTCCCGTTCCACCGTGATGGATCCGGCAAGATGCGCGTGGACCCCCTGTTCTGGACCGAGATGAAGAAGATGTTTGCTAGCGAGAGGGCTGTCACCGATTCGGCACCCCGACAACAACCCGATCATCAGCCTAGCTGGAAGGACTTTATCGAGGAGAATGACGAAAAGCTCAAACGATGGTTGCAAAATTCTCTCGGCGACAAGGCCTTTTACACCGAGTCGATGCACTCGGGCGTATTCCAAGACTTGCTCGATGACGAGGTAGCCAAACTCAAGGTCAGCTTGCTCGAGGACATGAGAGCTCGTGCCGCCGAGGGCGACAAAAAGGTCAAGCGTGAGCTCGACCAGATGCGCACCGAGGCTCGTGAGGCTGCCGGACTCCGCTGGGGTCAAAAGGTCTCGGATGACGTACTCGTCGATTCGGCATTCAGCGTACAACAATTGATCGACCACGCCTTGCTCACGTACTCGAAGGACACCATCGCCAAGGCCGATTACGCGTTGGCCAGCAGCGGAAGCACCGTCTTGAACCATCAGACGTCGCCTTCGCTCGAACTCACCCGCCCCGGCTTCCTGGGCCGTATGTGGGGACGAAAGGCGAGGGCTAGGGATCCCCGCGTCGCGCTTCAAGGGCTCAACGATCCTGGTTACTGCTGGGCCTTTGCCGGATCCAAGGGTTCTCTAGGGATCGGTCTCGCTAGCAGGATCCGGGTTACCGATATCACCATCGAACACGCCGCCAGGGAGTTGGTGCCGAAGTCGGCTCTGAGCAGCGCACCCAGGGATGTCGAGATGGTGAATTTGCGATTGTTCTCATCATGAGTCCTGTTAGACTTGAAGACTGATTGTGTTCTCTCCATGTTGATAGTGGGCTATCCCCGCAACTCCCGAAGAACACCAGAAGATTGAGAGTTGGCTCGAGTGGAACCCGTAAGCGCCGCTGAGTCGATGCGTGATCATGCAGTCACTGATCTGATACCCTGACTCAACAGTGATCACCAAGGCGATCGTATCGCTCCTGCTCCTGGAGCTCTCCTCCTCATGACCGCGGAATACGATCCCCACACGGAGCGACCTCTGCAAACCTTCCAAGTTCCTCATCAGATTCAGGAACTCGGTGTCGTGACCGAGAACGTAGTGACCAAATTCAACGAAAACTGGGGTGCCGAATACACCTGTCTCTACCGAGTGAGTGGAAGACGAGTGTTAGGGAACTGCAACGTGATGACAGACATTGACCTGGAATGTTCCTCATTCAACAGCTTCGAGTCCACGGTGAACCTATCTAAACCATAACGACGCCACCCTCACGTCAAGACGCCAAGGCGCAACATCGAATCAACAATCACCCTAGCCTCGGCATTCGGTTCTCAATTACGGCCATATCTCAGGCTTCGCGGAATTCACGACTTTTCCCCTTACGACCTCTTTACGCCCTTCCCGACTTTATTCCTTTCACGGCGGTCCTGTCTGCGGGTGGATTTCGAACACGACACACGACTCAACCAATATCAATTTCGAGCTACAACCACCGGAAGGAAACAAAAAGGTTCAGGATCATCCAATCCGGATCGATCTTTGTCGGCCTTATCATGCATCGATACGATACTCTGCAATGTCTAGCGCCTTTGCGCATTCTTGCAGAGCATTCGGCATTGATGCATGCGTGGCCTATGGGATCGAAAGGACCCTCTATATCCGGCAATGTCGAGCTTTCGAGCAGGCTTCCCGGGATGCGGATTACCTGAACTACTTTGGCGAATACGACCCAGCGCGTTCCTCGTCAAAGGGGTTTACGTTTATCGTCTCGTTTTGGATAGCGGGAACGCTATACAGTAGCTCTTCTCAATGGTCGACAAGCTACGTCTTGTCTTGGCATCTTCACTCGGCGGATCCGGACTCTCGAACGGGGAGATACTTCAAGTCTTCGTTATGGCAACTTCACACACACCCACTGTTTTCGGGTCTTCGACTGGGTCTTTCATAATGTCACACGACACCTTCTCATTTCGGATCTCTGTCCTAGTTCCGTCCTCCATGTATCATTGTATAACTGTAGTTGCTTTCTCGAACCGATGTCAGTCTGAACGAGCGATGGATTTACGCACATCTCGGTTGTTTTGTGGGTGGGGAGCGATGCCGAGATGCCGAGATATATCTGGTCACGTGATCCCTTCACCTTTTGATTCGTAATCGATGCGTCGCCTCTTTGGATCGATCGCACCATCGCCACACCCGACTCGCCCACATGCTGCACCTACAACTTCAATGATCCATTCGCAACCTCCCTCGACGTCTTCTTCACCATGCCCAGATACCTAACCTTCGCCTTCTTGATAATCGCCATCTTTCTCGCCTTTCAAAATCAATCCATCTCACCGATCCAGGATTACATGCTCCGACTGAAGAACTTTTTGGCTCCATTCACCACTTCTGCCGCATCCAACATGGTCCACTCGAAACCCGCCCCCGCTCCTACCGTCCAGACGGCTATCAAGGAGAAGGAGAGCTTGACTGCCGGTGAAGGAGGTTAGTTTCATGGCTTCCAAGGTGTAAGGTCAGATTGACTCTCGATGGGTGGCTGATGGGGATGTGTTGGTTTTGCGGCGTTTGTAGTCGAGACCGCCGTCTTTGCCAACGGGTGCTTCGTAAGTCTTCTCTTCGCTCCCTGTCCCCCTCTGATCTTTCGCCGGTGTGAGTGGGCGCTGACCGATGGTGTTGTTTGTGTGTTGTATAGTGGGGAACCGAGCACCTCTTCAAGGTCTATTACGGCGATCTGCCTAAATTCTCAGCTGTCTCCGGGTACACTGGTGGACACGCTAACAACCCTAGTAAGCAACCCTAGACCCTTTTCTTTTTCCCCTCTTGCTCTTTCCTATCATGTCTCGTGTCCCTATCTCGCATCGTACCTAAATTTAACTTCACTGACAACGCGATCGCACTTTGCAGCCTACCGAGAAGTCTGTTCAGGAAATACCGGGCACGCGGAGTCCGTCAAGGTGACCTGGCAGACCGGTTCGGTCGGGTACGGAGAACTCGTCGAGTTTTTCTTCAGGACGCATGACCCGACGACCGTTGATAGGCAGGGACCTGATAGGGGAAGCCGTGAGTTCCAGCTGTTGTCTAAGGGCGAGAAGGCAGTGAGGCTGATTTTGCTGTTTAATTTGCGGTCTGGGTTGGTAGAGTACCGATCGGCTCTGTTTTACACTACGCCGGAGCAAAAAGAGATCGCTGAGAAGGTCACCGCCGAGGTTCAGGAGAAGCAGTGCGTCGCTCTCTATACTGTATCATGTCATATACGCCTTTGCTGACCGAATGACCACCCCGATTGATAGCCTCAAGGGAAGGACGATCGTCACCCAGCTCGCACCCCTCGGGAAGTGGCACGACGCCGAAGGGTACCACCAGAACTACCTGTTCGACAACCCGAGCGGGTACCAGTGCCCTACTCATAGGATGTATTGGTAGAGGTAGACCAGCCTCTCTAGGCGGTCGTCGTGGTTTGAGAACGTGTAATGCAGACAAGGGAACAAGAATAAATATATTTGAATCGTCAGAAGGTCGGGATCACAGACGGTTTCGGCCAATCCGGGATGGCTTTTGTTGAGCTGAATGTCAACTTGCCCTTGCGAATCAACCATGTAAAGCGTCTCAATCATATGGTTGACCAAGTCATCCGGGCAATGTAGACGGTTACGGTTCTAGAAGATGGCAACAATCAATTCTTTCTTGAATAACTCGTTAACATGAGACTGTTTCTCAAATGACTGCCTGTAACGATTGTGCCAGTTCAGCTGGATGGTTGGAGATCGAGATAAGGCATGTTGAGCACCTGTTGGAGTACTTGGCTTGTGCTGTCTTATGCATAATCTCGTGCTTCGCTCGAGGAAGTTGTTGAGAACAGATCGACCTTGTGTGACGTGATGGTACCGACCATTCGGCTTCCACCGAGCCACCGGAACCATATCGACGTCGAGGAGGTGAGAAGAGAGTACAATCAGCTCGATTTCGCTGCTGATACTCGTCATCGAGGGTACATAAGCGGTTTCCGACTTCTCAACTCTTACACTCTCCTTGATTGATGAGCGGCATGAGCGGACTCATAGGTCCAGGGAAACCGGTCAATACGCCACGGCCAATCACCCTTCAAACACTCACGTAAATTCATCGACACCGGATCAGCACCCCCATCATATCCATATGTCTATTCCTGCGGGAAAGACCCTGTTCGAGAGAAAGAATTCGCAAAAGGCCGCTCGGCGTCGCAAAGAACACACCCTATATGCTCTCAAGCTCGAGGCCTCCCGTCCACCTTCTCCTCCTCCACCCCCAACTCCGCCTGAAGTTCGACCTGTTGGGAACGATGTCCCGCCTGCCATCCCGGAAGAGGTGTTGGCTTTACCACTGTGGCCCTTATGGACGGATGAAAAGTTCTATACCTACTCGCATTGCTGCGCCAGAGGGTGGTTGCCACCAGGTCAGTCTGAAATGCGTTTCGAAGTCGGACGCTTGATGAGAAGGTTGTTATCCGACGTTGAGAAATTCGCAACCCCTCGAGTTCGGACCAACCTTTCAGAGTCACAATTGATGCCATACAAAGAGCAGGCGCATAGCCCGGATCCATTTCACTCGATTGACAACCCCAGGCTCGAGTATTATAATTGCGGTCGTCTCGACTGCATTTTGGAGGCAACTCGCTCCATGTGCTTCGATGATTATGGAACGAAGAGCATCATAATGATCGCCAAGGCCGAAATACCTACTATCGATCAGATCGAGATCGACTCGAATACGGAAATCGAGACGAAGACGGCTAGCACTCGCAAAATCGACCCCTACCGAGCATGGGACGTAGACAGACAGATGAGGCGAAGAGCGAACGCTGCGGACCGGAACGGGGTCATCAACAGGCATCTATATCTGATCGGATGGATAGGATACTGTTTCAGGGCTTATCATTGGGAGCGACCACGAGATCGACTGAATATTCCGGTTGGTGATCGGGGAGACACAGAATCCAGAGCTGGGGATGAGGATACGGAACCGGATCCTGCGCCAGTCCGGAAGCCGGGAAAGATGAGACCTTCTGATCTTGATATCCAGTTCCCATGCGACCCGACTTCGGGCCCGGACCCAGATCTTTCCGATGATTCTGTTAACGACCAGCATTCCGAGCCTAATCCTGGCGATCCTGAGATACTGGACACAGGGTCGGATCTGAAACCAGCCATAGTCCCCGGCCCACAACCTTCCCTATGGAGAGATCTCCGCCTCCCGGAGAATCAGAAGTTCTTACAACAAGTCATCTTGGACGCGATCAGGGCGTCTGACGAGGACCAAAACGAGGACGAGCAAACACACGAGTCGGACGGAAAAGAGGAAAAGAGTGACGGTGTGAAGAGGAAAAGGGATTTCGGTCCTGCTTTCCCAGAGATGTACGGAGAGGTTTGTGAGACGGTCACCGCTAGACCAGTCACATGGCAGGCGACCGTATCTACAGACTTGGACGCGGCTGAAGAGCTCGGGATTTCAAAAACTCTTCGGGAAGAGTCTTCGGTCGACGAACAGCTTGACGAGAAGGAAGAACAGGACATGGAGAAGACCGGGGAGGACCGGTCTGAGGCGACTCGGATTGGCTCATCGGACGACATAAGATCTATACGCAAGACAGGCGGGAGAAAATCCTCAGTACCACCGACCCGAAGAACTCGGCCTGGACGTTCGATGCTGTGGATCGATTAGGGACAGGATCAACTTACCAGCAGGAGATGCGCCCACGGCGATACTCTCAGGACAGGGTTGATCACTCCGAGACTCGTGATAGACTTCGAGATTACGGACGGCGATCGTCATCGCGTAGCTGAAAACCGAGATACGTGTACGGAGGGGAGCATCGGTAGAGCATCGGAGTCAGCTTCGACTCTGCATCTGGATATGTCTACGCGCTCTATGATACGATACAAGTGAGACCACGAAACGTCGGCCATTGAAGTTGTTCACAGCGAGCGATTTGATCCAAAGGATCTATCTATCCGATGTCCAGAAGCCCGACGAGTTGATGATTATTCACATGGTCGTCTGTCGCATTCCTGCGCCATTTCCAAAAAGCTGGCTCGACCACCCTCTGAGGTTGAAACTCTTCCTGAGCAACTGCCGAAAACACCGTCAGAGTCACGGCTGCGGGTTGGTAATGTTAGGCCTTCGCATCCGAACCGGGCTTTGAATCGAATAGCATCCTCTGTCTCGCCCTCCGCCCGGACGATTTCGCAGATGGTATTCATGAAGTCGAGATGTGAAGCCGGGAGTTCTGAGGGGACCAGTAGATGTCTGCCTCACTCCAAATCGACTTTCACCTTCTCCTTCTCGAGCTCAAGGGAAGGAATATCGAGCACGGTGGCTACATCCAGATGGTACGATATCAAGCGAGCTGTGTAGGGAGCGTTCGGGGTTCACGTCGCCGATGAATAGGTAGAAGAGAGAAATATCCCAGTAGGATGCCATATTCGCGATTATGCCGTGTTGATCGTCGACGAGCAAGCCATCAAAGATGACCAAACCTTACCACCAAGCTGTCCAATGCACCTGACCTATTGTTTACAGCGATCCAAAATGCCGTCCAGGTATCGAGCTGTCAGGTAGCATGGGACAAGTCTCCCTTGAACACAGACTCATCTCACGCTCAGCTTTGTACAACCTTGCTTGTGAGCACGATTATCAGGAGGGGGCTTTCGTCCCAAAGCGACCTGCGCTATCAGCCCATTAATCGACTTGAGACTTTAGGGCGTAAATTTGAAAGGGAGACAGTCTCCTGCGACGCGCTCGAGTCGTCTCGATGCACGGTGTTATCGTCGCTCTCCGAACGGCGTGTGATTTCTTCTCCTATCTTCTTTCTTTAGTGGTTTGAACTGCGCTCCGGTTTTACCGCCTTGACCGACCTCCCAGAAGGCTGCGACTCGGCGTCCAAACAAAGTTAGTTTATGGCGACGAGTCCATGGTCTGACCTCGACCGGTTGTCGCGAGTGCCGGCAGGGTGAGGCTTCTGAGCGGCCACCTTGGCTCGGCTTGGATTGCCCCGTGTACACGTCATTTCCCTCGTTTCAGCCACGTGATCGGTTGCGGAGGAGGGGAGTCCTTTGCGGGTGGAGGGGGTGGGCCGTGTCCCATCATCATCGAAAACTCAAACGATCAATCCATTCCACCTTGTTGCCAAGTGGAGGATCGTCCCTTTGTTCTTTGTTCTTTTCGGTACCGCTGCAGCCACAACGACAAACTCTCGGTCCCCAGAGTCAAACTCTGAAACGCTATAATGTTTGACGATAAGGAGCGATAATCCACCTTGCTGTAGTGCACGAGGTCTGTGATCTGTGCGCCGGTCTCCCTCCACCTACAGCACCCTGACCACGTTTACCCTGGTGCCCCGTATTGCTGCGAACTACCCGCGACCAGACATCCTTTCGGCTACAAGAAAAAGGGGGGACGGGGGGCCACCTGCTGTATCACCCGGCGGGAGAGAGACTAAAACTGCGATATGCTGTGGGACTTCACCTCGAAGGAAGATTGATGGAAGATTTTCCCTTCCCTTCGGCGCCGATGATCAAACATGTTTGGGAAAACGAGGGTCCTCTTGGCGAATAGCGCAAAGGACCCGGCTGCGATGTTTGTCGAGGTTTGTGGGAAAGATATCATCAACACACACGGATCATCAATTCATCAACCTTCTTCTCTGATCTCTGATCACGACTCGTACAACTTGAAGAGCGAGAACAAACCTGAACGAATCTCTTATAACGATACCCCAACACGACTTGCACAACGACCTCGACCACATCTCCCTATCTGAACATCGAAACCGCTCAACGCGACGCCCCCTACACATTTACGACACAGCACGACACCATGTTACTACCCAGCCAGAAGAAACGCCTCTGGTACACTCTCCTCCTGTTCACTTCCATCCTGTACATCAGCACGTCGTACTCTCCTTATCGGCTGCGATTGCGAACAAGATCAGGATTAGGGGCGGAAACAGGAATGAGCATGGGAACCGGGAGGCTGACGGCGCATGCTCGACGAGCTGAAATTCAGAGGATCCTTACCATGCCCGCTGAAGAGATCGTCAACTCCAGCGACACCGCTGCGAACGGGGACACCGCTACCCTTCCCGTCACGTCGACCTCGGCCTCTTCGTCCTCAGTAGGACACTCTGCGGAAAGAGTCACATGGACCGACCCAGCTTTGACCAAGGCGTTCGGCTTGCCGGAGTTCGAGTCCAAGGTCTTTCCGTTCTTTTACCGGCACGCAGGGGATTTTAAAGAGGACGAGTTGACGATGACAGTGTTCGTCACGGAGAACAGGTTGGATAGGCTCAGGGACTTGGTTGTGGGGTATGAAGGTCGGTCGTCCTGCGCCTAGGAGTGGGATGTACTGGATTTCTGACGATCAAGCCTTCCTATTCGCAATCCTTTAGGCCCCGTCTCCGCAGTCCTCCACATCCCTCCTCCTTCCCCGACCGCCTCCTCCATAACCGACCTCACCCGGACCCTCCAAGCCCTCTCCGACCTCTACACCTCCACCTCCCACCCAGAGATCTCTCAACGGCTCGACATCCACCTAGTCTCTTCCCACTTCCCCCGTCAATTGAACGCCTGGAGGAATCTTGCCAGAGCATACGCGAGGACGGGGTGGGTGATGATGTTAGATGTAGACCTGAGCTTGCGGACGGACGTCAGAGGGGCCTTCAACGAGATTTTGAGTGGAGGTGGGGAAGTTGGGGAGGAGATGAAGAGGGGCATGGGAGCGTTGGTCGTTCCCGCTTTCGAGTATAACGAACCTGAGCGAGAGCCGGAGGATTTCAACGAGTTTCCGGCTAGCAAGCAGGTGAGCCGAGTTGCACGGATACACTTTTCCCCCGAGACTACACGGGCTGACATGGTATTGGAAACTACGAAACCTTTTGCAGGAACTGACCGAAGCTTGGAAAGACGGGACGATCATGTACTTTTACCAATACATCTCCGCCCGAGGCCAAGCACCTACGAACCACACGCGGTACTTCGAAAACGCCTCGCTCAATCCCACTCCAGACCTGACGTCTACCTACCTGGTGGACGAGTGGAAACTAGGCTACGAGCCCTACCTGATCTTCCGTAAAGACGGTCCACCGTGGTGCGACGAGAGGTTCATTGGGTTCGGGCACAATAAAGAAGCTTGTGCGGGGGAGATGTTGTTGAGCGGGATGAGGTTTCATGTTCTGCGGGAGCACTTTATCGTCCATCGGAAACATGAGAAGGATGGGGCGGACAATAAGAGGAACGAGGTGAGTTTTTAAACTCATGGCTGGCTGGAATGGGCGAAGATGAAATAAAGGATGGCTGAGTTTTCGGTTGGTCCCATTCTAGTTACACCGGAACAACAGGATGTGGGAGAATTGGGAAAGGGATCAATGCATGCGGTGAGCATCCACGTTCACCCTTTCTGCGATTCTGTAAGGCTGACCTCCGATCATACTCTGACATTTTCCAGATACGTTGACTTGCTTGCCATGCGAGGTACCCTACACACGGCTCAGAAGTCGTTGATTGATACGTGCAAAAAACACGCCGATCTCAAGGTCTCGGATTACATCAAGATGTCAAAGGTCAGTCGAGGCCGAGGTCGCTGTTCAGAATTTCCGGTTGTCAAACTAGCCGCTGACGTTTCAATACAATCGAATCATACAGGATAATGCACGTAAATTAGGATCAGGAGGACCAGTTTGATGACCAGGTTGTTCAGGCTTGATGAAACCCATTTCGGGAAATATTACGACCCATAACGAAGACCGATACTATGCACTATGCCAATACCGATTTAGCCCTCGATTCAGCTCTCCATCACTTGACATTACTGCTTCCAACAGGTCTTTCAAGCCCTTGACCTCGTGACATACCTCGACAATCCGGCGACAAGCTAACAATCCGTATCGCTCGCGATGCGTATTTCGATGCTTTGTTTGTAGAGAGTCACGTGTTTCATTTCGTCCTATTCAGGGGGGGAAATAAGAGTAACCTCGCCTTAGAAGCGGATTCTGACATCCTTGACCATCCTCTTCAATATCTTGATCGGTTCGTCATCCCAATCTACCGAGATCCTGCAACGACCCACAAGAATCGCATCACCCCAACTTACTTCTACAATATGGTGGTGAGTCCCATGCTGTTGGGAATATACTCGAATGCGGCTGAAGCTCTCGCTTGATGGAAACCAGAAACTAACTCTGATGATCAAGATGGAGATGGAGAATGTTACGGATGTCGTGCCGAAGGACGATTACGAGTTCCAGATGAACGTGAGTCGGCATCAGTCTGAAGAACAAGTCTAGACGGTAAGTAAGACTGAGCACATGATGGATCTATTCGCTATACCAGATCATGTGCACGTCATGCCGTGAACAGCACGAGAATGCGGTTTCGCTCAGTAGCAAGGTCGGTCTAGGCATATCAAGGCAAACTCGTGAGCAAACACTTACGTCGTCTCATTTGCTTGTTCGGTATACAGGAGGAGCGGGAAATGTCGGGATCGAGGGGGACTGCCAACTTTGTTTGGCGATGTACGCACTGCAAGGTGAGTTCAAGCTACGCGGTACCGGGCTCTGCTAACACCACCTATACACGGCTCTCTGATCGTAGAAGGAACATTCTGCCAACTTTATCGCACCTACCTCGTCCTCCAAGGACCTGGTCGCACCTTACACCTCAGATAACGCCCAATTCCAACCTCTGATCTCCCTCGACTGCCGTGGTCTCGAACCCGTCAATTTCCTCTTCACGAACGGCGCCGGCGGGTCCTGGAAAGCCAAAGCCAATCAGGAGACCGAGAACGAGGATGGGTCGAGGGTGAAGAATGCGGACTTCGAATTCGAGATCGATGAGGATGGACGGTGGGATGATTACGACGAGGCGAATGCCCGGACCGTTGGGGTTAGCGAGGTGGAGGCCAAGTGGCAACGTACTTAATAGACTCTATGCGATTAAATCTGGTTGTATCGATACATGGATATTGCATGACCCCGGACCCGAAATTAGACGCCAACGATACTGCAACTCTAAGCGAATCCACCGATGATGTCTTTCTGTTGATCGAGCCGTTTGATTCAGCATGCGGTATTATGCCGTTTTGCTCGCGAGACAATTTTCCAACTCACCATCAAAGGCTGAACCTGCTTTCTGGTCGAACTCGTGTTCCCCTGTCTCCAAACATCACCCCATCGGTTGACCTTGCTCTTCCCAGCCTCTCCATCCCCCCTGACCAGACTGAGGTCTTTCAACTCTTTTCGCAAAGTCGCACCCGCCTTTTTCCCCGGCCAAGATTTCAACTCGAGGACCTCTTCCGCATCGATCATCCCCTTCTGGAGAGTCTTGAACAGTCGTTCAGCTTCAGCGGAGGAGAGCACCGAGTCGTCCGAAGTCCTGACTATGAGCAAGATCTCTCGTCTCCCCTTGCCCTTTTCACGTTCTTCCGTAGCTGCCTCCCTAAAAGTCGTCAATACCCCCGATACATCGAGTCCTCTCTCCAACATCCAGTCGTCGACGGCTTCGAGCAGACCTTCCCACCCTTGATCTTGGCCTCGTTCGCGGGACAACCAGTTCCCCAGCCCGAGAGGTACGGTGCTGAGACCGACCTTGACTTCTTTGTTGTCGAGCGAAGTGGGGAGACTGTATTCCTTGTAATCCCTCATGAGGAGTTCGCGGGACGATAATCCCGTCACATCAAATTTGGCTGCGAAAAGCTCGTCCGTAAGACCCTTCAGGGACGTAGGGATCGAGCCTTGATTCAGCGATTCGGCCGAGACCTCCACGGTCGAGGTCGAACCAGAGAGGGCCGACGAGTCGGGGAAAAGCTCAGAAAGGTCTTTCCCCGCGATCTTCCAGAGGAACTCTCCAGCTTGCCTGTCGGTCTCGGTCGTCTTGCTACCCTCACCCGGTTTGAGCCCACCGGTATCGATCAACGCGGCGGTAAAGAGCAAGCTGGCGAGTTCTTTCGGCACGCTACCTTCCTCGGCTTGGTCCTTGTCCAGGACGGCTTCCCACTTGGATGCAAAGTGCATGGCCACCAACGACGAGGTCGACCCGGTAGGAACCTGGATGATTCTCGGAGAAGCACCTTTGTGCATCTGATCGTCGGCGTGATGATCGATGATAGCTTCCACCGGGTCGTCCGTCCCGGCAACTTCTGGATGAGGGTGAAACTGAGCCAACAACGAGTTGTGGTCGACAAGTGCGAATTTGAAATCCATGACCGCGAGCTCGGCGGTAGGGAGAGGAAGCTGGTCGATGTACATCAAGCAGGATTCCGGGACCTGAGCGAGGGAGAGGGCGAGCTGGTTTTCCGGACGAAGGTTGACCAGGGAAGAAGGGGTGAGGATGAGGGGGATGGATCGTTTGTTGGCGAGTTTCGAGTTGAGGGTGGCATAGGCGATGGAGGAGGCTAGCGAGTCGGTGTCTACAAAGGTCGAAGGTATCTATGTTAGGACCAGATATCGGTATGCCCCGCACGTCAGCCTTAGACTCACCTCCAGCTTCGTTTCCCATCGCAATAGTCCAGTTCCCTCTCCTCCCCCGTCGCAAGTCCTCCAAAAACGTCTCCTTTTGCTCCAACAAGAACTCTGCGAGCTTGCCTGGCTCGAACCCAGCCTCTGTAGCGTTCGCGAAAGGAGTCTTTACACCCATGGCGATGGCCGAATCGACAGACGGATTCTTCAAGCAAGAAAAGGCTCGATGGCTAGCGTGACTGATCCTAGTAAGATCTAGTGGTACGCAAACTCGCATAGACTGTTCGTCCGGGGTGACGAGGTTGGTATAGGCGCTGAAACCGAGGAGAAGGAGGATGAAAGCTGAGAAGACGAGGAGGTGACGTATGATCCGAGGTGTGCTGCCGATACGTCGTTGAACGAGGGAAGTGTAGAGGTTCGTATCTGGTCTATCTGCCGTCGTCGACATTCAAGGGTTTCGTCGTCGATTGTATGTGACGATGAATAGAAGTAGAGGAGATAGAGGGAATGGCATAATTCAGCTGAAGTTTCGAGCTTTTGGATCTCCTGCTCCTGACGAATATTCAGAAACCGCGCGCTAACAGATGAAAGGAATGGGATCGATAAGGGTCATGCAGCAGTCGTCCTCAAATCTGCTCTCTGACCTCTCCAGAATACGGCATGTATCCATCTACAGCTGCATACATGTGAAGTGACTGGCCTACATCGAGTAACTAGCCACTGGCATCCGATACACCGGCAGATTCCAATAAGACCTCTTTACTCCGTTCCAGATCTCGACAGCCGTCGCATCGTCGACCAAGACGTCCTTCCATTCGGTCTGACAAGTCACAATGGCAACGGATTGGATATCAGTATCACGTTGAATCCATGATTTGTTTTCGATTGCGAGAGAAGTCGAGGAAAAGAAGAACGTACCTGTAGTCCGACGTCATCCATGTGCATCTCGGCCAAGTTGCACGCTACGTCGTAAATCAGCGGGTCTATCCAAGAAGACAACACCTGATCAGTAAACTACACCTCATCTACCGTAAGGGATGATGGCTCACTCGTCGCGCCCAGCCCATTCCAAAACGAGAACACGCTCTCGGGTCCTTCGAGCAGATCAGTCACGATCTCGAAGAACGCCTTCAACTCTTCATAGTCCTCGGCAAACGTATCGATGAAGACGAAATCGTATCCCGCTCCACCCGCGCTCTTGCCTATCAGCTCGGCCAGCTTGTCCCCTTGGCACCAGTCTTGCCAACGTCCGGGGAGGACCTCGACGCCGGCTTTGTTGTGGAACGGCGTAGATTGGATGTGGGTGAGGACGGAGGGGTGGGCTTCGATGATGGTATGACGGGCTGGATGGAGTTGGTCTTGTAATAACGTGTCGATCTGGGTGCGGAGCGAGTTGGTTGATATCAAAACGTTTTCCATGGATCGATAGTGCTGAAGTTGCAGGTACTCACGATCCCCAACCCAAACCCGATATTCAACACGCTGACCTCTTCTCCCCGCTCGATCTTCTCCTTGAGCCGCTCTTTCACAGCCTCGACATGGGCGACCATCAACGGTTCCTCCCAACCCATCATCACCCCATTCCCATCCTCATCCAAGACCCTCTCTTTCCCATCCTCACCTACGTCCCAAGTCAACTTGGATCGCAAGAAAGTAAGGTTATCGCCGGCAGAAGTGGGGTCGATGGATTTTAGGTGATAGGTGTTGGTGGATTCATCGTGCTCGACGTCGATGTGTTCCCCGGTAGCGTTCTCGGTCTGGGACGAAGAGGATTCGGCTACAGCGGGCTGAGAGGAAGGGCCGGGGGAAGAGGCGGATTTAGCGGATTGCATGGCGTGGTGGATCATCTCTGCCATAGCAGAAGGAGGCGAGAGGTAAGAATGAGTAAAGAGGTTCGATCATACAACATGGACCCGAAGCTGAGCTTACCTTGGCGGATACCCTCGTTGCGGATGAGCATATACGACTTCTCGTCATTCAGCGACAGAGCGATATCACCGGCAGTACGACCGAGGTAGTCGGCTATCAACAACGGCCAATACGCTCTGAGATTAGCTTGCCTGGATCAGACCGAAAGGTCATGGCGACAACTTACCGGAGTTCCAGATAGCTCCGTTCTCCAAACACGTCTTGACGATCCTCCAATCCCCCCTATCGGCCGCGAAGTGCAGACAACTCCAACCCATCGTATCTTCCTGATACCATCCCGGAGCCCCCAGGTCGAACAGCTTCTTGACCTGTTCAGGCGTCCCTTCTGAACATAGCTGGATGAGCCGGGCAGAAAGAGCCAAGAGAGTCTCCTCGTCGGTGGCTTGTTGAGGAGCGGGCGAGGCCGATTGCTTTTTCAGTCGTTTGGATGATCGAGTAGCGGGTGACATGATGAGGGTGTATGATATTAAGGACTACAACACAGGTCCAATTGCCAGGAGCCTAAGAGGTAGCGAGATTTCAACAGGTCAAGGAGTGAGAGGTACAAAATCAAGGTTCGGGGTCGGCCCAACGCTGAAAACGATCCATATTTCCACCTTTGATGCCGCAAAGCTCGCGCGATATGCTTCCGGGCATCTCATCCGGAAGCATATCCGTAGCTTCACCTCCTAACCAGTAGTTGATCGATACGACTAATGTGACATGGAACTCAAGGGTATGGAAAGCAATGCATGTCTATAGTTATATTATATAGCATAAGGTGTGACAGAACCAAGAGAAGCGATTGTGGTATACCTAGAACAGGCCAGCAGACGGAGCCCTTTGACCTCGCGCTTATCGCTTGGTGCTGCGGAAGAGCGTGGTCAGCGTTTGCCGCACAGACGTAGAGGATGTGATCAGAAGACTTACTATTTCAAGAATCGACTGGCCAGGAGAATGATTACTACATTCGACACCAAATAACAGCAGTAGATCCCTGGTATACAGCCCAAACGAGCGGTCAGCGGCTTGCAAATAGTGACTGGAGCAAAGGTAGGCAATCTGACTCACCGATGTTTCGACCTCGCTCGCTGTACTTGGAGTTGATGGCCGTAAGGAAGGTGTTTCCAGAGCTGAAGAGAGGAAGGTTAGCGGGCGCTCTTGATGAGAACAGCGACGAGCCCGGCTCACCTGTATTGACAGTACTGGCACTCGCCCGTAGCTTGAGGGTTGTTGATGTAGGCACCCATGCTCTGAGCGAACTGTCCAGCGTACTCGGCGCAAGTCTGGCCGGCAGGAGTCGTGAAGCTGAAGTACTCGTCATCGCCCTGAAGTCGAATGCAGAGTTAGATCGGGATCCTTCAGTGAAAACGCGACTGAAGACTTACGCAGACGACAGGAAGATCGTGCAAGGCGGTGGCGGTCAAACCAGCAACGAGCCAGGTGAAGGGGTTGAGCTATAGCATATAGAGGGTAAGTATAAAAATTGCGATCAGGTGCAGGACAACTACGACATACCCAGTAGAGCCATTGCCTCCAGAAGTAGGTCAAGTTCGGGTAGGGGATAGTGACACCTGAATGACGGACATCGTCAGTGAGGAGCTCGACAACCTCCTCGCTCGTCAAGAACTCACCGCAGAAGAGCGAGAAGATAACCAGAAGGAAGGGGTTGAAGAGCGCGGCGACAAAGATCGACGGGGAGAGCGCAGCAACGGCCTGACCAAGGGTGACACTGAACAACTCCGTGATCAAGATCATGGCGAACTGGTATCCAGCACGGGCGCTCTCGTATTGACCCTTGTAGATACTGTTTATTAGATGAAGCGCCTTGTTAGCAATCGACTGAGCTCATCGTTCCCTCCGAGCTTGAATAACGCACGGGTAGTACCACACAAGGAAGAAAGCGACAGCACACAACAGACTGTCGATGACAACCATAGCGTCAGCGAAAGAGTTCCCTTCGAGGTCATGGGAAAGCTGCTCACCTGTAGGGCAGTTCGGCCACGATCTGGGTGATCGCAAAGACCTGCGAGCTGTACATCTTCGAAGAAGCCTCTCGGTAGTAGGTCATCCTAGACATGATGAACTGGGGCTCGATCTGGGCGATGACCAAGGCGGGCAAGACGGTGACGATGAAGATGGCGAAGACTCGGTACTGCAGCTCTCGCGCCTCGTTGCCGAGCTGGAGGAAAGTGAGAGCGGTAACCAAGGCGATGACGATGTGCGAGAAGAGCCTGGTGTATTGGTAGTCGGCGTTCCTCCACAAAGAAACGTTGGTTCGGTGCAGGACAGTCTGTGTAGTTGAGCGTAGTTCATCGTCAGCTCTCAAGTTTCAGAGAAGAACAATCGCTGCAGTCTAAAACACACCTTCAACTGGAACATGAACGAGGTAGAGTATTCCCTTCGGAGGTTCTCGGGAATCTCCTCGTTTCGAGCGATGGCCTCTTCATTCAGTTCCTTGATCTCTCTGAGAACGGTGGCTCGCTCCTCGGATCTGTTCCACTTGACGCCCCAGTCCTCGTTTCCAACTCGCTTTCGCGAACCCTGTAAAAGATATAGTTTAGCCAAATGCACGCCGAAGTTATGTCCACCAGAGCATGACACTCACAGCACCAATGACATCCAACATGGCTAAGGCGGAGACGGAAAAAGGATGAGACATCTACTTCGCGCTACTGAAGGTGAATACGACTCTAGACACACCTTCGGCGGGGTTCTCGTTCTCGGCAATCTTAGCTCCACCCTTCTCAAGGTAGGCCAGCAGATGTTCACTACCTTTACCGATGGGACCGTGGTAGACACATTGACCTCCTTTCTGCAGCAAGAGCAATCGGTCGAAGTTCTCGAAGAGGACGGCGTTAGGCTGGTGGATGGTACAGAGAATGGCCTGAAGAGTGCGGAGCGGTGTCAGCCATCTCAATCTTGACAGACACGTCGGGCAAGAAGCGACATACCTGACCAGCAGCGGACAGCTTTCGCAAGAATCTGACCGGTCGGACAAGCGGGAACCAAATCAGGACAGGCGAGGTTGTGACAGACGCGCTAGCCTGGCTTACCGAACGATGTTGTAAGCACTCTGTCCGTCCAAACCGGTAGTGGGCTCGTCCAAGAACAACAAGAGCTGAGGCTTGGAGGCCAACTCGACTCCGATAGTGAGACGCTTCCTGCTCTCGACTGAAAGACCGAATCCAGGGAACCCAATCATGGCGTCGGCGAGGTCTTGCAGTTCGAGAAGTTCGAGGATCTCCTCGACGTAGTCGTCCTTTTCGGCTTTGGAGACTTCGGCGGGCTGACGGAGGTAGGCACTGTATCGCATAGCCTCTCGCACAGTGGTAGTCCATTCCTGAAGAGATGTAAATCGAGAAGATGTTGTAAGTAAAGGTCCGAGATCGAGACGACGATGGAGGTTATATGCGTACGTGAACATCGCCCTGCTCGACATAGGCGGTACCCTTCTGGAACGAAACATCCTTTTCCTTGCCACCGATCAAAACGTCTCCACCAATAACACCGAGGGTTTTTCGAGAAGCCAAAACATCAAGCAAAGTGGTCTTTCCGGCTCCACTGGCACCCATAAGAGCAGTGAGTTGACCGGGCTTGCAGTATCCGTCGACCTCGTTGAGCAGTTGTCGCTCTCCGCCAGGTACCTTGACCGTGTAGTTCTACAAAGGCGCGTACCGGTCAACATCGTAACAAGCCGGACGAACTGCAGCCTTTCGACACTCACTAGACCAGTCCAAGTGAGAGCACGCTTCGACTCGATCAATCCGGCCAGATCCTGCTTGATCTCTCCGGCTTGGAAAGCCTTCTTTCGCTCAATCAACCTCTGGTTTCGTTCCTTGGTATCCTTGTTCTCCTTGGCAAAGACGACGATGGCCTGTACGTTGGCGGCCTTCATGGCGAGGACCTCCATAGCGAGAATTTGCATGATAGCGAAGCCAATGAAGAATCCGATGAGAATTCCGAGGTTTCGCCAGAGATGTCCGGTGGCGTAATCGAAGGCGGCAGACGCATAGTCCATACCCGGAACCGAGTTCTGACCCGGAGTGGATCCAGCCAGAGTACAAGTTTGTTCGGTGTTGGCAACAGTAGCAGGGAAACCGGCTCCGTACGGGACGATGTAAGCAGCGTCACACTGCAGATCAACCCTCTTGAATTCGTTGACCATGAGGGCCTCGAACCCATAGGACAAGGGATTGAGGTAGTAGATCCAGAACAACCATCGCTTCATGGTGAAGACTGGAATCATGTATCCGGCATAGATGACCATGAAAGAGATCAAGACCGAAGCCAACCTGGCAGCGACGTTGTAATCACGGGTAGCGGTTCCCAACACTCGGAAGAACGCCGACATGACCAGGTAGGTGACGAGGACGAAGAGGTAGTTGGTGAAGAAGGCACCGGCGGTACGGGCGAGACCGGCCAAGAAGTAGATGATAATGGTGAACAGCAAAATCTTCAGGGCGTTCAAGGGGACTACCGAAGGCATGCACGGTCAATTGACAGTTTCGTCAGACCGGACCTGAACAGCCGGCGACTCACAATCGGCAATAGTCTGGGCCACACTGAGAGCACCGGGTCGGTAGAACTTCTTGTTGGCTTGCGAGTACAAGATGGGTCGACCCTGCATCTGTCCGGGCAATTCACTGAAAGCTTGCAACGAGTTGAACAACATGGCGATGAAAAGAACACCTCCACGAGTGAAGGCGCCCGAGGCGGTCTGAGGCAGGTTGTAGAAACAACTTCCGGCAATAAAGGCGATGGCAACACTGAAGGAGAACAGCTGATCAGTTGAGTCGCCTAAAAATAGTACATGCGCCCGCCTGAACTCACGCGGTGAAGAAACCAGAGTACAAGGACAGCTTGTCCTGGACGTTGAGGATGAGCTGACGTTGAACGAGAGCCTGGACCTGGGTGAAGAAGGAGACAGTGTAGGGGGACTTTTTGCCGACAAACTTCCTCTTGGACTCGGAGACGGCGTTCCTGAACTCTTCCTGACGGGAGTTGTCTCGCTCCATCTCTTGCTTGTAGGTCTGGGCCTCGGCTTGCATCTCTCGGAATATGGGGCTCTCGAGGTAAGCCTTGGCCTGAGCCTCGGGAGTGGTAGGGGTGTTCTTCTCGTCGTGGCCCTCGGCGTATTCACTAAAGGTCGAGTAGAATAAGCATGTCAGTCAGCAAGACGCCAGTTTATTGCTATCGAGAAAGTGTACGCACCGCTCGTTCTCGTCGGTACAACCGGTCAAGAAATCGGCAGTGGTCTGACGGGGCTTGTCCTTCCATCCGAGACTGAGCATGTGTTCACGAGCTCGGTTGGCAGGTCCAAAGTAGATCTGCTGACCCTTGTCGATCAAGAGGACCTTGTCGAACTGCTCGTAGATACCTTCACCAGCTTGGTACAAGGAGACGAACGAAGTCATTTTGCTAGAAGTTGCACAGTTATCATCAGTGAAACTGCCAGGTAGATGTGAAGAGAGGGTGATGGGATACTCACGAAATGTCGGTCAAAGTCCTGATACTCTTGGCGTAATCGAGCGCGGTCGAGGCATCGAGACCACGCGTAGAGTTGTCCCACGAAAAGACACAACCCTGACCACAGAACGCCTCTGCGATCGAGACACGCTTCCTCTCTCCACCAGAGACACCACGGATGAACTGGTTTCCGACCAAAGTTCCCGAGGTGTGCTCGATGTTGAGCATCTTGAGCAAGGTGTTGAGGAACTCTTCACGGAACTCGTGCTCGGAGACGCCGCCGGGAAGCTTTCCGGGGGTCTTGCATCGGAGGGCGGTCTCGATGGTCTGTCTGACGGTCAAGGTGGGCAAGTGCTCGTCGTCTGCGAGGTCGCGCGATTTTGCTTTAGTTGAAGGCTATGGATGACATTGTTTGGTTCGCAACCGCTACTCACCTTCCTCGCTGTACAAGACCTCTCCAGCGTACTTCTTCTTCATCTCCTTGGCGCTCAAGCCTTGGTAGACGACCTCTCCCTCGACTTTCTGATAACTCTCACGGTTGTTGGTGATGGCCTTCAAAAAGGTCGACGCACCACCACCAGGTCGGGCGAGGACGAGACACATCTCACCAGGTCGCAGGAGACCGGAAAAGTCGGTGAGCAGGTCACGGGATTTGGGGGACATGGGGTCGATGCCGAAGACCTTGAGGACCTTGAGGACGGGCATGACGAATTGCTCGATGATGGCGTTGGGGAAGGTTCGGATGTGGATCTCTGCCGGGGCGCGGTAAATCGTATCAGCTCGAAGGAAATCTTCAAGAGACGCCCGAACTGCAAAAATCCGACTCACTCATACCACCACCTCCGATGACCCTCAAGTGGTCCCAAACGACACCAACCTCCTTGTGCCTGAACCCTTCCTGCTCCCGGACCGCCTGGTTCCCCTTCATGTAATCCATCAAGTTCCACTCCTCGTCGTCACCATCCTGCTTCTCCACGTCTCCAGGGGCGGAACTCCCCCTAGTCCTCGCTCGGTGCAAGGAAGACCTCTCGGACATCCTCCGCTGAAGCGCGTGGAATTCCTCCTTAGCCTTGGCCACATCGACGTGGTGCTCGTCCAGACCTTCATGGTCGTCCCCGGCGTATCCGTTGTGGCCTAGACCGCCCTTTTCGGGATCGTGGCTGGTGGTGTATCCGCTGGAGGACGAACCGATGACGGCGGCTCCGCCCGAGTGAGGTTTTTCCTCGTTGGACGATCGGGACGAGGAAGAAGGGGCGAGAGTGGGTGCTTGAGAGAAACTGGGGGTAGTATTGTTGTTGTTGTTGTTGTCTTGTCCGAGGTGGACGGGCAAAGGGTTACCCAGAGCCACGACCTCGTTGGCCCTAGTGGCGTGCGACATGGTTGCTGTCGAATTTGCTACTGGTATGTCGAGTGTAACTGCTGATTTGTGATACGATCTCGCAATCTAACGGCAAGCGACCTGATTATCTAGGCTGCTAGGCTGCCGTGTTTTTCTTTTCCCTGTGTGCCAACGACGACGTCACCACGACGGAGTGAGAAACGGGCTCGTGACGGCTGAAAACCTCGGACGTGAAGGCGTAAGAGGTTGATCCCGCTGCTTTGCGCTGCCTGCTGCCTGAGATCTAGAGGTCGAGCAGTCGTAAAGTGTGAGGTCGACTGAAAGAGAGGGCGAGAGTTGAGAAGAAAGGAAGGTGGGTATCGCTCGGAACGATGGTCCCGTCTGTATATCTGTTTGTGAGATCCCTTTCTTTTTTTGGGGAAGCCCTTCGGACGACTTACCAATCCATCGAGAAAGCGGGCTGGGTCAGCAAATTCAGCGATGGTTCGATTGATCATTCACCCCCCTGCGCCCCTGCCTCCTGCATGCCCCGTACTACCGGGACAACGGAAATCCCAGATTCTCAATTTCCATCCTCTCCCCTTGCTGCCTGCCTGCCCCTCGAGATTACTCTCGCTTACGCGCTAAAACAACAACAAACGACCCACCGCGCGGGGGGATCAGCCGCGGGGATCACGCGGCCTTTCGGCGCCACCCTTCGAGCTTCGGGCACCGTCTCGAAACAGTAAGCAATCGTGACCGCAAACACAGGTTGGAATGGCCGAAATGGCTCTGATTCTGCGATGACGATGATGGCTGTCGTCGGCCGTCCTAGAGCTACAAGAGGGGTGTCGGTTCCGGACGACGATCGAGATCTAGATCGTGATGGTGAGCTCGTACGTCCGAGTCATCTGGTTCTGGCATCGAGTCAACGATCAACGATCAACGAGCCTCGAGAGGATCTCGTATCTCGTGTTTGTTATTGATTTCGCGATGAAACACTCCCGGAACCGGCGACCGAGTCAAAAGACCTTCCCTTGGCGTCGTTTCTCGCTTACACGACCTCCTGACTCGCTCGCAAGCGAACCGAGGCGGTGCGGCGCAACCCAACTCAATCCAAAACACCAGGCGCGTGGAGGTCGGTCGTATGGCGCAACCGCAACCAAACTCGTTTCCAACTTTACGCCATACGAGCAGCGATTCCTCTGTAGCACTAGTTATCAACGACCGTCGATTCAATCCTATGACAAAAATCCGCTCGGAGACCGACCTCCGACCCAGCTAAAATTGACCGCTTGATACCATCACCTGTCATACCTCTCCTCCTTCTGACATCGGCTTCCGAGCTACCGCGACGACTCGTAATCGGTACGATACGACCCGGAATCCGAGGATCGAGAACCTGAGTAATAAAATAACGCAATCTCGGCGTCATCGGGCGTATTATGAAACGTCCCTCGGAGCTCGGTGTTTCGGCCTAATTCTCAATACTATGACATACTCGTATAGAGCCTCCACCTCCCCAGTGCGCCGGGGCGGCAGGTCGATTATTTATGGTCGTCGCGATAAGTGATAAGTCTTACCTGATCAACGAGGATCAGCAAGAAATGTGATTGAAGATAGAGGTGGAGAAGGTCGTGCGCTCGGGTTGAACATCTTCCACCTCAAGGGATGACTGGATCTCTAAATAATGCTGGAATATCTAACGGCGCAAGACTTGAAACTGAACACGCACCATGTTTTGGTATCATTTCCTCCCACGGATGTCCGCAAACACCTCGAACACGATTTGGAACTCTTCGTAACGTGTCTATAGATAAACTCTCGATAGTCTTGGTTTCTGGGCTCGGTCGCGGAGACGAATACGAAACGAATCCACAGGGGTGATAAGAATGGATGTAGATAGCGCTCACGAAGACGATCGTGCGAATTATGAACATACACCTGGCGGCAAGGATTCATCTAGGTCTAGCTAGTTTTGATTGAGTCGTCTACCAGTTAACATGTTCGCAGATTCGCTCGTGCTATGCGAGAATATGCGCATCCAGGAAATTGAGCCAGCCCGTTGTCCATGCATGTGCGCGCCTTTGGGGCGGGCCGATGAGTGCACATCATTATTTAGAAGATCCAGTTCGCAAAAGGGCTTGGAGATGATCGAGCCACACATCAACAGCATTTCGAGTCAGGTCATAAATCAGTACGATAAGCAATTGGTTCCCGTGTTTACTCTCGATCACGTGACCGAATTGACGTTCCCCCCGTGGGCCGGGGGTCATGTCCGAAAGCTCGGGTCGACCGGATTGATGTCGACATTTCACAAAGATATGGCAAGGAAGTCGCTCTACCCTGGCTGACCTTGAAGACTATCAAGGCGGTCGAGATCATTGGTAGGAAGTGATCACGATTCTGTGTAATCCTCAGCTTCAAAGACGGGTCATAGCGCGAAAAGAGCCCGGCTCCGAGCTCGTCAGGCATCATGGTGAGCATCAGGAGGTCCCGGTCGTACGAGCCGTTGCTAAGGAGCTGATCTTTTCTTTTCCGATGGTACACCTGTCAAACAGGGCAAGACTATCGTCATCAAGCTCGGTAAGCTCTCAGTTACAATTGATGACTGAAACCCGAGCTGATATAACCATGTCTTTCCCGCACAGGTACATCCTCGATCATCACCTCGACATTCCCCTACACCCCTCAGCTCTCCCTCCTCTCCTCCCTTATCGACCTGATCAATGTCTTACGATCGCCTCCGCACAACCACCGGGTCGTTCTCGTCTCCTCTGGTGCTATTGGCGTTGGACTTCGAAGGATGGAGCTGAAGGATAGGGGGAAAGGGTTGCAGAGGAAACAAGCTCTGGCGGCTATCGGGCAAGGAAGGTTGATTGCCATGTGGGACAACTTGTTCGGGATGGTTGGAACGCCTATCGCGCAGATCTTGTTGACGAGGCAGGATATCAGCGATGTACGCTCACAACCCTCTTCCTTCTCGCCCCAACGGATGCTGGCTGACGATCTCGAAATATCAACCCGACCTGCAGAGACAACGATACCTCAACGCTCAAAACACCTTCACCGAGCTACTGTCCATGGGCGTCATCCCGATCGTCAACGAGAACGATACCGTCTCTGTGCAGGAGATCAAATTCGGCGACAACGATACCTTGAGCGCGATCACGGCCAACATGGTGCATGCAGACTATCTGTTCTTGTTGACGGATGTGGATTGCTTGTGAGTGTACCTAGTCCAGGTATAGCGGATCTCAGCTACAATGTCTGACGATTGATGAGCGAATGATAGGTACACGGACAACCCGAGGAAGAACCCGGATGCCCAGCCAGTGAGAGTGGTAGACGATGTGTACAAGATTAGGGAACAAGGCAAGTCAAATCGAGCTTCGGTATCTGTCTCCATGCAATGGCTGACCTCAATATCATCGCTGGACTTGCGACACTCTTGACTGCTTGTCTTTCTTCGACCTCTGCCTACTTGATTACGGCCGCGTACTTCGACTAAACAGTCTCGACAAAATCCCTCGGCACGGCCCTGGGCACAGGGGGCATGGAAACCAAGCTCATCGCTGCTGACCTGGCTACAGCAGCGGGAGTGACAACGATCGTCATGTCGTCCGCCAACATCAAAACGATTCCGGACATCTTGCGCTATGATCATGAGAAGAAGGACGACTTAGTTCCGATATGTACGAGGTTTTTGGGGAAGGATAGGAGGATGAACGAGTGAGTCTGGGTCAGAGGTGTGCGGCATAGAAGATACGGGTGGCTTAGCCAATACACGGCATCATAGCCGAAAATGGTGGATCGCACATGGTCTGCGGGCAGCGGGCTCGGTAATGTGAGTCTCAATTCTGCTTACCACGTGGCCCTTGAGCTAAGCAAACATGACTCGCAGCATCGACGAAGGAGCCTATCGAGCTGTCCAACGGAAAGAATCAGGCAGTCGCCTCTTACCTGCTGGTGTCGTCCGGGTTGAGGGGGTTTTCGCTTCGCATCAAGCTGTGAATCTGGTCGTCCGGAGACGAGTTCGCGAACGAACAATCTCGCAAGACTCACGCGGGACTGCGAAAAGCCGGGAACATGCCGAGGTCTCGGGAGCGACCACGCCAGTATCTTATGACAACGCGGGAAGCCGACTGGACTCGCCAAACTCCAACAACCACTTTACGGCGCCGGGAACGCCAAACCTCTACCCCGTGCTATCTCTTTCCTCTTCCATTGCCAGCTTGGACGCCCTCAGCTCGAACGGCCGGTCTAGCGTGCCTCAAAGCCCAGCAACGCTGGTCAAACAGGTCATGGCCGAGATGAACCAGGGAAGCGGGACGGACGGACCTTCAGAGTCGACAATAGCATTCCGACAGCTCGACGACGATGAACAAGAAGCATGGGAAGAGGTGGCCATAGGAAAGGGTTTAGCACTGTACAACTCTGTCGAAATTGATAGACTGCGGGGGGTGAAGAGGTCAGTCTTCTGCTTTTGTGCATTCCAGCTCGATCCCGGTTGAGCTCTAGGCTGAAGCTTTTGTCCAAATCAGTGTCGACATAGCTTCGGTTCTGGGTTACAGCGAATCGGCTTACGTGGTAGATTCGGTCATCGTATTCGGCGCAAAATAGCTGTCTCAGTGGGCGTGTGTCATATATCCTCTCCATCGAGCATGAATGCTACAACGATCTTGCTTAAGATCTCGAACGGGCTTTTTAACGTCGCAAACTTTCTCGCCGGACGGACATGCACCGTTATAGCGCTGTCGGACGTACACAATGAAGGTCTTACTTTGCGATCCGGGCGCGCGGAAAATTGCCTTTAAGGTTCGAGATGAGGTCGAAAGAAGTCAACGCGTATCAGCATTGTAAAACACTGTTCAAAGGGTGCCCGAAGACCGATCGAGAAGGGGAAGCAGTTCGTCCAAAGGCCCGTTGGTAGAGCAGACGACTTTTACGACTCCTGAGTCATCGTCAGGTCCCGGGTCGAGCCCAGGTGACAACTTGATGAAGGTCATTGTGTAGATAAAAAACATTCAAAAAAGGTGCAAAATGCGGCAAAAAGGCAAGCCCCCACCGGGGCTCGAACCCGGGACCTGACGATGACTCAGGAGTCGTAAAAGTCGTCTGCTCTACCAACGGAGCTCTAGGGGCTCCGATATTGACAAGCTGATTTGTACGAATATATATATAAACATATGTTCCCAGACGCGACAAGCTGCGAGGTTTTTGCTTCCGCGCGCGCGCGTTTTACACCCGCTATCCGCGGAAGCTAATTCCACTTTCGGGTCAACCCGAGCCACCTCATACCTTCCTCCTCTTGCTCGCCAGCGTTGTGCAGCTCGAGGTTCTTGATCAATCCAATCATTCTGCATTTCGACTAGAAACCTGCAAAGAAGAAACTTGTTCATCTTGATGTTGCAAATTTTAGCTCGTTCAAACCTAGTCCGACTTCCTGCACTTGCTCGTTTCTCGCAATCGATCACCAACACCGCTCGCCAAACACGCAACATGTCTGCTGCTCCTTACACCGTCGTCGCTACCGACAGTAGGTCATGATCGCCCTCAGAAGGCTCGGATGTTCACAAGCTGATGATCTGATCATATAGATGCTCCTAAGGCTATCGGCCCCTATGTCCAGGTGAGTACTGGAACCGAAGCTACGGCTCTGGGTGGCCCTGACTCGATCCTTTCTCGTACTACCTCGAACAGGCCGTCAAGCACAATGGCGTATGTCGATAGTCCTGCCTGCGGGTCTCCTTTTCATATGACTGCAGTTCGCTGAAAATGACATGCGCTATGCTAGATCATTTACGCCTCTGGATCCGTCCCCTTCATCCCCGAGACCATGGAGATCATCGAGGGTGGAATCGAGGCCCAAGCTGTGAGTATCTAGGTTCTTCCGGATGCACCTTGATACCGAAACTAAACCGACTTGTTACGACGTAACCACAGGAACAAATGTTCAAGAACGTCAAGGCCGTCATGGACGGGTCCAACACTGACGCCAGCCACGTCCTCAAGACCACCGTAAGTCCCTCTTCTCTACCTTGCCACGCCCTGCCTGAGCAATCCCAGCTGACCATATCCTCTGCGACCGACTCTCGACAGGTCTTCTTGAAGGACATGGGCGACTTCGCCAAGTTCAACGCCATCTACGAAAAGTTCTACTCTCCCTACAAGCCCGCTCGAAGCTGTGTCGAGGTCGCCAGGCTCCCCAAGGACGTCTTGTGCGAGCTCGAGTTCATCGCCATCGAGAAGAAGTAGATCCAGTAACTTTCGTCCTCGGGCCAGCGACATACCAAAAGTAGAACTAGGATCTTCATGAGTAAGCTCATGAGATATTCAATCGATATTGGCCAAGCATGGAACGAACAAACCGTTGATCGGCCACTTGAAGTGGAACTTCAAGGCTCTTGCTAGCTGATCACTCTGAACCGCTAGTTTCGACGTATGGGTATCTATCACAGTGCCTTCTGACTAGCCACTATATGTGCCGAAGCTACATACACGCTCCTCTCTATGCTGCAGGCGGCGGTTCTACCAGTCCATCGATGGCCTGCCGTATCCAATGAGCCCAAGCTCGACGCAACTCCACATCGTATATCGCATCTGCAGCTTTCACGCTATCAAGTAGCCGTGAAAGGTCAATCTTCAGGAACGTCGGCACAATGCGGCTTATTACTCACCTCTGATGGTCTTTGAGATAGACCGCATCCTCCGCCGGACTCGCCGTTTCTCCGAAACACGCCTCATATATCTTTTTGCCGCCCTCTTCCGGTGTACTCGCAAACGGAGCATAGTGCAAGAGGTATTGCATGAAGAGCCGTGCTAGCCAGGGCGAGTTTTGTGAGAGGTTCGTCGAGGGTACAAAGCCTGTTGTCCCCGTTTCGATCGAAAGTAGCGAGTCAGTACCACCTCGACTTCGACCACGGGCGATGTCAGTTGTGAGAAACTCACCCGGGCTGACAGCGATGCTCTCAAGCTGAGAATCCGGAAACATCTCTCGCAAAGCGAACGCGGCGTGCGTCTGTATCAGCTTGGTGATCTTGTACGCTCGCATCCCGTCCCATGCCGCGGGACCCAAGAGATCGGAAATAGTATCAGGCGAGACTGACAAGGTCGAATCAGAGTTTCAGTATCCTTCGCTTGAATGCGGGGCATCGCAAAGAGAAAGACGCACCAATCTCTTGTATCCTTCGGTGTAGCTCGCTAGATACCGTCACGATCCGGGTCGATCGCTCGGACCCCCGTTCATGAAAAGCAGACTTGAGGCTCTCGGTCAACAAGGCGTGACCGAGCACGTTCGTCATCAAGGCCTCTTCAACAGGTTCTCCTTTCAATTTGACGTTGGTCACATTGCGGGACTTTGGAGCGACCGCGGCATTGAGCAAGAGAACGTCCAGCTTGGATTCCTTTTCTAGGAAAGATTTTGCGCATGCTCGGATGGAGGATGGGGAAGTCAGATCGAGTGGGAGGTGGTGCAATTTGATCCGGTCCAGGATGTTGTCATCGCTAGTCGAGCCGTTATCCTGAGGGGCGATGGTGGAGAACCAGCCTGAGGTGGAGGATGATTGGCGGAGGACGGATAGATCTAGTTCTTTCGCCGGCGGTGGCCTTCTCGTGCAGACGTAGACGTTGATCGGTCCTCTAAGTTTGTTAGGAGATGGCTCGCTTGACCGAGAGTTTTGTATCAGTTGTATGATAAATTGCTGGCCCTGCAACATCACGAAGAAAAGTCGAGCTTGTAAGCATGGCAGACGATGCTGCCTTCGAGAATGCTGTGAGACTCACCAGGTTCTTTGTCGGGCGACTCCACCAATCACCTCCGGTCATGAGCAGAGTCTGAACCATGCTGGATGTTGCAATTTGTATGTGTACGATTGAGTTCGGTATTGACTAAAAGCGAAGCTAGATGGTGCGGCAAACGGGGCATACTAGCTTCTAGGTGTAAGGTGACGAGGCAGGGTTCATGAATCGACGTCAGAGCAGTGAGGTCAGGTCGGCCAGATCCGAATGTCGATTTGCTTCCGCGGTACGACTATGACACGGTTGCATATCGATTGTTTCAGCTCCTGAGATGGGTTCGGAACCCTTTGTCAACGATTTCCCAAGGGAGAATTGCATAGATAAGGAACAAGCTATACAACGTACAACCTACATGGTTTGGATGATCTTATGGATGGGTTTGTCATTCACGAGGACTAGGTCGAGATAAAACGGCGCGATCAAACTCAATCCACCATGTCTTCTTCAGCATCGACACCCGTGTCGACTATAGGGACGAATCCAGGAACGTACGGTTCCAACTATTCCGCCTCTATGGCCAGAACCAAACAGAGTTCTACGAGTAGTCTATGGTCAGCCTTTACAGACATCTTCGTCGAGCCTTTCAGGAGGTTTAAGCGGGCTGTGGTACGTATCTGGTGTTTCATTTCTGTTCAGTCCGACTTGTTATTGACAACAATACACCTCGTATACAGTTTGGAGGAAGAAGGAAGGGGTCTGTCGACGATTCCTACCTCTACGGGAAGGAACATATGAGCGGAGTGGCTCGTGGCAATGCACTTCTAGATGAGCAGGAGCGTGACTTGCGGAACGAGCTGGCATTGCGAACGCAGGCGGCGAAATATTTCAAAGGGGAAGCTAGAAAACTGAGGCGCCAATCGGGCGAATCGGAAAAGACGATAAGGGAACAGGAGGAAATTGAAGCAAGATTATATCCAACAACATGATGCGGTCGTCAATCATGTCGCGATGTATTGATAATCCCTTCTGAAGACGGCCGCACCTATTTCAAGTATTTGCATGCCATTCTGAGTCGCTTAGCCCACATGATCCAGACCAACCTTAGAATCGACCATTACTACGAAAGCGATAGTACATGTTGCCCTTTCTTTAAGCAGAACAGCCTTGATGTTTCAGCTCCTGTGAAGATCAGGCGCATTCCTTTGTTTGTTCCAGAGTGAAGGGCCATACCATCGTCAAGTCTTCCATATAAGAGTGAGAGCTTGAGATGACCTGTTCGCAGAGAGTATCGTTCATAGTCACTGTAACAGGCAAATATCGATTCACCCAAATGAGTACTCTCCCGACCCCTCCGGCCACCCCCCAACTACGCGCTACCACGCCGGGTGCGACACCATCGCTATCCAGTACTACCACTACTCCTCCTGCCACACCTCCTCACTCTCCCGTCTCTCAATTGACTCCAGCGTCCACCAACACATCCTTGGCGAGCAATACCACGCAGGCTACGAACGCTCCTCCAGGAACCACCTCCACAGCCGCCGCAACGGAGAAAAGCAAGTCCCCGAGCGTGTTCAGCTCGATAGCTAGTTCGATCTTCAGTACGGTCAGCTCTATCCTCACTTACCTCGGGAAGAAGAAGGAGGAAATCAAAGAGAAGATGAAGAGCGTCTTCGGCTTTTTCGTAAGTGCACGGATGTCACGTCTGTGCCTTCGTCTTACTCGACTGATCTGTTTCCCTCTCCCTTTATGTGGCCGATAGTACATGCGAAAACCGGACCCGATAAATCCAGAGGCGGCAGAAGCTGCAACAGAGAAGCTAAAGTTGGAAAAACAGGTTGCAATAGGATTCGAGCTAGAGGCAAAGCAACAAGGGGATCTATTGAACGACAAGATCGCCGAACAACAGAAGGCGGCACGGTTTCAGCAACTCCTCGATCGCATGAAACAGTATCTTCCCAAATACTACAAGGAGCAAGTCGATACAGAATTTGAACTGATAAAGAAAGAACATGAACTCAGGAGGAATCCTGTCTGAGTTGGAACTCTGCAATGTAGTATAACAAGCACTCCGGGCACGAGCGTATTGACAGCACGACGAATTGTGCCAATTTGGCCTTCATTTCCTCGCCATTCTAGTGATCGTGACTTGTTATCCAAACCGCTTCTGCTTGTAATCAGGGAATCGGTTGGGCTCGATTCGGACATGAATGCGTCTCTCTGACAGATGTTCGCGATTTTTGAGAACGGCGGTTCCTCAACAGAGTACATAGGAGATTGCTTAGCGCATCAGACAAAGCAATTATAGTCCGATGCAATATACCATGGTGCATGGCAGTGTCTATCGTGCTGTTCGAGATACTTGTCGATCGACCTGTAAGACTGATTCATCCCATGCTTGACATCTCCAGCCATCGACTATCTTCGAGCAATCGAGGAGTCACCGATGTACCGGTCCAAGGTGGTACTCGATCGATACTGAATTCCTGCAAGGTCACTTCCTTTGTACTCTCATGAAAGGGGAGCTCCTCTCCAGCTCGACTGTCGAGGTATAAGAGCTCAACGACGCAAAGATCGCTCGGACCAAGAAGTGAGACTCCCTTTGATCGTCGTCCGCCACTATTCGTGCAGCCTCAACCTAGATTACAAGTCGATCACTTCGATCTCATCAGGCGAGAGAGAACTTGAGCTTCAAGCGGGATATAAGCAGTACAATCAGCTCCATAGGTCTTCAAACGGCCACAACATGGCTACCCCCCTTGCTGCTACTACCAGTGCCACCACGACAACCACTACAGCAACAGCAACACCCTCCAAAACATCCACCTACTTTTCCAAGATCTCCTCTCTCGCCAAATCCATCCAAACCTCGATCAAATCCTCCTGGTCCAAGCTATCCACCTGGTCCAAGAGCTCGTGGAACTCGTTCACTTCGACCTGTAGTAAAGCGTTGACTAGCTTCAAGTCGTTCTGGAAGAAGGGATGGGATGGGTTCAAGTCGATCTGGACGACGAGTTCTGGCAGCGAAAAGAAGGTTGAAGATGTGGAAAAGGGGAAAGTGGTCGAGCAGGAAACGACTGTGGTGAGTGAGACACTGCCTTCTACAAGCCGAGGAATTGGTCGTACAACGCTTGGGCTGCTTGATGATATGATACTGACGATACATGGCCGTCGATCGATTTCACGTGCAGAAGACCCCCGAAGGCGGGGTAGAACAGAAGAAACAAGTCATTCAAGTTACAGAGAAACCTCAGGAAGATGGGGGTGGGGTTGTCAAGGAGGAAGCAGTGGAGACCAAGACTGTGGTCGCTCCTACCGGAGAAAAAGTCGAGGCGGCAAAGACGACGGTGACGCAAGAGAAGGTGGATGATAAGGGCGACATCTTAGCCCAAGAGAAGAAGGTTGACGAGGCTGCTGAGACTGCTTGATTGTTTCCAGGGGCCAGTGTTCGGCTTGTCAGATTCCTAAGTCACATTATATACATAACAGCATATTTCGGACAGGAGTTACCGTCGCGTCGCGTGCACAGGCTTGAGATTGAATTCAAGAGACGAATAAGCAATCGTTTCTCGGATCGATTTGGATATCAAGGCAGGGCTATCGATCAAATAAGACTTCAGTTAGATTCGTATATGTCTCAGCGATGTGTTGCTACAGACGCGGCCCGACACCGAGAATTGCCGGGATCATGCGGAGATGACCTCGAAATCGTCGACCGACCTTTACAACTTCCATCGCTTCGAGCCGTTTCACCCGGGTTCCATCGAACGTTCCAAGGTCTTGTCTGAGTGTGAAACGGCGAGATGAAACGAGACGGTACTACTGCGCAACGTGGTCGGGGCGAGGAATGATCGACGTCTTCCTCTTCGAATGTTTGCCAAGCCACTGACGCAAAACGCGAACGCGGGGCCAGAAGGAACAAAGGTGGAGGTCAAGTAGAGTGAAGAGAGACGACGACCTCCTTGGCAATCGACTTTTGAGCTTTTGATCAAGTCGTTGATAGTTGATGAGGTCGCAGTAGAGTCCCCAAAGTATCTCTCTTCTGTTCTTGCTCGTACACTGTATCCTTTATTCATCCTCAACGTCTACACCTTCACATACCCGCCTCCTGAATACCATCTTGCCCTCGATCCCCGATCCTACCAGCCTCATTAAAATTCGCCCCGACCTCATCAAAATCAACTCATCCACTGCCAAACCGAATCGTCGGACTACGAGCTTCAAGATGCTCCTCACCGCCTTCCTTAGCACCATCCCCCTCCTATCGCTGGTCTCTGCCGAACCTCTCGGGGTCGCTCCACCAAGAACGTTCGAAAAGAGGCAGGTAGAGCTCAGTGGGGAGATGATCGACAAGGTCAGGACGTTGGCTTATAACCTGAACAACAAGAGGTGAGTCCCGCGTCTCGATAAGAATCACTTCACGACACTCTGAGATCTTTAGGAGCTGATCGAGACGCTTTTCTTGTCTTCCCTTTCTGAACAAACCGGAATGACATCTAGTTGGGAAAACGGAACCCTCGCCCAAGCGATCATCGAATTCGACTACCCCTCCTTCAGCCCTTTCAACACCTCCCACACCCCACCTTCCACTACTCCTTCCCTCCAATCCTCCGTTCCGGACCCTATCATCTCCCTCGCCCGGGTCACCCTGGAAAACCGTCCTACCGCCCAAAACGCCGACACCCTAGATAATCCGTTCCGGGGGGGCAGGTTGTTGGAGGATGGGAGTTCGGCGGATCCGGCGAGTTTGGGGGTGGCGGTCTTGTTAGCCGGAACGAGTGAGAGCGTGGGAGGGGATGTGATCGGAGGGGTCAATTTCTCGGTCGCTGCGAGGGAAGAGGTCGAGTATCAGCTTTATAACGTGCCCAGGGTGAGTCCGAAGAGACGAGTGGCAGGACGGTGGACTGTCAGCTGATTCTGCGTCATCTTCCCTTTCGAAGACCTCGGAGGGCGCCATCTCCCACCGAGCCGCGGAAGCTCAGCTCTGGGCCGACTTTATGTACATGGTACCCCCCTTCCTCGCCTACTACGGGTTCGACACCGCCAACCAAACCCTCCTCCAGATCGCATACGACCAATGCCGGCTCTATCGTGACGCTCTCCAGGACAAGGATACCAAGCTCTGGCGCCACATCGTCGGAGGGGAGGGGAACGGGATATCCGATTCCGGTCTCTGGGCTACGGGGAACGGATGGGCTACGGCGGGCATGTTACGTGTAGCTGCTACGATCCGACGGAGCGAGTTTAGCGGGGACATGGAGGATCAGGTCAACGATCTCGCAGCGTGGGTGGGGGAGATTGTCGATGCCGCCAAGTCCCGGGTGACTTCGTCAGGGTTGGTCAGGAACTATATAGACGACCAATCTTCTTTCCCCGATACTGCCGGATCTACCATGCTCGCTTATTCCGCCTTCCGACTGTCCACCATGGGATTCACCAACGACCATACGGGGTTCGCCAATCAGGTGCATTCTACCGTCGTATCGCGTCACTTGGCTGATAACGGGACCTTGACGGACGCAGTGGACCCCTTGGTCTGGGACAGACTGGGGACGGCGGGATCACCAGAGGGACAGAGTTTCGTACTCTTGATGCAAGCGGCGTATAACGAGTACAGGACCGCGGGAGGATCCGATGATACCGAGGGCAAGGACGAGTCCGGTGGGGTAGCGTTGGGCATCAAGGGTGCTTGGATTGCGCTCGTGGCAGTCGGTGTTGCGCTCGTCGGCGCATGGGTCGCTTGATGGAAGGCGGACTCGTCTGAGTTTCGAGGTTGTGCTAGGAAAAGAAGGAAAGTGCTCGCTCGCTCTTGTATCGCATTCATAATAGATGAAGTTTCTCTGTCGATGTCGTGCTCGCTATGATATTGCATTTCCCGCTTGACACAGCTCGAGATCCCAACATTTCATTACAAGATTGCTGTATGGATCCCTCGCCTTCAACAGACTGTCCCCCGTAAACCGGTGACATCGCGAAAAGCGGATGAAGTGCGCAAGTACCGTCACACCAAAACTCTTCATGAGTCTAACCTATCTGGGTGTTCTTTACAGGCTGACGGCCGCTTGAATTTACAGCATGCGCATTTCGCGGCAGCCTGTCGGTACTTGAGACAACCCATGTCAAAACTCGGCTTGTTACCTTGTCAACACCGTGCCTCTCACAAGCGGGACTGGCTGTGTGTTGCAGTCTACCAAGAGGGAGAGGTCGAGTCTCCCTATGGGGCTTGTAAGTCGAGATCTCAACACAGCTGCATGTTGAGAGGGACAGCCAAGCCCACCAATTAACATTCTTGCAACATTGTCGTCATCAGGACCTTACCGTATAAGCCCCATCATCATCACGCACCCATCATTGTCATCAATTATTGTTACGCACCTTGCCCTTTCATCATCGACATCAAGATTGGCCACCATCGATATCGAGACCCTTCTGGTTGAAGAAATCTATCATTTGGCCGACATCAATATCGAGAAGAAAGATTGTTGGATGCTTACTGCATCGGTTATCAATAAGTGTGATCATGCCCAGCCAAACTCACAGTAACTGAAAAGTCGCATTAAGCAAACTCGCTGACGACACCGAATCTTTCTGGAATTGCTTCAATTGGCATCGACAACACCAGGATAGCTTCAGTAAGTTCGAGATCGAGTTTGCATTTCGGTTGCGCGACATCATTATGGACAATCGCATACACACAGGCGCTTGAAGCTCGGGGATAAATTGAGTTGGACAGCCGAGCTTCGCCATGCTAATCGGGTCTACAAACCTCTGGCTATCTGGCTAATTCTCGCCATCCTTATACCCGAATCAGACCGACGATTGAGTGATCGAGTGACTTTCGGCATCCCGAAACCACTGCATTTTGCTTCCGATACCCGTGCGACCGGAAGGAAAAAGTCGGGAATCGGTCGGTTAGCGAAAGGGTTGAGCAGCTTTGTAGAGCTATAGGTATGTGTAATGTCAAGTTCAAGCAAGAGGTCCTGCTCAGTCCCACCATCATTGTTAATCACAGCGGATTATAGAGATGAACATGGCTGGGTTCTTGAGCGAGATTACTTCGACCAGGACGCTCGGCCGGTGCGTCCGGCCGACGAGGTGAGCACAGTAGTCAGGCAAACGATGCAAGACCCCCAACCCGAAACCTGACCACATCGTCTGTCCCCTCCGTAACTATATAGCCTACTCCGGACAATCCCTTCCACCCCACTCGCCTTCCGATACTACTCCTCGACGCCCCTAGAGACCGTCCCTTTGGCCTTCCACCACGTTCCCGCTGAAGGGGCTGATGTCAAGAAAGACCAGAGCCTGGTCATCTGTCACGGACTCTTCGGGTCGAAGCAGAATTGGAGGACGCTGAGTAAAGCCTTGGCGCAAAAGTTACGGATGCAGGTTTTCGTATTGGTGAGTCGAGATCCTTGTTGCAACGTATCGTATCGCCCGCAGATGTCGAGGTTATAAGGAAGGCTCATGCGAGACGGGTATGACGTATGATATGATATGCGTGTGATACGGTGACAGGACTTGCGGAATCATGGGACATCACCGCACAAGGCTCCTAATGATTACGAACATATGGCTGCCGATGTCTCTAGGTTCTTGAAAGACCAAGGACTAAACAGCGGGGTGAATCTTTTGGGTCACAGCATGTACGTCGTATCGTGCTCCCCCCAGAGCCTGATCGCTTCCTAGCATGATGTGGGTGAGCTAATTTGTACGTTTTTCTTGTGAGACGGTGTAGGGGAGGCAAGGTCGTCATGTCCGTAGCGCTGAACAAGGAATACAACTCTCCACTCCGGACGTTGATCAGTGCGGATATGGCTGCGGCTAGGGGCAAGATATCCAAAGAGTCAGTCATACCTCCTGATACTATAGGTTTGCTATCACGTCGTTGAAGACATCAGTGCTGATGTTGTCGATTCGAATGACACGGTGGGATGATAGGTTCATAGAATACGCTTATGCTATGCAGAGGATCGAGGAGGCGGGTGTGAAGAGCAAGTCGGCCGCGGACAAGTTGTTGGCCGAGGTCGAGCCGGTAAGTCGAGGTCTAGGTCTCATGAACATACAAAATAGCTGATCTTCGCTCTGATGACCTCTTTTGCTCGAATAGGAACTCTCCATCCGCCAATTCCTCCTGACAAACAGCTTTATCGACCCCGAGACCAAGACCCTTAAATTCCGAATCCCTCTTGACATCCTCTCCACCTCCATACCCGCTATCGGCCACTTTCCCTACGCCCCTGGTGAAGCCACATGGGAAGGCCCGGCACTGTTCGTCAAGGGGGCCAAGGCGAGGTACATTACCGAACGCAACGAACCGATCACTCGAGGGTTTTTCCCGAACATGCGCTTGGAGACGTTTGATACGGGCCATTGGGTGCATGCGGAGAAGCCTGAACAGTTTATAGGGCTCGTCAAGGAGTTTGTCGAGGCTCAGAAGTAGGTTTGGGGGATGTATCGACCTTGTCAATCGTCGCATAAATGCATAGATCATGTTGTGAAGATCGATCCCTGCCGCGATGACGAATTCCGAGATTCGGGCGCTTGTTCCGAGATCCGAGAATAGGTCGATGCACCGCGACCGACCTACCCTTGAACTCGTATATATACCTCGAAGATATTGTACGAAGCCTTAGCTCTTGCCAAAACCTCGTGCTCACTTCCGAACGAACCTTCCTAAACTCGCAACGATGTCCGCCAAAACAGCTGCCAGCTCGGTCCGCCTCTCTGAATCCCTCAAGGCCCTCATCGCGGCCCCTCACGCACTCGGATCGGCCATCCCCGCTCCCCCACGACCAGCCTTTCAGGGGCTGTTCAACAAGATCAGCTCGACGGCCGAGAAGAATGGGGCCAAGAACGATGTCTGGTTGACCTTGTCCACCGGGGCTCTGGTCACGGTCAATTCGCCGGCGTCCCTGTGTGAGCTGTATGATTTCGCTAGCGAGAAGCGAGGGAAGGATCTGAAGGAGCAGATCAGGATCGCGGCTGTGAGTGCAAAGCTCGTCTCATCGACTGACAAGTTTCCGGTAGTTATCATCGTACTGATCATGCTTGCGGCTCATGTAGATCATGCGCGAAGTGGGGCTGAAGTGTATAGGTAAGCCTTGGAGCTCGAGAGCAGGGCACGGACATGACACTGATCCCTATACGTTATTTGAACAGGTTTCGTGAGTTCCGGTGGAAGCCATGTCATGGTTAAAGGAGATGCTGAAGAGATACGATCACCGGATCTGCCTGATGTCATCAGTCGGGAGTGAGTACATTCGTGATGTTTGATTCATGCTAGAACAAACACTGAATCTCGCCGTCACGCTTGTTACGTCAGATCCCAAGGGTGGGTAACCGATGGAGCAACGTCGGACAAGGCGAATCAGCGGTACTGAAGAGCAACGACATTCTCGCAGACAATTAATGCCCTCGGAGCTCTACGAGCACATCTCTCTGAAGACGTCAAAGCGGGATTGAGCACCGAGTCGCTGAGGTATCGTCGATCCGTCACCCAAATCACATCTCGCTAAGACCTCTGATTCGAAACTTTTCGGCTACCATCGACAGACAACCTACGGAACATAACGTCAATGCGACCCAGATCAAAGCCAGATCGTTATGGGATGGGATCTACGAACCCCACGCGTCCAAACTCCTCGCCAAACTCGCTCAATCCCACCCGGACCTCCCCGTCCACATCCTGTCGTCGCACTACGGACCCCTCTTCTCGGACCCCGTCGATAGCTTTCCCGGAGGTCATTACAAGATCGGCCGAGTGCTCACTAGCGTGGTCGCCATAGCCTGTCTTCGAGCTCAACAAGGCGTGGGTCCCCAACTCACCTCGCACGTCTTTGGCTTGAAAAAGGCTCTGCTCGAAGGAGGTGGGGCTGAGGGAGAGGTCGCGGTGGAGGGTCAAGAATGGTTGACGAGCGATGAAGGAGTCAAGTGGGCTTTGGAGAGCGTGGATGGGATCGCCGAGGTCGTGGTAGGACGGGGAAAGAGCAGTTTCGCCGGTGCTCCTGGTGACGAGGTCAAGGCGAAGCTGTAGACGTTATTCGTATGTCCGCAAATGTAGATCTTGATAGTCCACGTCCCCCTGCAGGGTTTGGACCTACGCGTGCAGGTTTGTGAGCGTTCTCGTCTATTGAATTTTACGTCAGCATTGATCGTCCAACTCATATTATTGATTTGAGTTGATGCTGATATGCTGACCTTGTGGCTCCGTTCCGCTTTTTCACCTCGGGTGGAATCCATTTTTGTTGGTTTAGAAAGGATGATTCGGCAGTGATAGGGGTAAGTTTTGTAGAGGGGTCTTCTTCATCGGATGATGATACCTTCAAACTTCGACGGTATTGAACCTGTCTTGAGCCGATTTCTCTGCATCGCAGAGTTCCCGTTTGGGCGCGGACATGGATACGAAGACCTTTCAGGTATCCGAGCATCGTAGCGATTATGGGCTTCGACATTCGACAAGAGAGAGATATCTCCGGATGGATCATGGTGATGGCAAACAAGTGTAGCGGAGAAGAGGTGACCAAGAGTTATGACTTGATGAGAGGAGGAAAGTAGGCTGGTGGCTGTCGAAATACATCGAGTGGTAGGGTGGTGAACCCAGGCTAGCTGACAGCGAAGCACATTTCACTCCCCATCTGGCTCGTCCAGCGAATTGGCGCCCCCCTTCGCAGTCGACTCTCGCCACGCCGCAGCATCCACGGATCGTCGAGTGCCATGCAGTGAGGGGCGTGACACTGAACCCAAAATCTCGATCTGTCACTGCGTCTGTCAGCTCCTCATCCGGAGGGTGGCTTTGGCATTTACGACGACTCGCCTCCGTAATATGCGTCGTCGGGGCCGCATGCGTTCCACGGTTGTTTCGGTACCTTCTCCAAAACCACATATACCTTATCGAGGCGTTTGCGGATCTCCTCTGGGGTGAAACATCGCGCCGAAAGTTCGAGCTTGTTGGGCAAGATATAGGGGAGGTGAGGTCAAACATCATACCCGTTACACGCTAACACATCCTGGGGAGTAACAATTCGTAGCCAGGCGGATATCCTCGCACGTGATTTGGAAGCTCCCAGCTCAAGCACACTCTCCGCTTGTATGCAAGCAGTAACCTGCGAAAGTATGCGACGGATCAGCCCGGAACGGTCAAAGTCTTCGATAACCGACGACAAGCTCACCCTTGCAATACATGCGAGATTGTGAGGGGAGATCTGTAATATGCCAAAGTCTGTCGGTAAGCCCTCTTGCCAAAGGAAGTCTTTCGGCGAGCCGCTCTAGCCAAGAAAAGCCCTGCTTACTGATCTACGCCACGGGTCAAAACACAGAGATCCCCAACACACGCAGTTTGCCTTTAAAATCCCACTCGTGAAAATGCTGGTTGTCGTGTTTGAGGGCAAGCGCAAGCTTCTCATGCATGGTCATTTTGGTAAAGGGTTCGAGCACTTGCCACGGCCGCTTGCCTTGTTTTTTTGTTATTGCTTGATCTTCCGAGTGGGACAATGACTAGAGACCAACATGCGGCAATTGCACGAAAACCTTTCAACTAGGCTCAGCTGCCTGGTTTCCATATTGCCAACGACATTACCATCGATTGTATAGCTCGCGAGATCGCGCTCATATGAAACGCGCGCCTGTTCGTAGTTCGTGGTATATGAATGCGCTTTATACAAGTTCGAGGACATGCGGACTGATCCGCGTCATCGTGCGACTACTCCCATCCATCATATCCCAATCTCGTCCCTCACACCTTCCCCTTCTCCGCCCCGACAACCGTCTCAATGACGCCTAAAACCATCTCCCTCCTCTTTCTAATCTCCTTGTCGCCCTCATCACCATCCCCTTGGTACGACGCCTCCGGATCTCCCAAACACGGGAACCCGATATCTGCCAGCGCAACGAGCTGTTTCTTGATCGTGATGTCGTAAAAGGGCAAGACTCGCTGGGCATAGAATTTGGCGAGCGCTGCTGTTCTTTGTTGGATCTAGATGTAAAACATGGTCGTGTTTGGGGTAAGCGGTCCATTATGACTAGTAAAGACCGACAGGTATAATCTTGGGGTGTAGCTTACAATTTTCTTGTACTCTGGATGATCTGGAGCCCGTCTACCATACCGTACCCCCAATATCGGCATGTCGATCGGTTTAGCAAATGCTTAGAAACGGACCTCAGAGGAAGCGAGACCGACTCACTCGGCGGGCAACTTCGTCTTGTAATCCGCCACGATCTCTCCCCTCTTCTTCCACATGTGACGTTCCAGCTCTTCTTGTTCCTTCTTCAACTATCGATTCCGGATTCCGGACAACGAAGCGTAGTCGTTAGCTACTTCTTCCTCTGCACTCCTCCGGCAGGGTGGAGACAACCCACGCGACGAGAGCGAAGAAGAGAAAGAGGAATCGGGGTAAGACGTACCTTTTTCAATTTCTCCACCACATCACCCCTCATTATCAGTTCATCTACGATCGGCTTTCCTTCTTCGATAGAGAGGTTGGACATTTGTTCGGGCGTATAGCCGTACCTGTTCATCCGATCATCTTCCTCCTCCTCCTCCACTTCGTTATCATTGTCTGGGTTTGCGGAGAGGTCTATCACTGCTGAGTGATGAGGATCCTCCACCTGGATCACATGTTCAGACTTGGGTGACCTGGCGGGCCTCTCTGAATCATGGTCGTCCGTTCCGTTCGCTTCGTACGAATCATATTCGTAACCCCTCTCAGGTCGATGCTGATCCTCCTCGGCATAGGGATCCACCTCCACCTCTACGACTCTGTCTACCTCTCGTTCGATCCGACGTCGTTTCGAGCCAGAAGCCTGTACCTGTGATGGATCTTCTTCCCTCTCCCGTTCTCTCCTCTCGGTCCCAGTGAGCGTCTCGATCCAGCTCGGATGAGAGCGTGTCTCTCGATGTGTAGATTCAGACGGTCCGGATGTGGATGGCCCGGAGTTGTTCCGTCTCAAGGTAGCCAGGAGGTCTTGTAGCGAAGAACCACCTGTTTGTGCAGATCCCGGCTGAGTCTGGTTTTGGTATCCATAGTCATAACCATGTACATGTGCTCGTTCAGGTTGATGCTGATGCTGATGACCGTTCAGAGTCCCCTTAGATGAGCCGGGATGACCGTATGTAGCCTGATGAAACGGATTCGAAGCTAAAGAATACGGGTCGTTCGCAGCTGGAGGTGCTGGTGGTGGAGTAGCTGTGGCAGAACCTCCTGCGACACTATTGCTGGTGTTGCTGGTATTGGCGTCCTGGTTCGAACGGAGGAGGGCGAGTAGGGATTTGACAGAACCGGGGTCGCTATCCTGACGAAAGCTCATTGCAGCAGAGAATGGGGTAGAGTGAGCGGTGATGCAAGTCGAGGTTACGTTGTTATTTCAACTTCAACCAGAAAGGTCGAAACCCTGATCCGACTTTATCAACAAACAACGACATGCACATGCACGGATCCCCCTCGGAAGCTAATTTTCCATCGATGACGGAAGTATATTCCTTCGGTCGTTCGTCATATGGGTCCGTTCAACTTCTAGCTCTATTTTCAGAGGAAATACGAGTCTACACACACGATGCCACATCGTCATGGCAGATCACACCATCAACTGACACGAACCTCGCAAGTATGACGAAGGACCACGGCTTGTGTTGAGGGGAGGGTATAAAGGAGGACATCCGCATCTGGACGCACACCGTCGAAGGAAGAGACACATCCTTTTACTCAGGTCCTCGAGGACAAAGATAGCTATAGGTCCGCTCAAGGAGAACTAGATCTACATTTTACAAGCTACAAAAGACCTCGAAGTGGAACCCGCGGCGACTCACTCTCCAAGTGATCTAGGAGCTAGGAGCTAGGAGGATCAGACCCATCGCGACCTTCGATCGAACGTGCATCGTTGAGGACCAGCCAAGATGGAGGCTCAATCGAATCACCGGATCAACGGGTTCTCGATCTTCACCCTGATCGTCTTTATCGCAGTGAGTGAGTAAAACAACACAGTATGATATCTTTATGACATTTCTCCGGATTACTACTGACTTTTTGATACCTGATTCGATAGACGTCCTGGTCGTCTTCCCGATCCGGATCCCGCTCCCAAGACCCCTCACCCGAGCATTAGTCACGCTCTTCAGGAAGCTTAGGATCCTCAACACCCCCGAAACTTCATCCTCAACGTCCGGTCCTCATACGCAAACCATAAACTCATGCTCAACCTCAACTTCTCCCAACCCGCCTGTTCAGACCCCGAGAGCAAGCAATCCCGACCCCGACGGAGATCAAGATCAAGATCAAGATCCTGAAGAAGATGACCTCTTAGAGAAACAATACCACTTCCCCATAACCCTCAGTACCGCCCCCGTTATCGGAGTATTGCTCTTACTGGCTAGTACGAGCATCCCCGGGGACGTCGTTCGGACGGGGATCGTCGGGAGTGGAGGGGTGAAGCCTTATGATATCATGACGTTGTTCATCTCGCTCGTGAGTCGAGTGCCTGGGAGATCTGGGTCGTACACTACAGTATACCTTTTACCGGCTAGTAGTGTGGCTCGACGCCGATGCTGATATTTGACATGTTTGGAAAATCGCGCTATAGGCCTACATCTCGTTATCCCTGGATTGCACCGGGTTGTTACGATACATGGCCTTCTGGGTCTCGCTCAAGGGCGGGACGTCAGGAAGGAGACTCTACCTGTTCTTCTTCTTGTTCTTCTTCTTTTTCGGGGTCATCGTCGGGAACGTGAGTCGCTGTAAACGTCGTTCCTTGAAGTCTAGTCGCAGCATTGGAGGGACCGCGATCGCTGACAAGTTGAGTCTTGGATTGTCGTGCCCAAATTATACAGGACCCGATCATCCTCTCCGGAACATCCTTCCTGGCCTACTTTTCCCGTATCGCCGGCATCTCCCCACCACGCGCTTGGATCTTCATGCAATTCGCATCGTGCAACATCGCCTCGGCCGTCCTCGTCTCTTCCAACCCGACCAACCTGGTGCTCACGGGCGCATACGACGTATCCTTCCTCGTCTATTCTGCTTGGACGGTCCTCCCCGTCTTGGCTACCGGTTTCGTCCTCTTCCCTATACTCGTCTGGGGGGTGTTTAGGGATAAAGAAGATCAGCTCATCCCGAGACGGTTGGAGACGCCGGATGTGGACCCGAAGACGGCCCTGATCGATAAGAACGGGGCCATCTTCGGGTCCGTCTTGCTCGGGGTCGCCCTGGCGCTCCTAGTCGGTCTGAGCGCTGGAGGGTTGTTGCACGGCGTGCAGGGGGTGTGGACGGTCACGGCTCCTGCGGCGATAGTCATGCTAGCCAGGGATCTGTGGTACGACATGAAAAAGTTCAAGAAGGGGGGCTCGTCCGCGGATAGGGTGAGCGGTGCGGATGGAGGAGCGGGGGTGGACGAACTGGAGTTACAGGGTATGGACGACTTGTCCGGTTCGAAAGGCGTCGTCGAAGCTGGGAAGGCACCCAAGCCGACATCGAACGGGTCGATCCAGATCCCTCAGGAAGTGCATAGTAATGGCAAGGCGGAAACTTCGATGACGATGAGACGCAGGAATTCGGGGATGAACCCTACGAGCGTCACCCTCAGCTCACCCATCACTCGGAACACCTCCATCTCCCTCCCTCCGTCGACCTCCTCCATTCCTCCCAAAACGCAACCTCGACAAAAACGGACCTTCCAATCCACCTTTCAAGCGATCCCTCAGCACTTTCCCACCTTTACGCACGTCTTCGTCCGACTCCCCCTCCCGCTGCTGCCGTTCGCGTTCTCGATGTTCATCCTCGTCGAAGCGTTGTCGTACGTCGGGTGGATAAGGGTGTTTGGCGGGTGGTGGACCAGTTGGGTGAAGGTGGCCGGGTTGGCAGGGGCTATCTTCTTGATGGGCGTTTTGAGCGTTTTGGGGTGTAATGTGGGTCGATTGCGGTCAATATTGATTGACAACGCTTTCCAGTCCGCTAATTACGTCGCTTTGCCCCTGTTTTCGTATGGGACAACGTCGTTTGAATGCCTGACAGGCATTCGGCACTAATATCGGAGCGACGATCCTCCTCAGCCGGGTCCTCCAACAGTGGTCCAACAACGCGAACAACGTCGTCTCGAATCGGGTCTTGTACGGGTCGCTTTATACGTTGGCTTTGGGGAGCAATTATGGGGCTTTCAGTTATACGTGAGCGTCGCTGGTTCTCCCTGTGATCCGCAATGGGTCCTCATGCTCATCTGACTTGTTTCTTGCAACTGTATCCTTCTCACTGGATGTCTGTAGTTTCTCGGCATCACTCGCCGGCCTGTTGTGGAAATCCATCCTCGCGCAAAAGGGGATCCAGGTCGGCAGGTGGGAGTTTGCGAAGAATAATGCGGTGATCGTGCTCGTCTGCATGATCGTCGGGTGTCTGGTCGTCGCGGCCGAGGTCTGTGTCATGTACGACGATTAATTGAAGGGGAAGGGTCTGCTCGTGTTTAAGAGGATAACAAAGTAAATAGAAAGTAAATATGGGATCTGAACATGTGATCGTCGCTCCCTGGCTTGGTCGGATGATTATCGGTAGGATGTGTCGGACGATTATCGGATGATTTCCCCCGACTCGCCCTTGCGCTTCGGGTGCATGTGATCCGGATCAAACCCGGGGTGGAAAGGGTCTGTTTACCCCCTATTGGCATGCTTGGCCCAGGGGTATATAACCTCGAGTGATCAGGTGCTTCCCTTCCCTGCTCCTTCCTCACCTCTACCTCCCGCTACATCACATCAATCACACACACAGACAACGTCACACACTCGCAATCATGGTCGTCGCCTCTGCCACCACCCTCCCCGTCCAGAACAAGACCCACTACGAATCCCGGTTCGACCCCCTCAAGGTCCTCCAACACCCGGATTTCAAGGTCCTCGACGAACAAGACCTCTCGCAATTGAAACAGGGGGACGATAGCGTCAACCTCGCTTGTGCTTATAACGAGAAGCATGAAGTGCATATGATCAGGAAACCTCATGCTGAGCCCGGGCCTGGTGAGGTCAAGCTCAGGGTCAGGGCTACGGGAATCTGCGGGTGAGTCAACGCTCCGTTGGTCCATCCTTCTCTTGCATCTCGTGCTGATGTGAACCGTTGTTTCTCTTTGCTCATCGCAGCTCCGACGTCCATTTCTGGAAACACGGTCAGATCGGACCTACCATGATCGTCACCGACGAATGCGGCGCGGGGCACGAATCCGCCGGAGAGGTCGTCGCCGTCGGTGAAGGTGTCACCAGGCTTCAAGTCGGGGACAGGGTAGCCATCGAAGCCGGTGTCCCTTGTAGCAGGGCTGATTGTGGAGCTTGCGCTTCCGGTCGATACAATGCTTGTAAGCATTCCTCCCTAGCCTGCCCTACCCAATCAATAGCCGGATCGGAAGCTAACTTTACCTCTTTCTCTGTCTCTCTTTTCTATCGCGCAGGCCCGAACGTCGTCTTCTTCTCCACCCCGCCTTACCACGGTACCTTGACACGATACCACGTCCACCCTTCCGAATGGGTGCACAAGCTGCCGGACAACGTCTCTTATGAAGAAGGTAGTCTTTGTGAACCGCTCGCCGTCGCCCTCGCTGGTATCGATCGGGCGGGGATCAGGTTGGGCGATGGAGTCGTCATCGCGTGAGTCCCGCGTGCGGTTCACAGCGCGACACAGGTGATGTGGTGGCACACAGTACTGACTCGATCTCTCCTCCCCCCTTCGTTCCCTTTTGCAGCGGCGCTGGACCTATCGGCCTAGTCTCCCTCCTCGCCGCCAAAGCCCTCGGTGCGACCCCGATCATCATCACCGACCTCTTCCAATCGCGTCTCGATTTCGCCAAGACCCTCCATCCGGGCGTACAGACCGTCCTCGTCGAGCGGGGTCAGACGGCCGAAGAGGTCGCCGTCAAGATCAGAGAGGCCGCAGGAGGGGTGGATTTGAAGTTTGCCCTGGAGTGTACAGGGGTGGAGAGTTCGATCAGGACGTGTATCTTTGTGAGTCGGCGCGAGTCGGGTCGGGTTTTCAAGGGATCTGGTCGAAGCTGTGTGTGCGGGTTTGCTGAGGGTGATATCGCTTCCGGTTGGGTTGTTACAGTCGATGGCTTTCGGAGGAAAGGTGTTCGTCATCGGTGTCGGGAAAGCCGAGCAGAACGTGAGTCACCTCGGTCCTTTCTTCCCTGTAAAATAATACTTTGGGGCTTTAAGGCTGATCATGTCTTTCTCTTGTTACGCGGACTTCAGATCCCGTTCATGATCTGCTCGGCCAACGAGATCGACATTCAGTTCCAGTACCGATATTGCCACCAGGTGAGCCTATCTCTCTTTCTGAACTCGCTTCATAGTCTAATATCGAACCTTCATCGCTCACCATCGGATTACCTTTCCGCTTGACGACCACAGTACCCCAAGGCCATCCGACTCGTCGCCGCAGGACTGATCGACCTCAAGCCGCTGGTCACCCACCGATTCCCCCTGGAAAAGGCCGTCGAGGCCTTCCACGTCGCTGCCGACCCGACTCAGGGAGCGATCAAGGTCCAGATCGTTGACGCCTGAGGCCGTTCTTCCCTCTAGGCTGGCGGGGACGGGAGTAAGAGGCCTCTCGTCGCGAGCGGTCGTTATGACATGGTGCAGATAAATTTCACGCGGGTTTAGGATTGTGATACGGGGGTTTCAAGGTCGACGGTTGTATAGGCATTTAATCGGTAGTCTGCAGTATCCTTCTTTCATTGCATGGGAGCTCTTGTATGGTATTTCTTACGTCTGTCCGACGATTCTCCGGCAGTTCTGAACGACGTGCAGTGAAGACGCTCATCGTTCTAGGGATATTGGAAAGCGTTTCAGTCTGCATCCGCGGTATCTGTATCACCTGCGATGAAATTCTGGAACATCATTTAGAAATCAGAAGAGGGTCGGGATGGACGGGATGGACGGGATGGACGGGATGGACAACAACAGAAGCGATGCAAAGAGTTGTGCTGTGTGTTTCATATCGAGATCTTTTCCAGCGATCCCGGAGGCGAAATGCCGTCTACTGTTCAACGAGTCTGTCTTGACTTTCAGAATTTGGCGCTGGGTATACCTGAAACCTGAGTGGAACATGAAGCTGTTGAGCTCGAGTTGTACCTAGAGGGGTATTTGTCACCGCAAACTCACCAATCTGCCGAACCTTGCCAGGGTCCTCGGGGCAGGATTTCACAACGGGTTGAAGCGCAAACGATGCGTCACCTTCTCCGTCTTGGCTGTATGAGCATGACAGGGTGAAAATATAAGGTCAGCGACCTTGCTGAAGCTTGGGAAGTCCCGACACAATGGCAGGGGTGAAAGTGAAGTACCTGTGTTGCAGCGGTGAGCAAGCAGCACTAGTTTACACCTTTCGATCAGGTTCATAATTCGCCGCTGTTTGGCAGTCATCTGTTCAGGAAGATTGTTGTAGGAGAACTCCAAAGGCAAGACATGATCAGGAGGCAGTTGGGAGCTTGCGCCTTGTTAAAAACATTGAGGGTCACCCTGATAGGGACTTGTGATCGGTATGGGTAAGGCGCCAACTTATCGTGAAAGTGCCTCCTGACCTGGGAGACCATTTGATCTCCCGGCGTAATGAACCTTGCATCTCCTCCCTGTCTTTCAGTGGCAAGCTCTGTAAGAGCTTGTGCCAGGCAGCCTGCCTAGTGAACTCCTTGACAACAGAAACCGGAGCCAGGAAATATTGGCCAGCCCGTTGCGAACGCTTGTATAACTCCTACTGCAGGTACGTACCCTCGAAAACACAGCATAGCACTAGTACACAAAAATCGCTAGAGTAGTACAGAGCGTAAATTCTTCTCCCTCGCGATTCAAAGTTGGTGAACTCTGGATGGACGCCTGCCATGGCTTTGCGCTGGACTCGTAACGTCTGGTGCGAAATCCACCGATTAGAAACGATCAAATGTTACAATAGCCAGGATGAGCTGTTTTGTGATAACGCGTCGCTTCTCGACCCGCCTCTTATGTTACGTAGGATATATGCTGCGTCGCTACATTATGAGCTGTATCGTCACACCAAAAGGGACACTCGACCGTTCGGCTTATGCAAACGGATTGAGGCCATTATAATCAGAAACCGATAGTATACAGTTGCGCCTTTTACTGATAGCGTCAGGTGGACCATCATATACCTTGTCGGGATCTCTTAAACATACTCGTACTGTTCTGTGATCTGACTACTACATGACGAGAACCCTAAATCAACGTGTAGTGTGACCAAAATTGAGTGTCGCCTGCATTCTTTTCCATGTCTCGGAATGCCTTGATGACCTTGTGCGCTTCTTGCTGACTTGCGATTCGACCAGTTTCGTAAATCTCCAGCAGACCGTCTGCCGTTTGGTCTTCCCCGAACGTCAACCTCAAGTAATGCTCAATGAGGTCTTTGCGGGCTGTGTCGTTGGACTCGGGGATCTTTTCCCACTTTGCGATGAACTCCGAGACGTAGTTGGGCTCATAACGAACGTCGGAACGATCGCCTCGGTGGAAATAGTCACCATGGTCGTTCTGGAGCATACGATTGTCTCGAGAGCGACCGCTTCGACCGGGATAGTCGTCGTAAAGAGAGTCGCCCTCGTCATGGTCGTCCCTGACCTTGATGGAGCAGTGACCGTCAAATCCAGGCGGCATGTTGACGGTCACTTCGACTCCGTTCGGCCATGTGAACGTCGTTGAATTCGGCTGTCGGTTCCCTTCGTAAGGTGCCGATCGATTATCCCAGTCATCTCGATGAGAATATCCGGGAACAGGGCTCAGTGGAGGTGGATATTCTGTAGACTTTTCCGAGTACTCGGTGCTGACGGTCCTTGCGGGTGGCGTTGCCTCTTCAGATCTGTCTCTGGAGGACTTTCCGGAGAAACAAGAGCCGAGGAATCGCATATTTACAGGCAATAGGTGGTATGTGATTGATTTTGTCTGGAGGAACGATTGTATCAAAATTTGATACCTATTCTCGGCAGGCGAAGAGCCAACATCGGCCGGGCTATATATACAGAGAGCGGTCGCAGTCAACATACTCGTACGCTCAGAACCGCTATCCTCCTTTCATGCACGAGTCTCTCGGGCGCGGAGCTGAATTGGACACATCGCGATGCAGCCCTTCCCTTGTCTATGGCTACGATTCCAGGGACTCCTTTCTCGACTAGGTCGTCAGGTCTGAAAGGAGACCCGCGCTCCTTTCTTTATCGCCAACGGATCAAGAGCGCGCGTGTCGACCTGATCGTTAGCTTCCTTTCTCAACTCCCGGGTGGCAGCTGAAACTCGTAGACTACGCTTAACTCATGATATACGCCAGAAAAGCTAACACTTGACTCCCTTCGAGAGGCGATAGTCGGGAAAGGTTCGCCATCGATCGAGATCACCTGCACCACATCCTTTTCATCATTCTGCGTCTCCCTTCCACAGTCTTGGGCGGATAGCGATGCTATCACTCGAACTTTTCTCACGAAATCAGCAGTAGCTCGTTTGCGAATCACTCCATAAAGCACAGATGCGAAGCGGTACAACCCGTTCAATAACGGATGATCGGCTCGTGGTCACAGGTGAAAGACATTGCCAGCGATCCCGCAGCTGGCGGAGATCCTGTGATACAATGATCGAAGATTCCATGCATCCATCGATGTCACATTGATATCGTTACAAGAAAAAGGGGAACACGTGATGTCCTCAGGTTTCATTGCCTTCAGATGAATCCTGTAACTCCTCCAAGTGGTGATCCAGGCCTGTCCAACGATGAAAATTCGCGGCGTGGTTTAAACCAGAATTGTCCCTCACATACGATTCACAATCAAAATTCATCGACGGCCTGCCCAGGATCGTTGTTAGTTAGCAAGCCTAACCTTTCAGACCCCTTAATAGCGTTCTTAGCTCGACAAGCAGCTGTCACACCCCTTTGACCCCTCAATCATGGTACAAAGGGAGTTGTCAACAGGCAAACATATAGAAACCGAGAACAAGCAGGGTCTTTTCATCATTCAGCAAATCCGTCAGCCAAACAATCAGACGTTCTCAAGATGCCGCCTCCTGCACCGCATCCAAGATTCATATGGAGCTCAGGATTCAAGTTGACTGATACCACTCCCCTCGACATCGCCTCGAACGCCTTCGTGAAAGCCCTTTCATCTGATGAGGTCTCACTCGAGGACCTCAGATTTGCGTACCGAACGACCAGCCTCGCCTTCGAACGAGAAGGCGCGAGAAGAGGGTTGTCTTTCGGATCTTCCGCACCTACTCGGATCTACATCGAGGCTTTAACCATGGCGTGGAACGAGATGAACGTCACTGCCTACCGCGAGAGTCGATTCAGAGAGTTTTACAGGGAGACAATCGGGAGAGAGCCCGATTGGGCGGAAGTCAGGGATCTCTTCAAGGATCTCAAAGCGAAAGCGGCTTCCTCAGATGAAACGCTCAGACGATCGCTGGTCTTTCTCAAAGACGCCGAGATCAAGGAGAATGCGAGGCGGTCGGAGAAGGCAAAGGAAACCGGGGAGGACGCAACGACAACGGCCTTTTGGATTGCGTTTGAAGATACCAACCTCGTTTGTTGTCAGGTGAGGGCTCCTATAGGAAAATAGCGGAGAGCGACGGATACTACGGTCTAGCATGATCAGATACGAAAATGTTGTTCAGCCTCTAGCTTGTCTATGCATGTTATGTGACAGTATGCAGATACCTTCATCGAGATGTTCTACTCGAACAAAACCGAAACAGATTCAGCCTATCAGGAGCCTGTAAAATAAACGTCACTCAAGAAGTTTCCCAAGGGCAATATTACACTTGGTGCTGTAGTCAGAGTCTGTGAGGATGGCGCGAGGGAGCGCCAAGGGAAGAGTGAGACACAAGGGGTTAGGGTTCCGATAGATGTCGAGCGATACCAGCTGTATGAAAAGGAGTACAGGTCGATTGCTTAAACTGTATTTGGTTACAACGTCAACTTTGCGGCTTCAACCTTGGAAGGTGGTATGTGCTCGAAGGAAGACTGCGACCCCGGGTACTGACAGTCCGTTCGAATAAGACATTCAAATCGCGAATCCGGTCATTGGTCCAGTCATCCTTCCTATAGTCACTGAATAAAGGGCTCCAAACACCCTGAATCGCCCCTTTCGAGGGGTAGCTTTTGTTGTGAGGGATGGCGTCTTTTCGACTCCTTTGTACTGTCCGTTTACGGGGTTGAAAAGAGTCTGCATGCGAGATACGCGGTTTAAGCCTTACTACTTGTACAGATATCTCAAAAGAATTTACTGAGGTGATGTTGATGCGTTTGATCGATAACCTGGGCTCACACAACAACATACACACACAACTCGGTGCATACACACACAACTCGGTGCAGCCATCAATAAATTTGGTGACAATCCGACATTCACCTTAGGCATCATGTCCAGCTGGTCAACAACACCATCCACCGGTAGTGTTCCGATGCTATCGTGCGGTGCCGGGCCGAAATCTGACAGGGAAGCTTTCCCAGGACAAAGCGAGGAACCAGAACCTAGCCTGCCACCGGCCTCAACCGAGGCTTGCCCTTTTTCAAGTTTCGCTGGAAGCTCACTAGTGGAGCCTCACGCTACGGTGGCGCATGTTAGCGAAGACGTGAAGTCGTTCATATTCTAATGGTTTCATGATAAAGAAACCATTCGTCTGGGCCTCCGTATGAAATTGGCAAGGTTCTACCATCAGATGACCATTGGTTCGAAGTGGGATGACCTTACGGCCTCTTTGGTCAATAAGGTACACCCGGGAATGTCACCTGACTCTATGTTGTCCGAAATACTGCGATGTTTCGCAATCGACGAACAGAGGGAGAATATCGTCCGGATAAAGAAAATGCGTAGTAACGGTGGCCCTAGACCCGCAATGACTACCGTTTGGCAAGGTGCGAACAATTATCTAGAGTTATATATCCTCGGACGCGGTCACATCTGCAAAGCGGAGGAAACTGAAGGCTCGTGATGAGCTTGTGAAGAGAGAGATTGATCTCGATGCAGTTTAATTGTATCAGTCTAGTTTGACGGATTCATGGATCATGGAGTATTGCAGACAAAAGCGGAGCGGATATATCAGAATTTTGTAGATATCCCTCCTTACGCGTGGAACGGCTCTTGTCCATTTGGGAAGCTTTTCCTTTCTCCAATGGAGAATGGGTCAAGTGTTCGATGTGACGGATGCTACACATCATCTGCTTAGAAGCTCATGAGATCGAACTTCCTTAGAGGAGATTGGCTTATGCAAATACGTGAACGGGACGCGTCCCATGCGTTCTGAAGCCAGTTGGTGTCGCTGTGATAAATCATAGCCTATTCGAACACGCGCCATGATCAAGATAAGGTATCCCTCACTGCAGGATCATACTTTGGCGAGACTCGACTGCTTGGACAAAGGAGAGTGAAGTTCGTCAGCCGACCCCCTGCGTCGTCAAGGTTTGCTTCCGCTCCCGTCACGAAACGTGAGGCGATAAACCTCCGTTCGCATCGGGTGCGACTTGGGGTTCTTGAAACATCGACAAAAGACATGATAGACACCAGGCGATATCTGAAAGGAGTAATAGATAAGAGCTTATTCAGTCCCAGTTCGATAGTGGCTATATTATCGTATAAGGGACACGAGGCAAACGGATCGGGGCCATGGCGGCCGGACTCTTCCAAACATCGAGAGTGCGCAGAAATTTCTGTTTCGCTTGTTCACAATTCGCCATGACCAAATCTTCCTCGTTCTTGCTCGATGAATCCAAATCCTCATTAGCCCCTCTTGAAATGACTGCCGCGGAATTCGATTCTTTCGTAGCCCAGTCTTGCACGCAATCTGCTGCAGACTTCATTAGCTCGAAGCGAAGCTCAATTCCAAACTGTCCAGAGCCGGACAGCACTTTCATCGTAAAGCGCTTCACAGAGGATTGGTTACAGCTGAAAACTGAAGAGGACCGCACCGCCTTATGTCTTCTTTACTTTGAGAAGACCGTCGAGCAGAAACCAGGGCAGATAGCAGAGAGGGCTCTCGAACTGATTCTCACACTTCCCAAGAGAGATGCCACTGCGACCCGTAGGCGGATCTTTATGCTTGTCTTGGATTGGTTCAGGAAGCACGAGTGGCAGATAAACGAGCAGCGAAGAATACTTACACCCCGAAACGGGACTCCCAAGAGGACCGAATGGTGGCAGAGCATTCCTCATCTCCCTCGAGGCTCGGGTTGAAGGCTTCGCGCTTGGATTGTATGATAATATCGATAGCGACATGGAAACGTATCGGTCTGTATGTTGGCTTCTATGGGTATTAGGTGCTTCCTAGATGACGATCATGTCCAGATTATGCGACATCCTGCACAGTTCGAAGCTCTTTCTTTCTTCCAGTCTCGTGAAGCTATTCGTTTCACTGCGACCGCTCGACCAAATGAATCAGTGATTAGCTTCCCTAACGATCGCGCCATCTGTATCGTCATGATTGCGCCATCTGAGAACAAAGGAAAGGAGTGGCGAGACGGTGGCGCCATATCCTTTGTATTCAAAGTATATAAGGTTGTGAAGCGCGGCTGAAAGGGTCTGAAGCAAGTCACGCAGTAACGAAGACACGTCGAAGGCATTCAGTGTGATACATATCCCTTGTTGCAAGATACAACATGCCAAACTCGGCAGCATCGCTTGTTCCCAACGGTAGTACGACAACACCGACTACTCAAACGGGCGGGTCTGATGCCGCCACATACTACAGTGTCGCAAACCTTTCTCATTCGATCTTTACTAGCCTCGTCATTGGGTCACTGGAATTGTCAGATGTTCAACTTGTTTTCGAGGAAATCCTCCGGAACCGAACCAAAGTGGATTACGATGGCAGTTATCTCACTGAGTTCCTGGTCAAATGGGCCCAACCGAACAGCGCAGAAACCGCGATGCGATTGATCGAAGAGTTCTACACGGATACCATAGGCGAGGCATGGCGTGAAGTTGCGCAGCAAGACTTCCGTAAGGCCGTACGAGGAAATCCGCAAGCCGTTACCATGGTGTACCCCGATGACGTTCTCATAAACGTATTGAAGGTATTCGCCAAACTCGAGGAGACCTACCACGAATTGCGTGTTACGGAAGGCAAAGCCATCTGGGTTGGTTGGAGACAGCATGCGCGGTTCCGGCAGTATGCTCCTTCACAGTTGGAGAGAACCAGTCCTTCCAAAGCGGTGACCCACTGGAAGGACGACGATCGCTTGTAGTAGGGCAGAGATTGTGTACTTGCTAAATGGTTGTCGACTTTCCCCTCTTCTTTCGATTGTCTTGTTATGCTAGGGGCGTGCTACCGCAGATGTTGAGAACCACGAACTGTACCGCCTGAAGATGGTTTCTTAGGATCCCACAATGTCTTTGATCTTGAGTGCTAGCCTAGCACGTGACGCGATCAAAGGAAGACCATTGTACGGAGACACACCTACTACAGTAGGTTCGCGCATTAGCGGGCAAGGATGAGGTGAAGGCGAGAGGAGAGGTTAGGTTCTCTGGACGAAAACAAAATGGATAGTGCAAGATCGCGCGATCTGGCGCGTTATTGGAGCACAAAGGAATACGAGATGTGGACATACAACGTTCTTGCCCCTACTTCTGGTCAGGATTCGCAGGATTCGTGAACGAAAGAGAGTCATCCACCAGCCGATGCGGCGGGGTAACAATAAAAGCTAGTCAGCAGATCTGTTTGGTTCGGTATGGCCAGCTTCGTTATCTGTAATGGCGTCGATAATCACGGAAGAGGGAAACGAGGCCATAAAAGTAGGAGGCTGCCAAGATCAACGCATGCAAAGAGACAATATCCTTGCAGGACGACAGGAAATCGCTTGTCAACAGCTTGATTGAGACTCTCCAGGATGTAGCTGAGGGCAACGAGCGTTATCTGTCAATCATACTTTGGATAAGCTGGATTGGTTGTCTGAACAAACTCAAGAGTCTTACCTGGACAATCTGGTTGAGACTATCTTTGAGGCCGCCTTAAAGAAGCAAGTGGTTCCCAACGTATACTACACCCCCGAACACTTAGCAAGGGAATGATTGGTACAGGACTGCCAAAGAAGACAGGCTTGAGCTGTGTGAGAAATGGTATAGGGCCATGAACAGCGACGGCGCCGATGGAAGTTGGACGACAAAGAGGAAGCAATTTCTGGATCTCCTCAACAAAGACGTGGGTGACGATAACCAATTGAAGACTGTAGTGAGCAAACTCTACCACTTTCAGCTACTTGACTCGGCCAGGCTCAAACGCCGCTGGAAGGACCCGTTGTCACAGGACGTTCGTGCGAAGATCAAGAGATTCCGACGTTCAACAACTGGAGGTCACGGGTAAGCTCACGCTTCGGCAGGCGATGCGACCCATGACGACCCTGACAATAATAGACGGCACTGAACAAGGTACTTTGAAACTGGATAGGCTTCTCCTCCGCTACAGATCATGTCCCCAGATGTTGTATCTTACTTGTGACCCGCTACCGTTGTACATGTGAGTCATTGCGTTTTGCAAAAGAGTCTGGAGATAAATCCATGAGCCGATCATCTCGATTCGAAAGCCACGTTTCACCCCATGTTTCATCAGCTTGTTCAACGGACATGGTGAGATTGTCAGATGTCCGTCTCGCTCGGTTCCGTGCTGATGTGCGCCGCGGGTTGACCGAGACATGATGGGATTTTAATTACCCGATCCGGTAATCTTGCTCACTATAGCAGGATGATATGGGCGAGTAGGTATCGAACGGGTCGCATTGATGTCCAAGGTGAACGAAGAGGTCAACTTCTTGAGTGGGACGGATTTGCTGTGATTGTAAATTGTGAGAGCTCGAGGTATCGCGAAGGTTCCGACGGCTATGCACGGCGATTGCGGTTTCTATTTGATTGTGATGACAAGTCGCAAGTCGAGGGCACATCGTTTCGAGTTCAAGACATCGTAATGAACTCGGTGTAATTGCATCTGCAGGCCATCTGTTGTACCTTTAACCTGATTTGGTTGCACATCGAGCTTGACAGTATCGTTCGAAGTTTTGTCTGTCGATCAAGAGCCGGCCGACCACCATTACCCCCGGAAACGCGATCATTCGCTCGCTCGCCTACGTACCGCACCACCCACAACCTCGGACTTCCCGATTCACATATTCAACAATCACAAAGTCTAGACAACCTCGCAAGGTCAACTATCTTCCAGCCTTTCAACGTAAAATCTCATAGAGTCAGAGCTCTATAGCTCCATACTAGATCGTAGACGACGGTACCAGGCCGTCTCACCTGGACTAGATCGGCCGACGGAGTGGAAGGCACAGGACGACATACGCAATCGCAAGACGGATTATCAATCCGAACTTTACTGGCAACTCTACGAGACGGATCTTACCGACAGATCGATAAGATACGATATATCACCATACCATCTCAAACCAAAAGAGGTCTGTTAGTATCAGCTATCAAACAGGCAGGCGACTCAGGGTTACGTCGGATATAATAAGGTCGACTCGGATCAAATAGCTGCAGGTTACGCTACACCTCGCCGCAGCCACCAAACACAGCGACCATCACAACCACCATCATCTCCCATTGATCCTCGTCGTCATCGTCGTCATCGTATAACTATAATCCCGTGTCGTGCTACTCCGTCCTGATCGGGTATCACCACACGTCCACCTCGATCGGATCATCATGGCGATGAACATCCAACCGGGTCCTTACCCACAACAATCTCACCAACAACAACCCCAATGGGCTCCTCAACAACAAGGAGCCGGTACTGGGATGGATCAAGATCCGATGTCTAGTACATCAGCGATAGGACAGAATGCGTTTCCCGGATCTGGGTCTGGGTCTGGGTCGACTTCGCCCGGGTTCCCTACGAGCCGATCGGGGAGCGGAGGGGGGATGAGCGCGTTGAGTGCGTTGATGCGAGGAGGTTCTAATGGGAATGCGGGTGGGAGTGGGTCGCCGCCCACGGCGGTGCATAGTCCGACAACGCCTACGGGAGGGATAGCGATGGCTATGAACCAGCAGCAACAGCAGCAGCAGCAGCAATATGAGCAGCAGATACAGCAGCATGAGCCGTATCTGAACCAGAATCAGCAGGCACAGCAACAGGGCGGAGATAATAGCCAGAACAGCAATTCTAACGTCAACGTCAACGTCAACGTCAACGTCAATCCGAATGGGTATCATTATGGAGCACACGCTTATCAACCAGGCTCGTTCCCAAACCAACCACACAACTCGCCGACGTTCCCCTCAAACCTCTCACCTTATGCTCAACCGTTCGTACTCCCCTCAACCGGGGGTTACTCGTATTCACAAACAGGTATCCCCATGTCCCTAACCGGTATGGGATCGTTGTTGAACACGCACCACCAGTTCCCAGGCTCAGGGTCCATCGGGATGGGTATGGGAATGGGCATGTCGATCAGTCCGCAATACGGGACGCATTGGGCACATAGCGGGCTCGGACTGGGTACGACAGGAGGAGGGATGGGGATGAGTTTCGGACACATGGGGTCTTACCTCGGAGCATCATCACGTGGAGGGCAGAACCATATGAACCACATGCACAGCGCTCAAGGAGGTGGAGGGCTCGGGGTAGGGTCGATAGGGGCCGATCCGAATTTGCAGATCGGGCCGGGTCCGGCGGGGAGTTCGGTAAATAGCGCGATGATGATGCAGCACGGACATGGGGGCGCTTGGGGCGTCGGAGGGGAGAGGAGTAGGGAGTTGGAGAAGCGGTATGTGAGGGATTTTACGTGTTGTGGGTTGAAATTGGGAGGGTTGCATGATCTGCTCGAGCAGTGAGTTTGGCGGTTGGGCTTCGGATCATTGAGCGATACGGAGGGCCAGGACTGACGGCAGTTTGGGTTGTTGACGGACTAGCTATGAGGAATGCCACGTACACCTCGCTCCGGATCTGAGGAAACAGTCCAAGTCGATCGACGCGGGTGCCAATCCGGAGAACCTGATCATCCCGCAAAACCCGGCTATCAACGCCATTTCACGTACGGGCACGCCCTCGACGTCGTTCCCTACCGCCTCGCCGTTCTCGTCTCGACCTCAACCGGTACCGCCTTCGTCCTCGACTGCACCGAGCATGACGACGAAACAGAGTAGTCCGACCGAGAGCGATGCGCCAGGGACGCCGGGGATGATGGACATCGAGATGACCATGGACGACGACGATCCGACAGGGGTGGGGATTGTTGGTGGTGCAGGGTCGGGCGGAAACATGCCCAGCATATTACCACCAAGTTCGGCTCAATGGACGGCGTTCCAGCAGGCTCAACAACCGCCACCGGGTGGGTTCCCGCAGTGCGTCGAGCCGAGCAAGTTGTCATACGCTATTCCAGGGGTTGGGGCGCAATCCGGATCGGCCTCGCAACCGGTCAGTAAACCTGGAACCCCTGTCGGTGGACTAAACGGCGTCAATCTCGCTTTCAATGGGGCTGGGACGGGAGCGATCGGGAAGCCACCCAGGTTGGGTGGTTCGACGGTGCTTACTCCCGAACAAAAGGCTGAAAGGGCAGCGAGAAAGGCCGCTAAAAAGGAGGCTAGGCGGATCGCCAAGGAGAATGGAGAGCTGAGTAGCGATGATGGAAGGGACGCAGAGGGGTTCAAGAAGTATCGATGTCCCGTACCAGGTTGTAACAAGAGCTATCGGCAGGTGAGTCATGCGATTTTGGTTTGAAGCCCGGTTGTCAACACAGCGCTGACGTTTTAGACACGACTTTCAGGCCAATGGTCTCAAGTACCACGTCCAGCGATCGATCAATTCGACTCATGGACATCTCGTCAATGTGCCGCTGCTACCGCATCCCCATCATCCGGATACCAAGGCGCACGAAAAGACGGCGCCGGTCTGAGCGTTCCGCTCGGAACCAGGCCTGATTCACATTTATCACCAAGTCTACCCATCATCTCCCTCACACCACACCTGCACCTCAGCTTCGCTTTCGCCGGCATATTCCATTCTCAACATCCACTTCAGGCATACCGCTACGCGCCGTCAGGCATCACCGAACATCGTTGTAGATGGACACTATCTCTCGCGCTTTTTCCGGTCTGTGCTCTCGTAGTTCTGTTTCGGCTTCTATCAGACTCGTCAGCTTTCGCTTGTACCAACTCTATCGATTTGTACATGTCATAGTTTGCATTATTCATCGTGTTCAAGACGCTTCGATAGGACACGAGTTATGGCCATCGTGCTGAACAACACGCTCGATTGCGCACCGGAAGTTCGACAGCCACGCATGACACCGCCTTGAAGTTCGAGCAGTATTATTCTAGAAAGTTTGTTTGAGGGGTCACGTACGTATGACTCACCTGCCGAGCATGTTTGAGCACCAATCTGACCGTGTTACGTATGGGCCAGGGAGCTAAGCGAGTGGTTGTACACGGTGATGGCTTTGCTGCACAGCCTCGGTTTGAATGTCAAATCCAAACAACAACCAGAGACAAGCCCGCCCGCATGGTACACTACGATGCTGCCAGAAGCTCATGTCAGGGTCAACAAGTTCCTTGCCATCATGGGGGGACGTCTCCCAGCACAAGTATTGGGTGAGTCCACATCATTAATCCCCACCGTCTTGGATCGATGTCGCTGATGGAACTTGAGACGCCTTCGTGACAACATTACTGAGGCGCAGTGATCGCTAGGCCGATTCCACTTATCGGAAACGCGTTTCAGGTCAGGTCAGGTTCGCGTTTCACGTCGGGTCCTCAGCCTCCTTTCATCGATGTGTTCAACGAGGATCGAGCTCTCAGCTCGATACAAGACCGCTAGAACCTGGAGATCTCACTTTCGGTAACTTTACAGTCTAAACTGAATCATCGTACGCGATCCAACGGTACCCAATCCTTATCCATCGATCCATCGACAATATTATGTATCGACAAGTCAGCTGTAGGTCGCCACCACGTGTCGAGACCTGTTACAGTCCCGCTAATCATCTTGAGACTCGTAGATTCTAGCAACTCATACTGCCCGCGTAAGCACTGACTGAGCAATCCTCTCGATCATGATATGTCAGCCATACTTATATAGACCATACAAAGCCGACGTTCCCGGTTGTCTTCGAATCAACCCCAACCCCAACCCCCGAGCCCTAGCCACCGAACTAGCCCGGATCGAATTGACAGAATCGACTTTTCTCCTCCTAGTGGTCGTACTAGGTTTTCTGGTCTGGGTTGGAGCGCAGATAGGCAAGACGGATCGGTTGACGATCGAAGCGGAGTATGGAGCGAAGAAGAAGAAGAGCTCGGGTTCTAGTTCCGGGGGAAGTTCTGGGAGTCTGAGTAGGCCGAATTTGGGAGAGTAGAAAGGGGATGAAAGGTGTGGATTGAATGTAGCAAGAGTCTCCTTCTTCGTAGCCGGGACCGGCAACGTTATTGTGTCGCAGTCATGGTGATACGACGAGATGTAAACAATGCATCACCGACCAAAACGCACAAATCCCCAGCCTTCAATCCACTCCGCGCATTATACCCGCCCCTCCTCCTTCTGCTTCTCCATATAGACCTGCAACTGATCGATACTGATCATCTTGAACCCCCACTGTTGAGCAAACGCCTTGCAATCGTCCCGCCTCGCCATGGATCCTAATGGGTCGTCGGGCTTGACGATTTCGCACAACAGGCCGGCGGCGGGGAGGTTGGTCAGTTTGCAGAGGTCTACAAAGAGGAAGAGGAAGGGAAACAGGATAAAGAACAAGAAGGGGTCAATTCAGAGAGGTCAGTTTCTTATCTAGCTCACAATCTTTGAAGCCTGGGATCGTATTTGGATCGAGGGTTCCAGGGCAAGAAAAAGTCGAACCGAGTGAAGCTTACCAGTAGCAGCTTCAGTATGACCCCGTCTAGCCAAGACCCCTCCTTCGGTATACCGCAGAGGTACCATATGTCCCGGCCGTGTGAAATCGGTAGGTTTCGATGCAGGGTCGGCTAGTTTGCGAGCCGTCAAGGCTCGGTCGTGGGCGGAGATACCTGTTGTCGTGCCTATATTGTGCAGCCGGTGAGATATGGGAGGTGCAGGTTAAGATACGGGCGGACACAGCAACAGAGTTTGTGCGAATCAGCATTGACTATCAAAGAACGTGGGTAGCCTTCCACAGTAACAAGCGAGTATCAGGACTCACCCTCTGCTGCATCGACCGTCACGGTATAAGCAGTCTTGTGTCGTTCCTGGTTCTCGGGTACCATCATCTTGATATCCAGCTCTTTCAGTCTCTGTTCTGGTACTGAGATACAGATATAACCACTACGATGTCCAACCATACCATCGACCAATTCTACGATCAGCCAACCGTAACTAGACTAAGTAGGAGAGGTCCAGACTTCATTTGAACCGGACTGACCTAGTATGTCGGATAAAGAAAGCCATCTTCTCCGTCGTAATCTCGCTCGCGGCGATACACAAGTCCCCCTCGTTCTCCCTACTCTCGTCGTCCATCACGACGACGAACTCTCCCTTGCCGAACGCTTCCAGAGCTTCTTCGATCGGGTCGAAGGAAAAGTCGGAAGTGGAAGTTGAAGTGGATGCCATAGTATTTCGGTTTAAGCTATGATTTTGCTTTAGACTTGGAGGAAGCGAGATGAACCGGTTCTGATTTGGGATCTAGGTTATAACGAGGAGCTTTTAGCTGGTATCAATGTGATGGTGTTGATGATAGGGACGACGATGATAGTTGAGATGATATTGCATGAGATCGATTGATCATGCAACCCTCAACCCGCTCTCGACTTTTTGCTCACGCCAACTTTGCTGAGTCACGCGGATCGAATCGAATTGGTCACCGTTCACACAACAACCTCGACAACTTGGTCCATGATGCCCATGCCAATGCCAATCTCGTCGTCGTTACATTGTTCGTCATGTAGGTTCCACAAAACACACAAGATCTGCCCTCCCCCCAGACATCCTCTCTAGAGCGAAAGAGACCCCTAAGTCTACTCGGCGGCAAAGGCGGAAGCGTCGATCACGTCGTCTACACGCAAGATCATCCTGACGACCTGGGTCGCGAGCAGGAACTGTTGACGTTTCGAGATGAGCGGGTCGTATACGTGTTGCTTCTTCATGTCTATGGTTGGCGCAGCACGTTCAAATTAGAAGCATCAGCCTAAGCAAGAATACCACGTTTTCGGCGGGCGACGACTAACCGTTCTCTCCTCGTCCCATACAATCGATACCCAATCTCGGGTTCTGCTCGGTGACCTGCCTACTCTTGACATCCGCCAGAGTATCAATCGGGCTCAACCCCGAGTTCTCGGCGAGCGCGAGCGGGACAGCGTCCAGAGCCTGAGCGAACGCCCTCATCGCGTACTGCTCGATCGACGGGATCTCGTCGGCCTTCTTGGCGACGGCGATCGAGGCGCAGATCTCGGCCGCGCCTCCTCCGTAGACGACCCGGTTGTCACGGACGAGGTTTCTGACGACGCAGATGGCGTCGTGCAGAGCTCGTTTGGCCTCGTCGATGATCTGTCAGGATTCAATTTTCCAAGCTGATCAGTATGCGAAAAGGAGACATCCCGCCATCGCACGAGCCGACGGACTGACCATCTTGTTGCTTCCCCGGACAAAGATGGTAACAGCCCTCGTGTTCGCACATTCTTCGATGACCAACATCTTCTCCCTCGTCGTCCCAAACGAGACCTCCCTGACGATCCCCGCTTTACCCAACTTGTCCGCCGTCAAGTCCTCGAATCGAGGAACGATCCTCCCGTTGGTCGCGATCGCGATGAGCTCGATCTCTGGTCCACCGACCCATCGGACGGCGGGAAGGTCGTTTTGCATCAACAAGTGGTTGGCTTCGTCGTCGAAACCCCATTGACAGATGACCAGGTTGGCACCGGTGTCCTTGACCCTATAAACATCGAGAAAGACTGTCAGCCCGTGTTCACATCACGGAGACCGTCATGAGAGCCAGCGACCCACATCTTGATCATGTCCAAGAACTTTTCCCTCTCATACTCTCGCAGCTTCTTGTACTCTTCCACGCTCTCGATATCCAACTTGTGCTTGGTCTTGGGCCTGGGAGGCTCGAACGGACACGTCAAGATGGCCAACTTGGCGTCCTTGACCGAGGAAGGCATCTGCGGGTGAGACATATCCTTGTCGACGACGACACCCTTGACCAGCGTCGTGTCTTCGAGGGAACCTCCGACCTTGCCGTCGACCTTGATCAGCTCGAAATCGACGTCCCGACGTTCGAGGTCGGCTACCGAGAGGACGGCGTCGACGGCGATCTGGGCGAACTTTTCGTGAGCGATCGAGACGCTACATAAGAACAGGTCAAGTGGGATCAGCTTGAATTACTTCTTGTATCGTTACACGAGCAACCTGTCTTACATCTTGCTTCCCAAACTGGTCATCGAGGTCTTCAACAAGTTTTCCGTGTTGTCTTTTGAGAACTCGATCTAGCCACCGTACGCCCTCGCATCAGTCACCCTAAACCGATTTCCCCGCAGTTTTGCAAATCGACCACCTACCGTGTCTGCTACCCGGTCCAACTCGGCGATGGCGACCTCGCATGCCTTTTCGTACCCATCGGCGATCCTGATAGGGTGGATGCCTCGGTCCAGTAACGACAATGCCGAGGACAACAGAGCTCCCGCCAAGACTGATAATGGGCATCGTGAACACAAACAGCGTCAGCATTATAATGCCCTGTCAAAAAGCTAATGGACAGAAGACGACCGAAATCGCAACTACGAAACTCACCGACAACACCAGTAGTCCCATCCCCAATCTCATCGTCCTGACTTTTACTGACCTCTACCAACAACTTGGCGATCTGGTGCTCGACCTCCATCTGACCGAGGATCGTCGCTCCGTCGTTGGTCACGGTGATATCGCCGTCGGGGGAGATGAGGATCTTGTCCAGTCCTCGTGGTCCGAGGGAGGATTTGATGATGTTGGTGACTGAAGTGCATTTAGTTGTACTAGTCAGTAAGCGGAAGGCGGTGGAGAGAAATTGTGCGAGGAGAGGTACCTGATCGGGCAGCCAGGATGTGACTCTATAGGTATCATAATTGTCAGCTTCTTCACGAGCCCGTTACAATCTTATTGAAGGACTTACTCGGATAGCCTCCAGACCATGAGTTCGGACCTTCTTTCCTTGCTCACTACAAGTGATACATGACATCAAGAAAAGCTTAGTAAGATGAACATCATCGGCGAAGCCAAGCTGTCAGGGCGTGTGCTTACCGGACGATGATGAATGGCCGGCCATTCTAAGGAGACAGAATCAAGAGCAGATCAGTAAGAGTATCTTTCATATAAACAATCCAGTGGTCACAAAGGTCGAGATGGTTGCTGGAACGAGGTATTGATTCCACCGAGCCTTAAACTAGCTCCCCCGTCACCAACAAGCGAGCCCATGCGACTCCTCCAACCGCCTCGACCACTGTCTCGCCCCTTATAAAGACCCTTCTGACTCACTTCATCAGTGGCATACACTGCCTGCCCCGGGTTGATATCGCTCATAGACATTTTGTAGGATAATTCGCGTTCAAGGAGAAAGAATGTAGATTGATCTTGCTTGTCCTATCCCTCGTGTCCCGTTTTTCGTTTCGACGTGGCGATTTGAGCCTTTTTGGGTGCGATGCTTTCAAGAGAGCTATATGCTATTGCCTCTATTGTCACGGGTTGCTATCAGAGTGTTTGTGTTGCGAGAGATAGTTGGTGGTTATCTTAGAAATCGTAACTCATATCGCTCAACCCTCATGATCGCTAGTCGCTCGAAATCATCGACGCGCGTGAGAAAAAGCAAACAGATCGGATCAAAAGTGCATCCGAAGAGCTGAACATGGGGTCATGGGTCATGCATATGGTTGATCGCTACAACTACGACTTGTAGCTCTCTCCTACTAGCTGCTCAGGCCCAGAGTGGTGGCCGTGAAGCCATACCCGCTCCTCCCGGTACACTCGTATTACCACTCGGCTCCTGCTCCTGCTTAAGCCGGTTTAAAGCAATTCTTGTTCAAGAGCCTGACCGAGTTCAACACGCAATCCAACGCTTCCTCCCACCGGTTCTCCGGATCCACACCTTGTTTCTCCTTGTGTCCCCACCCTAAGAACCGTTTTGCATCGAGGATCTCGAGTTCTAGTTCGTGAGAAATCTTCCCTGAACTGCCGTTGTCCTGCTCGGCGAGAAAATCAGCATGGTAAAGGTTCAGTACGTCTGTAGCTGAATGACCCAATCTAGAGAAAACAGGGCATAAAGCTCACCTCGAACGTCTTGACCTGAGTAAGGTCGATCTGGAACAAATTGTGCGTATACGTCACCCGATCCTTCTTCCTCAACCCGCTAAACGGCTCGTCGATGGAAGGCGCTTTACCTGCGATATCGTCATCAGTAGGTCAATCCCCATCAACTTGAGCGTCCGGAAGGCATCAAGGCGGCTCACAAGGGAATTCGCAATTCACGCTGACCCGATAATCGAACGCCTCCATCGGACTATAAACGTGTACGTTCCCGATCTTGACCTTTTGCATGCACTCGACGATCTCGCTCGTCCCGCTCCTCTTTGTCAGTCTCCTCCTGCCCCTGCCGAAACGTTGGACAAAGGTAGGGGAATTGATAGGGTCTTGACCGGGGAGTATGAGTGGGTTGTAGAAGGTATCGTCGGTCCGGTGGTGGGTGGCTTTGATAGGGTAGTAGCTATGGGGAGGGTATTCCGGATGACCGGCTTTGTCGGTAGTTTGACTCGCGCTTTGGTTCAAGAGCTTGTTCATCGATGCGTGAGCCCACTGAGATGAGCGAGCACGAAATGTTCAGCTCGGGGTAAGACATAGCGATCCAGAGACTGAGATGGAGATATCTAGTCTTACTTCTGGCATATCCGACCTAAATCCAATCTCTATCGACCGATCGTCCAACACTTTTGAGAAGCAAGAACAAGCCACAGCGAGATGAACATCTGCTTTCAAAACATCAGAGATGAGAGTTTGCAAGGATCGAGCTTACAAACTTCGGTCTTCACTGGTAACCGTAATCTATCCTTCTGTCCTTTTGCTGTGATATGCCCGAACTTGATCTCGATCTAGAGTTCCCGGATGACACCGGGAGCAAGATAATCAAAGTAACAAATCGACCGTCAGACTCAACCCGAAGGCCAACCCACAGACGGAAAGTCGAACAAGGACTTCCGAAGCTCACCTCGACATTCCCCGGCAAATGCCCACAGGTGACCAACAACCACTCTCCGATCTCCCTACTAACTTCGTTCCTCGGCGTGAACCCCAGTATGCTATGCATGATGATCCTCGGTACAGGTTGATAAGGGCTCCGATTCCGCAGATCGGGATCTTGGACGCCAAGTAGGTAGATCTCTTTCGAACGGTCGGGTAGAGGCATCTGGTGCGGGAACGGGATGGCGAAATCGCCATAGCCGTCGTTAGGGTTGGCGCGGTGAGCTTGAGCGTGTGCCTGATGTTGATGTTGGTGTTGATGCTGATTCTGATGGGGGTTTTGAGGCTGAGGGGTCCCGTTGTTGGAATTTGTATGAGAATGGGGGTTCGAATATCCGTCCTCTAATCGAAGTCGTTTTCTCGACGGCCCCGCCTCAGACTGTTGTCCATATTCCTGTCGACCTTGTTCCCGTCCATCTTGCCCTGTCATTCCATCATCCTGTCTCTCTCGATCATGATTGACGGCATGGGAGCTGTTTCCGTACTGCGGGCTCCCCTCATCGTAACCTCCCGTTGCGCCCCAGCCGTCTTCGTCAGCGAAGCCGTTGTCGGCGGGTAAGGGTTTGTTGTTGAACGGTAGGAGAGGTGACGAATTGGCCGAGCTGTCCGAGTTGCGTGCGTATCCTGGGGAAGGCTGGGCGGACATTGATAACGGCCACGAAGGAAGAATAAGGGGTGTGAAAACTATGGGCAGGCTGATTCGGAACTGTGCGTGTTGATAGAATGATAGTCTGTGCAACTGCATCATCCTCATCACAACTCGGGGATATTGGAAGCTCATCGAACGTCATTAAGGTTACGAAGCAACAGCTTTCACGTGACGACCACACAACCACGGGTTTCATCGCAATCACAATCGTCTCACGTCTCATGGTATTCTTCAAGCTTCAGACTATCTCTTCACTCTACATTCAAAGCATTCTCAACGTTCCCAGTCTTTCCCAGATCATTATTCTCCGATCGGTATTTCCGTAATCCACACGTCTTAAACATGAACCAAACGATTCACAGTCGCGCTTCACGCAGGACCAAGCCCAGGATACCGGTAGCTTGTATCCTTGCACCGCCTGGCTGTTTAGTGGTGACGACGCTCGTCTACAATCGCACACAGAGTGAGCTATCATCAGCCAAGCTCTTGACCATCAACAGAATGCAGCACCGGACTCACCCTTGGTATCGTAAGACGAGTCGATGGAACCCAACAAGAGCTAACCCGGTCAATCAGGGTGATCAGCCACGACATCCCTCGACATTGTCTCCAAAGCTCAACCTCCTCGATATTGGCAGGCCTGCACTTACTTTCATGATCCATCCTTCCCCAGTGAGGTTTTCTAATCGTGCCAAAGAGGGTCTCAGATCAGCCGTAGACTCAAAATATTAGTGATTTCGACTGGATGCTCACCCCCGGTAGTCTTCATCATCTGATCCTGCTCATACTCAAAGTCGGAAGTGACATCGATCAACGCTAAAAGACCCCACCCAAACCCATAAATATCAGCCCGAGTGTCTGTTAACGTCACACAAGGTAGAGGCAGCTTGACTCACGTCCGACAACAGGGTGAGAGTCCAACTGTCCGAGGAACTCTTGAGCCTTCATGTCGTTCCCGACCTGAGCGAACTGGAGGGAGAGCGAGTCGGGGCCGTACTATCGCCAGAGCGTTGTGGTATTGTCAGCACGTTAATCTACAGGCCAAGAAGACAATGCAAGATGGTAAAGGTACTCACGCGGGATCGACGGAGCTCATCAGAAGCCCTCATGACGGCGTTGAAGACTGTTGATGCCGCACACTCGTAAGTAACCCTTTTTTCCATCCACCCCAAGTCCTGACTTACCAGCATCAGCGGGTTCTCCTAAAGGTCATTCACAGTCAGTCTCGAGTTCAGAACTTCTTTAGGTTCGGCTACCTACCTGCGGGAGCTCCATCGGAGATGACGATGACCAAGAGCGGCTTCCTCAACTGACCCGCCCTGGCCGGGTTCAAAAGCATGGGCTGCAAGATCTTCTGGTCGAGCGAGGTTCCGAGCGGGGTCAAGCCGCTGAACCTGATCTGGGAGACGATCTGGGTGGCTTGAGCTTCCGAGGTGACGTGGTTGCCCTGTATGTGTCGAGATTCGATCGATTCGTATCAGTCTATGAGATTTCGAACGATTTGATGGTGAGGTGTCGGAAAGATTCTGTCCTGACCTGAACCTGCGAGTTGAGGAATCGGATCTCGATCCCATCGTGGTCGAACAACGAAGTAGCGAAAGTGACCCTCGACAAGATCCTGCCCGGTTATCAATCCCTCATCATCAGCCCCGGTATCCCGAACTCCAAAACACATCCCTTAACCGAGTTTGTTTTTCGGCGAGCTCCGACTCACATCTTCAAATCCTCAATCCTCTCACCCCCTTGTTCAAACTGCATCGACCCACTATCATCGCACAAGAGCACGACGTCGAACAGGGCGATCTTGACCAGGTCCGCACCGAGCTCTTTGGGGATACGCCATTGTTGGCAGATCTTATCTAGGGCACCGGATTGGGCGATCCGGCTGGAGATCTGGTCCAGTGCGGGAGGGGGGTAGAAGGCTTCGAGGTGTTGCTGCGAGGAACGAAGCGAGGAGGTGTAGAACAATCATGTGCGGGGCGGAGGACGGGTCGCGGATCGCGCAAGCAGAGTATACTCCGATCAGCTTTCCTATATCCTCAGACGACCAACTCTTCCCCCACTCTTCACAACAAGAAAAAGAAAGAAAAGCAAAACCCCGACCGACTCACATCCCGCACACAAGTCTGTAACAAGGTCAAGATCATCCCCTTATCCCCCATCCCACCCTGAGGCTGTCCGTATTGTCCCTGCTGGGGCTGTCCGTATTGCTGCTGAGGAGGTTGGCCGTACTGTCCCTGAGGAGGCTGGGGCTGGCCGTACTGTTGCTGAGGTTGGCCGTATTGACCCTGAGGCTGCCCATATTGCTGAGCAGGTGCCCCATGTTGAGGTTGTCCGTATTGTCCTTGTTGTTGAGGAGGCTGGCCATAAGCTCCAGGAGCCGGAGTAGCCGACTGGTATCCTCCCTGCTGGTGCATCCCTTGAGGAGGCTGTCCGTACCCCTGCTGAGGTTGGCCGTGAGTTTGAGGGGGAGGAGGAGCGCCGTACCCGACGTTCACGTTCGCATAAGCTTTATTGGCGAGCGCTGTCAGTGGGTTTTTGTACAGGTTGGATTGAGGTGGGACGTAGTGAGGTTGGTGAGGTTGTGGTTGGGGGTGGTGGTAGGGTTGGTGTTGGTGGTGAGGACAGATAGCCGGTGAGGGGCAAGTCAGAGAAGAACCGGGTTGGGTTGAGTGCGAGTACATTTGCGGCGAGCCGGAGATCAGACGGATAAGGCGAGACGAAGTGAGCTGTGTAAGGCGAAGCGAAGCGTATGGCGGGGTGGATGAGAGAAAGGGCTTACCCATCTTGGAAGCGAGACCCATTTCGATATAACTGACGGAGCGTTAGGAAGGTTATATAGTCGGAGTAGAGGTAGTCTGGTGCGTTGGTGGCGGCAGTGGAGGATAAGGGGATATGGCGTGTGACCAGGAGCAGATGTCGATTCCAGGACCGAGGAGGATGATATATCCGCAGGCCGCAGTTGATCGTGATCGTCACCGTTACCCCGGACAAGTGACGTGAAGCATAGAACAAAGGAACAAAGGAAAGAGGCATCAGAATCGATCCAGAGTCAAAGGTTCAAAGGCACAGTCAGAAGACGAGGAAAGATCCGCAGCTCGTGTCAGCTGCGCAAGACGAAGCACACACTCGGTTTCATCCGCCGGCGACCCTGCGCTGATCCGAGTCGTCTCTGCTTCGATCGGTTCGTCTACATCCTCCTCACGGATGAAGAAAAACAAGCTTTCCGTATCCTCGGCTCCGTCTTTTCTTTGTTTTTTTTCTTGTCTTGGCTGGCATCTGACTGTGATATCGAAGCTCTGGAACTCGATAGCAGGATCCGTCCTACGTCCTGGCCGTCCTCTTGCTTTCGGTCCCGTTTCACACGTGACGACGATCGACGACGATACCGGGGGAAGACGAGCCGGCTCTACCTACTCACCTAGTAGAACGTCTCGAGCGAAGGAGGTTGTGATCCGTTCGAGAAGCTGAGAAGGCTGGGTTGCGAGGTCAATGATGAATAGATTCATGACCTCGAAGGTGCATGGAGTGGGGGGTCATGTGCTGTGCACCCTGCGTGCCATGAGCCATGAGTCATCGAACGTGTCGACCCGGATCATCGGATGCAAATTCAGAAGTTGCTTCCGGATAACGTAACGGTAGCAGCGGGCAAGGAGGTCGCCGGTCGGCTCGTATTCTTGTAATCGTTCAGATTAAATCAGATTGCTCGTCACGGTCTCAGAGAGGTTATAGCAGGAGAGACACATATAGGATGTATAGGGTATGACATCCTTCTCGCCTCACCGACTATCTCCGCTTCTAATATTGTAGCTTATGCCTTCTGCTCCTTGATCTTGATGACCACCTCGTCATGTACGCCCTGGAACAACATCTCCCCTTCGTACTCGACCTTGCCCTGTTTCCTTGCCGCTCGAAGGGTGCCGACGAGTGCTTCCACTGTTTATGATAACGGGTCGGTCGGGGCGGTACGGTATAAATGAGAGATTATCGTGAAGATGAGGTAGATAAGGTAGATGATATAGATGGGTTGAGTGGGAGGTATCGCCAAAACGTGGGAACGAACGAATTCCGTCAGCTCTCCATCCCCATTCCCCATCCTCATCTTCCTTCCGAGGGAAACGACCTCGCATCCCCGCTTCCTAGCTCGCTTGACTCGAGTTGAGATTAAAGACTCACATCGATTGGCAACCCGGTCGTCCCTGACGAGTTTCCCGTACTTGACCTGGTCTGGCGTAGCGGGGTCTGCTAGGCGCCGGATCTCTTCCTACCGAAGTCCCATCGTCAGCGATTGTTTATTTCCAGCGTTGATTTTTTTTGTTCGAAGTTGATGGAAGAATGAAGTGGACGTTGATGGATAACGAAGATGAGACATGAGCGGACCGTAAACTAGTAAGTAAGGATCGGCGAGGGTGAGGTATGGACCGGGTGTTCACTTACGATGAGGATGGGGATTTCTTTCTCGGTAGCTACCATCTCGTCTCGATTCTTCTCGCTTCTTCTTTTCAGGCTAGAAATTAGGTGGAGAGGCTAGGTATACGGGTATGGCAGGGAATTACAGGATCAAAATGACAGAGTTACAAGGACGAGAAGCGAGAGAGGATCTTGTACATGAACCAGCAAGTCATCCAAGTCGATCGCCGACCGATGTCCGGATTCAGAAATTGCTCCCGAAACCACGCGAAGCTATACATGCGCATGCCATTCGAGGGTGACCTCCCAGCCGTCATCTTCTCCAATGACATCCTTCCCATCCTGATTGCCTCCCAGGCTATCTTGACGAGGGTCCTCAACCTCAAGCTGGACGTCACTGATGCGCTCGATGGGAAGCGTATACATATACCATCCCTCTCCCAGCCCCGGTCCCGAAATTTCTCGTCGGTCGAATTCGATGGGCATGTCGTCAACCAGGACGATTGGGCCTGGGAGTTCGGGAGGTTGCTGGACGAACACCCCAAAGGTGCCTGTACATTTTACTTGGCAGGAGAGCTTCGTCCGGCCATTTTCTATAGAGGGGAAGGAGGGAAGCTGTCAGCTCGTTTTCACTGCATATTGTGTAAAGGAAAGCGAGACGTACCGAAAGACAGGGACGTCCCTGATACCCCGACGAGCCCAGCAAACTTGTCTACGAGACCGCATACCGCTACCTTGACCTCGACCTTGACCTTCTGAGGGTCTCTCTCGTCACCAACAGCAACTTCAGCCGAGTGGATGGGCATTACCAAGACCGTCTCCGCAGCCAGATGATTCAAGGTGATATGCATGACCTGCCCATCATCCTTCGTCTCGTTGGGGGTCCATACCGCCCAAGCGGAATCGGAACAGTAACCAGGCTTGTACACCATGTATTCCTCAGCCGATAGTGCGTCCGGGAAGGCATCGCGTAAGTCTTGCCCTGTGAGCCAGTCGTCGACCCTGTTACCGATGTGGTTCTCCCGGACGTTCCAACACCCGATGATCGAGCTCTTCATGCGGGGTAGGTAGACCGAAACGACCAAGGCTCGACCTCGACCCCCCTCCCGGCAATTTCTATCGAACAATCGGTTCTGGACTGGTCGGACCGGATCATTCGTCTTCAAGATCACCTGCTCGCCGCTCCGAGTCTGGCCGACGAACCGGTTGATCAGGACCGGATCGTGTTGTCCCTGTTTGTCCGTCAACAGTACCGGACCCGGCATCATAGCTCGAAGGATGGCGTGAAAGACCGGGGCTTCGGATGAGGACATGAACATGTCCCCGTCCGTGATCACGTGGAGGTGTGAGGTGAGAAGCGAAGTGTAGAGGTTTTGAAAGATATGGTCTTGGTGCGGGTTCGAGAGCCAGAGTCGGCCGTAGTCGTCGGTGTTCCTGATGCCGAAATATAGGATGGTCATTAAGTCGAGTTGCAAAGTATAGTGTACCGTTCGGGGAGACCTACCGCATGACGATCTTTCTGCCGTTCGTAGCTAGACCCAATCCGATATCCCCATTGAACATCCTTTCCGAATGACTACACTCCCATCAATCAAGTTCAGCTCGTGCTTCCCGTCATCACCCTTCAATGATCCTCAATCCAAGGCTGGGAACTCACCTCATACAATGCAGAACCCTCCCGGGCCCAAAAACCTCCTCGGCAGCTCGCACCATCCCTTCCCACATCGCCTTCCCACATTCCGCCCCCTCCATCCCATCGAGGATAGACATGCTCGCCTGATTATCCACCTTGATCCAAGAGATACCCTCAGTCTTCAGGTAAGATAACCAGTCTGACCAGAATTCGTATGCCCGGGAAGGTGGAGGGAGGTACCAGACCTTCGAAGAATCAGGAAGATCAGGGTTGGGGTCGATGTACGATATCGAACCCGGTTCGTTGGGGATCCCAGGGAGACCTTCCCGTGAGATTGGGTAAGGGAGACAGCCGTACTTGGCGACTAGAGGGGAGGTGGGGTCGATGGCTTGCCAGAATCCTTGTAGACTACGGTATGAAGCGATGAACGCAGTATCCTGAGTTTCGGTTCTCGCACTAGCCTCTGCGTTATACAGCCGAACGGGAGTGGCTCTGCTGTACTCACGTCATCCACACCCCAACATCCTTCACACAAGGCAACTCCTTCTTGATCATCCCCACCACTTCCTCCAACGAACCCCCTAACCCATCATACGGCTCGAAAGCGAGTAACTTGCGTTGAATCGTGTCCGCCCCTACGTTTCCCGTGTCCGGGTAAGAGTTTATGGATTGCCAACCGGCATCGATGAGGAAGGATTTGATGGGGATTTGGGAGGAGTGGAGTGATTGGCAGAGGGAGGTGAGGTTTTGGATGGTCGGACGGGTAGCTGCAATGAGAGCCGAGGTAAAGTCGATTTTCATAAGATCAAAAATGGGTGGGACCTGGTGGAAGGTGCCGAGCTGAACTCACTTTCGCCCAAGCTGTTCCACGTGCAGAAACTCAGATTTTCCAGGGGACCATGAGAGACCACTTCTTCGGGAGCGGTTGGCTCATAAGTCCGACCTTCCAACTTATGCGCCCATTGCCGACCTATCTCGACGCATCTCTGAATGAGCCGCCAAGGCTGAGCAGCCGAACCCGATCCTCCTTTATCTTTGCTCGATACCGCGACGACGAGCGAAGAGCCGGGATTCTTCTCGGAGGTCACTCTTCTCGCATGTAGTCTGAGCTTGGAGATGGTTCCGTGGTCATTGGAGCTCTCACGGAGAGTACCATGAGCTGAGGTCGAGCTGACAGGGTAAATGGCGATCTGATGCGCAAGGTCCCCCTTTGATCGGAGGAGCAACAGGTAGCACTGTTTGTCCCCGTCCAGCCGGGCCAACTCGACGGGTTCTACTTCGATCCATGTTGCACTATCGAACGGCAACTAGAGTCAGGTGAGTATCGACTCGTTTGACGATGAGACGAGACCGACCTCGACCGAAGCCAAGCCCAACCTGTCCAATCTTGTACGTCGGCGATGACCGGGATGTCGAGGACAAAGGTCGCCTGCTGAATGTCATCGTGGTCGAGAGCGTATTCCTGTTGCCAGATCGACAATGGCGGATGCGACATGTTGACAGTCTGGCCTGGTGTCCATCAGAACGTGGGAGTGATAGAATGATCAGTTTGATCTGCTCGTTTTGAATGTGGGCCTGTTGATCTGTATAGGTACTGAGATCCGTGTTGAGGGTCGATTGTGTCCGCCCTCCTCCCTCTTGTTACGCGTTTCGTCAGATGTTTCACCTTTGATTCGCCATCCAGGCAGCGCCCCCTTCGAGGTCCCTTCAGGGACAGTCGTAGGGATTGCGCCAAACTTTGACTATTTTCACCCACCTTCTACCTCACTATACTCATCACGTTGTTTTCTGTCCTCGCTTTCGTCAGTACACGGTTGATAAAGCACAAAGAACAGTGATGGGAGACAAGTGCCAACTGTCTATGTTGTTTGCTCCATCACAGGCGGGCGGAGGTGAAGGAGACCCGAATAGGGAGAGGGGGGGACGCTTATCGACTCGTTCTCATGTCTCAAATCTCTCACATCATACTTGTTGTTATTGTAGAGCCGAAGAATCGCTGCCGTGGCAGAGAGGAATGTGAATCAGGCGGGAACGATCATCGACATACGAGTGGTTTGCACATTCGCAATCGCTTGAGTTTCTGAAGCCCTACCGTTATAACTGTCAGGTATGCTGAAGGTAAGGATGAAGTACGCCTATCGAATTAAGACATTCCCTACTACACAGGCATTAGTCTCTCAAGCTTAAGCTACAAAAGATATCCGCCTTTGAACAATTCTGTAACGCCGGTACAGCAATCTCATGGGGTGCGATTGTTATTTGATGCATGGAAAACTGTTCTACTCGCTGGTTACAAAAGTAGCATAGCCATGACACCCGTCAGCGATCTGGGTCAGGACTATCAGTGGAAGCCGTTCGGGTTTGGGGTCCATTTATCCTTTTTCCCCTTGTACCATACGTCGCAGCAAGACATGTGCTGGAGGGGCTCTGGATGTAGCATAACGAGTTGATCATAATAATACTGATTGTAAGCAAATCTTGCGATGGGTATGCAAGTTACTGCAGATCTCGTTTCTTGTCACTCACCCTTGTACGCCTCGATCTGATCCAAGCCTTCGAGAGATTCACTACAAGAGCTCCGATTTACTCCAATGTACACTGACGCCTTGGCTGTACCATTGTTATCGAGCTTTAAACGATATTTGCCGTGCCAGATCGAGCAGACTTTGGTATCCTGATCGTATTCGAAAGATTCGTTCCACCAATTCCAGGACAAAGATTGGTTATCTAGATTCCTATCGATCAGCCTCGCTGTACCCTTGGCGATATAGACTGTATGGCCTTACTGTGGATTAGATCCATGCAAGCGCTCGGTGTCTCGATGTCAGGCACAACAATGGCCTGGAGTAAAAACAACAGCTGAAATCAACGCGGTGATTCGCGATGTTGAAGAGCGCCGCAAGACTCACGGGAGGGGATTTCCACGTAGTGATAATGCCGGTCACGAAAGATCCTACGTCAGACACGTTTTCATTCTTTTCCACGTTGGGGTCTGCACCTTCGCACAGTTCATACTGTTTGATCTCTTCCGCCTGTTCAGCCTTGATCAAAGGCAAGAGCATCAGACAAGCGGAAAGTAGCTTTGAAGTGAGCAACATCGTGGTGACTTAGTCGAGATCTGGGAAGTAGGGGTTGATGTGGGGAATGGGGAACGGGTGTGATCAAGTGAATTGTTTTCTCCAATCGCGATGGTTCAGACCTTCTACACGATAGCTTATGTATCTGAAATTATCAAACGGTGGGTATGACACACTTTGGGAGCGAAATTGCTCCCTTTGACATTCCCCCGAAACTCGACCTTGCCGTCGGTTTCATCTTTCAACGACTCCTTTTCTGCTCCAGCCTTGCATGAAATCTGCTACACGTTACAACCAGAGTCACCGAATGCCATCTCCCTAGGATCGGCTCGCGCTCTTGACACTACTCTGAGATCTCCTTTCGTTATTGAAATGTTTCGGTTTACCTTAGAGCGAAATCTGATGATATCCTCCTCGCTTTGTCGGAACAGCATAGCAGCATCACTCATCGACCATTCCGGCTTTGATTGGTGTGTTGGAGCGTGCTACAGTGTCGGGCGGGTTGCCCCGCGCTACGTATCAGTACCACGTAACATGAGCCATATCACGCGTGTTTTGCCACCAGGTCTTAGGGACGACCCGCAACTACTCTGTACCGGTATGTTCGTCTCGGTTCTGCTTGAACGCAACTCAATACTGTCCTGGCGTTGACTGATCTGCAAGGCAGACTAATAACGAACGGCGAGACCCCACTCGATCCATTGAACGCTCTTAAATCCGTCAATCCGCAACCTCGTACCCAATTCCATTGTTCATTCTTTTTCGCACCCAACATGATGACCGATATATACGCTGCATTCGCCCCGCCCTCATCATCGCCTCATCTACTGAGCGGTCGTAGGAGCATCCCCACCCTTCTTCTTCTTCTTCTTGTCGTCCCTCAACTTCTTGCCCAACAATCCCTTGAGCTCTTCGTCCGCGATGACCTTGTCCGAGTTGACCTTTTCACTGTGGGGGCCCAATTTATTCGATTCCGTTAGCCTTCAAACTCATGTTACAAGCGCGGGGAAGTAGAGGAGGGACTTACGGCGAGTACCAGACGGGGACGGGGGAGAGCAACAGAGGTCCAGCGGGCAACAAGGCCACTGCACAAACGATTTTATCATTTCCCGCATCATTATCGGTATCAGTATCGCTAGCCGCAAAAAACAATCGAGATGCAGAGCACGAAAAGGACTCACGGGTGAAGAAGAACTCGGTCACAAAGGTTCCGGGAGCGGTGTGGACGACATCGTAAGGCCTCAAGAGGGCTACAACAACATGCACAACGAAGAGAATCAGCCACTACGCTCACTCTCCCTCGCAACCCATTGTACACCCAAAAAAAAAAGAAACACCACTGGACTTACCGTGCTGAACGGCCTCCTGAACACCCATCCTCGCCCTTTTCTCATCCTCCAAGACCCTCAACGTGAAAGGGAACGCCCCGGCCTTCTTCTGTACCTCCGAAAAGACCTTTCTCGAAGTCTGCATCTTGAGCTGATAATTCACCTTGGGGTCTCGCTTGTAAATCGTCGTCCTGCTCTCTTCCGTCTTGGCTTTCCCATCCGCCCCGGTCACCACAAGGACATCTACACCCCAGACCTCGCCTTCTTCGAAGGTCTCCGTAGGGTGGTCTCGTCTTTGTTCGGGGGAAGGGTTGAGGATGACCCGTTTGGCGCCGTCGGTGACGTTTTGAGAGTGGGTGCAGGAGAGCATGCCTTCGACGGGGATGCAGGCGTGGTCTTTGGAGATCTGCTGGACGATGTCGGTTATGACAAAGTTCTTGGTGGAAGGTTTGATCGATCGCATCTGCGGAATTCGAAACGACACGACAGCGGAAACACGAGGGTGAGGCAAGGAATAGATCAGCGATCTGACCTAATAATGATACGACACGATGGTGATGGAGAAGCCAGTGCTCAACTCACAGCGACCTGACTAGCCTCCCAAGCAGCCTTCAAAGCATCCGCCTTGACACCCTCCACCTTCTTCCCCTCCCCTGCTCCAACCACAAGCGTCTCAGCGTGGACGCTCGCATACCCATCGATATGCACGCCCATCATGACCTTGACCACATCCCCATCCTTCAAGACCGGTACATCCTTGTCCGAAGGCATAGGGCTGAAGTGGGAGACGACGTTGTTCAAAGAGAGCGAGGTGGGGAAGGCGATTCCCTTGGGGATAAGGGCTTTTTTGGAGGTGTAGACGGTAGAGGCTTGTTGGACGATCAAGGCGTCTCCCCTGCACGATCATCGTGTCGAAGAGTATCAGACGGAGACAAAGGGCACATTCAAAAAGACATTGACACATTGTCAGCCATCCCCCATCCGGACAACCCCGAAACCCTCAATCTCCACCTTGAAACTGAACTCACTCGTTACAGAGATCGAGCACCGACTTGCCCTCCACAACAGTAGGGATAAACTTTTTCAAGACATCCCCCAAGATGGCCGAAGCGGTCTGATACTTGGTCAAAGCGTCGCTGCTGAGTTTCTCCTCCTTGACCTCGGCCTTGGCGTCGGCGGCGGGCTCGGCGGGCTTCTTGAGATCGAGTTGCGGGGTGGCCATCGTGTGTGTTGTGTTTTGTGTTGTGTCTAAGGTTGTGGGAGGTAGTAGGTGGTGAATTGTTAGAGGTTTCGATCTTGTGACTTCCCCCACGTCGATATGCAAAACGATGACGAACAATCGAATTCAACAAGCGCAAAAGACAAGGGGAAGTCGCGCTTCTAGTTGGCGGGAGGGGCTCAATGACGGCATTATCGATAGTCTGCCGTAAACAACGCAGACTATAGCCCTTACGTTAGATCGACGCACGTGGCGTCCGCAGCGCACAACTTGGAGCTTGGCGAGGGGTGCGCTTGATCAAGGATCAAGGAGCTCAAAGGCTGCACATGAAGATATTGTCAAACTGAGGCGAGGAGCGTCATATTTGCCTGTTAGCCAACAACGAAGACTGAGTGAAGCCGGACAGTCACTTCGCCACGGTGGGAAAGCCTCCCGCCATCCCTAGGCAAGTTGGCTGTGTCGATCTTTCGACGCCAGAAGCGATCGGCTGGAGGTATCAAAATCTCTAATATCCTCGCCGCCTAATCGCTCCATCGTAGCCTTGTAGATGGACGAAAGCGGGGAACCCGATCAAGTCGTTCCCAACCCCGTCGTTTCACCAACATAACGCGCGCAGTCTTCTTCCCAGATCCTCTCAGCGAGCGTCCGTCTGAGTAGGCAGGCAGAATTGAGCAAGTTCAAGCAAGGGCGCAGGTCGTTTTCGTTATTTGGGCTGCGCCCCAGGGAGTCTGTAGAAGCACTTCGCTGGTGGAGTCGATGAAACCGAAACGAGGCCCTGACCATCGATATCAAATCACGTGATACCTGCCAATTGAAACAAGTCACGTGATCCTTCCCAGCCTCACCGTCTAGCAATTCTCTTCCCCCGCTGTGGCTCGTCTTTCCCAACAAAATTCTCTTTTCTACAAGTTCACTTTGCGTTCAACAGCTTTGCTTTTCTTCATACATCGGCTACACGCCATACATCACCAGATCCACTCAATATCTTGTCAGAAGAATTGTGAGTACACCGTCTGTATGCCCTGGCCCCGTCTCGTCAATCTTTTCTCGGGCAAAGATTTCGAGACAAGGCAAGCTCGTCTCACGTCCAGTCCTCCCTCGAAAAGCCCGACAAAATAACCAAACCAACACAAACCAACAAAATAACAATGATGAGGCTTTCAAACCATAAACAATAGGAAGTGCCGAATGACCCCCTGTCGAATCCACCCGGGTTCTTCCGGTCCCGGACGAGCTCATGCTCTTCCTGGATACCTCTTTCCTTTTATGCAGACTCCCAACCTCCCCACCCGATCCCCGCGTGCTCTCCTTCTCGAAAAACCTCTGCTTCTTCCGGCGCTTTCCCCGCTCCTTCTCGGAGGAGTGGGTTGAGAGTGTAAGAAGAGGTGTTTGGTCTTTCGGGAGGTCGAGAGCGTGTTTCGGGGGTTGGGGTTTGGGGTAACGCGGAGGATGGGGAATGGGCGTAGGGTTTGATTTTAAACCGGTTCTCTGAAAAATTCAACACAACACCTTTTTTCTCCTTTTTGTCGTGGTCGGGATTTCGGTCGTGGTTCGAAGAGTCTGGAGGACGAATCGCTGATCAGCTTGTCTTCGCACATCTTTACGTTCCTCAACTGCACCTCCTGCGTCCTCAATCGACGTGCCGGATCTAGATCAAAAGAGCTGCACGATGGCCAAATCAAAACCCTCCAAAAAAGCGCTCTCCAAAGCTCGTCGTCACAACCCTATCCGTGTCCCGGACTCACACCTCCCTTCCGGTTCTTCCCGTGTCGAAGGCTCCACCTCTAACAACAACAATAACACTTCCGGCTCATCACAACAACTCCTCCCGGTCCTCCAAAAACTAACATCCTCCTCCCCCTCCGACCGAGCCTGGTCAGCATCGACTATCTCCACGCTAATCTCTAACGACCCTGCGACGAGGCGGTTGTTCTTGGGGAAGAACGTGTTGGAAAAGTTGGTCGGTCTGTTGAGCGATGGGGTGGGTAGTGTACGGGTGGAAGGGAGTGGGGCTTTGAGGTGAGTCTCGAAGTGGGTTTTGATCGGGTTTGGGTTTGGGTTTTTGTTGGTGGTTCGTCTGGGGGCTTTGGAGGTCGTTCAGAGATGGGTCGGGATGGGATGGGCATCGCCGACGAAAGGGAGGAAAGATGAAAAGAACAAGTTGTATTGTATACCTTAAAAACAAACCATGCGGATGCCCATCCCAAGATCAAATCCTATCCTATATCCCAGCGAATTTCTCTTTCTTGCTTGATCCACTTTCGAATGTACAAGGTTGTTGACCCCCCTCCCGGTTCGTGCGTCGGTTGAAAACAGAAATTTGGCTATCGACGGTGGACATGAAGTGTGCGGGGCGATGTATAACAAGCAGGTTTTGGTACCTCTTCAGGCTTTGGTCCCGCAGGTGAGTTTCAGGATCTTGCTGTGCTGCTTGCAAGCCGTCGCAAGGAACGATCACGTCAGAGGGAAACATAGTATCACGAGTCTGATCCCATCGTTTCCCTCTCTGCGACACAGCTATCAGAGCGTATCCAATTGATCTTGACCGAACAACCTCTGCCGGCTGGGTCGGAGAAGACGGAAGGGTACTTGGATGGGAACCAGGTGTTTGCCCTGGCGGAGAACGTCTTGACTCTGTTTTGGTGCTTAAGGCGAGCCTGAGATCAGTTTCTTGGCTGTGGAAGAAGCAAGTGCTAAAGCGACGTCACCTGACCTCGACAGCGAGACCAGCAACAAGATCCTCAACGCCTTGAACCAGATGCCTGGGCTCCCCTCGTTCCTCTTGGCGTTCATCACGCATCGTGAAAAGATCCCTTCCGGAGCCGTACTCGCCGCCGCCCAGTGTCTCTATGCTATCACCCTCGATAACCCGCCCTTTAATGCGGGGTTGCCGGGCACGGTCGTTCAGGACCTCTTGACCGTCGTTCAGAGCGAACAACTGAAGATGCTTGAAGAGCCCACTGCCGTCCCGGCTACAGGCAAGGGCAAGGCCGAGGGGATGGAGGTCGAGACGGAAAAGACCCAAGCGGTCCAGGTCGTCAATGAGGACAAAAAGTCCTTGCTACGAGTCTTGATCGCCGGGGTCTTGCACAACCTGAACGACGATGGGATCTCCACCATCGAAGGCCTTGACAACCGGATCGTCGGTCCGCTCCTCCGACCGGTGCTCGACGTCGATCTCGCTCAGGTCGCACAAGAGGTCGTCAAGACCGTACCCGAGATCCCGACCGTCTCTGAAAAGGACGCCAAGGAGATCAAGCATATCAAGGCCGACCTGAGGTCTCCGGCGGAGATCAAGCTGGATGGGATCGAGAAGAGGTTGTCGACGTTGATGGTCGCGCTAGAGGTGATGACGAGCGTCTGTGCCGGGCTTGTGGATTCGGAAGAAGCTGTCGGCGGCGGAGACGTAGAGGAAGAGGAGGAGGAAGATGATGATGATGAAGAAGAGATGGACATGGACGGAGATGCTGACGCCGACGAAGCGTTGATCGCCAAGGGTCGCGAGCAGGTCGTTGACGATTCGATGATGGTCGAACAACCCAAGAGGACGGGATCGACCTCGCTCGATGGGTTGATGGGATCCAACATGCACACCCGTCTGTTCGCTCTGGCTCAGGCGACTGAGATCTCCTACCCTCCCGCTTCGGGCGGACTATCCTTGCACCCACCTTCCACCGCTTTCCTCTCGTCGATCCACCTGCGTGCACTCGAAGCGCTCAACAACCTCTTGCTCACCATCTCGTCGTACGCCCCGACGCCCGCACCACCCTTGCCGAGCTCGGTGGACGATATCGCATCGTCCGACCGAAAAGCCCGGGCCGAGTGGAAACATTTCGTCGGGTCGTCGTTCACCAACCTCAACGAACTCTGGGAGGGATCGTTCGAGATCGCCAAGCAGCTCATCGGGGCCGGGCCGGAGGGGTCGACTTCTGGGAAAGAATTGTTGGAGATGAAAGGTCAGGAGGTTAGGAAGGACGCGTTGGAGGTGTTGGCCGGTGTGTGGGTGGGGCTCGCGCGGATCGGATCATTTGGTGGATTAGTGAGTCCAGCGTGAGCGTCGTTCTTCTCTCAGAACCTTGGCTGACACTTTGCCCGCTTTACTAGAACATCACTCCGGAACAGATCACCGGGCTGACCCAGGTCTACTCGCTTCTTCCTTCGACCAACCTGAAGACCCGTATCATCTCGGCTCTAGCGACCTTGTCCATGACGGAAGGTCTTCCCGTACAACAGAACAAGGTCATCGGGGATCTCTTCATCTCGCTCGTCAGCGCATCTCCACCCGTCTCGACCGAGGAGATCGTAGCCGCGCTCAATGCCATCTTTGACGTCTACTCGGACGAGAGGTGTTCGTATAACGAGGTCTTTACCGCGGGGGGCTATCTCGCTGCGCTTACTGCCGTGGTCAGCAAGTGCAAGAGCATGGTATGTCGACTCAGGCGGTAATACTAATGACCTTGGGCATGCGTCGCTGACATGAAGCTGTTCATATCTTCGTATATTAGACCCGCAGCGTGGACAAGCGCAAACAGACCGAACTCCGAGCGCAGGCTGAAGAGGCGTACGAAAACCTCGTGGCTTTCATCAAGTACCGACGTAGTGTCGCCTGATAAGTGGAACCGCAGATCTCGGAAGAATGTCCTGTACATCTGCATCGAGATCGTGTCCAGGGTGTAATGACTATCGCGCTTCATCTTGTATTTCTCTCTCTCGCTGTATCCGATGACACAGACTGGCGCCATGGATACTGTCTGACCCCGTTGAATATCGTGCCATCCTACCGTTCTTGTTCCGTCGAACGTGTCCTTGACTTGGCCCATCTTAAATCCAAGTGCTCTCTACAGGATCCGTCGACGCCCGTCAAAACCCCCGCGCAACCCGGGTTAACTCCCCGTCCCACCCTTAGCAGCGCGCTAAATGCGGCAGTTGCCTCTCAGCTGATCTCGCTTCGAATCGCAGATAGATCGACGTCATGTGCATGTGTGTACCCGAACACTGCCCTGCTGGATGGCAAACTTTTGCATGCTACAGTATGGGCTCGGCGAAAGTAAGCATGTGGGGAATGCCGTCTATCTCGCCCCTTCTCCTCTTGCGTCACCTGTGTATCCGGCCGGTAAGGAATGTGACGACAATGTTCGCCGGCGGGCGAGATCATTGCAAAGAATTTGAGTGCGACGTCGGCCATCTTGCAGCCTGTCGACGGGCTGGTTATAGGCAGATGAAGTCCTCCAAGGGAAAGATAGCATCCATTCCCAGTCGCTACAACCTCGAATATCGATGATATAGCCTACCGTATTCTCGATCACAACAGTAGATATCCTTACGGCACAGCATGAACAACGTCACGCAGAACGCTGCTCAGGCTCCCAAAGCTGTCGCCCATGTAGCCACCGCCGCTCCCAAAGTCGCTGGCCGACAAGCAGCACAAGCCCCAACCCTAGCCAACAAACGAGCCAGAAGCTTTGCTCGCGCCGTCCACCGTCCCTCATATGTCAGGACCACCGACCCGGAAGATTGTGAAAAGGGTATCATCGGCGGTGGCAAGGGTTGGCGAGTCCGGAGTGCACAGGAAGGGAAAGCATCAGAAGACGAAGAGACCAGGATCGGTTCGGAACAGAGTTCGAGGAATGAGAAGGAGAGCGACCCTTATGATTTCCCTGCGACGTATACCAAGAAATCAAAGGACAAGGAGGGGAACGAGGTCATCCTCCTAAAGTTCGTCGAGGGAGACCGAGAAGACCCTCTCAATTGGTCGAGGGCTTACAAATGGTAAGTACCAGATTGTTCGTTGCCTGAAAAGGATTCGATCTTTACATCGATCCGGCTGGACCTGCAGGTATACAACGGGACTACTATGTTGCATGACCCTGTTCATCGTAAGCCCTTATCGAGAGCAATGTCATCCCCTAACCTGGACTGACTTCGACAACGCACTTCAGGGTCTGGCTACGACATCCTACAGTAGCAGTATTGGAAGCATGACGCGCCAACTGGGTGTTTCAGAGCTGGCCGGCCAAGGAGGTCTGACCACCTTCAACGGAGTGTGAGTAATCGTCCCGTCGACTCTATGCATGCGCCGCGTTCGCGACTGACCGGTACTTCTTTTCGATTGCTCGCTATCATGCAGCTGCGCCATCGCCCCTCTGATCATCGGACCGCTCACCGAGGTCACCGGTCGACGATACACATATATCTTCAGTCATATGTTCTTCGTTCTTACTTTCTTGCTGCTCGCCCTGAAGGTAAGCCTTGGCTCGGGTCTGATAGGGTGATCGGAAAGACGCTTACCTAGTTGAAAATCAGAACAACATCGCACAAGTTTTGATCGGACGTGGGATCTTGGGGATGTTCGGTAGTGTCGGGACGATTCTCGTAAGCATAAGGCACTTCTCACCAGTACCTGTTCTTCTCTAAGCTCAATCGTTATCGTGTACAGGTCGGAGGAACCTTCGGTGACATCTGGAAACCCGTCGATCGTACCGTTCCCACAGCACTCTTCTCCTACGTCGCCATCTTCGGCACCGTCGCTGCTCCCATCTACGCTGGATTTGTAGACGAATCTCTCGGACCATGGTGGCAAGAATGGATCCAGATGATCCAGAACGGAGTCCTTCTCGTCGTAGTCGCCTTGACGCTGAAAGAGACTAGAGGAGATGTCAAGCTCAAGAAGCGAGCTAAGCAGATCAGGAGAATCACTGGGGATGATCGGTACATTGCCGAGATCGAATTGGAGGCGCGGAACTTCGCCGATCTGTTGGTCCAGAGCAGGTGAGTGTGTGGGTGACTGGTGCTCCTCATCGCTTGCGAGACTGACATTCATTCGATATGAAGTGTCAAAGCCATCCATCTATTGATCACCGAGCCCGTCCTCTTCGCATTCGGTCTTTGGTAAGCGCATCCGACCGCGCCCATGTCTGGCGTGGCGCGTGCTAACCAATATTCGTATATTTCTGCCTCGCAGGATCGCGTTCGCTTGGTTCACTACCTTCGTCTTCCTCTCCGTCATCCCTATCACTTTCGAGGAAAAGAAAGGCTGGAGCCACGGGATCGCCGGTCTTCCCTATATCGCTCTTTGTATCGGTGTTTCTATCGCCTTTGGGGTTAACTTTATTAGCGAACGGTAAGTCGCAGCCACGTTTCAGCGACGCAGCGAATGATATGCGAGGCTGACAGCTCAATCATTCAAACAGAATGTACCGACGCAAGCACGAAGAAAGCGGGGGCAAGAACGTCCCGGAAGCGCGATTGTATCTTTCGCTCTGGTTGGGTTGGACCCTTCCTGGCGGTCTTTTCATCGTAAGTATTCATCGCAAGGGTATCCGTCAGTAACATTGCTGATACCCATCGCCAATTTCGACATCAACCATAGTATTCTTTCACTCAATATGAAAGGCTTCACTGGATCGGACCCTGTTTCGGGCTAGTCCTTATCGGATCCGGTATCTTCAGCATCTTCAACGGGGTCTACGACTACACCAACGACTCTTACGGGCAACAAGCGAGTTCCGGAATCGCGGGACAAGGTCTCATGCGTAACATGTTGGCCGCCGTCGGACCTTTGTTCGCTTCGCAGATGTTCCACAACAGTGAGTCGTTTCTTGTCAAATTCCTGTCAAATACCATGTTGCTGATCGGGTTGTTCGATCGCGCCGCAGTGGGATCGCAATACGCTGGCCTTCTGATGGCATTAATCGCGACTCTGTTGACACCGATCCCCTTCATCCTGTTCAAGTGGGGGCCCACTTTGAGGAAGCGATCCAAGGTGGCCTCGCAATACACGGATTGATCCAAACGTCGGCGAGATGTATGAGCATGATGAGACGATATAATAATGACCCTCGATAAGGCGATCCTTCTTGATATCGTCAGATCAGCCTTCTTTTCTGATCAATCACGCAGCCCCTACGCCAGAGATCTACGCCTAATGTCCTTGATCAAACTTGATTGCGCCTGTCATAGACGCTGCAGCCTTTTCGGGCACGATACTGTAGCCACTTTGGCTTTGACGCATGGCAAACAAGGAGCGTAACAGCACATTAGACAGGTGCAAGGAGAAAAGTATTAACACAACCAAAAACAACACGCTCGAGATACAGCGCGAATATGGGTACAACATGGTAAGATTTCACAGATAAACAGAAGCAGACTGGATCTTTTACGCTACTTTTAGTCGGCTTGACGATCTTCGGACTCCCGGTTCGACTCTTCGGTGTTTGCAGGATCGGGGACCTGCTCCCGGCGGGTACAGCTCTCCCAGAAGCTGCCTTCATCCTTCTGATTAGGGTTCAACAGGTGCAGTCCGTAAAAGAGGTGGGCCACATCTGACAGTCTGCCTCGCTCGTCCGAACTGAAAACACCGGCGAGCATATTCATGAACCCGGCCCTGCTATCATCCCATTCATACCCGATTGTCTTCTCGTACCATAGGTGGACCACATGAATCTTGTCTTCGTCAAGCGCCCGCAGCATCTCGCGCTCGAAAGCTTTGAAAGAACGGTCTTCGCGCCCTGCGTATGACTGGTGTTCGTTGATCTGTTTCCAGTTCTCCCACGACGACGCCCGCTTCGCCTCTTTGTCACGGAGGTACTCTTCCCAGCCCTGCCAGAATTTGCCTTGCTCATTCCGACCTTTGTCTCGATGTAGGCTGGCCATGTGGCTCAAGACTTGTCTAAAGTTGTAATCAGGGTTCACTCGGAACAGGCAATTTTCAGATCCGGCCTTGCATTCTTCCCAATCGTCGCCAATCGTGAAGGAGTACCAATGTTGGATTTCGTGAATCTTGCGCCTGATGTCCGCATCGGTCATGTTCCCGTCGAATCGAGCGAGAGTGTATTCTTCTATGGGGTGACGTGACTGCCTCGTATTACAAGTACCCGCATAAGTGCTTTGCAGGGCCTCGTGTAAACTTTTCATTAGGATTTGCTGATCTTCCTCTGAGGATCTCTCGCAACGAGCCTCATAACTGTCCACGATGCTGTACCATCCCGTTCGCTCAGCATCATCCGGTTCATGGGTCACGATGATCGAAAAGGCTTTCAGAATGCTGGGCTCGTAGGTTTGAATGGTATCGATCGAACCCGACATCGTGATAAGCAGATAGGTAGTCTGTAGTATCATTGAAGACTCCAATTTCCTCGCCTTTTCTCCCCAGCTGTGGCCATCTTCCCTGCCTGTATATACGCTCTTGGCTAGGAGGGAGATATCAGATGGCGGAATAGAACTCTCCTGTGTGTTCAAAGAGCATATCATATTCTTCAATGTTGCCCTGTGCTCCAGAACTATCCTTCTCCCTCGATGAATGTTTCCTTTGACGGCCTGACGGCATCGTTTCATGCAGTCGTGTGGCGCGCTCGGCAGTGCATGATCGATATTCCTGGTCGCTCTACTACTGCGGGCACTCGAAGTGATTCATGTGGTCATGTTTTGCTTTCTGACTTCTCGATTACTATCTCGAGGTGTTAGGTGAATTGCGGTGATGCATCAAACATTCGTTTTTTTGCAGACTGAAGGACACGCGGAATGCACAGTGAACGGAATAAGATTACAACACAGTATACGCCAGACGCAACAAAGCGAGATTCAGTTTTCCGTAGGCAATCCCTTACGCTACTGCTCATCGAGGCTGTCGATCGTTAATTCAGCGATGTCGGTTACCTCATCCTGCTCCGCTTCTCGATCGTCCTGGTAGTTCTTCCAGAACACACCACCTTGTCCCCTTTCTTTTTCGATATCTCTGAAAAGTTGAACGATCTTCTTCTTCTTGACTTCTCCAGGTTTCTCGTGATCTTTCGTGATCTCGATGAAACCATCTATACTCTTGAGCAGGTGACGTTTGTTGCGAGAGATCGTTTTCTTGTAGAAAGCAATGCATAATTGCAGAAGCTTCTCCTTGTCGTTTGCCGCCTTCTCCCACCTGGTGTCAAGGTGGGCTTGGGTTGGACCTATCTTCGCCTGGACAAGGTCGTCGAAACATTCGGCGACAAGAATGAGTTCCTTGGTATCGAGATCCTGCATCTGCTTTCGGCATCTATCGAATACCTGCTTGGCTTCAGCCAGATCCCAGTGTTTCAATGCCGATAGTGGGGGAATCGTATCGATCGTCTCGCAATCGGAAACAGTCGTATCTGTTGGATATCGAGTTGATCACCGTTGTATAGTTTGCATGAGGATAAAATATACAAGAGGGGATCATGAAATCAGACCAGAATGGTCTGCTATATATATTATTCTGGTAGGTGGCAAGGTGCTGCGGTTTGCGGTTTGCGGTCTGCAGTTTGCGGTCGCAAGTTGCGGTTTGCGGTCGCAACTTGCGATTGCGGTCGCAACTTGCGACAGTGGTCGCAGATTGCTAAGCGAGTCGCAGATTGCTAAGCGAGAACAAAAGGAAAGGTGCGAAGAGTGGATGTGCTTTATTGTTCCATGCGGTCTATTGTTCTGGGAGAACAATAGACGTGCGGGAGAACAATAGGATTCGACACTCCCCCTCACTCAAGCGTCCTTTGCGAAAGAGGTTGGTTTTCCGCTGAGACCCATCCCGGTGACAAGGTGATGGAATTGGTGATGGGCGAGACCTTTGGTGAGAGCGTCGGCAAGGTTGTCTTGAGTTGGAACATGGGAGAGTTCAACGGTGTTGTCGAGTACCTTCTCCCTAAGATAGTGGTGTCTCATGTCGATGTGCTTGGTGCGATCATGAGCAACAGGATTCTTGGAGAGTTGAATGGCGGCATTGTTGTCGTTGAGAATGGCGAGGGGACCAGAGACCGGGTGACCGAGAGATTCGAGAAGAGTGCGGAGCCAGACTGCCTGCCGGGTAGCATCAGCAGAAGCCATGTATTCAGCTTCAGCGGTTGAGAGAGCTGTGGTTGGTTGTCGTCGGGATTTCCAGGCTACCGGTCCTCCGAAAGCACGGAAGAGGTATCCGGTAGTAGATCGGCGAGTGTCCAAGCATCCACCCCAGTCAGCATCGGCGTAGCCCAGGATGATCCTTTGACCAGAGGTAGCATCGTAGGTGAGGCAGAGTTCAATGGTGCCTTGGAGGTATCGAAGAAGATGTCGAGCAGCATGGACATGTTGCTTGTTCCACTTGCTGACGGTCCGAGCTAAGACTCCAGCGGCATGAGCGATGTCGGGCCTGGTAATGGTGGCCGCATACATGATCGATCCGACCATTGCGGGATATTCTTCATGAACGGCTTCCTGATGTTCAGTGTCGGTAGCAGGAAGAGACCGGAAGCCGGAAGGAAGAGGAGTCTTTGCCGGTTTGGAGTCGAGCATGCCAAACCTTTCCAGGACCGCCTGTACGTAGTGTTCTTGAGAGATGTAGAGTTTCCGGTTGGGCCTGTCTCGGAAGACGTTGAATCCAAGAAAGTAAGAGACCGCTCCTCCGTCAGAGCACTCAAATCGGTCGTTGAGCTTGGTCTTGAAGTCGTCCAGTTCCTGACGATTGTTGCAGGCGATGAGTTGATCATCAACATGGACGGAGAGAATGAGAAGGGTATCCTTGGTTGATCGGATGTAGAGACAGGAGTCGGCCGGAGAAGGAGTGAGACCGAGAGATCGAAGGAATTTGTCAAGAGCCTGGTTGAAGCAGCGAGGTGACTGTTTGAGACCGTAAAGTGATTTCTGAAGCCGGAGAACCTTGTTGGCAGGGATATTGCTGCCCTCGGGAGGTTCAAGATGGACGAGTTCCTCTAGTTCTCCGTTGAGGAAGGCGGCCTTGATGTCGACCTGATCACAGTCCATGTCAAGGTAGTTGACCAGAGCGAGGAAGACCCGGATGGTATCCTTGTGAGCGACTCCCGCATAGAGTTCATTGTAGTCAACTCCTTCCTTCTGCAGAAATCCTTTTGCTACCCATCGAGCCTTGTAGGCGGATGGCTTCCCGGTCTCTCCATCGATCTTCCGGGTGAAGACCCATTTGGCTCGAAGAGGTTTCGATGTAGCTTCTTGCCTATCGATGACAGACCAGACCTTGTACTGATCCATCTTGTCGAGTTCGGCCTTGATAGCCTCCTGCCATTTGTCCCATTCTGGAGATCGGTGGGCTTCCTGAAAAGTTTGAGGGATGGCCGTGGAGATGAGTGCATGGCCACAGATGACGGCGGTAGCGAGGTTTGCAGAGTATCCAAATTTGGCAGGTGGTTTGCGGACTCGTCGGGAGCCATCAGGCAGGACTGGGTTTTCCGGTGTCGGTAACGGTGCAATATCCCATCCTTTGCTCCAAATGCCGGATGACTTGTGTTTGGTCTGTGTAGCCTGTGTAGCCTGATCACTTGGGATGGCCGTGTCATCACCAGGCTGATCAGGTGAGTCGAGAGTATCGGTATTGTCTTCAGCCGATTGATCCTCTTCGGTTTCAGAGTCTGAGTCTGATGTTGGTTCAGGGACTATGTTGATGTCGACCTGAGTGGACTGGATCTTGGTTTCCAGTGATTTGGTGTTGGTGGAAATCTTTGGTTGTTTACCAAAGACCACATCACGAGAAATGATGACCTTTTCGGTGTGGAGATCCCAGATCCTGTAGTTGTCGGTTCCCTCGACGTAAGAGAGTAGTTTCCCTTCTTTGTAGCGAGGGTGAAGTTTATCGGTGTTGTTGTGATCACGGAACCAGAGCTGACAGCCAAAGGGTTGAAGGTGCCGGGAGTTGACTTCACGTTGCCTCCAGAGATCCTCCGGGATATGTTTGTCGGATCCTGTGGGAGCCCGGTTCCTGGTGTAGATGGCGTAATTTGCCGCTTCGGCCCAGAACTTGTCATCGAGTCCGCTATCGATTAGGAGCGTTCTTACCTGATTGAGAATGGTAAGGTGCACCCTCTCAACCCTACCGTTCTGAGCATGAGCGGCAGTTGGAACGAAGTGATGCTCGATGCCCTTTGCTTTGAGGTAGTCACGGAGAGCATGTGACTCGAATTCTCCTCCTTGATCCGATCGGATGGTCTTGACCGTGCAGTCCAGTTGATTCTCAACTAGGTTGATATAGTCGATCAATGCCTGCCGGGTCTCAGACTTCTTCTTGAGAAAGCTGAGGTTGACCTTCCGAGTGTGATCGTCATAACAGGTAAGGAAGTAGAGGGATCCTCCGATGGAAGGGGTTCGAGCTGGTCCCCAGAGATCGACGTGGATAGACTGGAGTGGTTTGCTGGCTCGGATGTTGGAAGCAGGAGCGGGAAGACGAGATCCTTTGCCTTGGATGCAGGCTGAGCATTGGAAACCGTAGATGTCTTTTCCAACTTTGGCCCAGTCCACTGTCTTGTCGAGTCTTCCTTCTTTGCCAAGCTGAACCACTGAGCGAACATTGAGATGACCAAGTCTGCGGTGCCAGTGGTAAAGGATGTTGTCCTCTGTGACGGTATTGGTGGCCGTGATGAGTGCGGCCTTGTGTCGGATAGGAGTGCTTGCCGGATCGAGGACAAACAAACCGTCTTGTCGTGTTGCAGTGATGACCGGTTTGCTGGGTCCATCTTCAGTAGTGTTGAGGATCGCTTTGTCTTTTGCAAAGGTCCAAGAGTGTCCGTCAGTGCTCTGTGCGGCACCAACACTCAGAAGGTTCCGTCCCAGTTCGGGTACGTGAAGAACATCATATAGTGTGATGTTTGGTAGTTTGAGTTGACCGCATTCTCTGGCGGTGATGTTGGCGCCGTTGCCTATGGTGATGTTTGCCTGGATCGGTAGTTGTTTGATTCCAGTGAGTAGGTTCCTGTCGTGGACCATGTGATGGGTAGCTCCAGAGTCTACGACGATGTCGAATGCAGACGAATGGGCCAAAAGGGCATTGTGATCGATGGTGATGCTTGCCATGAAAGCAGAGCCGGCGTTGATGCCATGATGTTGACTCCTGTTGCTTACGAGTGCGGCGATGTTGGCACTGTTGTTTGTGTACCTGTTGGCGTTGTTGCCGGTACTGAAGTTGGCGGGCTTGGTGAAACAGTTTGCTGTTGAGTGTCCATGCTTTTGATGGAACTCGCAGAAGGCATTCTCGTCAAAGGGAGATCGAGGAATGAACTTCTTCTTGTTTCCGGTGCCGCCGATGTTGTTGTTGTTGTTCCGTGCTTGTTGACGGGCAGCGATGAGAGCCGTAGTCTCAATTCCTTCTTCCTGAACAATCCTTCTCCTGTACTCGGCTCGGACGGCGTCAATGACGTCCTGTGAGTGAAAGTCCTCCTTGAGATAGTAGGTCTGAACGAGGGTTTCGTAGGAGGAAGGAAGGGACATGAGGATGGCAAAGGCAAAGTCCTTGTCGTCCATCCGGGATCGGCCAGAGACGGTGATAGCGGAGTAAGCCGACTTGAGCTTTCCGGTATGGACAGTCGGATCTTCTCCTTCCGCGAGTTGGGATCGCCAGATGATCGCGAGGAGTTCAGCCCGCCTGGATCCCCTTGCGGCCGAGTAGGTTTCCTGAAGATGTTTAAGTAATCTTTCAGAAGCAGAAGGAAGCGTCGCTCTGTACTCATCGGTGTGAGCGGAGTCCCTTTGGACCAGAGCGTGCCAGGTTGAGAGGTGAGACGGGAGGTTGTGATGGACAAGCTGACTGAGGCTTCCGTCAATGATTCCGAAGGCCTTCTTGTCTTTCTTGATCCATTTCGCAAGTTCCTCGGCTGTAGCTGGAGTAGTGACCGTAGTGGTAGTAGTTGGAGCATTGTCCGTGCCGGCGGTGGCAGCCAAGGTAGAGATAGGTAGGATATTAGGTCGAGGAATAGTTCCATCAACAATGTCGTCCAGATCCTTATCGATCAAAGTGTTTTGAATCGAGCGGGACCATTCCGCGTAATTGTCAGGACCCTCAAGGTAAGTCCGCTTGGTAACCTTGAGAGTGTCGAGGTCGAGACTGTCGGCCATGATGAAACTAAGTCGATGTTGAAGAAGGTTGGTTGATGTAAACTAAGGTAATAGCCCGTTGAGCTCCGTTGGTAGAGCAGCCGACTCTTAATCTGTTGGATATCGAGTTGATCACCGTTGTATAGTTTGCATGAGGATAAAATATACAAGAGGGGATCATGAAATCAGACCAGAATGGTCTGCTATATATATTATTCTGGTAGGTGGCAAGGTGCTGCGGTTTGCGGTTTGCGGTCTGCAGTTTGCGGTCGCAAGTTGCGGTTTGCGGTCGCAACTTGCGATTGCGGTCGCAACTTGCGACAGTGGTCGCAGATTGCTAAGCGAGTCGCAGATTGCTAAGCGAGAACAAAAGGAAAGGTGCGAAGAGTGGATGTGCTTTATTGTTCCATGCGGTCTATTGTTCTGGGAGAACAATAGACGTGCGGGAGAACAATAGGATTCGACAGTATCGGATATCGCTTTCGCCAAAGATTCCGCTTCAGGTTGGTCGAGGTGCTGTATGAGCTTGTAAAACCCATCCAGCGAGTATGCCAACTCAGTCAGCTGCGAACTGAGGAATTCCCCGTACAGTGAAGACAATTGAAAGAATGCGTTAGAATCCTTCAAAGTGGTTCCCGAGGATAATCTAGTGATGGATGGTGCTGACATGAATGTGGCGAGACGGTTGGCTGTGTCGTGATCTTAAGTAGCTCCTTCGAGAACGGCTAGAAGTGTTCGACCCTACTCGTCCAGCCCCCTTTTGTACTAATACAAAGGCGAGGACGAAGAACCTTGTTTGATGACATTCGAGCTTCCTTTGTGTCTGATCGTCGCGCCTTGGGGTGTCATCCGCCCAAAGCCATTGACATACGCTCCAGTCACCTCTTTGTTGCGACCGCCTTGCTGTGAGAAGGAGTGTGTTGCGACCTGTCATTCGAATTCGAGGGATGTGGTAGGGTTTAAGGGTCATAGACACTGTAACGATGTGTTGCAGGATTACATACTAGCTGCTGGCGATGTACTTTCCCCAAAAGGCAGATTACGCAGCAGCAGTAAGCGCGAAAGGGAGAAGGGCACGCAAGTCGCGCAAGGCATATGGGCGTGGAGGAGAGGGCATTGCGATTAACGTTATCGGGGTCGATAGCACAAAGGTGTACGTTCGCGAATCCTGATGCTTCTCTGAATGATCAAGTATAAAGGGTCGAAGTAGGCTTGGCCAGTGCGAGTCGGGGAATTACAAGCGTAGTCGTTGCTAAATTCGGTTCATCTTCAACCTCCCTAACAATTCCATCATTTCCATCATAGCGAAAAGCTTCGAATTTACTCCAACACTACCGTCCGACCAGTCTTTGATTGACACGGTTCAGCGATCTTTCCCAGATCCTACGGCCTCAAACCAGGTCCTCTCGCTCATCGACATGTTGACAATTCCCCAGCTGAACAAGGACCACTTGCAGCCAAGATCAACGAGAAGTTGACTACCGAGATCACCATCGATACTTTTCTCCATGAATGGGATCGAACGCCCTGGTGGGAGTGTTTATCTTTGTGTCAGAAATGGTAGGACTGGTCAATTGGTCCCGGTTGGTCTGATTATGAGCCCTACTTTGAGTACGATGTGAATCAACAAGATCACGCTTCCCTGCTTCAAGTACTGGAGTATTACCTGAAGGCAAAGGTGTCCTACAGAAAAAGGCCTCATTTTTGGGAGGGCCTGGCGAAACACCCGCGATTTTGCCATGATGCGGATGTAGTCGAGCGTTTCACGGTGTCAAGCAAGAAAACTGACCCATGACGAGCCAAGTTGTAGAATCGTGCTTGTCAGAGTGACATGATATCTGTAGACCTGATTCGGTTGTGATACGAAAAACATTTGTTGAAGCTCATGTACCAAAATGAATAGGCATTTGTATGTTCGAGAACCAGATACGCACTGCGAGATCATCCGCCCAATCCTTGGGTCGCTCTCAATAGTATTCAGCTGAGGAAAATCTAGCAAGAGATGATGGGGATCTGTCTGGTGAGGGCCGTGAGGCCCATCGGATTGGAGAAAGTACACCCTTTCTTATGCACTGCGTATATGTAGAGCTTCAAGAATTGTGTAGCCCGAACTTAAAGCTTCGTGCATTATGCAGTGTTATTCTTTCCAGTTTAGCATTGATCATGCGAGGTGGGCCGGAAAACCTTGACAGACGCCTCTACACTCTAGGCGCACACTCACACACACGACCTGAGACTGCGTCGCGATTTTGACTCAGTCCTGCACAAGTGTCGGTATATGGAACCGAGAATATGTGAAGTGAACACAACAAGTGCGAGACCGCGGTTGTTTTCTGCCATATGGCTCAATCACCTCAAAAAAAACTCCCAGGAGGATGATGATACAGAGTTGCGCCGCCGAATGGCATGATCATCGTGTTTTGCGGTATGAGCAGAGTTGGCACGGATCGAGGTGGGATCTTCCTCCCATCCAATCAGGATGTACCTAGCTCAATCTGTCCTGTTGTCTACTTCGACTACCCTCCCTTCCTCGTCCCATCGTTCAGCTCATGATGTCAGCTGACGACAACCCATCTTTGTTTGAGACGTTTCACGATGAAACGCGCCTCAACCGAGTTGGCGCGTGATATTCACCATGTCCAATGCTTTGGGATCAAGGGTGAGGATGAGGGCATAGAATGACGAGGCAGTAGCAGGGTCAGGAGGTGGCAATGTCAGGACAAAAGAAGTGACAGAAGTTACGGCATAGCTCTCTTCGGCAGGATGAGGAGGAGAAATCGACTTCCTTTGACCTTGACCCCTCCTGGCGTGTCGATTGAATGAGGTGCTTGCTTCTTCACTGCAAGGGGCAAAAGCATAAATAGCTGGTTCAACAAAGAGAACTCCCGAGAATCCTCATGAGGCCTGGGTTTCACGGAGACATAAACCATTTGAACAAGTCCATCTCGCACGCCCATTTCGATCATTCTCCACCCCACATTCCCAGCGAGATACAATCACAAGTATGTCTGTTTCCAGGGTCGATATGAATACGTCCACCTTTGGCGATCTGCTGTGGGATCACAGCAAGGACCTCTCAATGCAGATCGAAGAGTTTCAAGACAACAAAATGTCCCTCCTTCAGACAAAATACGACAGTGAAGACGAACCAGTCTATGTCAACATAGAGAAAGAAGGGGACAGATTCTCTGTCGAAACAAATCTGGCTTTCCACATTATGTCTGACTCGTTCCACAGCATCGAGGGTGCGACAGCAGAACAACAGTCCTACCTCCTTGAGGCAGAGAAATCCCTCAACAATCCGATCAGGCGCAGGAGAAAGAACGATGCAGCTACTGAAAAACAGGTGCTCCCAGCCCTCAGAGACCCCTCTCTCGACGAATTTACTCACGACCACCCCACCATGGATGTCGACAAGTCTTCATTTGGGTCAAGGAGGGATCTAAGTTTCGACCAACCAGTCCTGATTGATCCCACCTCTGACGAGGCAAATATCAGCTTGTCAATGGGTGACACAGCATCACTCATCCAATTGTCTTTTGGTGACAATGATGGAAGCGTGGGTGTCAAGTCATCATTCACCCCAGACTGGACGGAGATTCTACTCGGTATGGCGAAATGTTCCGATGTTCGACAAGCGAAACGCGTTGCAGCAGCACACTGTGCCGTCCGGACAATCAGGCTCGCGAAACTTCGCAAAGTAATCGAGGAGCGGAAGAGAGCGGAGGCTGAGATCAAGATGGCCGAAGAGCAGGCGCAAAACCGGACAGTTCTGAAAGAGTACAATCGATTGAAAGGGCAAATCATCAAGCTCGACAAGGAAGAGATGAGCATTTTCAGGGACCCGACATTCGATCCGCCGACCGGTAGCAAAGAAAGGCATAAAACCTTGGGTATGATCAGGGCGTGTCGGAATCTTGGCATTTCGATGGACCAGCGCTTTTACGACCTTGTTAAGGGGGACGTACAGAACTGAGTGATCTGACAGTCTTCCGCCTTCTACACCGAGACTGTCCGTATGGCCAATTGTCAGACTTTATTCTTGTATCAGTACTGCTTCCATGAGAAAGAATATCGATCTGTCAGGCCCCGTCCGTCATTAAGAAAAGATCACAAATTCCACCGGGTTCGAGCTGGGAACTCCGTGATCGCCTACAGTGTTCCCATACCCTTTGATCAGGGTATCGGTGTGACTCGCAACTTTCAGCTTCTCTTGTCATATGTTGCTATTGAGAGGTGGAGGTTGATAATCGGCCATGCCCAATATGATTGTTTCTTCAAATCAAGGTGATGTGAAACATGAAACACCCGGTAAAGCCGTTTGTCACGTGATGTGTCCCGGGAGAGACGTCGATGATGAAAGGAGTGTCGAATGTTACGGCATCGTTCTGCTTGGCAGGATATGATGATGAACAACAACTCTGTTGCTGTCAACACAGAACTTTCCGAAGCTCTTACTGCCGATGTACTCTTGAAAGCGGGAAAAATCGCTGTCGAGTACAAAGACAGAATCAAAGGGGCAGAGCTTGCCATACGGAGGGATGTAGAGGCAGCAGAGGAAGCGACGAAACCTGAGAAGGTGGATAGCGTCCTGAAGCGTTACGAGGTGTTGATATCGAAGGGAGAAGAAATCGAACTCGATGATAGCGAGAGAGAAACCTACAGATGGATCATGGGCGGCTCACCCCCTTTGATTCATACCAGCAAGATCGAGGCGCTGATCAGGGCAGCCGCTGAAAACAAGGTCCCTCTCGGAAGGAATAGCCATTACTGGCAGTGGATCGCTTAGAGCCCATCAGATATGAATGTCCCTACAATTGCTCGTCACATGCGTTACGATCATCTTGTACCAGTGCTTCATAGGTTTTAATGTTCTACTCTCTCTTCCGATGATCATGCAATCATATTCAGATCTTTCGATCTACCGTATATCGGTCGAGGTTGCAATGTTTCGAGACGTGAAACACCCGGTAAAGCCGTGCGGTCACGTGATCACATTTTCGGAGGCGACGCGCAAACAAGCCAAGGGGATGGCCGATCCTCCCGGTTATTCCGGTTAGTCGCCCTCGAAGGAGGAGGCCAATCCTATACAATCCATTATTGGTATAATCAACCACCTACATTCTAACTCATCGGTCGGTATCACAGTCACATCATACTCTTATCGGATACATCACATCAAACAGAGAAAGCAAACATGGTCAACTCATCCGCACAAGCCGGCACACAGGCCAAGGTCGACGCACCGAAAGACCTGACAAAGGCGATCGTCAGTACGAAAGAGGTGTTGAAGAGGTACACAAAGGAAGAGGTGGCCAAGGTCAGTATAGTCCTCGAGACTTGTTAAACCTTTTTTGGTGATGCGTACTGATGTTATAGTGGTGATCGTAGCATAACAAGGAGGGCGATCTCGTAAGTCTGCCTAGCCTCGACCTGACCCTGGTTACGCACGGTTCCACTCCGGGTACTCATGCACCTGATATCTCTTTTTTATATCGACGGCAGTGGGTCATCGTCGACTCGATCGTCTACGACATGTCCCAATTCAGCGAGATCCATCCTGGAGGTCTCGCCGCCCTGCTCGACCCCGAAGTCGCAGGCAAAGACGCCACCGCAGCCTTCTTCGGTTTACACAGACAAGAAGTCCTCTACACCCCCCGGTATGCGAAATACAAGATCGGGCAGGTCGAAGGGCAAGAACAGAAGGTTATGAGGAATGAGAGTGGGAGCATCTCTACGGTCCCTTATGCTGAACCGATGTGGTTGAGCACGGGGTATAAACAGTCGCCTTATTTCAAGGATTCTCATTTCGCCGTACAGAAGGCTATGAGGAAGTTTATTGACGAACACGTCTACCCGGACGCTCAGGCGTGCGAAGAGTCCGGGAAGAGGATGTCACAGAAGATTCTGGATATGATGGGAGAGAACGGGTTGCATGCGATGCGACAAGGCCCAGGGCCGCATTTGAAGGGGAGGAAGTTGTTTGATGGGGCGGTCAAGCCGGAGGAGTTTGATTATTTCCATGAGATGATCATCAACCAGGAATTGAGTCGGTTGCAAGCGAGGGGGTATGCTGATGGTGAGTCCACAATCGGACCTGGGTCGAGAATCGAGCCCAAAGTCGAGTTGAGGACGAACGAATGAATGTTAATGTGGGAGATGTTGGGTCTGTCTGTTTACAGGGTTCCAAGCGGGGACGGTCATCGGGCTCCCACCTATCATCAACTTTGCTCGACCAGAGGTCAAGAAGAAGATCGTCGAGGACGCCTTTGCCGGCAAGGTGGTGAGTACACTGGCTTTCTGGCATCCTCCGAAAGCTTGGGTTAAGGGTTATGGTCGTTGATGTTGTCGTTATCGTGTTATTTGACGGGGTTTTGCGAGAACAGAGTGTCAGTCTGGCGGTCACTGAGCCTTATGCGGGGAGTGACGTCCAGGGGATCAAGACGACTGCCGTCAAGACCGAAGACGGGAAACACTAGTAAGCCCCCACCCCCCTTTCCCTTATCGCCTATCCTTCGCAACGAACCCCTGTTCATCATCATCGCGTTCCACTTCCAGCATCATCAACGGAGCCAAGAAATGGATCACCGGCGGGATGCACGCCTCGTACTTTTCCGTAGCCACCCGGACTTCGGAAAAGGGCCTCACCGTCTTTCTCGTTCCAAGGCAAGAGGGGCTGGAGACGAGGCCTATCAAGGTCGCTTATAGCGGGGCGGCGGGGACGGCGTATGTTACGTTCAAGAATGTGAAAGTGCCTGCGGAGAATATGTTGGGGAAGGAGAATGATGGGTTGAAGGTCATCCGTGGGTGTCTTGATCCGGTTATTGGTCAGTTGTGATCGATAACTAAACTTTGCTTTTATCTTCTCTCGTTCGACTGGATCTGTATAGTCTCCAACTTCAACGTGAGTCCGCCTTCCTTACTTCTTCACCCATGTCCACAACGCTGATTTAGACGCTCATCGGACATTCTAGCACGAACGATGGACTATGTGTTGCGGGTCCGCCCGATCTTCCCGAATGGCCGTTGAAGAATGTCTCAAGTTAGTGTTCGGCCAGGTTTTCTCTATTGGAATAAGAGCTGATCGTTGGTTATCTCGTCTGCAGATGGGCTTGTCAACGACGAGTGTTTAGCGCTCCGTTGATCTCTCAGCCTGTCATCCGAAACAAGTACGTCCTCATACCTCCACGTACCTAGCGACTCTGCACAACCGGAAGACTCATATCACTCAACTCACCTTTCCCTCCTGCCACACAGACTGGCGCACATGATAGCCAAAGTCGAAGCCCTCCAAGCATGGCTCGAAGCGGTCACCTACCAGATGTGCAACATGACCTACAACGAGACTTCGGAACACCTCGCCGGGCAGATCTCGTTTTTGAAGATGCAGTGTACGATCGCCGCGGGGGAGATCGCTAGTGATGCCATGATGGTCTTTGGAGGGAGGGCTTTGACGAAGACGGGGATGGGGAGGCATATTCAGCATTTCCATCAGACGCAGGTGAGTAACCGTTCTCGTTTCTTGTTCTTGTTCTTGATGTTCAGTGCAGGAGGAAGAGGACGTGGCGTGTGCTGATCTATTGGTGGTGTGGGGTAGAAATTCGATGCGATCCTCGGAGGGACGGAAGACATTTTGGGAGACTTGGGCGTGCGGCAAGCGTGAGTTGCCGACTGACACCCGGGGATACCACTTCCTTTTCCCCTCGGAGTATCAAACGCTGACGCTGTATGCTGTTCGTGTTATATTCTCAGCGTTCGAAAGATGCCGGACAACGTCCGACTGTAGGTCACATCAGACGTTTTGTACATCTGTGTGTGAATCAAAGGTTGTTTTTCTGTTTCTTCCTGCTAGTTGCCGTTACCCGCTGTCGCGATTGCTGTTATCGCTATCAGATCATTTCTTTGCTACCGTGATGGTCATCTCTTGTACTTTACAAATGCTATGCTCACAATCTTCCTTGCTGCACTGTGACGACTAACGGGTATGAGCACCGCTCTTGCTTGGCTGATCATACGGCACAGCTGTGACTGGGTCATGGATCGAATTCAGGTACGCAATATTAGCAGGTTCATGGGTGAAGAGAGGTTGACAATCGGTCGTCGCACAGGTTTACTCGTCGCTGCGGGAATTGTGCCTGATCTGTCCTGGGTGCTTAGAGGCGCTCGACAGCAATAAGCGGGATCCAGATAAAGAGGGGGTGTAGCAGAGCTGGAAAGACCTTGTGCCTTCGGTCGTGGGTTTAGAGGCAGACGATCTCAAAACGAGCGAGGGCGATCACAGGGCAAATGGGAGACGCTTGTGCTGAAACAGTTGCCAAAGCGGCGAGGATGAACGGACATCGGTACTCTGTTATCGATGTCCGCTTATCGACCTGTTAGCCGGTAATCCATAACCGGCTAACAACGGGGAACTGGTGAGGTGGAGGTCGACATTCAGAGCATCCATATCATCATATCTTAGGTCTTACCTGATACAGCTCGACACGATCTCACAACATTCAGCCATCAGCATCACAAGACAGAGCACATAGAGCAACGATGAAAGCATTCCAGATCGCCGAACACGCTCATCCGACCAAGATCAAGGTGTAAGTTAAGCCCCGCTCTCGCCATACTCTACCGCCTGTCCATGCTGATAAACAAAACGTCTGCAGATCGAACGATGTCAAGCCGCCTGTACCTAGCGGAAAAGAAGTCTTGGTGGATGTATATACGGCTGGGTTGAATTTCTTTGAGTGAGTCCGGTGCATTGCCGGGACATCGAATGCAAAGGAAGCTGAGTTTGTGCGATGATGACGGTTATTGAAGTATCCTGCAAGCTCAAGGGAAATACCAAAGTACGTCTCATCATCACCTGGTAAATTTCAGAAGTATATGATCGGGAAATCCTGACTGGTGCTTTTCATGTCGTGGATAGACCAGCCGCCCTTACCGTTCGTACTGGGAACTGAATTCGCAGGTCGGATCGCCAAAAATTCTCCGATTCCTAAAGGATGCCCTTATAAACCCGGTGGCAAGTCCAACGTTCGTACTACATCTCTCATACGGTCTACTCAACTAACTCTCTTCCCACTTATATGCCACCCTGACTGGTATCACTATCACATGTCCTCGATCAATTCGACCTACTCGTACAGACAAAGTCTTCGGAGCAGGCCAAGGAGCCTACGGAGAACAAGTCACCGCCAACCCCGCCCTCTGCCTGCCTATACCCGATGGGATGACATACGAACAAGCAGCTGGGCTGTTCATCACCTATCCGACGTCTTATGAGGGGTTGGTAGGCAGGGGAGAGGTGAAAAAGGGGGATTGGGTGTTGGTGCATGCGGGTGCTGGGGGGGTTGGGTTGGCTGCTGTGCAGATTGCCAAAGGTACGTACTAGTGGGGTGCGATTGGTTCGGTAATTCGGCGTAAGCTGACTCGTCCTACAATTTCTTTCCATCCTCGCGTTCGTTCCCCACACACCCCTCACACATGCCAAACCCAAACCACCACCGTACTGTAGCACTCGGCTGCAAGGTGATCGCCACGGCATCTAAAGAATCTAAACGACAAGTCTGCATCGAACGAGGTGGGGCGGACCATGCGATCGATTATTCGGCGAAGGATTGGCAGAAGAAGGTCTTGGAGATCACTGGAGGGAAGGGGGTTGATGTGGTTTATGACCCCGTCGTAAGTTCCACGCATACATCACACAGCTTCAACAAGGCGAAACATCGAGCAATGGACCTGATTTTTTATTTCTTGGTATTCGTAGGGCCTGATCGTACCCAGCTTGAAATGCGTCAAGTGGAAAGCCAGGGTCGTCGTCGTCGGCTTCGCAGCGGGGACGATCGAGAAGATCCCAGCGAATTTGATCTTGTTGAAGAACATCTCTATCGTCGGCGTACACTGGGGAGCTTATACCAGCGAGTCCCCTCTATTTCACCTTTCATCCACATACAAGGACCGGCCACAGGCGCTGATGTGTTGGAAACTTGACGCCGACAGAGAACGAACCCAGCCAACAGCTCCAAGTCTGGGGAGAACTCATGAGACTGTTCAGCGAGCGGAAACTCGTACCGGCCGTCTTTGACAAGGTGTACGATGGGCTCGAAGAGGTCGCTCAGGGTTTGGACGATCTGGAGAAGAGGAGGACTTGGGGCAAGGCGGTCGTCAGGGTCAGAGGTGCGAAGGGGGATGGGGAGGCCAAGTTGTAGAGCTAGGCAACGATAGGTTCTTAGACGCTCTCAAGCGGGTCATGTTGTTAAAGGTTGTATCGTATGTGAAATTCAGTCCAGACGAAAGTAGATATTGAAAAACTAGACATTCGGGACGAGCCCGCCTGCCTTGAACGGACTCAGCAGCTCAGTGTATTGATGGGCGAGGTCTGATGAACCGAATTGTTAGCAGTTTTTTTGGCTTCTGCCTGAATTGCTTGCCATAAAGTAGCGTCCATTCTCGGATGCTGGCCACTGATCTGTTCGTCCTGAAAGATATATCCCTTCCCACCCAAAATTTTGTCTTCGGACACTCTTTTCGCTTGGTCGGGTCGAACTTTTGATCAAGCAACAAGGATACGCTAAGTGAGAATCGATGTATCAAGTTGAGGTTTCACATTTGTTCCGCTTACTAGGTGCCTTGTCGTCATTGCTCATCTTATCCTCATTGCTCGTCTGATCGTCATCGCTCATCTCCATCATCATCATGGCGGCTTCTTCTTGTTCAGGCGTAAGGACATATGCTAATCGAATGGTCAACAACCCAATTGAAAGTCCGATCCAAAATCATTGATCAACGACCAAGTTGAAAGTCTGATCCACCTCCGTCGCGGCGATCCGGCAAGCACCGGGTAGAAAATTTGAGCGCGCAAGTCGTCGTCAACATGTACCTGCAGAGCGAGACCAGTTTATGTTGATCTACTCTAAGTGCAAGAGCTCGGGAGTGTATCGCATGTCAAACGCGCCAGATCGCATATCGCGGACATGTTGTCGCGTTTCATCGCGACCGATGGATTGCATGGTGGAAAAGGAACAACCTGTCCTGTGAACGGCGGGTCAGGGCGAACAGTCTGTATACTACCTCGCTACGACCGGACATGGCTCGGGAGCTCAAAATCGCCTTGAGTGAAGGGGTTTCATCAAGTCGATTCAAGGGGCGATGAAAGGAGGCATACTGCGACAGCGAACGTGATAGTCAATCAGCTAGCCGTGTATATATGTGTGTACACATGGAGGCTTTTCGCACCTGGGTTGCTTATGACAAGGCCATAATATCCACTAATCCCGAACTTGTCGCGAACTTAGCCCGATCAATTGTGATTTGGCCTCCTCAGCCGACTTTACCCGTCTTACATACCTCTAGGTCTCAACACTTCGATGTCATCCGCCCCGATTGACTCATCCGCCGGTACAGTCCGGAACCGACCTGACCTACACATGCCTGTAAGGCCGCCTTGGGCTCTCCTCGCGTGGGTACCAGACGACCTTTCAGTACAGCTTGAGAAGTATCTTGAGATCAACTTCATCACGGCCGGAGATCCGACATACCCTTTTTTTCGAAGCTCTCGACAAGGCGTTGAGGCATCTCATAGATGTCAGGCAAAATCACGCTGTGGTATACAACCTTCGCAAGAAAGAGTTCTACGCTTTCTGCAATATGCTGTCTCGGAAATTGATAGTCAACAGAGGCATTGACAGGGTCAAGCTTTGGCGAAAGGTAGCCCAAACACTCACGAAAAGTGAATGGCTCGCGAGATTTGGGGAAGTACAGTTAGATCGCGAAAAAGCTTTTCAGGTCAGACTGGTGACTATCGGAAGATTGTGGTGCGAAGCTCATACTTGTGTCTCAGTTCGAACCTGTGAATGAACTTCTACGCGGCTGTGAAGAAGGTCGATACTTCGGTAAGGGACAGGTTAGCCGCATGATCGCCCTCTTTCGCCGGATTACCATGTCAGATGCTGATTGCCGAGGTCTGTCGTTAGGGGGAAAGTGAGGATCATAGTACGGTCGACAATCAGACGAGCGATAATGATGGTCAGGGTGGAGAAGAACCTTCGGACGACGATGAAGCTGCAACTTTTGCTGAGACTGGCAGCACCGAAGGAACATACCATACATTGGCGGCTGGGGATAGCGCTGTAGAGGTGCGCCTGTATGGACGAGCGTTCGATGGTGCATAGCTGATGTCTTCCGGTCGGAAATCCAGCGATTCAGCGGAAATACACTAGACCATTTGTCTGGGTGGGATACTATAGGCGCGCAAATGATTATGGGCCTTGACGAACGGAAAGAAGTATATGATTACGATGAGAAAGGGCGATACAGGGGTTTGAGGAAGCGCCCCGGATCTCCACGTGAGACCGAGGGCTCGCAGCAAGGCTCTCACACGGGAGTCAGTTCAAAGCGAGAAGATGCTTGATTTCGTAAGGACTTGAGGGCGAATGCATACATATGAGACGTCATGATACACTTCCATCGATGGCTGCGACTTGACGATCGAACTACCTGCCTTTTTCCTCCCACATCCAGATTACAGTCTTTCTTCTGTTCTCTGGCAAACTGGTTTCGATACAAGCGAGACGACTGCCGTTGGACCCCGCGCCTTGTTGTTACCTTTCGTGTCTGACATGGAACACAGGCGGTATTCTGTCTTTTATGCTCGACGGCAATTTTGGTGGTGCGGTCGAATGACTCCCGTGCGTTTCGCAAGGCAATAAGCGCAGCGATCCCACGAATAGTGCCACAAGGCGACACGGTTGTATCTATGTATGAATATCTGTCAACCAGATTATCAGGTATACATACACCTGGAGCTAAAGGAGAAGCTAACCTACCGGCGCCAAGCAGCAACACAGCTCGAAGGCGGCCTCAAAGGATCAACCGCAGAAGAGCGCGGAGTTCGCGTCGCTACATGCGTCAAAATCTCGACGTTCCTGCGCGACGGTCACTGAAGGGAGTGCACAACGGTACTGTGAGCAGACGATAGAGCGGTCTTGGAGCGGTTTAGTGAGAGCAAGTGCTGAGTGACGCTGTTGTTTACCTCCGTTGTCGGTTTGGGTGAAAGGTATACCATGAAGGGAGGTAGCGGCTAGATGTCCGGTAAAGTCTACCAGTAGTGGTATATATATCGAAAGTCTGGCGGGGAGATCCACGCGCGAACGCTACTCACCGATCACCAAGCTATGAGCATTTTGTACGTTCTCGCAGAATCACGTCTCTATACTCAGTCTTAATCTCATACACAGCATGAACGACGAAAACCGTCGCCGACACATACCTCCGGTCTACGAGTCGGTGTCAGTGACTCCCCGGCACGTCTTAAAGCAGCTCGATCGGTATCTTGAGGCGAATTTCCGGAACGATGGAGACAAGCAGGGTCCAGATTACGAGTTCCTCCTAGACTGGAAGGCTGCGGTGGGAGATCTTGTCAATGTGGACACACATCAGACTGCACAAACAGATCGGACAAAGTACATCTATCCCCTATGTACAATTCTGTCTCGGAAGCTGTTGCAAAACACATACATCGATAGAGTTCAGCTATGGCGAGAACTGGCACACAAGATCATATCCACTAAACGGTACAGTCATGAAAAGTGGATCGGACATTGTGGTATTCTACAGGCCAAGTACGCGGGAGGTCAAGAGGTCAGTCCTTCACTTATCGTTGAGACGAGACATATGGCTAAAGTCATCCCTGCAGTTACAATGTCTTAAAAAGTTCCTTGAGAATTGTAAAAGTGGCCATTACTTTGCGCTATACGATGTTAGTTATGACTACCGTAGACAGCACTTTAGATGCTTACTAGAGTACTTTCAATCCAGGTCGCCAATGTTGGATCTAGCATGCTTGAGAATGACACAGTTGCAACCAGGCCAAGCGGCAACGACGATACTACGTCTGACCAGACCGAGGATACATTCGATCTTACATCGGTCGAGGATACCGAGTTTCAGGTCAGACTTATACTCACGCTCTACTTCCTTGTGTCTTACTTATCGTTCCTAAATTATCTGAGCAGGACCCTCTAGGCATGGATTGGTGGGATACAGAGTCTTCAGTGATGGGTCTTAAAGAACGCGAGAGGGAGTATTATTATGAGAGCGGTCAATATTTCGGCTTGACAAAGCCCTCCGCGTCGCAAAGTGGTACTGAAGACTCGACCACACAGCCCTGATGACTGTGAACATCCGAGGCAAAGAATGAGCCTGGGTTCGGACTAGGGGTGATGTAAAGGGACAATAATGTCGAAAGTGTGAATTACTGTACATAACCTTGCATAAAAGATCTAAACTTGACATTCTAACCATTCTCCCTGAGACTACCATGTACAGGCCTATTCCACTTGCGATACTTTTCGCAATTACCACAGCGGACTTCACCCAGACATCTGTCTTTTGGGTCCAGACGCCGATTGCAAGCGGTACTGGGCTGCTTAATTCGGGTTGGCGTGTTTGTATGCACGCGCATTTATGACGCGCCGAAAGCACCAATCGTCTTTGTCGGTCGCCTATGGACGTGTTTGTAGCCTTTTCGTCGAGATTTGTGTTGTCTTGGCCTCATTCCAGCGTCTTTGGTCCGCGTCTTTGCTTTGCGTGTCTTGGTTGCACCCGGCCGGAGGCAAATAGTCGAAATTGGTCGAAATTGGTCCAAATTAGACCAACGAAGACCAAATTGGACCAACGAAGACCAAGGGAGACTGACAAAGACCGAACAAGCCGTATCGATACTACCTATCTCCCTCCTTGACATTACCTAGTCTCAAGTGCTCTACGTACCTCTCAAATTCATCAAGATGAGCCAAATTCCCTCCGACGAAGAGCTTTTTGCTATCCTCAACCAGAGGATGTTACAGGACAAGCATGGACTGGACCAAATCTTGTCCAGAATGAACGCTCCCGGTGTCAATGCTGGAGTTTATGGGCAGGCTGCTCCACTGCAGGCCCCCCCTTCGTCCCAAACTGCCCGCAACCTCGTCTCCCCAAGTGCTACGATCGATTCAATCGATGAATCGATCAACAATCGACCTCCTCCTTCGACTCCCGGTACCACTTCCTTCTCAGCTGTATCCAGTACAGCTGGTCGTCCGTCCTCCCAACTCGATCTCAACTCTTATCAATCGCGCTACCCATCTCAGTTCATCGGACGTCAAACCCCCTTCCCTCACCCCCTGCAGCTTGCTCCTCAGCCATCTTTCACCACCTTCGCGAGTGGTCTAGCTCCAAGCAGCTCTGCTATTGCAGCTACGAAGAGACTGCCAGGAGGAGGATACCAGCAAGCGACCAGTAGAGGCGTTGAAAAGGTTCCCAAGATTAGCAAGGTTACGCTCGGTCGAGGGCAAAACAAGGCAAGTCTTATTTCGACTACTCTTGGTCTCATTTGGTCTTATTTGGTCCAAATTGGTCTGATGAAGTCTTGCCAACGCTGGGTTCGTTCGTGCTTGGTAATCTCTAGGTCATCTTCATTGGCTGTGGCTCTATCTTGCGCACGAAGATCAAGTTATGGCAGTCGGGAGGAGGTCCCAAATTCCTAGAAGCTGTCGAGCTGCTTGGTTATATGCAATCAATCGTCGTTACTAGCAACATGACGCCTCGGGACGTGGGCAATGAGGTGCTAAGAGTCTTCCGATCTGTTCATGGACCTCAATTCCTCTCCACGCCTTTCGTCTGGGCCAAATGTGGACAAGGATCTACCAAATTCGACGGAAGGATGACTTGGCCAGGCTTCACCACTCCGATTGAAGACTTGAAGGACAAGTTTCGCAACTCCTACTACATTTGCATCTTTGAGGAAGGGTGGGACTTGCCAGAGAACGACAATCCAGAGTGGAGATTACAGGTAGCGGGTGAGATGGGCGAAGACCACGACCCTTGGGAGAAGACGACCGAGGACGATGAGGATGATGTTGATGGACTAAGGAGTTGCCAAGGATGCAGTAGACGATACCCCCCTGAGATGCTAGCCGCTCATCAGGGGAAGTGTCAGGCATGGTTGGACCAACAAAGGCGTCAATTGCTCAAGGAGTCGGAGTCTGATTCAGACTTGGAGTCATTAAGGAACCTGCCGCCGGTGCAAGGGAGACCAAAAAAGACCTCGGGAGGTCAAAAGAAGACCAAGAGAGTCCTTCTCACGTCGAAAAAGAGACCAGGCAAGGCTGTCGCACCACTCTCCAAGTCCAGAATCGTCAAAGACGAGCCGACCGAGGAGCTGAATGTTACGGGATCATCACGTGAGTCGACTACCGACACACAGGCTCGATCTACGGACATCAGCATACACCTAAGTCCGGCTCGACGAGGCGAATCCGATTCCCTCGGAGCAGATTCGGTCGCCCCTACCATTCGCCTTCACCATTCACCGAAACAACAAACCTTCCCGACATATATCACAAACAGGAACAGGGACCTCGAGGTACACGACACTCTACTCAGGACCTCGACAACCTTACTCGACGTACCTAGGGACAAATGAGAACTCAAACTCGCCTCCTCTACCGAATCCGGCTGCTCTCGACAGGATTCGTCTGTTCGCCATCTCGTTCTTCCAGTTTCGCCATCTCTCGACATTCTTTTCTCTTGGGTCTTTTCAGTGTTCGCCAGCCTCGTCTACGTACTCGTCTCCGTATAAATAGCTAGAGGAACTTGACCGATTTCGATAGAGGACGCTCTGTAATAGTAATAGGTCAAGTTCCGATATCACATTCAATACACGCCTATCTGACTTGTTACAACATCTTCAAGACGTGTTGCGGAGAGGTTACAACTCAAGGACGTCGCTAAGTATCTACGCTTCATCGTTTTACCTTAGACCGAATCCGGTACCTCACACCGAGTGATCACCTTCCTTATCCATACATCTCTGGATTCGTATCCCGCACCCGAACCCGCTTCATCTAAGCGGACTTGCGACATTCTCCCAACTACCTGCGATTCACCTATAAGCACCCTACGCCTTACGACTTAGGACCTATCGCCCATTAGCGACTTCCGCCGTAACAGCATATCGGAACTTCTTTTCATCGCACCTGGTTAGGACAATGTCAGTCTATTCCGAAAACCACGACCTGCCTCCAGAGGAAGAACAACGGTTCTCTCGAGCCAGGACCGGCTCAATCGAAACGAATCCGGCTCCTAGGGAAACGGACTCTGAACGTATTGGTCGTCTCGAAGAACAAATCCTGGAACTCATGCAGACTATCAGGAAGCAAAGAGACGAACTCGCTACACGAGAAGAGATTCCGGCTCCCCTTCCTCGAAGGCAGTTCAACATCTACCCATCCAACCCTCCATCTCTAGCGGGAACTACTATCGACCCTAGAGAACTTCACCGACCTTCGGTAGCTCGGTCCAGGGATCCCTACACTCCTATGAGGGACGTTCCCCTTCGGGAGAACGAAGCGGATCTGCTTGCCAAACGGACCAAGGAACCGAAACCGGCTGATCCACCCACGTTCAAGGGAGACGCCAAGGAGTTAGACGAATTCATCGTTAAACTTAACATGGTCTTCCGACAATTACCTGGACGCTACCCCACTGGAGGATCCAAGATCGATTTCGCTATCGGATTTCTTGGAGGACGAGCTTTTAAAACGGTTTCGTCTTATCTCCAGTTGGATGAAGCGGACCAACCCCTCTTCCTACACGACTACGATGCCTTCAAGAGGTTCTTGAAGCATAACTTTGGGGGCTCCAACGAGAAAGCTGCAGCCCAAGCCGCTTTAGACAAGTTGGTCCAAACCGGATCCGCTTCGTCTTACTTCTCCGAATTCACCCAGTACAGTCCCTTGTGTGGCTTTAACGATGAAGCTCTTATCGCTGCAGCAAAGAAAGGACTGAAGGCCAAGGTGGTGGAACGTCTCGGTATCCTGAACAAACGGATGGAGTTCGCAGACTTCAACGAGTTCAGGAATGAGGCCGTCGACGCGGACAATAGACTTCACGATGATGGAGTCCTCAACCGAGAAGACGAGAAGCGGAACGCTCGCAAGGATAACAGGAAGGAACCGAATCCGGTTCGATCCGAGCGAGTTGTCACCGAACGGACCAAAACCTATGAAAAGGAGGTCGTCAAACCCAGAGGTTCGACTCCTTACCAAAAGGGTCCTATTACCGATGAAGAAAGGAAGAGGCGACGAGACCTCGACCTTTGTACCTACTGCGGGAAGGCCGGACACTACGCTTCAGCCTGTCCTGTTCTTGCCGGCAGAGGAGGAGGAAGCACCCCCAATGTCGAGAGGGCCAGAAATGCAACAGTCGAAGCAGTTCCGGTTCCCACCTGGGCGAACCAAGCGAATCGAACCGAATGGGTCAAATTTCGCTTCCAGGGGCAAGATCCTCTTATTACGGTGGACTTCCATGCAGGAGCATCTTCTTTCACGACAGACGCCCTGATCGACAGTGGAGCCAGCTGTAATTTCATTCGTCCCTCTGCGGAGGTACTCCAGCATGTCGAGGCGATCCCTTATGACCAGCCGAAGCGACTCCGGTTGGTTGATAACCAACCTAACCCGAATCAGCGAGGAGAAATCACTCACTACGTGAATCTGATCTTCTATGTCGGAGGACACATCGGTCCCTACTCCCTCGACTTCGACATTGCGGAAATTGCTGCCCCAGACATTATCCTGGGAGTCCCGTTCGTCAAGGGTCTTCGTACCATCACGGATTGGGACACTTGCGAGATCAGTTTGATCAAGCCGGATTCGCCTCTCAAGGGAACGAATCTGGAATATTTGGAGCGAAACCGGTTCCTCCGAAGACAAGACCCGGAAGTTGTCGACACAGATGTCGATCCTCGAGCGCTGCGGGAATTGGGTCTGGAACACGACGACGAAGAGGATTACGACATCGCATCGGAAGAGATGCGTCAAGTGATTCCAGTTGAGTTTCATGACTACTTAGACGTATTCAGGAAGAGCGATTACACCAGCCTTCCTCCCCACAGGTCGTACGATCACGTTGTGGAACTGCTACCAAACGTGGAGTTGAAACGACTTAAGCCTTACCCGCTCTCTGCCGCGGCAGACAAGTGGCTCAAGAATTGGATAGACGAATCGAGGCGGATTGGGCACATTGAACCGAGTTCGCATTGGTTCGGTTCCCCGGTCTTCCTCGTACCAAAGAAGACTCCTGGAGAATTCAGGATGGTTACCGACTTCCGAGCATTGAATAATGCTACAAAGAAGAACGCGTATCCGCTTCCGAAGATCAACACTACCTTAGAACGAGTTAGCAGAGCTCGCTTCTTCTCCAAATTCGATATGCCAACTTCATATCAGTTACTTCGAATGCGGGAAGAAGACGAGGATTGGACCACAATCCTAACTCGCTATGGGTCATTCAAGTCTCGAGTCATGCGAGAAGGCATGACCAACGCGGGAGCCAGTTTCCAATTCTTCATGAACGATGTGTTCAATCCCCTACTGGACCAAGGTGTTACTGTATACATCGACGACATTCTGGTGTATACGGAAACGAGGGAGGAACATATTCGGCTCATCAAGGAGGTTTTTAACCGGATCCGCTCCTTTTCGCTTTATTTGAAGCCGAAGAAATGCGAGTTCTTCAAGTCTTCTATCGAGTTCCTCGGCTACATCATCAAGGATGGGCAGATCGCAATGGCTCAAGACAAATTGGAGTGCATCCGAACTTGGCCCAAACCGACGTGTATCAAGGAAATTCAACGATTTCTCGGATTCACCAATTATTACCGACGATTTATCAAGGGGTATGCCGGTTTAACACTTCCACTCGTGAAATTGACCAAGAAATCCGAGCCCTGGGTCTGGAACGAGAAACAGGATGGCGCGTTCGCTACACTGCTTTCGTCTTTCGCAAGCGAACCCGTTTTAATTCAAGCAGATTCGGACGAAACCTGCTATCTTGAAACGGATGCATCGGACTACGCCATCGCTGCCGTCCTTAGCCAGCGCTACAAGGACGAACAGTTGCACCCGGTGGGATTCTTTTCAAGGAAGTTAAACCCGGCAGAAATCAACTATACCGTCCACGACAAAGAGTTACTTGCGATCGTTGAAGGATTCAACCACTGGAAGCCAATTCTGCTCGGGATGGCGAAACCGATCGAAATCCTCACCGACCACAAAAACCTCGAGTATTTTGCCACCAACAAGCAGCTTAATCGTCGACAGATTCGATGGGCTGAAACTTTGGCGGATTTCAACTTCTCAATTCGGTACCGACCCGGAACCAAGGGAGGTAAACCGGATTCGCTTACACGCCGACCGGATTACCACCCAGGTAGGGGAGGTATTAACTCTTTCGAACACAATCGGCCCAACTTCACCACGCTCTTGCCCAAAACCTTGTGGCTCAACAACATCAGGGATTCTGAACTCTACCGTAGAGCGGAGGAACAGGATCTGGCCGCGATGAACGAGTATATCCGCGAGATGGAAGCGAATCCAGAAAAAGGGGGAGATGGAGATCTCATCGACCGCATCATCAGCAAGGTAAAGACAATCGCGCTGACTGATGAATTCGCTTCCACGGCATTCAGAGCAATCTGGAAACAGGGCGAAACAGATCTGGTTACCGGAAGCGAAACCGCTTCAGACGAACAAATCTGGTCCTGGACCAAGAACGGTATCCTCAAGTACAAGGACGCTATCTACGTCCCTGACTGCGAAGAGATCAAGCTCTTGGTACTAAAGGCACGACACGATGCTTCGCTGGCTGGACATCCCGGGAGAGAACGAACTATCGAACTTATCTCAAGGGATTACTACTGGAACGATTTGAGCAGCTTCGTGAAGGTTTATGTCGCATCTTGCGAGGTGTGCCAGCGAGATCGTACCAATCGACACAAGCCTTATGGCTTATTGAAGTCACTTTCGGTTCCGTTTAAACCGAATTCGGATCTTTCCATGGATCACGTGGAAGAACTACCAAATTCGGAAGGATTCAACTCGATACTGGTAATCACCGACCGATTCACCAAGCGAGTCAAGTTCGTCCCTACTACGACAACCTCTACAGCTAAGGACTTAGCCAAGATCTTCCTCAAAGAGGTCTTTACGCAGTATGGGTTACCCGACAGGATCGTTTCGGATCGGGGAAGCAAATTCACTTCGAAATTCTGGAAAGAATTTACCGCGCTTCTCGATATCTCGAGCGACCTGACTACAGCCTATCACCCTCAGAGTGATGGAGCCACCGAACGGGTCAACCAGTCCCTCGAGGGATTCCTTCGGCACTATAGCAGTTATCACCAAGACAACTGGGCGAATCTGCTTCCCTTAGCCGAATTCGTTTGCAACAACGCGAAGCATAGCGCTACAGGTATCTCTCCTTTCATGGCAACCTTTGGCTACGAACCACGATTCGACGTCAGTCTCGACAAACACAGGGCTGAATCTCTCGTCGCAAGAATCGAAGCCAGGGATATGAAAGAAGTTTGGGAACAGATGCGAGTACAGATGACTGCAGCTAACGAAAGAGCTGCCAAGTATTTCGACCAGAAACACCAAAACCCTCCCGAATTCACAGTAGGATCGAAGGTCTATGTTTCATCGAAATACATCGCAACCAAACGACCTACCAAGAAGCTGGATCACAAGCGATACGGTCCCTACGAAATCATCGAAGCGATTTCGTCTCATGCGTACCGGATCCGCTTGCCGGCCACACTCAAGGTTCACAACGTCTTCCACATCGACATGCTGGAACCACACCACGAGAATCCATTCGAAGGACGAGTACAAACTCCTGGGCCAATTGTCGAATCGCCTCACGATGACGAGTATGAGGTCGAAGAGATTATCGACAGCAGGATCAGGAGACGCCAATTCGCGTACTTAATCAAATGGAAAGGCTATTCGGGACCTGAAGGACAAGATTGGGTACCCCTCGAAGATCTCAACAATACAGCAGAGGCACAGGAGGAGTTCCACGTTCGGTTCCCGACTAAGCCAAAGCCTCCGGGTTGGGAAGCGTAACTTTCCCGAATCCGCTTCATTGAACCGATCCCGGCTGGACCGAGATACGGATAAACATATGTTCTGAACTCTTCTGGATCTCGTCTCGGACTTCTCGCTCGCATAGGATTCATCGTATCAAACGACTCGGATTGAAAGAAAATACAAAACCCAAAAACAAATTATAGACGAAGCGGAACCGCTTCAATCCTTCTTGGCTCGCTTCGGCGGGCGACCATCATTCTCTTCCTCTTCCTCGTCCTCGTCCGGATCCGCTTCCTTCTGCTTCCCCTTACCCTTCGGAGTCGACTTACCCCCCGACTTCTTCGAATCCTTTGGAGTCGACACGACTCCGGTCTTCCTCTTCTTGGGCGTGGGCGCCGGCAACGGGTTGATAACCCTCTTGAAGGCCGCGTCACCTTCCGCCGCGATCGCCTCCCGGACCTTGTCGAGGTCCTCCAAGGCCTTCGAGAGACCCTTTTTGATGCCCGCATCTTCGAGCATGTCGGCGTAGACCTGAATACGGTCTCTGGCCGATTGCTGCCAAATTCGGTTGCGTTAAAACAGATTCGGTTCGCTGAAACAAATTCGACTCACCATCTGCGCTTCCCATCGAGCTCGAGGAAGCAGACTACTCGTCGCCGGAGGAGTAGTCGGTTGTGCTGCATTCGCAGCAGCCGCGGTGTCGGGGCTGGGGACTCGGCCGGGAGGTTCCGGAATCGGCTGTCCGGCAAGCGAACACTTGTTTCGCCGACCAGTGCACTCCGCACAACCCTTCAAGGTCCCAGACCTTTTGGAGATACATCCCCAATTCAACCCCTCGTCCCCGAGGCCCTCGCAGTCCTCGCACTTAGGGTCGTTCACGATACCCTCCTTGGCTTGGGCGCGAGCTAGGCGACGTGATTGCAACTACCGAAACGAACAAGATTTAGCCGAATCCGCTTAAACGCAAGCGAAACGAGCTTACCACCGTCCTCCTGGTCTTCACCTCGCTGGCCGTCCCAACTCGAGTCGAGAAAGGAGGCTCGCCGGGCCTCGCCTCGTGATCGATGATCTCTTGGTCGGTAGCGTTGACGATACCAGCGTGGGCTACCAAGCGGATTAGCTCGAAGCAAACGATTTCGCTTAAACAATACGAATATTACTCACTATCCCACCACTCGGGCTCAGGGGTCGACGCCAACTCGTCTCCCTCAGTGCCGACCGTGCCGATGTTGATCACGCTCTCGTCCCCAATGTCGATGATCGAATCGGCCCCCTCGCTTTCGGCTAAAATCAAGCAAATCTGGTTCAGCGAAGCGAGTTCGATCGACGGGTACCGAGTACGAACCAGCAACTTCAGGAGTCCCGAACGCTCTTTGATAGCGACTCTCGATCTGCCGTTCGTACGCTGACCCTGGAGACGCGTCGGGCGACTCACCCGGTACATCGCTGTCGCGGTAGTCCGAATCCTCATCCTCGGACGTCACCACCTTCTTCTTCTTCTTCTTCTTCTCCGACAGGTCGTCAAAGAAGTTGGCGGGCGCTGCACCTGTTCGCCGAGTCGGCTGTACGCCCTCGAAGTCGATGGGCCGAGCTGGAACGCGATTATCCAAATTAGCTTCGTCGAACCGGATCCGGTAGAAACCAAACAAAAACGCTTACCGGGTTCCGGGCTCACCGACCGTTGGCGCACAAGAGCACCCCCCAAATCGATGTTCTCGACATCGACCCTCGCACCCGCCGATGCGGCTCCTCTCCCTCGACTCGACCTCGCGCTGTGTCGTCCTTGTCGACTCCGCTGAATCGACCTCCCTCGAGGAGTCCTGGGCGGCGACACGACAGCTACAATCGAGCAAGAATAGACATAGTATCAGGTTACGAATTATCGATTCAGAATCCAAGCAGATTCGCTTTACTCACCCGCACTCGGCCCCGCAACCGGTTCCTCGTCGACCGAATCTAAAGGTTGCCCGGTCATGGCAACGTCCTCGCCCGATACCGGGCGTCCAGTCGGCCTACGAGCTTCCCCGTAGAGCCCTTCCCGACGAGCCGGTTCACCACCTGCGAAAAAACCCAACAAGTTCAGCGAAACGAAACCGCCTTTCGGAACCGAATCTGCTTACCTTCCAACCCCGATCGGGTCACCGACAGCCCCCTTATATTCGAGGCCAGGTTCTGGTCGACCTCGTCCGTGTCGTCCATATCGCGGAGTTCTTCGAAATCAAAAATTCCTCCGGAAAAGACCTGGTTGACTTCTATACACAAAGCGGAATTGGATCAGTTTACGCAAAGGAACCGAATCGACTCGAATCGCACGAACGAGAAGCCGAGTCTCCTGGAGTTACGGTCGAGGCTCGAGAAAGAGTCGAGCGTTCCTCAATCTTGGGAGATACGTCAGGAGACGGCATCGTTGAGTATCTTCGAGAAAGGAAGTGCACAATTCGCTTCAATCGAAACGGATCCGGCTTATACCCCCCACTCGACGCGAGTCGATGGGCCTTTGCGAAATGGAAAAATCAGTCGCCATCAAATCAAAACAAACGCGTCGTAGACAATCATCAAACAAATTGATGCGATTAATACTTGAAACACGATGGCTCGGGGCGCGCCATTCCGGAGGGGGATATACTGTTACGGGATCATCACGTGAGTCGACTACCGACACACAGGCTCGATCTACGGACATCAGCATACACCTAAGTCCGGCTCGACGAGGCGAATCCGATTCCCTCGGAGCAGATTCGGTCGCCCCTACCATTCGCCTTCACCATTCACCGAAACAACAAACCTTCCCGACATATATCACAAACAGGAACAGGGACCTCGAGGTACACGACACTCTACTCAGGACCTCGACAACCTTACTCGACGTACCTAGGGACAAATGAGAACTCAAACTCGCCTCCTCTACCGAATCCGGCTGCTCTCGACAGGATTCGTCTGTTCGCCATCTCGTTCTTCCAGTTTCGCCATCTCTCGACATTCTTTTCTCTTGGGTCTTTTCAGTGTTCGCCAGCCTCGTCTACGTACTCGTCTCCGTATAAATAGCTAGAGGAACTTGACCGATTTCGATAGAGGACGCTCTGTAATAGTAATAGGTCAAGTTCCGATATCACATTCAATACACGCCTATCTGACTTGTTACAACATCTTCAAGACGTGTTGCGGAGAGGTTACAACTCAAGGACGTCGCTAAGTATCTACGCTTCATCGTTTTACCTTAGACCGAATCCGGTACCTCACACCGAGTGATCACCTTCCTTATCCATACATCTCTGGATTCGTATCCCGCACCCGAACCCGCTTCATCTAAGCGGACTTGCGACATTCTCCCAACTACCTGCGATTCACCTATAAGCACCCTACGCCTTACGACTTAGGACCTATCGCCCATTAGCGACTTCCGCCGTAACACTGAAGGTGCCCAATCCCATCCAAGGCGAAGTCATCGAGCTCATCGATAATACCGACGATGGAGATGTCAAGCCCAGGATCACCTCTGTCGACCAACCTCCTCTCTCTACCCAACAACTTCTCGCTCAGCTAGCACAGCAGCCAGGATTTGGGGAAGAGTGGTTGCAACGTCAAACCCAACTCATGGCTTTGGCTGACGCTGGAACCTCTGCTGTCGATGGTCTTGGTCTAACGGGAGTCCAAGAAGAACCACTGTTCTACAGTGAAGACGAGGATGGGGAAGAACAAGGGGTACAGGAAGGATTTGGGGACGAGAATCATGAGCAGTGGACCAACGATCCCTTTGACCAAGATCCCAATGCGTTGGCAGCTGAACTGTACAGCCACTTGGAGACCCACATGGATTGGTCGGGAGGCATGCCCGAGTCGACTGTCGAAGATGTGGGAGGTCCGTCAACGGCTACTGTTGAAGAGGGTGGTCCTAGGGAAGTCGAGGCAACGGTACAAGGTGAAGAGGAGGCGTCTACTTCGGCACCTGTCAAGCGGGGAAGAGGAAGACCTCGAAAGACGAGCAACGGAAAAGGCAAAGGCAAAGAAGTTGTTGCTCCAGTCACACCAGTTGCAAGCCCTGCAGATGATTCGGAGGCCCTTGAGCGCCCAAACAAAAGGCGAAGGATCCAAACTCAACGTTTAGACCTTGATAACTACGCCAAGGCTGGTCGCAAATGATGTCGTCTCTGTGAGTTGGACGATGTAATGGCAAGCTTACAACTTCTAACACTGAATATCATTGCCGTCAATGTTCTTCAGTCTTCGATAGTCTTTGCTGTTCTCATTTGGTCTTCGTTAAACTTTTTTGGTCTCTTTTGGTCTTCGTTCGTCTTTGTCGGTCTTGCTTCGTCTCTGCTGGTCCTTTTTGGTCTTGTTTCGTCTTCCTTGCTCTTCTTGGCTTCTCTTTAGTCTTCCTTAGTCTTATCTGGGATTTGGAACATGTGTTTAGACCGACTCGTGTTGACGCGAGTCGTGATTGGGGTTTCGAAGTTCTTTCTTAGGGGTTACGTTCTTAGATTAGTGTTCGTTGTTGGGTTTTAAGTCTTTATCAAGTCCAAGTTGTTCTCGCGCCGGCATGCATAGACATATTCATTATTATTGTACAACAAAAAAAAGAGAACGAAGTCAAAAACAAGAAGTGAAAACTCGACGATCAACGTCGAGAGAAGTCCGGGCGGGGGTTGGCCAACCTCCCCAAGTCCTGGCCGGCCTCGGTGACCTCGTTGGCGGCGCGGATGAACCACTGGACGAGCTCGTAGACCGACGGGAAGTAGTGGGCCACTTCCTGCTGGTTGAGCGTCCATTGGGCGCGCTCCATCGCCCGTTCGAGGTCCTCGTTGAACCGCGTAAGTCGATCGCCGATGTTGGCGATCCTCGAGGTGGTGGCGGTGGTCGAGGGGGAGGAGGGGGAGAGGGGGAGGCCGAGGCCGGTAAGACCTGGTCGAGGTCGGTTCGGGGTGGTGGGGAGGGGCCGAAGGCCTCCGGCGGGCGCAGGGGGGACGTCGAAGTTGGCCCCGAAGCCAAGTCCAGAGCCAAATCGGCTGTAAGGACCTGCCAGCGGGAGGTCGGGCTTGACGTCGGCGGGGGTGGCGGGAGCCGGTCGAGTGTATTTACACTTCTTGGCCTCGGTTCCGTTCCACTCGCACCGGGAACACCGGCCCTTGGGACCGATGATGCAGCGGTTGAACTCGTCGTTCAACCTCTGCAAGGCCTCCGAAGGCGGCACGACAGCCACTCGGTGCCTCTCCTGGCACGGCTCGCACCGGTCGTCCCCGAACAACTCGATCACGCTCGAAGCGTGCTCCCTCTTCCAAAGCCGAATTCGCTGTATAGGGATGGTAACACAAACATAAACCAAGTGTAAGCAAGGCTGTGTTAGTCCAACTAGGTCTAAGTTGATCGGATAACTCACCTCGGCCGTCTTCCACTTGTATGAGGAAACCCCCTCAAGGGTCTCCCCGCCCCCCACCTTGCTCGACGAACGCTGTGTATATGCAAACGTTGAATATGAATCAGCAAGATGTTACTTGTACTCGAGTAAAGATAGAGCACGTAGACTCGAAGATGAATAGACAAGACTAAACTCACCCCGCGCTCGTCCTTCTCGTCCTCCTTCTTCTCCTCCTTCTCCCCAACCTCCTTCTTCTTCTCCTCCCTCGCCAACTCCAACTCGACCCGCCGGCGGATCTCGTCCTGCTGGGCCTTCGCCTTCGCCTGATCGAGATAAGAGGTACAACAACGTCGTCCAGTCAGCAAACAGATAGGTTCTAAGACTTGCGAACGATAGCTGTAGAGACATTCCGACGCTAGCAAGACTTACGTCGGCCTCCCCCTTCTTCCTCTCCTTCTCCGCGTCCCGGATCCTCTGCTCCTCCTTCTCCACCCTTGCCTTCTTCTCGGCCGCATCCTTCTTCCTCTTCTCGGCCGCCTCTCTCTTCCTCGTCTCCGCCAACACCGCCTTCACCTTCTCCTCGACCTGACGCTCGACCTCCGCCGCCATCTCCTTCTCCGTCATCTATCAGGTCAAGACAAAATCACAACATCATCGATGTCAGTACGAGTTGATAAGACCAAACGAGACTGAACGAGACTAAACAAGACCAAGAAAGACTAAACGAGACCACAAAGGACTTACCGGAGCCGGTGAGAGAGAGGAGTCCTCTCTCTCCTTCCTCGCGTCGGACCTCGTCCTCCTCTTCTTCCCCCCCAGGTCGTCGGGCGCCGTCGACTTCCTCTTCTCCCCACCGCTCTTCTTGTTCTTCTCGTCGTTGGGAGGAAGGCCGGACATGTTGATTTGAGAGAGATTTGGAGTACGAGTAGGGTTAAAAGGTGATGAAAGTGGTACGAGAGTATTCCAGTAAGTGAGTGAAAGTGTAGGGAAGTACGAGAGAGAGGAAATAGGTCTAGCTGCTTACATATATACATACGAAAGGACCAAAGGACTTTGTTGTTTTGTTGTTTTTTGATGGCGAACAAAGAAAAAAAGATGAAACACTTGTTTGTTAGTCCAATAAAGTCTTTCTCACGCGCAACTCGCAGCACAATAGAGACGGGGACACCAGGTATGACGAGTTGTCTATGACATCATAGCGATGACGCTCATGACATATTGATGGTGTCATAGACAAACTCTCGTACAGCGAGGTAGTACTGTGTTGCGTCGATGATGGAGACCCATTGCTGAATAGGGAAACGCTGTTGAAGACCTTGCCTGAATTCGTGTGTCGAGAGCAGTGGTGGTACATGATCCATGTAGCGAGGCACTACGACGTGCAGATCCCGAACCCTAGGTGCTCTTATTTGATCGGCGATGGGGTCGGTAGCATCCATATCCATGATATTGAGCTGTTCAGGACGATTTTCTCGTAAGATAGCCTCATCTTGACTTTCGAGGGGGAAGAGATTGAGATCAAAGCCGCTTGCAGCTGCATCTACGACTCCTGTAGCAGTTCGCAAGTCCAATTTGGTCGATTTTAGTGCACGATGGACCAACGCAAGACCAATTTCGTCCAAACTGACCTCGATACCACATCTGCGCTGGGCTAAGTCCTTTGAGTCCTTGATTGGACATGCCATAGTAGTTCCACATGTCGACGTAATACCCCAACACGAAGTTGATGTAGGGTAAGAAGACATAGTGTAGACAGTAGATGTCAATAGGATCTTCACGATAGAGGTGGTGAACACGTTCCATCTCCAGGAAATGACGAGTGAATTGCTGTGTTACTGTTTCCCCAACTTGTCGCCATTGCCTCTCGATCCGTACGTTCCGTGTAGATGGTCCTTGCATGAAAGAACCCCGATTTTCACCTATAGAGGAGCTCGCAGGTATGTGACAGGAGCAAGAGAGACGAAATTGGTCCAACTTAGTCTTGTGGTGGAGCAAATCGGTCTTGCGCGAGACTGATGAGGTCGATCACATACCTCTCACCGCGTTCATCAACGTACGAACACCTAAATTTTCTCCACCATAGTCTGCCCTGACTCTTGATGGCCAGCCCCACTGCTGAGTCGCTTGTAAGAAAGAGTCTTCCACAGTTTCGGACTTGTTGTTGTCAGACGCAAGCATGAACACGATCAATCGACTCTTGCCGTCGACAGCACCGTGTATAACGAACTTCCAGTTGATCAACTTGTGTTGCCCGTCCATATGCCATACAGAGTTGACAAAGGGTACATCGTAGTCCCTACGATGTAGTACTCTCCCACTTCGGACCATGTTGCCATGAGGATCTTGAGCTCGCAGGGTAGCTCGCAGCTGTGCTCGAGTGACTTTGACTTGCTGAGCGGAGAGTAGCCCCATTACAAGACGTTCTCCAGTGTTCTGCTTGTCGACCAAGTTCAAAATTGATGCTACGAGCTGGTGATCAAGTGAAATCAAGTCAAGATTAGACTTGAGAGCTGATGAACAGTCCAGATAAGACCAGATCGGACGAGAAAAGACCAAAAAAGACCAAAAAAGACCAAACGAGACCAAATGAGACCAAGAGAAGACTCACACAATGCAATTGATACGGAGCGACCATATGTTTAACTGCTCGTTTGCCTTGCCCAAACGCTCTCCGTCTCCTAGTGACCGTACCCCTTGATATCCCTAGATGAAGAGCTATCTCACGGTCTGCATAGCCAAGATTGGTGTAAAAGTCGAGCAGACCTGGAGCTAATTCGATCACCGGACGACCTCCGTTTGGGTTGCTGATACGAGTAACAGTCTGACGAACGATGACGTTGGACGCCAGGGATCTTTCATAGGCGCAGAGACGTTCATGGAGGGATGTAGTAGACTGGATGTGGGTGATGTATGCCGAATGGGGAATCCTGGTCCTCACAGTGTGTTCGAGGAGGTGAGCAAGGTCGTCCAGAGCAGTGATGAGGTTGGGAAGCAAGAACACATTGCGTGTGGCCGGGTCTTGACTCAAATATAGTCTAGCAGGGTGTAATGTCTGCTCGACTAAGGCTGTAACAACAGGAAGGTGGTTCATCGTCTATGTAATACGTTGCAGGATCACTCACGATGAGTTGTTTGTACTTAGAATCGATCAATGAGTCGCGTTAAGACATGTATACCTCCTCCCACAACCAGTAGAGACCATTACTAGACTGTTGGAGTCATGCATAGTATGATTTTGGACATCTAAAGTCCTTTCTTGTATGTCTACTGGAGCACGGCGGTCGTTCTGTGAATTTATTGGTCTTGTATGGACGAAATTCGTTGAGATAGGGGTAAATACTACCAAAATGGAGGTAAAGACGCGAACAAAAGACCAAAGACGACCAGCAAAGACTCCGCGAGACCAAGAAAGACCAAATTGGTCCAAGAGAGACCAAATCGGACCAACAGAGACGACGCGCGTCAATCAAAGGCGTTGATCAATGGTGCAAATGGCGCCCCATACGCATTGCGCAAGGCGAGCTGTACAGCCGGGTCAGGCGATAGACCAGTCAAAATGGGCTTCTTTGCATTCCTGAGAGCCAATGAATTGACGTATTCTCCCAATCCTTGCGCAGGCTGCGAATTCGGAGCACGGGAGAAATTCGCAGGTGCTTGCATTGTGGGATAACCATATTGCATCCCACTGTAAAAGGTAAGCCCCGCCTGGGAGTTGTAGGATTTATCATCGGATGGGATCGGCTGCGCATTCGAGAAGTCCGCTTGAACAGAACTGCGCGAACGAGGAGGTAAGTATCGTCGACTGTTTGCAGAGGTGTAGGGTGTCATTTCTGGAACTTTCAAGGCGGTTTGGGTAGACAAGGTTGTTCCTTCTGAGCTCAAGGTACTAGAGAGCGTATGCCCAAATGATCGAGGTTCCGGGTCGTCGCACATATTTCTATACGTGCTCCAGTAATTCCACGTGCAGATTTCTGTCGCGCCTTCTCCGTTACGCATCAGCTCGCAAGGAATACAGCTACCGGTCTTACTTGGGCCACCACACTCGCGCTCCCAGTGTTGGCATACGTCACAATCGATGACTGATGGGATGTTGCCTCCCACCACTTTCTCCTTGGGCTGCGAGTGTCGAAAGATTTTGCCATGCGATCCCTCGGTAATCGATGAGGAATTCGTATGGCCGTAACTTGGTGTAACATGCCCAGCCATGTTCATTCGAACATGCCGTTGAGCTCCAGTATCGAAGCCAGGCACAAAGGCAAGGCTCTGTTCCTGCGATTGTCCTGAGAAATGCACCTGGTCTGATGCGTAGTGCGAAGGACTGAAGGCAGATGGATCGTCAGTGGGGATGAAGGTCTCCGTTACAGATGAGAATGGTGCAGATACAGCTGCCCTCCTCCCATATGCAAAATCCGGCGCTCCCGTCTGAAGGGACACCATGGAAGGCTCATGGGCAGCGCGTCCCGGACGATTCCAAGTCTGAATATCATTCGCGAGATTCGTAGGCGCGGTTTCTGGCCCTATCGAATAACCTCCAACGGAATGGGCATCCAGAGTAAAAGCATTGCTGTTCTGTGAATCAAAAACTCCAACAGGATAGCTCTGATCGTCGGTATCCCAGCTGTATGAAGGCTGATTCGGGAATGCCATGTTTTCGTGATGTTGAGTCTCAAGTTGACCCGACCGAGGACAGGCGCTCGATGCAATGATCATTCGATTGGGTCATACGGTACTTGCGGCGATTAGAGTACCACACATATATACATGAGCAGACACAGGATTCACTGAGAGCCACAACGAGGGACATCGGCTGACGCCTTTATAACTTCCTTTGATAACCCCAATCTACAGTGATTGCGATATCATCACCTCATGTGACCTTTTGACAAGCTGATTTCCTCTTTGAACCCTTCATTGGTGGCCGGTCACTGCTTTGGGAATGTTGACCCTTTGAGCCCAACTCCTGGCGCGCTGGCAGCTCAGGGGGTGAGGGTAGGGATTGGGGGGACAATCGAAGAGTGTAGAAATAGAATGGGGAAGATGCCTGAAAGATAAAGCCTTGAATAGGTCGGCCAACGGCCGCCGCTTAACCGGGCTCGCGGGTAGCTCCCGTGATTTTTGCGCAGACGATGTTCCGCTCCAAGGGACCGGTGAGCAGAAACCGCGTTTCATGTATTACATCATATCTGACGGCAGGGTTTCGTCGCAAAGTTAGGGGTCTTCTACTTGTACAGCGCAAATGCCGTCTGCATTTCTAGTATTATAGAGTGGGAAGACCCTTAATATGAATGTATGCCCACATTGTCACATGCAGGGCATATATAAATACAACACGATCACGGCAGTTAAAGGGTTTCAGTCACGAGATTTGCTTCAGCCGACTACGAGTACTGTGGTCACCTCCACCAGCCTGATCCTGACCACAATGTTCGAGCCTGACGTTGCCTAGCTTGTCCATGCCTTTCCTCTTATGCAAGGTATAGCCATCATTTTCGTTGTGGTATCGCTCGATGCTACCGCCATGAATCTCGCCGGTGCATCCGACTTAGCGTCTACGTATGGTTGATCCTGGTTTCGAATTGGGGGAAAGACCATTATTGTACGCCGTCCACTTATTCCACGTACAAACTTCTTTTCCTCTTTCATCTCTCAGTCGTGTACACAAGTCACAGCTTCCCGTTCCTTTTGAGCCCTCACAGTTGCGCCGGCGGCGGTGACACGGATCGCATTTGGTAGTCGGTCGGCCTCTGCGTTTTTTGGGTTGTCCCTGTTTGTCGACGTTTTGGGGGGACGCTGGCGTGGGAACCAAACGCGCAGGGTCTGGTGTCGTCATAACAGTTTGTGGAAGCCTGTTTGTAGGTGTAAGCCATTGAGCTGCAGTACCAGAGCTATACATGGTGTCGAGGGTAAGATCATCCAGGTGGCAAAGGAGAAAAGACCCATCAAGCCACGAATTTGCGGTCGGTGGTTCGTATACGGAGGTATAATACGGCGTCATTGGGGAAGGAGGAGCCTGTGCCATCATCTCTCCATCGTATTCGAAAGCCGCAGCAGTAAACCCCATCAGCGCGGTTTGCGGCGCTGTCGATTCTGAAGGAAAGGCGGATGTGCTTGACCTGCTCTCCAGATGCTGAACAGGTGCATCCTGAAAGCGGAGCTTTTCGACCCGTCCATTCTGTAAGGCGAATTTGTTGGCCCACTCCGCCGACCCAGGAACAGGTTTAGACTTTGCTCCAGTTTGAGACGTATTGCTCTGCTGCAGTCGTTCAAGCTCCCTCTCAAAGCTGTCGACGAAGGTGATTCGCATCCCCTGCTGCGGTTCCGAGGGGTACGTCGCTCCGAAATCGTTTGCGAAAGGCTGGTGCAAGGTCGACCGTCTGCACCCGGAGGTGGGAACTGTCGTTGGATACGCATCCATATTCGTGGGGTACCCCCCGAAAGAATCGGCCAGAGAAGGATCGCTATGTTCACCGTAGCCAGAGTTTGAGTATGCCCACTGCTGTAGCGGATGGGAGGAATCTCCCGGACGAGCCTCAAGCGTCTGGGTATCGTATGCGAAGGGAGGTATGATGTTCTGAGACGCCGAGGGACACGCGTAAGGAGTTTCATCTGGCGGGGCAGCAGCAGGAATGGTGTTCTGATAGATAGGTGCGTGATACGGATAGTGAGAGTCGTAAGATCCTGCGCTGTATACCGTAGAGGCATCCCTCAGGTACGTCGTCTGATCACTTTCGGACATTTTGAGACGAATTTTGTCGAGATACGGGATTAGATGTTTGCTAGATTGAAGAAGAGGTCTTGTCGTGCCTGCGAGCACTCTTACAAGAAATGGTCTGTTGAAGTATATATGGATACAGATGAGTTCGGATAGAAACGCTGGACGAGCCACATTTCCAGTACCTCCTTTCATGACCCCTCGATTGCTGCAATTGCGTGATAATCACCTAAACTCACGTCCTGGACGAGCTGCATATGGAGGGGGAGTGCTTGGAATTTACATTCAACTGGAATCGCGTATCATGCAGTAATGGGCGCTATAGAAATTTAGAGTCTGCAAATCGAGATTGGATGAGCTGGTAGAGGCGGTCACCGAAAGGTCATGGTTCATTTCACATGGGCAAAAGCACATCGACGCGACTGGTCAGCGAGCTCATCGAAGGCCGCGTTTCATGAATCAAGCTACGTCAGAACATGAAGTGTTTTCGTTTTTGTGATACAAAGAGTTCATACAGGAGGTTCACCAGGCACGGTGGTTCCCCACATGGGCCGGTTATTCGACTCGTCCCTCTGTCGAAATGTGCACTTTTTTGCTCTCCGACGACAATTGTCACATCTCTGCTCATCAGGGACACTCCTTTCGCACTTCGCCCTTTGTTTCTTACAGAGATCGCAACTGGTGGCAAGCCGGGTGGGGCGCCAGGAGGGCCGGCTCTGGGCTGTCGCATCTCGCTTCCGTCCCCGTCCGTGGTAGCCGCTATCGCCATTTCTTGTCTGGACTAACGCCGGATTCATAGGGCCGTAGTTAGATGGTTGGGTCCTCGCCGGCTGGGCAAGCACGAGCTTTGGTGTCAGTTGACGCAATGGGCGTTGAAACATAGCCTCTGATTGGCCATTGTTCGGTGAAAGGCTTTGATCGGCGATGCGGACCCCGTTCGTAGCCGTCGAAACGGGACTTGACTCGCTGTCCGTTCGCGTATAGGCTGAGATCATGGTACTACTTTGCAGTCCACCATAATCAGTGTGTCCTGGAAAGCTGGGACGAGAGCTGTACATGGAGGCTAGATACTGGGTGTCCAATGAGTGGTAGTACGAAGGACCGGTTCTGCCAACAGAAAGATTCACATTGGGAGAGTGGTACGTCGATTCAGGACCTCCCAAGTGCCATTTGCTGGCGGCCACATTGTAAGGCGGAACGGATGCGTTCACCGAATAACCCATGGTCAGACCACGGTAACTGAGCATCGAAGGGGTCCCTCCAGAGATCCCGCGGTAGTACTCGTACGAAGAATCGCTCGAGTTAGGATACGCCATGGGACCCTGGTGTGCGGAAGTGGGAAACGTTTCTTGCGGCAACGTGATCGACGGTCGTGGAGGCGCGCTGATTGCAGGACGATTGGCGGCTTGATAGGCTGGGACCTCGAATTGAAAACTAGACCCATCATACTGGTATCCGCCAAACTCAGAGTTCATCGTAGAAGAATGATCTTGTTCATGGTCAGATGATGTCATCTTTGCAGTAGGATGTTGAGATAAGAGGTCTTGCAGATCGATTGAGGATATCAGAATTATCGCATGGGTAGCATTCGAGAGGAATCGAACAGAGCATCTGAGTTTATCGTCAAGCTACTTATATGTGCGCGAGTCAGCACATTCTTAGAACTTTCAAGTAACGCTAGCAATAAATACTTCCTTTGACAGCCGCCTGTCAAGATTGCGAGGTAATCACCTCATCCGACGTCTTATACCTGCTGATCTTGTCCACACACCAGTTAGAGGGGATGGGTAAATCGATCGCGTTTCAAGTATTACGTCACGCCATATTTATTAAGGTTTGTAGCATTTTGTTTTTTATCGGCGGGTCGCGTGCTTGGTTGGCCGGCCAGGCCAGGCTGGGTTCGTTGACCACTGGCACGCTTATTCGTTCTAGAAGAAAGGAAGCGTTCCTTCCCTCTGTATCTCGTACATGATGTGCGGAGCGGACCATAGCCTACCTCCAGACGCTTCCCGAGATCCCTGGAAGTCCTCGCTTCATTAAAATCATAGCGATTATGATTCTAGCAACTATGGTATCGCAGCAGAATATTTCCAATAGCGGTGGATTGGCGTTAGCAGAAGCGAAGTGGGACATACCCATTGAATTCGCCGGAATGAAACCTGGTCAATGCTTGAAAATAGACCCCGTCGCCGGTGGTGCGCTGAACGCAGTCGTGGAATTTGCAGGAAGCATAGCAACATCCGGCTTGAAGGAACCAATGAGCAAACAGGCGATGAAAGTGCTGGCAATATGTCATGTCCGGTGATCAGATTTCTTGTTTTTTTTTATGACGATCGCGAGACAGATAAGGATCATTCTAAACTGGTTTTCCCATTTTTTTACGGTTAAAGGTACAGCATCAGTAGTACGAGGCGAGACAATCACTAGTATGGAGATTCCGGTCATACACATCTCTCTACCAGATTTCGAGGTATACATGCATTCATGATCCAGTTTTGAGGACTCTATGACGGTTGTCCATAGACGCCTTCCATTTGGTCCATCTGCAAGTCATCCTAGTCTGGTATTCCCTAGGGATACGAGCACAACGTTGGCAACTGCCAGTACCAGGTGTCGCACTATGGCAATGTTTCTTCAAGCGCTTACATGCATCGCAACTCTGGGCAATTCGGCCTGTAGATCGGCCCCTCGGCTTCCTTACGCTTTTGCCGGGCATCGATCCCGGTTTAGTCTCTGGACGATCGACTGGTGATGCCATGACGCCACCTAGTTGTGTTGTACCCTTATGATAGATTTCTTCTGCGACTGGGCAAGTGCTGTGCGCAAAGTCGAGATCTGGGGCAAGACCTGGGGTCCAGGGGAGAGGACCATTGAGAGCTGAGCTCATAGATGGTTGACCGTGCATAGAGGTAGGACCCATCGATTGCCACGTACCCTGCGAGAAGTCGCTGATCATGACTTGGTCCCCGTATATCGGAGCATACCCTGTCATTCGATCTCCACCTAAGGAGAGCGCTTGAGACGGTCCATACCAGGAGGGATCTGGGGACTGACCGTGCCATGCAGTAACGTCCGTCGCCGTCTGCGACGCACCTGCAGAATAGGACCAGGGATACTCGCTATGTTGAGCGATATGCGTCGATCCATCGCCCAAGTCACCCTGCCGTACTTGAGTCGAACCAACGACGCGATATTCCCAGGGTTTGGGCGTTTGAGCGGAAAACCTGTCTGAGGTGCCGTCAGACAGTTGCATCTTGGCCAAATATTGTTGAAGCGGAATATATTGAGTTGTCATCTCCGTGTCTGTAGCAACATGTGGCACCTCCAGGAATTGGCCAATTTATATCCACCTGGCTTGAACTAGTCCTCTGAGGGCGATGATGGTGTAAGCTGATGTTTTTGTTACTTCCTTTGATGATCACCCGATCGGGGTAGTGGTGTCATGACTAGACAATCTGACGTCGTGTGTCGACTGCGTCTGTGATGTAGCGCCTGCGCGCCTGGGCTGTACTCATACGTCCATCTGGAATCGCATATTATATGTAATCGAAAGGGCCGCGTAAGACCTTTGGTCATTGATCGCAGGCGAAGGTGTCCGAAGAACTTTGTGTCCTGAACGTGAGACATAAAATAGAGCATTTGATGCACGAGCTAGCTCATCGGCGCCATTCATGTACTTACACACAGAGTATCCAGACAGGATTCAGCTCGATTGTCAGTGCTTCCTTTCAAAGCTCTCTGCCTGGGCTAGCAATGCGGGAATGTGATCATACTCCACAACGTTTTCTTCCAAACTAAATTCGTGTACATGGTCCCCGTATCGACATGGTGAGGAGGCTGAAACAAAATGATTCTGTTGGTCCGTCCAGTCGTAGGCCCAGCTGGATGTTATATCTGACAAGCAATCGATCGCGTTCCGTGTATCGTGTCATGTCTTATGTCAATCTACATTATTTCGGAGGTCTACGACTGTCCCAGACAATAATCTGAGCCTCCCCTGGAACGAATCTACCGCGATACAGCCTATTGTGTTCGTTCCGACGATCCCAAGTACAAGTATCCCTGAATCGCGGACATTGCTTACACTCGCCGACGTCCATGAGCTCACCACTACATCTGATCCTTCGTCTGTAACACTGATCGCAAATCTTGACCGGCCGGACTTTTGCCTGCCGGAGTAGCTCTGTCGTTCCTGTGCTGCTTGAAGGAGGACCGTTTTCCTGGTCCTGGCCCACCAGCATGTCATGGTGGTCACCATTACCCGTTTGGACTGACGCTGAGGAGACGTGGCCATCACCACGGGGGAGGTTTTGTTTGGTGATGTCAGCGGCGTTTCCAGCCGTTGGAATGGGAGAAGATTCGCCGCCTGTTTGCGCAGAGGCTGGATTCTGAGTACTTCCTTGTGTTACCTGGTCTCGGCACGCTTTAAAGCTGTCATCGTCGTGGTACAACCAGCGAAAATGCTGCATGACCGGGGAGTTGTATGGAGCAAAACCGTCGCCAAGAGAGATTTGCGTCAAAGCAGAATCGGTGGAATTGTTTTCGCCCTGAACGGCATTGTGAGCCGGAAATGATCCCATCGTACGATCCGTCAGAGCAGCCTGGCCAGGTCGATCTCCGTAGGCGGAATCGGGGACCGTCTCTTGGGACATCACGGCCGATGGCGATGAAGGTGGGTCGTCTGTATGGGTATACGTCGCGAAAGAACCGTCCTGTCCATATTCTGACGGTACCATTTTCGCAAAAAGTGGTCGCGTCGGCATCACTTGAAAGGGAGTGACGGAGTTCCTTGACATACGAGCTGCACATATATATCTGCGTGAATACACACAAGAGTACATGGGATACCAGGACATCAGGTCGCATGTTAGTCACCTCCTTTGATCGCCCTCTGCATGAGCTGGCTGCACAAGAATCACCTCATATGACGTCTTGTACGCTTTCACGTTCTGATATCGTTCGAGAACCGGATGTTGCTTCCCGCGCTCGCTCCCAGGCGGCACGAGGACGGAATGTCAGCTGAGGCATGGTAGGTACTGATGAGGTTGTTGAACGTAGAAGTGGCTTACGGAAGATTGTCCTCCGGAAGTTCGCTTGGTGTTTAGAGCGGAGGGCCTTCTCGACATGACTGGTAGAACTGCGGGTGAAGGGTACTGTAGTATTGGTGGATATGGAGTGATACGTAGTTACATAATAGTTGTGTTTCAGTAGTAAACAGTTGGCGACATTAGTGATTGAAGGGGAGAGGAGCGGGTCGCTCAGCGATGACAAGCAGAGGCACAGGTCTTCCATGCGCTTCAGTATAGGCACCGACTAGACGTTGAATCACGGGACATCTCAGATCGCGTTGGCTTGGGGCAATGAATACGCACACTCAGCTCGATAATACGAGGGAGAGAGAAACGATCACGTTTCATGTATTACGTCACATATCATGATAAGGTTCGTTACATTCCAGGATAATTACGTATCCGCGGATCCCTCATTCTTCTTGATCGAAACCTCTTAGCATTCCGCGCGTCTGGTTGGTCAGGTCGTCACTGCGCATTGTTGAGTTTGGCAGCCAGTAGCGAGTGGGAGTGTGTCTTGTCTTGCTGGACGGAAGGGCAAAAGAAGGAGCTGTGACCGAGCGAGTGGTCGGTTGAGAAGGACGGACGAAATGTCGGGAAAGACAGGTCGATAGGGAATGTTGTCCGCCAAGAGCGTGCGTTTTGATCGCGACGTCTGTTTGCTGCTGTACGTGATCAAAATGGAATATACGAATCCCATCTTGTCCGATTGCGGTGACAGAAGCCTGTCTTGATCATTCCCACCTGGTAAGACTCTGAAAGCCGTGTATCCTCTGATGTAAAGTGTTTGCGATGTCGTTGTGCGAAATCCCGTTGGGTAGAATTGGTCGCTCAAGCTGTCCGAGGTCCCCCGCCGCGCGAGGCAGCCTGCAAGGGACGGCGTCATCACTCCCAGACCTCGGAAAGGCATGCAAGCATGTAACCATATTCATTCATTCCATCCTTATATATCTCTAGCCTTCCATACACTCCCTTGATCATTGCTACACACATCTAGGACCTCATCTACGATACTACGATAGCCCGCCGAAAACGCGGTCGAGACGAACGGAGACCTTCAGCACACTCGAACGAGCAGAGCGAGAGAGAACAACAATCCCCAAGACGTGATACCGATATACCACAAGACCAGCTTTATCGACCTATCGTCGATCTGATTTGTTTGAAGGATGAAGGGACTTAAGAAGGCTATGGTACGTCCTTCTTCTCATTACCTGGGTTGGATTAGACGGGTGAAGGCGATAAGAGGAGGTAGAGAGGATGCTGCGACGGAATACATTTCGATGAGCGGGATCAGGGTACGGTTACTGATCTCCCCGTTCTTCTCGTCAATATTTCGACAACCACTATCCTCACTCCGTACATATCGAATCACCATCGTCACGTCACCGCCTTGCCACGCGATGTAGCAGCTCTCCAGAGCCAAATCCAGCTCGGACTCGTCTAAATCCAAAGACAAGAAGGACGAGAGAGATCGGACCGCCTCGCCTTCCCCTTCTTCTTCCTCGCACCCTCTTAGATCGTCTACCACAGCCTCGGCGGGGTCCAGTACGACTTCTGTCAACTCTACCAACAACAGCAACAATGCGGGTCCGACCGCATCTGGAGCGGGGACGAACTTGGGGTTGGGGTCGAGACAACCTGGAGGGTTAGGAGGAATGGGCCTTGGAGCGGGCGATCGAAGACCGGGGCATGGGGCTGGGGATAAGACTTCACCTGCTCCGCCTTTGGTCGTCGTCTCCGGTGCACCTAGTTCGGAACAGGGTTTAGGGGACGGGGTACCGCATGCCGATCAAGGTCAAGGTCAGGGGTCTCCTACTCGGAACAACATCAACACCTCTCCCTTACTTGGGAACCCGCTAGGATCACCTAATTCCAACTCGAATTCATCAGCCGGAGGACGATCTCTGGGAGTAGGCGGTGTGGGCGGGTTGACGGTGGGCATGGCAGGGATAGGTCTGGAGGGCAGACAACCGGGACAACCGCCCAAAGCGGGTCAGTTGACCAAGTTGAGACAGGGACCGAGGGATACGATACCGATCGTCGGGAAGAGCCCGAGGAAGCAGAGGAGCAGCAGGTTTCATGTGACGGAGAAGGTGCATCTGGAAAAGTTGCCGGCGTTCAGCGGTGAGTCTCGAGTGCCAAAGTCAGGTTTAAGGCGAGGAATCTCTGATACTGATCGGGTATGGGGTTGGTGATGGTATAACGCAGAGGTCCGACCGGAAGAACGAACCGACCTGTTTATCCGGAAATTACAACAATGCAGCTACATTTTCGACTTTAATGACGCTTCGGCCGACCTGACCGAGAAGCATACAAAGGGACAGACTTTGCACGAGATGTTGGATTATATTACTGTTGGGAGGGGAGTTATCACCGAGGCTATTTATCCCGAGGTGGTCGCTATGGTTAGTCACTGAATCCGGGATGGACGTGGTGGAGCGAAGGACAAGATGGCTGATGACCATGTGGTGGTGACCTGCTAGTTCTCGTCCAACTTGTTCCGTTCGATCCCGCCTCAGGTCAACCCGACCGGCGACGCTTTCGACCCGGAAGAGGACGAACCCGTGCTCGAACTCGCTTGGCCGCACTTGCAGATCGTCTACGAGTTCTTCCTGAGATTCGTGGAGAACCCGGACTTTAGCACCAATATTGGAAAGAAGTATATCGATCAGACGTTTGTCTTGCACGTGAGTCGCCAGGGTACGAGGACGAGACGTTTCCGGGGTCGAGGCTGATGTAAAGCCCGGGGGCTTGCAGCTGCTGGAGTTGTTCGATAGCGAAGATCCGAGGGAACGGGATTTCCTCAAGACGACTCTACACAGGATCTACGGGAAATTCCTCAACCTCCGAGCGTTTATTCGTCGATCCATCAACAACGTCTTTTTCCAATTCATCTACGAGACCGAGCGACACAACGGGATCGCTGAGCTCCTCGAGATACTCGGATCCATCATCAACGGGTTCGCACTCCCGCTCAAGGAGGAACACAAGACTTTCCTCACGAGGGTCCTCATCCCCTTGCACAAGGCCAAATCGCTGGCGCTCTACCACCCTCAACTCGCCTACTGTGTCGTCCAGTTCTTGGAAAAGGACGCTGCGTTGACGGAAGAGGTCATGATGGGTCTCTTGCGGTATTGGCCCAAGGTCAACTCGCCCAAGGAGGTCATGTTCCTCAACGAGGTCGAAGAGATTCTGGACGTCATGGAAGCGCAAGAGTTTCAGAAAGTCATGGAACCCTTGTTTCAGCAGTTGGCGAGGTGTATCAACAGTCAGCACTTCCAGGTCAGTGTTGGGCTCGCGGCGGGTCGTGTAGCAAGAATCGAGACTGATCGTGCATTTTGTTCCCCGGTATACTGATAGGTCGCCGAACGAGCGCTGTATTACTGGAACAACCCTTATATCGTTACCTTGATGGGCGAGAACATCCAGATCATCCTCCCGCTCGTCTTCCCGGCCTTGTTTACCAACTCGAGAACGCACTGGAACAGGTGAGGAGCGCGATCGAGGTCTGTTAATCAAGAGTACGGACGAGGCTGATGGATTTCCCACTCCTTTAGGACCATTCACGGCATGGTTTACAACGCCCTCAAGGTGTTTGTTGAGATCAACCCGCAATTGTTCGAGGAGTGTCAGCATGGGTACAAGGAGCACAAGCGAATGTGAGCTCTACGAGGCCATGATGATCGATATCCCCAGGCTGATCCCGATCATATACTCTTTGACCACACAGGGAAGCGGAACGAGCGATGCAACGACACGAAGAATGGATGCAGCTCCGAGAGATCGGTATCAAGCGGTGCGAGGAGAAGAGCCTACCCCTGCCTACCTGGTTGAAGGAACCGCCACCCCCGCCTCCCGAGCCGTTCCATGACGAGGACGTCGGCGAGGTCTCGGCCGAGATGATCCAGCACGAGACGGCCGAGGCTTCGGAGAGCTTCAATCTGGAGAGGTCGTTGGCGGACGATCAGGTGCCTCTGGCTGATCCCGAGGTGGAAGGCGCTAGGACGCCGATGGTGAGTCGCAGCGAAGATCCTGGAGTTCGAGTTTGGGGTCTGATTGTTTATTTGGGATACAGCCCCATACACCGCTCAACCCGTTGGCCCCCGCTTCGCCATCATCCGCAGCGAGCCCACACGTACGCCGGAAAAGCGTACTTCCCCGTGAGTCTCCCCTTTTTCCCCGCTCCACTACACCCCATCTTCAACACCGCATGCTGACCGATCCAATTCTGATGACCATAGTCGACCCGGCTGTCATGAGGGATCTGCAGAATCATAAAAGCCTGGACGGGTCCGATTTGGCCGAGGGACAGGCTGCTTCTTCGCAATAAAGCACGGGAGCTCGACCTTTTTTCGACGCGCGGTCAACTATGCGATAGACGACGATCTTTGACGACTTTCTTCTTCCTTCTCGACCGGATTGGATCTTCATATTCTTTCAACATTCATCATCATCGACCCACGGAGATGGAGACGGACTATGATCGGCAGGTTTCCTCCTAGAGTGCCTAATGGAGCGGGAAGGGTGACCGATCCGTTCTGCATGAAGACCAGAATGGATGGGAAGGGGTCCACCAACGCTTCGGCTTCTTTCTGCATTCAGAGATCACTGCTTCTCGTTTCTCTCTTTCAACTGCAGACTTGTTTTCTTCCTCTGTCATCTAGCATGCACTGTAATATGATTTTTTATTATAGCTATAGCGATACCGGCATTTCCCTAAGTGTTTGTCCAGGTTGGATGGAAAAAGTTGAACGTGGGCGGGCGACTTTGGCCGAACTGCCGCGTCGATCTCTCGGCGACGAGGTCGGGTCCGAGGGGGGGAACGTCATTGAACATTTCGAGGTCGATCATCGATTGTCAATTGTCAAGCGTACAGACGTTGAATAATCCTCGGCTCGGTTGCTTCTCAGACTGGATACACATAGATCAGACTGGTGAACCTGGTGGACTTGCTCATCGGATCTCTTGCCAGCAATCGGCCCGTCCGATAGAGAACACGGCCGCATTGCTCTTCACTCTGCAGCTCCGATCGAAGACCCGCAACCGGACTTAATATCATCATCTGCATTGACCCGCAGAACAAAGCAACCAGGCATTCTGATTCTCAGTGCCACAAAGATGGTCAACACTATAATCACAACAACCCTAGCGTCGATCTTACCTCCGGCCACAGCTACGTCGATCTCGATCCCCTCGGCCCCGGCTCATCCGCCTTACCAATACATCTCCAGGTCAACGTGGACGTTCACTCAAGGGTTCTTGTTGGGGCAGATCGTTATTATCGTCCTCTGTGGGGTTTTCTTGAAGTATGTGGTCTTTGAGGAGGGAGATAAGCAGGATGTAGGGAGCCGGAAAGCTGGGTCGAGAGGGGAGGTATGTGATGTTTCCGTTCAACATTCAACTTTTGCAGACTCGCAATCCGTAGCTGATCTCATCTGATCGATTTTGATGTTGATGTTGATGTTCGAAGAAAGCACACTTATCATCACACCCCGTGCCCCCACCATCGAGCACGGCACTCCTAGATAAAGTCGGATATGACATGTCGACCCATCCGGCGGAATCGGCAGATTGGCTGAACGTGCTCTTCTCCCAAGTGAGCTACCATTTCGCCTTGCCTTGAAGTTATCAGAATCGTATTGGAGCTAAGCTACAGCTGATGTTCGATATAACAGATCTTGCAAGGATACAGGAATGATTTATTAGGTACGGCAGGGGAAGAAGGGGCGAGGATGCAGGTGGAGAAGTGGTTAAACCCCGGTGGAACAAAGTCTTCTTCGTGGCTGGTGAGTCCCGGTTCTGCGGGCACACGATCCATATCATGTGATACGTATGAGACATACGACAAATAGGAGGTGTTGCTAAAGAAATGTCTTCGTTGGGGTTGTTCTTGTAGGATCCGATATTGGTCACATCCTTATCCCTCGGATCGAGCTTTCCGCTATTATCAAATGCTCGTATACGCCCAGCGGACGGGTTCGGTGGACTAGTAAGTTTCAACCCAACACTTTACCTTCCCCATCGCAAGCTTCGCTGCCATGAAGCTGATAAGATCATTGATGTTGTTTCGAATTGGTTTCAATAGCGAGCGGAAGTGGACCTGGATTATAATGACTCGATACATCTTTCGATCGCTACGAATATCGTCGTCAACTTTCCTCAGCCTCGGTTTGCGGTGTTGCCTGTTAATCTGGGGGTGGAGGTTTTAGGATTCGGCGGTACTGTGAGTGATTCTTCATAATTCGAATTTTTCTCAAAGATCGATCGATGCTAAGCATCCTGGATGGTCGTTGTAATAGTTTACGATGCAGTTGCAGCCTGCATCGTTGATGCAACCGCAAGAGGAGAGCAGGCAGCATTTACACTTGTCGCTCTTGCCTGATTTTCACTTGAACGTCAAGGCGACCAGTCTGCTTGGGAGCAGGGCGAAGTTGCAAGGTATGCCGAATCGTGTTCCGTCTGCTGCGGCGTGCGGTCTGATTGATTTCGTGCCCGTGCAGATATTCCGAAGCTTGAACAAATCATCATCTCGAGATTACGCCAAGCGGTGCATGATCGCTACGTCTGGCCCCGATACCTAGGAATCGGCCTTCCACGGCTTGTGTCGAAAGGCGTCGAGCCTGTGGTGGTGAAACCAGATGGCTCGGTGACTGCGGCATCGACCACCGCCAGCTCGAAGACTGAGCGGGCCGGAGATCCTACATCGATGCCATTGTCAACCCCTGCTTTGATGGAAACAATACCGGGAGGATCGAGCTCGTTTACCGTGCCCGAGCGGATCGTCTCCCCTCCATCCGGTGGGAGCTCTAGGCAGGGCACCATGCCACCGCAGAAATCGATATTACAGCCACCGACCGTCAAGCCGAAACGTCGAGCAGAAAGCGCTATTCTCGGAGCGAACGAGACGGACGATACGGATGATGGGATGGAGGACGATATGCGATATAGGAATGGACCGGCGCTGACGGCGGCTGATGAACGGGATATCGAGCGTTCCCGCTGGAGACAGGGAGTCAATGAGGCGAGGCCTCAGGATACGGTCAGGCCGATGGGGCGGTCTGGACATTACGCTACGACAAGCATGGGGAGCAGGATCGGTCTGGATCCGGCGAGACATGGGAATCAGGCCGCGATGGACGGAGGGATGCGGTATCGAGGAGTCGTGCAGGGGGATATCTCGCAGAGCGTCAATGGGAGTACGAGCGGGTCAGCGACGGGGGTTGGGATGGCTAGTGCGAATGGGATTCTGCCTGCTAGGCGTATGGGAGCGTTGAATGCTAGAGGAATGGGGCCGAGATGAAAAGAGATCAGTGCGCAATGCATCGACACCATGATTCGCCCTCTGACAGTATATGCTCCTTCATGGCCTGACTTCGGCAAGACCACTGGCGCAGCATCATCGATCGTGTCCTAGTCCACGCAGATTTCCTGAACATGGCGCTATGCAGCGCCTATCCTGCAGCTGTCATCAGCATCGGACCCGAACGCTTTACGCAAACGCAAAGTATTTACGGTTACGTTTAGGATTCAGTGCAGTGCTGCTGAAACTCATTCCGGCGTTACAATCTCCTCGGAGGGAAGTTTGCCTTACAACTCTATATCGATCGCAAGTGAGCTTCTCAACTCATGTCGGCGCGCCAAATAGTACTCCAGCGTGGGTAAAGTTCTTCTTCATCAATCATGTAGCCCTCGGACAATGTCCAGATCTTCAGATTTTCCGTGGCCCCCAAACAAACAACGTGTATATACTGCTGATACACCTCTCTGGGCCCTCTGATCGGGGTTGTTGTAGCCCTACTCAGGCGCTACGTACCACTTCTGAAACGCATTGACCACGAATCCATCCGCCAAATTCGCCAACATCTGCTCGTCCAGTTCAGCGTCCGTATATCCCACATCTACCAGTGTGTGAACAATCGGTACAAGAGTGTAGCGTTGCCAGTTGAGCCAATCGCTCTCGAAAGTACGCTCATCTACGGGAGTGGCACGCACTCGGTCGGCGCATGCTCTACACAGACGGGTGAAGATCTTATCGTTGGCGTCTACACGGGGTGGTTCGTTCCGGCGATCAGGCTGCCAATCCGACTTTCTCTGGATCGCCACGCACAAAGCGACAACGAAACTCTGACGAGATGGTTCATCATGCATGTCGTGAAACTTGAGAAGATGTGCCGCCAATTCTTCCCCCCCAAGGGATCGAAGTTTCGCAACAAAATCCGCCCTGCCGCAGATAGCCGGATTCCACTTGGAGCATTCATCAGTGATCGCTTGTCTGATACCAGGGGTACTAGCAAGATGGATGTTGCCGTCTAGAATGTCCTTGATCACCCGTGCAATCTCTTGGCGGTTTTGCCCAAGTACCGCAGGGTCCTGACTTGACTGATCATTCGAACTCTGAGATGGCGTTCCGAGTGACGGATCGGTCTGAGCCGTTGTATTGCTTGGTCCAAGAGATCCATCGTGTGTGTAAGATTGGGCGAGGCGGAGAGATCTGATGAATGAGCCGATGGATCCTTCAGCGGGCTGTTCTTGGGAATCTTGCGCCATTCTTAGGGCTTCAGTACTGGTACGATCAAGGGGGGTAGCGTGAACTAGAAAAGGTCGTTCCGGTTGCTGAGTGCAAAACATATCGCTTGGCCGTGTCGTTCAATCCAAATCGCGACACGCACTTATATATTATGAACAAGTAGTCCGCTCTACCTTCTCAAGGTATGACGAGATTATGAGTGATGAAAGGAAGGAACAAGCAGGCGTCACCTCGTCCGTCGCCACCACGCGCCATCTGAGCGGACAAACAAACCTATGAGTCAAGTGACCAAGAATTCCTGAACTTGGTCAGGCTTCTTCATAACAAAAAATGTTGTCCAAAGGTAGCTTGAGGTGACCAGATGAGAACGCCATATTCGATTTCACTTTGCTTTCCTTTGCGGTCCATCACTCGCCAGTGGCGTGCGATGGCGGCGATCACTTCCGCGGTGGTCGGCATGCAGCAGGATCATAGAACTTGAAAGGACTCTATCCCCCCATAAGTCACCTGCCGAGGAGGCTCCTTTGTTATGTTACAAGAACCATCTCGTAGTGCCCCTGTATGGTGTGCTATAACATGTCGAGTCATGCTGCCGAGAGCCTTGCATTCGAGCTGGAGATAGAGCGGTTTGCTTTCTGTCGTCTCATGCTATACAGTCATCATGACCTCGTGATAACCGATATGTCTCCGTCAAGTGATCTCCTGTATCGATTGGTCTGTCTACGTAGGGCGTATCGATCGGTCGTTCCGAGCTGTAGCTCGAGAGCTCTCACGCCTGACTGATAGGAGTACTGCACTGTCTCGAGAGGCATACAAGTCGCTGAACGCCGTCAATGTTTACATGACCGCTGAAGTAGATCTCTGAAGTCACTGCCTAAGAACTTCATGGCTCTCCCGGGAAAGTTACTGATCTTCCTATAAGGGTTTCAGAAAAGTTTTCTTGGGGGTCTTGAACATGAGCTACCTGACGACAAGGCCGTCTTACGATACTGTCTGATACCTTGATCTCGCTGGCTTTGGTAAATGACTGAAATCTTAGAGGCTGACTCCCTGATACGCGTCTTGAGCTACTCCCTCATGTGACGGGATTAGCATCCGGTGTTTCATGTCTCGAGATCTGTAACTAGAGGAGTACAAATGAAAGTCGTAAGTCGAATTCAGCTGGAATGTCTTATCACGATCCATGACATTGCAGTGACATACATTGTGCGGTACGATGTTACCTTGGCGAGCGGAGGTGAAAGGCTGAAAGACGGCGGACAACGTAGGTTGCTAAACACTCCTCAACATGATTATCTTGTGTTTTGCCTGAGACGAAACTATACTAGAATGGCTCAAAGCCGCTGGCAGGACGCTAATTGAGGTGTCAGTTGCCGCCTCTTTTTTCGTTGTGGTCGGAGCACCACCTGGGTATTGGCGGCGGTCTCGTAACAATCGGACTTTTGCCCGTAGTGGAAAAGGGGAATTCACTCCCATCGGATGATGAAGTATTGTTTCGAACGGTCCAGACGAGCCGATGTACCTATGATTCATTGACCATCCTTGCTATTCATATCGGAAGGTCTCCCTTCCCTTTGCGAAATTTAGACCTGAGATACAAGGCAATAGCCCGTCTGCCGCAACGCCGTGACTGTACTAAACCATGGCCTATCTTGAACTGGCGGGGTCATCAATGGATCTGCATGATAACATATCCCGGTACATGCGAACAGTCACGACGATCTCATTCAAGCCATATATACAAGCGTTCAGTCTCCCCCAATCATGTAAAGACGCGCAGAGCAACGGAAACCTGAACAGTTTCAATCCTACAAAAAGGCGCATAAAGACTTAACGGAAGCTGGAAGAATCCCGGAATTTTCTTCTGCCGACCTCTCCGTCGTTCGATCTGCAGTCGCGGAATCGGCGGATTCCTCCTCTTCTGTGGTGTCAGAATCGTCGTTGTAGAGCGCGATGCCGATGTTATGCTTGTTCAAGATCATCGCGGAGGCTGCTTGCACGAACCATGATGAATCAAGATCCTTGTATGTGATCCCACTATCCGCCATCATTTGCGCTGCCCATTGTGCGGTTTTGTATTCATTAGCAGTCCAGATGAATTGATTCGGAAGCTGATGGGCTGCAGCCAATCTCGGATACATTCCAGCTCCCACTTCCCGCAGCTGTTTCAGTATGAGGGTCTTAGCCTTCACTCTGCTGTCTTCACTGCGCCGTTCGGGCTCCAGATCATTCCCCTTGAGAATGACTTCACAGAGTACCACGATTCGGACTTGTCGATAAAACGTAGCATTCTGCTCTCCCTGGATATAGAACAGCAACTGCGCCAACGATGCCCGTGTTGATGTTTCCAACTCATGCGAGATTGCCTGCGTCATGGGGAAATGGGCATCCCATGTTGACCATTCATTAACGATAGCGTCCACAATTCCCGGTTTTAGATATAGATGTGGGTTCTTGTTTAGGTGGTGATTGACTAACTTCATTACCTCCTCGCGCGGTTGCCTGCGAACTGGCTGGTTCAGGCCTGACTGATCATCGAATTGTGTAGATGGTCGCGTGAACGTTCTTCGTGAGTTTCCATGACTAGAGCTAGTCGATTGGAGATCACTCGTCTCGGATTGTGCAGGATGATTGAAACTACCGCTGTGCGCAGACTCTCCGTGGAGGGTCTTCAAGGAGCAATCCTGAGTCGACGGACAGAGGTCTTGCGCAAAAGAATGCGCAGGTCCGTTGGCGGATGAGTCCGGGAGTTGCTCATGGGAATTTTGATCTATCTTGAGAATGTAGAAAGGGGTCACGGCGAAAAGATGATGCGCGCTGCTGACTGACTGTATGAGGTCGCCTCGTAGAATCTGGCCTGACCGGATGGAACAGACATTCATATGTACTTTCAACAGCCATAAGAAATCGCCTCATTGGGGAAGGGACAAGAAGGTATCAAAGGAGCGGAAAGGGCACAGGTCTCAGGCAACGGTCTCCTGACAACGTCTTGTTGTCCATGGACAAGATAATGGAGCAGCAGCTGTTTGAGACCGTTAATAGGCTGTTCGACTTAAACGTGATTTCTCCGGTAATCAATGGGATAAGCATGGCTCCAGACGTCTCACATCAGCCCCAACAACTGGATGCCATATCTATCCAAATTCAGGAAGCCAACTGAGCTTTAGACCGTCTGTTCGATCTCCTAAATATGGGAATATCATACGTAAAGCGGCTTGAGGAACTCCAGCTAGTGTGTGAGTACTTGCTAAGTGTTGGATCGCAACATGTTGTTCCTTGAGGATTGGATAGCATTCGAGCAGGGAGATGAGTCTGAGGACCAGGAAGAATGGGCGGATGAGCCTCGCTGGATCCCATATGAAGGTGTAGGATGTGTCCGAGTCGAGCGGTTCTAATGCATCTACTGAAAATTCGTATTATATTTCAGTGCAGTCTCCGGATCGTGTACTAGCGTCTATCTGCAGGCTCTATCTGCTTGATCAGAAGTTAGTCCCTCAGGCCCGGTAGGCAAAATCTCCAGGAAGCGGCTCCTCGATCAGATCAGCGATCCTTGTGAGTTCGCCTTCATTGAAAATGCTAGGCGTGCAGCCATTGAAGGCAAGTAGCATCGCAATGGTCATCTGTCATTGATCCAGTAGTAGCTACAGCTTTCCACTAAGAATGAGACAAGGATTGAGTAGCCAATGATTGGACAACGACAGGATCATCCGCTTCTGGACGAGAGGGAATGTTAAGCAAATGTCAGACAATTCGACGCCACTCTTGCCTTAAGTTATCACGCCATTCACCCAGACAAAGAGGACAGCAGGTCAAGTGATCGCACAACGTGTTGCGATTTCCTTGTTCTGTACCTTCAGGCTTCTCCGTGTTAAACAGTCCTAAATTCAGGAGAAATGACTTTCTCCTGATTTTTGTTTCACTCCCAGCTGCAATACCCAAGTATCTCGCGCGTCCTAAGACAGTCATCTGTGAGCTGCGCTGCTTGACGTGTAAAGGTTGTCAAGGGTACTGCAGATGGCTATAGAACGATGTCCATCAAGGCAGCATGCCTAGCGAGAAGGGTGAACGGCATTCCTTCCCCCTATCACTTTGCTTACCTTTCGGATCCGCTTCACAAGGAGTGCGCCATCGCCGCATAGCAGGCGCGCTCGTCGGCATGGGGCAGCATGAGAGAGCTCTCAACGGCTTTGTCTATGATTAGGTCACATGAAGATGAGGATCCGTTCTAGTGTTTCAGGTATCATTCTCTTGGTTGATGTGCCCTCACTTGTCAAGGATCGCCTCCGTATCACTTCCTTTGAAGCCGGAAACGCGATGGTTTAGGTCGGTCACCCTCACGCTGCCTATCGAGGTTGCGTCATTCTCACTTGCAGGGGCAGAAAGTGGGGGATACCAATGGACATACCTACCTTTCACGCTCACGCGATATGATGGTTCTCATACCGGTGTAGCAACAAAATCCCCCATCTGCATATATGCTCGCCATATATGATGACGGGGCTACGTCGTTTGGCTCAGATGCTGCATGCTCACGAGAACAAGGCTGACGCATAGTATTGCTTCGAGATTGAGAGCATTCGAACCATTTTGATTCTAATTATGGACTCTCAAGAATACCAAGCGGAACAAACGCGAATGTGGCTCGCATTGAGACGTGAGAAGGAGGAGGACGATGCGTCGCGGGCCGAGTTGTCTTTGGAGCAGGTCAGACAACTCCTCTCTATGGCAGGTACTGAACGTTCGAATTCTTGGGCCGAAGATACCATCAGAACCGCTTTGTCGATGAACACTCACAATGATGACTCGTGGATTTCGCCACTCACGGAGGAATTGACCAAGTGGTACTCCATTCACGACATGGACGCCGGGACGATTGTGGATTTAGCATCCGCCAATGCCAAATTCCTTTCTCTCGGGCTACTTCTGGACATGGATGGCGAGGCTGGGTTGAGTAGACCTCCGAGTACCACCTTGGCATGCTGGCTAGCGGAAGAATTACAGGAAAACGAGGCTAGGAATCATAGACCTCCCAGTACTACCGCAGAACTCTCGCTAGCTGAAGAGCGGCGCCTAAAGCGTGGGTCGCGTGAAGAGCGCCGGGAGTGCGCCATCCGAGAATCCCTGGCCTCATCACTATTACGCGCACTGGAGGTCAAAGAGGGTCAGCAGTACGGTACCACCTGGGGCATCGAGGAGAGACTTGAGTCTCGAAAGCGATTTGTCTGCAGTCTGACGACTGCGTGTGGTAGCCTGCGGACCGATGCGAACGATGAGACCACAGATGAAAACGGCCTGCCGGCGGGGTTCCTTGACCTTGCCACCGAGATGTCGATAGTCTTCGAAAAGGCCGGTGTACGTTGTGATCAGATTTTCACTGACGAATGGGACGCCAAGACGATCGCTCGAATAATGAAGATGAATCTGAAAGGAGAGTGGAGTGTAGATGATTCTGAAGATTCAGACGGGACCTCCTTACCATCTGCAGCCGAGGAAATCCTCGGCGAGATTGCAGAGCATTAGGTCAAGTGTAGATGATGGGCGGGCATTATGTGTTTCCTTATGTCATAATCGGGCCTTTTGTTTCTGTCGTAATTGTAACCGTTGACTGTATAGTATGATGGTGGATAATTCATGTACAAGTGATCTGATTATCGGATGTGCTAATGAAAGTCCGAAATTCCAGTAGCTATCACCAATGTCGGTAGATCCCACGAGATGGCTCGTCTTGTTGCTCAGTTGACTTCCGACTCCACCAGCTCTCGACCACTACCTTTTTCTGTGGCCTCCTACTGGTGTCATCTGATGAAACAATCTTCGATATCGAACTGTTTTGCAAAGCAAAAGAAGCGATAAGAGTCCAAACGAGCCATAATCGCGCTAGGTAATACTGTATGTATGGCGCGCCAAAAGAGTCATTGTGCTTTACTCACAGCCTTTAAACCTATTCTTTCCACTACAGTAAAGAGTTTTTTGTGATTGACAAAGATCAGCGGATCTTGATGCGACCCTTAGCTGAGACCGTAAAACCTTCTCTGTTGTCCTATCTTCGATCGGCCGGCTTTATCACTCACGCGGAAGTACAAATTTGATCGATCCTTCACATTTCGGTCGACCGATGATAGGATCTAATGCCTTGGTCATCTGACATGCTCCCCACAGCTGAGCATGATAAAAACACTTGTCACGGGGGAAGGGGAGCGGGAGCGTGAGGGGGAAGAACGCAATGACGGCGTGTCAACCATACTGAGTAATGAGAGGGCAGAGAGGCAAATCAGCCAAGATAACCCTTGCCGAAATATCCGCTTTCATCACAGTGATTGCGAACGGCAAATATTGTCCATTTTTATCTATCATTTTCATGTTAATGTTACTGAGATATTACTGCAATATAGCTCCAAAAGATCCGGCATCAAATGCTCAGCGTCTATGAATGTAAACAGCAAAAATCCTGGTCTCTCTTATATATACGCTCGCCGCTATCAAAAAGACACATGTGCTAACAAAGGCTACAACATGGTGGAGGATATACGAGTAAATAAGAGAGTGATGACAGCTCCAGTACTAGAGTTCAGGCTGTCTTGCCTTGAGCTTTTTCATTTTGGACCATCTGGACAAGCAGTTTCAAGTTGCGCCTGTTCGTCACAATATGGCACCGATCAATAGCTTGAGCCAAGCGATTCGCGTCGTCGCTATTTATGTTGAAATTGCCGCGCTCTATAACCTCAAAGATTCTCCGCTCCCCAGAGTTTAGCTCATCCTTTGCTGCGAGGCCTCGGAACCTCTCAATGACTGTTTTACATTGTCGTTGCTGGAGTTCCTTGTCGAGAACCAATTTCGCTTGTTGAGCTTTGACTCTCTGCTCGTCAGTCATGTCGGAAGCTTCCCCGAGTAGTCTCTGAGTTACATACTCAGTGAAGGTCGATTTGACCCTTACACTCCCGGGTCGAAAGGACAGAGCGATAGATTCGTCCGTTCCTTCGAACCGGAACTTCAGATGGTCTTGAGTGGATGCCTCGTTGTCAAGGGTTTGTTTATCTGCCCAGCGAGTATCACCGAAAGAAGATTCCGAGACGTCGAGCGTAAGGGCGTCAGCCTTTTCGGAGGCCATGATTGTGCTTCTAAACCTGGAGTATGTAGGCTGGTTAGAGTTCGGTTTGAGTATTGATCGTGTTCGCAGTTCCTCATCTGTTTTCACTTTTTTTTCGCTCGCCTGTTTATACCTATTCCAGAACGAAGAAGCTGCAGGCGCCTCTCGAATGTCGCGCCGCTAAGCGCGGAAGACAAAGGGAGAGCGTGGGTTGCGTGATCTGAAGCACACAGCCCGGCCGAGAACTTGTTTGAGTTTTGACCCGACTGGCGGTATTTGACTCAGGCTATGCTAAAAATGTCATAATGAGCTTCTCGCACGTCAGGTATCGCAATCCATCCTGGTCACGCGCGAACGTCGTGATTTGACCAACAGGTGATCCGCTGATGAATGAAGAACCCAGAACGTGGTTCGTTTCGTCTGCCTGCCCGGCAACTTAGGCGCCGGGCACAAAGGATGGTTTAGGCTAGGATCGGTGGCGTTTCGTGTGAATTTCGACTGCGGAATCCTCCTATACCCTCCACATGCCCCGAAGAGACCATCCTCGGATGTAGGTAGGTCAGCATTTAGCACCGGTCGTCAACCGCTCTTCTTGACCAATGTGATTACTCAAAGTGTGAATCGCCGAATTAGTTGCTGGGATACTGTCTTGGCACCATGATCATGTTTTGTTGCAAATCTTGATCACCTCAATCGTTTGTTTTCAGAAACATAGATTTCCACCCACGTGATGGGATTCAAGTATAAGGAGTGTTTCGCGCTCTATCCAGAGTGACGCATCAAAAGCGCAACGACGTCAGCGCTTCAAAGAATGAATACCAAGATACTTACTTACCCCCCTTGAACCATATTAGTAGACGTTAGACTATCTTACTGGCAGAGAAAAAACTCTATCGGGCTGCCAGTAGGATACGGAAGCAGGAAGAGACTGAAAAGTTGAATCTCGGTGAGATAATCATGACATATGCGTGTTACAAATTGAGCTTTGTACAGGGATTCAGTATAAGACCAGTGCAAACCCTTAAAGGCGCTTTCGGGGACGCATGGCGGTGCTTCAGTTCCGTTTCATAGCTCAAGATTGACTCGTACGCTCGTCCTGCTCTCATTTCTTTCTGACCACACCTCGCTTGATAGCTTTTCCTGCGTCATGCAAGTGTTCGATCGCCTTCACGGGCATATCCAACTCCCCTCCGGTTCTACCGAGTACTAACATGGCGTCTTTCTTGGAATGAGGCGTCTTCACAACCCTCTCATCTCCTTGTTTCTCAACGGTCATCAAGGTGCATTCCGAGTCACCTTCGTGGTAGACAACCGAGAAAGACCCGTCCGCATCGATTTTCACCTCCTTGTTTTCCGAAAACCAGAAATGTCTGGGGACAGTTTCATTCCCGAACGCTGAACTTCGACTGAGCGATGGCGCTTGCGTCTGGACGGAAGGATCTGCTACAGAGATAGATTTGGCTGTCGACATCTGCTTGTTTGACGATGATTGGTAGTCGGAGAGGTGAAGTGTTGGTGTCTTCGTTTATGAAGATAGAGTGCGGCGCTACCGGGCCAAGCTTGCGCTGTAACTGTGGCATTGTCAGTGTACTATATATACAGGTTACTGAAGAAGATTAACCCCTGTGACCTCGTCAGGTCACGTCACAGAGAACCCTTAGGCATGAAAGGTAGTCGATCTGGAATCGCGTGGCGGTCACATGTGGAATACCATGATTATGCGGGTGAGACCGGATCATCAGAGCCGCCGCGAACAAAGGATCGCATCGATCCCCCCTGGTTTCTAACACCAAGAAGCGCTAACGATTGGTCATCTGCACCACATCTCGGGTGAAGTTGGGATCAGCCTCAGGCAAGTATAGCTCGTTAAGCGCTGAGATGAAAGGTAGTCTCGCTGAAGAACGATTACAAGGTCACAAGACTGTCTGATGGTCAGCTGAAGCTGAACAGAGGTGCATAATGCAGCTTCTTGCACGCCATCCTCTCACTATGGGCCGCATCTACAGATCGTCATCGAAGTCGTGGGCAGGTTGGGATCGAATTTCAGACTCTCTTTCGCGTGGTACCGGTCAACAGCAAGAGCCGCGTACAATGGACACGTCATTGGGAAAAACTCAGTCTCATCGCAATTATCACCCGCCTGCTTGAGTATAAAGGACAAGTTAGTTCAAGCGCATCTCCACCCTAGAAGGCATCTCAACCTCACCGTCAATCCTCTTTGAAATGATCACAAACTACCTACACTGACACTCCCAGTCTCATGTCATCATTACCCTCTTTCACACAAGATATAATACTTCCCGATGATGTTTCGATTCCCGGAAGCTATCTCGGTGCAAGGACTATGCCTGACGGTACATTGGAGATTTGTAGCAAGGACGAGAGGTCTGCGCTGGATCACATCTCCCTTTACCGGTCGGACGCGACTAGACAGCTGCTTACTCTCGATGGCTCCTTCGCGGTTCTGATGTCTTGCCACAAGGAGCAGGAATCTGTACGCACGACGATCCACAACGCCGGCGATGGTAAGGTCCTCGCGGGGTATGAAATCGGGCTCAACCGAGGATACAAGTTTGTCGCGCCTAGTGTCCCATACACGGTGGAGATGATCGAAGCGATGAAGTCGCACCTGCGGATACTGGAAAAGATTGCATACAGCGATATCGCCTTGTTACAGAAAGTGAGAAAGTCCCTGATGGTTACCGAAGCGGTCTGGAGTGTCGGAGAATCCTTCTTGCTCGTTGCGAAACGACAACTTGTCAGATATGCCACTCGCGCACCAGGGTTTCGAGAGCTGGAGCGAGAGATCATTAAAGCTGTCACGGGTGATAGGAGCATCGAAGGACCATTCAAGACTGGAAGAGACAGTGGATCGGCCAATGATAGAGCCATCAAATATTTGGCTTGGGCTATGCTTATGGACCGGTCTTTCGAGGCACTGACACAAGACGCTCAGACCCATTTTGACGTGGAATCTTTCGTCAAAACTGTCCTGTTTTATCTTTGTGTTTATCACAAGAAGCTCAGTGACCACGAGAAGAGAAGCTTCAGATTCAACTGGTAGTCTAGCAGTGCATATAGCCTCTATTAATAGGTCGGGAAGTTTACCGATATTCCGTCGTGGACATATCACGTAGCATCAACTCTAGCCCTATGAGACAGAGTCAGACATGTCTCTTATCGTATTGATTACATGCGCCAGTTCCGGCTACTTCCGTTCGTTTTACAACCCACTCGCGATCTCGAATAAAATCGAGTACATACTGATGTCCAGTTCTCTCGATGACTCTGCAATGGCAAGAGCCAACCTGATCCGATCGTCGCTGGAGAGCCTAGGATTGAGCTGACGAATATTGCGATGAACTCGACGCTGTCTCTCTATAGCGACTTGACTTTCTTCCCCTGCAAGGGCTATGTATCGGTTGATGATGCCGCGAAGCGTTGCCTGTTGTAGCTCATTCTGATCCTCTGTGTTTCGCATGTCTCGCCATTCTCCAGGAAACCTATTTCCGGGCTCTCGGTGTATATTGACTTTTCCCCAAGTTTGGACACTGCGAGGGGCGAGCGTGTATCGGTCGGAATCCATCGTTGAAGCAGTGGGTTGGTCGAGCAAGAAGGTCTGGTGAGATGTCTCACGTTTCGGTACGCGAAGCAAGGCAGGTCCGGATCTGGTCCGAGGGATGCTGATCTTTAGGTTTATACGGTATCCGGTCCGGCATCACGAAAGCTGCTTCTGCCATGCGTTGAGCCCCGTGACGATCTCGCTGCGCTTACAAAGGAACGAACATCTCGAGCGATCGCGCCATTCTTCTACAACAGGGCTTGTTGTCAAGATGCAAAAGACAAAGCTGTGTACTCTTGCCGATCACGTCAAGCTCATGACAAGTATGTGGTCACGATTTTGCGAGCACGTGGACAGAAGAAACACACCAAAAATCCTCGTAGCCGAGCTGTGCAGAGTCGAGGATAATGCCATTTGGAAGATATCTATTCGAATACTCGCGCGCTCACTCGCGATGCGACTCCAGATCGCGCGTTTCACGTCATTCCCGGCGCTTCCTGCCCACCCTCCAACTCATCGCCAGCTAATCCTAAGATCCTTCTACACCGTTGTACCTCCCCCTTATCTCCTGTCCATTTCCCCCGGTCATCGCTCAGCTTGACACATTCCATTCCGTCCATCTTTCGTAGCTTGATGACCATGTTGAGCGGTTTCGACTTGGTGTTCGGGTCGTCGATCATATGGAAGTCGTTGGTCAGGTGTGTTCCGATTCCGAAAGAGGCTATGAGACATAGAGAATGACCTGTCAATCGGGTTCAGGCTTCAACACAGAGCCATTTGGGTCTCTTACCGTTGATACCAATTTTCTCGCACTCCTTCCATATCCTCAGCGCCTCGTCGACGTCCAGTCCATCACTAAAAATAACCCTCCCCACTTTCCCCATCTGATCCTCCTCGCCCCTCTTTCTAGCAATCTCATCCCAGGTCTTCCTCGCCTGCCTAGCGAAATCTATAGGATCCCCGCTATCGTGTCGAAGGGCGTTCCATCGAGAAGCTCGGTCGGGGTCAGAGAGAAATTCACGGAAGAAGACGTCTACGGTGTAAGTGTCCGTCAACATCGTATGTAATGGAGATGCCGCTGATGCCGGATAGACTAGCGAGAAAGGTCATGTTATCAGCTTTGAAGGTCAAAACTTCATGATACGTGCCGCGTTTGTGCAACTCACCCTTCTCCCACAGATCCATAGCCGTCCCATTCGGATCTACGTAATCCTGCTTGGCACCTACGGCCATGATCCATTCGTGTGCGATCGTACCGACCGGTTTCATGCCGAACATCATCGCGAAGTGGACCTGCGACCCACACACCATACGAAAACCCATGCTCCATATCAATTGCAATTCTTCTTCTCTGATCACTAAGTCGTGGAGATATTGTAGGCAAGAAGAGACCCGACTGACATTGCTAGTCCCGACCAACCCCCCTTTCTTCCCCCCTCGTCCTCCAACTTCATTCCAATACCTCTCCTCCCCCTCCCTCAGTCCCTCAACAACTTCTTTCTGCACTTCGTAACTCCTTCTTCGTCTTGTGCCGAACTCGCTAAAGGCGAGGTTACCGGATGATCCGGAGAGGAGCCGGTAAGCTTTTGTCGATGCCAGCTCGCGGGTTTGAACGGGGGAGGAGTGCCATTGGTGTGGGACTGTGTGGAGGAAGTATCCTTCGGAGACTGTAGTTGCCGTTCGGGGTGATAGGGGTTGACATACCAACGAGATGGGATCAGCCATATCGCAAGGTGAGAAAGCATGCGGAAAAACAAGACTTACGGATGGCCATCAACGGGACCTCATATAATATACACTCCCTCCACAACCCCTTCACGCCCAGTTCAATCAATCCCAAGTCCTCTTCATCTGCCTGATCCTGATTACCACCACCTTCCTCCCCAGCTCCATCCCCATCTTGCGCTCGATCCGCCCGCTTTTTGAGGACAAAATCCACGGTAACCTGTTCATCAGGGTGTAACCGCAGGTTCTCCAGATAGTCCAGGTAAGCGGGTTGGAAGTAGGGACATGTTTGGTGGAGGTATTCCCGTTCGGGGGTTGTTAAGTGTAGGTTCTTCAAGTCTACACAAAAAGAACCATTCATGTCAGGCCAGCTCGCTCGAAAAAACCTAGCTTGAACATAAACCGAAAAACAAAAAAAAAGGGGGAGAAGGAGTGGAGAAGACTCACATCCGACCTGTACCTTCACCCACTGGAAAGTCTTCCTACTGAACAACATCTCCGGCGAGCGGTTCGTGAACCGGTATTCAGAGGTGGAATTGTGGAATTGTTGGAAGACGGCTTGTTGCATCGTCAGTTCTACAAGGAGCAAACATGTACAAAGATAGATTGGTAACAATTCAGTAAGAGGGCTAGGACTGGATAAGTAGGAATGATAATGCGGGCAGAGAAAGCTCACTGTAGAGATCGGTATCGAGGATACTGAACGGGACATGTCGGTCATCCTCAACAGGTCGTGAAGAGTTCAAATCGGTCATCCTGGACCGTTTCCGCTTGCGGTTCACGGGATACGAGATCTTCTAGCGATGAGGGTCAGACTCCTAGGGTCGAACTAGCGATTCACTATGAGGTACGGACGGTATCTACGAACAAAACGGGTATCAGAATGTCGAAGTGTATCATTCGAGCTGTTCAACTCGGGTCTCGCGAAAGCTGATGACGAAATCACGCAAAAAGTCGATCAGGCCGAGGTCAAGTCGGACGAGGACGATAGAAATCGATCGAAAGTGATCTCAAAATATCTCAATCTCAATGTCCTTCTACTAGAGACTAAGCGAACCTGTCAAGTATCACTTTGTGAAATTGGTATTGCTTTTCGACGCTGACGGTAGCTATTGGAAGCTTTTCCGCAAGATCACTCGGTTGCTCAAGAAGATTTTGCGCGACCTCGAAGCTCGGCCAGTGAGGTTGAGGAATTGAGGACTTCTACCGACCTCTTACCTAGTTTATCGACCTCCGATACAACAACGCCCGATCACCTTTGACATAGTACATACGCCCACACCAGATAGCAGATAACATACAGCAATCATGTCGTTGTTCTCCTCATCCCTGGCACCCGGCTCGGCCGTGGTAACCTCGATCCCGACCTCGTCCAACCCGTTCTCAGTCTCTTCTTCCTCACCAGCAAATGGAGGTGATAAGAAACGAAAACGACCCAGAGAATCCGATGCCACCCGGTCCATTCCTACAAACTCTACACCTACGAAGAAAGGAAACAACAACCCCGGTGGAAGTAATGGTGGTGGAGCGGTCAAGGATGCTTATCAGAAACGGTCGACGATCGTAGCCGCCCAGGCGAACTTGGAGAAGCTGATGAAAAAGGTCGGGATGACCGGGGAAGTCGAGTCACCATCCTCTTTCAACCACAATAATGCCAATTCGAGGCCTGCTCCTAGCTCTAGGAGAAACCGAGGCACGCCCAAATCTAAGTTTGACAACGATGACGAAGAGACCACTCGGGGTGCATTTTCAGACGAAGACAACCAAGAGAATTCAGGTTCGACTTCAAACCCGACTCAAAAGAAGAGGAAGGTCAAACACGGCCTAGACGGACGACCCACGGGTGCAGCTGCGGGGAAGGTGGATCCGTTAGCGGGGTTGTTAGGTGGGAAGGGTAAGAAGGAGAAGAAGGTGGACGGGGGGAAGGGCAAGGGACAGGGACAGGTCAGGCCGAAGGAGAAGGAGAATGTCAAGGGACAGGCTATACCGACCAAGACAGCGACTAAAGCTCAGGCTGAAGTACAAGCGTCTTCTGCTCATGCTCGGTCCGAGGTCGACCTTGAGATCGAGGACCAAAACGGCTCGGAAGCCGAAATCGACGAACCAACCACCACCTCTCAAGCTCAACCTCAACAACTCACCTCCCTCCAAAACTCTTTGACGTCAAAGTTGTCCTCGGCCAAGTTCAGGTGGTTGAATGAACAGCTTTATACGACGCCGAGTGGGAAGGCTTGGGAGTTGATGAGAGGGGAAGGGGGGAGGGCGTTTGATGATGTAAGTGGGCGGACTATTCTTTGTTGAAAATGCTGGGGATGATGATTTGGATAGTCGCTAAACGTTTCTTTTTGTACATTTGTTTGTCGCTGTTGTTGTGGTAGTACCACAACGCACACCGACAACAGACTTCCGCCTGGCCTTCCCCACCCTTGCCATTCATCCTGCGGACGATCCTCACACGTCTTTCGGCATCTACGAACCCCCTCCCGGTCGGATCGTTCATCATCGACCTAGGCTGCGGGGATGCCGAATTAGCAAGAGACTTGATGAACTCGGAAGTTGGGAGGGGAAAGGGGGTGAAAGTAGCGAGTTATGATCTGGTTGGGAATGTCGATTGGGTGGAATCATCCGCCAAACCTACTTCCACGAACGCAGAATCGGTGGATGGGGAGAAAGTGAAATCGAAAGGCCGAGGATGGGTCGTTCCCGCCGATTTCCTCAGTTCGATCCCCCTCCCAGGAAATCCTGGCGGGTCCGACCTACCAACCACTTCGGCGGAACCGATCGCGGTGTCCAAAGCCAAGAAACGTCGGGACAAGAAGAACGGTCTGGGGGCGAGTGCGGATCTGGTACCGGTCGGACCGGAGTTGGTGGATGTGGCTGTTTGTTGTCTGAGTTTGATGGGGATTAATTGGGTTGGAGGGGTTTATGAGGTCGCGAGGGTGCTCAAGGAAGGGTGAGTTTGGGTCGCTGCAAGATTACATCACTGGGTTTTGATTGCAGGACTGATCATTTGTGTCGAACCTGGTTGCGAATTTTTGAATATAGAGGAATCTACTATGTAGCCGAGGTGACCTCCCGACTGGTCGACAAGCCGGGTTTCATCGCTCTGATCTGTTCGTTCGGTTTCGAGTTGGTCGAACACGTGAGTCCTTCGTCACTGATTTGCACACTCAAGTATAGCGAAGAGACCTACTGACTCGTTGTGTTGCCCCGATCAGAAATCGCCTACAACCCATTTCGACCTGTTCGAGTTCCGAAAGACTTCGCCGTTCCCCCTGGGTAAGGTCAAGGGACAGGAAGGATGGTTGGAACGGGTCAAGAGCGGGGAGAAGGTCATGAAGGGGTGTGTGTACAAGAAGCGATGAGGTGGCCGGACGGCACGCGCGCGGAATTGCTTGCTGTATTTCGATGTGATGTGGTGCAAGTATATGGATATGCATGGCGCAAGCGATATCATCCCCGCGGTGGGAGGGACAGAGAATTCATTGGCAATTATGCCAAGGCTACGGCGGTACTCGGCATTGCTCATACATCAGGCAAGCATACCGCAATAAAGGAAAGCGGAAATGTCGAGCTCGCCATCTCACACCTGTTTCGCGCTTGCTTTGCCTCTTCATGTCGCGCGTGTACTGATACGGTCCAGGGTTCTTCGTCAACCTTTGATGACAGCGACTAAAGGTATAATGGGCAAGGGGGAAATGGCTTGCGAGTTTATGGAGTTGTACCAAGGTGACTCGCTGCCGATGTCGGGCTGGATCATGCATCCATATGGCGTGACCGATGGCTTCCTTTCACGTATAGTCCTCGTCAGATGTCGTGGAATTGACTCATTGTACGTTGGCAAACGGTGCGCATGTCGTTTCCTCTGGACGAAAGTTACACTTATAGGGATAACTCTGTAGATCCTATAGAGTACTAGTATATGAAAAGGAATATCATGGTACCGTCTGCCCTCGAACCCCTGGCTGTCAACACGATGTCCGACCGTACAAGCAACAACACACCTTCCGTTGGCAATGCTGGCTTCTCTATCGACGAGAAGTCTAGCTGGGGGACGGAAGGCGTACCGATCTTCCAAGTCGGCTGGGAAACATTGCTTATCCAGACGACCAAAGACGAGTTCGTTTTCTCGAACCACAACAACGCTGTACCAGGCGAGGAGTATTCCTTCAACTTATCTTTTCGGAAGGATAGCGTGCTAGTCAATTCTCAGGTCACCCGAGAGTCGACCGCTTTCATGCTGGAAAATGTTGTGGAAGCGAACGAACAGCAACAAACCCGCATCGTAAATGCGCGTGAGGCAATCTGGGCAGATATACGCTCTCGCGAGGAGAAGGCGAAGGTACAGCAGCGAGAGGTGATCGCTGAGGAGGAGAAGAGGCGACTAGCGAGGATGGCGGAGCATCTTGATCAGAAAAAATGGATTTACTCTTCGAGAGGAAGGAGAAGCCCCATTGAGAAATACAAATAGAGACACCGGTCGACAAGGTGATTGCACGTAGTGGCCTCCCGTACAGCTCCCCGTCCTTCTAGCCGCGCGCTGAGGGTGGCATTCCATTCCATGCTCTTCTGTCTGTGCCTTGATCGTCATTTGGTATTTATTGGTACTCTTTCGAAACTATGGACTACGAATATTTATGTACAAGTATATGACATCGCTACTTGTTGGACGTTTGGTAAATCTTCACACTGATTCTGATAAACATTGTTGCAGTGACAGTCGCTGCAGAAGGTCGTGAATTGAGGAGATCCCTGTGTAGTGGTTCTTGTATCATTGCTGAGGTCCAAGTACGTCGTTCGGCACAGGAAACCCTTCATCAACACATATCGCATGACACCTTGGCTGAATCGGCCGCACAGTTCAGCGTTGCCATACCGGCCAGCATATTTCAAAACGGAACAAAGGGAGTATTATTGTGATTTCGATCTGATAGTGCGAGAGCGCGTGAACTATGGCATTGAGCCGTTCTAACCATAATTTTCACCTCGATCCTGTTTGAAAGACCGAAGTTTACATGATTATAGGCAGATCGTGACGCTTCACGCGGACCAGAGTACTAGTCCAGTTCCTCCCTGAATCCGCCTGTCACTTTGCTGATCGGCGTCGAAGAGTAGGAAGATTAACTCGATCAGCAAGTCAGTTCGACGAGATATTCAAGCGATATGGACACAGTTCAAACATCGGACGAGAAGGAGTCCGAAATTAAAGGTGATTTAAACGGGCGAAGAGACAACTGTCGCTCGATATCAGTGAGCATTCAGGATGTTTAGAGCATTCAGGATGTTTGGGAGAGTCAAACCAAGCTAGAAGAGAAAGGGGAGTTACAGAAAGGCGAGTGGAACATCTATCATCAGGCGGCGAGATGGCCACGACGGGTCCACGTTCTGAGCAAATGGCGAGAGACGGTGGTCTCGAAAGTCGGTGTCCCGCGGCACGAGCGCCTCATCAAATGGGTCTTTAGGCAGTCTATCTGGATCGTATCGTTCTTTCTCTGTTGTATTCTTTATCTGTGCTGAAGGCTCATCTATCGTCTCGTATCGCCAAGTCTTGACACTATCGGCTGTTCCTACGAGGGATTGTACTGCCCATGAGAACGTACAAGAGGGCTCGGCCCTTCCTTTGTCATGGTTCTCAGGGTCATCGTTATATGCCATGTTGAGGTGACAACTTCAGCCACATTGAGACCGATTGAAATCTTGGAGACAGCTACAAGAACCATATTTCCACGTTGACCGTATCGATGTCCGCTCCTTTGTCGTAATCCGCTTCTCCAACCTCTTGCATATTGCTTCTCGCTGCGAATTCACTTGTATATATGTACAGAAATCATCCGGCTGAGCAAGCAGGCTTGATCTCAATCAAGAGGCGATAGGAGCTTGTATATCAATCTATCAACCAGGTCACATTCAAAAATCTCGGTATCGCGATGACTCACGCCAATACCCGTACAATTTCCAGAATATCCAGAGAATCCTACGGCACCGAAGACTATGAGGGACCCTACCTATTGAACCATACAGATAAGGACTTGTCAGAGGGCGGGAGTACTATCATGTTAGTCTCGTCGATGCCTGACAGAGAACAGGATCAAACGAGCAGCATTGAAGACAGCAGAACACTTCGAAGCAGGATTTCAATCAGCGATGATGGTCGAGGCGACATCGAAATCAAGTCCACATACACCAGAGAATCCACTCAAACGGCCTTATTCATGGCTTCCCTTCACGAGCGCGACAAACAGCGGAAGGCGCGTCTAGGGCGTTGTTACGATGCCATGTCCCGGCGCGAGCGGGAAGAACACGCTCGACGGTTCTCACTTCAGCAATTGGTATACCGGTACTATGTCGCTCTGCTTGAGAAAGATGACTCAAACGACAGTGTGAAACGCAAACATACCGCAAGCGGCCATGATCCGGATTCAAGCGAATTGAGGCAAGAGCTGCTTATCAAGGCAGTATCCAAAGCAGAGCGAGAATTGCCTCAAGCTGGGAAAGTCGATGACAGCATGAAAGCCTCGGTGGCAAAACTCATGTCAGCTAGGTCGAAGGCGGTTCGACATGGATCACATTGAAGTGTGCCAGAACTCCCAATGCCCGGACTGTTGTAATATAGACTGTTGTACTCGTCTGCGGTATCATCCGGAACGGCCATGTGATGTCAATAATTCAGAGCAACCTCGGCTGATGCTCTGCGGTATCTACTACTACATTCAAGAGTTCAGGATTCAACGGGCTCTGCGATACGAGATGAAGATATGGAATGACGCGAGACACTCAGATGGAGCAGCAGATTGGATTTGTGAGTCAAGCCATCGGAATGCACCTTGTGACTCCGATCCAGAGCAAGAATCACTAGTTGCACGAGGGAAGGTAAGATACCTTTGAGCTTCCTTTGTGCTTGACCTCTGGCGACGTGATCGAGGTGACGAGATTACCATGCGTAGTAACCTCCTCATGGCTATATATGCAAGATGTACAAAATTTCCTATCGTACGAGGCGTTGAATAATCGCTTTATCGTAATCAGACCTTTTGCATCATTACACTTCAACGCACAAACACAACATCATGACAGAGACCACATTCGTCCCATCGTCCCGGTCATACTGGACTCTGAAGAGCCTGAATGTGGCAGATGAGGACCGCATGGAGACACTCCCTGTTACCACCGGATCAGAGTACACCTACAAGCTGACTATGCTTCCTAAGAAGTCTGGCTTCTACATTGAGACGGATATCGTTCCGCTCGATGATGATTTCGTTCAGGTCACGGTCGATGGACATGACATGACGATAGACAGCGACTTCAGCGTACCAGAGACCCAGAACGTGATCACTAGCGTTCTACTCAAAGAAATCGCTTTGCGAAGCGATCTTAGTGACTGGCTGGTAGGAGCAAGCGAACTCCTGGCTGACAAGTCACCAGAAAAGGACCGTATCGAAAAGCAGGAACAGATCGAGAAAATGTTGGAAGTTTACCACCGTCTTCAGAATGAGAACGATGGAAAACTGAACAAGAATGAGGCCGCCTGCTGGATCTTCGATCCAGAATATTGGCAATACCTATGGACCGAGGAAGATCGCCTGCGTCTGAGGGAAAAGGTTGATGGAGTCTGTCGCATCTTGACTGATGTGCAGAAAATTGATCTTGTCGCAGCACAGATTATCGGGCAGACACTTCACCAAGCAAGGGGCCCAGAGATATGGGCGGTAGCCATCCAAGTCATGCAGGAGGCGCGAGATCGGCGAGACCGGAAAGAGTCAGCTCAGGCATACAAGGCTTGAGAAGAACCCTGTTTACGGTTCGGAGCGAGATTGGCAGTGAAGATATCGGATGCATATATGTACACTCAGAATGTCTGTAACTGAAAAAAATCGCCGCTTTCTTCTCGAACATAATAACCATTGTATCCTAGGCCTGTGAAGGGCTGAATTTAAACCGGGAGAGACGGCTCGACTCTGCGTATACACGGATATATCACTACACGCGGGATTTGTGATCTTAATGATGGTAAACGGGGAGACGATTCGGAAAGACCGTACTAATCGTAAAACATAGGCATATCATGCTGCTATCGAAACTCGGACCGATAGTCGAGCTCCCCCCAACACACTCTTGACTGGTACGATATACAGAACGGATAGTAACAGGACGGTATATAGCCTGGGTCGACCATACAAAGTATCAGCAATCAGTAACGCTATTTGGTCCCTATCGCGATACAAACCGAAGTGTCACGTTGTGATGAGTCCGCTGATTATCTACTGACATCCTCGTCACCAATTGTAACCACTACTGATCGCTTACCAAAGGCCAGCTTGAATTGATGAATTCCCCAGGGGACTCGAGTCTGGAGTCGATCGATGTCGATGGTTCTTGTTCACCGGCAGCGATCCGAGTTTACCCGAAAACGGCCGAATAGCGTGTTTCGATGATCACGTGGCTTCTACGCCATCGAGAGGCTGAAACCAACCTTCCCTTGTCCAGATCACCTCACCGAAGCGTGAAACACGGCAATGACGAGCTGAGAACCATAGATTTCACAGCCGAAAGGCATGTCGCACATTTTCATTACCAATTCTGCCGATGAGAATTTCAATTCCGTAGGCGGGAAGGGTGAAGCACGTCTTGGCTCGAGGTGTTCACTGCTTGACTAGTCAGCAAGACGTATATCGCGCCTTTCCACATTCCGATTTCTGCCCAAGAAACCGTCTGGAGGGGAGGAGGAAGTCAGGCAGGCGAGACTCCTTTCAGGTAATCCCTTGCGTCACGTCATCCTGTGACAGTATCTCTCTATCTCGTATTGTACGCTGTGTTAGATAGCTATATAAATCTGTGAGGCAAGAGCTTACACCGAGAAATATCTAGAAAAACAGCTTTGTGCCCTACTTTCCGCCATCCTTTCCCTCTCTGCTCAACCTGTGCATTATTCTTCCCAACAATGTCGAACGTAGATTTCACTCAGCTTGAAGGAAGCATCTACCCCAAGGAGGTCGGCGGCATTGACATCACGACTATCGATTTCTCGAAACAGCCGGAGCATACCTTTGCCGCTTACAGCAATGACGACGGGACCGTGACGGGTATCGACTGGGATCCCGCCTGGGACACAGAAGGTGCCAATGCTAGCGTTGTTGAAACATCTCAGCCAGACCCATCGAACGAAAGTAACGATGAGCCTTCTCCCGTAGCGGTCTTCGACATCCGTCCCGTTCCGGGCGAGACCGACCGAAAGAAAATCGTCAGCATGTCCTACCTTTCACCACTGAACCAGATTCGTGCAATCGACAAAGTCAAGAACTCTGCCACTCCCCTTGAGAAGGCCCGACTTGCCGATGCGCGCGCCGCCCTCCAGGACCAGAGGAAGGATCTACACAGGGAGATCCGAGACCTTTTGGAAGACTCGGATCCTGCAGAAGGGGAACGGTGTCTTGGTCAGGGGACTCACATCGGTAGACACGTCAATGGCGAATGGCACAGGGACCCTAGACGTCCGTCGGACGAGGACCAGGATATCCTATTTCGTCTGATTCACGCCATTGTTCAAGCTGAAGTTCCGGACGTTCGTCAGCTGGACGTCAAGGGACTCTTGCAACATACTCGTGCGAATTTCGGGAGCGGTCGCGGTTGAAGAAACACGCCCTGATATTCCGCGCCCGGAAATCTTTTGCGTCGTCTTGCGTTTTGTATTTTCTAGTAGCATGTTGAATTATCCAGGTTGTGCACCACTGCCTGTGATCAAATTCTAGTAGAGAATGTTGCGAGAGTCCTATATATTCGTTCGTAATTACTGTGTTGGCTGCATGTTGCATATGGTGTAGATATCAAAAAGGATCTAGCCAAGATCCGTTGTCACCCTGTCTGATCGCCTACCAATGTGATATAATCAGGACTAGCTCTGAGTAGATCGAAAGCCGGCGACCAAGGAGGACAGAGCGTCTTTTCGTCGATTCTCCTCTTAGGTAGTCACGCCCCATTATCCCCCAATCGATACTTTGATTTCCTCGTCTGTGGGAATATGCTGGAAATCAAGCTTACAGTACTAGAGTATATCGATGTGTGATCAGGTGCTGACCATATATGTGTCGGTATCTCGACTCGACCCTGAGCGTGCAGGCTGTTCAAGGAGGCAAAAGACCATAACAATCGAAGGCCGATTAGCGAACTGGATTCACAGCAGAGGTGACTTACTGCAGCCACAGGGGGTGATCTTGTGCCGATGTTGAGAATCATGGATAGCACAGCCCAAAGGTATCGGGCGCCATTTTCATTCCGATTCTTTCCGATGAGAACCCTATGATGGCGGTGTCGGCACTTGACGAGTTTGACTTCCTTTCAGCTCGATATCTTGATCTGACAATGTATGGCTAGCGATGTATCGCTTCAGTCATACCAGTCTCTATATGTATGGACATATATATATATCACTGTCGATCCCTCAGTTTGAAAGTTATTTGAGGAGGGTCAGCTCACTTTTAACAACACATCGTCCAATAGCATTGAACAAGTTTGTTGACATGACGACCATTCCTTCTTCCCAGGCTACCGATGAGGCTTCAAGCATATTTGACAATGCAACCCCTGACTCCTTCAATGTGTACTGGTCTGACGCGGCGTTGCGAATCGACTTCGTACCGGAGGGAGCTGATGGCTCGAGCAGCGTCGCGACCTGGCCGCCGACCAAGATTGACGATGACGACACCAAGCCGCAGTCTCTGTGGGCATTGACTCTCGGCTACGACATCAAATCCGACGATACGGAGCAGCTCGGGTTGATCATATCGGAATTTGAAGATCCAAAGGTACAATTAGAGGTGGTCAAGAAAGCGAGTCGCAAGGTTGGCCTGGACGAAAAGGTTGCAAGGAGACTCGACGTCGCGGACAAGGCGTTGTCCAAAGATATCGTGAAACGGAACCCCCGGATCACACGATACTGATGTTGGTGGCGGTAATTAGCCTTCAGACGCACATGCTATCGGGACGATGTCACGACCGCTGATGGTTCTTTCTCTTAGCTCATAGCACTTGTTGAAAGCTGGATTTTGCTTGTATTTGAAAGTAGCTAGGTGGACATGGTGCTACGTTTAGGATTGTACAGGCAGATGGGCATACATTGGGGCGAGTTTGTTCAGAGAATGGAGATTATCACATCACCCCTTTGCATATGTACGGGACTCGAATGCGGTGTGGCGTTCTTGAAATCTTCGGTTGCGTTTTCGCTCTGCCGAAACCGAGTTCCAAGATCTCACTTGACTCCTTCTGGAATGATGCATGACGAGCAGAACCGAGTGTTACTACCCTAAGTCTCGTCAAGCATCAAGGAAACTAGAGGCGAGCCTCCGTTGTTGCGTCTTTGGCCTTATATCTCCGATGCATGTCCCGGTGGCTTGAACTGCCTTTACGGCGACCTCCTTTGTCCGTTCCTCCGTTGTGAGTGAAGTGGTGCTCCATTGACTGACACTCTGGTCATCAATGGTATGACAGCACATGCTCTCGCGGCCAGAGTGTACTGGGTTTCTCCTCAAGGTATCAGTAGCACAAGCTGCGGTTGGACTTGATACATAAGAAGCTAGGGATCACCACCAACTGAACCAATATCTTCAACAACACGAAATGCTGTCATCCTGTCATCATCATCCTATAGTAATCTACCAGATCCCTGTCCGACATGTCCACCGTCAGCCTCTCACAAATCCCCAGCGTCTTCCTCAATCCCGATCCAGATACCGGTATCGATATCCATGCGATCGACCTCGCAGGGGAGCATCCAGAATCCTTTTCAATTTATGGCCCTGAAGACGGATCTATGCTTGCTATCGCCTGGGACTCGTTGTACGGTTACGATGGCACAGAAACCGTCGACCCGAACGCTGACAACAGCAAGATGACGGGCCCGAACGGCGAGAATGACGATGACGGCGATGACGGATCTGTCTTCCTCATGAGCCTGAATTTTCAACCCTCAGAGGGAGGTCGAGATGGGTACGAAGAAATCAGAAGTAGCTCTGATCTTCCAACGGCAGATCAGATCTGCGCTATCGACAAGGTCAAGACCTTCACTACCGGCCCTTTAAGTGACCAACTCGCCTGTGCGCGTGTCGCGTTACAAGCGCGAGAGGCTCTCTTACAGAGGATCCGGGAGCTGCTAGAGGTTTCAGATGCGGCTGAAGGCAGACGATGCTTCTTCAACAAGGAGAAAGACGGAGTTGGCAATCTGGTTGCAGACCACGTCCTCGAGGTTCATTGGAATCACCCGGAACGTTTCAGCATACAGGTCGATGTCGTTCATCGCTTGATACATGCGATTTGTCGAGCGGAAATCGAGAATGTCAGACAGCTCAATGTGTCCCAGCTGTTGGACTATACTCAATCGACGTTCGAAAGCGGTGATGCGTCTGGCTGAACCATGTGGTAGAAAGATATGATTGGCTGTATTATTAGATCATTGAAAGCTATAATTTTGGATTAGTCCTTGATCTCCTCGCGCCCGCTTACAGCAGCATCGCCATGAAGTCCTACCGATGATTGCAGGCGAGTTTTCGCTCTCAGACCCACCGCAGAAACGCAGGCTCGTTGGATTTACGAGCGCATTGGCCAAATGAATTAGACGCAGTCTTGGATATGTCTTGGAATGGTACTCAGATCGTAGTCGAAAGAGTCACAGCGTCGAGTCTGGGTGAGGATAGGTGATCGATGACGCGCGGGAGCTAAGCATCCCCGTCGGGGGGAAAGCGCCACAACATCCTACCGAAACGACCGGGTCGACCGACTGTCGCACCAAGTGAACATCGAATACTATAAGATGGTGGGCGATGACTAGAATGGCTGTAATCTTGGTGGAAATGGTCATGTTGTTGTTCCAGCTCCTCATTGTCGACTGCCAGTATCGCCATGCCGCCAACCTCTATCGTCACGTACCGCAACCCTATCATACCCGGCTTCAACCCGGACCCATCGATCATTCGAGTCGGGTCCGACTACTTTCTGGCAACATCTACTTTCGAATATTACCCCGGTGTGCCGATATATCACTCGAAGGATCTAGTCAATTGGGCGTTGATCGGGCATGCCCTGACGCGTCCTTCACAGTTGGATATGAGGACTGTCGAGCCGGGCGGCGGAGTCTGGGCGCCGACGCTGCGTTTTCATAACGGACGATTCTATATGACGACTGCGGCGGTACATCACCTCTCTTGGGGAGATGTAAGTATCGGAAAGTCCGAGCGACGAGTATCATTGAGCTGATTCTATTCTTACTTTCTTCGTTTGCTCGTCCGGTCCTTGGCTCTTGTAGCACGGTGGACATGTCGAACCACGCGGATTCTACGTCTGGACCGAGAACATCTTTGACGAAAGTTCTTGGAGTGATCCGATCTACTTTGACAACATCGGATTCGATCAAGACGTCAGTAGTGTCCGTCTTCACTACTTTTGATCGGGATCTCCGCTCACCGACTAGTTTTCCATCAATTCGCTTCAGCTGTTCTTCGACGACGATGGAAAAGTCTATATATCCACCTCCCTGAGGACACCCCGTGGAGAAAGAAGACCCACAAAGTTGGACTGCATCGCCGTCTTCGGGAACGAGATCGATATCACCACGGGTCGTAACCTCTCTCGGCCCGTCCTGTTGCGCAAACCATCGACGACCAACGTATCCGAAGGTTCTCATATCGTCAAGAAAGACGGCATGTACTACCTGCTTACTGCCGATGGCGGGACGGGGGACTTGCATCAAGTCTGGGTCTCTCGAAGTACTTCTCCAATGGGTCCTTATGAGGCGGGTCCGGATTGCCCGATCGTCTTTAACGATCAAGACTCGCTGGTTCGCACGACGGGACATATGGATGTCGTACAAGATGAATCAGGCGGATGGTGGGCAGTCTTGTTGGCCGCACGACCTCAGACCGACTCGAAGGGTGTCTTGATGGAAAGTCATCTTGGAAGGGAGACTTTTTTGGTCCCGATGGTCTGGCCGGAAGGAGGCTGGCCTGTGGTGAACGATCGCAAGATCGTTTCTACCGTTGGATCGGTTGTTAGTGGTTCGATCGCAAAGCAAGACCCAATTCGACCTTGGCGAGACGGTTTCGATCAAGGTATGTCGCGTCGTTCACACATTCGGCGTGGCTGTTGTTCCGGTCCGACCACTCATGCTGATTCGAGCGAACTTATTCTGACAGATACCCTCTCGCTGGGATGGTATCACCTTCGTACACCCATCAAGCAAGACTGGGATCTCAAATCCCGGCGCCTTACCCTGTACGGCAACCCTTATACTATCGATCAACAAGAATGCCCAGCCGCCCTCTTCCGCAAACAAACAGCCTTCACGGGGACCTGGACTACGGAAATCGATTTCGACCCCGATCATCCAGGCGAGGAGGCTGGAACGACCGTTTATTGGAGCAAGTATGCGTTCATGGCGGCAGGATTGAGAAAATCGGAGGAAGGAGATGGTAGATACGCTTTTCTGCGGTGGTACGACCCCGATACCGGGGAACATCAAGTGAGACAAGTCATCCATGACGAGAGATGTTATATGCATGACGGCGTCGAGCTGAATAAAGGTCTTTCCCGTTGGCTGAACAGGAAAAACGTCGAAATCTAGATGAGACGGATTCGAAACCGATCCAATTCAAGATCGAAGCCCGTCCCCAGACCTATACATTCTCCTTCAACACGATGGCTCCAGACGCACCATGGATCGATCTAGGAGAGCTATCCACTCGAGTTCTCGTAGATCAGAAAACACGTGATGCCATTTTCACAGGCACTCATTTCGGACTTTACGCGCAGGGGCATGAGGGGACTTCGTGCTCACAGCCTGCTTCGTTCAGTTTTGCCTGTTTTACACCTGATATAGAGCAGGCGGATTAGTTTAGCAAGGCAAAACTCCTATATCTGTATCGGGTCGCGTGTTCATTCGCTGGTAGTAAGATGTTGTGCATGATACAACGAGATAAACTACAAATTGATCGCCGGTGTCCCGCCTCGTTGCCCCAGACATCGCTCAGCAAGCAAGACGTATGCCTCGGGATCCAACTCGAAATCGATCCCTTCCTCTTGTACCGCCCAGATCAACCTTTCCATTTCTTGCGTGTTCTCGAATTCGAGAGAGGTCTTGCGGAACCCGTTCTGGGTAGCCGCGAGCGCTTTCGTGTATCGCTTAGGCGCGATGTTGATAGTCTGCAAGGGCGATTTCTGTGTGGCGGGAAGCGAAACCAAGGACGACGAGTGGTAACGCCCAACTACGTTATCCAGCGTCTTCGTGCGATGCGGACTTCGTACGCACAAGGCGAAGATCGAGAGCATGGTGTTCAAGTCCGGGTTGTCAGTCATGCTGATGTTAGTGGGATCGGGATTTGGAGGGGTAATTCGATAATCTTGGAGCTCGATGCCGATCACGTTGGAGGAGGCAGTAGAGGATGTCTCAGATTATCAACGAGACGATGTCCAATAACAGCTACGGTTTGGGCAGAAACGTACTGATCTGTTATCCTGTACTTATAGACGACGAGCAGAGCATCGCTCGACCGGGGCTCGCCATCTCGCTTCAAGTGGAGAAGCGTGACGACGGTGTCACGCGAACAAAGGAAGCTCTTGAGATGGTAAATATTCCCCGTTTAACGCAATCGCATACCAGATTTCGCTATGGCACAGCCGACAGACGTGACGATGCGGTTCGACAGCACGTTGATGAAAGGAAGCGCGCGCTACTTTTCATGTTTCACCTGATTGTCGCGCTAAAAATCCATGGGAGCACGCTACATCGCCTCGGCTCACATCAGGTTTAACGACATTCGTCGTCCTTACTGGCGGTATCGCCGACTAGCAGAGTAGTCCTATATGTATCATAAGCATATCGTGACAAACAAGCAAGCGATACTACTCGTAGATAGACGAAACCGCAATGTTCGTCAGAGAGCGGTGAGTGTTTCAGAGAGATCGTCCCTCAAACACCCGAAAATAGCATCAGAGAACACAATATTGGCATGATAAATCACTGATCAGCTCGTCATATAGCCCAAAAAATTCGGTAGCTAGTATTCCTTTGTCACATCTCCCTTTCCCCTGGCTCGCTTCTCGCTTTACTTCCTGCATAAGACTTCTCCGGTGAATCCGCTCTCAAATCCCTCCTGCCGTTACGCTCTCTGGTAGATCTCCGTCCTTATCGTTCGGGTTGACAGCTTGTTGCTTCTGTACAGACAAAGGGCTACGGTCTGCTAGATCTGCCAACTGCTGGCCAGGAGCGTCTTCAAGCACCAGCTGTCGGTCCTTGTCCGTGTTGCTGTCGAGTCCTTCGGTCTCGAGCTTGTTCTGGATTCTGAGTAACTTGTCGTGCATATCACTTCCTCGAGGTACAAAGGAGAGGGCTTCGTTCACGTATGTTGTTAGCACTGAAAGGTCCTCATACTGGGGTTGCTCGAGGGTTGGCTCGTTGTTGTCGAAGGTCCATGTTGCTATGTCGTAATGATACGACTGGATCTGAAGAGATCTGCCTTCATATTGACTGATGACGGTCACGGGGTCTTTGGTCCAGCTCCAGCTGTCCTCTCCCCGCATCGAAGACACTTTATAGGTGTTGATGGATGTGTTTGTCATGATGAACTGATTGTCGAGAGTCGAGAGACTGAGATTAGGCGCCATCTCACCGCCGTGTATCAGGGGCAGACGGTCCTGTTTATATACACCTACCCGCCGTTTTAGAGAATCTATCGGAAGACAACGAGTATGGCTGTTCCCCATGTAATTGAGCTTCTCGATGGAAAAACAGTGCCGGACATCCCTTACCTTGGCCTTACGCCATAAGAACCATATCGAAGGCTCGGGTCGCTCACTCTCCCAAGTCTACTGCGCGACGAACGTGGTACCTGCTACCTTTCATATATCGGCAACCATGTATTGCCGAACGCCTCGATCTCTTCTCGAGACGCGCGCGGTGTGATGCTCCTTCAGCGATGGGCGCTTCCCTTGTCCGCATCCTTTACCTATCTTTGCCCCTAAACGCTGCCCACGAGCCTGTTCACAATAAGGCAGGTGTCGGAAGTGTTCCCGGTACATGCTTTCAGGATGACGACAACGCCAAGTGAACTGCAGGATCCTACGGATTGCATAGAGGACGAATTCCCTTGTCTTTGCGTGTCCATTTACTGTTCGGAAAGACATGCTGTTGTATCATCCATCTCTGCAACAACGGAGTTAGACATATGCTAGGAAAGTTTGACTGATACATCTTGAGAGTAGATGAAAGAGGACAGCGCCAGCAACAATCTTGCAATCTCATGCTAGTGGTATTCTCATCTCAGATGCTCAATGCGCCTGTGTCGAGACGTAAATTACATCTTGGGGACAGATGATCTAGCAGGCTGCAGACTTCAATATGCCGATCGCCAATCAATCTAATTTTGCAGATCCATAGTTCTCCGCTATTCACATGAGTATATGCTGCGGGTCATACATATACTGCGGAGGCGGATGATGATGATAATGATGACGTTCCGCTATGTAGCAAAGAACCCATTCGACTATAGATTCCATGTCCATCGCAAGTCGATCAAGGAGTTGCGCGTCGTCAGACTCGCTCGAATCCTTTGCGTGCTCCCAGATGACCTGAAGCAGCTGCTTTTTGGCGTCGTCATACGATTTAGCCCGATGACCATGAAAAGGTACCAAAACGGATTGCCTACCGCCAGGGAGAGAGTTCCCTCTCGACAGCACGAACTGATCAAAGCAATTGTAAGATCGAGCCTGGACCGTTTTCGCGGCTTGCTTTCGCCCGACTAGCTTTCGCTCCGGCGAAATCAGCGACTCACTTCCCCTAGAGCTATCGAACCTCGCCACAATCTCTCCTACCGATGGAGGATAACGATATTGCCAGTATCTGGCTCGCGGAGCAAGGCTGATCGGCAGACCCCCTTCAGTGTTGAAGTATTGTCTGGCGAACTCAAGCCCAGACGAGATCGTTTCCGGTGAATCCTCACCGTGTCGGATCCCCGAAATGAGACTGCTGTTTCTGTCTACAGTGAACGATAAGACACTGGCCTCCTCTGAATGTCGCCACGGTGGCAATGGTTTTGATCTTTCGTAGATCAGATACGTGATGGGTGCGCCTAAAGAGGAAGGCATGGTATAGGCAATGAAGCTCTCGGAGGCTACCGAGTTCCGACTCGGGGCAGGCAATCGAGAGTCTGACATTATCCTTCAAGATCTTGCTAGCTATGCGGCCAAGTTCTGAAATTCGCTTGCTCATAGGCCGTTCGCGGGACACGGGTTAATCTAGGCTTTAAGTCAAGTCGTTCTAGACTGACGATCAAACACAGTTCCTTGAAAAGTCTAGCCTTCCTTTGTCCGATAGGGGTTCAATCGAATCGGCTCTTGAGGCCTCATCGCGTTGCCAAAGGGATGATCCTCAACAGAGCAACCGATCAAAGCCGATGCTGTTCGCGTGTCAAGAACTAAAGCTATGTCTACCCACAGGGTACACGGGTCTGTTCGGATCTCGTTCAATCGATGCTCTTTGTCAGGATGGACGGGTCAGAAGTTGAGGGTTAGGGGTTAGGTTACATACGGTGTCAACTCGCTTCGAATCTCGCATCTTCATCTCCGATGCTGTGTGTATGCCGAATAGGAAGTCTTGACATTGCCAGATAACAGACCATGCTCCGATCTGATGATGCCGTCGGACACTATCAAGATGGATCCATTGCCTTCCATCATCCCAAAACATCAATATTGATTGAATGAGAATCTCAATATGATGTTTTTCTAAGCAGCCACACTACAAATACACTCTAAAAAGTCGACAAGGTCAAGACGATTTCGACTGGGCTGGGCCGTAGCGCTCGGCCATACACTTAAGCGTACGAGGTACTAAATAGCTCATCGCGTCCCTCAATTGCTCCAGCTCCAATACGTCTTTCTTGACTTCCAGATAGCTTGAAGTAGCTGAGACTTGGCCTTCTCTAGATTTCGTTTCGCGAGACCATTCAAATACTTTAACAATGATATCGTACCGGTGTCGGGATCGGTTTTGCTCGATTCCATAAAGGATTCGAAGCAGATAGAGAAGGCTAATTGTACGTTCTTTGCTGGCTCGCTCCTTTTCTTGGTGAACTTTTGTCCCTCTGAAATCTGTACCTGGGAATTCCATAGCTCGTTGGCCAATGCTGCAATGGCTTGAATAGAATCCAGATCATCCGACTTTGCTCGCTCGAGATCGGATCTGATCCCATGGCTCTCCTGTTCCCATCTGTTGATTGCCTCCTCGGCCAAGAGAAAACCCCGCCTCGACCGTATCCGCGGTCGAATTCGAAAGCCCAGGGTAATAAATGGCCCTCAAGATATCGTTTTTTCTGTCGAAAATGAAGGACATCACAGCGCTTCTCTCAAAATCAGAGCCTGGCAGTGGTGTAGATCTATTGTAGACGGATAAAGCGGTATTACCGTTCGACTGATGACTGGTGTATGCAATCAAGTGGCTAGTATCCGAAAGTGTCATAGGCACTGAGAGCTGAGAGAAGTCAGAGCCTATGTCAGGCAGGGGTAGGTAACGGTATGACATTGCGTGCTGCTGATATTTGAAAGGCTGCTTGTCTAGCTTTTGCTGTTTGCTGAAAGAGGTGAAATCGTAGACCCTCAAGGCTCTTTCGTAATCCCGCAGAGCTCTAAGACTGGTATTAGTAGACAGATAGGGTTATACCGATGGCGCTTCCTTTGTTGATGACAGTGGTCCGAGTCGGTTCTCGCTGGCTGCTTATGTGTTCAAAGGGATTTTTGTCAATGAGACAACCGATTAGCGCCGTTAACGTCCACCGGATACAATTGCGATCTTCAGGATCATTTGATTGCCGATTTGTGTGAAGCTGTTATAAGCTATAAGTTACCATATACCTAGACGTAACTTAACGGCGAGGCAGTAGTATACAGCGTGACCTGGTGCCTCAGCTTGTACGGGAAGATGCTGGGCAAGATATAGATGGCGCCAAGTGGCCACAATGGAGATATAACCTTGAACTAAGCAGGGTCTTCCGCATATTACCGGCACATAAGCTGAGTTCCACAATATTGCTAAAGTGTTCTGCAATAAACATTCGTAAGAAATGATGCCGTCGGAAGCAAAACTTTGAGTTTCAGCCTTTCCTAGTCGCAGTTGGCTATGACCTAGAACAAGACGATGACTGGCAACGATCTGAGTCAAATCTCAACATGTCATTCTAGAGGTCATCGATCGCTATCAATGTATACAACGAGGCTCGTCTTTGTATGAAGATGGCGAGAACGGCTCATAATCTCTAGCAGAGTCTGAAATCAATGCAGCGCGTCAGGGTTTTAGTCGGTCTTTTCCCTGCGAGAGATGTATTTGAGTAGCTCTATGATGAAAGCTCTCAGTATTTGCTTCAGTTGGTCTTCATCCATGGTCTCCAGTCCGTCTATCGTATAGTACACAGCGTATGCTAGACTTCGCCTGGCACGATCTTTATCCGCTCTGTTCGTTCTGCGGGAAAATGTGCCGTCCAAATCGGTCAACTGTTCATGGCATTCCTCAATGACTTGAAGAATGCGATTCCAGGCCAATCTTGCGGGGACTCCGAGGTGTTTGGTCGACGCATCGGAGTTGATCCAAATTTCCTGATACCTGATAGAAGCGGAGACGACCTTCTGGTAGTCTTTCAAGATGGCCGGAAGGTTGTTGGCTGGAAACAGGGGATGTACAACAGCGCACGCAGCTACTCCAAGGGCCTTCATCAATCGCTGTTCGTTGCCTGCGATGGGGTACATCACATCACAACCGCTAGTGCCAGAGAACCTGACCTTGAGAATGGATTGGCCATTCCTTCCGTCCTCGTGGCTCGAACTATGGTCGATGTCGTTTTCACTTCCCGGAATATCCAACACCCATGTGCCAGATCGGTTGTCGAGTGTACCTGCGAAAGCACTATCCCAGCAGAATAGGATGGGTTGGACTGTTGTATCAGTAGTCGGATCGTAATCTGTTCTGAAGCTGAAAGACACGTCCGTGGTGGCGAGATCGTAGGAAGCGGAACACGCTGGCATCAGACTCATGGTGGAGCAGCAGTCCCTTTGGTTTTTACTCGCCTCCCTGCGAATGCGGGGGAGAGGAGAGCTTACAAAAGGGTCATCATCTTATAGGTGACGCGGAGTTCTATGTCCAGAACCCCAGAGGTTACCTCTCCTTTGTGCCACATAATGGTAAAAGGTTGTCAAGGGTGAACAAGTTTCACCCTACGGAGATCATCTGGGGACAAGGAGAGCTGTTACCATCCCAATCTTCCCTGTGATACACGAGTGCGTCACCAGCAAGATTAGCGAACATGCCCGTAGCGACCTCAGATCCAGGCAATCAACTCGAGTACGTTCCCGTCGATGGTTGTCCTTGTTCACAGTATTCATCGTCAAAGTCGAGGAAAGATGAGACTGTCTCGGCTTGAAGTCTCTCCTGCGGGTGTTTGTCGAGATACTGATATGCTGCGAGACTAATACTATACTCATACGGTAAATCTTGTAAGCTAATTTCGAGCTATTTTGCTCCCTCATTCATGGTCTGGTCAAATGTTGTAACTGCTCATCCTATTGAAGGGATACGCCGGAGAAGTGTTGTTCGATGGCGGAAAGGAGGTAACGGTCTGCCGCTTACTTCGTTATACATGTGTTTGGAATGGCTCATAGCAGTGGGATCCATGATTACAAGAAGAAAGTAAATCAGGCTCAGGTCGTCACGCCAGGATAATCGAGATGGCCAGGCGCCTCTGTCCGCCCCATGCTCAGTCTCGCCGTAATGAATGGAGTCAGGCGATCTATCAAGTGTACCATCCGCTGATCAGCGTCAAACATCAGGTACCGATTCTCAGGTGGCAAATGCGCCCAGATGGCTCTGCAAAGACACTTGACATTTCGCTCTCTGGCATGTTTGGTGCTGGCTGCGAAAGGCGCGAACCATGTCAAATCCGTTCCAGCCTCGACTTGTCCCGCTACAGACTCGCTGAAGGCTGCTGCTGTCTGCCTCATCTCCTCCTGAGTATACATGGACCTGATGGGGATACCTTCCGCTTGATAATTGAAAAATGTATCGCAGATCTTCTGTAACATATCGTTCTGGATTGGGCGGTATGGTTCTGACCGTCGAGTGGCTTCTGCGTTTCCTCCTTGCGCCATGTCATGAAGCTGCTTGTGCACTTGTGTGCAGTTTGGGTACTCCGTATACACGATATCCCTGGCGAATGCAAATGCGCAGCTTCGAGGAACAGTGACCGAGGGATCGTCCAACCGTGTAAGGCTGTCATCTGAAGGATCGATTCTTAGGATAAGACATGATCCGGCGTTGCCTTCGTCAAAGATGTTCCAGCGCGTAGATCCATCGCTCGTCCGTATCACTGTTGCGACGTAGTCATCGTAACCTGGCATAGTCCAGTGGAAGAGGTTTGACCGGGCCGTATCAGCTGTATTCGATGGCACATGCTCAGTATAAGTAGAATCTTGACGTGTATGGATCAGATCCGCGTGATCGAACTGTGACATAGTTATCTTGACTTGTATGTTACCTGATTTCCTGGAAATTGTGACTTGGGTTGAACGGACTGACCGGCACTACCGTGAATGTGAGTGACAGTCGCTGTAGCGGGGGAACTCTACATATATAGACTTCTACCTGATTGTTCTCTGGAAAGACCTCCTTTATTATCATTTAATCACCGTCAAAACTCCGATTTCGAAAGAAACTTATATTCAGCGTCTTGAATTACTCTGATCTCTATAGACTCGTAAGGACGGCCGACCTTCTCGAGATGACGTGGGACACTCTTGTTCACTGAGCGTAGAGTTTTTGGTGAGAAATGTTTTCCGCTCCCTCTGACACGATTCGGACAATATCGGATACAGTAGGTTGCGGGAACTCCACAGGCGCCAAACCCCTATCCTGCGATCAAATGATGCGCTCGATCTTCGATCGATCTCACTGCACGCCAGGAAATCAGTACAAGCGTTGAGGTATTTTGTTAGACGCAGAGCAGCGTCGACCCGGATGTAGGCAGTTCTGAAGATCACGTTTGAAGATCGTGATCTGACTGGCACTCAGATCGATTCGGTCGATTGGCATTATATGATCCGCATGACCGGGGCTGAGAAAATGATGCCGTCTGGTATGGCTTTGCTACAATAGGTCTTTGAGATTTTGTTGAGTCACTCGCTGATCATATCTTCTGACCTGGGACAACTTGGGGACCGTAAAAAATCTGCACGGGGCATGCAAACAGTCTGTCGAACTGGGCTTTTTCTGAGACGGTATGGAATCCAGAGCATTTCAGCTTGTTTCCGTGAGGTGTCCAATAACACGATTTGGTGTGCGTCTTGTTCCAACTTCTCTTGGTGATCTGCGTATCGATATGAATATTCAAAGGTACAATGGTATGGAAAGCTTACGACTGAGCTCCAAAGACATTACCATCGCTTGTTGCATGTATGGCATCACAAGGCTCCACTATGCGCAAGAGCCATTTTCGCAAGAATAGCCACATCAAAATGGAACTAAGGTTTCGATTACAGCGAGTTGTCTTAAAAACGTCTGAACTAGGTTCCAATGCCAATACACCGTTTGCAAATGAAATTCTATCTGAGAAGCCATTGTTGTCCTTCTCAGATGCCATTCTCTATCGTTTCTAATGCGACCTTCTTGCGGCCGTCGCTCGAGGCTTCGTCTTGACTGAAAATGAGGCAGTCGTGAGCGGGACAACTAGCCGCCATAGACGGTCCACGCGGTTCCCAGCGCCAAGATCTTCTACTGCTATGTCAGGCATAATGCAGCAGAAAGCTTGTACTGCACGTTTCACTGTGTCAGCCCTTGTGCCCTTTCTCTTGAAAGCGCCTAACTCTGGGACAGTCAATTCACCACGCGCAAGCACAGCGCGGTCCTTGAACTGATTGTATTTGTCCCCATCGAAAATTACCTTTTGAAGGCTTTCCTTAACCTTGAGAAGGCAATCCTCGCTGAAGGCTGGTAGATCCGCAAAATCGGAGTCCTCTGTCATCTGGCGAAACTTCCCTGCGATTTTGTCTGCTAGGCATTGCTCTTGAGTTTTGTCTATCTCTGCCTGGATCTTCGAAATGACTCCAGTCAGATCTGGAAACTCCGATTCGATGGTCGTTTTAGCGTGGTTAAGGCCTCCCAGCTGATCCATAGAAGTGCTATCTTGAGTGAAGGTAAGATGGCACAGAGCATCTTCCCGCGTTGAGAACTCGCATCGCAAGATTGCTGTGTCAGTGTCTGGAATACCGTTCGTAGAATTGGTGTCCCGTGCGTAGACAATCATCGCTCTACGCCCCGAGGCATCATCCGCCAGTAGACCGCTTGTCGTACCTGAATTCATGTCTCGCGATAAGGTACTGGTAGATTGTGGGTGAGGAGAACCATCGAGCCCGGTCTGACCAAGAATACAATCTCGTATCGGATCAAAGACCTGGTATGAGAGGATGTCCGGAGGCGATTCCAGGGTTTTGTGGCTGAGTAGAGACATCTCGATGACAGAGGTTGTCCAGCTTGTACAAGTAAAGAAGATTCGATCAAGATCTAGATAAGAGAAAGACCGGATGATCGCATGTGAGCTGGCATCGATATATGAGTGAATTGCGGGCTATCTCAGTGCGTTAGATGAGGCCTAACACTCCTTTGTCGTTGTCGTTTCTGCTGATTTCGTGATCACACCGTCCGATGATGGTGCCATCCGTACATCCACACTATACGTTTGATGACGTGATATGGTGCAATCCATTTGAAGTGGCGAATTGCCCTCTATCGCAGAGACTGCGCTCAGGGCAACATCTTTCAGGCTCTTTGCTCGCCCTCTTAGTTATTATATCATGTATAGATTCAGCTACCGTTGACTTTTGGGTGGAGATACATATTACGCGCAAGCGCAAATACCACTATGTACAAGGCCTGCTCACACACGGTTCATCAACGAGTACTTCCCATCTCCCAATCTAATGTTCCTGTGACAATAATCGCTTACAGTGGTACATTTTCTTAATTCGACGAAGCCTGAGATTACCCAGGCTTCGAGTTCCTCTTGCGGGTTTCTGTCGAAAGAATAGTATGCTAGCGGATACAGAATGAGGATACCTATGATACAATGACGTAAAGAGTGGTTTCGCTTTCTCATTGTTCCGTGTCTAGTGTTCAATAACAATAGGGTTTGACATGAATGCCTTCTTATAGCTCTTCATCGGGACCGGAAAACGATCGGGCCGGACTCTAAAGCAGTATACGGACAGTATTCAGATAAATCTATCGGAGAAGATACAGCTCTCAAACGACCCAAATATGGCGCACGACATAGTCCCTAGCCATGTGTCTACGAAACACATTGTAAATCTGTTTCTTCTGCCTGTATCAAGTCTATCTATGGGTTGTTTCGCATTCGGTCTTCACTGTACTTCGACCTGATAGCGTCCGCCACTTCCTTGATCAGGTCTGGTTCCAGTTCATCCGGTTTGGGATTGAAAATGCCTTTCCCAGGGCATCGAGTGCGCTTCTCGATGACGCGAGCCAATATCTTGATATTGTTCGAGGGAATTTGGAAATTGAATCGATCAAAGGGGACTCTTCTGTCGTCGTGGTCGAACAAGACTTGAGTGACATGCTTGAGGATACTTTCCAGAACGTCCGTCCAGCGTACTCCCGTGAGCCTTGTACCCTCGATCTGAACGAGAAAGGCATCTCTCATCTCTTCCGTCCAGGCCACTCGGGCTGCTAACAGCTCGTCCTGCGCATTCCATCCTGGCGGCTGACCCTGAATACGGTAGAATCGGTCGGGATAGTCTTTCTTCACCAGGCGGCGGGCAAGGGCGAAAGCAGAATCGATAGTTTGGGAAGGCTGAGCGGTATCCACATAAAAGTTTGTGAGCTGGTCGCCATTGATGTCGAAAGCCAAAACGGGCAGGGTGGATGTTACATCGCTCCAAGACACACCAGAAATGTGGCTTGGCTCGCTGCGGCGCGTGTCATCAGGTCGCTTGCCGTATCTGTGTATGCGGTAGGTAGTCGGCCTTCGCCTGTTGTATGTCGAAGAGGTCTCGGCATAGAATTCAGATCCAGCTTCGGTCGTCCGGCCGAACGATATCTCGCTGGCGTCCAAACCTAGCAAGGGCAACTTCTGGTCGTTCGAAGCCGGCGAAGGTGTTGGTGCTGCCATTCTTGTGAGACGTGGTGAGCGTTGCGAATGCAAATGAGGAGGGCCAAACAGATGCGGTGCAAATCGTTGGGATTGGCTGCAACTGGAGTGTGCATGATTCTCTTCACAAGACTGTTAAATATAGAAAGCTTGCGATTTCCAGCAGGAAACTTCCATTAGTGATTCATTGACCAGCGTCACGCGCATTCTTAATTGATGATTCTCAGCGACTTCCCAGTCCGCCTCGCCTGACAACCGCAGAGGGACTTAGATCGGTCCAGTGTTCCTTTATCCTCTCATCACATCATGGATGATCTCAAAATGCCATCGGTAGTGTCTTGCCGCTCCTTGACTCGTATGCCTCCCGCCGCAAGGCTTCAGGGCTGTGACGCCATTATTTACGAGACAAAGGGATCGAAATTAGTGCTGCCAACAATTACGAGTATCACGAGTATATAATCGTACTCGTAATCATTTGCGAATACGAGTACGAATACGAATACCTTGATTTTCTTGATCACGATTATGAGTACGAATACGATTACATGTGCGAGTATAATCGGATATATAATCATCAAAAAGTTTGATGTAGAGTGTTGCAGGGCGGTGTGGGAGATAGGCAGACACTCATTCAATCAAAAAGAATAACAAAAAGAATCAGCGCTCAACCACCCAGAAGTAGCTGTTAAGCCGGCATCTGTTCACGGTGGTTGCTAGGACCTTAGGTGCGGAAACCTAGAAGCCCGTTGCGGATCCTGTAAAATAGAATTGAAAAGGGCAAAACTCTAGAAAAGCAGGCTGCGCCGTGAGTCGAACTCATGACCTGACCTGACTGACCTAACCGTCAACATTATGCACCATAATCCACTATACTAAAGGGAAAGTCTTGTTGAGGCCTGTTTGCACAAGCTTATAGCACTAGGCTTGCCCTACTTCCCCCCGATGCAGGACTTGAGACGTGGGTCACATAGGCTCGGTAGGCCTGTGAATTCAAACTCACGACAACATGTAAGTACTAACATATGGCTTGAAGATCAGACACAACTTTACACCTTTTTTCGAACACAACTGAGAATATAAATCATCGTCATGTCTACTGCTGGGACAATCAGATTACACCTTTCTGCAAGTCAGGTCAACGAAGACCACTCCCCAGATCATGACCGGATAGTGTCCTGGGCAGCTAGCATACCTTCAGACCGGTTAGTTCCCTTTGAGAAGTGGATCCAAGCTAAGCAGCCTACAGGAGACTATACTGGACCTGTACCCACCTACTCCCTTCGATTCGATTGGACAAAGGAGGAGGCTCTCGGGCCAGCTGGGGTCATCAACGAAGCCATGGATGATTGCTTCGGATTGAGAACCTTTCCTGGTTGGGGTATCTGGATTCGAGGGGACCAGTTGAATCTGGTCATCAAGGACTTCCGTACTGAACTGGCCAAACTCCTAAATGCTGGAGCCGAGACAGGTCTTTTGGACGGGTGGGCTACATCGTTGATGCAGGAGTTGGAACGAATGTGAGTTTCTCCACGTCCCACCTGTAGGCGATCATGCTACTAATGGGCTTTACAGTCATGCCCTCAATCCAGCTGCTAGTACAAACCTTCCCTTGGCAGTCCCTGGCCTATCCACTCCATCTGCCATCAGAAGATCCACCCGGTCACCCAGCCCAAGGATTGATCGGAACGCTCTACCGTTTGCACGGACAGTACCCACAGAACATGTCCGATCGAGCAAGGGCATGGAGCAAGGCTACCAGGTCATCAGTAGTGACGACCAGGGAGATGACTTGGCTAGTCAAGGTGTTGAAAGTATATTCTCAACCCAAGGTTCTACCAGGAGTGTGTTGCCGTTTAGCAGTCAAGCGGCCAACACAAAGAAGGGAAAGACTACACGCTATAGGAAAAGGCAAAGAGTGAGTTCTGCCATTCATCCCTCTTCCTGTACGATCAGATATGCTGACCAAAAGATCAGAGTCAAGCTGATCTGAGCAGTGAAGAGGAGCATGCCATCCGCCATGGAGATGAGGACGTATTCCAGGACTATCCTGTAGCCTTGTCGAAGCGAAGCCAAAAGGCAAGCGAAAAGGGATCGATACCTGCAACTCAAAGCAGAACTCCTACACCTAGCACTGGAAGCACATCCGCTGTTGTATACCTCTATTACGACAAGGTTTATGACTTGGAGGGAAACTGCCGATACCTCTGCAAAGGATGTCCTCCATCTCGGCGGAAGGAAGGACTAGTGGCTAAAACCACAACAAACTTGATCAAGCATCAGGCAGTCTGCCCCGGTCTAGCCACTGCTGTTACGAACAAGCATCCAGGGCTGGTTCCATCGAATCGTGACAAATATCTCAAGTCGCAGAGCAATCAGCTCACGATCAGCCCAAGCTCAGGGTTCTTGCAAACACCATGGTCGGACAAGACCCTGAAGGCCAAAATATTGAGGATGATATCGGTGGAGTCTCTACCCTTCTCGCTGGTTGACTCACAGTCATTCAAAGATCTCATTCAATACTGCCATGAAGGCGCGTCTATTCCCGGCCGAACAACTATCAGCAACATGATCAAAAGTTCATACGAACTTGTCAAGACAAAGGTGGATCACACGGTGCTTGCTGCCAGCAAAGACACCTTCATCCATTATGCACACGACAGCTGGACAGACAGTTCCTGTCGCAACTGCTATATTGGGATCTATGCATCGTGGATGAATGCAAACTTCGAGCTGCAAGAGATCTTACTCAGGTTCATGCATCTCAAAGGCAAGCACTCTGCGGTGAGACTAGCCAACGGTCTACTGTCTGTGTTCAGCACTATTGGTGTTGCCAACCGACTTGGCCCAGGCACTGGGGACAACGCGTCCACCAATAAAGCTGCAGCCATCCACCTTGCTGGCCGCCTTGAAGCAGAGGAGCTGTACTCAATGGACGGATCGCACATCATCGGGTGCATGTGTCACATTCTGAACCTAGCCGCACAGGACTTCTTGAAAAATGAGGGTGAGCAATCGTGCATGAAAACAGATGCCACATCGTTGAGACTGAAACCCCATCTCACAGGTACCCTTTCAACCGATGATTACCCTGAGAGTGTGGATGCCTCTGTGCCAAGCATACGAGTTGTTGGGGTGTCCTCGACCAGAGCATTGGTTGATCGTTCAGCTCAGATGGAAACGGATGAAGGAGATGTTATTGAGCTGGCCTCTGATGAGGGGGAACACAGCGAGGAGGAGGAACCAGTTACTAGGACGTCATCAAACATGGTATGCAGTAATTTCTGGTCCGACGTCTAATTCACAGCAAAAGCATATTAACTCAGTATCAATTTAATAGAATTCACAAGAGGACAAAGTCAGACGAGAGACCTACAACAAATCTCCAGTCGGAAAGGTGCACAACTTTGCCAAGTTTGTGTTGGCAAGCCCAAGCCGTCGTGAAGAGTTTCACAAGATCCTGCAGGCAAAGCAACCTGATCTGCGAAGAGGTTTGCTCCCTCTTGCCGATGTCCGAACTCGCTGGAACTCTACATATGAGGCCATTTGCCGGATCCTACTATTGAAGGAAACTGTTATAGCATACAGTCGCATGTTTGGCGAGGATGGATGTCCCATGCTTGGACGGGACGTCTTTCAGGCCCTTGAAACCCTCAAGTTACCGCTCGCCTCTTTTCAAGGCTTGACCAAGCGATACTCAAAAGTCGAGGTCAATATTCATCGGGTCCTGGTGGATCTGAGCGTGCTCATCCAGACACTGCAAGCTGGCATGTTGACATCAGCACCAGACCGCAGGAGCTCATTCCGTATGGCCATTGCAAAATTGCAGAAATATCTGTGCATCATGCTGCAGAACGACTGGATATGCGCAGCTACTATCCTCAATCCATACATGCGTGAGAGGGGCTTTAGCAAATTGGCGGAAGCCAATGACCTTTCAAATCCTCGCACCAGAACGGAGGAGGTGGTTGCTTGGATCTTGAGACGAGCTGGCAGCTATGAGGCATCTGGCGGCACGCCTGAGGGGTCACAAGATTACCAAATGGATACGCAAGATGACATGCTTGACCTGCTCGAAAGCAACCCATTCGAATTGGCACACTCTAGTCAGGATGTTGGAACTTCTAGCGGAGATGAAATCAAGGATGCTTGGAACGAATTCAATGCTCAACAGCCTGTCAACCACGACACCAAGCCAAAACCAACCAGAGTTCCTGGTCAATTCATGCTAAGGAATGAGCCTATCGAAGCTTATTGGAGGCGTCAATCTCTCTCCAATTCTCGCTTACAACCATTGACAAGGGTAGCTCGAGACCTCCTAGCTATACGTGCATCTTCCACCAGTGTCGAGCGATTGTTTTCACAATCGGGTAACACATTGGGGCACAGGCGGAAGGCAATGCAGCCAGAGATGGTCCTCAAGCAGACGTCACTCAAGATCTGGGATGCTCAAGGGTTATGTTTGATGAAGGATATTGAAGCAGTTTGTTGAGCTCCGTTTATGTCATTGTGAAACACGGTTCATCATGCGCGCCAAATCAATGCTTTTTGGAACCCAACCTGGTATGAATATACTCGAGTATATAATCACTGAATACGAATACAATACTCGTAATCGTGGGTAGATTACGAGTACGAATACGAATATCAGATGTCATCATCAAACGAATATGAATACGATTACGAATATACTCGTTTGGCAACACTAATCGAAATAACCCTCCCCGATATACCTTGTCTCATGGGAGAACGGAATGGGGGCTGAGTAGCTGAGCATCTGCCCCAGTCAAGACAGGTTTCGCGCCACGGCATCACGTCCCTTTGACCTCGGCCGTCATTCATTACTACACACCCTCTAACAGTGGGATCCCTTGGCGTTTATCGTCTGGCTTGCTAAACGCTATGTTACCCCATCCATCGAACTGACGATGTGATGACGGAGATTAGTGCTGCATCCATCTCGTGTTCTGTCACAACGCCAATCTCGATTTCACTAGAGCTCGGATCTGTTCTGTGCGCACGTAGGCGAGTGAAACGATTTGCGCTTTAGATAGACTGTCAGTCAAGCCATGCTTGTCCAGATCTAGCAAGACGTCAAGATGAAAGCTGCACGGTGGGACGATTGGTGATGAAGCAAGGCAAAATTTCGAATGAATTGGAAACCTGACGCATGAAAGACACCCAAGTGATCTAAGCATCACGCCGATCTTTCAAGACCATGACATAAGAAGCCAGACTGCGCGCTATCTAGCAGATGCGTACTATAGTCAGGCGGGCTAGAGAGAGTGAAGCCATAGATATTTCTCTGAAATAGATTGCAACAGTACGAGTTGTGTTGATCTTGCGCATAGAGACAACCCAGATCACATCGAATGAAGCGGAGGTCTAGGATCTCGATTACGGTCTGTCGATTCCAAATGCGTCACTTATTCTTGCCAGAATAGGAGAATTGAAGCTGAGCCCATCATCCAGATTTAGTGTCGCAATCGTAATAATTGATCTCTACTCATAGGTAAGATCGCGACAGCATCGTTCCCGCTTATCAGGACTCCATTGTACTGACACCTGCGCTCGATCCCCGAGTGTCTTACCAACACATGCGTATCAAGATTTAATCGAGGTCACAATACAAAATAACTTTATGCAAACAATGATGAAGGTAACAAGGATGATTGATGTACCAATTCCTCTACTACAGATCGTGTTCTTGAGTCAATCCATCACCTTGACTCCTCTTTCATCAGTGATCTACGAAACTCTGGAGCGGACAGTCGCCGCTACGATGTCCAATCGTCTCGAACGCGCTTGATTGCGCGAGGGATAGCGCTTCATGTTTCGACTTCTCCGACACAGGAAAAATTTTGCTTCCACTTCGAATAGCATAAGCCATGATTATGATCTCTCTCGTATCGGGACCGTCCTCATACTCGCCACTGAAAGGTTCCCTTCGATCGTCGTCCTTGTGTGAAAGAAGCTGGTATACAGCCTCCTTGGTCGGATCATCTCCCTTGCTAGGAATTCCCCTCAGATTCTTAGCAGCGTTTGTCTGCTTGAATTCGTTGGCCACGATGCTGAGCCATGCCTTCAATGGGTCATCATTGACCATTGCGGTGTTCAACATAACGCCAGACCTGGCAGGAACAGCCTCTCCGATCGTGGAGGATGGCTGAAGAGAGCTGATTGCGGAATCGGTCGTGACATTAAGACTCATTTCGGTCCCTTCTTCCTGTTGTCTCTCTGCGGAAACCCTGATGTACTTTCCAAGTCCCTCGATCAAACCGAGAGTGAGTCGTTTCCGCCGAAAGTCATCACCTCGGACAGAGAGGTGAATGCACCAAGCCAAGCAGGTGACACCCCAGTTCGGCCTTTCAGGATCGTACTGGACGAAAAAGTCCCTCAGATCGGTGTCTTGAGCCAGCGCGTTACAAACCTCCTGAAGAATCTCGCCATATCCTGATGCACTTTTGCGTACCTGACAGGCAGCCATATTGACTTTGGCAAAGTAGAGATCGCAAACATTGTTGACCCAGAGGACGTCGTCGTTCTTGTGCTGTTCATGTTGGGTCTCCTCATCATGCTTGTCCAGTTGTGTCCACTCCGGAGGCACGCTACCAAGATGGTCGTACACGTCGCCATGCTGTTCCTGCACAACACGACGTGACTCTCTCACAGCGTCGTGCATGGTTTTGAGGGAAAATCCATCTTCGATCTGATATTCTCCCACCTGCTTGCCACTGGGATTGACGACGAACGATAAAACCTTGGAGTCTGTGATCGCCTCGTGTAGACTTTCGCATCGACTACTGCTCCCAGGCGACCCGCCCCGAGTGACACGGGTCTTCCTCCGGGCGTAAACCTGATAGGTGATTGAGCCGGTCTCTGTATACTGGGACGAAGCCTCAGAGAACATGTCAGTGCCCTGACGCGCCAGCTTGAGATCGTCTCACTTCTTCGGTAGCTGGTAGGTGTAGATAGAATCCAAACCGGGCAACGTCGTCCCATGCTCCGAAGTCGGTGGAAGGTTCGAATTGTCCATCGTTTGGGATTGGTGAGAGTGTTGTCGAAAGGCTTGCTCAGTCGGATATGATCCGAAGCTTCGAATCCTGCCCTTCGATGAGGTCAACTTCAGCGACAATGATGGTCCTTATATAGCTATCTGAACGGTACTGTATATCATCATGGAAACTTTGACGGCGCTCCTTTGTCTGTTTCAGCCACGACCTGGCGAAATTACAGCGAAAGATGGTTCTCGATCACACGATCCATGCCGCTGGCAGCAAACAGCTCGGTGGCGTTAGACCGGCCTAGACACTCTTTTGTCGTCCAGGTCACGTCATGAGAGCCTAGGCTATCTTGGCAATGCCACTTCACTGCGAGACCCCTTTTGTCCATCGCATCTCGTGGCACGAAATTTGATGGCCATATTATCGGTCGTGATCTCACGATAGGTGGCTTGGCCATGATTCCTTTCATCTCAGGGGTCAAAACGGGGGTAGGGGTGGGCGATCACGAGTACTGAGAAACGATTTATGGTTCTCAGTGATGCCACTGCATCAGTCTCTCCTGGTTGTGCATAGTCAAGATAAGGCGGGCTGCAGTCTCCTTTGTCTTTCAATCATTTCGTGTTTTCTGCATCAAAGTTCCCATCATCCACATCCTGATTTTCATAGATCGCCATACCTTTAGTTTGGGGGCCTCTCATAGTAATCGTTACTATTATCTGCCCAGCAAGAGCCTTTTGAACAGCGTGAGAGATCAGGTCGGAAGTGGACATGTTCGCTCGTGCAGTGCGAGTGTAACGACAAGGTGAAACGCGAGACGCGCGAGAGGATCATTCCGCGAGTCGCTGTCCTGTGAGACGATAAGGTGGAGCGTCCGATCAGGGGTGCTTGTATGGACACTTGCGGTCAAATTTCTCGATTGAACCACTCGAAGGAAGCTCGGAGTGCGGTGAATCAAGTTGACACTTGGGCCGAATGCGGAATCTCGAGTTCGGCGCTAAGCTATTCTTCTGACACCAGAAGGACGAGCCCATCGATGACTTTATGAAGGGATTCGCGTTGCACTTGGCTCTTGCATAGACGCACAGAATCTGTATGCTACAGGGTATAATGCAACTTGCTGACAGCTGATACACCCTCAGACTGTTCTGATAGAGCTGGAATGCCGCTCTAGCCTTTCCAGCTGGGTAGCTAAAGGTTGGCGATTGCTATCAAACAGATTTGATACATGCATCAGCATGAAAGAGACGATCTTTTCCAGCATCTTCTCGATCCCGCACGTTCTGCAGCTCTTTGTCCCGGCTGTGTGCTGGAGAATGGCCTGCGCCAAGCATGTTCTTGCTCGTTGATCTTCCCTTTCATGTTGACCATTCAGAGGGAATCCGATGCGTGCATCTTTCTGTACCTCATGATCGATGTAGTCCCGTACGTGATGGTACAAATCAGGTGAGATTCCGTTATACTTCATGTCTTCTTGCGGAAGCCAATGAACCATAAAAGAATCACCGATCTTGGTCAACAATCGAACGCTTTCGAAACCGAGACTTAGATCCACTCGGTCAGGCTGAATCTGCGCTGTAAGGTTTCTGCCAAGTATGAAAGCGCGCTTTGCTTGTTCGAGAGATACCTCGTTGCTGAACGTGATCTTAGGAAGATGTCCCAATTCGAAAATGATGTCCATGAAGAAAGTTTCTCCGCTGGCTGTACTCGGATATCTTGGCAAAGAAGTTTCGCTCAGCTTGACGCTTGTTAGAGTGGCTGTGCTGTTATCGTCAGACCAAGCCTCTGCTTGTAGTTCACCTTCAGTACAGGTCGAGTAAGACTGTCCCAGAACGACATCGTAAGCATGTCGATATTCGGTCAGTTGGCTGGTGCTATCGGTGGTGCGTGTGCTTGATGTATCTGTGGACATGATCACGCAGGTGGCAAAGTGGTCTGAAGGGTTTTGGACGTCAAACACATGTGATATCGACAACGTTTAGTTGACGTATGGTAGGATCCGAGCCTGATATAGCACAATCGTTCCAGATTGCCTCCTTTCTCCTTGTTCGCGTCACTCCGCTTCATTACGACTCCGCCGTCAGGCCTTGCGTATGGACCGTGGTTTAATGATCGTTCATGGACACCAGTAAGACGCTTCAAGATTGATCTATGCTCAGTCACGGAACGAACGAGACGCTTGTTGTGCGGGTGACTGCTTGCTGAAGAGGTTCAACGTTTCACGTCTGCGTCGATCTCGTGCTGCTGGTCTAGCGCGCATCTCAGCGGATCGATCGATACGATACCACCCACAGCCTCAGAGGTCAGGGGTTGGTCGATGGAATCTACCGACAACTCCTGAGTGTCCTGCACGTCGACGCATGCGGTCAACCATTTGATAGACACATACCAGCTACTACGAAATTGAAGGTACATCCTGTCGAAATCCATTGTCTCTCGCGCGCCTATTGTTCCACAACAATAGATCACGCGGAACAATAGCGGATCCACTCTTCACGCCTTTGTTCTCCTGTGTTTCATCTCGCTCGCTCGCTCGCTCGCTTTGTCATCTCTCACCGAGCTCGCTTGCTTTGTCGCTTCTCGCTTCTCGCTTTCCGCTTTGCGCTTTCCGCTTGTCGCTCGCTCGCTTCGCCGCCAACTCCTATTGTCCTGAACAATATATATACTGGCACTTTACAATCCCCTTTCGATAGATCACCTTGTAATTACATCTTCATGCAAACTATACAGCGGTGATCAACTCAATATCCAACACATCCTGCGTGTACAGATATACAGATTCCCTTGCCTTCCACTGGCCCTCAACTGCAAGCGATTGCGCATTCAACACTATGCGCGTCTGATCTGTGCTCCCCGACGGGTTCTGTCTTCCTGCAGAAGTGCGGAGAGCCTCGGCGCCAACTGCTCAACCAACGCCGCAAATAGTGCAGGATCTTCTACGATAGCCTTGTTTCTGTCATTGAACGGAGTTTCGAAAGCTGAGTGGAAGTACCAATTGTTCGTAGGGTCCCTTGCTATCCCAGCTAAAACCTCTCGATTTCCACGATCAAGTTGGTCGCTCTCGATGTATGCCGTCAGGTGATCTCGGGTGATCTCTCGTAAGTTGCCATAGCGACGACATGCTGGCACGGCTCGAGGGTTGAGAAGATAGGATTCAAACTCTTTCATGATAGCATCCGTGTGCGACTGCCGATCGTCAGCTGCCATCTGATAGAGGGCGGCTCGTTGCTGGCAAGATTCTTTCACTGCAGCGAGGCGCTGCACGAGATCTTGTCTGTTCCCACATATCTTTGTCATGATAGAAATCGCAAAGTTGGCACCGGAGAGCAAGAGGTCCGAAGGTCCAATGAGGCTTTCCACTTCGGCCCTTGACTCGTCGATTGTCACATTGAGCACAAGCGTTTCTTCGTCCTTGGTACAGATCGTGTACATGCTGGACTGCCCAGGATTGGGTACAGATGAAGATAGCACGAAAAAGCCGTCGTCCTCTTCATTCTTGACTATCCCCTGTCCTAATTCTTGCATTGTGGTGGATGCAGATGGATGGGAAGCGAGGGAACCTGACATCTGGAAGGAGTAATGATGGGGAGGGGAAGGATATGGGAGAGCTGCTTATCTAGCTGTAAAGAAAGGTGAGCAGCTTTTGTGGCCTCCTCAAATAGTAAATGGCTTTGTACCGTTCGCCCGAGAGAAATCTCACACGGAAATCCGCCTTCCTTTATCCTCTTTTAGTCTGTCCTGCCTGATGCAGGTCGACAGGGGAAGATGAGCATCAAGTCAGGTGATCGTAGATCATGATCAGAGGTTCTCAATCACGCATTCAAAAGTCGCTGCTTCCCCTGAGGGTTTGCTTGATCGTTGTTGAAACTGCATCAGCTCTCCTTTTTCAGATTGATTGCGCTGAGCAACAGATTCTTGTTTAATCCTGCTTATCGCTCCTCCCAATCAATATAGCTTCTCGAACGAATCAGCTGAGCAAGATGCTGGTGCGAATTTGCAGGAGGACATCAACACGAGAGGCTATGCAGACACCAGATGTCTATCCATGTGATAGGAGTGAGTCGAAGGCCAGATAACCGTTTGCAAAAATTCTGCGGAGGAATCTTCTCCTCATCAGCCATTATGTCACAGTGAACTATAAATCTTGCGAGGAGGACTAGGGAGTCACTAAACAAATCGTGTCTTTATGGTCCGTGATGAGCAACGGCCCAGAAAGATGCGAGCATCCTGTGCAAAAAAAATGCTCATCCGAGGTATCTTGTGTCATCGATGGTCTAGTGGTCAAAAAGCGCTTTCCGATCTTCAGTGACCTCGTGTGAGATGTCTCAGGCAGAATGTGGGATGGCGATGTGACAGTTCTTGCATACTCGATCGTCGATGTATATCGTCTTGACCCTTCATGATTCTTCGTCTTTGACCCAGATTGCGCTCGCAGAGTCTGGTTGATCAACTTGTCAAGCTCGTGGAAAGTTCTCCGCTCTACCATCCTGGAAGCTCACCCTTTCCATGCAAGGAGGGGCCGTCCAGCGGCAGTCTTGAGTCGTTTCTGAAATTCTGATGTTTCTGAGGTCAGCATTCCCCCTTGCCACGATGGATGGCGCGAACGACTCTGAAGAGATTGATTGGATAAGAATAAAATACGAGTACATGCATTCGAACAACGTCGTCTGAGAATGAATACGATAACTGTACTACAACCTATCATATTTCGCATTCAGCTAAGACCATTGACCTCCACTGCCTGTTGGATTCGCTCCCGGTTCTCTGTTGTCATTGACGAATACCCTTCCGTGATATATTTGAACATGAATTCGATGAGCGCGCGGACGTCTTTCTTGGACTGAGATGATAGTTCCCTGCCTTCTAGTACCAACCATTTCTGACTTATGTATTTAGGTCTACATATAGCACGAGCCAGATGTCGTTGGGCCTCAGCCGTGTGGAGCGGAATAGTCTTTGCGAATCCGGCGTCGGTAATTTCCTTCATCACCGCTCTCTCAAGATCACTTTGTCTGCGCGGTCGCCATGTGATATCCTGCACAAAGATCGAACCGATTTCCGAAGCGTAAAAGCTTATTTGGAAACGCAGGAAGTCTCCCATGTAAGTTTGAGGTTTGCCTTCCACATAGATCGCATCGAAGTACTCCTTGACAAATGCAATGGCACCTGCCTCCAAGTCTCCGTGGGTAGTCCTGGCGTATACTGGCTCGAGATGTTGGTCATTGACGTGGAAGGTGACAATGGATGTCTTGCCATCGGCGAATTCTGTGAATTCGGCAGAAAGTGGTGAGGGACCGCGGGTGCTCAGAAAGACTTGGATGGTAGCATCACCGCCTTCGACCTCGGAATAGCGAGTCCGGGCAGTGTACGAGTGGTTTTTAGAGAAGACGGCTGAATAGATGCTTGTGCCGATCTTCATGGTGGCTTTGGTGGTTCCATCGGGCAGCTCACGCCAGACTGCTTCTGGTTGGGCCGATACCGGAGGCGCCGTCGTGGATCCATCGAGGGAAGGAATCACAGTGTCGAGAGATGGATCGTTGGTTTGAAGCGTGTCGAATGATGGAGCGATCTCGCGCGACATGTTTCTATGAAGATGTCAAGGGGAGGGATAAGAGGGGGTAGTGTCACTGCCGATTTATGTACAGAAGAGGATCTGTTTGTAGGGTTTGGTGGAATAGCTGACATTCTCAGTGTCCTCATCCTTCGCCCCCTTCTCTCTGGTGGCGGTATATATAGACCCCTGCCCTCCGTCATTCCCTGTACTTCCTTTGTCGACATTTTGTTGTTGTTGTGTCGTTCTCTTTTTGTGCAGGCCTGGTAGCAAAGATCAGGTGATGATGAGCCTACTATCAGATGATGACGAACCTGTCGCACATCCTTTGTCGTTCGGCGGTCATCGTGTCGCCAAGCAAGAACTCGGCCGAACACGGAGGGTTCTTAGAGCGGGCGGATCACATCCGTTCTCATCATCAAGAGGAGTACCAGTCATGTGGATGCCCATGATGGGCTTTTCAATTGATCCTCCTTTCATCACGTTACGGTGATCAGCGAGACGAGCATACGAGGAAGCAAGCTCATGCAAAGAGCGACGAATTTCGTATAGGTATATCAGGGGGACCAAACCTGTCTCATTTTGGTTCTTACTCTGCTGTATCTTCTCTGCACGTCCGCGAACTGAGCGACCTTGATCCACGATCATCATGGATGCAGTCCTATTTTCCCGATCCATGCGCAGAACCCGAACTCGTCTCTCCCACCACCCCCTCCAGGTCCAATCCAATCAGATACAGCAATGATGACGCCCACTACAAAGAAGCGTTGAAATTGATGAGATACAGAATTGTTTCCTCTGATCCAGAAAATTCCTGGTCTTATCAAGTCCTCTGGAAACCACTGGACGAACGTAAAAAATCTTTTACGCTCTGTGCCACCATTTACCCGGTGCCAGGTCATCCAAATCTGCCTTTGCATTGTCCAGTCGACTACAGACCCATTAGAATCGATGACCTGTGGGAGATTTACAAGGGTGACGACATTCCCCATCACATCATGAACATGTTGTCGCCTGTGGAGTGTACCGCCCTCAGACGTTTCAAAGTCGAAGCCAGTGATGCAGCTGTGAGCTCTCCACAAACTCGATCAACACAACGGAAATCGAGATGAGCAAAGATGACTGCCGAAGAGCGTTGGTTCTAGATCGGCTCGGAATTGGGCCAAAGCGGTAGCGGTCCTGCAGAAGCAGCTGAGGAGCTCATACCAGGTGGGCTACACGGATCTTTGAGCGGCGCCCGCAGCATACACACCGATGCGACCGGGTATTCTTTCAACGAATGTATCACCGCATATGCCAACAACCGTCCTTTGGAATTGATCTGTGCTCTCCTAAGCATGGCAAATGAAGGGTCACAGTCCCTCGTTGGAATCTCCAGCAACGTACCTCCTTCCACCACCTGAGACTACACAAACTTTGTGGTCGGCAACTAGTGCCTTCTGCCTCGAGACTAGAACATGCTGTACCTGAGCCTGAGCGATTGTGGATCGATTTACCTGACTCGCCGTTCCACCCAATGGAATTCCAACATACTCGCCTGTTTTTTGTCTTTGAAGCGCAACACCTGATTGCTTCAATGGTGCGACTTGCTTTTCTCGCTCTTTATATATATCCTAGCTCGTTGCAATCAGAATGCGTTCCTTGATTACCCAAAACGCTGAGCTAGCTCCCCGAGCCAAGTCGATTACATTCTGGCAACATTATCGCCTGACGATCATGGCACACACTACGAATCGTAAAGTCGCACTTCGAGCTCGTCGTCGGATCGGGCTTAGGGGCCATCTCTTCGTATCACTGATCCCGCCTGACACATGCGCGTCTTGAACAATACAACCTGAAACGGCAGATCCGTTCCCACTCGAAGCGCTTACTTGCGGAACCTAAATCCTGGACAAGATCCAACCACATGTCACGCTTTCATGCCTTTCATGATCACCCCAAACACCTGCCTGTTCCCTGAGGCAGGAAAGGGATATCCCGAAAGTGATTCTACTTGAGTACGTCGAAAGGACGCAATCAACCGCATCAAGACGAACATGAAAGCGGTGGGCCTCAATCACGCCGTTATGCCACCGTCATCCAGAGTAACGGAGAACCGAAAGGACCTCCTTCCTCGATCGGAGGAGAGTGCCAAACCCGTGGGTCAGGTGCCACCTTGATGACGAGCTTCTCAGTTGGGTCTTCCTTTCATCTCGCCAAGGGTGACCAGCACGTCGATGACGACTGAGAAGCAAGCTTTACATTGCGGATGAAGATATAAGGACGCATAGAAACGCCCCGGTTTGATATCGCTGCTGATAGACATGGTGGTACGCAAACCTTCCAGAATACAACGTTCAACACAAATCGAAACCACGCCCATCTTGACAATCATGAGTGAACAATCCCAGACTCCGCTTCCGCCACCTCCGGCTCCCGTCTCTGACCCAAGGAACGCGAAAGGTCCCCAAGACCAAGACCTGACCCTTCCTAAGCTCCAGTACACATACAAGGATGACGAATACCACTTGAGGGAAGCTTTGACTGCTTGGAACTACGATGTCATCTGTCCTGCGCCCCATCAAGCTTGGTGCTACAGGGTCTTGTGGGAAGTCACGTACCCGCAAGATTCCAGGTTGGGACAAGGGCTTCTTTGCTTGAAAGCAAAGATGACCCAAGGGCCGAATTTTCGCCAAGATCATGAAGCTGATCGTTACATCGCTCTGCCTGGTCAACCCGAGTACCGTTCTTTAAGCATCGATGACCTGCACAACCTCTTCAGGAACCATGACTTCCCAGAGAATGTCATGAAGAAGCTCCCTTCTCGCGAAGCGAAGATGATCGATCTTCACCGAAACGATAAGCGAAAGGGAGACGTAAGTAATATTGCCGCCCAATCATGACATTGGACCTGACTAGAAAACCCTCTGTCCATCCTCATTTAGGATCGCTCTCAATCGGACAATGACTCCACAGCATCCATTAGAACTTTTGCAAGTCGAGAGACCGCGTTCCAAAGGCTTGAGTCGGCAATCAGTTTGATCGACAGCCAGGGCTCTGGAATGGGGGATACCTATGACAGACTCCTCTACTCTCTCGGTACCTGCCCTGTTGAGTGCAGCGTTTTGTTGCAGCGGATCATCGAGGCGGGTAAGGGGACCTACGGACCTGAGGACAACAGCGTCGCAAGCACCCTACCTCCTTCCACCACGTGAGATTATACATACTCTGAGATGGAAAGCTGTACCTGCTGCCTCGTGATTTGAACAACATGTTGTACCCGAGAACGAGTTATTTATGAACCGTCCGTATAGCTTATTGGTGAATCGTGTCTGTAAGGCGAAAACAAGTTTCGTTGGCGTTTCATGCGCGACGTTGACTGTTCGATAGGCGCGCTTTGCTTTTCCAGCTATGAAGCAGTCTTCTTGAATCGGACACGAGTAACTCTATGTTCTACTCATATAACCTACTTGACAATCCAGATCTGGGTCTCTCTCGGAAGTGTGGCATCGCTTGTCGACAAGGCGGTGCTGCTGCTGATCGTTTCAAAGTCTCATTTGAAAGCTGTGATAGCCGGCCCTGGGCAATCCTTGTGCTGCGTCATCATCAGAACCGACCTTCTCCACCTACGAAACGTCAAATTGACCTATACTGCTCCTGCTCAGACAATCACAGCTCACACACTCTCAGAGATATTATATGCACCTGGCTCCAGAATAACTTGGGGACTACACCACAATGACCTCGATAAACGCTCAAAACGTCACGTCGATCACGACCTAGAACGACCTCGCAGTACGCGATCGTCATCAAGCAACGATTGTACGCTCATCATGACCGACCGGTTCTCCCACCCTCTCTCCATCCAGCCGTCGACCACTTCATCTCAGAGATCTAGACAGTCACCTAGTCGAGCCAATATCTCTTCCAAAACGTCCGCCTCGCAATTCGCTGGACGGGTCGACAGGACAAGAACGGACAGATCACGTCAACCGGAAGCCGCATTCCTTAACCCGCAGGCTGAACAAGATGCGAGTTCGTACAAGGCCCAGACTAGATCAAGAGCCTCGACGACTTCCCGATCTAGGATACCTCAAGCGTTACAAGGTGTAGGGCGGGAAGAGTTGGATATCTATTTGGTCCGGTGGGATCTTTTGGGGGATGACGAGTTGGCCATCGCGTGCGGGGTACATCCATCAAGTTCAACATCAACATCAACAGCAATCAGATCTGGATCCTCACTCACCTCGACTCGACCTCGAGCTACATCACCGTCTACCTCTACCTCAAATCCATATTCAGACGTCACCGCACCTCGTCTAACCCGCTCATCATCCTCCCTCTCCTCACTCCAAACCCCTAAACCTCGCCCTCGACCTTTAAAACGCCTATCCACCCAGATCCTCGCTCTGACGCTTCCTCCATCTGAACATCACCCCGCGAGTGAGGGTGGTCCAAGGAATGCAGCTTCCTCGTCGTCGGTGTCAGGAGGGCTTTATTCGGTTCGGAGAACGGAAGGACTCTTCCCACCTAGTCCTCCTGCGGATAGGCCTGATTTCGAGTTTGATAGCCTGCAACATGAAGATCAAGGTCAAGATCAAGGTCGGGATCAGAAACCAGATCATCGAAACATCCAAGCTTGCACCTCCGAATCCGTGCCAGCCAGGCTTACCAACGACGTCTCTGTAGATCCGGGATTACACCCTTTGCGGGTCCTCTCCCGTCTAACTAGAGAGTTAGGGGAAGCTTGTTTACGGTTAGAAGAGGAGAACCGGGAATTACGATCACGGGCAATATCACGATCACGTTCGCTCGAGCAAGAAGAAGAAGAGATGAAAAATCAAGGAAGCCGGGATGTAGCTGGAGGATTTAGCACGCCGAGGAAAAGGTCTGATGCGGCTCGGCTCGGGTTGGGGGTCGAGGAGGTAGAAGGGGGAGGCGAGGTTGATCAAATGGAGCCTGCGGATGGGAGAGATATGGACAACGGAGTTGTGGGCGGCCGGAGGTTGTCTAGCGTTTTCAGGGAGGAGGATCAGGTGAGTCTACCAGCTATAACCAGTGAAGCAGTGTCACGGGTGGGAGACTGATTCCATACGAGTGATTTCGGACCGCAGCTCTCTATACACGACTCTCTCAGCGAAGCGCTGTCCACCCACCTGACCTCTCCGGCCGTTTCAACCTTTTCTCAATCACGCACCAGACACCATCATAACCACAATCGCGGAGATCCGCTCTCAGCAGACCTGGACGACGATGGAGATCTCGACCAGGATCCGCAATCTACAATCAAAGCTCGGCCTCAATCTCTTCGTCCTCGTTCCGATTCCCCTGCGAGATCGTTAGGAGGTAGATCAGGCAAAGAAACAGCTTCGCAGGCTTATGCTCGGCGACGATCGGGAAGCAGCTCGACGTACGATCACACATCGAGCATCCAGCCTGAGGGAGCGATCGGTAGGACGCCGACGATCGTGGTCCGCCCGACTATCGCCGACGTACGCCATTTATCTGAGACGACTCCAAACGAGTCGGCTGTGGCAGACGAAGAGTTGTTGGGAAGTAGCGTTCCACGACCGAAAGGCAAGACCCAGAATCACCGGTCGAGCTGGACGGACAGTCTTTGGGGCTGGACCGGGAGTTCAAGCGGGACCGCCGGTGGAGGTGTACACAGGGGTAAGAGTGCGTCCCGGAAAGAACGCGCCCAGATCGGGGACTTGCGAGCAGACAAGGGAGGACTGCAGTTTCAACCCGGTCGATCACGCGCTTCGACGACGACCTCGGAGTCGCCTGCGGTGGGTCGGCCTGTGTTGTCGCCCCCAATCCAGACCAGTATTCATCAAGATGAGAAGGAGAACGGCGAGGAGGATCACGATTTCCGGTACGGAGATCGCGGGAATACGCCTTCGTTCTGTGCCATCTTTCTCGCTACTCGGTTGTTGACACCGGACATGTCCTCGATCCTGAGTACCGGGAGCAAGAAACGGCTTGAGGGCGAGACTCTAAGTCGGATGGCTTATGCTCTGGTCAGGAACGCTAGAGACGCTGGGATCGTCTTGCGTACTCCTCCAGAGGCGGTCAGAGTCAATCGCGAGCCCGCCGAACGGAAGACCCCGTACAAGAGGTCTAAGCGGCATTCGGTGCTCGGTCTGCCTGCCTCTCTCGGTAGCGTATTGTCCAGCCCGGTTCAAGCGTTCCTCGGGACAGGAGGTTCCTCGAATTCGCAGTCGAACGAGAACGAGACGGCTCGAAAACAGTTATTGCGTAGCATTTCCAGCCGAGACATGGTTGGAACGCTAGCGACTCCCGGAACTGTGGCCAAAGGAAAGAGTCCAGATCGATCTGCCGTTTCGACCCCTCTTGTGAGTCCGGGCGAGGACGAGGAAGCATTTACCCCACCGCTGGTCGAAATGAACGCCTTCACCGCCGACAAAGACAAGCCGCCAACCATGCTGCCGCGCCGAAACACGATGCAAAACTTGCACGGCGAGACGTCTCCCTCGCTCAAGCTGGCTTCTAGGTTCGGCGATGAGAGAGCCGAGCTCGCTCCGTATACTGACAAGTTCGGGTTCGTCTACGATCTGCGATACGTCAGGATGCTGCTCGATCTCAAGGCTGCCTCGGAGGAAGATACGCTCGCCGCCGTTCCTCAGGAGGAGGATGAAATGCCTCGCGTCAAGCGGGATCCTCGTGCGTCATTCGACGAACACGCTCTGGAGAGGGTCAAATCCGAGGTCAGCACTCTGTCGAGCTCCTCGCCAGGGTCAGCCAATACTCCTTTACCCGATTCTGCCTCGAATGCTGGGTCGACATCGCAGCAGGATAGATACCGACCTCGCTCGTCCACCCTTGCGGTCTTCAACCCTTCACCTGCGAAACCTAGCGCGTCGCACCAGGACGTCACGGTGTCGAGTCGGGGGGCTTTCAACCTTCGGCCTACGATTACGGCGAACGGCGGAAGAAAGGATTCGGTCAGAGAACAAAAGGCCAAGCTGGATTCTCTGGCTGTCCGCCATCGCAAGCCAGTGTCTGCCCTCTTGAGTCAGCTCGGCGAGGTTCAGGATGTTCGCGAAGCCGAAACTGCTCGACAGTGGGAGCAGTTCATCAAGTATCGACGAGGTAAAGCTTCGCATCGTAAAAGCAGCGTATCGGCCAGACATCGCTCGACACCAGGTTTGGACAACGGGTCTTGGCAGGACGACCTGGTCGGTATCGCCAATATCGGGGACGGAAAGACGGGTCAGGAGGTCATGAAGCGATTCAAGGCTTTGCTCGTTGCTTCTGGTATCCCGATCAATATGCGGGCCAGTATATGGGCAGAATGTTCGGGCGCCAAGGACGCCTTCATCCCGGGCGAGTATTACGAGATACTCTCTGTACACAAGCAAGACGAGCATCCGATCCTTGGGGATATCGAGAAGGACGTCAAGTAAGTCATGTCGTGAATCTATACACGATCGACAAACTGATTCATAAGCATTTCCAGACGCACCTTCCCTACTAACGTCTTTTTCGGAGGAGACGGTGTGGGCTGCGAAAAGCTCAGGCGACTTCTCACGGCATATGCCTGGCACGACCCGTCTATCGGTTACTGTCAAGGGATGAACTTGGTGGCAGCCACGCTGTTGCTCATCTACGAAGACGAAGAAAGGGCCTACTGGACGTTCGTCTGCTTGATCCGAAACCTGCTCCCGCGCGAATGGTTCAACTCGACGCTTCAGGGCAGCATGACCGAGCAGGCCGTGCTTGGCGAGCTCGTAGCCGAGACTTTACCCAAAATCCACCGTCATTTCGAGGATCTTGGACTCGACTTGTCTGCAGTCACGTTCGGCTGGATGTTGAGCTTGTTTACCAGCTGTTTGCCGATCGAGGTGAGCTCGAGTCCGATTGATGAACTGGATATGCCGCTGACCTGTATCGACTCCTCCAGACCGTCTTGCGCATATGGGACTGCTTCATGATCGAAGGCAAAGACGTGATCATACTGTCTGCCTTGGCCATTTTGAAGATGGGTCAGGCAGGCATACTCGAATGCGACAATGTCGGAGACCTCTTTGACTACCTTAACGCCATTACGGAACGGCTCTGGAGCCCGGACAAGCTCGTACAGGTGAGTGCGAGTCCGGCCATCAGGTACGATATCTGCTGATAGAACCTCGTCGTATGACAGCTTCAAAACAGTCTCAAGACGACTATCACCCCTAACGACCTCGCCGCTAGACGGCAAAGACACGCTGATGCATTGATGTCTGCATCTGCATGAAACGAACGAACTGTGTCACGACTTGGACCGAAATATTGTAGCCGGTTGCGATCGAATTATTATGCTTGTATCTAGGTATAGACAAGGACATGGGCGCAGTATGACATGACTCGCTCGACTATGTCGGCACACCTCCGCGGTATGGTGGAATGGCTCCGTTGAAACTTGATGTATGCCGCACGGGTGGGGTGGGCGTCATCATCGGCTGTTGCGGAGCCCGACCTACAGCAGCGTTGGGCAAGATGGATCGATTAGGCGTAACGGCAGGAGTCGCTGGCGGTTCACGGCGTTTTGTGCCAACCGGCTCGTCACGAGTGTGGACCACGTAGTTTTCGGCCATGGCTTTGGGTCGAGCGGGGTCAAGCGTTCCTCGGTAGATGGCTCCAGGAGTCGAGACGGCGGTATGCGCAAGATCGGCTGCGAGTGGTAGGTGCGGGTGTCGTCGTCGAGGCAAGATCGACCGTGGGCGGACACTTGATGCCAGTTCGAGCAGATTGGCGGATACGCGGGAAGCTATTTAGAGCAGGGATGCTGAGCGAGCGAGTCAACCATGTACCCGAATCGAGATGACTCACCCAGAGCGTGCTCTTCCGGGTCGTTGACCTCGCGCTCATCCCGACGAAGTCGCACTTCTTGCCGCTGCGCCAGGGTTAATAACAGCTCGGCATTCTCCCTTAGCTTGTTCTTGGCCGTTTGCGATCCAGACTGGTCCTGCTCGATTGCACCAAGTAGTTCCGGGTCGATAGCGCTATCGGGGATATCGTCACCCATCAACACCTTGGCCGCCCTGAGCGCCCTCTCGTGAGCCTCAACGTCGTCATTGATCGGCTCGACCGATTTGATGGCACTGGTCGAAGCGTAATTGCTGTTCCAACCGGACTCGATCCATTCCCGGTTGATAGCGGCCGCTCGAGCGGCGTCGACCGTATCGTCATAATTCCACCCGCCGCTGACCATGGTAGAATCGTATGTCGGCGCAAAGGACGGGATGAACGAGTGATAGTGCGTCAGGAAGCCGACTGCGAAAAGGCTTCGTCAGCTTTGTTCCGCCAGATACGATCCCTGTGACTGCTCAACTCACCTGGTTTGCCTACAGGCAGCTTCCCACGCCGCTTGTCCTTGTATCGCTGAAGTTTCTTGCTAGCATCGGCATACAACGTCTTGCCGAGCTTAGGGCCTCGAGCTCGTTGTGCTTCCTCGTCATGCCTATCAGGTGGTCCGACGACGGTCGGTCTCCCAAGAGCTGACATACCACAGATCTTAGCCTTTTCGTCAGACGGGAAATGCTGATTGAATACTACTCACCGAGATACCCTTCCGTCTGCAGCCTAGTCAAACCCCCTAGATCTTCCTCCTCCTCCCCACCTTGCTCCTTGAGCGATTCGACAACCTTTGCATCTAGCTGTTCCATCTTGCCATTCTCCGATGCCGCTACGCTGGTGAACCAATCCAAATGCACCCTATCCGTCGGAATCACCGGAGTTGGTTGTTTCTCCCCCCGAGCCGCCGGCCTAGGAGGCATAGGCCATGGCACCGTCGTCCTCTGATGCAAAGCCCATCGGTATTTCGGTTTGGGCGTCGGCAGTACGTCTTCCCCCTCGGGTGATGCGGTCATTGACGAGATGAGACCGAGTACGACGTCCTTGACCGCTTGAAGGTGTTCGTAGACGGGTAATTCTTTCTCTTGTTTAACCTTTGAGCCCAGTAGTCGGGCCGACAGGGTCGTCGGTTCCGGGATCGGGTTGGACGAGGTCGATGTTGACGAAGACGATCTGGTGGTCAAGCCGTTATACGGATTGGGCAAGTTCGTCGTCATTAATAACGTGTTGGCCAGATCGTACAGGGCGTTCTACACCATTCCGTAGCTCCCAAAATTAGCTTTCTATCTAGGCTCGACTGTATCAACAAACAGCGGATATCGGGTCACTCACCAACAACCCATCGACCGTGACCCGCTCTTTGCTCATCAACAACCTCTTCAACGTCGTCTCCTTCCCCTTCTTGACATCTGTATCCTCTATCTCCCGTTTGACCCCAACACCACCATCACGATCGACCTTGATGTCAACTTCACCCTTGCCATCGTCATTCTCGGTCTTCCCGTCTTTCGCCGAAGTGAGTTTGAGAAGAAAGGGGAGGTCGACGATCTTGACCATCTTAGTTCGGGACCTGGCGTGAGGATCTTGGTGGGTATGATCTGGGGTTTCCATACTGTTAACACATCACACATCGAGCAGGTCATTGTAGCGCCAACAGTCATCTTATATCAGCTCTCGTCCGGAGTGGATCTTATCGTCCTGCATGAACCATTCATGATCTAGAATTGAGGCAAGAGGAGTTCGGTGCTTACGCTACGAGCACGCCCAAGATCTCTCCCCGTTTCTTCCTCCCGAGAATGCTCCCCAAACCCGGACTCCCATCCACATCCATCTCCTGGTCACCTTCCACTTCCACTTCAGCTTCATCCTCCACGTCGCTCAGGTCCATCATGTAACTCCCTTTTTCCTTCGACCCCAATCCATCCCTTTCCGTCTCTCCCTTCCCAGCGGACTTGTCGCCAGAGGTTCCGTTATTTCCGTTCGGGTTGAGGTTGACGAGCGCTGGGTGGGGTTTGTTCCGAGTTCTCACTCGTCGTCCGGTGCCGTTGCCAGTCGCAGCCACAGCTCCAGCTCCAGTTGCAGCTCCGGAGCTCGAAATGGAAGTAGGATCAACGGCGGTATCGAACTTAGGACCGGGACCGGAGGAAGAACCCACGGGGTCCACTCCTGTCTTGGTCTGTTGCACTGGGGAGACGGAATTAAGGCCTTTAGAGATTGACGAACGGGTGCGTTTGGCTGGGGATGGGGTTAGGTGGGTTGATACTTCAGGGGATTCTACTTGGTGGTCACGAAAACAAAACAGAGAAGGAGATTGCGGGTGGTAAGATACAGTAATAGAGATCAGTATTCCGCGCACGTACGGTTGATGACATGATGCAGAATCGTGCCGAGACCTACTTCGTTTCAACCCAGACGCAGGTTCCGAATCGACCATCATGCCCATGCCTTCTCCATTATTCGTAGTCTCTTCTGTTTGGGTGTGTGACTGGGAAGACCCTGCTCGGCCTGATCTTGTACCGCGAACCATCTCGCTCGCGATTCGCAAGGTGCTTTGATTTTGATCGTTTTCGCGTTCTGGTAGCTGGTCGTGCCTGTTTGCCCGAATTCGCCTGCGTTTTCAAAGTGTGATGAAAAGAACTCAGGGAAGATGTATCTTCTGACGATGTGTATTTCGGCGTCGAGCTGGTGGTCGGTCCAAGCTGAAAAGAAGACTTGGACTCGACGTCAAAGGTGCGTGTAGATGATTGTTGAACTCCCCAAGTCGCGCAATCAACGCGAAAGGCTCGCGTTTTGGCTCGAACGGGATTGACGTCAACGACGGGCGACGACTATATCGATGGTCTGTCTTGAATCAAGCTCAAGCAGTCGTTTGATCGTCAAGAGAGACAAAGGTTGGACGAGAGAATCATATTTGTTCCAGTGTCGATATCGCCAAAGGGTAGCAATTACTCGGATCCGAGCCCAACACCCGCCTACAGTAAGCGCACTTGGCGCGCTTCTAGCTGGCCAAAACATTCCGAAAAAAAAAGGGTATATACGTCTTTCATCAGCTACATGACCTTTCTTGAAACCCAGCCTTCGAGCCATATTATATCTTGTACGTGTCGTCCTCCTGTATCTGTAAGTACTCATCCGGCCTCCGTTGGCCCACCTCAAGTGCAAGTCGATCTCAATTAATTCCTCCTCGCGCGTGCGTTTGCGAGTCGACCTGTTTCACTCTTTCTCCTTATCTTTCCCGAACCGTCCCAACCACCACTTTTCCTTCTCCCGCCTCTTTTCCGAATTAGCGGAATGACTACTCCTACTCGGACTCGCAGACCGATCTTCTTCTCTGGTCTTGGTGACGAAAGGCAGTTGTGGGGGGAGGAGAGGTTCGTCGGCTTCCATGTTCGGATCCCCGGTCGATTCTCTGTTGCGGCTGTCCGACCCGACGTTTTGAACGTGGCCTTGGCCGGACGTCGACCTCGACCTCGACTGCGACCTCGACCTCGGAGGCGGTGTCGAAGGTATCCTATCTACCTCTTGATCTTCAACAAGCGCACCCGCGGCCAGTCCTAGAGTTCCGGCGGTGCTGTGGGATGGTACCGTGCCTGCATTACTGGACGCTGGTCCTGATACCGTCGCAGGCGGCGGAGTATCCGTCCTCGGTATATTCCCAGCGAGCGCGTCGGGCGTGTTTACTAGTTGAGGCATCGATCGTCTGTTACCATCAGATGCAACCAAGTAAGAAGTTGTCGGTCAGCGTTCATCTTCGTTTCCTTCATGTTTAGGTTCGGATGAGCGTGTGAGATTGGGAACTTGAACTCACTTGCCACGAACAGCCGCCACGCTATAATCGACCCTCCCACCGACGTCTCCACCTCTCACTCCAGGAGCCAGGCCACTAACGAGCCCCAGACTCTCCCCGCTTTCCTCACTCATCTCGCTCCTCCCCGTCCTCCCCGTCCTTCCCGTAGCATTCGTGCTTTGGCTACGCCCGCTGCGCATAGTGACGATAGATCGTTTCGTCCCGATCGAGACTTTTGACCCACCTTGAGAACCAGAGGAAGATTTCGAGCCTTCATCTTGCACTGAAGCTGATTGCGAAGAGGCTTGAGCGGGGGAGTATGGGGAGCCGGGTATGAATAGGGTCGACTGCAGAATTATCGCATCGAAAGTCAACTCGAATTCTGTACGATTTCGGTTGTCTGTGCGAAAATGGTGCTTACGGTCTTTCTCATCTCCCCCGGTAGTCTCAAGACCTCCCTGCCAGGCGCAGCAGGACCGGATATGACTTCCCCGAACTCTCCGATCCTCCTTGTCGTCAACTCTGGGTTCTCATCATTTGACCCTCTTGTCACCCTTGCAGCCTCGTTTCCTCGATTCGAGGGTGTGACAACCCTCGCCCGTTCCCCCAGACCCGGTCCACTGATCAGACTTGCGCCTAATTGATCCCTGCCGGATTTGACACCGAAAGTCTCCCCGCTTCCATCCCCCTCGCTGGTAACTCCTTCACTGAGTTCCCTCCTGCCGGTCTCATCGCTTCCCACACCTGCCGAGCCGAAGGTCTCTCGAGTCTCGCCACTGGATTCTTGCCTAGCTTCTCGCCTAGCAGCCTCGGGGATCCCGCTCAAGAACGCCTCTCGGTAGACTTCTTCCGGTACCAAAGGTTGTCCGGCGTAACTCTGCCTGTTCTCTCCGCCACGACTGTTGTTCCTCCGCATCCCGCTTGTAGATCGTCGCGATTGCGCCTGCTGGTGATGCTGATCGTGGTCGGCTTCGGTGACCGAGCTAACTACGCTAGCCCGCTTGGCCCCGAACAAAGAAGATATCGACCCGGCAATCAGCGAGAATCGATTAGGCTGCGTCCAGCTCGAAGGTGTCTCCGTGGAAGAAGGCGATGGCAGCGCACTGAGCGGGAGTCGAGGTCGAGGTTGGCGATCAGAAGTGCCCGCTAGCGGTGTTGTTTCCAGTCCGTGCTCTTCCGGCTCAATCATACCTGTTCGAACGGGCGTTTGCGCCAGAGATGTGTTTCGGATAGCTGAAGAGGTACCGTACGACCCATCAACAGCTGCCGGTCCTGTTCGTCGACCGTGCTCGTCAACACCGGGCTGATCTCCCGCGTCATCCGCAGTAGTAGCGGACGAGCGTGATCGACGGGTCAAGGTGTTGGCCTGATCGGTAAGCGAGTGGTATCTGCCGAAGTGACCCGGATTTAGCGCCAGCGGGCGTTTCACCTTACAACGCGCCAACTCACCTCGTCTCGGAAGTATCGGCAGAGACGCTCCTCGTCACTCCTTCCATCGCGCCGACGACCCCGACCTGTCCGAGTACGGAAGGCTCTCGACTGCGATCAGGCGGGACTGGGAACCTCAATTGACTCTGCGCCGACCTGTACGAATTGGGTGTCCTCGCTCCATCGCCTTCGCCGTCAAACCTGCCTGCGGGAATGGGTAGAGGCATACCCAGCGCTGCCAAATCCTGTTCGCTGACGAATTGCTGAGTTTGACCTTGACCCCGCCGGCTCCCAGCGCTTCCGCTAGAGTATTCTTCCGGATACAAGATCGAGAACCTCGACCCGCTGCTGCTACGTAACATCTCCTCTCCGCCAGGTCCTTCGTGAGCCACGCCCGAGTCCGTCCTGTCCCGAGTGTTGTCCGGTTTTCGAGGGTTCTCTGAGCTCTCGGCAGGGTAAGAGTAGAACAAGTCATTTCCTCCTGCGAACGGAGGGAACGAATCGCTCTTCGCATGGCCTCTCTTGCCCGGGAGCGTTTCATCACCCCCTTGCAATCCCGATGGATCTTGTTGTGCTCCCCGAGATTGCTTCTTCGCAGCCGTACCCACCGGGAAGAATCCTTGTCTAGAGGAGGGAGTCGACGAGTCCGTCTGGCTGATCTTCGGTTCTCTACCCAGAGTCGCCATCGACAGCACTCCAGCTTCCGTTCCATCCGGTTCCACATTCTCGGTCCCAAGTTGGCCGCCTTCCTTGTCTCTAGCGTTGCGAGACCTCTCAGCTCCGAGCCCAAGTACAGTCCAGAACTTTCCCTTCCCTTTACCCTTCCCCGCTCCTGCCGTCCTCGATTTCGTAGGCGTCACATCTCCCATGAACGGCGCCAACTCTTCCAAACCTAAATCGCCTCTCGAATCGTCCATCCCTCTCCTACCCGTCCTTACGCTAGCCAGATCTGCATCGGCCAGGCTCGCTCTCGGAGTTCGGTCCTGATCATCAATCTCGTCTTCTGCTGCAGTGGGTTGTCCTCTAGTGGTCGAAGAAGCCGCCATACCACCTGTAGAGGTACCAGGTACCCTGCCAGGCAAATCGATCATCTCGAACCCATCATTATCGTCATCATCAGACCCATCGCCCCAGACGTTCGTACTCGCCACCCGGTTCTGGTGTTTCAGTCGGGCTGAGGCTGAACGTTGGCGCAGTCCGGTTGCTGCTAGAAGAGCTGTTTAGATCGATTTCGGAATCAACCATATCGAAATCGACGCATGGAGCGTTGCGGTCAGCCATATACCCGATCTCTTCCAGATCGCAAAACCGACAGATAGTGCTTGAATGTGGGATGATGGACTTACTCGGTAACCACCTCCTACCACCCCGGTTCCCAGTCCCACCTCCTGTCCCAGCCACATCCTCGCCGTCCCTGACATCTCCATCATCATCCTCTCTCCCCATTCCCGCACTCAACGCTCCTACACCTCCCGCGGATCCACCTCCTCCACCGCTTCCTCCACCTCCCGCGCCACCCATTCCCGCATTTCCACTCGCGCCCGCAAGCACCCCATCTCCACCTGCGCGATCACCTCTCGTCCTCTTCCTCCCGACTATCCCGTACACTCCTCTACTACCACCATCTCTTCCACTCCCACCACCATCTCTCCGACTCCCACCACGACCCCCACTTCGCTCGCGAGTCCGATCACGTCGATTCCGGTTCCTCCAAAGGAGCACACCGACGATGATCAGAAAAAAGGCAGTTATGGGGATGATAGTAGCTAGAACTAGGGCGGGTGTTGAGAGGCCTTCTTTAGGTGAGGATGAGGCGGATGAGGGAGCTGGTGATGAGGATGATGAGGTTGAGGAAGGTGTTGGTGAAGTCGAAGTTGAGGTCGGAGAGGAAGAAGGAGAGGAGGATGAAGAAGAGGATGGAGTTGTTGAAGGGGATGACGCGGTGCTTGCGGAAGTAGAAGAAGCCGTACTAGGTATCGGAATTATAGACGAAGGTGTGTTCCCAGCAGCAGTGGTAATCCCATCGTCCGTGCCGCTCGGCTCGACCGGTAAGCCTGTAGCTGTAGTCGCGAGAGCAGGATCGGTAGTGGGGGATACGGAGCCTCCGAAAGTCCATCCTTCTCCGAGAGGTATTGATGGACCATAATCTGTCCCGACAAACGACGCACGATAGGACACAGATCGTCAGCATGGCTCTCACTATGTTAATCACCACATTAATTTGATCGACCGACGTGACACTGCGATTCACAGCATCGAGCACAGAGCAACAAAGAGGAATGGAATGCACATCAACTTACAGATCTGGGGAAGCTGGATGATAGTCTGGGTCGTATAGACGGTATTCCCTATCGTCGTCACGTACTACCAGGCAAAGAAAAGAAATAAGTCGATATCAGCTCCATCAAACGGATTGATCAACGCTTTCGCGCTCGTCATTATTGTAAGAAAAGTGGTGAGACTGACAGTGGAATATGACAGGTATTCCGGTAATTCCTGCGGATTGGGTACTATCCACAGAAGAATGATATTCACATCAGCAAAGTCTCGACCGAAAGGCATACTATACCATACGACATGGTCGACTTACCGTAACTCGCCGTCGTCACCTCCTGATCAGCCATCGTCGACCCGAGAAAGAGCTCCCCGGACGGATTTTCGGCACGGTTTTCATGTACTGTATGTTCTCGCTCTGTAGCTATGGCTATAGGTAGAGTTGCAAGATTGTTGTGAAGTACAAGATCGATAGCTTGATCAAACCGAGGTCGCTGAATGTCAACAAAAACTCGGTTTTCGACTTCTCTTTTGTTCCGAGGACGTTTTGATCAGAAACGGGAAATTTGATTCCGAAACAGCGAAAGGCGCAAGAAGGAGGGGGATGAAATGCTTCCGGTGCCGTCACGTGATCGAGGACGGGGTTCGTGTTTCAGGTTGTTGTTATCATCCGCGACCGCACAGCACGATCGAGTAGCGGTCTTTTTCCTTGAGTTGGGTGCTACAAGGTCCCATGATCTTCTAGCTGCTAGACTAGCATCAAGAGAGCGCCGAAAGGACAACGTTACCTGTCAGTAAGCTAACTACGACATTCTCGTCTCAGTCGATGTTGATCTAGCGTCGCGCGAGCCGTCGCGAGACCTGACAGTCGACATATCGTGTTCATCTTAGTTGACGACGACATTTTCTCGCTTGCTCTGCAGTTTTCTTTAAATCTGTATCTCGCTTTGTACGACTGTCGCAATCCGGCAGCCCTTCCGCTCAACCACTAGCATATGGTCCAGCTTGTCGTCGGGAAAACTATATGACCAACCCGGAGAATCCACCACGATTGAACGCTTCTGACCAAAAAAAAAAAACGTCGAGCCTTACTTGAGACCTATGAGATGTGGTCGAGCTCGTCAGACAGGATATTCGCTATTGTATGGTACAACGCTACCGCAGCGTGCTCTTAGCAACTTCCTAGCTACATCTCTGCTTCGCCAGACAATAAAGGATCAAGCACGAGTTTGTCTAGGCGAGTCTGACTAGCAGACTGAACAAATCATGCACGAATAGGTCGGGCAGTATTGCTCGAGCTCTAACCCGCCAAGACCGAGACGCTTATTATCAGTCATACCACGAATTCTAACAGATCGGCGGTATCGCTGAGACGGAGGCATTGCCAAACGAGCCCATCGTGATTCCCTTCTTGAACCCCCTGAACCGTACCGAAACTTTCCGCCCACGAATCATTGGACTTCGAAAGCAGAAACGTGTTTTGTTGGAGATCCAAATTGATCGGTGAAGAGACGCTTAGTCTAGTAGTTAAGAGAGTGTAGCGAGTGAACCCATACCATCCTATAAATGATCTGGCCCAACTGTCGACTTGGTTTCCCCCCTGACTTTCCCTCCCTTAACTTGGGCTTGCTTAGTAGGCGTTAGAGGATCGTGTTTGTTAAGAGGGCAAGACCGGCATGATTTGAGCCTGTATGGATAGATTAAAGGATCGAATAGTATACTATCGACTTGTCCCAACCTGTTCTGGTAAGCGAAGTGCGATAGAGAGAAGTGTCTCGTGTACTTTCAGGCAACGGGCCCTAAGATTAGCCCACCCTCCTGCCCTCCAGCGACAGCTACTACAAGGAGCAAGAAATAATGGAAGACTGATCACATCAGACAAGTCTGCAGTGTCGAGTTACACTTCCGTGCTATCGCGCCATCTTGCACTGATGAGGCGCGAGATCCGATCGTCATACTATACAAAGGAATCGAGCCTATAACAGCTTTGACCTTTATATAAAGGCAGACAGGCAGAGATCACCCTAGGATGTCTCTTGAACCCGAGGAAAAAAAGGGCTACCTACAAGCAGCTACCAACAATCCACCTATAGATACTCGGGTCTCGAATTCCACCGCAAAATGTCTGTGTCTATCCGGTCATACAACGTCACCCTTGGCGATGACAACACCGGACACCCGCCGTCGTTCGACGGACGTGTGACGAAGCCGACCTCTGTCTGGGATCAAGTGTCGACTGCTATCGGTGACGGGACCATCATGGAAACCAGCACCAATGGCAGGCACATGTACTTGGCTATCGTTGACCCTGAGCTCACCACGCGGACTCGCTACTCCGAAGGACCAGGAGATGTGGATATTACACAAGTCTTCCAAACCCACTCTCAAGATGGCTCTGCCAATACAGAGTCCAAATATGCTGATGGCGCAAAATCAGTCTTTTCAATTTGCGTGGGAACTGAAGATCTCACGGCCAAGTTCGCTGAGGTCCCCTACTCGGATCTCGAGTGGAATGCTGTGCAGTTCGTCAAGCGACACTTTGAATCCATTTACCCGGATCACCATCGACACATGAAGACTCTCCACTCGATCGAACGTTCAACTGAGCTTGCACGAAACATCGGAGCAAGCTTCATGGAGCATATCATCGAGCGGAAGTGGCACAGGCCTGTAAAGAAGGTGGCAGCCGTGGTAGCTGTGGTCGAAGCATGTAGGGCAGAGTGTAAAGAGCCTTTTCACGCCGCGAGAGCAAGCAGATACTTGGGTGGCGCCATCTGCGCGAGCGTCAGTGGTCTAGGATACGGCAAGCAAGGAGAGTTGTTGCCTGAATCTCTGACCGACATTGAAGCGCTGGCCAGATGGATGATCAACTACATCTCCGTTTGGTATAATTCGATGAAGGTGGAACACAAGATCATGATAACGGACTCAATCGAAGGAAAGCCTCAGACAAAGAAGGAAGGAGTTCTGCCCTCCCAAATTCATGAGGACGAGCCTTCAATGTCCGCTGCTCAGAGCGCGTCCGAGACGACGATCGATGACCAGAGGAGTGTTTCCATTATTGCATCCCTCGATGGAAGTCGAGCTCCGGTCCCACGGAAGAAGCTTGGCCTGTGGAAAGACAGCTCCCAGATTTTCAGCACTATCCAGGCGATCTCGGACGAGTTCTTTGAGCTCGCGAAAGTAGATACAAAAGGAGGAGGTCATGGTCCCAAGACCGACTATCTGAAGAGCCTCAGGAATCAAATCCTCCGATTGATCACGGCGAATGATGCTCAGTACCTCAGACAGGATGACCTTGATTCGAGGGAGCCTTTTGTACACATCCGCGCAACTAACCGGACTGTGCAGCTCCTCTCGGCTGCTATGTTCTCAAGGCTCTATGTCGACCCGCGCGATTACTACGATCCCGAGTCCCCGGTTGACGCCCATTTCATCACAGAGACCGTCCAACACATTCGATCGAAGTGGCAAGACATGGGTCAGAATGAACGTCGCCAATACCGTTTCTGACTGTCTCGCGCGGAAGTGAAGCTGCTGCAACATATATATGTACAATAGCGGTTGCACTGCATTCTATCCCATCGCGACTGTGCTCTGTCGATCTGTTTACGATATTTTGTTGCAATTTCGTAAAGAGTTTGGGGTTGCCTTACAGCGTGCTGATTGAATACGCTTCGTGTCATGTCTCGAGGAGTTACCGACGTCAGCACGACTGATTCATCCTGAGATCTCGAATTGCCGGGCCTCGGATTGTAACATGTGCCCCAGTAGACAAGCAGGTCTAGAGCGTCAGCTGGATATCTAGATCCGATCGGCTCCTTGATGCACCAAATTCGCACCAGCTTTGTGTATTGTGCCCCAAAACGAAGCTTCTGCGTTGTGTTGCAGGTCGCGATCGATCGCGTGATGCTTGAATGGACCTGTGCCGGCGCACATCCGTCTTGTCATTCTTCCAGTATCCTGATCAGGTGATCGCTTGGACAGGCTCACCCCGACGTCCAGACAATGATCCCATAATCTTAACGGAAAGTCGATCGAGAGAAAAGACAGCGTGAGGTCTTATTCGCCATCGCGCTGACTCTCAAACGCTGTGGCACAGGGGCAGGAGGCCGTCGATTGCGTGATGAACGATCGTGGCTTATCAAACACCGCCCCGACCCTGTCACCTGGATGATGGTGTCATACACATAGAACAAAGGAAGACCTATTCAGGCGTCATGAGCCAAAGCAAACAGATATAAGTAAAAGCTTCAATCGGGCTAATGAACGGAATGGAGGCAAACAATCTGTATGGGTTGTTCCGCTACAGTATAGACTCAGTACCCATCTTCCCTCCCAGACTCAGTCGTCGATCAACCTACTATCAAGCATGGCAGACTCCGCACAATTCCGACCCCCATCTTCTACTGAACTACCGTCGATGAGCTCTTTGAGCAGTCAGACAATCGGACGGGAGACATGGACCTTGCCAGGACATGAACACTACTATGTACTATGCCGAACGGAACTTGACGAAGAACTATGACGAATCAGGAGGAGATTGGTCTGACATCACAACGTACGTCATCCGGGAAATGTCGGTGTCAGCTGAAGATGTCTCGTCCCATGACCATCCGGACAAGGACACCGTATTGTCCGTGCAGACGAAAGACGGAGAATTGGTTGGTATTAAGTACCGGAAGGAACCCAACTCGTCCGATGTTGCTCCCGCCATCGAGTTTATGGCCGATATCCTTTCAAATGAACAGCCAGCTACAGCTGAGATGTTCTGGAGGTTGGCGAAGTCGAGCAGCATCTTTCAGTCTGGCCTGGGCGCAGACCGCGCCGTCGATCCTGCCTGGCAACGGGAGGAATCAGGCCTTGTCGATCAGATCGTCGACAAGTTCTTCGCTGCCGAGGACCAACGCAGGAGTCGAGCACGTTCACGTCGTCCGCGTGAGCAGATGACGTTTACAGCGACTATCGAAGGCATACTCAAGCAGTTGGCGGAAGGATTATTAGGCCAAGAAGCCAGAGAAGCCTGGTCAGTTGTGACCATCGCTGCAGCGGAAACGTGGGAAACTCGGCACAAACTGATCGGGGCAGTCATCGAAGTGCTCGTCGGATGTACGATTGAGGTTTTGACGAATAACTCTCGGTTGAAATCTTTGATCGTCAAGGTAGTTCTGCGTATTGCTGAACGTGAGGAATCTGGATGAGGATCTAAGTCATATTTCGCTGTCCGGCCTGAAGATGTTGTGCTTTAACTGCTTTGCCTGTACTGTTTCTCTTGCCCATGTATACACATCGATAGTCCCAACCAATCGACTTCTGTAGAAATGGAGAGCCAGCCACTATAACAGCACTCGATTCTTTTCTTTGTACCTGCCAGTGATACTCTTTACGCACGCTAGAAATCGTCTGATAGACTGCCTTGATCCAGCCCTCAGTAAAGTTGTCAGTGTTGCCTGCCAACTACAGAATTCGAGTACCCCATGATCATGCGATGAAGAATGTAAATGTGCGTGAGTAATACAATGTTGGCTCATTCGCATAGATTGTGCTGCGGGCTCGATCACCTCATGTTTATAGGCTGTAGGTCTGTGTTTGGGGTCTTAAAAGGTAACACTCGTACGATTGCGAATTTGATCGACATCCGTTGCCGGAAACAGCTTCCTCTTCGATTTTGATTTTCCGCTGGGTTCTGTAGGAATCCCCACCTGCAAGGGTCCATTCAGATCTTATTACAGGTTCACAAGCCGAGTCCAGGTGGCAATCGATGGATCATCTTGCTGGAGAACCACCGGGCAAACGCATTATTGCCACTACGTGTCAGGACCCATGTTTCGGAACAAAAGGGAGTGTGGTCAAGGACTGAACATTTTGTTGCGATAAGCAGCTCTCAAATCACGTCACAAATCGCAATGACTGAGGTGATAGGTAATCACAGCGTCGAGGTCTCATCACTAGCTGACTCGTTGATCTGATTGCATCACATGCAAATGGCGCGATCAAACGTGAAGCTTCCCTGGCGTGATAAAAGCACAAAGGAGAGTCAGGCTGATCTGTCGTCACCCAGCAGTCTGTCTTGTTGGATATCGAATTGATCACCGTTGTATAGTTTGCATGAGGATAAAATATACAAGAGGGGATCATGAAATCAGACCAGAATGGTCTGCTATATATGTTATTCTGGTAGGTGGCAAGGTGCTGCGGTCTGCGGTTTGCGGTCGCAAGTTGCGGTTTGCGGTCGCAACTTGCGGTTGTGGTCGCAACTTGCGACAGTGGTCGCAGATTGCTAAGCGAGTCGCAGATTGCTAAGCGAGAACAAAAGGAAAGGTGCGAAGAGTGGATGTGCTTTATTGTTCCATGCGGTCTATTGTTCTGGGAGACCAATAGACGTGCGGGAGAACAATAGGATTCGACATGTCTTGCAGAGGCGGGACGGCGTTGTGACAAGTAAATTCTTACGGCGGGCGACAAGCGTCCCAAATGATAGCATGAAGTCGGGGATCAGATTCCTAATGAGCAAGTCTTTTTCTTCGAAATCTGCGGGCCAGTCGATGATGAGCCAGGAAAGAAAGCTTAGATAAAGGCTCAACGGTTCAGGGGATCATGTAGGGATTGTGTGATCGGGCGCCATAGTCTAGCGGGATTTGCCGTATAGTTCAATCGCCAAAGGACTTGGCGCCAGTGAACGCTACGTCGATGGACAATGGAAGGCAGCTCATGAAGTCAGAAACAGCTATGATTGCCTGAGAGAGGCAGACATATAAAGCTGACATCGCTTTGCAAGTTAACGCAAGCCCTGCGTATCTTCACGTGCATGCAGTTTCGGCTCCCGAGATCCGCCATAACAACTATTCTGGAGGATACCGTATCCCAGCTGACTCTTTACCTTGACATGGCTGATGCGACAAGTTCATTACCATCGTTGCCTCGACCAAAACAAAGGGGAACGATTCGGCGCGTCAAAGACAAGCGGTCCAGCCTTTCTGCTTGGTCATACAACACGTCAGGCACTGATGATCCTGACGACGAGTGGAAAGTCTGGAATGACATCGAGACTCAGCTACAGCCCTCGACATGGGTCAGCGGGTGTTCTATTACTGCGTCATCTCAGGGGACGCAGGCGGGGCAGGAAGGAGATAAAGCGAGTACGCACCTCAACGTCACGACTTGTCAAAGCGCCAAGTCTTCCCAGTTGTATTCGCCCCTCCTGCGAGATATCGGTCGCAATGTGGACAAGGGCGAAGTCCTGTCCTTCCAGATCAAAGAAGACGGACTGACAGTATCCGCTGCATCGAACGTGTCCGAAGCAACCATTGCGTCGGCCTGTACATTTGGAGCCGATATTATGACGAGGTACTACCCACTGGAGCCGCAACTACCTGAACAGATGCGCGAATGGCAAGGTGAAAGGATTCGCCGTCAGCATGAAAAGTCACATCGCCTCATAAAGGCATGGTGCGCAATAGTCGTCACAGAATTCAACGCCAATCTCCACAGCAAACTGACAGGAAAGCGGAAGGGTGCGGTCGAACCAGTCATCAATGATGTACGCCAGGTACTGAGGGAGCGTACAGATGATGGAAGAAAGCCTTTCAATCGCAGTCATCCGGATGATGATCCGCAGGATTGGAAGATTCAACAATTGGCTTTTGCTATCAAGTGGGGCAACGACATTTTTTTTTTAGGGTTAGGGGTTAGGGGTTAGGGGTTAGGGGTTAGGGGTTAGGGGTTAGGGGTTAGGGGTTAG